CTAGAGGAGAAGTATAAGCACCTATATAGAACACCTAATAGGCCTACTTATACTCTCTCTCTACTAATATATTATATAGCTCCTTAAAGGTAGTATATAGAGTAGTTATATACTATATACTTAATTAGCTAAAGTTTATAAAAAATAAGTAGGTTACTTATAGGGGTAGTAAAGCCACTATTAGTATATAGCTTATTATAGAGGTAACTAGCTATAGGCTCTAGTAGTATAGGCCTATAAGTAATTAGTCTAAGTTTTATAAGCTTAAAATTATATCTACTTATAGTAGATAGTATAAGTACCCTTTTAAGTAGTAGGAGTAGTAGTGCTAGTTTCTACCTATGCTAGGCACGTTAATATAAGGAGTAGTAGAGCTGCTTCTAAGAAGCACGTTAGTATACCTAATATAGGGGAATAGCTACTTATTCTATAAGATAGGGGGGAGTATATGCTAGGTAGGGGGCATAGGTAGCAGGTAGGTAGTAGGTAGTAGGTAAGTAGTAGGTGTAGAAGCAAGCTGCGTAGCAGGTAGTAGGTAGAGTAGGCTAAAAACTAAGCAGCCTACTACTGCTAGAGGGCTTAAGGTGCTAGAGGCACTAAGCATACTACTAGTAGTAGCAAGCACACTTACTAACTATATAGGCGTAGGCATAGAGAAGGCATAGCGCATAGTAGTAGCCTAGTAGGTAGCAAAGGTAGTAGTAATAATATTATAGCTAGGCAGCACGTGCTAAACTACTAGAGTAGTAGATAGAGTAGAGGCAAGTAGCTTAGGGGTAAGTAAGTAGCATATAGTAGCATAGGTAGCATAGGTAGCATAGGTAGCAGTAGTATAGGTATAGTAGATATAAGGTAGTTAATAATGCTATATAAGAATTAGTAAAAAGCTAAAAAGAGCTAAAAGTCTAATATAAGAAGCTTAATAAGATACTATCTAAAAATACTAAGTAAAAAATAATAATACTAATTTATACTAGTTAAGAGCCTATAAGCTACTTAAAAGTAAGCCTAAGCAAGAATAAGCTAGAGAAAAGAATAGAAGAAGTGCAAAGAAGTAAAATGGTATACTTACTACTATTATAATAAGTAACCTTAAAGTTAAGTAAAATAGGTAGAGGTCTATACTATATATGCGCCTAAGCTTAGTAAGAGTAAATATTGCGCGTATATAATGTGCCTAAGCATCTTAAACCCTATTTTCTAGCTCTTATCTAACTATATTTATAGTAAAAGCAAATATAAAGGAAAATAGATAATATTATACTTAAATACAAGCTAATAAGCTACTTATATAATTATAATATACGTAAATTAGTTAATTCTAGCTATATAATATAGGCATAGCTAAACTACTTATTAAGATTAAATTTAACTAAGTAATTAGCTAAGTATACTTCTTCTTCTCTTATAAGCTTAAGATTATAAGCAGTGCATAGGCAACTCTAAGCTTACTAAGAAATAAACTAAACGCGCTGCTTATAACATCTTAAACGCTTATTTAAAATATACTAGTTCCTAGAACTAACTAAGCTACTTAACTACACTATTAAGCTTAGAATATAAAATTTAGACTACTAATAGTTTAAGGAGAGACTAGGGCTAGAATATAGTCCTAGCTGCTATACTAGAAGCTTAAAATAGCACAATATTTCTTTAAGTTTAATATTAAGGTATAATTATATTAACTACTTCTTAGGTGCTTGCTAATATAGGCAACTACCTAGAAGGTATGTTGCAGAATTAAGCATTAAACTACTATTAGGTAGCTTAATTGAATAACTACTAATTAAGCACCTAGAGAGGTATAGGAGGCTTAGGCCTATAGAGGCTAATTAACTAGTATTAAGCTGCTTAAGCTATAGCAGAAGCTTAATTAGATAAGGTTATATAACCTATAGGTTTTTCGTTTATATTTAATATAAGTATTGTCCTATAGTATATAGGATAGTAGTCTACTAAATAGATTACCTAAATATAGGCTTACCTACTTAATTATAGCAAGCTATATGCATATACACTAGCCTAGAGCCTAATCTACCCTAGGTTATATTTTATGTTCTAATTTTATAAACCTCTCTCTTCTCCCCCCTAGATTTTAAGACAAATTTTGCTAAGTATACTAGTAGTAGCTAATATTGCTAAGCAACTAATATTACTAAGCAACTAATATTATAGAGTAATAGTAACAATACTAATACTATAATAAATAAGCACTACTTAGGTAGCTATTTAGCAGCTTTAAATATATTTATATTAATATATTTTAGTTATCTACTAACTAAGTACACTTATACTATAGGTCTACTAAACACCTAGAACCTTATGCTTATAACTCTAAGGTCTATCTACCTAAACTTAGATAATAAAAAAGACATGTACGCCTCTTATATAAGTAGTAACCTAAGCTATTCTACGCCTACCTTGTTTACTAGCTAGAATGCTGCTATTTTAAATAGTATAGAATACTAACTAGTTTATAGTCTACTTCTACTATAGGAAGCCCTTAGAGTTATAGGTCTTCTATAGTATTATAGGTTAAATATAGTTTAGAGACTTAAAAAACTTTTAAACTCCTATAGAGCTACCTAATAATCTATAGTTATAGATAGCTATACTTATAATTATTAAGTTAACTTTTATATATATAATATAGCTTATGCAATATATTATATGCTTAAAGCTCTTAGAACTATATATAATTTATAATATATCCTTAGAATATACTTTACTATAATAAGTATATAATAATATTTATGCTATAGGTAGAGGGCTTTAGCCTATTTTATAAGATTTTTTATAATATACCCCTATTTTTTATACTTTATTAAGAAGATTAATTATATATATATATAAGTTAACTTAATAATTATAAGTATAGCTATCTATAACTATAGGTTAAATATATTAGGTAGCTCTATAGAAGTTTAAAAGATTTTTAAGTTCCTAAACTATATATAACCTATAATACTATAGAAGACCTATAACTCTAAGAGTCTTCCTATAGTAGGAGCAGACTATAAGCTAGTTAGTATTCTATACTATTTTTAACAAGAGTATCTACTATTTATAGCTATAGTCCTATCTTAATTATCTCTATTATTTCTATTTTACTTATTATACTTATTACTCTCTAAGTATTTAAATATTTAACTTAGAGTAACGCATAAATATTGCTTATAGCTAACTCTAATAGTATATATACTTTTACCTTTACTATACTAGTAATATATATTAATCTAGTGCTAGTGCTATTTATATACTAAATTTATAGCCTTATACCTTTAATCTAGGTAGTATTAGAAACACTAGAATATATTAATAAACTATTACTATATATAATATATAGTATTATATACCTTCCTTAGGCTACTAAATAGAAGATAGTTACCTTAACCTTAAATAAGTTACTAGGCCTAGTCTAGCTTAGTTAGGAGGTAGTATAGGCTTATATACCTACTCTTACTATATAGAAGAGAGTAAGTATAAACTAGTAAATTTAAATTATTTAAAGATAAGATTACTATAAGTAGAGTAGTTAGGAATAAGTATTACTTGCTAGTAAATAAGATAGGTATAGAATAGCTTAGGTTACTACTTATATAAGAGGGCTTTCTAACCTATATATATAACTTTTTTATTATCTAAGTTTAGGTAGATAGACTTTAGGGTTATAGGTATTTAGTAGACCTATAGTATAAACTTAGTTAGTAGATAACTATATAATATTAATATAAATATATTTAAAGCTACTAAATAGCTACCTAAGATATAGTGCTTAATTATTATAGTATTAGTATTATTATTATTGCTATTAGTTGCTTAGTAATATTAGCTGCTGCTAGTATACTTAGTAAAATTTGTCTTAAAATCTAGGGGGGGTTCACAAAATTAGAACACAAAATTCAACCCGGGGTGGATTAGGCCCTAGGCCAGCGCGCTATTCTATATTGTGCTTTAGATACTCTTAAGTCTATTAATAATAAGTGTTTAATTTAACAAAACCTCTTCTATAGTTTAATCTTTATCCTCTGCAGTCTAGACTCTAATTTAAAAGGTCTTTATAAGGAGATTAAAAAAGATCGCAGTAATAGCGTTGTTTAACTCTTAAGCAGGCAGCTGTAGGGAGTCTCCGCTACTGAAACGTTAGAACCGGATGAAAATCTGCTGGCCGCAAAACCTTACACTGTTATCTGTTGGTTTGCTTATAAATATACTGCGTTGCAGCCTGCCTGCTTAAGTATGCAACGACTCCTAGCCTTCAATGCATCCTTCGTGTTCAGTAGGCGGGACGGCATAGCTCGGAAACTGCTTTGTAACAATCTTTGTCTGAATATTACCGTTCAGTGATGCTTGAAGTCATTCTGACTATGGGGTAGTCAGGGGTTAAGTCAGACTGAGGGAATGACGCGTGGGTAGTGGATCAGTAAGCGCTTGCTGCATGTCCTCCCACGCAGACATAATACGATGACGCCTCGACCCTAGGTCGTTCGCTCTAGAAGGGGACTTGTTCCATAGGCGGGCAGACGCGATTGTAACTACAACACAGATCCTGTGTTGTAGTTAACTTCTGATTGAAGACTAAAGCACAGGATAAGAATATCAACAAATTGTGTTGTTATGGCCAAATCGCTCTAAACTAGGTGAGCAGCTAGTAGAGGATATTTCACAATGATGCAACCTTCTGGCGCTATGCATCATGGTCGTGGCGTTCCCTGCACGCGCATGTTCCAGGACGTACACAGCAGCTCAACGACTCGATGAGCTCGCTCACGTCTTGAGTCTGATCCAAGGCAGGGAAAGCATCTGTTTCAAGAAGTTCAGAACAGTAGGTGAACGGAGCACTAGTTTCTCACGATCAAGTATATTATTCGCTCCGGCGACGCTGTCTCCCTCGAGTGAACGTTTGAAAGAGATATTTCCTTGGATGGGTGTCACTTGCGCAGGGTACCTAGGTACATATCAGTCACGGGTACAATCAATTGCTTAAACTAAATCTATCCACGTCTCATTCCTACTTCGAATAACTCAAGACTTTAACTGCATACTCTTAGCCCTTTATCAGGCAGGCTAGGCCCGCTCCCTGCTTGGACGTCGACACTATGATTTCGCAAAGCGTCTCGCGGGTGTGTGCATCTCGAACAAATGATTCAACTCGTCGAAAGTCTTGTTCTTAGTCTCAGGCAAAAAGATCCACGACAAACCGAATCCGAGGAAAGAGAGGCCAGCGAAGACAAAGCCAATCTTGCCTCCTAAGTTTCCAGCATCTGCATTAAACATGTAGGGAACACTGATGCTGAAGACCACACCAGCTAAGGCATTTATGATAAACCCTATGGCGGAAGATCTGGCGCGGAGACGCGAAGATGAGAGCTCGCCAATGAGGACAGGCCATGTCGCACCGACGCCAAGCTGCGAGATCGTGCCAACAATTATGATGGAGACTCCGATGAACCTTCCAAATGTCAGTAAACTAATCTTGACCTAAGTCACTGATCGCTAGAATGAAACTTACCTCACCGCTCGAGTATCGTTTTCGAAGAACCCGGCGGCGCCCATTGCGACAAACATGACGGCCGTGGCAAAGGCGCTCCAGAGAACTATTGTTCGTCTTCCTAGATAAACCATCGTGAAAGATGCAATGACGGTAGCGACCAGCTGTACACCAACCCCAATCTGTGATATTTGTAACGATTGTGTAGGACTCATTCCTGCCATGATCAGAAAGTAGTTGGAGTTGGCGAGAAGGGAAACTCCTAGAAGATATTGTAGCAAAGCAACCAGAATGATGATCAGTGTACGACGGCGATCGGTACGTCTGAAGCATTCAGCGAATGATGCATCTTTGCCTTCATCGGCTGCGTGCTCGTGATTTAGTGTATCTTTGATACCACTGAGGGTAGCATCGACGTCGCTCACAGATCCGTGAAGTCTGAGGTAAGCTTTTCGGGCGAGTTCCGGTTCTCGAGAAGCCATGAGCATGGTAGGGCTCTCAGGAATGACGACAGCAGCGATGATAGTAAGACCCGAGAAGGCCCACATTGCGGCAAAGGGAATCTTGTACTATCAGCATGGTGCCAGATGCATGTGAATAGACGAACTAACCTGAAACGAAGAGGTATCGAATATCAGGACACGGGAGAAGACAACGGAGACCGCAACCAGCTGGCCAATCGCAACAGAGAACGGAAAGATAGCCAGGAGAACAGGCCTAAGCTTCGTGGGTGCGATCTCAGATACGTACGTCTGACACGTTGTTAACAGGATTCCAATAGCGTTACCCGTGACGATCTTAGAGAGAAGAAAGAGCACCCGGCGACCTGTGAGAGAAGCTACCTCTGGCGAGCTGTATGCCAAAGCAGTCCCTATATAGCAGTCTCAGTTTTTGTTGACTCAGCTGGAAGATCAAGACACAGAATTCATCATACCAATAGCGGTCAGGATGCCTCCTAAGCCAAAAGCTGACCGACGACCAAATCTGTCCTGGAACACACCGCCAGAAGCGGCGCCCATCATTATTCCGAGCTGGATAAATGCAGTCCAAAGACCTTGCCAGAGTGCTGGCAGAATCAGTTTACCGTTGTACTGTTCGCCATACGAAACTCTTAGAACGTTAGGTGTGTACTCAAAATTCATGAAAGGGGCTTACGAAAACGCTGGCAATGCTGTAACGGCACCAGTAACCAGAATGTCGAAACCAAATGACAATACTCCTGCATTTGCGAGGAAGGAATACCCGATCACTCGGGGATTGGATCTAATCTCTTGCCAAATCGTCTGCGGGTGCTCAGCTGTACGAGTTGAGGGTGGCTGGACGACGATATCCTCGATGAATTCGGTTGCAATCTTGACTTTCCCGGTCTCATGGGTAGAGTCGCAGCGGGAGTGAGTTTTCGACATGATGGGCATATCGTTCAACATGACCTGGTTCCGCCCGGCTTTATAGAGGCTTATGATCCACATGCTCAGAAGCAGAACTGTGGAGTCTGGGGAAAGTCGGAGTGCAAAGCACTGGAGGCGACTAAGCCGCACTAGCACACGATCAAACTCGGAACGTGGGGGGGGCGTGCCTCCGATTACTCGATGAAACTTAGCCAACAAAGACGATCCAAGAGGAGGCTTGGTGCGATTAATCGATAGGATTGACTAATGTAGAAAGACGTTCAGCGACAACTCCAAAGGCTGTGATAGGCGGCAGCTTCGCTGCTGGGCAGCCTGGAAGGTGATCATACAAGGCAGATAAACGTGAAAGTCTGAGTGTACAGCATCTCAAGGTCATGTACAAAGGCAATGGAGGTATTGCAGAACGATACTGAGTGAGCTTGCGGGTGGCGATTGCGCGCTTGGACTCAGATTGAAGGATAAGCCCGCAGACGGTACATTGTGGCCTGAAAACTTTATCCAACATTCTATAGTGTGTTTACATTGGGAGAAACTCTAGCACAAGGCGCAAGCCGGCAACAGCAGCCTATGTGGAAAGTCGCGTAGCTACGGTGGTTTATAAGCATTCGCGTTTTTGCTAATTACCTAGGTACCGAGCGCCTACATATGTTTTAGCACTATTGTTGTATCTACTGAGTAGATTGGTACTTACACCAAATCTGATCGTGCGCGCTAATCCTATTGTGCTTTGAACCCGCGCATTCGTCCGATTGGCTTGCCTCAGTTGGTGAGATCCTCCATGCTGACCATGCCTTGATCCACTCGAACAGTGACCCAACTTATCCTCTCAACAAGACATGACTGTGATCAAAACCATCCCATATACTAGACACTTCTATTATAAATCACCATTTCATCTCCACAGGAACTCTCTTCATCGAAGTGGTATCGCGTCGCGCTATAGCAGCGCCTACTGTTGCCAAATGTGGCACTTAGCTGCCCAGGAAACGCATAGCCTAATATTGCCGCATAAGAGCCAACGTTTACAGCTGATGACTAAACTCATCTGTGCTGCAACACCATCTCTTGTAGACGTACATATTTAAACATCCATACTCATTTTTTTGCAGCAACTGCATCTCCTGTGCAATGGCTCAACATCTACAAACTTACCCGACAAAACCGCGGACGTTCATTTTGACGGACATCACAAATGAGCCAGATGATGCGCAATCCTTTTGCCGATATCTGACGTATTCAAATCAGTTTGATACTGAAGGCATTGTGCCTGTGACGTCCACGTGGCTGCGCAACAAAGTCGCCCCAGAAGCGCTCCACGATATCCTGGATGGTTACGCCGACGTGGTGCATAATCTCAACACACACACACACCCATCCAATCCGTATCCCTCTGCTGACCATCTCCGGAATCTTGTCCGAAGTGGTGCTCCAGTATATGGCATGGAAGCTGTCGGAGATGACATCCCACTCAGCGCTGGAGCCCAGTTACTTCTGGAAAGGCTCCTCGCCGACGATGAGCGGCCCTTGTGGGTTCTGGTCTGGGGTGGGACAAACGTACTTGCCTCTGTTTTGTACAGAATCCGACGTCGCAGCGACGCCGCCTTGGTCCGCTCGAAGATTCGAATCTATACTACCAGTGATCAAGATGATACGGGGGCGTGGATTCGACAAAATTGGCCAGGCCTGTTCTATATCTGTTCTGTGCACGGCTGGAATCAATATTTTGGTGCTACCTGGACCGGAATATCTGGGGGCTTGCATCCGGAAGACAGAACTGGCGCCGATCGCACGATGTTGGCTCCTGAATGGATCAAGGACAATTTCCAGATCGGTCCCCTCGGGCAAAAGTATCCAGATGTAATGTATGCCATGGAAGGGGATTCACCGACATTCCTATATCTGGTTCAGAACGGCCTTGGTGACCCAGAAGAACCCAGCTGGGGGAGCTGGGGAGGACGCTATACTTCCGTAAACCCTATGGGTGAAGCTAAATCATCTAGAGGTCACTTCTCTGACTGTATCGATATGGTGACTGGCAAGGACGGAGAAAGCTACTTTTCATGTAGGGCGACCATATGGCGCTGGAGGACTTCCTTCCAGCAGGACTTTGCTGCCAGAATGCAATGGACGTTGACATCCGACTTCAGCAAGGTGAACCATGCACCTGTCGTGGATCTCGACGGTGCGGCTGGGCTGGGTCCTGTGCGGCTGGATGTTGATGCTGGGTCTACTATTCGCTTTAACGCAAGCAAAAGTTATGACCCTGACGGAGATGATCTGCATTTCAAATGGTGGCAGTACAAAGAACCCAGCGCTATCCAGAGTGGGCACCCTTGGGAAGTCATCAACATCGACATCAAACCTTTCGATCAAGGGAGGCAGGTGGAGGTTTCAATACCGCCGGCCGAAATCTCTTGCGCGGTCTTTAGATCCAACCCTCCAACCACATCAGAGAAGGGTTCACCGTTGCACATGATCCTAGAAGTTACCGATAATGGCGTACCGGCCTTGAGATCATACCGGAGAATCATCATGACTCCTGTACGGACGCATGGAGTCCAAGCACAGGACAGCACTACATAGCTAGCAATGCAATGGGACCCGTTTAACAGCAAGACGATGCAGTGATGGTCTGTTGCTAGTATGAAATGGTGATGAACACCAGTCATGTTGCATTACAGCCCTCTGGCTCGGCTGATAAAAGCAACCTTTCCTTCGGAACGGGCATTGAGAAAGAGCGGTCAGCCCGCAGTGAAGAACGACTCTGATATAGAGTATAATTAGGGTATCATTGCTGTGATAGTTGGTGTGCCAAGAGGAAAATATCTCTCTCTTCGACATCTATGAGGCACCAGACGCACCGGTCTCAGCTCTAGAACTCGAGCCAACGGTGTCCCTGCCCTGCAATCGTCTCTGTCTATGCTCTTCCTCCAGCAGGCTTTGCTTCTTGATGTATTCCATAACAATTTCGTCTTCGCTCTTCTCTTTGTTAGCATTAGCCTGTCGCTCCTTCTCCGCTCTCTCGCTCTCCTCGAGCACCTTCCGAAGTTCTTCATTTTCGGTGATCGCTTCGGCATCACCGCCAGCATCATCCGCGGTCCCACTTTCTTGCTCTGAAGCAAGATTCCGAATGTGCTGCGGATGAGTCTCCTGAAGGTGAGCAAGCTCCTTGCTTTCAGCCAAGATTCGCTGGAAGTCGGCATCATCCTCAGTATCAGAGCTATCCCACTCGGAGTCGCTTCCATGCCTGCGGTGACGGGAAGTATCAAGAAGGGACTTTCGCAACGTCTCTTCCAGCGACTTTTGTTCATCTTCTGTTACATTGCCGCGGCCAGCTTCTGCCATGCTCGCTTGTATTGCCCGCTTGACTGCCTCTTCCTCCTCCTGCACACTGGCATTGGCAGGAGCCCGCTCCAGCTCTGCAACAGAAGCGCGAATAGCGTTTGCCATAAGCTGGGCATCTTCTGCGTTACCATGAGAATTCTCGGCGACAGACGCCGCGATGGCGGCTTCGAGTTCGCGGCGCTCGGCCTCTTCTTCAGCGGCAAGCTGAGCTTCCACTTCTGTGATTGTTTGCTGAGATTGTTGCGATGACGCGGTTGTCGCTCGTGACATCCGCTCTTGTTCCTGGATCTTCCAGGCAGGAACGGTATTGGAACTCGGGCGCGAGGTCTGCTCATCGGATCCGTTGTAATTACTGGGTTGGGTAAGAGCGGGTGAGAACGATGGACGCGTTTCCGGCCTGGCGAGGGTTGCATCCACCCTATTGCGTCGATCGTCTTTTCTCTTTCTCTTGTCGGCGACTAGCGAGTGCAGCGAGTCCATCTTATCTCCCGCATTCTTTTTCTTCTTCATGTGGACCTTGACGATCTTCCACTTGCTGATAATGTCCGCTCTCTCCTGAGCAGACACTGTGACAGACTCATCGTAGCCTTGCGAGATACGTGCGGCAATGATGTAATTTTGGACACCACTTCCCTTGCTCTTAATCATCTCCTGGTACAGGCCCTTCATAGCGTAGCCCGGGACCGCCCATGCGCCGCCCATGACACGGAACGGCACGCTAAAAATACCGCGACCCACACCTTTGACAAAGCCAACACCGCCTTCCTTCTTGGCCCCCTTGTACGGGTCAGTAACGATGCCAGTGATGCCATCGTAGAGGCCAAATCCAAATTGCTGTCGTACTTTAGCGGATGCCTAAAAGGTCTGCTGGTGCGGTACTCACCTTGGCGGCTGTGGTAAGTCCACTCTTGAAGTCGGTCACATTATCAACCTTCCTGACCTCACCCCCGTAAAGCTTGGGAACGTTATGGAAACCTTTAGCAACGTTAAGCGAAAAGTCCATGGGTGACTTAAAGCCTGCGCCAACAATGCGTGCAAGACCTTTACCAGTGTCAACTGCAGAGTCAACCTGCATGTTCTTGAGGTTGTCCGCAAAGTTTGATGATGAACCAGTATCAGAGCGAGGCACGCCTGAACTAGAAGTCGAGTCCTTTCGTCTAGGTCCACAGGATTCCGGCGACAGAAGCCGACCACGATCAAGAGATGGAGATCTTGAACCCTGTGCAGAAGCAGAAAATGCCTCTGACATAAAGGCAGATCTGTGCGAAGGAGATCCCGGAACGCCCGGCTTTTCGTTTCCATTTGCTGGAGACTGTGTTGGTGGCGGTGTACTTCGTCCGCTCAACATCGAATCAGCACCTGTTGCAGTACGTGAAGTGGTCGGGCGACCAACGCGACTCGATTCACCGGGATTTGACGCATCCTCAGAGCCCTGTGCTCTCTCTTTACCTTTCTTGGATGTCGCTCTAGCATCAGGATGAATATTGAGCAACTTCAATGTCTGAATGGGCATATCTGCAACGCCCATCATGATGGATGTCGCTGTGCCGGTGAGCGCACTTGCTGCACCGGAGACAGGATCCCATGGACCTTCATCTGTCTGGTACTCGCGGGCACGGGCTCTGCACAATATTGTCAGTACGCTTGCATTGGGCGCTCTTCGGTTCATCTTACAGTTTCAACTCTTTGAAGTCGATTTCGCCCTCCTGGGCAAGCACCGTCGCTGCCTTGGCACTGAGCTTGACCTGTGTTCTTTTCACTCGCCAGACTGCCGGCCGGTTTGGCACCACCGCGCATCGCAGGTCGTCATAGTTCAACATCTGATGGAAGGACTGCGCCCCACTTTGGCTTCCATTCTCTTGCTTGATCTTGTTGCAAAGCTCTTGCGCCCGCTCGAGGGACTGAGGCTCCAGCGCGTTGTTGATCGATTGGGCCAGCTTTTCGGCTGTCAAATCTTTGTAGGGGATCGGGTCAGGACCTGCACCAGCTCTAGCTACCATAGCACCCCAGAAAGGCTGATCACCGAAGAAAGGGACGACGACTGTCGGCCTTCCTGCAGCAATACCAGCAGCTGTTGTCCCAGCACCGCCATGATGTACTACAGCCGACACGCGCTTGAAAAGCCAATCATGGGGGCAGTTCCCAAGCATGAAAACTCCTTCGGGAATGCCTAGTTCATCTGCACCAAGGCCACCCCAGCCTTTTGACACCAAGGCTCGTCGCCCGGTGATCTTAACTGCGTCCATGATCATCTTGGTCATGGAATTTGGATCGTCAACGACAATTGAGCCAAAACCAATATACACTGGCGGCTCGCCTGCATTGAGGAAAGCAGCGAGGGCTGGCTCGGGAGTGTAGTTCTGCGCCAGATCAAGGAAGTAGAATCCTGCGATTGAGATATGGTGGGACCAATCGGCTGGTTTTGGAATCAATGCAGGGGACCAGCAGTAAGTGAATGGAACCTTCATCCGCGCCAGCATAGCTGGTGCCCAGATCATGCTGATGGGGTCTAGGGACAGACTCTCCTTACGAAACCTGTTGATTATATCTCCCAGCCCTTGCCAGGTCAGCAAGTCAACCATAATGTAGGACATGTAGTTTGTGATTGTCGGATCGGCGTTTGAAGATTGAATGTTCGCAAGAGGATGGGGGAACTGCTGTGTGGGCGACCAAGGCATGCTATTCCACGTTAGCTGATGCAAAGTTTCTTTCAGAGAGCGGTACATACGTAAACATCATATGCAATGGTATGCCCAGCTTCTCTGCACAATGCACATGTCCGAAAGCCGGTGGGTTCGCAATGATAGCGTCAGCTACAAACGGCTTCTTCAGCTGCTCAGGGAGCTGCTCTTCAATGCCCATCCATTCCTCTACAGTCTGCTTTAGTGGATCAATGCCGAGTCCGTTTCCAGTCTCTACGCATGATCTCCAGGTCCCGCGTAGAATCTCTGCAATGCCTTTCCTCCTCTTTCCAACATCGCCGCTCCAAAGGGTATCCATACCAGGCATCAGGCCCGGGTTTTTGACCATGAAAGCCATAAGCTCAGCAGGATCACCACCAATACTGAAGAACTCCAGGCCGTTCTCAATCACAAAGTCCTTAAACACTGGATGTGTAGCTAGTCGTACGCGGTGTCCATATGTGTCTTTCAGCACCTTGCCCAGCGCGACAAAGGGCTGCACGTCGCCTCTGGAACCTACGACTTGAATGACGATGTTGAGAGGTGGGGGCGGGCTCTGTCCTGGAGCACCACCAAGAAATTCTGGGATGTAGGGTGGAGGTGGCTCTGGGTCTTCTCGAACTTGTACAAGCTGTCGTTGGATCTGCGGCACGATCAGCTGCGACAGGGCACGGCTCTTCTGGTTGATCCGAATGTTCACTCGACCGTCGTCGGCAACAGTCGCGTTCGTATCGAGCTCAGCATTGTCACTCTGGAGTGTACCGGGGGTCTCGCTGTAGGCTGGAGGAGGGGCATCAGTGGGGGTCGCATGCTGCTCGTCGACATGGCTCAGGTCATGGTGTGATTCTACCGTTGTTCTGCGCATGGTGTTAACAGAGAAGGTTGGTCCTAGATGGTGTTGCTAGACTGACGTGGCTGAGAGTCGCGCAGCATCAGAAGGTCGATACGAGCCGGCATATGACGAAGCCTCTGGTTTTGGTTCCGGAGGACGAGGCGCATCACGTTCCGGTGCGGGAGGCTCCCGTGACGAATCGTCAGGCGTGTACAGCGGTGGTTCTGCGGCAGTGGGTTCTGAGTACTGGGTTGGTCGTGGTGGGGCATCATCGCGCGCGTTCGCGTTAGATGGGCGGTCGGAGCTCGACATCGAGACTTAAGCAACAAGAGAAGGGAAGTCAGAAAAGCATGTCAGCAAAAGGAAGAGCTATAACAAAGACACCGGGGAGGATAAAAGCAATGTCGTAGAAGCCTGATCTCAGAGCAGCCGGAGCTATGATGTGGGGGTGTATTGGCGATCAACCGTTGTCAGAACTCGTCATCGGTGGCGGTGCACAAGCAACGCTGCTCGACAAACGACTCCGATTCGAGTAGGCTTGCCCGCTGAGCCACGTTCCACACAACGAGGTGCGCTGTGCTGCACGCAGATCTACGAAGTACAAACTCCAACTTTCCATTTCTTATGCAGACAGCTCCACTTCTCTAGCGACCTCAACCCTTCATAAGTAGGTATAAGAATGAGACGGGTATCCTCTTGCATCCAATAGGCGTCTCGACCAACGATGGCACTGCGAATCCGATACACGGTCTGGCTAATTACGTGCTCATGCGCGTAATGCATGTCAACTTTGTCAAGGCAGACTTTCATTGCCTTAGCTCTAAACTCGTATTATCTCGTATACATAGCGTATAGCGTCGTACACTCGACGTCGAACCCTCAGAGCTGAACTTTAAAGCATACCCTGACCGTCATCTTCAATTCGAAAATCGTTATTCACTGCTGCCTTCGAGACGTAAGACGGTGAAAGCTAGTCGGATGCATCAACCGCTATGCAATAATAGCGCAAGCATGGACCTGCACAGGGCGGATAGCCCGATCTTCACCAGAGATGCGGCCATATGGTGACAACTTCGCTCAGCTGGACGATAACAGGCGCCTGGCTTCTAGTCGGGCAATTCCCTGTCGCTCGTTCGCCTTTTTCGGCAGTTTCTGCTGATTCTCTAACGGTGGTCGTTGGCCAGATGCTCGTAGCACTGGTGTGCGTTTTTGAAAGACGTATGAGGGCTGGTTTGAGTGTAGCGGGGGCTCGGGTGCTGTGGGCAGAGTACAGCCTGTTCATCATGTTACCAGTCGGCATCAAAGGCCTTCTGGCTATAGGTATACTTTGGAAGGAAAGTGCTGGCCTAAAAGAAGTTCCATGACAGAGGTGCATCATGACAGGTGCTCTGAAGTGCGGAGTGCTGCTTGAGAGCATTGATGGGAAGGCTCGAAGGTGCATATCGCAGAGACAGAAGATAAAGAACAAAGCACAGGAGTCCTGGGCCAAAAAGTGACCTGGCCACTACAATCGGGATTGGCGAGTCTGGGTCGCTGGCTTCGTTCACGTTCGATTCTTGCGTGAGACAACAGATCTTTATCAGTATCGAGATCGACGCAATTGCAACACTGAGACGAAGGAAATTGGCCAGACCTAGGCGATCACAAGCTATCTGGATCGCGAGCATCGATCACTACTTTCCTCGGTATCTAGCATGCTCGTCCACGGTTGACATATGGACTAATAGTGATGGTTGCATAAAGGCACATACAGATTAGGCGTAGTTTGAAAGCTCACGGGTAGACTCTAATGCATGAATTAATGCTTTTGATGGCTGGAATAATCGATGAGGGGAAAGTTGATGGTACTTTGGTGGAGTGCCCTGATAGTGTCTGTTTGTGTTTTGACCAATCGGGTTAGCTTCTTGCGACCGGGCGCGTCCTGTCACAGCTGACCTTGCTGTGACCAACCTCACGCAACATTGACGCGTCCTTGTTGTAGACAGCGCAAAGCAAAGTATAGCGCAAACGAAGTTATCAATCCTGTTCAGATACACGTGCTGTTTTGACTCTCACCACCACTTGCACCACTGCAAGTACGCTTTGCATCACTGCAAGTACGCTTTGCATACTCTCTTGTACCCGGTCCATAGTTACTTGCACCAGTAGCGATTTCTCTCAACGACCGACCCAGACTCGAAGAAACATGGTTACTACGAAGGTGCTACTTGGCCCCGCAATTTTGCTAACCGGAACCTCGGCCTGGAATACAGATGGTATAGTAACATCTACCGCCTTTGTGTCTATAGTTAACGACAGGCAGTGCACAACCAAATCGGTTTCATGGCCGAAACCTTCCTTCATCCTGAGTCAACCTCCATCCTCGCCGAAATCCTCGAACCGCAATACAACCGCTCCATAGGCCGTGCAGCTGCGTGGGCAGACGGGTACGCACACACGGCCGAAGGACGCTTCTCGTACCAGTGGCACTGGATAGACACGCATGATCACCCACCACAATACTGCAACCTTAATTATACAAGCGATTGCGCCGAGGGCGGTTGTGTTGTCAGTGCCATCGCCAATCAGACTGGGATACTCAAAGGCTGCATCAAGGATGTGAAGACGGGTACCTTGAAAGGAGGTAGCAACCTGACGTGCTCCTATGCACTCAAGTGGGTGTCTCATTTCCTTGGAGATATAGCACAGCCGCTGCATGCTTCAGGACGCGCTGCAGGTGGAAACTTTTACAAGGTCAAGTTTGCCAACGTTTCAACTGAGCTTCATGCTGTAAGCATAACGCAGCTAATCTTGTTTGATCATGGCTGATGGAACAGGTTTGGGACGGATTCATTCCCTACTATGCTGCTGAGGTCAAGACACCTTTCTCGAACCGTTCAATTGACCCTTTCTTCGAGAATCTAGTCTCCCGAATTCACAGAGACAGCTTCTATGAGGCCCCATATACGTGGATTGCGTGCAGCGACCCATCAACGCCAGCGAAATGTGCGACGACGTGGGCGACGGAGAGCAACAAATGGACGTGCGACTATGTTTATAGACGCCTTCGCGGTGACGAGGATCTAGGCTACAACGGCTATGCAGATGGAGCAGTTCCAATCGTTGAGTTGCAAATCAGCAAGGCTGCATACAGGCTGGCGACCTGGTTGAACAATCTGGTCAGTGCCAAGGGGTCATCTCCTGATGACCAGGAAATACTTGAGCTCTGAGATTGAGCTTTGTCGGTCTTCCGTGACAAACAAAGTGTTTCTCGAGCGTCATTTCGAGTGGAGTTTGAGATGTAATTTCTCCTCACTGAATGTGCGATGGGAGTGGGCCTCATATCCCTTTCTCCGTGATGATAATGACAATGTCGATGTCAGAGCGTTGTCACAGTCAGAGTAAACAGATACACAGGGTCAGGACGTCGAGGACCATGCTGGTTGAGGTCAAGAATTTGGTGAGTATTCGGTAGTCGAGCCTCGGGGAACACTCCGCACACTTCTTGAGATCTGGAAATTGAGAGCATACAGCTTCAAAAACTCGCTCCATGCTGCGTGGCGAGGCCTAAAGCCCCTTTCTCATTGAATGGAAGCTTGATTGCAAGAATAGCTGTACGCCGCAAACGCACCTCGGCCGTTGTGCCGTCATCGTCGCCTTCTAAGCGAACCCCGACCTCCAAGTATCACCATCCATCCTTTCGCCCATTGCACAGATCCTAGGCCATCCTTGGCCCATCGTCACGTTGCTCAATCTGCTCGGCGTTATCCGGAACACCTTCTCGATGAAGTAGCACTCGCGCAAACATCTGCGTAACGCGAGATCCCCTCACAGTGAGTGGCTTGGTTTCTCCGTGAGGGCGAAGCGAATGCTCCGCAAAAAGGGAACAACGCCGCTGCAGTCCCCGGAATAATCGGCTGATCTTATCCGTAATGAGATTGCGGAGCCCCGCATCCCAGATCAGCACTGGCTGTGCCTGACGGTTCGGTGAGCAATAGCCCGGAATGGCTTGGCTTGATTAAACAGGCTACAAACATCCTGGAACCTGCAGATGGTATATAATATTGTTGCCGGGCTGCGGTATCTTCGGTACCTCACATTGAGAGCATTGTGAGCCATCATGGGTTTCAGTACAATCTCCTGCCAGCTGTTGCTAGCTGCCGCCTCTGTTTCCGCAAAATGGATTGTTCCTGGTGCACGGTGGAGGGCAACCGATGGTACTTTGGTCAACGCTCACGCTGGCGGTGTGACCGTCGACAAGGAAACCGGCAAGTTCTTCTTGTTCGGAGAGTACAAGGTTCAGGGTCAAGTTGAGGGTGGAGGTGTCAGCGTATACAGCTCAGACGACCTAGCAACATGGACACCAGAAGGCATGGCTTTATGTAAGTTAGACCGTGCTCCACACAATCGCTAGCGACTAATCCGTCCGGCAGCACCGATTGAGGGTCACCCTTACATCTCGACCGAGCACATTATTCAACGACCCAAGGTCACCTTCTCGGAGCAGACCCAGAAGTACCACATGTTCTGGCACGCGGACAACTCCACTTACGGTTGGCTTCTTCAAGGCTTCGCTCAAGCCGACAACATCACCGGGCCGTACTCGTTTGTTGACGCTACCCTTCCGCTCGGCAATTGGTCGCAGGATTACGGTCTCTTCGTTGACCGCAAGGACGGCCGGGCATATGCTTTGTACTCCAACGGTGACCGCCGCGAGGGACGCGATGTATATCTGACCTCCTACAACGACAACATCACTGCTCTTGATAAGGTGATTCACCGATGGGACAAATACGATCTTGAGGCTCCTACTATCATTCAGACAGACAAGAGTTATTTCGCACTGATGAGCCACAAGACCGGTTACAGGCCCAACAATGTTGTTGCATTCCGTGCTGATAAGCTCGAGGGACCTTGGTCTCAGCCGTTCATCGTTTCCCCTCTCAACACTCGAACCTTCAACTCACAGTCTGGTTTCTCTCTCCGCATCGACGGCACAAAGAAGACAACATACCTCTATCTTGGCGACCAATGGGACTCGATCAGTTTGTGGGAGTCCCGCTACATCTGGCTTCCAGTTGAGATCGATGAGGATAAGAAGTCGCTCGAGGTCAAGTGGCATGATGTCTACGATTTGAACGTCAAGTCTGGTGAGGTCAAGCCTATCAAGGGCAAGACCTATTACGGCAAAGATGCTACAGTGACCGGTGGCGCTTTCAAGCAGGAGGCTACTTTTGGCAGCCACGAGATCATTCTTACCGGCATCGTCGGTAACGACAGCAAGGTCACCTTCTCCGGCATTGAAGGCCAAGGAAAGCCGCAATGGGTCTCTTTCTATTATCAAAACACCGACGACATGGGTTTCGGCGACCAGCCCGGTGGCACCCCAGATCGCATTGGCGGTACGTGGCAACTCCGCCGCATCGCGAGTGTTATTGTCAACGGCAAGACCGAACAGATCGAGAGCTTGTACCAGAGGGATACCCACAAGGGCATCATTCTGAGCACACCTCTGCAGTTGTTCCTGGACAAGGGCAAGAACAACACTATCGAGATTGGTGGTCTATTCAACAACCAGACTTACAAGGGTGCTGACATTGATCGCATCGTTGTGTATCCGCCAGAGAAATTAGAATAGAGGAGCGTTTGTAGCTCATAATGTTTATCAACGACCCCATCTTGCAAAATAAGATTCTAATTTGCAATGGTTCTTTGTTTGTGTATGCCCGATGGTTGTGCCGTGTCGCAACGTGTGCTAACGCTATGTTATTAGTCTTCCGCCGCAACTATGCTATGCGCAGAAGGGGATTACGGAAGACGAGATACGTTAAATTGCACAGACTGGCTCATACGGCACCGCGAAAAGGATTGGGGAAGGCGAGTTTGAAGAACCAAGTAAGTCTAGTTAAGTCTGTCACGCATTGTAGGGAGAAGTATCCCTCATGATATAAATCTGCCCGATAAGGACCGTCAATCCAACCACCATGGTAATGGCAATAATCGGCAGATTGACGCGCGCAAACTCCAGCCCACCAACACGGATGTGCTTGCGACTCAAGATGTCGCGCCACAGCATGCCAGCAAGCGAGGCACTGAACGCCAAGCTGAAAGCCCCGTAATTTACACCAATTGCCATGCTATACACGGTGCCCCAGAAGGTTCGGTCCGAGATGTTTGTACCTCTTTGATGGTGGATCTCCTGCCAGGACTGGACGACACGAGAAAGCAGGATCGTAGTGCCAATGTTTGTACCTGCGAACTAGTCCCACTTCGTTAGCATCTGCGCTCGAACAATCTGAAGGGCGAAACCTACGTTGCAGAGAACTACGGAGAGGAAACCCATACCGCCAACTGCGCCGACGGTCCCTGTTTTCTCTACCCAGTGGTCCCATCCATGCGCGAATACTGGAACCCAGCCTTTCGTTACTAGTGCTTGGACTAGGACAAACATGCAGAATGCGAAAGGTAGTAAAGGTAGTGGCAGATGATTGAAGACTGTCATCGTAGTGGGAAATGTCTCCTCGGCCCATTGGTATCTTTCCTTAACAATGGATTCGAGAGTCGTAGGCCGCTTTTGAGGAGACGGCTTTGTTTGGTGCTGCTCCCCAACATCGCGCTCTCGATCGGCAACAGGATCCAGTGTTGTGTTCGATGTGTGGGGTGGCGTGGTAGCCGTTGGTGTCGATGTTTTCTCGTTCACAGTGGTACCTGTGGCGAATGACTCGCCGTTTCGAGGCTGCACAGGTTCTCCGGGGACCATAAGTCTCTCTCTTTCTTTCTCTGCCTTTTTCTCTACGGCTCTGCGCCTACCTGCTTGGGCAATCTTACGTGTCTTCTCCCTGTCGAACCAGCCAAGTCCAAGGTCAAAAATGACTAGGACGAAAGCTGCAGGCATTGTTACGTAGAACACTGGTGTTTCGTGGGAGCCTTGTGCGACTGCATTGATGATGAGCACAGTGACCAGGGTTGTAGCCATGATCGCAGCGCCGAAAATTGCTCCCTTTTTGTCCAAGAACGGATTCAAGATCTCCTCGAGAGACAGCTGTTTCCGGCTTTTCTGTTCGTCCGTGTCGGAAGGGTCAGCGACTTGGTCTTCATTGTCGTCTTTTGCAAATGGGATGTTAGGGTTCACCGGCGTCTTGTTCTTGATGTGGTCGGGAAGATCTTCCATCAAAATTGTCTCTGGAATCAAATTCTCGTCCTGGAAAATGATGTAGAGCAGGAAAGGATAAAGTATTATGCCAGTGACGATAACAGGGACAATGACATTGGCCGTGTACTTGATAAAGGTGATTTTGAAAGCGCCTGCCAGGACCAGGTTGGTAGGATTGGAGGAGACCAGGATAGCAGAAGCAATGTTGGCACAAGCAAACTGTGTGAAGATCCACGCTCGAGGATGGGTGATGTTGCTTGACACACGAGTCATGTATGAGAGGAACGCTGTTCCAGAGAGAATGATAGGATCGTTGCCAATGAAAGCTGTTAGCGCAAAAAAGAATAGGTACAGGTAGAGGTAGAGCCTGTGACCGACTTTGCCTCCCTTCTGCAGGACCTTGAAAGCCAGCCATCTGATCAAGCCGGAAGCGTCGACCGAGATAGCGATGTATGCCAGAGACAAGAAGAACAGCATGATGTCGTACGGTACAATGCCATTAGCACCGATAGTTCCGCCTCTGACTTCGTCCCTCCCAATGGCAGTAATGGCGAGCAGGAAGAGATCAGCAATAAGCGGAGAGGTCACAAAATTCATAGGGAAATTGAACCGTACGAATGCACCATGTGAAGGGCGATCATGTGATGGCTTCGATGTAATGCGCAATGCCGTGGAGGTCGAGACAATCCCTTTCCACAACACCTTGGGGACATAGATGGGTATCATGAAGTCGAACAGCACATTGATGTCTGTGCTCGCACTTTAGCTCTGATTTTGAATGGGTCACTGCCCACTTACTGGTGAGGACGAAAACAATGAGAGTGATAACAGAACGCCATTCCTTGATCCTTCCCGTGGAAATGTCGATGGACCCAGGCTCGGTAGTGCTAGCACGGCTGTGCAGCTCATGAACGATCATGGTTTGCTGCGCCCGCACCTGCGGATGTGCGATTTTCGATTTTCCTTCGCGCCTGTATTCGTAACCTGGTCACGTCGGTCGTGTTTGGTAATTGCGAAAGGTCGTCTTCGCGGATGTTCCAGCCTTGCACTACCCGAATCTTTTCTTTGACCGACCGCTGCGTGTGCTTACAGCGCAAACATCAGCGGGGTCGCGTGCGCGAATTCAGTCAGCGAAGGTAACAGAAAATTGTCTCAGTCGGCAAGGTTTCGTTCGAGTGAGACACAAGAACGTCAAATGAGACAAGGACGTATCAATATCCAAGGCTATACCAAATGTTTCCCTAGACGTTGGTGAGGTCTTCGATTTCTTGGGGCCAAGAACAGGGAAGAAGAACGACCCTGGAGAGTGTTCGATGACAGGCTTCGGACTGGTCCGTGGCCTCTCACAGGTCAGCCGGTCAGCCACCAGAACACAGCCTCTTTGCCTTGAACGAACTCATCTCACCGGCCCAGAATGACGCTGCAGCTACTGCTCCATCACCTGGAAGCCTCATTTGATGTAAGCCCCATATACCTACAAGGCACACTCCTTCCGCGCTCAGATTTCTGGCAATGCAAATCCATCTAGCATCGGTGTTTCCGCTATCTCGTACAGTAGCGTAGTGCGGTCGCGACTATGCCAGCTACCCCAGCCTTGTACGATGTCTTCGCTCGGAGCGATGAAGGTGCGTCATCGGGCTCCGTTAATAACGGCAATGGCACCTTACAGCCCTTGGACGTTGTCTGTGCTTGGCCGGTGTCTTCCCAATATGGAGCTGGTTCACGGTTTCTGTACGCTGCATGCACAGCCCTCTGCCTATCGCAAGCTCACGTTTCTTTCAGGTATTATGTTCTTGTAGCCACTTGCGTTTTGCTACGAAAGGCAGAGTGGCTAAGAAATGCTTGTCTCGCCGCTGCGCTGCTGGTCCCGTCGATTGGTGCACTCCACGGCATCGTGCTCGCGTTCTACCATGTGAATGGTCAGTTCTTTCCCAATTCCAAGACACCGCACATTGTTTCTCGCAGCATCTAACATCCATATTCCTAGGCGCCGTCGATCTAGATGTTTTTGGGGCCTGGCAGCTGTGCACAATTGCCATCATTGCAGTACCGACCACTCTTCGCATATCGGGGACCTACTTTAACTCAGCTGGCCGCAACCTTGTCTTCCTGTGGACCATTTTGCTCATATCGGGTCTGATAGCGCTGTGCGTTGAGTTTTCGAGGGTTACAGCGACCGACTGCAGTCATGACGAGGCTGGTATACCGAACCTGACCGTTGGGAAATTTCCATACGGTAACACGACATGCAACTTGACATGCTCAGAAGACACTGGGCCCTACTCTGACATGCGCGGTGGTTCAGCAAAGAATATATATGTCGTTCCGGTGCCGAGTGTATTGACATTTAATGCTGCTATGCTGATCGCCGCGGGGGTTTGTATACCTGCCATCCTAAGTCTGATGTTCACTTGGGACAAGATCCTAGAGAGCAGCTATAGGACTCGTCGAAAGACCCAGCACGATTGCGAACAATCACAACAGAGCGATGCCATCAAAATTACTCCCCACGATCTCAAGGGCATCAACACTACAGTCACACGATTCCTGGGTGTCATTGAGATACCACTCTTTGGAGGAATCGTGTTAGCCATACTCATCGTAGGCGAGATCAACTTTTTCAGTAACCAGCTAATGTACATGACCGAGCCTATGGCTTCTATAGGTATGATAGTATCATTACTTGATTGAGCCACACTAACGCACAGCAGGACAGTGGTCACCCATTGCAGGTACATGCATGGCGGCGCTGGGCTCGTTATACGTGTACTGGAGTAAGGAAGAGGTGTTTGTAACCTATGGAGACCAAAAAGACCTCACAAAGCCCATGTCTTCGCACTCAGGCCATAGTGACAGGCCTCCTCTCTCGCGGAGGCGCTCCTCGGAAGAACCCTGCTCACCTACCCAAGCCAGAGCCAACACTGAGATGCTACAACGACGTTCTAGTGAACGGAACGAACTGCAACCCATCTTCACTTTTACCGGGGCAGACAACGAGTCAATTCAACCCGAATTCATCGAACGGCTGCCCGAGACGGATCAACTCGATGTTCCACAAAGCCCCGGCTCCAGATCGAGCGCCGGGCGGGGCCGTGTACGCGACTGGCTCGAAAGCACCAGCGTACGCCTGAGCGAAGCCACTCACCGCGAACTCGACACCAAAGAGCACAAGAACAAAAAAGCATACAAGTACCCTATGATCCCCGGCGAAGACCGGGTAAACGAAGATTTTGACATCACCAGTAAGCAATTCACCGAAAAGCGGCTACAGCGCGTGGCCAGCTCGGCGTCAAGCATACGGTCGAATGGGGAAGGCCCGTCGACGCCGTCGGCGATCGTGGGGCGTGCGCGCGCAGATACAGGGGATGCGATTGCGCCGGTGCAACGGCAGGATACGCTGGAGGTCCCTGCAGTGGCGTATCATAGTCCTAAGCTATGAAGTCACTAGGGATGGGCGTGAAGGGCTGTATGTCTATCATGGATCACAATTACCTATCAGCTAGATGGTAAAGACGGCGAAACACACAAAAGGTTAACTATGAGTTATTTTGCGGTGAGTATACGAATAAAGTTGTCATACTCATTCGTTCTCCCTCAGAGAGACGTCGCAGGGCTAGATGCAGGCTGCTGTGTCTGGGGCATGCATGTCGTTCGTGTCCCAGCACAGCGGGTATTTGCCGTTCGCGTATTTATCAGACGGAAATGTGGTAACAGCATAAGTGGTTAGGAAGACTGTACGGGATGGGATAAAAAGCGTTGTCAGAAGAGCTTGGAGCGTTCTGGTTGCTTGTGGAAAGGATTGGGTGTTGTGTAGAAGAGGGTTTCATGTCGGGGGTATTAGGTACTAGGGGTGAACGGGCGTGCTGCGTGAAAGCGCGGGTTTGATACCATATAGGTACAGAACACAGGAGGGTGTCCCGCAGTAATAGTGTTTGGTCAGCCACCGTCCATACTATGGCATCGACATCTTGCCCCGACGGCACTGACAGTCAGTTCAAACCCATGTCGAGTGGGTGGACCAAGACAATTACACGAAGAATGAGGTGTTATTTCTGCCTGTGTTGCCGAGATCGACCCGATCGAGTACGGCTCACCGAAGCACTTATGGACAACTGACAGCGTCAATCAAAATGGGGTTTGCTTCCCACTCCTGTATCGGTGAAGGAGGGCTGCACGCCAGTGACCACAATGTCGTAACTACAATGAGATATGACCGTGCATACTGTACAACATGTTAGCGTCCTAGAAGTTCAGACTGTCAGTTGAGGTGTTTTCGATTCGACGGAATCACAGGGGATAGTAGACATCGCAATGTTCCAAAATCAGTGTAAGAATTTCAACAGGTGGTATCGGAACTATCGAAAAAACATGCCGGACAGTAAAAGGCCGCATGTCAGAAAAGATACATCCTAATGAAGTGCACAGCGAGAATGCCCACCTTACGCCCGATAAGCCAAACTGTTGTGTGCAGCACCACTTTGAAACAAGGATACACAATATTCCACTATGAAGAGCTTTCTGTTCACCGTCTACTTACTATCGCCATGCTACTATCGCCAGAGTCGTCCACACCGATCCGAGCATGGTCATGGGCTCATACCACAGCAGACAAGTGATGATGAGCCCCTTCACCACCAGGGCGGCATAAGAAAGATGCCTAATCGTTACGCGATCCTCAGGGTGACTGAACTGACCCTCAAGGTGCATCCAAATGAAACGCTGCCAGACATAAGCCATCACTATCTCGACCATGAGAAACAAGACCTTGGCGGTACCAAAACCGAGACCCTGGCCCACTACCCATCGAAAAGGTATACAGGCGATGGCTCGACAGACCGTATCGCCCAAGATTGCAGGCCCAAAAGCCAGATGTAAACGGAGATTCGGGTTGCGAGAGCAAATGCCGGTGCAGTAGTACACATACGTCGTAGCCCAAAATCGCGGCCCTTCGAGAACCCAGTCCACAAACCAGATTGGCATGGGACAGTGCTTACGGAGTCTTGCTAAGAAGGAGTCAAGCAGATATTGGATCGCGTCCATGTACGAAATTATGAACACCACTGCCTGGCGCAGTAGCCACAGTCCGACCGTCTTAGATGAGAAACCTGAACGGAACAGCTCGACCCAGCAGATGGCGCACAAGTTACCGGTAGCGGCTTCAGCCATCAAGTAGGTGCAGTCGCGGCCGAAGACATGACCGCAGGGTAGTATCTTGACTGGAGGATGCTCTTCGCTGTAGCCATCCCAACAGAGCATGCACTTGTCGTTGTAGTACTTGTCGTCGGTTTTGGCAGGTACGACTCGGGTCGCCAGGAAGGCAGACTTTGAGGGCATACCAGTGAGCTTAACCAGCAAGGTATTACATAGGTCGCGGGGAAACATATTAAGGATTAGGAGAAGGTTGAGTGTGTGCGATGCGACGGCGGGGTTGGACTATAAGGAATAGCATACAGGGAGTCAGCGAAAAGGAAGGGCTAGTTTGTGCAAGAGTGCTGTTCAGAAACCTAGTGAAAGTAGTTTTGAGACATGGCAAGCATGGCCGCGAGACAGTCACCGAAGTGAAAGGTTGCCAATGGAATGTCGCGCGAGTGAACCTGCTCTACGCAGTGAATGTTCGAGAACACCAATATCGGCATGGCCATCTCCTGAGACGCTTGTTTTCGGTTCTTTTAATTGTAGACGCTATTTGTCGTCAATCGAGTGAAGCAGTCTTTGCTGTGACCCATTTAGAAGCGAGTCAACATGAATCATGTGAAAGCGGGAAAACGAACGCCGCCGCCGCGGGCCGATTCAGCCGAGCAGCTACAAAACCTCACGATGCCCCGCCCAACTTTTTTCCTTCAACGGCCTGCCTCGCCAACGCTGCGTTTCTCTGCACCCACACAGACACTGCTTGCAGTTGTCCCATCCTGCAGATGAGAAATTCGGAGTAATCTTCACCTCTTGTGCTTCGGCACTACTGCCCGTAAGGGCCTGGCGTGACTCACGTCTGTACTCGGCATCAGAAAGCTCAGGGCCCAAGAAGTTGCGCGTAGGCAACTGCGCGCGGTGGATATGGTGTTCCTATGGGAGTCGGTGCGAAGATTGTGTGCCCTGTCATGGGGCGACACTGTAGTACAATACGCAGCATGCTGGATTTCGAGTAGCTTCGGTGAAAGAAGGATAGCATCATTCGATTCTGATTACTCTGGCGAGGCAGGCCGTTCACCTCTTTTCTTTCTACGTAAGTGCGCTGCTGCGCTCCTGCCATTTTACTGTTCCTAGGATACTGCTAACAAAGGACATATGTTGAGTCACGTCTACTCAATGCTGCCCGGTGCTGCTCCCAGACGCACACGAAAGCGCACAGCTCCTAGACTGCCATCAGCCGTGCAAGCGCGTGGAGCCCGCTTTCTCCGCCGCTTCTTTTGTGAACATGACATCTGTTCGCATGGTGTACTTCGTCCCGCTTACAACGTCGTCGCCGGAGTGGAGGAGAAAGCGGTGCTGGAATAGGAGCACTCGGCCGTACTTGGGTACAACATCGACACGGCTCTGCATATTGTAAGAGTGGAACGTGGTGGCGCCGCCTATGAGCGGTTCTTGGCCTCTGCTGTCGTCTGCGTCGTTGAGATACAGGTGCAGCGTGAAGTACGAGCGCTCTTTAAGATCTGGTGTCTCGTATGTGCCGTCACAGTGCGCTGTGAGTGTTAGCGTCCCTTGCACGGTCAAGGTTGCCATACATACGTTTAAAGTACTCCCCGCCAACATATTTCAAATACCTCATGCGTTCGTTCAGCCTTGTCAGCTTCCATGTCTCGTTACGTTTCGCGGGTCCATTGCCGGTGACGTTTGGCCAATTATTCAGCTCGTGGATTTCAGGCACGGCACCCTCGATTCTCGCCCACAACTTCGCTACCAGATCTCTATCGTCCCAGATGATGCGCCCGCATTTCCTGATGTCCTCGTACATGGCTTGCTGACCGCACCCGATGTTGACCATAGCACGCTCCCACTTGCCATCAGTTGTCGCCTCTGCTCCCGCAATGAGCTCGTCGCACTCTTTCTCGGATAGCACTCCATCTAGGACTACAGCCCAGATGTCCGTGTACCCGGGCAAGATACCGTTCTTGTGAAGATCGATGTTAGTGCGAGTCAAGTTCGGCGCTGGGCCCGAGAGGAAGCCCTCCGGCAGGGGTGAAGGAGCCATGGCTGCGTTTGTAGTCTACAGACAGAGCGATAACAAGTTTGAGGAAGGGCTAAGATGCAAGCACGTAGAATGAGTTTGAACAATCAACGGTGTTCAGCGCATTATGTGCCTGGGCCACTCGGCTCCACAAAGCTGCTGCCTGAGCTGAGCTGAGCCAAGTGAGAAGTTGGAGCCGCTGGTACAATGTGACTCCACGTTGACTGCACAGCCAGGATGCGTCTGGGCGGAGCAGGCAGACTGCGGCGAGCAGACTGCAGCTCTGCATGTGTCGCCGCACTGCATGTGTCGCCGCGTTGCATGTGTCGCCGCGTTGCACGATTCTCTGGAGTCGTAGTGTGCAGTACACCGGAAAGCGGTAACAGCCGCTGGTTGCCTGGTCTGCGTTTCAGACGCTCGCTCCACTCACCTCCGCCAAACGCGTTCGCTATATCATCCCTTATAGCTACACCCACGAGCCAAGCGCACGGCCGTTGCAGAGGTGCAGGTGATTCCACCAAATCACAATCGCGCCTGCCAGTTCCCCTATCGCGTCGCGCTGCGGCTCTCCTCCGGTGGAGCGATCGGCGGGTGGCTGACATCAACGACGGCATCCTTGTTGCTGCGCCAAGTCACCGCGCAACCTCGCTCACGTCTAATTTCCCAGCTTCACCGTCGTCTCTCACGTCGATTGGGGCGCGCAAACACGCCAACAGCCCCGCGACACTCACTCCGCGCCGCTCCTTCCACATCCGCATCTCCCCTTGCGACCTCTCGCTCCCCGTCACTCGCTTACTCTCGTGCGCCGTTACCCGAACGCAATCGCCGCGAGCTGCACGCCCTTTCCGCCCAACGCCGCGTGCGCCTATCGATACCTCTATTCTTGGACCACATTGGACCACAGCGACACGATCGCACGCCTCTCGCTCCCAAACTCTCTCGCTCGTCGCCGCCATGTCGAACGAGCTCCAACGGCCCGTCGACCATGGCCAGGATGTCTACCGCAACCGCTTCCCGACCCTGTTTGAAGTGTTGAGCCGCAAGACGGTTGCGCCGCTCGACCTGTTCTCCTTCTACATCTACATGCGCGACCAGCAGCGCTCGGTCGACTACCTGGACTTCTGGTAGGTTTTGGCACGAGAGAATGGCTGCGCCGCCGCCGCTGACAGACCGCAGGCTCGACGTCTCCCAGCACCTGCAGCTGTGCCGTCTGTATGTAAGACGCCTGCACAGGAGCTTGGTGGAAGACACCCCGGAGATTGAAAAGGCGTCGAAGCGCTCATCTTACATGCAAACCTTTGACGATGCAGGCGAGGGCCCGTCGAACGAGAAGGACATGGACGACCAGCGCCTCTCGGCATTCCTTAGGTCGGACCGCCCGAGCAGGAACCACTCGCCGCAGAACAGCCAGGGCAGCAACCAGAGCCACGAACCTCCGCGCCCCAGTTTTGCCATGACTCCCGGCGACTCCAGCTCGCCGGGCCAGATATCCTCCGCTGACAACACGCAGCCGCGCAGAGAGGACCTGCGCGCATCGGCTGAAAAGATTCTCTACACGTATCTGCTGCCCGGATCGGAGAGAGAGATTATCATTCCGCAGAGCATCCTCAACGACGTGCAAAATGCCATAGAAGGGCCGGAGCAGCGATCGGACCCGGAGTTGTTTGACCAAGCTAAGGACTACGTCTTCCAAGCAATGGAGCGCGACGCTTACCCGGGATTTCTGCAGAGCAAAGGTCTCGGCAACCTCGTGCCGCAAAGTATGATGATCCGGCTCATAGTAGGACTGGTCAGCTTCTTTGCGGCCGTGTGGACGGCGTTTGTTCTGATCTTCCTCGACATGTCTCGATCGACGAGATGCTGGGTACGTGCTTTTTCATGGCTTGGATTAGCAATGCTTCACTGACACGTCACAGCTCATCCTTCCCTTCTTCGTGGCCATCTATCTCATCATCACACACCAGTACATGCTCGACCCGCTGCTCGCCCTGGCTGGGTACAGCGAGTACACGCTCTTCGACTTCAACAAGATCAGAGAGAAGTTTGTGCAGAAGACGCTCAACCGCCGGGCCATGACGGTGCTAGTGCTGTTCGTGGTGGTGCTGACGGCGGTGTGCTGTCTGTTTATCTTCGTTCCTGGGAAACGGCTGTGAAGTCGCCCCTTGCCATGTTTAATGCCCTTGTTAATGCCTGGTGTACTACTTTTTGATTGGCGCGGCAGGCCACGAGAGAGGGGCAAATCGTGTTTCTTTTGTTGGTTGGATTGGGGCTGGTCTGGCACCGTCAGGGCATGGCGTTTTGGTGGGCAGTAGATAGTCGCGCACGGCGCATCAAGACGACGAATGGCAGTCTGCGATGCTGCTTGATCTACAAAGTACTATGGTCCATGCTGTGTGCTGCATGAGTTGCTGTGTACAATACTGCATGAGTTGCTGTGTACTGCATGAGTTGCTGTGCATGAGTCGCTGTGTCGCTGGTTGTGCAGCCAATCACGTGTGCAGCCGTTGCGTGCAGGTGTGGAGCGACCGGAGCGGGCTGCAGCAAGGCCCACCCGCAATGACGTGCCGCGGCCGAAGTTTACTCGCCGGACATCACGACGAGTCGACGACACACCGACCACGCCACGCCCATTGGTACAAGGCGCGCAACTGACACAGGATCGGAACGCCCCCGACGCCCCCGACGCCCTCGACGCCCACGATGAGCGCCCCCACGGCGAAGAGCAAGCGCGGCCCGACGGTGCTCATGAGCGACTCGCGCGACGCAGCGCCGCGGCAGCCTCAGCGGCCGTCGTCGGCGCTGCAGCGACAGGCGACGGGCGCGCGGCTGATCTCGGTCGACAACATCCTGCAGTACGCGTCGGACATCCCGTCGCAGCAGCGCCGCGGGCCGCCCGCATCGCGGCCGGTCAACCACACGCGCACGCCCAGCGGGCGCCATCCGCTCGACCCCAAGCTGTCCGGGCGGCTGATCCCCGCGCACATCCCCACGCGCTCGTCCAAGCTCAGCGAGAAGCTGGTGCTGCTGCCCGAGACGGACGAGGCCGACGACGACGAGAAGGGCGCCTTCGACGAGGCGGGCCCGCCCACCGACGCCCAGCTCGGCCGCCGCGCGGGCGGGCCGGCCGACAAGAGCTATGCAGAGCGCCTGCCCAAGGCCCGCCGCACCGACAAGCTGTCGCGCGTCACGGCCTACTGCACCGCCCAGGCCTACAAGATGAAGGGCACCGCCGCCTTCGTCAAGGACACGCACCACGCCCGCACCAAGCTGTACGACGACTGCCTGTACTGCGTCTACCACCTGCCGCTGCTGCCCGCCGCCGACGGCTACCGCGTGCGCAGCAGCCCCGCCCTCAAGTCGCCGGGCGGCAAGACGGTGCTCGACGAGGAGATTGAGCGCAACGAGGCCCGCCACCACCAGGAGGGCTACTTTGGCGACGACGAGACGTACTACGTGCGCGACGACGACCAGGCCGACGAGTCGCCGCACTTCCTGTCCCACTCGCACCCCCGCGAGCGCCGCGACTCGGACTCGCAGCCCGCCCGCGTGCCGCCCAACGCCCTGACCTTTGGTGAGATGTTCGTCTTCAGCTACGGCGTCGTTGTCTTCTGGAACTTCACCGAGAAGCAGGAGAAGGACATCCTCGCCGACCTGACCTTCAGCATCAACCATACCGGAATCCAGATCGCCACCCGCCCGCTGACCGAGAGCGACTTTGAGACCGAGGAGTTCCACTTCGAGTACAACCCCGAGATCCCGCGCCCGCGCGTCTACAACGACATGATCACCCTGAAGAGCGGCGACCACATGATCAAGCTCGCCATGAGCCACGCCATCGCCCAGAGCACCAAACTCAGCCTCTTCGAAGAGGGCATGAGCCGCACCATGCTCGCCGCCCAGTACGTCCCCAAGCGCCTCGCCCTCACCGGCAAGCTTGGCATGCGGCGCACCGACGTCGTCAAAATGATTGGCCAGCTCTTCACCAGCCGCGTCGACGTGAACCTATGTACGTACTCTATTCCCCGAGACACTAGAAAAACCGAGCCAAAAACTAATGAATTGCCCTCAGCATCCAACCTTCTCGACGACCCCGCCTTCTTCTGGGACTCGGAACCAACGCTACACCCCCTCTACACCGCCGTCCGCGAGTACCTCGAAATCAAACCGCGCATCCAGGTTCTTAACGAGCGCTGCCAGGTGTTTCTAGACCTGGGCGAGATTCTGTCCGACAGCATCAGCGACAAAAAGATGACACGCATTACGTGGATTATCATCTTCCTCATTGTCGTGTCCATTTGTGTTACATGTCTGGAGGTTATTCTGCGCTTTGCCATTTTGAGTTCGAGGAAGGGCGTTGTCGTGCCTGGCACCGAGGGCATGGCTGTTGCTGTGCATAGGCCGGTGGGCGTGGGTGCGCTGCATGGTCTGGGCAAGGTGGGGTATGCGGGTCCGAGTCTACTACTGGCACGGTCGCTGGTGTGGGTTGTCGGAGGAGTCAAGGGGGTATTCGCATAGCTCGGTATACTACTCTTGTATGGCGTCATGGTTTTCTACACATAGCGATGGCGTTGGGGTATGTGTACAATACATATATTTTTGCGATTACATAGCGCTTTTACATTCGGTATATAATCTCCTTCATCTCCACCCTCCCTGCTCATCGACCATTACGCCTAAGAGCATCTGGCTTGCCACCGAGGCAGCTACGAGACCAGAAACGAAGTACAAATAACAATAATAATGGACAGCTAGGCATGTGATGAAATAAAACGAGGTGTGTGCTGGGTTACGAGGTGTTGTGGGCCATGGCGCTTAGAGACCTTCCTTCGCCCGATCGCAAGCAATACAGCCTCAAAGTTAGTGATGTTTCAGATATATAAACAAGTCGCATGGCTACAAAATATCAGATCTGATGAAAGCACGGATACTGCGCAAAGGGGAAGCTGCGGTTTGGCAGGTATACGCTACCACACTCGCCTGCAGTGAGCCGCCGCCATACTGCCGTCTCCCAGGTGATCCCGCCTTTGTGTGTGATTGGTTTGGAGACGGCGACTTTGTGCGAATTGGTCAAGGAACGCTATGCGGCTTGCAAGTTGCAGAGCTAGTTCTCTATGCGTCGGCTGCTAGGCGCGCACATAGTGTAACACCGTGTTGCTGCGAAGCACGAGAGGCGGATCAATCGTCAGCCGCCTTCATATCTACATGCTTCGGCACTACATTCGATCTTTGCGCTCGTGAGCAAACTTGAGAAGGAAGAAGTTTCAGCAATGGCTGCTGACGTTGTGGAGGAGTTTGCATTCCGGGTTAGATCATTCCGAGCCTATGAAGATGAAAGACTGAAGTGGATGGATGTAAGTACCAGTGCAGATAACATAAAATGAGTTTCCGGAGCTTATCAGCGATTAATAGGCCTTTCACAGTCAGCTTGCAGACCTCTCTCGCCAGTACAAAGACACTTGCAGTGATCTGGAAGGAGAGCGCATCGCAAGACGCGCGACACAGAAGCGGGTAGCAGAGTTGGAGAGTCAATTCCAGGATTTACGGCAGTCCTTTGTATGTGTCTTGTGATCTTCTTGGTGAACTACGCGTTGATACAAGCAGGACGATGGCTCGTTTGTTTTGGTTTTGATCGATGCTGATGCAGATGCGTACATGGTAAGTCATTCAGACAGGCCGCTGAGTCCGATGCTAATGTACTGCAGTTCAAGGATTCATACTACCACGACCCCGATGGCGGGCGAAAGGCAGTATTTGATCTCCAAGCGCAAGTGAAGGGGTATCTTGGAAAGACCGAGCCTAGATTGGCCCATTTGCCAATTGTGATACGAGCTTTTGCCAACATGGATGGCATATCTGGTCATCTCTCGAGAGTCGGGCTAATAAAATCGTCCGTAGCTTTGTGGGACTTTGCAAAAGGCTTCTCCCAAGCTCATGCTGGCTCTGACTTCGTCTTCGTCGGAAGTGGGAAGGATCGCGCAGACAAGAAGATCAAAGGTAAGAGAAGTTTCGAAGAGCATGGTCTACAAGTAACCAATTCTTTCAGGCGTTTTTGAACAGTTTGTGAAAAATCCTACTTGCCGCCACATCGTTTTTGGAGCTTGTCACGACAACGGCTACGTAAGACTTTTAGAGGATTTCACGGAAGATCAGGCTGTTGTCGAACGAATCACACTTCTCCACTCGTTCAGTGTGGGTAAAGAGTTCCAAAGGTTGCCCTTTCGATCGATGACGATGAAGTCGATTTTTCCGACCTGGTTGCCCGAGATCTCTAGGATTTCGACACCAAACAGCAGCCCTGGAGCTCTTGCGAGGGTTGTAAGCCACAGTCCCACTGGAGATATGCAGGCAAGTCTCGTAAGCGGCAAGGAGACGAGCAACGGAACTCTGGCTTGTGGAAGAGATCTTCCTCAACGCGTCCTCGTCAATGCAACTGGCCAGCGAGTCGACGAGAAGCTCTCAAATCCTTCTCAGGCAGCAGTCCTCAGTTGGAGTCACAAAATCAAGGTAGTGAAGATGAGGTACTGTCGTATGTACCAGCTTAGCGATGGTTGTCCAGGGAACTGCGGTTACTCGCATGGTCCTTTGTCGGACGAAGAGAAGCTTGTCTATCGGTTGAATCTCAGGCGGGAGGTCTGTCGTACCGGTTTGGGGTGTCGTGACTGGAGATGCTATTACAGACACAACTGCTTCTGTAACAAACAGCTCTGCAAGTTCCCAAAGGAGATGCACAGTGTTGATAAAGCTACTGCAGAAGTATTAGCGAATGGGCAAAGAGAGGTCTATTTTAAGCCTAGAGACGGTTAAGCTATTAGACACTCGATGGAAACGTCAGGCGCAGTACAGCGCATGTTACTTTGTTAGACATTTGCTTCTTGGAGCATATAGTTGGATAGAGCTATTCTATTATCATTGTGCAGCATATTGTCTGCAATACAGATAGTTTGAATACTACAAAAGTGCCAAGAGGCTGGTTGGATGTGGGTACAGCATGTGATGGTGACGACGCGTATCTTCAAGATGGTCTTAGCCTCCGCCTTCAGTACATGGCGAGGCGCCCTTTCGTGCAGCCGCGACGAGCCCTCTGATGCAGCCGCGATGATAAGGTCGGAGCAGCCCAGTCCTACTGCGCTCGACACTGGATGAACTGCCGGCCAAGACTGGATACTGACTGGACTGTCGCCATGCCCACCTCGCCGCACAACATGCTGCACCTCCCAGACGAGCTGATTCTGCACATTATCGCGTGTATGTGCCCACACGACAAAGCCGCCGCGCTTCTTCGTCGCGCTGACAGCAGCAGACCTCGAGCTCGCCGAGCTCGTCACGCTCCAGCACGTGTCGCGCCAGTTCCTCAACCTCAGCCGCGACAACAGGCTATGGAAGCAGCTGTGCTTCGCGCACTCGGCCACGGAGCGCCGCCGCCGCCGCCTCGAGACGACGTCCACGGCGCCACCGGCTGACGCGGACCCGCGGCTCGCGGACCTCATTGAAGCTGCCAACAGGCTCGCCGGCTCGCTCGACGTATCGGTGCACGACGCGCGCGCGCCGGACGCAGAGGCGCAGGTCAGGCGGAGCAAGGAGCGCCGCCGGGCCGCGCTGCTGAGCAACTGGGACCCCAGCAGCGTCGGGGAGAGGGTCAACTGGTACAGCGAGTTTGTGCAGCGCCACGGCCCGCACCGCGTCAGCTGGTTCCAGGACGCGGGGCACGACGGCGAGGACGGCGACGCGGTGCGCCGCGAAGCCACGGGCGCAGACATGCTCTACGACGCCAACGGGCTGGCCGCGAGGCTCGTGGCCCCGCTGGACGACGGCAGCGTCAGCGTCTGGGACGCGGCGGCCCACAGCAGCCGCCTGGGGCGCGTCGTTGCGACGAGCGCGCCGGGCCTGCTGTCGCGCGCCGACCGCGCCCAGAGCCGCGCCATCATGACGGCTACGGGCGCCGCGGCCTGCGTCAGCATCGACAGCGCGCGCCAGACGGGCTTCTTCGCCGTCCAGGACGCCCTCGTGCAGGTCGATCTGCACACGCTGCAGCTCGTCGCGCGCACGCCCTTCGCCTCGCCCGTCACCGCCCTCAGCGACGCCCACCCCGCCACGCCCCTCACCGTCGGTACAAACTGGTCGCTGCACCTGCACGACCCGCGCGCGCCCTCGCCCGGCCCCGCTGCCGCCCTCGCTCAGCCCGGCGCCCTCTCCATCGCCCACACGCCCTCGCTCGGCGACTCCAACGGCCCCATCTGGGCCGCCGGCCGCTTTCCCTCGCTGCTCAACTACGACCGCCGCTTCTTCCCCCGCCTGCGTGGCGCCCTGTACACCGGCACCCGCACCGCCTGCCTTGCCCTTCTGCCCACCCCTCTCGTCCCGCCGTCCCTGCGCCTTACTGCCCCGCCGGAAGCCCTCGTCGCCGCTCGCCACGCCTCCGGTATCACACTCGCCGCCGCCGGCGCGTACAAAGGCCGCGGCGCCCTGGACTTGTACAGCCTCTCGTCCTCGCCCGAGCGTGCCATCAACAGCGCGGATGCAGGCACAGCCCGTAACCCCGGCGCCTGTGCCCGCAATCGCCAGACCGCGGGGCGGGCCGCTCTGCTAGGTGTGGCCCCGCACGGCACGCGCATCGTGTGCTGCGATGGCGCCGGCGAGGTGCGCTGGGTCGAGCGGGACGGCTGGTCCGCCGTGCGCGCCTTTAACATCAACGACGTGGATGGTGCCTGTACCGGTCGTGGAGACATGGTCCAGCGCCTCATCCCGACCCTGTCACCCTCGCTCGTCACCCCTGAGACCGCGCCACAGGGCTCAAGACCACCAGCCCTTGGGACAGAAAATCTGGTCCTGTGGACGGGCGACGGCCGCCTGGGCATGCTGGGCTTTGGCCGCGCGGGGCTGTTTGACGAGGATGTGTTTGCGGACGCGCTGGAGTGGCAGGTCGGCGCCGACGAGGTGGATGCCAGGGCCCTGGAGCGCGAGTATGGCCGTGAGATGAGGCGGGCCTTGGAGATGCAGGCTAGGGAAGTAAGGTGGTTGGAGGGCTATGGGCTGTAGACATCATCATCAGAGTTTTGTGGGTAGACACAACCATTATGAGTAGAGGTATTCCCAACCAGAGACAAGCTTTTGACGGCAATGCAATTGTATTCTACAAACACAGACTGCCGCTCTAACACACACACACACGCAGAAGCCTCCAACTTCATACCCTCCGGCACCTCGTAACCATGTCATCATGAGCGCCTGACACACACACCTCGTGCGTCCTGTGATCTCTCAGATCGGGTATCAAAACGCGAAAAACTACTCGCCGTAAAATGTACACCAAAAATGTCCATGGGCACATCGGGCGTTACTAAAACCAGCTCCATCAATCCCACACCACTGCTGCACACTGATTACCTAGCCCATGCCGAAAATGTACCTAAGCTCACGCGCACCGAGACGGGTCAGGCCCTTGCTGCTTGTCTCGTCTAGAGCAGTGTCGATCATTTGGCGCTTCTTGTCTTGGATCTCGCAGATGCGATCCTCAACCGTCTCAGGAACCAAAACGCGATGGACCGTGACCTCTTTGCGCTGGGGCATGCGGTGGGCACGGTCAATGGCCTGCTCTTCGACGTAGGGATTCCAGAACGGGTCCAGGATGATGACCTGGGACGCCTTCGCAAGGTTGAGACCCGCGTTGCCGGCCTTGAGCGATAGCAACATGATCTTTTCGTCAGGATCGTCCATGAACCTCTCAACGGCATCCGCTCGATCGCCCATCGTCATACTTCCGTCATAGCGCTGGTACCGCAGCCGTCTCTCGTACATTGGAACTTCAAGCAAATCAAGCAGCGACGTGAACTGACTAAAGATGAGGATCTTGTCGGTAGGGTCGTTCGCGGCAATATCGCTCACGAGCTCCATCGTCTTCTCGATCTTGGCAGAAGACACCCAATTCTTGCGCAAGCGGCGGAGGTACTTCTGCTTGGCAGCTTTGCTACGGAGAGAGTCTTTCTTGAGTTGTGCCAAAGTGACTTTCGGCTTGGCTTTGGCTTTGCCCTTGCTCTTGCTCTTGCTCTTCGCTTTCTTCTTAGACTTCACAGAGGGAGCGGGAACTGAAGCTTCGTCATCGTTGACATCTGATGTCTCGGCCTCATACTCTGACTCTTCCTCATCGGGAACAACAAAGTCAACGAGATTACCGTTCTTGTCGACGTCTTCACCCTCGTCATCGTCATCAGAGTCATCAGAGTCGGATTCGTCATTCACTGGTTCCTCCGAAGAAGCTCGATCGGCCTCCTCAAGCTTCTCCGGAGCGTGCACCTTGCAAAAGTGTTTGTAGTCGGTAATCATGGCGGCCTTCAGCTCGCCACGACATTGGGGGCACTTTGCAGCGCCGACATGCTCATGGCCATCCCTAATGCCACGTGTTGGATCGACGAGCTTCTGCACACATTCTCCACAGACTGTATGACCACAGGGCACTATGATCGTCGGGTTTAGGTCAACGTCGAAACAAACAGGACACTCAAAATCGTCAGTGGTCTTCAGTCGGTTTACCACATCCTCGTGCAAGGCTCCGGCCCGACTTAAGAGGTCGTCCTCTGCGATGTTCTCGGTTGCAGGCTGGCTGAGATCTTTGATAAGATGCGGGTGGCAGCAGGCTTGGCGCAGACGGAGTAGTAAGACGAGGACGTTTGCATAGTTGGCTGCCACAGATGTTAGTTCAATAATGAATGTAGTAGATGGCTCTTACCTGACAGCGTGCCCCTCTCGAGGTACTTGTTCAGTTGAATCTGCGACTTGTTCTCGAGTGCCCTATATAGTTCCATCTCTGCGTCACTGAACTCGACAGCCTCCTTCGAGAGGTGTTTCGGCGGAAGTTTGCAGACAATCTCGCCATCGACAATGGAATCTTTCTGACGTCGAAGCATCAATGATTTTAGCAGGACTTGCACACGCTGCATGGCGCGTTTTCGGGTATCAGAATGTGTGTTTCGCAGTGGCTTACTGAAGTCTTGGTTGAACCTCGACCAGTCGTCGCTAATTCTGTTAATGTATTGACCACATGAAATGCACTGGCGAGCTTACTATGGAGGGATGCGGAGGAAGCGGATCAGCGGAAACAGTTCATCGATCGAGTTCATCATCGGCGTTCCGGTCATGACCACCCGGTGCATAGCCATTAGCTCGTGAGCGGCCTTGGAAGCAGCAGTCTGTCTGTTCTTGATGCATTGTGCTTCATCGATGATGATGCGGTACCTAGAGTGTGAGCCAAGGAACACGCTACGTCAACGAAAGACTCACCACATGCATTCCGGCCCTAGCAGAGCCAACTTATCTTTCGGTTTGCGACGGATGCCGGTTCTCTGCTCCTCCACGTGCCTCGCTGATTCCTTTCTCTCCTTCTGTTTGAGCTCCGAGGTTAGAATGCCAAAGGTTGTCAGGACTACATCGAACTGTCGGAGTTTGGCAAAGTCTGCGTTCTTGCCACTAGTGCCATGATAGACATATACTCTGAGTCTATGTCTCGGGTCGACGTGGCGCTCGATCTCCTTTTCCCATTGCCGCATCAGCGCAACAGGTGCAATGATGAGCGTTGTCTTGCGACGCGGGTCATCAGATGGCCGAGCACAGATGAGTGATATCGCTTGCACAGTCTTTCCCAAGCCCATGCCGTCCGCCAAGATGCCGCCCTTGTTGGTGCCAGTCTCCATCTACACGTATGTTAGCGTATGGTGATTACATAGGCAATAAGTTCCGGCACCTTCATAAGCCAGGTGAGTCCGATCTTCTGATATTCCTTGAGTGCAGAACACATGATGCGGGGCGTCTGTTCGCGGCGCTCGGGCGCATCCTCAGCATCGTGAGCTGAAACGTTACCGAGGAGATTTTCAACCGCCTGAGCCTCATCCACGGTAAGAGGTGCGCCATACTCGTCCTCGTTGTCGCTCGGCGCCCATGGCTTATCGGCGTTACCGATGTAGAGGGGCACTTCTGGGGCTTCGTAAGCACCGTAAGCCGCGCCAGCTACATGTTGATGAATGGGCAGCGGTTGCTGAAACGCATAGCTTGTGCCGGCTGGAGTCGGGGCCAGCAGGAACTGCGCAAGCTCCTGCTCGGGCATGAACTCCTGCGCGAACGCGTCCATTGGCTGAGGGGCACCGCTCAGAAAAGCATGTTCAAGCTCAGGAAATGGGTCTGGCGTGGGCGGATTGGATTCTGTCAGGTCAATCACGTTCGGTGGTGCCGGGCGACCTGAAGCATAAGGTAGTATTTGCTGGCGATTCGAACCTTGATAGCCTTGCGCTGGAAGCTCGAGGGGCAGAGCCTGCTGGCGGCTCGAACTGGCGTATGCTGAGCGATGATCCGTGGGCTCGGAGTATACCGAATTTGGAGTGTTTGGCGTGAGAGGACTTGGATTCACGCTCGGCCGCTTTGAGTCAGGGTACGTGGCATTGTACCCGATACTTCGCTTTCGTGAAGCGCCCGACGATGAGGCAGGCGAGACGGGCCGTGTCATCTGAGGTGGCTCAAGATTGACTTGATTGCTGTGCATCTGAGTCCTAGCAGCAGCCTGGTTACTCTGGACATATGCTAGCTCGGCGTACTGTTCTTCGAGCATATCCTCGTAAAATGGTCGGTCTAGGTAATCCGGTCCATTCTTTTGTAGAAGGTCTTCGATTAGATCAATGTTGCATTGCAGCTGCTGAGGCGATATCCAGTTGGTCGCCATTACTACCACTAGAGAGCTTCTAGCTCAAGGCTCCGTGAGTCAGGTTTCCGCCTATGTTCAACGACAGTTGTCTGCTGGGTCGTTTTGTGAAAGTGGCAGGGATCGTGGACTGCACATACGAAACAGTCGTGGTGACAGTGAAGTGAGAAAGGCAGCGGGCGGGGAGGGTGAGCTCTAGCGCGCTCTCGAGTCTAGGCTGCTGCGCTGTCTAGAGAAGGAGCATGAAAGGAAGTGAGCCCTGGGGACGCCGCGACCACCGGACGACAAAGGCTGCTGCGCAAAGCCGGATCCACGAACAAAGAAACGAGTGTAAGACTATCAGATGGATGCCTAAGCGGATTATTTTTTATGAGTGCATCGCATCCAGCCTTGTGACGATCGGTCGTTGGGGTTGAGTGAAGCAACGCGATATGTCCACTTCACTATCGATAGGTCGGCTGAGCTAAGAGCATTGCATCATCAACCAATTAACGTCTGTATCCACGGGCGGATGTGGTTCGAGCGGTCAGACCAGCTGAAAGGCTTGGAGGGCGCGCACGACAGCTGGCGGGTTGTTCACGAGGCTGAGTCCTTCCCCGTTGTTCCGGTGAGAAGAGACATTTCGGGCACACAACGGCGCTTGTGTCACCTTGGTAAGCGGGACGCGAGCTCACGTGTTGACACAACTCCATCTGGACGTCGTTGGCCTTTCTGTGTCGCAGTACATGGCCGCTGTTTTCCTGGGGTAGATCTGACGTGAGCTGTAACGTACGTGAAGAAATGAGAGTGCAGCATATCAAGCTTATCGTCTATTTGACTTGTGGTATATACACGTTCTCGCAATCGGACAAAGTTGAAATAGGAAATCTTTCTTTATCGGATTCAGCTAGGTGTACACAAAATACAGTTGCCGCCAAACGCTCAACTCTCTCCTCTCTATGAACATCTCCCGTTTACGACAGCATCCTGCTCATATCGCCACGAATACGGTTGTAGTCAAGGAGACCCTCGATCTGGCCAACAGCAGAGACAGCGATGTCGCGATCCCAGAGCTTCTTCTGGGCGAAAGCCATGACCTCCTTCTCGGTGATGCGGCCAACGACGCGCTCAACCTCCTCAGGCGATAACCTGCGGCCGGTGGTGATGATCTGGCGACCAATATCCTCGGCAACGGCAGTTGTGCCGTCGAGGGCGAGGAGGAGAGAAGCCTTGAGCTGGGACTTGGCGCGCTCGACCTCGGCGGAGGAAACGCTCATCGACAGGCGCGACCACTCGCGAAGGGTGAAGTGGACGAGGTCGTCGATCTGGGTGACGTTGTTGGTGGTCAGGTAGATACCCCACAGACTGTGAGCCGTTAGCAATTGCAAACACAAGGTAATGCCTGCGCTTACCCAGTGTCCGAGTAGGATGTGGAGAAGGACATGAAGCTGTTGGCGAGGTTGTGCTGCGAGACGAAGGAGCTGAGCTTGCTGCCGAGGTACGCGGAGTTGCCCATGGAGCGGTCCCAGTTGCCGACAATAGCCTGGGTGACGAGAGCAGTGAAGTAGTCGGGGTCGCTCCAGCTGACACCCTCGACAGCGATGGCGATGTTGGCGCTGCCCATGGTGTCGTCGCGGAGCCTGACCTCAGAGCCGATGAACTCGGGCTTCAGCTTTTGCTCCTGGGCGACAACCTTGTTGGAGTAGTCCTGGGGCTCGGCGGGCAGGCTGGCGAAGTGCTTCTCGGCGAGCTCGACAAGCTGCTGGTGGGGAATGCCGCCGGAGCCGACGAGGACCATGCGGTCGGCAGTGTAGTTGGTCTTGATGTAGTTCTCGAGGTCGCTGCGCTGGATGGTCTCGATGTTCTCCTTGGGGCCGAGAATGGTGCGTCCCAGCGGCTGGCCCTGGAAGGCGGTGGCGTGCAGGTGGTCGAAGACGACCTCCTCGAGCTGCTTGTCGACCTCCTCCTGCTCGCGCAGGATGACGTCGCGCTCGCGCTCGATGGCCGAGCTCTCGAGCTTGGAGTTCTGCAGGATGTCGGAGAGAATGTCGACGGCGGCGGGCACGTCGTCGTTGAAGGCCTTGGCGTAGTAGACGGTGTTCTCGCGCTGCGGGTGTGTCAGTGTAGGTTCCGAGCCCATCCGCGGGCGCACGTACCGAGGTGTAGGCGTTCAGGTGGCCGCCCATGTTCTCGATCTCGAGCTCCAGCTGCTGCTGGGTGCGCTTCTCGGTGCCCTGGCACGGTTAGCGTCTGTCATCGGGCGCAGGCGGGCGGGCGGGCTACCTTGAAGGCCAGGTGCTCGAGGAAGTGCGCGGTGCCGTTCGTCTTGTCCGTCTCAGCGCGCGAGCCGGCGTCGATCCACACGCCGACCGTCGACGTCTGGGCCCATGGGGAGTGCTCGGTGGCAATCTGCGCGCGCGGGTCAATTGCAGTCCGGGCGTCTCGTGCAGCGCTGTCCATACCGTGAAGCCGTTGCTGAGGGTGGTGCTCTCGGTCTTGGACCCGTACGAGACGGGCGTCGCGAGGCCTCTTGTCAAGGGCGACGCCTTGGCCGCCTTGACGCTGTTGATGGCCGCGCGGGAGCGCAAGCTCCGCTGGAAGTTCAGTGCGAGCTGCCTGGAAGCCATTGCGTCGGCTCGCTGTGGGAGGGGATGGCGGGCGGTGGGGGGGGGGGGGGTTGATGGTGGTCCAGAGCTCCCACCCGTCCACGGTCAAGATTGAAGAAAACACGTCACGTGCAGCCGCACATAAGCAACGCCGCTGATTGGACGCCCGGGCTCCACCGCTACCCTCGGCCATGGGACATCATCGACGAACATGGCCCGGGTGCGCCTCTGCTCGTTCTTCCAGCACGAATCCGCCCTGACGACCGCAATGGCTTCCCTCATGCGTCCCTCTGTCCTCCGCCAGGCGCCCGCCGCGTCTCAGCGCGCCCTGTCTGCCTTTGCGCGCCCCACCGCGCTGGCCCAGTTCAAGCCCGCCTTCCAGACCTCCACGCGGGTCGCCGCCTTCCACGCAACGCAGCGCAACCAGATCCTGCCGCCGCTGCCGCAGACGATTGTTGGCACCGCAAACGTAAGGTCACGCGCGCCACGGCCTGTGTAGCATCTAACACGAAGACCCAGGAGCCCGTTGCTGTCCCCACGCCCGACTCCAGCCATGGATCCTACCACTGGAGCTTTGAGAGGTGGGTAGCGAGTCTTGTTTGCGTTGGCAGTAGCCGAGCTTGAAGAGCTGCATCTGCAGCAACAGCCATAGGGAAACAACCGCGGACTGCAGCTGACGCAACCCAGAATCGTCTCCGCCGGGCTCATCCCCCTCACAATCGCGCCCTTCGCCGCCGGCTCGCTGAACCCCGTCACCGACTCGATTCTCTGCGCCCTGCTCGTCGTCCACTCGCACATCGGTTTCGAGGCCTGTATCATTGACTATTTCCCCAAGAACCGCGTGCCCCGCGTCCTCGCCGCGGCCAACTGGGCGCTTCGTGCCGGAACCGTGCTTCTGGGCATTGCTCTGTACTCGTTCGAGACCAACGATGTTGGTGTTACGGAGGCCGTTAGGAGGCTTTGGACCGCATAGAGATCTAGAAGAAGGTGTTTGTGGATATGAGGAGCTTGTGAGGAATACATGTGCTATTAGGAATAAGCAAATACGCCAATTGTAACTTCTTGCGTGTCTTACTGTGCGTTGGAATAGTCTGAGTGATTCGATTATAATGGCCACTGATATAGGTGCACGCTGAACCGGTTGGTGCAGATGTGTTTCGTTCATATCAGCCGTGTATGCCAATCTGAGTCAGTCACCATTACCACTGCGCCCATACATCCCGCATGTGCCTTCCAGGCCTCAGAAGTGCCCGCTGCCGATCCTATCAGCGGACCGCAACCGCACGATCTTTATGCGGTGGTCACGTGTCGTTGGGCTGTAGAAGTCGCCTACGAGTAATGTTCTGTACACTATTCTCGCTCTCAACACGAGGGCCAAGCCCCTCCTGTTGAGGAGGCTCTAATGATGAGAACTTTGAACAGATCAGTTCGCGGACATCAACACTGACATTGACACCGTATTGATACCACAGCACATCACAGTCTATACCGCTCCCTTCTTCTCAATCAATCAATCAATCAACAGGTGGCACTGCGTTGTAGTATACGAGCAACAAGCAGCATCGCAGCGAGTCTAGTTTTTGCATTAGAATCTTTTTAGTATAACAAAAACATGCAGTAAAGGGCCTGGAACATCTAGCATCTAGCATCTAGCCTGCGTGCACGAGGACAACGCCAGTGAAAGCCAGAGAAAGCCAAGCCAAACCAAACCATAAACTTCATCAGACATGACGAGTCGCGAAGGTGACGTAACGTGACGCCACAACAACGTACTCAGAGGGCCGTACAAAACGTGTGGGGTGAGGGGAGCGGAACCGATTAAGTGTAAGATGTGATGACATGATGAAGATTTGGGAATCTAACGAAGAGCAAAAGCCCCTAGCACCCTCGGGCACCGTTCATGCCATTAGGGACAACGAACTAGACATCGTTGCCCATACCAAAATGCACCACGAATTCCGTGCTTTTTACTTATGTTGATTATGACATAGTCTATGCCTTGGTGTCAGCAGGTGCCTCGGTGCTGGTCTCGGCCTTGGGTGCCTCAGAGGCGGGCTCAGCAGCGGGCGCATCGGCAGAAGGCTCGGCCTCGGACGAAGTCCAGAGGGTCTGCAAAAGGTTAGCAATGTTAGAATTTGAAGTTACTTATGCACGTACCAGGTTGTCCCTCAGGAGCTGCATGATCAGGGTGGAGTCCTTGTAGCTCTCCTCAGACAGGGTGTCGAGCTCTGCGCGCGTGTTAGCGGGGCACGAAATTATTCACAATTTCGACTCACCAGCAATGGCGTCGTCGAAAGCCTGCTTGGCCAACTGGCAAGCCTGGTCGGGCGAGTTGAGGATCTCGTAGTAGAAGACGGAGAAGTTCAGGGCAAGGCCGAGGCGGATGGGGTGGGTGGGAGCCAGGTTCTGGGCAGCGACCTCGGTGGCGGCCTTGTAAGCCTCGAGCGACTTGTCGGCGGAAGTCTTGCGCTTGTCGCCAACGGCGAACTCGGCAAGGTAGCGGTGGTAGTCACCCTTCCTGTGAGTGTGATTAGCCGGGTCGCTGAGTAGGCGCGTGGGTCTTACATCTTGTGGTAGAAGACCTTGGACTCGCCGCTCTCGGCGGAGGGGATGAGGTGGCCGTCGAGGCACTCGAGGATGTCCTCGCAGATCTTGGCAAGCTCGGCCTCGATCTTCTGGCGGTACTCCTTGATGAGGGCAACCTGGGTCTCGTTGCCCTTGGACTCCTCCTTCTGCTCGATCGAGGTGACGATTCTCCATGAGGCACGGCGGGCACCGATGACGTTCTTGTAGGCGACGGAGAGAAGGTTGCGCTCCTCAACGGAAAGCTCCTGGTCCGCGCTGGCGACAGCCTTCATGTTCTCGACCATCTCTGTTCGCACGGATCAGCAGCAATTTCGCGATCTCGCGGGGACGAGCTTACCCTCATAGCGCTCAGCCTGCTCGGCCAGCTTGGCCAGGTAGACGGAATCCTCGTAACCCATTGTGAAAGTGGAGATCTGCAGGATTTGGTGGTTAGCAAAATCGAGCTAATGCGCGGCGTGAAAGTTTCGCAGCAAAGAACGGTCGCCAGTGCCCAGCCAGCCGAGAGCGCTCAGTGTGCGCTGTGGTGCGAGTTGCTGGCTCGAACATCGAAATCCAACTGCGTCGACACAGAGTGCGCAGCGTGCCGATTGTGGGTGAGATGCCAGCAGGACGCACGTCGCAGCGTCGATTGCGTGCGCTGACGTCGCTCAGCAGGCGTGGACGGCGAAAGGAGGGGTGGCTTGTGCGGTGCAATCCGCTGCCTCCCCGAATACGGCTCCCACTGCAAAACTGGCAACGGCTGCGACGGCGACGGTCGAGGCGACGGTACTCGAGGCGGACACTGTTCTGATGGCGCTGCCGGCCGGCGGCTGCTGTTGGGACCGCCTGGGGCGCAGCGTGCGTCACCGTGGTGGGCGCTGAGGTGACGACGGAACGCGGACAGGTACTTACGAAGAACGGTGAAGTGCGAATGTAGAGTGTGAGAGAAGAAGCTGTTCAGCGGTGGCGGTGCGTGGGACGGTGGTGTTGAGTCGTTGTCAAGGCTTCAGGTGAGTGTTTATGATAACGAGGGGGATGGGAGACGCCAAAGCGCACTAGTCCGCGTCGATCATGCCTGCGTTGGATGGTTTCACCTTCTTCCAGCCCTGCCTCGACCGCGCTGCTTTGACAGGTGCACATGTCCGTCACATTCGGCGGGCGTAAAAATACTCTGCTTCTGTCTGCTGCAGGAGTCGTCACGCTGTGTGAGGTTGTTCACTGCCTGCCCGCCGCGTCTTTGTACATCTGGTACCGACGCCCCGCATTTCTGGGATCATGACCGCTACTCACCGTGATGTGCAACAATCGTCGGGCACCGCATGGCTGCTTTTGACTCGTCTTCGGCACCGTCTGGGATTGGACGGGAGGCCTCGCGGGGAGACAGTTTGCATGTGGCAGTAGCACAGCGTGGAGTTGAATCCTCGACATAGTACTCATATGCTAGATGGACAGTTTCATGGCGTCGTTCTGAGCAAGAGCCTCATGTGGACATACTCTGCTAAGTGCCATATCCGTGACTGATCGATCACAGCCTTGCTGAAGCGTTGCCCTGATGCGCTTCGCAGTCCTCAGACACCCGTGAGCAAGCCGTGGCATCAGAGTTGATTCTGGTGCGACTCTCGAGCTCAAGAGCTCAAGAGCACACCATTATCCCTGCTATGAGACCAGCATGGCTGAAGGTTCATATCCGAACGTTCGAACCCCATTTCACGTGCCGTCCCGAATTGCTCTCAGCAACGGACTGCCTGATCAGCTTCGTCATATCTGGTCCGTGCTCCCTCCGTCAATCGTACCACCGAGCTTCGAGCTTCTCAAGCCATCGAAACAGGCACCCAAACAACTCCCAGCCAACAACTCCCAACATCTCAAAATGCTCCGCACATCCTTCATCAAGAGCGCGCGCGCCGTCGCCGCTCCCCGCTACTTCTCTGCCTCCGCTCTGCGCATGGCCGCGGGCGCAACTGGCTCCGGAGCCTCGAGGGCCACCGGCGCTGCTGGAGGGTGCGTCTCCATCCATTGCCCTCGCATATGCACCACAGGCGCTAACCGTACCACAGGGACGCCTTCACCAAGCGCGAGGCCGCTGCCGAGGAGCTTTACATCCGCCAGGAAGAGAAGGCCAAGTACGACCGCCACAACACCACACAAGACGCAATTGGCACCGCTAACGCCCCGCAGGCTCCTCGCCATCAAGGAGAAGCTCAAGCAGCAGAGGCAGCACATCGAGGACCTCGACAAGCACATGTGCGTTCCCCTCCCCAAACCGCTCTACACACAATACTGACAGCACTCAGCGACGATGTGATCAAGGAGGGCGAGGCCTCTGGCCAGGGCGAGCAGAAGTAAGCACTCAGTGCGCTTTTTTAGTCTCTGTTGCGCGTGTTTGTTAGATATTGTAGGATGCGAGCGCTGACTGCGTGGACTCGTGCAGCTATTGAATCACGATGCGTCGAGATTGACTGGATGAACTGCACACCAAACGCTCGCCGTGAAACACCGTGAGCTGATACTAGGAGTGATGTCTGTGAGATGGATGTTTCTGATCTTTTGCTCGGGTGTGCATTTGCACGCTGAAGTTGTCAGTGCAGCGTGTGTTTGAGCATCACTCTTTGTGAGTCGAAGAAGTGGTTAAACGACAACTCTCCTTCCGCGTCAACCTTTCTGCTATTGCGTCGTCTGCATGTTTGATTCCAATATCTGTGGCAACCCACATCTAAAATCGCTTCGAATATCTGAAATGCGTTTTCAAGCCTTTGGGCAACTCACAGCTGTGCCTGTACTCACGTATGGGTATGACGCTTGAATAATCTTGCTATATGACGTTCGAATAGTTTTGCTACATAGCCCTCTCCAACCGTCCTCCGCCTGCCCAAGCGACGCCAAAAAACGCCCAACCATGCACTCCAAGTTCCTAAAACTACATCGTACTCACGGCAACAACGCTATGCGTGGCCGCCATAGCGTTCGACTCTGTTCCCGCGGAAGCTCTTGTAAAAGTCGTCTGTGGGGTCAGTGCCCAGGCCGTTCCAGCCGTTGGCGCCGACAACGCGGCTCTCCTTCTGCGCCTTGGCGATCTTGTCTTGCAGCTGCGAGGCGCCCGAGTCGATGAGCTGGAGCTGGGAGAGCTGGGTGTTGAGGACGCGGACGACCTTTGTGAGCTGGTGGGGGTTAACGTGAGCACGGTGGGTAATGGAAGGTGGGGTACTTACAGGGTCGTCGGGCTTGCCAGTCTTGCTGAGCGTCTGGGATGTGGTGTTGATCTCCTCGATCATTTCTGTGAGGTCCTTGTTCAGCTCATTGAGGCGGTCTTGGAGCTTCTCGGCGAGCTTGTATCTGTACGACTGTGTTAGCTTCTACTCCTGGCAACATGACCGTGCTGGTGCACTTACGTCCTCTCGCGCTCCTGGTCAGGGCCACGCAGACCGTCTGAACGGCCAGACACGCCGTGCACCTTCATCAAGTTCTCGATTTCCTTCTCGTATCGGTCGAGATACGAGTCGAGTTCCTGCTGATTCTCCTCCATCATGGTCAGCTGCCTCTCAACTTCGGCCGCATCGCGCTCGGCTTGGAATGTCTTCGAGTACAACTGGCGAACCTTGTCGGAGTTCTCGACCAGCTCGCGGTCCCACTTTGCAACCGTCTCCGCTTGCGACTGGAACTCCTTCTGGTACCTGGACAGGTCCGCAGCCCAACGTGTGATGATCTCGTCCATGGACTTGTTCTTGAGACGCGACTGAGCGGATGGCGGGGGTCCAGCAGTGGAGTTTGCGAGTCCGCTTTTGTTTGCATCCCCTGAAGCTGCAGGTGTAGCACCAAGAGTGGCCTTGGGCTGAGCAGGCGTTGAAGCTGGTGCTGTTGCTCCACCCAGGCCAGCAAAGAGGCCTCCCGTTGCACCTGATGCTGGTGGTGCGGAAGACGCCGGCGTTGCGGAGCTTGCAGCAGCACCGCCAGCACCAGCACCAGCGAAAAGACCAGGAGTTGAGCTAGTGGTGGTGGTAGCAGTGCCGCTCGTTGCAGTTGTCGTGGCTCCAGCGGCAGGGGTCGAGTTGCTTGGCGTGCTCACCTCGGGCTTCGTGAAGATGCTGGGGGCTGAGCTACCGCTAGCTGCGGGAGCACTTGGTGTGGACGCTCCGGCAAACAGACCGGGTGAAGGTGCTGCCGATGAAGTCGAGGGCTTGTTGTTGAAGCCACCAAACGCCGAAGCCAGCGATGACTGTGGGGCAGCAGACTGCGATGCAGGTGTAGATGCTCCCAGGCTGAATGCAGGAGTCTTGCCTGCAGGCGGTGTGCTGGAAAAGCCAGCTCCGCTGAACAGTCCTGCAGCGGGCTTGGGCGTCTGCTGCGAGCTCGGCGCAGCGGCAGGGGTGGTCGGGGTCGCAGCCTTGTTCGCATCGTTCCCGCCGAACAGACCTGTCGTCGGCGCGGGCTTGGCTCCAAACAGGTTGAGTGTTGCGGGTGCAGCGTCAGGCTTGGATCCAAACAAGGGGGCGCCAGGCGTGCTGGCACTGGTCTGGCGGTTGTGTGCTCCGCCTAGCGAGAAGCCCGACGGGGCTGCAGGAGTCTGGCCGAACAGGTTTGTTCCGGGGGGGTTGCCCATGGGCGTGGTTGAAGGGAGGGCGAAAGTCTTTGCGGCAGCGGGCGTAGCGGCAGGCGTGAAAGAGCCTGTGGTGGCTGTCGATGCTGTGGCTGTTAGCAGCTACCTCGGCCGAGAGAGAGCAGAGAAGCGAGAGGACGCACCTCCTGTGGAAAACAAGCCGCCAGTCGTCGGGGCAGCGCCTGGGGACGCAGCCGGAGCGGCGCCAGTCGATGCGGCTCCAAACAGAGACGGCTTCGCAGCGTCGCCAGGCTTCGCGGCGCCAAACCCAAAGCCCGAGGTGGCTGGCGCGCCCGCGGGCTTGCTGCCAAAGCCGCCGCCGCCAAAGATGCCGCCGGTGCTTCCTGCGGTGCTCGCTGGGGTGCTCGCTCCCGTGCTGGCGGCGCCAAACGGCGAAGAGCCGGCGGCGTTGGAGAAGAGCGAGCCTGCAGGCTTGGGGTCGGCATTGCCGCCGGCCGGCTTTCCAAAGGTCCAGCCAGACATGATTGCGTCGAGGATGGCGACTGCACGCGCGAGCTGGGCGGTGTTGGGGGACGGGGTGGGACGGGGCGCGGAGCTGGTTGCTGTTTGCTGGTTGCTGTGGAGGCCGGCAGCGGGTGCGCAATTGGCGCAGTGGGTCGCAGAGGGTCGCAGAGAGGCGCGGGTCGGGTCACAGCGCGGCAGACGCAGCGGATGCAGCAATGGCAGCAAGACGTGGGTGCAGCGAGGGCCTGCGCAGGAGCTCCGCGTCGTTCACAGTCGCCGGCGCGTGCGCGTCGCAGCCGCCAAAAGTCGGGCAGGGCTGCATGGGCGGCCGGCCCTACGTTGATCCAGCTGAGCTGCGCGGGTCGGCGATCGAGAGCGCTCTATTCCCCGCGTGCCTGAACCGCGACCACGGAGGCGCAGCACGCTGAACATTTGCCTGTCCGCCGCCCCGACCCTCCGCGTCCATCTGCCTCGCACCGCCCCTCCTGCCGGCCTCGATCTGCCCCCGCGCTGCACATTGGCCGTCGCCGCCGTTCCGCACACGTCGCCCTCTCCGGGCCCAGCACCCCCAGCACTCCAGCACTCCAGCACCCCGACGCCAGCATGACTGACGACCTGGCCCCGCCCCGCAAGAGCGTCGAACTCGAGGATCCGGGCGCGAAGGAGCTCGGTACGCCAGGTCCCCCGTCCGCCCGCCGCCCTGCTGACCCGCGTGCAGTCGACTCGGACAACGAGCACTTCTCCGATGCCTCAGAGGGCCGCGTGCACGAGAAGGGCCTGGCCCAGGGCCTCGCGCAGAGCAGAGCCGAGGCAACGTCGCCCATTCCCATCACCCGCGTCGAGCGCGTCGACGACGAGCCTGCCCACGGCGAGGTCCCCGGCACCGCCGCCTACAGCATGCGGACCCAGGACGCCGTGCCCGACGAGGTCGAGATTGTGCCCGACGGCCAGCGCAGCCGCAGCACCTCGCGTGTGAGCGCCAGCGACCGCCCGCTCACCCCCGGCGGCACCCCCGTCCCCAAGACGGTCGTCGAGCGCATCGACCCGGACCAGCCTGCCCACGGCGAGGTGCCCGGCACGCTCGCCCACCAGCAGCGCCTCGCCGACGCCGCCCCCGACATCATCGTCAAGGCCCCCGAGCCGCCGCAGCGAGACTCCCCAGGTACGTAAGGCATTTCTGTGGTGCCTCCCTGCGTGCCGTTGACGGAAGAAGGGTCGCCAACTGCCTCCATTGATAGGTCTCCGATAAGCGACACCGCCGCCGACCACGCCCCGACCGAGCCAGACGACTCTCCTGAAGACACGCAGCACTCGGCGGACGCGGATGCGGACGCGGACGAGGACGATGGGTTCGGCGACTTTGACGAGTTCGAAGAGGGCGGCCAAGACGGCGACGACGACTTTGGGGACTTTGACGATGGGTTTCAGCAAGGTGAGGAACAGGCAGAGACTACATTTGACAGCCCCCAAAATCAAACACCCGTACCCGCCCCTCCACAGCCACCACCAGGCCCCGTAAGTGCACCACATCTAGCCCAAGCCAGTTCATGTTTCCTGCTGAAGCATGTTGCGGTGATGTCTGAACTGACCTCCAACCAAACAGCCTGTCCTCGATTTTGCCACTCTCTCATCTCTGGACGCCATCATCGAAGCAACACAGCCCTATGTCAATGAGATATATGCATTCCCTCAAGACCTGCCCAGCATAGCCACATCCGGCGACACTCGCTCCATCTTTCACTCTGAGCGGAGTCACTCGCTCTGGACACAGCTGGTTGCACCACCACCATTGCAGCCACCTGACTGGGTCCGTTCCAGGATACGGCGCCTATTCCTTGTCTCGCTTGGAGTGCCCGTCGATCTCGATGAGATCCTGCCTGCCTCTAAACAGAAAAAGCTTATTCTTCCTTCCATCAACATCCCAGGCGACAAGTCTCCACGCCCATCGTCAGACGGCCGCAACAACGCACTGGACCGCGTCAAGAAGGAGAATGCATCAAACACATCAGTAGATTCGTCAAAGTCAAAGACAGAAAGGCCACGAAAAGGACCACCACCTCCTCCAGAATTGGATCTCAGCGCCACCTCTATGCTATGCGCGACAACTGAAGCAGCTCTACTCAATTTCACCGACGACGAACTGCAGAAACATGTCGACCGCCTCAAGACCCTTCAGACTAGAGCGGGGCAGGTCTTTGAGTACTGGCAGAAGCAGCTGGAGAGTGCATTGGGCGACAAAGATGCTTTCGAGCAGGTCATTGAAAGTTTGGTAGCACATGCAAAGAAGCTCAGGTAGCAGTCAGGTAGCGTTAGAATAGAAATGAGCACATAGTAATGCATAATATCTAGCCATGTACTTTGTATGACTTTGTATGTACATACGGGGAGGGCATCGCACCGTAAAGTGCGTTCAGGCGTCCCGGGAACCATCCATCCGCTCCCTTGCTCTCCACGTGAAAGCGAGCAGCCGAGTCTCGGGCTCATGAAACGAGCTATTGGACCCTGATTCCACCACAAAGTAACTAAAGTGGGCTCAAACAGACACTTTTGCGGTAGAGGCCCGCTGTGCATGCTCGTAACCCCACTACATCGGCACTTCAGTCTGCCACGAATCCACGAATCTACGTCGAAGCTCAGAGATCAAGATCGAGCTGTCAGTTCAGTGGAATTCTGCGGGCTTACACACGCGCTACAGTCTCACCCAAACGTGTTGAGGGGCGTTACAACCGGCGGAAACCCGAGCGTGAGCCCCAGATAACGATACGACCATGGAGACGTGACGGAAGATCCGAAAAGGAACGTGTGTGGTGATCTTGGTGGGGCTGTCATCTGCTCAATCGGCCGCTTGCGCCACGCCCATTGGCCGCTGAGGCGCAAGACGTGCGCCCGTTGGCTGCCCCGCGAGAGATCACGAAGCCGTGTGCAGAGGGTGACAAGGCCTGCGGTCCGATACGCTGTAGTGATGTGACGACATGCTGCGCAAGGGACGACCAAACAGCAGCGCGGACACGGTCAGCGGCCGGGGGGCGAAATGAATAGGGCTCCTGTGGGCTTGGGAAACATCGGCAGCAGTTTGCAAATCGAAGAGTGGAAATTCGATGCCGTCCGAAACGTGCAATGCGGTTACGAGAGCACGTACGCTAGTGAGAAATAGACCTGGGTACCGCGGCAATCTTCACCGCATCGAGCCAACAGGGCATTGAGATGGAGACCCTGGTGTCAAACTTCGTATCAGCGAACGAAGAGAGGCTTTGTGGCGACGGATTACCCCTATTCGACGCCCCGAACCGAGGCGATGGAGCCTTTGTATTCGCTGTCACGGCATGTTCCCGGTTGCAGAAACGGTTTCACGGTGTGGGTGCTCCTGCGCTGGCGGAGGAGGGCAGATGCCGGCTCGCTCCCAAGGCTCAAGGTTGGGCGCGGTCAAGGTCAAGTGGGAGGTGACACTCATTTCCCTCGTACCTCCAGCTGCAGTGCGAGGTGCCTGGCAACACGTGCAGCCACATGACGTCTCTAGGTAGGCGTGCAGCGGCCGCCGCGGAGGTCGCAGGCTGCAACAATGGAGCTGGAGGATGCATGGAACAGGAGGAAGCGCCAGAGAACGCAGCGCTGCCGCCTTGCACCGACGCTGCTAAGTGCTAACGTCGCGCCGAGTCTTCCACGCGCGGCGGCGGCTTGACCGCGGCGCACGCTGCCGGCCAGCGCGGTGGTGGGTGGAGACCAGGGTGTGCTCTCCCTAACGCCTGTCATTTGGAAGCTAGCCACCGTAGCGAGGGCAGGTGGTCTTTGTGCTCAGTCCGCGCAGCAGACGCATATCGGCGATCTTTTCGCACTGCACCGCTGCTTGACTGTGAAGGACGCTCGCCGGTCTCTCTGCAGGTGCTTCTGCCCCCCTCCGCTCCTTCTGCTGCTGCCGTGTGTGATCTTGCGTGGCATCGACCACCATTCGCCTTGCACCGCGCTGCATTCCGCTAGGTACTCGCGGCCACTATTGCCAGTCGTCACGCCAGGCCTCTTTGGACATCCCTCCCATCGCCGCAGCGTCTCAGCGGGGCCTTGTCGACCGCCAGTGCACCGACCGCTCGCGACAATCCTGCTGCCGTCTCCTCGCGGCTGGCAGCTCTCCTCGCCTCCTGCTGCCCACCACTTTCCTTGATCGCGACCCGCGAGGCTGCACGCGCCCGTCCCTCCCCGTCCTCAATGGTACACGCATAGCCCACCGACACCCGCCTCCTGCCCGCAGCCATGGCTGCCCAAACATACTCCGGGCTCGCCGACTACGTCAAGAACCTCGCCAGGGCCCACGACCCCGCCCGCGATGCCTCCTTCAAGGCCCAGATAGCCGCCAACGGCGCAAACTTCACCGCCCATGCCATCCAGCTGCCCGGGCCCGACTGCCCTGAAAAGGCCCAGCTGCAGAAGGAGATGGCTGCGCTGTGTGCGCGCATCGACTTCCTCGAGCATAAGAGCAACGCCGCCATCCAGCCCGGCGCTCTGCCCATCACGCCTGCCGGCGAGCCGACCGAGGAGGGCTTCGTCTACACATCAGCCGGTGCCTTCCCCAAGCCCAGTGCGCCCTTCGACCGCCGCGGCTCCACCAAAGAGCAGCGGGCGCTGTGGGTCAGCAACTGGCTGGCTGCAAAGGAGTCCAACGGCGATGGTGGCGAGGAGTCTGCAGCTGCCCTCACCGAGGAGCAGCTCAACTACCTGCGCGACCACCTGAACAAGCAGGCCGACCAGATCAAGAACCAGCGCGAGCACATTGACAATTTGAGCGCCGAAGTCAACAAGCAGCTGAGCAACCAGAACATGGTCTTCGAGCACGGCATCGAGGACATTGGTGCTCTCAAGCGTGAGCTTGGCAAGCACCAGCAGGCCAACCTGGCTTTCCAAAAGGCCCTGCGCGAGATTGGTGCCATCGTCACAGCTGTCGCTATGGGCGACCTGAGCAAGAAAGTTTTGATCCACGCCAAAGAGATGGACCCTGAAATTACCCTGTTCAAACGCACAATCAACACCATGGTGGACCAGCTGCAGGAGTTTGCTAGTCAGGTCACCTTCTTGGCCCGAGAAGTCGGTACTGAGGGTAGACTCGGCGGTCAGGCAAACCTACCAGGTGTTGACGGTATTTGGGCCGAACTGACCGATTCTGGTAAGTTGTTTGTATTGTAGTCCCCAATCGGGCCGTCTACTAACCACCATGTACAGTCAACGACATGGCCAAGAACCTTACCGAGCAGGTGCGAGAAATCGCCGTAGTTACAACTGCCGTCGCCCACGGCGATCTGAGCAGGAAAATTGAGCGTCCAGCAAGGGGAGAAATCCTCCAGCTGCAACAGACAATTAATACCATGGTGGACCAACTGCAATCGTTTGCGACAGAGGTCACGAAAGTGGCTAGAGATGTCGGTACCGAAGGCAAGCTTGGTGGTCAAGCCGAAATCGCTGGCGTTAAGGGCATGTGGAACGAGCTGACCGTCAACGTGAATGCCATGGCCCAAAATCTTACAACCCAGGTGCGAGATATCGCTCAAGTAACAACGGCTGTCGCACAAGGTAATCTCACTCGGAAGGTTGAGGCTGAGTGTAAAGGCGAGATCCTGGAACTCAAGCTCACCATCAACCGCATGGTTGACCAACTGCAACAATTCGCGCACGAAGTTACCAAGATCGCCAGAGAAGTGGGATCTGAAGGTAGACTGGGTGGTCAAGCCACAGTTCATGGGGTCGAGGGAACCTGGAAAGACCTGACCGAAAACGTCAACGGCATGGCCATGAACCTGACGACGCAAGTACGAGAGATCGCCGAAGTTACAACAGCTGTAGCAAGAGGAGACTTGAGTCGCAAGGTCAAGGCCGAGGTCCAGGGTGAAATTTTGTCCTTGAAGATCACCATCAACACCATGGTTGACCGCCTGAACACATTTGCCCAGGAAGTCAGCAAGGTTGCGCGTGAAGTCGGAACTGATGGTATTCTGGGTGGACAAGCGCAAGTCGACAACGTGGAAGGAAAATGGAAGGATCTCACAAACAACGTCAACACCATGGCGCAGAACCTGACATTACAGGTGCGAAGTATCTCAGAAGTCACACAGGCCATTGCCAAGGGAGACATGAGCAGGAGAGTTCACGTGGATGCCGAAGGAGAAATCCGTCTACTGAAGGATACCGTCAACGACATGGTCATGAGGCTCGACGAGTGGTCACTTGCCGTGAAGCGCGTTGCTCGCGATGTCGGCGTCGACGGAAAGATGGGCGGACAAGCCGACGTCAGGGACATTGATGGACGCTGGAAAGAGATTACCACGGACGTCAACACAATGGCCCAGAACTTGACATCGCAAGTGCGCGCATTCGGCGATATCACAAATGCTGCTATGGAGGGCAAGTTCACGCAGATCACAGTTGAGGCGTCTGGTGAGATGGACGAGCTGAAGAGGAAGATCAACCAGATGGTGTCCAGCTTGCGGGAGTCCATTCAGAGGAACACGGCTGCCAGGGAGGCCGCCGAATTGGCCAACAAGACCAAGTCTGAGTTCTTGGCCAACATGTCTCACGAGATCCGAACTCCTATGAACGGTATCATTGGTATGACGCAGCTTACGCTCGACACCGATCTTACACACGCTCAGCGCGAGATGTTGACAATCGTCCACAATCTGGCCGGTCAGCTCTTGACCATCATCGACGACATCCTTGATATCTCCAAGATCGAGGCAAACCGCATGGTCATGGAGGAAATTCCATTCTCGATCCGTGGTACAATCTTCAACGCGCTGAAATCGTTGGCTTCGCGGGCCAATGAGCGCAAATTGAACTTGGCCTACGACGTTTCCTTCAGGGTACCAGACTACGTAGTTGGTGACTCTTTCAGGTTGAGACAGATCATCTTGAACCTTGTCGGAAACGCCATCAAATTCACTGAGCGTGGAGAAGTCAAGGTTGCCATCAGTATGGCACAAGAGCAGGAGTGTGGTCCTGAGCAGTACGTCTTCCAGTTTGCTGTCTCCGACACGGGTATAGGTATCCGTGGCGACAAGCTCAACTTGATCTTCGACACTTTCCAGCAAGCCGATGGTTCGACGACCAGGAAGTTTGGTGGTACCGGTCTTGGACTATCCATCTCGAAGAGACTCGTGACGCTCATGGGCGGTCGCATGTGGGTTGAGTCTGACTTTGGCAAGGGAAGTGTGTTCTACTTCACGTGCAGAGTCCGTCTTGGGAAACCTGATATCAGTGCTATTCAGCCCAACCTGAGGGCGTACAATGGACACACAGTCATCTTCATCGATCAAGGCCACTCTAATTTCTCCGACGAAGTTGTTACCCATCTCAAATCTCTGAACCTCGTTCCCATGGTCGTCGGCTCTGTCGAAGAGGTACCAGCATCAGACAAGAGGACTAACATTGCTTACGACTGCGTCATTGTCGACAACGACGCCACAGCACGAGAGCTGAGGGGCGAGGATCGCTTCAAGTACATCCCGCTTGTAATGCTCACGCCCAGAGTAGCGATAAGTCTGAGGTCAGCTCTGGAGAACGGTATCTCCAGTTACATGACCACGCCCTGCTTGCCCATCGATTTGGGTAACGCACTCATCCCTGCTCTTGATGGACGCGCTGCGCCTCTGGTCTCTGATCACTCGAAGTCTTTCAACATTTTGCTTGCGGAGGATAACGCTGTGAACCAGAAGCTAGCTGTTCGCATTCTGGAGAAGTACCACCACAGAGTCACCGTTGCTAATAACGGTCTGGAAGCGTTTGAGGCCATCCAAAAGAAGCGCTATGACTGTATCCTCATGGACGTACAGATGCCTGTCATGGTGAGTCTATCAATTCTTGTCTCTGACTTTGACTGACGGTTTGGTAGGGTGGCTTCGAGGCTACAGCGAAGATTCGTGAATGGGAGCGTGAGAATGGTATTCCGTCTACTGCAGTCATTGCCCTCACCGCCCACGCTATGGTCGGTGATCGTGAGAAGTGTCTGGCAGCGCAGATGGACGTAAGTTGCTACAAAACCCACCACCTTGCTCCGAGCTAACAGCAGCAGGATTACCTTTCCAAACCCCTCCGTCAAAACCAGCTCATTCAAACCATTCTCCGATGCGCAACAATGGGCGGCGGAATCTACGATGCTTCCCACGCGAAAGACAACCTCACACCCACGCTCGGCCGCATCGACGCTTCTCCCAACACCACTCCCCACGCAAACCCGTCGAAACGTCCCCAACTCGAAGCACGCGGCTTCACAGAACGAGGGCCCGCGGCCGCCGAGTCTCCGAAGCTTCTGGCGGCTGATCAGACAGACGATTCTGTCCAAGGGGTACTGTTAAGATCCATGTCCGACATGCACTGAACGAGGCTGATGAGTGGCAGTTGCTCCTGAGGAGTCACAGTAGCTGACTATCTTCGGACAAGAGGAAGAGGGGGAAAGGAGACGACGAAGGACCCGAGACTAAGAAATCAAGGGTTGGGGAGCTGGAGTAGTGCGGATCTTCCTCTTGTCGTGTGAAGAAGGGAGTTGTAAAAGCTTGGAAGATACCCCGGATGGAGTTTCTGCAGTCACGCAGTGGTGGATGGCCATGTTCGGTCTCGTTGAACTAGTCGAGCAGCCTGGCGGGCGCGCTCTTCCTGCTTTGGATGTCTTTGGCGAGCTGCGGCGTTCTTGTTGTGCGGCATGGACACTCTCGGAGTGCTGGGCTGGATGCATTCCTATTGGTTTTCGATTGCATATCGCTAGGAGTTGTCGTTCCTGTTTGCGCGGATGATGGTATACATCTTACTCTCTTGTTTATTCGTTCGCTTTACCCTTGTTCAATCAAGCCCTTCGATGTTTACTATGCTCGTCGAGTGTGGCGTCCAGACGCTGTTGCACGCATGCAGTGAGCTCAAACTGACACAAGGTTGACGTTCGTTACAAAGCCATAAACAGCACTCGTACACAAGTAGCCCAGCTCCATATCTATAAGTCTTCAATTTATTCAACGTCAAAACCATCAACGAGCCACCATCTCAACCACATCCCCGCAGTACGACGGTCCAATGCCGCCGCCCTAGAACCCCCCCCCCCCCCCCCCCCTCTAGAACTGGACCACGACCCGCAGAACCCTGGCCCGCCACCCGTCAAGCACCAACGCCACACCGACTTACCCCGAGAAGCAGCTGAGTCTTCAGAGTCTGCGTGCGCGTGCGCGTGTGCGAGAAAGGCGTGGCGAGAGACGATGGGTATGCGCTTGTCACGTCCCGTCGCGTGTGTGACCCAGGAGCACTGACGCAAAACATGTTTTTGCAGTGTGGTCCAGCGTGCGGTGTTTCGAAGAACGGCCGTCGGCGGTGTACTGTAGGCGTCCAGCGTACATGATTGTAAGGGCCCGTCTCGTCGCCCTCTAGGTATCAACCCATCGTGGGCATATGCACCGAACCACGAAACCCGGGCATGACTCGTCCCTGCACCCGGCAAACCCTTCGCTTCTTCCTCACCACCCACCGCCACGCACTGAAGTTCAAATACTCACGCTCCTCCGTTGGCGGCGACTGACTCGCGCCGTTGCTCGCGCCGCAACTCGGCCCCGAGCACGTGGCGCCGGCTGCAGACGGTACTTCCGCGTGCGTTCGGCACCCGCTAGCAGAAACAAGCTGCAGCACGCCGTGGGCCCGGGGCACACACACACACGCTGCTGCTGCGTTCCCGCGACAGCGCAGACGAGACGCCAGCGACGTAGCGGTGAGGCCTAACGCCGTGTCTGTGTCTGTGTCTGTGTCTGTGTCTGTGTCTGTGTCTGAGTCGGCGCCAGAGCGCGAGCCAGCGCGGTGGAGGCGTGGAGGCGTGGGCTGCTGCACTGGAGGTGTGTGTGCAGGCAGGCAATAGTGTACATAGCCGGGTTGGCGAGACGACTACGCGAAAAGACGTGCGGGCGAATCAAGACGGGTTGGGGGTGCGGTTGCAAAGGCGCTTGTGTGGGAGGAGCACGTCCCTACACGTCAACATGAGCGGAACGCAAGCGTCTTCCATTCCCCTGTGGTTGCGGGCTTCCGCTGCACGCAGAAGAGGCGCTTTGCTGGCAGCGAAGCGAAGGTGGGTCAGCGGCGCGTCCAAAACTCATGCCCCTGCCCCACTGCTGCTGTGCGCGCTGCTGTGCTTGCCCGGTGCATCTCGATTCGGTTGCGATACGAGCACGAATCCGTGAGATTCCACCTCGGAGGTTTGGTAACACGCAGGGTCCCGGGGTCGGCTTTTGCGGCTGCTTGCGGTGTTGGCTCGATATGGAATTCTGGGTGACGGGTCAGAGATTGCGATGGTTTGCGCGCAGCGACTATCACTATTTCCTGGCGCTCGAAAAGGTTTCAATGAAAATCTTTCGGTAGGCGCCGAACACGAAGTTCAACGTCGGTACAATGCTGCATCGTGAGACTGAGGCCAGAGATGTTGACGCGAGGGCGTGAGAGGCGGTGAACGATAGTGAAATTGCGTGTGGACAGTGCGATCGATTGAACTATGTAATGCGGACTTCTAAATTGTCTACTGACACATCAGGGTTAGTGAGTCTCCTGCCAAATGGAAGCGATTTCAGCATTCCAACAGCCTTACATAGCCAACGAGTGCATGTCACTCGCTTTGCTATAGGCTCAGACGCTAGGCGTCTCTATCCAATCTCTCCTGCTCTGGGGGGTCATCGATGACACCTGAAGTGTCAAACTCCGGAACGCCAATCTCGCCATGATGTAAAGCAAACGCGGTAGCACTCAAGGTGCCGTGGTATAATTGTGTAGCGAGTTGTGAAACAACGGCTCGGCAAAGCCAGATCCCGTGGGGATTGTCGAAATTGTCGAAATAGAGGTTACGAAGTTGAAAAGTGGTAACACAAAGCAATTGTGCTGAATCGAACGAAGTGAAGAACGCCAACGGATCCCATGCCGTGATGCAACGCTCGTAAACGCAATCAGTTGAGTATGAGTCGAATGTATAGTGTGGTTAATGTGTGAGGCAGTAGATGATCATGATGCTCGTGTAGTGGGGGTTGGTGAGGCGTGTCGCGTCGATGATGCGATGGGGTCCTGGCGGAATGCCAACATGATGTGCTCCGCGACCCCAGCCATCGTGGTAGGCGACTAGCCTAGGGGCTGGGAGCGCTGATTGTTATTTGATGATTCGTCCTTTACCCTTGGCTTTGGAGGCTTTGCCTGCGCCAGAGGATGTAAGCTTGCTGGTTTGCATGAGCTCGCCAATGTATCTGGGGGCGTTAGCATCTACTCAATTGCGCTCCCGGGAACACATACGACTGCAGGAATTTGTTGCCGCCCTCAAGCTTCTCGTGTTCTGACTTGACGACCTCTACACGGTCGACAATCTCCATTAGGCTTGCTTGGAGTTGCTTGGCTTGTCTGTGGGGGACGTTAGTGACGGTGGTAAGAGGGTGCAGACCGGGCGCTGCGACACGACTGGCGGTGTACCGGACGATGACAGCAGTCGCTGGCGACCGCAAGCATCGTCGCTGCACTGCGTGGGCGATGTCGGACGTTGGTGGTGCATCGTGGCAACTTACTCTATCAAGGCCTGTCTCGCGTCCTGGCCCATCTTCTCAATCTCCTCACTGCTTCGGCGAGGGCTCATGGTCCGGGCATCTCCATCATCGTACTCCTCCTCCTTGAGCTCGACGTGAGGACTGTCGCGCGGGATGATGATGGTGCCGCTGGACTTCCTGCTCCCCAGACGCGGGCGCATCGTGGGGTCGCCGCCCTTGGGGTGGTCCTGGTCACTGACCGAGCAGGTGCTGGAGGTGGTGCTCATGTCGTCGGGATACGAGGACCGGCGATCAACGTCGAAGACTGCGACAGTCGGGTAGGGAGCAGAAGATAGCTGCTCCGACATCTCAGGAACAGGTGTAGATGTGCGGCTCTGTAGTATGAGTGGAAGAAGCGCGCAATATTCGGCAGGAACGGCGCCGTTAGATCAAGTGGACAGACGCCAAGGTAGGAAAGTGGGTGATGTCGAGGGATGAGGACTTGTTAGGAGGCCCCGCTGGGAGCGCTATGCCGCTTGCAATATCAAGGGTCCTCTGCTGGCAGAAAATCGGATCGCACCCCTGCGCGCTGCGCTCGGAGCCTCGGGCGCTGGGTGGAATGTGGATAGGCGGGCTAGGAATGCGATGACGCTGCGCTGCCGAGCCTGGCGTCCTCGTGGTGGCTGCACGGTGTCGGATGGCAAAGACAGGGCGGGAGAAGCGGTGGCTGCATGGGTGGAAGAGACGAGAAAAGGCGCAGAAGCGTGTATTTTGAACAGACACGTTCGGTCACGCCCTCACCCGTTAGTCACGTCGCGCAAGCACTCGCCAGCGCTGCGACTCCAAGGTTTGATCTTGTCGATCGCCCTCAGCACCAAGCGCAGAAGCCCACTCAGAGGGGCGAGTAACAACCAACGGCAACTTGATGGCGAGACAGCACCCAGCACTGGTACACTGTGCCGCGGACCGGGGCCGCTGCCCAGCTGTAACCGTCGTCAGATTGATTCTGCTCGCTACGAACAGCCGCTGGCAGCGTCCTGATCGTCAGTGCCTGCAACCGCAGTCGCAAAGGCTGAGCGGCGATGACGTGGGAGGGCTTGCTAGATTGGTTGCACTCGTCCCCACAGCGGCGCCGCAACCACACCTGTCGCACCAAGCGACTTGCCGTCATTGCCGGCCAACAGCGGGCACTGCAGCCACGCCAATCAGTGCTGCTTCTGGTCAAAATTACTGAGATGACGATGCTCGGCGCGCAGGGGTGCATGGAGGGCCCCTTCCTGTTTGGGCTGCCCTTCTAACCAAGCCTTTACCAAAACACCGATGTCTCTGCGCCGCGAGAACTTCCCGCAAGTAGGGCAGCCTCCCGTGGTAGGGCAACCTCCCGCAGGTAAGGCAGCAACTCGCATTGCCGGCGCTGGGGATAATAGCTGCAGCCCACTATTATCGCTACCACTGAGAAATTTTGCAGTGTTGTCTCTGTTGACTCCGAAAATATGGGTCGTCGCTCACGACTTCCGGCATCGTCGTCGTCGCCCGTCAGCGCAGATCGCCCCCTCATCTCTCTTTTGTCAAGTTTCGTGTAAGATCGTCACCTGAGTTGGACCCTGCGGCACTCCTTGTAACCCGGTGCACCACTCCCGGTGTTGCTGTTACAGGAGGATCACCTTGTTACTCCATCCGGTCACTATCTGTGCATTCACCGGCCTCCCACATGCTCTGTAGCATGTTTATTCCCCCCCCGCCATTTTTTCGTGTCGGTGATAGACCAATGACAAACTCACGTGTTTGATCACCGTGCAACCTGGGAACGCCTACCGTCGTCCATCGTCCCGTCGACAAGGCTTGTCGCCGAGCCAAGACCGTGCAAACTCGTGGAGGGAGCCGACCATGCCACTGCAAGAAACGTTTTTCGACGGCCCTGTCCATAAGACGGATGTCGCAATTCACCGCCGCACACGCCTTTCTTTTGCTGTTCTTTGAGTGTTCGAGCAACGGTGATCGTCATGTTGATGACGTTACTCGCCGGAAAGCTTGTCTTCCATGTCTCACTTGACCACGGCCGACCACCAGTACTTTCTCTCTTTGGCGGACAGCCCAAGATCATCCCGTCTTCGATACTTCCTCGCCAAGTAGGCCGTGCATGAAAGGTCTGAGCGGGGACACCGCCTTTTGCTCAATGGCGATCTTACGGGAGATGGAGTTTGCACGAGGATAGGCATAGCAGCCTTGCCAACTTGGGCTGCACTTCTACTAATGTTAGGGTTCTTGTTTCACGCGTCTCAATCCGGCCCGGTGCGGACTTTGATGTGGACTTTGAAATAACAGCTGACCATGTACCCGGAACGGATACCGTCCACTTGCATCATTCAGAGGCGACTCTCTCCGCAATTAAACCTGAGTGAGCTGCAGTACGCAGGAGGTCGTGCGTTTCAGGGCGACTTCCGCCAGCAGTATGCCTGCTGCAGATTATAGCATCATCCGTAGTGGTGGAACATCTCTCGTGCCTATGGTGCATGTCCGAGGCCCTATAGAGCTGTACCCAGTACAGTGTAGACGAATGGCTCATCGGGGACTTTGAAGTCTTACCGAATGCTATTAATGCTATTTATGGGCGTGCCATCGGTCTACGGACTATCTCTTTGTAGTACTCAAACCTGAACATTGCTCGTTTGCAAAAGACGCTTGCGTGGTCGATTCTATTCACAGTTGCTCACCCAAATCAAGACGCCGCCGACCGGCTGAAGATGTTGGCATGTTACTGTTAACGCAGCTTCAGCCAATTCACTTGCCGGAACTAGTTGCGGTTACATACCACGTGGTTGGTTCGTTGAGCGATCTTATTGGCACAAGCAATGCTAGCTCTGCCCGTGTCATTCGATTGTCACTTCCAGGGTAGTCACCACTGTAGACAAACAAGACATCTCGGCGAACGGATGTCCTGCGCATCCTCGTAACGATCAATGGAAGCAGTACTGTCGAGTCAGAGCATCAAAAGATCACACCATTCTCACTCTCCACAGCCCCAAATGGTAACCGCGCTCTCATTTTCAAACAAGCATCCACGCATCCAATACTTTCTCCACAACGTAGAAGCACCGCAAGTCGCCTTCTGCTTCCAAGCCCCCTGTAATGACGTTGACTTACGCGTCTCTCCACACCCTGCATTTCTCCGTCTAGTCGACTAAACGTGGTGTTTCGGCGCTTCTCGTCAGCTTCACCGGGCGTACCTGACACGGGACCTTAACCTAATAGGGCTTGACACCGGACCTACGTCAACTCACAGGGCTGAGCTTGTCGCGTCTGATCGAAGAGGTATTTTACGAGTCAGGTAGCCTACCATTATCCACGCGTAGTAGGACCGGATAAGAGGCGTCCGAACTGGTTCGGTGTGTGGGACGGCGATTGCCAGTTGTAAGTGTAATGCACGTAGTGAAGCGAAGTCGGCAGTCCATAGTGTGCTGCTTGACCTGAGAGATTGCGGGGTCGAAAGGGGCGAAGTGAGGCCGGCGAGGAGATGAGGAAATGTTGGTGATGTCAGACAAGAACTATACAAGACGCGGAAGAATTTAAACGTCGGCCGAGTGTCAGGGAGGACAGGGAAAATCCCGAGGAAAATCTGGAGGAAAGCCTGTGTGTGCATCAAAACGAGCTGCTAAACCTCCAATGTGTTGGGAGTTTGTTCTATGTACCATCTTCTATCAAATCTACACGTTGCCTGATTACCCCTCCGTTCGTCCTGTTGATATACCAATGATATCCATCTACTGCTTTCTCACCGGCCTCCCGTCTGTCACGTCTCCATACTTCGGGTCCTCGTAGTCTCCAAAGCACGCGAAATCGTAATCAGCCAGCTCAATCTGCTCTTTCTGCACTTTCAAGAACGTCTCCATCTCGCACCACCCATCGTCTCGATCACCACAAGCCTTCAGGCTCCTTCCCAGTGGAATCGTGCGCTGATTGAGGATGAAGTGTACGTAGCTCGTCGGCTCACCATCAAGGTAGATGTCCTTCGAGTGCCGGTCGGGGTTCACAGGGGCGGGTGCTTTGATGACTTCGATGTCGAGACGCCCGGCGAAGGGCTCAATGTAGCTTAGTATAAATTCGCGGTCCTTCTTTATGGTGTCGGTGGGTAGATGCTCGGCGAACTGCGTCAAGCCAAAGGCAACCAGTATGCTGATGATGTTTGCGTCATGACTGAAGTCAAGGTTCAGGTTCTGATCAACGGGGAAGGTGGAGGTATTGTTGTCTAGGGTGATGTTAATCTGAGCACTCTGATCGACGATGACGTGATGCTGCATGCGTGCAAGGACTTCCTGGACATAGCCAACGCCGATGGCTCGGCCGACTGGTGAAGCAAATGCGGTTCCTGCTGTAAAACCAATGTCGAGAGCGTACTCATAGCCCTCCCATTCTTCATACGTGAATAAGCCGCACCAATGAGAGAAGCCCAGGCCCACCGTCTCATAGGCACACAGTGCTTGTGCATTGTAGGTGTCGGCGATGGTCCAGTCGAGATCACCAGTGATGTTGTCAGTGAAACGCTTATGGGCATCGACAAGGTACACATTGACCCACTCCATGAGTGCATCTCGAGCCATGGTCCAGCTATTGTGGTTACATTGCTTGTATCCAGCGAGTGTGTTGTTGAAGCCCGGTGATTCGATCGCAAGTTCCAATGTCGCGTTCTGCGTCCAACCCAGACCGAAGAAGCCGGCCATGAAATATTCGGCAGATTCGTACATACGGCGTTGTGTGGTACTCCTGACCACAATCTTACTTCCATTGTTCGGGTAGAGATGCCCATACTGGTAGTAGTGTAAGGTACCAGAATTGAAGAGCTCTTGCTTGCCCATGGGGACTAGAATCTCGCCGCCAAGTTGCCACCTCCAGTAGTTGAGAAATTCCAAGACACCATGACCGGTAAATTTCCCTGCAGCGGCCATAATCTTTTTTCCAAGCATCATTTCTGCTGCATCACCACTGAACTCAGGGTAACGACTGCCATGGCGGTGGACCATGTTCAACCAGGTCACATTGGATCCGGGCGGGACTGCATACTCGTCGACACCGAAACCGCGCGGGTTAGGAAAGTAAGGGCTGATGTTGGCCAGACTCTGGAAGATGTTCCGACCCTCTGCGTTGGCAATAGGCACCTGGGTTTCTAAAGGTGCATTCGGGATGTAAGAGACCCCAACAAAGGGAGCTATATTGGTCTGGGCAAGGTATGGGGCGTCGCCAGTTTGTGTAGGTCCTAATCACACGTAAGAACTCGCCCAAAACTGTGATTGTGGGAACTCACCCGCGAAATGGCCATCATCTGTGACAAAAAAGTCCGGGGCACCAGATGTCTTGGTCGGTCTCGAGGCTGATGAAGGCTCAGTTTTTGTTCACTCGTGGAAATCATGATACTTACGCTTCACGGCAGCCTGAATGTCAAATATAGGTTTTTGTGCATCCGAAGTACCCCTTTACTTCGAATTAGTAGACTGCAGATGGGTGCTTGATAGAATCAGTTTCTGTGCCAATTGACGTACCTGAGGTTGAGAAGCCGCAGAGATAGATCTAGGAGTCCGTGCATGGCTTTGAGCTGAGGAGCTTGCGTAAGTGCGGAAAGGACAGTGCTGAGAGATTATGCAGCTCTCTCTTGTAGAGTATAGCTCTGCTGTACGCGTACCACGGGCTCTCATGCAGCTTTGCGACGCCGTGTTGGTTTCGATGCGTTCAAGGTTTGGCACACGCAAACGCTTTGACCAATCAAGCGCTAGGAAGGACAGTGACGACATCGCGAAAACATGAGGCTGGAGGCGTCTAGGCAAGACCATGGCCTCGCTATGACACAAAGAGCGAACTCATATCGATTTCTTGCGAATGACGATGCTGTACAGCATCCGGTCATCTCCGACGAACCTACTTGAGGAGGGCGCCCAGACCCATTCAACTTCATCAGCTATTGCATCATAACCGGGGAAGAATCCAACGCACATGATTGCAACGTGTTATCAGTACTACGACGCAGCGGTCACAAAGGTAGAGGTTTACAGTGAACAGCTTAGCGTCCGTAGGGCCATGACTGCAACGTGACATTCGGTGAAAAATGTATTTGTTCTATCCTATGAAGACAGTGGCGATGGACACATGAAACCATGAAACAGTCTCTCACATTTCAGGAGAAACGGCTGACGAGCGACCTTTAAGCCGACCAACTTTACCAAAAAATCTGTAGCTATAATGTCATCTAAAGGTACGATTCAGTAAAGTGTTACATATATTGTAGGCAAAAGTATTCCCTAGATTCATTTTGCATTTTCCTTACTTTGCCTTGTGTGGTGGATTAATGGGCTCACCTCCTTAACCCACCATTTGTCCTGCAACATGACAGACAGCACACTCACGAGGGCTGCCATGTCCATGCTTAGCCCTCTGCCTCAATATCGTAAGCGTTGGACTTGTGTTTGGGCTCGAATTTGAAGTTGGGGTGCGCAGGACCAAGAAACATCTCACTGAGCTTGATCCAGTCCTTATAGTTTTCACTAGCCATCAAGGTCTCCAGTTCATTCCTGCCCTTGTACTTTGGAGGCCGGTCTTGAATGTTGGGTGGCAAGTGTTCCAACAAGCCATGGGGCACGTAACGGTGAGCGAAGCTGAGCCACTCAAGCAAGAAGCGACGCGTCGTACCGATACCCATCTCATCGGAGCCCCACGTCTGCAGACCATATTTGGAAAATTTCTCGATGTAGCCCAGACGTTCCGTGGCGGACTTGTCAAGGTATTGACCCGTTTCAATCTCCTCGAAGATCCATGGCTTGATCAACGCGCCGCGGCCGATCAAAACCGAGTCGACACCCGAGTTGTTGATGTTGTTGTAGTAGTCCTCATGCGAATAGCAGTCACCGTTACCGACGAAGTAAACGTGACCACCATTGGCAAGATCACGAGGATCGGCTTCTGCAACTGTGTCTGCTCGCGCATCCTTCTCGCTCTTAAGGCGTTTGATCAACGACGCACATTCGGCGATGTATGACCAATCCGCACTCCTAGAGTAGCGCTGTTGCTTACTCCTGCCGTGAAGCGTAATAGCCGCGATGCCAGAAGTACCTTTGCCGGACTGTACAGCCTCATAACCACCAAGGACGAGTCGTCTGATAAGCTTTGTAGCGGTGGGGTTGTTGTCCTTTGTGCCCATGCGGATCTTTACGGTAATTGGTGTCTCCTTTGACACATATGCCATGCCGCGTAAGATACTTTCGAGCTTAGAATCTTGATCAAGCAACGCAGACCCAGCGCCCTTCTCGCAGACCAGGTTGATGGGGCATCCGCAGTTCAGGTCGATAGCTCGAAGCTTGGGGCAGTGATCGGTCAGGACTTCTACAGTCTTCGCAGCGAGCCATGGCTTGTTCGCCGCGATTTGGGCACCGAACTTCATGTCACTAGCGTTGTCGTACCCCTGAACGACGGTGTTCTTCTGCAGAAACTTTGGTGGGCTGATTTCGGATTCGTGTGCCTTCATGAGCGCCCACTCGCCTCTTTCACCCTGAATCAAAGGCATACCCATAGCCATCTCACTCCACGTAATCTGGCAGCCCAGATCTACGCAGAGCCTGCGGTATGGCATATTTCCTTGGGTGGTGAGGGGCGCCAAACTTGGGGTTTCCGGTCCATAGTAGAGCCTTCGCTTCTCAGAAGGTCTAAACGGCGCGTCCACAAACTCCGCTCTTCGCGCTTCCTTCTCTTCTTTCAAGGCCTCGTTGTCTCCGGCTGCAGAATCAAACATGGCGCGCTCGTTGTCTTTGTTTGAGTCGATCCACTTCATATACTGGTCTGAGCGCGGAGTTTGGATCTTTCGCTTTGCGAGACCAATCTTGACATCCTTCGATACAACATTTGCAACATCGACCTCGTCTTCGAGATTCACCATTGTTGATGTGCGTTCGGAGTCCTCAATCAGAACTAGCTCTTTTCGCCCATCTTCAGTATCACGCTCCTTGGAGTGGCTGCCGACGAAGCGACACTTCCAACCAAGATGGCAGTAGCCTTTCACCTCGTGGATCGGACACTTGCCGTTGAAGGTAGTAAGGTCCTCACGGCGGCCTTCCTTCAGGTACTTGCGAAGATCGTGTTCGAACCGGCACTTGGATTCAAAGCCGCATTCCTTTGGAGAGAACTCATTGCTGAGCATACGAGTCGAGCAAAGCGGTAAGTTGTCGCGAGAGCTTCCAAACGTTCGGCTGGTGTTCTGGCCACCTTTTTGCTTCTTGTTCTTCTTGTCTTTCTTCCCTTTTCCTCCACCGTCGCGCGCATCGCCCTTATGATAGCGGTCGTCTGCGGCTTCAGCTGCGTCGTCGTCGACAACTGCATCCTTTGTCTCAACTTTAGCATTAGTGCGGTGGATCAAGTACCTGTTTGCATTAGCAGGCACATTCACAAGCTTCTAGCAATGCGACTGACTCGGCCTTGATAGGTGCGACACCTTTCTGGCGTTTCGCAGAACCTTCGACGCCTTCATTGTTGGGGCTGTTGCTTCTTGCTCGTTTCTTCACTTCGCTATCGCCACTGTGTGCACCATTGGAGTCCAGTGGAATGGTCGCACCAGGCAACGGCTGACCGGACGAGCTGTCGATCTTTTCACCATCCATTGCAGGTTGTTCTATAGTATTGCTGCACCTCACAAAGTAGAGTGGGCGACCGTTCCGTGGTATTGAGATAATTTGACAAAGTGAATTCGCCTTTGCTAGAAGCAGTCTAGACCCGCAAGCCACTGTGGCTTCGGGGACCGTGCCCGAGGCCGTAGCTCCAACATACGTCACGCTCACAAGTCTAGGCACACACAGGACACAATCCTGCGTCGATTCCCCTTCTCCCCTCAACCCACAACACCGCCACTTATAAATAAGCCTTGATCACCTTCAGGGAACTCCTCATACCTCTTCTACCTTTCTTCCGTGCACTTCCGTCGCACACGACCCCGCCGACACAGAGAGACCTTCAGTCCCCGTGAGAACAGAGCTACGTTGCAAATATGACTCTCTACTACAGCCTTGTAAGTCCTAGCATCCTCGAAGAGCACTCGGCATTTAGCATGTGTCTTCAAAACAAGCATCAATGGCGGACTTTCACGGCATAGTGGTTGCGTGTCTGCCCTGCTACCCCTCGCTGCTGAATCAACGTGGCTCGTGTGCTGACTTTGTTGTCTTCTAGGTCTTTCTCCTCCTGGTAACAGAGATGGCCATCTTCTGTGCTCTCATAGTTCCGCTGCCATTCACCTGGCGCCGCAAGCTCTTCACGTTCATTTCGGAAAGTCCCATAGTGGCCAAGCTACAGTATGGTATGAAGGTACGTCGCCCTCTTACGCACTATAGGAGACGCTTCTAATTATTGTTTAGATCACATTCATCTTCATACTCATCCTCTTTATTGACAGCGTCAATCGTGTCTACCGCGTTCAGGTTGAGCTGTCAAGCTTTGGCGGCAACCCCCAGCAGGGAGGGTAAGTTATAGTCCGTTACAGGTTAAAACCACCAGCTAATCGCCACAGCAGACAAGCCAGCCTCGGCGGTATTGAGCGTATGGAAGTCCAGGCCCGCAAGTTCTACTCCCAGCGCAACATGTACCTTTGCGGCTTCACCCTTTTCCTGTCTCTCATCCTCAACCGCACATACGTCATGATCCTCGACGTTCTCCGTCTCGAAGAGGAGCTCAAGACTTACAAGGGTGAGAGTGGCACCAAGAAGGGCTCGTCGCTCAAGGATGTTGGTGGCGCTGGTGAGGTGGGCAAGCTCAAGAACGAGCTCGCCGCCAAGGACCGCGACATGGAGAACCTGAAGAAGCAGGTTGAGCAGATGCAGAAGGAGTACAACCGTATGGGCGATCAGGTTTCCAGCAAGTAGATGGCATCTGGCCGACTCCCCCGAAGCCTGTCAGATGACGTCGCTAAACAGCTGGCGATGCTATTTCTGCGCAGCATCAGGGGCCCTTTAACTCTCAAAACACGCTGGACGCATTCGTCTTCGTCCAAGCCAGACTTCTGAGCGCCGTAATTGGAGCATCAGCGCGACGTGTTAGCACAGACGTGCACGATTCTATTATTTATGGCAGTCGTACTGAACAGTACGACACCTCCTCAGCATTGAATTAGCGTACAAAGCAAAATTACATCCTTATTCTCCAAAGTCTAATGGCTGATCCTACGTAACTTCCGATCATCCCGCTGTCACATGCGTGGTTTTACCAATGTACCTAGGCAGGCCATTCAAGTTCAGGGCCGGCTTCAAAGAACCACCCAACCAGTTTCCTGAAAAAGCTGCGGATAAGCGACCTACAAGCTGACCAAATTTGATACAGGACTTGTAGATACAACAATACTCACAGCTCATATTTGTTCAAGTCTTAGTTTTTGTACATTTTCCCTACGTTACTGTCGCGTAGTAGAACATCCAGCTCACAATCTTATTCTGCCGATTGTCCTGCAACGTGAGAGCCAGCGTAGGCCTCACATAACTTCGGAGGCTCAGACAACTCTTCTCGGTTACACGTATCACACTCCAGGCCTACAGTACTGCAATCATGTCGAACAATGATGCTACGGCGGCACGGTTCCTGAATTACCCCACACCGACGGCACGCGACGCTCCCTACACACCCCCACCCCCAGCTAAGAACCCTGTGATCAAAGGCACACCATTGAACTACCTTGGAAGCATGTAAGTGCCAAATCGTTCGAGATACGAAATGTACTGACGGACGGAGTGTTGCCGCAGTACCTGGCCTGCCGTACCTGCTATGGAGCAACGCAGGCTTCAGCTCCTTGCGCAGCTGCAAGGAGCTTGTCGGCATACAACCTCGATACGATCCAACCGTAATCCCAGTGTCGGCGTCTCTTGATGCAGCACCTATCTTGCCTGTTAATGTGAACGAATTGCGAGTCACACCGATAGACACGAAGGATCGCTTCTACACGGTCGCCGACTTCAACAATGCCTACACGAGCGGCACGCACACACCGACCGACGTGGTAGAGACCCTATTACCTCTTATACGTAGAGACTCAAAACAGCGTACGCGTCATTCCACAGCTTTCATGCCTAGTCAGATTGAGCTTGTTCGAGAAGCGGCCGAGGCATCGACCAAGAGATGGAAGGCTGGCAAGCCCTTGAGCATATTGGACGGTGTTCCGTTCGCCGTGAAGGACGACCTTGAGGTCAAGGGCTACAAGAGGTACATCGGTACCAGTCATGACTACACGGATGGTAGAGAACACGAAGCGGAGACGAGCTGGTGTGTAAAGAAGGTCGAAGAGCAGGGTGCTGTTCTCATCGGCAAGCTTAACATGCATGAGCTGGGTATGGACACCACGAACAACAATCCTATCTGGGGGACGCCATTGAACCCGTACCATGAACAGTACTATACTGGAGGCTCATCTGGAGGTGCGGCGTCCGCTGTCGCAGCCGGACTTGTTCCCTTTGCAATTGGGTCAGACGGTGGTGGCTCTGTTAGAATCCCATCGAACTACTGCGGTCTCTATGGACTCAAGACATCCCACAGCCGAGTTTCAACGGCTCCTCTGGCGAATGATGGCACGTCTGTGACGGTACGAGGTCCTTTGGCAAGCAACATGGCAGACCTAGAGATCTCATACCGTGTTCTCGCACAGCCGGATCCTTCAAACTACCCATCCTCTGAGTTTCAACCACCGCGAGCCTTTACAGGCCCCCGTGACAAGATCCTTGGTATTTACAAGCCGTGGTTCGAGCGCGCCGATCCTCCTGTCCAAGAAGCATGCCATTCGGCTCTAAACTATTTGCAGTCTGAGCTTGGCTACCAGGTGGTGGATGTCAGCATCCCTCTTCTTCATCAGGGGCAGCTTGCCCATGCCATGACCATTCTTGCAGAAGGCGCATCCGGTCACAAGACCTCTGTGTACGAGCTCACGCCAGCCAACAGAATCCTCATGAGCGTGGCCCGGCAGACACCAGCCACGGACTTTCTGCTCGCCCAGCGCGTCCGCAATGTGATCATGGAACACCTCGCTTACCTCTTCAAGAAGCATCCAGGTCTTATCATCGTCACACCCACAACTCCCAATGCGGGTTGGCCGATCGAAGAAGCGGACCTGGCTCACGGTATGACGGACGCCAACATGCAACTCAAGAACATGGAATACGTCTGGCTTGCAAACTTCACAGGCGTCCCCTGCATTCAATTCCCAGTCGGGTATGTGGACGGAGTCAAGGGTAAGGGTAAAGGCAAGGTGCCTATCGGACTGAGCGGACAGGGTGAGTGGGGGTAGCGAAGACGCCCTGATAGAATTTGGGTTCGATGGCGAGAAGTGGCTGCACGAGGGCTATGCAGGTGGGAAGCTGAGACCTGGGGCGTGGGTCGACGTGTTGAAAGCTACGTAAAGACGAGGAGGTAGCCACCGCGCCCTGGCACAGTCGAGTTGCCTTTTGGCAGTTTTAAAGGATTGAAATCTTCTTTAGCACAGGCAGTAGGGATCTGAAATACAACTGAATTCCCCCACTAAAGTGTAATTGCACTAATAAGACACTCTTCCCAGTAATGTTACCAATCTTTTATCTCTTGCCTTGCAGCTGCGTTGATAGCAGCCCAGCCATTCTTGGGTGCGGAACTTTGGATGGAGGAAGGAAGCAAATGCGAAGAGTCCGGAGCAAGTTGACGAATCGTACATGGAACAAGACGACGACAGATACAGCAACGGTCAGCAAGACATCGTTTGAAGTGAAGGGGTACTGGTGCATTTAAGCGGCCAGATGGTACGCGGATGCGTGTGAGATTACAAGTGTGAAGTGCGAACCAAAAGAATCGTGACATCGTCCGCCAGGTACATAGTTGTACACAATACAGAAAAATTAAACTTGCCGTGCCATATAGATTGATAAACCAACCTCCTATACTGTAAAGTAAAGCCTTGAGACTTCAATGATAGGATATGTAACGATTGAGATTTGGCGCTCACCTGTACTGTACTTGGATTAATTCATAAAACCCTGGAACAAGTCCAGCGACCCTTGGGTGAAAACAACTTATCGTGGTAGTTCTGTACACGCTGGAACAGCGGCATTCTATGAATGTAATGAGGAGCTGGCAGCTGAAGAAGCTGACAAGCTAATTCACGAAGTTAAGGTATGTTAAGTGTTATGTGCATGCCTTCTTCTTGATGCACAAGATCCTAGCGTCAAAGCATCTTGACGGGATATCTCGTCGCCGGTAAGTCCGAATACTTGGCTTACATCCCTCGTCCGCCGTTCATCCTGCAATGTGAGAGTGTTGCTTCGACAAAACCGCACTTGCCTAGATGCGGTTAGATCGAACGGATGACGCGCTAGCTGGAAGCTCAAGCTTCGCGATTGAAGATGCTCAAGCAAAACAACTGACTCAGCCTGTGCAGCGGTCTTGCTCTCGGTTCCTCTCGTGCTCCATAACAACAAAATGTCAAGTATAGACGATCTTTTCAAAAGCCACAGCGGCGCGAAGCGCAAGTTCGAAAATCCCATCGAAGCCGACCCGTCGCAAGCCTACAAATCCGCGAAACTACAAGGAGATGGCGACGTAAAGCGCTCGGCGCAAGTAGAAGATGAGGACGAGGACGATGAGGCAGGGCCTGCACTTCCACCCGATTTCGAAGATGAAGAGCCTGGCGATGACGAGGATGGTAGATTCTTTGGCGGCGGTCTGGACGAGAACGCGAAGGATGCTATGGATTTCTTGGATGCACAAGACGGAGAAGATGTAATACGAGAGGAAAAGTACGACGCAGCATGGGTGCGCAAATTGGCGCGCGACTTTGAGAAGAAGGTCAACAAGAATGCTTCATTACGCGCAAAGTACGAGAGCGATCCTTCAAAGTTCATGGAGTCAGAAGGAGATCTAGACGATGGCATTAAGGATATGAGCATACTTTCAGAGCACGCAGAGCTATACGAGGAGTTCGCAAACAGCACAGCGGCCGCCAAGCTCGTCGAGCTGCTTGCACACGAGAACACAGATATCGCGATTGCTGCAATAGAGATCATATCAGAGCTCACGGATGAAGACGTAACTGCAGAGCAAGAGCAGTGGGATGCGCTGGTCGCAGCATTTCTGGAGGCTGATCTGCTCAGCTTGCTGATCTCTAACTTCTCGCGCTTCGACGAAAACGACTCGACCGACGCCTCTGGTGTATACCACTCTCTCAGCGTTCTCGAGAACTTGCTGTCACAGCCTTCGAATACCGACATGATAGGGAGGGAGAAAGCGCTCGTCGCTTGGCTCCTGGGGCGCATACAGAAACCGGAAAAGCCCACCACACAGAACAAGCAGTACGCATCCGAGATTCTCTCCATCCTTACACAATCATCGCGACCAAACCGAACGCTCATTGCCGAAGCCAACGGCGCCGAGATCTTCCTCACAAATCTTGCGCCCTACCGAAGGGATGACCCGGAGAAGGACAGCGACGAGGAAGAATACATGGAGAACCTGTTCAACTGTCTGACCTCCGTGGTCGAAGAGCCAATTGGGAAGACACAGTTCTTGGAAGCCGAGGGCACAGAGCTCTGTCTATTGCTCGTGCGCGACGGGAAGACAAGCAAGAGCAGAGCACTCAAGGTGCTAGATTATGCGTGCGCCTACGCAGAAGCGCCCACCTCGAATGGTGCCAGCGCTGATGACGCTTCTCCGCCCGCACATGTCGGCGTTTGCGAAAGATTTGTTGACGCACGCGGCCTGAAACCACTCTTTAGCACATTTATGAAGACGAAACGGCCAGATCCTAGCCAGACAGAACACATTCTCGGAATTTTCTCCTCACTTCTCCGTTCGCTGCCAGGAAACAGCGACTCTCGGTTCCGACTGCTGGCGAAATTCCTCGAGAATGACTTCGCCAAGATCAACAAGCTCATCACACTGCGACGCGAGTACGTTACTAGGCTCTCCACCTTCGATAAGAGCCTGGAAGGCCGGAAGAAAGGGCTGACTGCAGAGGAACGCGATGAGCTGGAAGCAGAAAACACTCCATTGCGATTGAGCGAGGGGTTGTACGCATTGCAGAGGATAGACGCTACGCTTGGGTGGTTAGTGGCGGAGGATGAAGGAGCAAAGAAGGCCATCATTCAAGGGTTAGCGGAGACAGATGAGACTCTGGCAGACGTCAAGAGAACGCTGCAGGCGCAACTGGATGGAGTACTGGAGGTCGAGGCTGCGGAGAGAGAAGTTCTAGAGGCGCTTGTAGGGTTCCTGGATTGATCTCATCAGGAATATGGTATCAGTTGGAAATCGATATCAGAGCTGCGTTGAGAAGGTCATGGATAGGAAGCCCTACCTTGACGATCATGACCCTGGCTAATAAGAGGTCTTTGTACTTTATAAGTGGACTTGCAATGACGACGGTATGTCGGGCACTATCTTCGATAAATGTGACCAGGCAGGATGTAACAGCATGTCTTGCACCCTACGGTCCCAACAAGAAAACCGCAAGACACCTACCCCGTCTTACGTGATCACCAAAAATCCTCACTGTGAGCATCTTGCATTTGGAAATCAGAATGGAAGCCCAGTGATCCGATGATAATTCCATTCTTTGATGACTTCTGAAGAAGTATGGGTTGCATACTGTTCTACACTACGATCCGAGGCCACAAATGTACGAGACTTTTGAAGCGAAGCCACTATCCAAGTCTCCGAAACGACTGCCTCAGGCACGCCCCAACCAACCTGCATGGAAGTTTCCTGTACACGGGCACCACTTGTTTGCATCTTTCTCCACGCCATGGATCCTCACGCTTACTTGTGAGGAATACGCCGTCATGGTCTCCGCTCTGGATGTGAATACGGATGAAGTGCATACATATGATCTGGTGAAGACGAGCTGGGAGTTGCATGCCAGTGGCACACTGGACTTTGTGGAGAAGGCGTGGCTGGGGCCCTTGGCTGTATGTCGGTGTACACGAAGAGCAATTCCATGTTTGTAATCGTCAGTAGGTACGGGCTCTATATTTGATATCGTTCGAAAGGCTGGATAGAGGTTGTTTTGTGATACTCGATTCGTATTGAATATGGATTCAAGGTGTTCCGTGCGAGCAAAGGGAAATTACCGATATGATAGTACTATTGAGATTGTACACCGTGAGAAGTCTTGTTGAACGAGCAGGGAGTCATGAGAGATTGATCACACAAAGACGGTTGAGGAACAAAGCGCTTTCATTAAAGAACGTCGCCCTGCGCAGGGCATAAGTACACTACTAGAACCAAACAACCCAAGGGGGCCATGCTTTCCTCGAATCAGACCTCCTACACCCAGCGTTTCTCTGAAGGATCAACGACTCTCAACACTAACACCTGCACTAAAACGCATTTTGCAGCTAACCCCCACGGCACATAAAGTGCAAATACTCCTAGAACTTGACGAGCTTCCAGCCAACGTGCATAGAACGACTCCACATGAAGAGGCCCGATGAGATCACATAACAGATAATGGTCCAGATGACCACACCCCAGTACGAGCCGCCGGACGTCTGTCCGAGAATGCTGCCAGCGATTGGGATACCCGTCAGCGTGCTGAATGACACGACCATGTAGCAAGTAGCGTAGTAGCGTCCGTATTGGCTCGTGTCGCAAAGCTGACCAACGCACACTGGAGTCAGAGAGATGTTGGATCCGGATGCGAAGCCGAAGATGACGGCGTAGATAATCGAGAGGGCCTTGATGGTCGCCGCAGTGTTGGATGTGGCAGGCGTGAGAATTGCAGCGGGGAGCCAGAAGGTCAACGATGTCGCTCCGCAGACAGCAAGCGCCCCGATCATACAGTTGAAGCGGCCCAATTTGTCTGCTAACAGGCCAGGGACCCACCGTCCGAGACAGCTGCCAGCGTTGAAAATTGCAACGAGCTGGTACGAGAATGCATGCGACATGGCACCGCTTGATGCTGCAAAGGTCGTAAGGTACGTGATGGGAACGAAAAGTGCCCACTCCATCAAGAAGATGGCAACTGTAAGCAACAAGTACGACTTGTCGCGGAATATCCGGAAGTCAGGTAAGACAGACTGTCCAGGCTTGGGAGGCAGTCGAGACTTGATGAAAATACAAGCAATGATGCAGCAGAACACATCGATAAAAGCGATGATCCGCGTTGCCCACTCAAACCCAACCTTGGGCAGCAATTGCTGCAGAGCCAGCGGGAAGATGACACCTCCAAGTGAGCCTCCGGCAGCAGCGATGCCTGTTGCATTGCCTCGCTTTACGAGGAAGAAGTGACTGGCAGCCGCAAAAGCGGGCGTGAAAATCAGGCTCGTGCCTAGGCCACCAAGGACTCCGAAGACCATGAAGAAGTGCCAGTATTGCGTGCAAATTCCGAGGAGGAACATCGACAGGCACAACAAGATGCTCCCAGCGAGCACCAAGAGTCTGGGACCGTGTGCGTCGAAGATGGGTCCGATCTGGAGCCCGCAGAAGAACGAGAGGAAGATGTACATGGAGAAGATCCAAGAGATCGAGCTCTCGCTGTAGCCTCGCAATTGATGCTCGGCGAGATAGCTATGGTAGACTCCAACCGTATTCATCATTCCCAGGGCTGCAAGAAGACCGGAGAAAGATCCTAGAACGCAGAGCCAGGCCTCCCAACCACCTTCGGGGTAGGTGACTTCATCTTCGGAAATTACTGATGGATTCTCTTCATCTGAAGAGGCACCTGGACGTCCTTCATTCTGCTTCGACTTCTCCCGTACCGGGACATCGACAGAGTGAGTTCGGGCACTGCGGCATCTTGAAAGGGTGTCGGCGGGCGGGATAGTAAATTCAGCGGCCGGATAAGAGTTGATGGGTTCGAGTTTATGATCGTCTGGAATTGGTCCTGGCGTGCTGCCTTTGAGTTCACTGCTCATTCAGAGTAGTCCAAGATAATTGCAAGAGCAAATGTGACGTATTCGCGTATCTCGTGTCGAGAATATTGCTAATATCCAAGTTGTCGGAATCGCTTGTAATCGTTAAACATCCACACTGAGCGGTAGGTGTCCCGATAAAGGTAAGCCCCAATGGATATGAGTTGTCTCTGAGAGATCCGGTCTCCAAATGGCTGTAGTCCCCAAAAAATTTGATTTTGCACAACGCAGATCACGGAAGAGGGGGCGTGGACTATATACGACCAAAGCTCTGAGCCGGGCCGCTAGAAACATCCACTAGAGGAAGCCCGCAGTCAAGTTGTCTAGCCGGCAGAGGTACATTGCATACAGAATCTGACCATCAAGAGAGCTTTATGCACTCACAAGGCTCCCCACAGACACGTAGGGCGCGAAGTTGCAGAGGTGCCCACTTTTGGCGCACCAAGCGACGGAAAAGTCGCAAAGCGGTATCGGCCGCTACCGATCAGCTTTTTTCCTCGACGACATCCTTCCCGAAGCTGCGTGTGATTGGTGGATGTAACCGAACTCCAAGACGTCGTTTCACAAATGCGAAGCAGAAATCCGAGAATTCCTTCGGAGTGAAAGGTGCAATATGGCGCGGGGAATCGTAATTTGTTCGTCAACACAGTGAGTCCCATGGGTGTCGCACTCCGTATCCAGATGCGGAATTCGTCATACATGATGTCAATGGCCGTCACCAACCACATTGTGCTCGGGGTGTAGCATCTGGCCGAGTCTCTTTCGGAGTTCGATTCCATCGTCCTTAGGGAGTCGTTTTGCGGGATTACCTACTACTTCAAGAATTGCCAGCGCGTCCTTCTCTGCCCAGATGTGATCGATGAGACATTTGGCGGCGTGAACGGTCTTTCTTTTATCTGTTGCTCCGGCGAAGACAATATACCAGAGGAGTGCTGGCGTGGCAAGGGGAGAGTCTTGAGTTGAAGTAGCGCTGAAGAAAGAGTCGTATCGCGCAAAGTCATCGTTGCCCTTCGTGGTCAACGTTGTAGGATCGATTGGGTTTGTAATGCTATGCTCTTCAGAGTTCATTAGCAACGGCTGTCCAGGACTGATGTGGACTTACGCATGATGTCTAAGAGCAGACTGGTCTCATCTACATGTGAAGAGCCGGCGTTGAGGATGTCGTGTACAGGATTTGATGCACAATATTGGGTAGCCAGATGCATGAGGAGCCAGGCTCCGCGGAACAGCCAGCGCTCATGATGTGGTACATCGTGGTCTCTGGAGGCATACAGCTCCTTGAGCTTTGTTTCGAGAAGTACGTACAACGTGTTGGAGGCTTTCACATTTGCCTCGGGGGCATCCGTGAACAGTGTAGAATCGCAGCTGCCGGCAGGTGCGCTCGTGAGCGCAGGCTCGTGGAGTCCTTCAATGTCGAATGGGGCCTTGATCTCGAATTCGGCCTGGGCACGCGTCTTGGACGTGGGTGAGAAGAGACCTCTGATTTTGCTGGTACAGTTGCCAGCAATGCATTTCAAGTCGCGGCGGATAAGTTTAGACGTCCATCGGACGCTGTATGGAGCAGGCACCATCGTGATGTCAAATGTATAGAGAAGGTGGGTGAAGGTAGTCAGTATGTATGCGCTGAAATTGAGTCGCGTCGCGAGTAATAGGGAAGGGACGCAGAAACTAGTAACGATCATGTAAACGGTGGAAAGTTGCCCTCAAACAATGGCAGACGTGGAATTGGACGACACCGTCTCCTTCACTTTACAATTCCCGCGCCTTGGATGTGATCAATTTCAGCGTGACAACAGGCCGCAATGACAGAAAATGAGCTCAAGGTACGCAACTAGAGCTTCCACTCCAGCGGCTCCTCAATCTCCAGCACCGCATCCTCCAACCACCCACCAAAGCTCCATGGCTTGACCCCCCTAGGCCAGTACCTATCCCCCTCGATATTTTCCCCAGCCGCTCCCAAGACCTCGACCCAGCAACCCCTCGCTCTCTGCACCTTCCCACCAATATCAAACGCACACCACCTGTCCGTCCCGACAGCCACCGCAACCTCGTTCTTCGGACTGATGTCGTACGGATCGATCTGCACCCCGCTCTCCCGGTCTTCAAGCTCTGCAGCAGCAGCCCTGGAGCGCCCTGCTGGTTCTGGGATCGGAGGCTGGACGTGCACCATGCTGACAGGCGCCCAGCTCATATTGAAGGGGATGGCAGGAACCCAGCGCCACGGCGTGAGCTTGCACGCGAAGAACGGTGATACTCCGTCACCGTCCTGCGTACCGGGTGCAAAGACCTTGACAGTGAGGTCTTGCGGCGGCGCGGCAGCGGCTGGTGTGACAGGTGCAGAGAAGGAGAATCGAGCAAGGTGCTTGGGGATGTTCCAGTTTAGACGCCCGTTATACGTCGTGGTGCGCTGGGAGACGTAGATACGAGCAATTCGCAAGGCCTTCTTGGGGATCTTGGGTGGGCCAGATGAAGGGTGTGGCACGCTGAAGTTGCCAGGTATGAGCATTAGTTCATCGTACGGGCCTGGATATGTCAGTGTCGTCACAGCGACTTGCAACGCACGAAGGGACCACAAATCAGAAAGAGAGACTCGGACACACATCCAGATGGTGAATGTGATGGATTTGAAGCAAGGAGATATTTGAGAATACGCAGTCATTCGCCAACAGACGAGGTCCTCCTGTATCCGGTCTTTCATCAGCATCTTGACACACTGTTCATCTGAAGTGTGCAGGAACGTGCATAGCCCGGTTCGATATATTCTTGAACTTCTCTGGGGCATCAAGAACACGGTCCATGCGTCTACAACCATGTTCCCCTCATACGAGAAAATAAGTCCCATGAAACCAGGAAATCTTAACAAGGGGAATGACCCGAACCACAGACATCGAGCACTCCGCCCCACACTCCTCAAGGACCGCACATTCACACCGGCAATATTCACCTTACCACATCACCAGAATAGAAGACAGACTTACCAACAGGCGTATCCGTGTACCGCACAATCATCACTCCGCCCAGCCCGCCCTCAAACCGTCCCAGACCCTCATCCTTCCAGCCCGCCTCAAGCGCATCATACACCCCCGCCGGCAAACCGCCCAGCTTCAGAAACAGCAGATAGCTTTCGGCGCCCAGTGTCCAGGGTGCCGGCGCGCGCTGCACGGGATGCATCGCCGGTGTGGCGCGCTCCATGGCGTGGCGGGTGCGACGGGGGCGCTAGAAGGGTTTGGAAGGGGTCTGGAAAAATCCGGCGTCGGGAGGACTAGGTTTACGGCACTGGGTCAGGAGGAGTGTTGGGAGGCGGCGTTTTGTGGTGCGGCGGGGGGATGGGTAAGCAGTGAGGCTCGGCGGGTGGTGGGGCGCGGGCTCGCCGGTGTGGTGGGTGGACGGCGCTCGGGATGCTGTGGTGTGCGAGGACGGCGAGCAACGTGTGGTGGGACGGAGCGATGTAGGTAGCGTTAAGTTGCAAGTCATGAGTGAGCATAATGCCTGCTTGGCTGGACGGCCGGTAAGCAGCCAGAAGAGGAAAGTGCCGAGGGAACATGTGCGAGGGCGTCCATCATAAGCTCAAGGGCTACTGTGACGTTACAGCAACTTATGGCGACGGCGTAATGCAGCCACCGTATGTTCACGGTGTAATATCTCATGCTCAACAAAGTTGAGCATAGAAGTGCCGGGAGTTCGAGCGAGCTGAGGTGGCTCAAGCGTCCAATCAGCATGCAGCGCAAAGGGCCTCCGTCCACATTGTTCACTGCCGGTGCCCTGAGTCGAATGTCTCAACACCCACATGGAGATTCCCGCAACCCCATACCGCATTGCGCATGTTCTCCTTTCAGAGTGGATCTGCGTCGTATCCATGACTGTTCGTACCTGCTCACGACGAAGGCAAGCAGTCACGCCAGCACCTACCACACCGCTTGTGATCTTCTTTGCTTGCATGTGCCTTACGAAGCGTTCTGTGGTGCCAAGCGCTATTCAACCGTTCGCACCCGTCCCGACAAGGCGCTTGTGCTGCACGGCATACGATCTTGGCTTCCAGATTGGTGGAAGTGGTGTCGCGAGGTGCCGCACTTTGATTACCGAGCCCCCGAGTCTTGTGCGATCCCTACTGCCGCTAATCCACGGGTGGCTGCCAAGGATGCGGCTCTGCCACTCCATCACAACGCCACTAATCTGGCGACCCTACCTAGGCAACGTGAACGTGCTAGATGAACGGTAGTTGATATTGAGCTGTCTTCTTGGAGCAGCCAACCGTGCGCTCGGGCGAACACGGCGGCCAGGCGCAGCAGTAGTGCTGCTACCCCGGTTTCGATGTGGTAAAAGAAGCGCCTGGTTGGCCGCGATGCCCTGCAAGGGACACGCGACCAGTGCAGAGCCGTGCTCCAGCCCGCTGCACGACACGCAGCAGAAACGCGGCTCAGCGTGGCACAGGCTCAGCTCCGTGCCCCTGCATCTGTGTATTTAGCAGAAGCGGGTCCAACACGTGGGCACCGGCTTTAGAGACCGTCAAATGAGGCGCATCGTGGCAAAAATGTAGGAACGATGGTTCCGAAATCGTGGTTGATGTGCAGGAGGGATCGAACTATCGAACCCTTGTGGTCGCTGGTTGGCAATGCAGCAATGTGTGGGGTGGCCTGTCGAGCATCTTCCACCTTGCCATCAGTGCTCGAGGTGTTTAGGCAGTTCCACGAACGGAAATTGTTGCAGTGGTGCATTGACTAGTCTCATTACTCACGAGTAACCACCGTGTCTTGTACTGCATGTCTGCTGTGCTTGGGCAATATCGGCTCGGACACGTCTCCAAGTACATCCTTGGTGTAGTCTCGCCAAGCCGAGGTCCTTCCTGCTTCGGTAGCGGCAGTGTAGGTCAAAGTGAAGATCGCGCCCGCGGTAGGAAGGAGGCTGGAGATTGCAGGTGCTGAGCAGTGAGCATACCCGAGGTATCACGCAGGGCGGGAGATGTGGATATCGTAGAGTGTAGTATTAGGAAGCCGATCGTCTCCTGAGACAGGAAACAGTGAGCAGACTTCAACGTCTATAGACTATCTTGCCGAGGCCAAAGAACAAACGGAGCATCGGGGGGAGCACGCGGGCAAAGCCCCATTTCAAAACTTTTGTTGTAGAATCCATTAACGCCGTGTGAACCGAATCTAGTGATCGCCCATGTTCATCGAAACCCAAGACGATGGGATATTGCGCAGAAATAACGACAGAGCCGACGAAACACCATCTAATGCATATCAAGTCGTCATACCAACACTAGATTGGCGTGGGGAGATGAAGCTCGGAACAGATGTACTGGAAAGAAAAGAGGTGTACAAAACGTAACAACGTATCCAGGAGTTCCAAGTTACAGTTGCGTATGCAAATGCGAGGCAGCAGACTGCTCGTCGGCGACGTAAAGGACAAATCTATGCGTGAAAGGCGCAGCGTGCGTCGCAATCGGGTATTAGGAAGTGAATGTGCAAAGCGGCTGCACGGAGGGACAAGCGAGGTTGGAGTACCAGACCGCACGTGCTCAGAACATGGAGGGGTCAATCCCGCCCATTCCAGCTCCTGCAACATTGGCGTTCTGCATGTTCTGCAGGCTTTGCATATTTGGAGCGAGCCCAAGCTTTTGTAACGCAAGCTCAGGATTGCAGTGAGGAGCATGCGATCGGTGGTACTTGAGGCCGTTGAGGTTCTTATATCGCTTGCCGCACACTTCGCAGCGGTACGGCTTCTCTTTCTCCATACCAACGGTACCGGGGTACGGGATGGAAGTCAGAGGATCGACGATGGAGAAGGTCCCGTCGTCGTTCTCCTTGAGCTGCTGGTTCTGGTGACCGTGCTGTTTGTGGTACTTGAGACCGTTCTGGTTCTTGTACGCCTTCTCGCAGCCGATGACCGGACACCTGAAAGGCTTCACTTCCTCGGGGAAGGGGAACTGAGGGATGCTCGCGCCGTTGAGCATTTGCTGCTCGCGGATTCTCCGTGCAAGCTCGCTCTGGTCGTTGCCACCGAGTTGATAGTTCTTGAGTGCAGCTTGCAGTTGAGCCTGGTTCAGACCACCGCCTTGCTTGCTGAAGAGTCGCTTGCCGGGCTGGTCGATTGTGCCGTTGTTATCGAAGGCAGGCATGCCGAAATTGCCGTTACCGAAGTTCATGTTCATGCCGTTCATGCCGGTCATGCCCATGTCCATACCCATCATAGGGTTGAAGTTGCTGAAGTCCATGTCCAGCTCCGCTGGAGTGCCAGGGTGCGAGGACTCGGGGGAGGTCAGGTTGTGATTTTGCATGGGCACGGTGCCGAGCGTAGGCGTATTTACGGATGACACAGTGGGGTTGTTGTTGAAGTTGAACTGCTGTGCTGCCGATGGGGTGGAAGGTGTCGATGTCCGCAGACCTTGGTGGTTCTGCATGTTGTTGGCGAGGTTGACGTTCAGCTGGGGCAGCTGGCCCTGTTGCTGGCCGAACTGGGGCTGCTGGACTGGGAACTGCACAGGTGTCTCCTCAATAGGGGCGAGGTTGTCAAAGCCGTCCATGTCCATGTCCATGTCGTCCAGAGTGTCCATGTCCTGAACAGTGGAGAGATTGGAGCGGCTCATGGAGTTCAGGCGCTGGCGCTGGCCTCCCATGGCTCCCATGGAGCCTGAGCGCGGGTTGAAGCCCATCTGTGTGTTCATCGCAGGCTCGCCCTGTGTCTGCCCAGGGGCAATTGACGGTGCAGGTGCGCCCGACGTCTGTGGCAGTCCGCTCTGTGCGGGCTGAGGGTTGCGGGCAGCAGGAGCGTTGGCGTGCGTCTCCTCGAAGTGCTGGAGCAGGTCGTGCAGCGAGGCCAGCGTCAGGCCGCAGCAGGTGAAGTCCTTCATGAAGGCGGCCTCCATCTTGGGCAGATATGACGAGGAGTGGAAGGACGGCGACTGGCCCATGTTCATGGGGGCAGGCGAGGTGCCGGCCATCATAATGCTGTGGCACGATGGTTAGCGCGGTGTTTTTTTGTGGAGCGGGCGGTGCTGGGACCGCCGCGCGGCTGGTTCGACTTACTCGTCGCGGATCCACGAGCCGACGGAGACACCGCCCCAGCTCATGCCGCCGTTGAAGCTGCCCATGTTGGTGCTCTCGCGGCGCCCACGGTCCCGCATGGAGATGGGGCGGGCGCCACTGCCGTAGAACGAGGTGCCGAGCAGGTTGCTGATGGAGCCGTGGCGCTCAGACATGCTGGGGCGGCCATCGCGGAACTGGGCGTTGGGGTCGAGCTGGGCAGAGGGCTGGACGAACTCGCGGTTGGCCTCGGCCTCGCGCAGGGCCGACGTCAGGTTGGACGTCTGGTTCTGCGGCGAGTGCGAGCCATAGCGCGGCGGCGTCTGGATGTCGATAGGCGTGGCGGTCTGTGCCATGGTGCCCGCGAAGCTGTGCTGCACGGGGCTCGCGGGGAACAACGGGAAGCTGCAGTCGCCGGCGTCCTCGAACAGCAGGTCGAACTCGGGCTCGCGGCTGGGCACCAGCTCGTGCGGCTTGCGCTGCCAGGAATAAGAGAGCGGAGGCGAGCCTTGAGAGGCGCGGCCCAGGTGCGGCGAGACGGAGTGCTGGGTGGGGGTGGTGACGGGCGTGCTCGCGGCGGTGGATTCGCGCGGCGAGTGGGAGAGGGGTGGCGGCGAGGTCTCGTGGGAATCCAGCTTCACGGCGAGGTCGGGCACGGCAGGTTAAGAGGGCGGGCGGCGGCTCAGCGCGGCGCCAGAGGACTGTGCGGGTTGCAGGCAGTGCAGGCAGAGCAAGCGGTGCAGGCGGTGCAAGGGCTGCAGCGAGAGGAGCAGCGCAGGGCGTGGGCGTGGGCGTGCGTGGTGATGCTCAACACGAGATCGGTGCAGTGCACGCAGCGGGTCGCGGGGGCGGCGCTCTATATGGCCGCTTAGCACCGCGATCGAGTTGCGGTGACGACGGTCGCGTTATTGGTATTGGGCCTGCTGCGGGCTGCTTCGCTACGGCGCTGGCTCGAGGGATCCCGGTGCGTTTGGGTGCTGGGGCTGGCGCGGCCAATGGGGCAGGCGCGCTAGGGCTGGCTCTGGCGTCGGCGTCCAAACGTGCAACTCTGACGACGGTGATCAACGACGGTTACGGCGGTGGGGACGGAGAGTAGATGCAGAGACGGCCAGCAGCACCGGCTGCAGTGCTGCCTTTTTATTGCAGCCGCCGTCTGGCGCTCGCCCGCTGGCCCCGAGCGCCCGGCCGAGGCAGACGGCGCGCAGGACATGGGCGCGCAGCAATGGTCGGCACAGACTTCTGCCAGTATGGCTCCGCAACTGTGGCTCCTCGCGCCGCGGGCGCTGTGCTGCGTAACCCACCGGCGAGCCCTCCCTCTAGCATCCCCCGGCGCAGCAGCTCCGCTGTGCTGCTTGCGGCCAGTGCGCGCGCGCACGCCTCTCCACGCCTGCCGGCTTCTGGCTTCTGGCTTCTAGCTTCTAGCTTCTAGCTTCGAGTCGCTGCCAGGACGCCGGCCGCCGCAGCGGGCTTTGTGCTTGTTGCGTGGCGACACCGCGCGCGCGCTGCCCGTCGCTGCCAGCGCGCCTGCGTCGTCGTCCTGACTGACGCTGTACGTCAGAAGCCGGAGAAGGCCCGCGTCGTACATGCTTCGGGTGGTCGCCTGCGGCCCTGCGACTCGCCCACCCCACGTCTGCGAGCTGCCATGCGAGCTCAACGCCCGTGGCCCGTGGTTCTCGAGGCTTGCCTCTTGACTGTGCTCTCCGATGCTCCAGCGCCTGACGTGCCGCCACACGCGCACCGGCAGCGCTGTGATCGATGTCCGCACCGCACACAGTAGTCTAATTGCACTCCCAGCCGTTGCCTACATGCACCCATCCTTCCGCTGTGCCCTTCCTCGGCTGCTCCCAATCCGATCGCCCGCAACGCGCCCCATCCCTACTCGCGCCCACTGCGACGCCCGTCGTCCGCCCTGTACCAGCCTCTCGTCTCGCCGTGCTCCATTTCAAGCCACGCCCGTTGCCTCGAGCTTTCCGGACAACTCGGCAGGATGCGTCGACAGGGATCCCTCTCGTCACCACTAGCGTCGACTCGGCTGTTTAACCCTCTTCGGCCGTTCTTGGTGCATTTTTACACATGCAGACAACTAAACACAGCCGCTGCTATTATGCAGCCGTCCTGCACACTCGAAACAAACTGCCCACAGTCCAGAGCCCCGCCGTACTCTGGTTCGCTACCATTCAGCTCTCGTATTGGCCCTACGCGCCGCTGCGCAAGGGGCAGCGTCTGAGGCTCATACCGAACTGCCTGCGTACCGTACTTGCCTGGGCGACGTGGGGACAAGGCTTACACGCACACACCACCATCGTCGCAGCAACTACCAAGTGCGATGGCCCTCGCTGTGTCGCCCGCTGTCAGCTATTCTGGGGTAAGGCATGCACCGCACTGACACGCACCGTGTCGAATCAAAACATTGTGTGCTTGAACACAACATGTCCCTCGTTGGCAGCCTGCAGCCATGCCGACGCAGTGGAGGTGCTACTGCAATGCCACTCATACGTACCAGGTCACGGTTCCCGGCCTGCAGCTAGGTTGACTCATTCATGCATGGCATACATCTCCATCCTCACCTTTTCGAAACAATGCTCACCGTCCTCGTGACAACTCAGAGCTGCCCGGAAGATTGCAATGCATCAAGTCCGTCCAATTATTGACTAGCCATCCCTGCCTTACACAGCTACATTGCTTCATTTCCCGCCGTTTATTGGACCCTGCAGCAGCTCTTTCGCGCGCTTGGACCATGGCCAGTCTGTGTTTTGCACCACGCTGCGTATTTTACAATCATCCCACCGTCCACTTGGTCGTCAGACAGCCATACGCTGCTTCGAAGCCAGACCGTCCTGAATTCCAATCGCCGTCTACGATACACCGCCCGTTGTCCGTCTTTGATAGAATGCGGCCGGTGCGGCGTGGAATGTACGCGATGGTACCTCGTCATCCTGACTTCCAAGTGAGCGGAACTTGAGCCTCGTGGGCGGTGCCAGGTCCGCCTTACTCATCCAGCGCCAAGCTGTCGGAAAGCGCCAACCATCTAGCCCAGAACCGATGCTCTGTGGCGGCAACGCGCAATTCGTGCTCCTGGATTGCTGTTACCACGTGCCGTGGCTGTCGATACGCGAGATCTGTCGACGACGTCAAGATGCATGCTGTTAACGGACTCTCGTGGTCCCTACTATCATTGCAAGGCGCCTGTCAGCAAGGATGGCCACAGCAGGTAAGGCGAGGATTAGCCGACTGATCAACAGGGCCAGGTCCACGCTGGGACCGCACTGCCGCATACAGCTAAGGCTGAGGACCAGCGTCTCTCAGCGACGTCTTGCATTTCATACCTAGCTCTTGCGGTACATGCCGAATCAGATCCGTTGGTTGTGGAAATTCAGGTCTCGCTAGCTTTCTCATTCAACAGCAGCTTGACTTCTTCGCGGTTGTCACATCGCAGCCAGGGTTAGCACAAGCGATCTGGTGTGTTAGACTACACATGCGACTATCGACGTCTCGCATTGAGCGAAGCGGTGAGGACAGGACGACTTCTGGGCTCACCTTGAACACCTGCATCATTGATCGACGTTTTCGTCTCCACAAGCCTGACCCTGGGCCCATTCACGATCGGCTAATTAGAAGGATCTGACGATGAATGTCACAACATGTGCAGAATAGGTATGCCGTTGTTTAGCATTTCCCTCGCGATGCCGCACTTTCCTCCAGTCTACTCGTGCAACACGCTCCTGACGCTACCACGGTTCACTTGCTTTCAAGCGAGAGATTAATACGACTATTTTAGCGACCGTAGTGGAGCACAATAGTTTGAGGCTCACCAGTCAATGCCTCCAGTGTTTTGCTCCACATACTCATACAAAGTCCACGATATTACCCGACGCTGCTCCACTTCAATTTTGTCTCAACTTCTGAGGAGAACATCAAAGTGAATGGCTGGTCAGCAGCATCTACAGGGGACACCTCGCGCGTTGCTAGCGCTGCAACGGTGGCGATTATCACCTGCTAACAACCACAGAAGGACGTCTAACATCCGGCACTTTTGAGCCCGGGCCACTGCTTCGCAGACCCTGCTCCACAAGAAACCCGGCAATGCTGTTTCTCTTCATGTTCTAGCGGTCTTCCAGCACGACCCTCAGTCGGACCGACCAGCACCTCAACAGCGTCCTACATCGGACCGTGACCTCACTGATTTGCGAGAGCAACCGTTAGGTGGTTTGTATGGACTAAAGCACAGTTGGAATGTCTCATGAGTATTTCCACTCGTGCCATGCCTTGTCCTGGGGAAGGATCCGAATGCTGGGCTGAAAGGCCAATGCGTGCAGTATCGGGCCTTTAGACGTCGTATCGAGGATCGAATCGAACAACAGTTGGTGACGTTGACCGTTGACGACGTTGCAGCTATAATCCACAGTTCGACTGCGAACCGAGTCAACAACAGGCAGTTCCACGTCTCGCGAGCGATCTGCCCGATGCCCAGTACTCATGACTTGTAATGCATACGTGAGATCAGCCTGCTGACTAGTGCCCAGAGTAGTAAACGCGGTTCGGTGTAAACCCAGACAACTGACCGAGAGCATCTTTCCCCAACCTCACAATCGCAACGCTCAACGATCGTCTTGATAACGATTCATTTGACTGCAGCCTGCAGCGTATGACGTTACACATTGTCGACATCCATTGACTTCCCAGGCTGCATTCATCATGTGTTGGTAGATCACCACCTAGGAGGCTGGACGATGACGCAACAGATACGATCGAACTTCGATCTCGTCACAACACATCAGGCCGTATGGGGTATACCGGTTCTCAGCATCTCCAACATGCACAACGGCAATCCAGTTAAAGTCAAGCCGTCGTTATGCCACACACGCGTCGTCCTGTTCAGTTTAATACTTGGTGAGAATGTAGACGTTTCCGTACAATGCACGTACATTTGCTGGAGGCATGTTGACCAACCCGTGACTCCCCGGTACAGTATGCACAGGTATCGCATCACCGCTCAAGCTATGACGCCTTCCAAAGTAGCGGATTGAAGCGTTGAGCTGTGCACTCGCGATTGGGCCCGACCTTTGTTTTAAGCATCTTTCAAGCACAGCATTGAGAAAGACCTTGCAAGTATAACCTTTCCACACGTTTGACACTGTCTGGCGAGTTGACTCGATGTTTCTTACCCATGTTGTCTATCTTCTAAATGTCATGCCAACTCGACAGATCATTTAACTTCGACGCTCTTTTATTTCGTCTGGCTTCTGGCATGTTGAAGATCAAGCTGCAGATACCATCGCTCAATGTCGTCTGTTTCACCGAACTCTCTGTAAGACTTTAAGGTCGGCCAGGAAAGCCATGTCCAACAGGACGTCTCAGGTCACAAATTAGGCTCTTAATTGGCTCTTTAATACGATCACTCAAGCCTACGGATTCCCTTGGCTTACAGACGATACGAAATGGCGTATATTCCCGATGTTATTCTTCAAACAAAGATATGCGTCTTCACTGTGGCATACCAATATGCAAGAACGTCCGCAAATCATTAGGCGCGTATGTCCGCGAACCAATAAGCACCTCCGGACCTCCCCGTCAGCTGTACACCACCGAACCGAGGTCGGCCGACATACTCCCATTCCCAACAACAACCAATCCAACGACTAATCGACGGCTTTTGCCTTCCGAGACGTTCACCGTCCAGCGGCTGTATAAGGTTCGCATATGACACCATGACAATGTGGCTGTAGCCGCTTGGGGAAGCATTTGACGAAGTGCGGGAGGTCATCTTAGCACCATCCTACCTAGCGATCACAAGAGGAAAGCGACATCTACATGTTTGGTGATAGCATTGAGGAGCGCAGAACTAGACTTGTCAGGCCGATACGAAGTTCCGAATTGAGTACGGCATGTTGGCTGCGCTTTAGGTGTTCTGGTGCTGGTCAAGCATTGTCAATGTTGTCAAGGCTTCCACGTGACACGACATCATCGACAACACTACCTAGGTACCTAGGTAACAAAGAATCTATCACCACGCGTCTTACGAGGGAGTATAGGTCTTGATACTTGCCACATTCCACGGAGCGTAGTTACGCACAGCAAAGGTCCGCAAGCGATGGCAGACCGCCCTCCAGGCTCTGCACAAGGCTACATTGACCCAAATTGGCCGCCCCCTGGTGGTGATGGTGATGCAACAATTATCATATACGGCTACACGCCGAATTTCGCTCTCTGCGTGCTTGCCCTCGTGCTTTTTTTCGTACTCGGTCTCGCCCATGGTTGGCAGCTATTCCGTTATCGCACATGGTACTTCAGCACCATGATGGTAGGCATCGCATTTGTACGTTCATCTTCTCTCACCGACCCCCACTCCTCCCACTCGCTCAAAACAACACGAAAACACGGACATTTGTGAACCAACAGCGCACAGGAGGTCATCGGCTACATCGCCCGCACCCTCAGCGCAAAACGCAACCCCTACCGCGTCTCCTTCTTCGTCATCCAATACTTCTTCATCGTCGTAGCCCCTGTCTTCTTCGCCGCCGCCCTCTACACCATCCTCTCGATCCTCATCCGCGCCACCCCAGACGGCACCCGCCACGCGCCCCTCCGCCCCAAACTGATCCTCTGGATCTTCATCACCTGCGACGTCATCGCAACCGTGATCCAGATCCTCGGCGCCGCCCTCATCGGCGTCGCGTACTCCAACCGCAGAGACCCTACGACCCCGAACCACATCCTGCTCGCGGGCCTCGCGTTCCAGGCCGCCACCTTTCTCATGTTCGTTGTGCTGTTCGCGCTGTTCGTGTGGCGCGCGCGCCTCGTTGTGTTTCAATCCGCGAGTAAGGCTTTCTACGCCGCGTTTGGGCTCGCGGTGCTGGCGGTTTATTTGCGGATTTGCTTTAGGCTGGCGGAGACGGGGCAGGGGCTCGAGGGCGAGTTGCAGTCCCACGAGGTGTATTTTGGGACGCTGGAGTTTGCGCCTGTGGTTGTTGCGTTGGCGGCGTTGGCGGTGTGGCATCCGGGGAGGTGTATTGAGAGGGGTGATGGTGTAGTGAGAACGAGGGAGGTGGAGGGGAAGACCAAATCGCAGGGCGAGCCCTAAAGCCTTTAGTCTTCGAGTGCTGAGAGGTAGTTGGAGGTAGATTTTTGCAGCAGATGAAGATGTGTTTGCTTGGACACTCGAACTTGACGGTATATACCATATTCGTCCTTCCTTTTTCCACAAATAATAATGTAATACTTAAATCAGGTTTCCTTGCACGAACAGCAGGTTAAGATGGTGAAGTATCGACGCAGGAGCACCAACCCAGGGACACAATCCGTACCACCTTTTAGCAAACCGGACAAGCACCTTTTGAACTGATCAGGTCAGTATGCAGCTTTTTGTGACAGGCTGCAAACAAGACTAGCTAGGAAGGCCTGCTAAGTACCTCGACGATTACACGACGCAATTTCACACCGCCATAAGAGAACAAGGACTACATGGGAAGTACATTGCACCTGACATTTAGGAGTAAGCTGCAGCCCTTTTTTCCATCTTTCATTCAATTGGTAATGTGCCTACGCCCTGACAGTTGCGTCTCACGTTCGTCAACTGTCCAAAATGAGCTCTAAATACCACAGCGTTCTGCATATGCCCGGACATAATGCTTAGGAGTTTAAAGAATACGACATTGAATGTCGGTAAGCCCCCTTGACGACAAAATACGGGTTCGTGACTGATGGCGCCAGACCACATGGACTCACTACGCAGATCTTCTCGGCTCTTTTCTCAGAACAGGAGTCCAGCTCTGAGTTCGAACACGAACAAAACACCAATTCAAGTACGTTACTATGACAATTCTAACAATCAGCAGAGTATCAGCGACATTTCATACCAACAGAACCCGCACAGCATTCCGCATCAGCAGAATCTCAACACTAGTTCATATCAACAACATTCTGATACGAATACTCCTGAGAACTTCCAGTCAATAGACCATCACCGTCTTGAAGAACCTCTTAGAGACTCTAGATCGATTACTGAAGTCCATGATGGAACACTGCGTCGCGTACGTGAGTGCCACGTTAACACAGATATATCTGACATTTCCCCACACTTGAAGGATTTCGACGAGTCGTGTCAGCCGGACCATAGTATCTTCAAGCATGATATTCAGCTACCAAGCTGAAACTATGCAAATCGATGCCGAACACGTGTGCGCACGCAAGAACGAGAACGCAAAAAACGTGTCCCTTCTCAGCCTCACGCGACTACAGTCGTGGTCTGCTTTCGTTTGGAGCATCTTCGGTCCACAATCCATTGTATCAGGATCAAAGTTTCACGACCGTTCGTTTGAAATATAGTGGAGGATGCAAGTCACTGTGCACAGCGTTGAATCTCAGCGCTAACTAGTGTAGCACACGACGGCCTGCTTTTTCCTTTCAGATCTGGCAGGTATGCGCGGTCTTACAATTGATAGGCGACTCTCGCATCGTCTTTGCGCTAGAGATTAATCCAATCTCTGAGAACTACAGTAAGTTGCTCGAGACATGCAAGAAGCTTGTTTGGAAGCAAAGGCAAAGCACGGACGTATTCGTCCCGAGCGTGAACCAAATTGTGTTCAGTGAAACGGTCATAAACGTATTGAACGCCAGCAAAAATGCTCGTTACGCAAGCCAGATACCTATTCTCCACAACGATAGCTCTGTTCCCAAGGCGATGCTAAAACTCGAGGCTTATCCGAAACATTGGCAGTATAGTACAATGCCTGTTTTCCGCGCCCGTGGCTCTTTCAAACAAGGCCAGATGCTCTGATAGGTGCAAAATTGCTTTTCGAACCGCCCATGGGGCGGAGTATTGATGGGGTTGACTTTTAGGCTCAGAGTCGGTCAGTTAGCAGAGGTCAGCTTCGACTTCATTCCACTTATCAGCGGATTTGAGCCTTTGAAAGTACTACTGCTCGCCTGTGCCGTCGCTTTGTCCTTTCCGTAAGCGCATTACCTCAACAGGGCCTACCTTGCCTTACTACATATCAACATGACGATCATACACTCCAGACCCATGGTTTCAAAGCCGCACGATCGGAATGGTCCGCAAGCGTTCCATCCGGTTTCGACGAAGGCTGCCTTCCGCTTTCACCTCGCTCGCAGTTCTAGCGCTCGTGGAAGATAGTCGGCCAGAAAAGAGCTTATTGAGAATTTACGTGTGGAAGCATCGCGTGCTGCTTTTCACATTCCGACGGCTGGCGAGCACTGTTCCTTAGAGTCGATGTAGGCCTAGGCGAGAAAGGCAGAGAGAAGAAGAGGAAGAAGAAGAACTCCAATCCTCTATAAAGCTCGCGCTTAGCTATATCTAGTCTGTGAACCCACGCAGTTTCATACGTATATTCTTTACGAACCAGTTCCCGCCATAAACCTGGGATAATACCTCTTCAACGCCATGTCAAGAGTCTTTATGCCAATAGGCTTGACATGGTACTCCTGTGAGCCCGCCTCATGTGCGGCCTCTCGATCAGAGGCGCTGTCCTGACCTGTCACAACGAAAACGACGCTCTTCCCCCAATTCTTCTCCATCTCCAGCAGCCGTATCCGCTTTGTGGCTTCAATGCCGTCGCATTGTGGCATTTGAAGATCCATAAGAATGAGTTGAATTTTTGGCACATTTCTCTCTGTCGTCGCTCGTTCTTGGCGACTTTGGAACACTGAGATAGCCTCCAGACCGTCTCTCGCACAAACGTATGGCAAATCGCGCTTCTTGCAATACATCTGCAGTACGCGTAGATTTACGGCATTGTCATCAACTAGTAGAACAGTAGGATAGGAGGCAGGTGAGTGGTCGGTCAAAATGCCTTTCATTTGGGGGGGTTGAACCTCATCAGCATCCCTGTTCGTGGGCGTCGTGCGGCTATGGAAGGTGACATCGTCAGGGCTTTCTTCTGCTGGTGATGTAGTCAGTTCGCGTTCCCTGAATGGCGAGAATCTGGTCATCGGGTCGGTTGCTTGAGAGCTCTGGTCCGCGCCTAGGTTAGTAACGAGACTGGGGGCTGGCATCTCTCTCCAAGCTGCATCTTCATGTTGAGGTCGGTCATTGCTTGCATTACAGCTGAGCTTTGGAAGCACAACAAGATTCTCTTCTGCTCCGAGTACAACCTTTTGATCAATCAGTGAGATAACCTTTTCGGCGCGGTCAAGTGCTGCACTCAGCGTTCGAGCACCGAAAGGACCATGCACATAGACAACGTTTGTAGAAATGGTATCGAAATGACGTTCTCCATCTGGGAACGGGACTGGACAGAGCACGACTTCGTTTGACGGTAACTTGGCAATCATGGCGCGGTGCTCCTCCGGATCATCCACATAGTCGAGAATGATGAGGGCGTCTTTTGTGTCGTTCGTCGCAACGAAGCCGTAGCAGGTCAGAGATCTGGCGAAGAGACCGCCCAAAGACAGAGCATTTGGCTTCGACGGAACAACATGAAAATGCCGAGGTATGGCCTCTGATTGCGTGATTGCCGGCAAGTACTGACGAGATGATTCTAGATATTTCACTTCAAGTTCTCGAAAGGTAGCTCTGAAGTGTGATCCGCGACCAACTTCAGAGGAGACCAGCTCGATTGAACCTTTGAGCAAGGCTGCGAATCTTGACGCCAGCGTCAACCCTATGCCGGCGCCGGCCGAGTATGGGTCGACCTGCTCGTAAAGCTCGAAAATTCGTTCTTGATCATGGACAGGAATCCCATCGCCTGTGTCCTCAATATCCACGATGAGCTCTTTGGAATCTAGACAGACTGATATGGAGATTACGACTGAGCCTTCCGCAGTACTTTGGATGGCGTTGGTGACAACGGGAAGCAGACTGTCTCGTAGCAATGCAATTTCTGTTCGGAAATTGCAAGGATCTGAAGGAAGATTGTGGTAGACAAAGACTGAGGCGTTGTAGCGTGCATCGCCTGAGGTCAGCTTCTGCACGCTAGCGACCAGTTCCGCTTCAAGCTCGTAGGTCGTAAATGCTGCGTATTGTCGATCTGTTATGGCGACATCGGCCCATCTGTTAAGCGTTATCATACTGTTTATGATTGACATCAAGTCCCGTCCGGCTCTTGTGATTGTGTCGAGGTAGACTCCGTAGTTTTCATCGGTCTTAGCGATCGCACTCGTTTGGAGCGATGCCATGGATTCCAGTACTGTGCTCTCCAATTTTCGTGCCTTAATGTCTTCGTCCAACAATTCAACAGCACTTAAAATGCCATGCACTGGGGTTCGCAATTGGTGAGAAAATCCGCGCAAGAATTTCTCTTTAGCGAGCATAACTTCTGCTAGAAGCCGCTTGTGCCACATCTGGGACACAATGCCTGCACACGATTCTACGAACCACGCGTCAATATCATCAAAGACCTGTCGGAAGTCCTTGGATCCAACGATGAGATAAGAATGTCCTAAGACACTCTCACATGGTACAGCGATTGCGCGGACTACTGTATCAGTCGGAAGCTCCAAGTGGTTTGACTTCAAAATGAAGCCGTCGATATAATCCGCATCCTCCCAAACATGACTGCAGAAGTCCGATAACAATACCGGGTCACGCCCCTCAAAGTCCACATAGCCAGCCTTGCATGTTTGCAGACTGACTACGGCGCCAGGATATACCTTCTGGAGTAAGCGCGTTATATACTCCTCAGAGACGGTATTGTCTGTCTCAGCATGCGCCGCCGCTAACATGTCGACCATTCGGCGTCTTTCTCGTTGACGTCGCGCTCTTGTAAGCTGGACAATATCTGCAACAATCCAATCGGCTAAACGAGCTAATGTGGTTTGTTGCGCCTTTGTTAGGGGCTGGCGACGTGAAGGAGAGGCTACACAGATGGTTCCGAGGCACACAGTATCACCAGTCTCGTTCTGCAGTCGGAGCGGTGCACAAGCATATGCACGGAGGCCGCCAAGCTCCACATAGGGAGATTTCTCGAATCTCCAGTCTTCAAGCATGTCTGGTAACAAGAACACATTCTGAAAAGTGTTAGTAAATCCGCATCCAGAGAACCTGAAAAGATTCCATACCCCGGGAGGTTGGGTAACCAAATGCCCGCAAAGAGTTTCACCTCGTGGCAGGATTCCAAGCGGCGTGCCAACCGCAGCGAGCCGTTTGTAGAAGTTGACATCTAGAATGCCGACGATAGCACACTCCCAACCAATGGATTCCTGAGCGACGCATACTTTTTCCTGCAGTCCTGAGAGAAACTCGGCTTCCTTAAAAATGTCTCGTGTATGGTACCAAAACATAGATAGTCGGAGTCTCTCATTCCTGGCTAGGCAAGCGCGCAGATAACGCTCTGCGCTGCGTAGCTGGTTGTTTGGAGGTATTATCGCAGGCGCAAAGGCCTCCCTCTGAGAAGGGTAATTGCGCTCTTGGGTCTCGAAAGACCATGGCGGGCATGGAATTTGAGCGCTGTTCAGGTCGAATATTGGTCCAACGTCATCCGGGTATGAGGGAGGCGGCGCAAGTATTGAAGACAGAACTGCGGCATCTGCTTTAGGGAAATACATCGTTTGTCGTGAAGCAGAGCCAACATCGAGATTCAGTTTCAAGGCGGATGGGATTCGTGAAAATGCGGCACGTGTCAAGAAAAGCCGACCAGGCGTAACAAGACCTAGCTTGATTCTGGCAGAATATCGCTTCATGCGCTTCGTGTGGCTGGTGTCGTTGGATTGGTTCAAACGGCACTGTCCACCAGCCATCGACGCTAAATCGAGATCCCAAGGCCTGTTGCTAAAGGAAGGAGCGCACGGATACGTTGCTTCCTTTTACTATCGCCATATTTACCAGGATCAAGAAGCGTTCCTGAGTGTTGCCTGTAAGTTGACGTCGTTTCCCTATTTCGTGCCAGGTAAAGGTTGCGATGATATTTGAAGTCTTCTCTGACACAGCCAATAGGCTCCTAGATTACGACTGAGTACCTCTATTTTACAGCAACTACCCTAATGAGGAAGCTTCTTGTGTATGTACCTGCTTGTGCGCCACATGAACTGGGTGAATACTGCCTGGTTGGGACTCGTACGTGTTGTTGAATCTGAGAACCCGAGTGTGCGGCCTTGGTCCCGTTTCAACGACTTCAAACACGTCCTCCCACTTCCCATCTATTTCCACCTCATCGTCTGTGACTGCGATGTTTACCTTCAATGCAAGGGACACAATGTCCTCGGCTACCTCGCCGACGGTTGTCTATGCTTTCACCAACACCATACCCAGCCTCGCCTCTTCTAGCTCTTGCCACATATTGTTCAAGAATCTTTTATCGAAGATTTTCCTGTTGTCATCATACGGTTTGCACCCACCCTTGACTGGAAAACACGGCTCCGAGCAGACTGTTCCCGCCGAAGATGGATCATCTACATAATCATTCTTTCTGAGTCTCCACACAAATGTCGCCCGGTAATAGGTATCTTCCTCGACGCAGCCTTGCATTGCTTCTTCATCGAATTTCATGAATTCTTCGCGCACACGGCCACCGTCTCCAAAGCCGGTGTGATCGTCACCGATTTCGGCGCCAACAAATCCGGTCAGCGCAAGAGAATAGTCCGGGCGCAGCAACATCATCTGAGAAGAAAAGGTTCTGAGATAGATTCCTTGGAGTGCAAAGCGCCGAGCGCCGAAAGCCCTTGGAGAGCCCACCGGCAATACAATCTCAGCATCGTCTTATCGTTGCGATCAAGCTTCGTAGGTACAGGGTCATCACTGGCAGCTTAAAATCGAATGGCCCAGGCCACAGCCTTTGAACAAGTAGACTACCGTCATCAAGGGCACCTCCGTGACTCAGTCGTATTAGTCATGTACTAACCATGCGCGTGCACTTGTCTACTACTTACCGAACAATTCTTGCATGGTCTTCTCCAAAGCGCTGATACACGTTTTAGATTTTGACCACTGGCCAGCCGATTAATCGTCGACCATGGTCATATATGTGCCCACGCGATAGATGTGGCCAGCGAATGGTGATGTGTTTTCCATCCCGATGTGGCACACACTCTGCTTGCTCGAAGAATACCGTGTACCAATTCTGCGAATCGTCACGCGCCATACTTACTTCGGAGAGGACAGGGAGGCCATGATATGGAAGATGCTCCGGTTCTTGGGTGGGAAAGACGTCCGTCATTTGGTTTGCACGCGGTCCATTGTCCGTTGACGTATCGGTAGTTGAGAATGCCGAGACCATATTGCAGGCCAACGAAGGCGGCTCCGAGAACTCGATGAGATCAGGACACGAAGAATTGTATGGTTGCCTGATTAGGGCTGTCTGCCTGGGACTAGTCCGTGCTGTAGGTTTTTGTATGTGAAATCTTTATGTTTTTGCTTACATGTTTGTTTGTCTACATACTCAGCTCTGACTGCCGCACTTGTTTTAGTGGAGCGATGATGTCGTTGCAGAGTGTTCGTTATCTCGGAATAGAGCTAGGCGTTGAACAGGAACGCTGACCGCTGGGATTGCCGTTGGAAATCCCTTCAAGACTGGATCTTTGGGTGTCGACCTGCCAATAACTTTCTTGGTACGCACACTACCCATTTACGGAGGGCTTGTGCAGGACAACAGCATAAGCAGATCGTCGGGTATCTCTCCAATGGAGATCGGCATTGTGTTGAAATATAATGCTGGCATTGCTGCATATTAGATTTGCAGGATAAACTTCTTGCCTTTGTGTATGGTTTGAAGTGGATTCGGATATGTGTGACTTGAAGGCTAGGGGAATCCGATCCTATAGGAGAACGTGACGCTGCTGTAGATTGGCTAGATCTCCATGTACTTACAGGCACCATGTATCAGGCCAACGTACTTAATTTAAGATGCTTAGAGACGTACAGCATCGGGTCCATACACTGCCAAGGGTACCGGAGTCTTGTAGCGATTCGGTCTTCTTCTTTGCGTTGGATGCCTTTTCGTCGGCTTTGGCAATTGACCAAGATCGTGAAGTGGGAGCCCATGAGTCCAGCTGTAGATAGATTTATTACCAGATTATTCGTGTTTGACGTTCCCTTCCAATTGGTCGTGCTGGCTTTAACCCATTCCTGGGTACTTGGCTCGGGCCGTAAACACAGGACAATCTCCACTCCTCTCAAGGTGCATATCTCTGAACTTTGTCAGTCAACTACCGTCTCCTTGCCGTGTTTACTTGGCCCAGATAAGTATCGCCGCGTGGACGTCCGGAAGCGAGTACAGCCAATCAAGCCACACAATAAGCGGATCTTCACGCTAGTCAGGGCTAGCGAACGCCTCAAGCGCTTTCACTCAGCCCCCGGGATCTTCCCCGTCCGACATCTTTCATCAATCACATTGAAGAGAAGCATCAATATGTACGACGTGACAACTGTCAGACGCCTCGCATGGAACGTGGTCGATCCGTGCGAGCCACGCGCCGTAGTGACGAGCACGAATGGTAGCAAGCCGCCGTAGGACAGCACCTGGATTGGAAGCAGGATTTGGCCGAACAAGACAGCCAGGCGATTGGAGGCGTATTAACTTTGGCTGCCTGAGATTGGCGACTTTGTTTTCTGGACGTGTTCACCCCTTGACCCTTTTGGGCGATGGTAGGCCGTTTGTGTACCGTCCTGTCTAATCTCCCCATCTTTACACCGAAATCAAGTCTACATGACCTGCGACCTAAAGATCTTTCACATTTCCCCTCGCCTTACTTCACTCCAGTCGCTCGTTACGAATGCGTGTTTCGTTAACATCACACCATGATGTCCTGCACACGGAGCTTGCTGGACAGCCCAACCGAAGCCCCAAGACCATCTTTTCACGGCTGCGATGACCCAAGCATAGCCCGGCTTGCCTCCAGACGACTGGTGCGCAGGCCATCAAAACTTCAGACCACCATGGAGGTGACAAGGTGCAGATTTGGAAGTACAAGTCGGCAAGCTGCGCCAATTGGATGTGAGGAATTCGTCCCTCAGAAGGACTGGACGCCGATATCACACGCCGTATACCACGATCGCGAAGCTGCTCTCCAACACTACTTACAGACTGGCGTGTCGCCGGATGCTGTGGAAGGCCCGGGTGTCCCGCTTTTGTGCATCGCTGTAGCATGCGGGCACTTCGAGATTGTGGAAATACTTCTTAAGGCGGGTGCCAATGTCAATTCAGCATCTAGAGACAAAGGAGAGACTGCTTTACATATCGCCGTCAGAATGAGTCGTCACGACGTCATCGAATTGCTGCTTGTACATCGAGCTGACCTGGAATTAAAAACCTCTGATACTGGCCAAACTCCTCTCCACTACGCTGCAGCGGCGCCCAACTCAATCGCACTGGTCACGAAGCTACTCAAGCTTGGAGCAAAATACGACGTGAATGACCTCCAAGGTCATACGGCAGCGGTGATTGCACTGCAAGCTCACAATGTCCATGCTGCGGTAGCGATCATAAACATGGCACGAGGGAAGCCCAAGCAGCTGGCGAAAGAGAAGGACATGCTGATGCAGCATATCGAAATAGCACATGATCGAACATCAGCGACCAACGACTTGATTGCTGATGTGTTCGCGGCCACCTGCGACCCAGACTCGACCGTGTTGATTGAAGCGATCAAGAGGAATGACCCCAGACTAGTTGAGATGTTCTTGGAAAGAGAAGCAGACCCTCGCCGGGCGACCACGAAAGGACTGATGCCAATATTTGTGGCTGTTAAGTTTGCCAACTTGCGTATTATTAAGCTACTGGTCCAACATGGCGCAGAAGTCACGACCAAAGGTCCAGGCCAGCTTAGTGTGTTGCAGGTCCTTTTCACGACCCTCGGTAGCCGCGACGAGGATTCCATTGTTCATGTTGTTGGATACTTGTTTGCCAAAGGTGCGGATGCTACCACGCTGTATCCCGATGGCAAAACACTCCTCCATCGAGCAGTGAGTGCGGGGATTGATCATGCCAAAGTAGCAAAGCTACTGATCAAGAACGGCATCGACGTCGATGCGCAAGATGCCGATGGGAACACCGCGTTGCACCTGGCAGCGTCCAATGGTCTTGTAAATACAACACAATGTTTGCTAGACTCACGCGCGAACGCCACAGTCGTTGATTCGAAAAAGCGCACAGCGCTACTCCGAGCCATACAAAACCATCAGTGGATTGTTGTTCCACTATTGGCGGTTCCTCCCGCGGTCACTTCGTGGGACGCGGAAGCATCGACGGCGTTGCACCACATTTCTCGAAGCACTCCTCAAGACCACGATTCCTGGAGTGACATTGCAGCTGCTACGATACCGTTTTGCGAGCGTGGTATTTGCAGGAGCATGCGAGATCGATCCGGCGCAACGCCTCTCATACAAGCAATCAGACTACTACCCGAGGATGGCCTGCCTGTAGTTGAAAGTCTGCTCACCAAAGGTGATGGGAAGTGGAACTGTGTTGGACATGAGGACCACAAGAGGCATGATGCGCTATATTACGCTGCGACTCTTGGCAAAACCATCTTTGTGAAGGCGCTGCTTGAGAATGGTGCTCCTTTTGTACTCGAAGATTGGAGCAGTGCTCGAGGACAGCTCAGGCTACCCGCAGCTTCGAACGATGAGATTCTGGAACTGATTGTCGAAAGTGACCGTTCAAGAAAAGCGCAGGCAATTGCGAATCAACATGATACAATTCCAGAGACACGCATCGAGATCGTCAGAAGCGAATTGAGGACAAACTCGGCACTATCTGGATACCACGCGGACTGCGAGATGGAGCGTAAAGCAAAAGCCAATCGCAGGACTTTCAAAAAGTTACCACCAATGCAACACCTCCAATTCGAGGTTCAGCAACGAAAACCCGCAGCTCGTTCGAACGAGTATCCAGTTCGCACTACCAGCATACAACAGCGGGCAAGAGAACCCATCATTCACTATCGCAAACCCGTACATCAGACTTACACTACGATATCCTCAGCATTCTCACCGAGCCAGAATGTGCCCGCGAAGACAAGAACAGTTCACTTCGTACAACATGGTGACCAACAAGTTACTTGTCGAACGTCTTTAGGAAACATACCTCACGAGAGTACTGCAGCTTTTCCACCTCGTAGCTCAAGCAGGCATCAGATGACAACGCGGCCAAAAGTAGGCACAACGAGGTCTCACGCTGCAGTGGGTACGGACGAAACAACGATCGTGGACAAACAGCCACACAAAGTTGTGGCATCGCCGAACGAGAATCCTAGAGCTATCCAAAACCAAGATGCACCTGTCAAGGAAACGCTATCTCCACCAATATCGTCTGAAAAATCCGCAGAGACAGCACCGAAGCCCGCGCCAGTGTCTGCAACCGATCTCCCCAAGCCCACTACTCCTCAGCAGATCGCCGCTCCACTACCAGAAAAGCCCACAGCACCTACGACCACATCACCTAAACCCGTTCCTTCCACCTCCCCACCTTCAACCGCAACGGCCCCTCCGGTGCCTCCCAAACCAACCCAGCCAGCCCGGATAGACAGCGGCGTGAGCCTGGTGCGAGAATCCAGCCCAGTTGATGCCGTACCCGTACTAGACCGGACACAGCGCACCCTCGACAGCGCGGCACCCTCGACGAAGAGACAGAGCGCAGACGAACTCGCTAGCTGGCTCGCGATCAGCAAGATGATGGACAGGCTGTAGGCGGTGTCGTCTGGCCTCGGACCCCGTATATAGAATCCCGGTCATGTATACGTGCCGGCGCTGTGTTTGGTATGTAATACAGATACCCTGTTTTGTTGTTTCTTGAGCCAGTGGGGCGTTGAAATACATGGGTCTGCTAAAGCAATCTACACCTTGTCTTTGTAGACATGGTTTGCGTGTCACTCGTATGTATTATGTATGTGCGGTATGCTCCTGTTTTGGAATGACCGGTGTTTATTATTCAACTGATCGATGTGGATGGAGGACTACTTCAACGCGCCTGTCTTTTTCGAAGATACATATGTGACCTTTCCAATAGTCTACAGATCTGCGGTGTTGCACCGCGCCCCTTCAGTATACTGAGAAAATGGATGCTCGCTTTCTGACACATGGAAAATTGAGAGCAACCATGAGCATACTCGTCGCCTGACTTAAAGTGTCTCGGTAGTTCGGGTGATGTTCATCTCTGTTGACATATCTTGGGACATATACCGACATTCCAGGCTACTTAAACAATAGACAGAAGAAACATTGGCTCCGAATGCGTACACGGCTGTAAAGAAGACGGGCATCATTGACCGCATTGAGGAATTATTTACATGGGGTATCGTTGCTTTCGTGACGAAAAGACGCGCAAAAACTCATTTATCGCCTTGTTAAGAACTGCCATCCTCCGTTCACTCCAGAGGTACAATGCAGAACGCTCACTTGAAAAGACTAACAGTGGCACTACGAAGATCCGCGTTCCAGATCGCCCAGAGTGTCACCATCGCTAGATCTCTCGGTTGCCTTGTCTTCTACCGCAGGCTTCGGTGCAGGCGCAGGCGCAGGCGGAGGTGGGATCTGCGCGACCCAGAATTTAGGATACTGTCGTTGGAGGTTGTTGACCAGACAGGCGCTCACTAGCACAATCATGGAAGAAAGTAGGAGGACCGGCAGGTAGTACCATCGCAAGGCCCAGATGTGAGGGTCAACACATGGGATCAACGCTGTTGCGCCGGCTGGAGGGTGAGTCGTCTTGGTGAGATGCATGACCACGAGAGCGAAAGCGGTAGCTAGGCTTGCCGCAAGCCATTGCAGCCGTGGGTAAGGGTCTTCCTGCAAGTTGAACTGGAAGATGGTTGCCATGATGACGCCGACAAGTCCGCTAAAGAAGTGGCCAAAGATCAGAGAGCGTGGTTGCGCAAGGGGAACATCGATGGCGCCGTAACATAGGATTGCAGAGGCTCCCTATTCTAATATCAGCGGTGTGTTGCCCATGCTTCGAATTTGCACTTACAAACGAGGCAACAATCGGGGGGACCAGATGTATGTTGTGGAAGTACTGAAGGTGGCCAAACACAGCGAGGATCGAAGCGACGCCTCCCCATGCACCGATAAAACCCCAGAGGCAGATAACCCAGTTTCGAGACGGAGGAACGGGTGATCCTCTGTAGCCAAGCCAATGGCTAATCCATGTGGGCAGGTGGGCAAGTCCTCTCTGAATGACGCGCTCAGCAGGGACGAAAGGATCCCACAGTGGCATCGTGGAGACTCGCGATGGAGAGTTCGAGGCGAGTAGTCAACACAAGTGCAAATCAGGTTGAAGAGGAGACAAGAAGTCCAAAGAAGACTTTGTGAAGCTTAAATTGAAGATTAACACGGACACTAGGAAGGGAAGGCACGATGGCCGCACGTCACCAGCGCAGATCGAGACCAAGCACCATGCACCCCGGATTAAAGGCGCTTACATGATGACAATTAGGGGCTTGTCGGATCACGGCGGTGAGACATGAGTTGGCTGTCTGAGCAGTGCATCTTCAACTCTGAACAGCGTGAGCAGCGTGAACAGAGTATAACCCGTCCTGACAACCTCTTGAAGCCGCGAAATGCCCTGGAGACACAGGTGAGCTTTGAACGAACACAGCCGCTTACCAGCTTCCGCGATGGTAATGGAAGTAATTTCGAAAGAATGCGGAGGTATGACGCTATTAGGTAAGAGCGAAGTTTTAGACCCGAAATTCGCACGAGCGACCGAAGCCAGCGAGCCATGTCCGAACAACGACAAGCTTACGTCCGTTGCATCAGGGCCTCCAAGTCACACATAAATCATCAGAGATGTGTTGTTTTCGCACTTTCTTTGCCAGATCAGCTAGACAGGAACAGCAGGTATGCCTACAGGTGTCATATCTTGCCACGTGACCCGTGCTGGACGCCTCCACCTTATCGACCACCTCCACCTTGGTCCCCCCAAATCCAGCCGACAACCGTGAAAGCTGCTTTCTTGCGGCAGTCAGCACAAACAGAACAATCACAACATTGCAACGAGCCGATGCGCCATCGTGGCTTTGCTAACACGTAGTCCGGAAAGAGATTATCCTCAAGCAGCACGAAATCGCAACATGAACCAAACTATGCTTCCTTTCTCAATTCCAGGGGTATTCTAGCCCGGATATTTCTATTGTTACTTCAGCCTATGGCTGAGTAAATGTCCATCCTTTGTTTGCGGGCAACCGCCCTGGGCCGCGATTGTCATGATGCGGCTTGCTAGGACAAAGGTAACGTCTCCAGTGCCCAGGTATGGCGGACAAAGCGAGCCTTCTCATATCATGCCGACGTTGCCTCTTCAATAATCTACTTCTCTTCACTCTCATTTGTCTCAAAATTCTAAAGCTTACCCGACTGCAATTTCACCCACAACAATGGATTACATCAGCAACAGCGTCCGCAAAATCAGCACCCTTCTCTCTTCTCCCGAGCCCAGTTCTCGAGGTAAGCGCAGGCCCAGTCGCACAGAAGCTGTCGAACAAGCTGAGGCGCTGGATCTTGCCCAGGAAGTCGACAGCGAACATTCATCCAGCGACGAACGCTACAATTTCGTCTTGCCGCAGCAACTACCACAGAAGCGTATGCGCAAGTATACAGTAACTGATCGTGCGGGTTCTACTATGCAGGACGCTCACGAGGCCGTACGAAGGGCTCAGGTAGCGATGGGCAAAGGTGTGTCAGACACGCACAATGTCCAGGAAGAGCTTGAGCGAGAGACGCGCCTGGAGCAGGAGAAGAAAAGAGCGATGCTCACGCTCAAGACGAAGCTCTCCGTATCCAAGACAACACACACCGCGCCCCGAGACATCCTCGCATCTGAGCCAAATCGGGCCACTCAACCCAATCGCCACGCAAGAGATGTGCTGTCGCGCAACGAGGACAGCGCCAAAGTCCTGCTCGAAGTCCTCAAAGAGCCGGCCCACGCCTGCCGCGACATTGAGATCCGTGACGAAATGAGACAGCTGCAGACCGATCTTGCAGCCTTCGCCCAGAAGTACTTCTTCGGCACCGACAACAGTGCCGCGCGGTACGCTCTCAAGAGCCTGGAGAAAGAGACAGTCTTGATTGTCGGCTGCGTTGCGTCGGGCGGACCCAGCGGTGCTAAAGGGTGGAAGGAGTTGTTTTATGTACCCGAAAAGCGGCAGGCGATCGTGTGTGCTATCGTCGGCAACGTGCTCGTCGAGCAGGTCCTTCAGCACCTGTTTTTTGGCAGCAGCGCGGAGCAGAACCAGGAGATATCAGCGCTACAATTCGAGCACCGACACGAAGACGGTATGTATACACACCCTGGGTGATCCGTGTGCTAACAGGCAGTAAGGATTCGACCGCACTGCGCTCTACGCCGTGAAGATCCGCGACTTCCTGACCCCCCCGACGCCCCCCCGGGGGTCCAAAACTCCCGTGCGTCGCCACAGCACCATCACCCTTCCTCCGAAATTCAACACCCATGTCGCCCATGTCGTCGCCGCGCTCTACACCCACCTCCTGCCCATCCGCCAGATCTCACTCTGGGACCACCCCGACAGCGAACTCCCACTCACCGACTACCTGGCCGATCTGCACGCGCTCGTCGTGCGCGCGGGCATGCTGAGCCTGCACATGCGGATGGACACGCAGACAGCATACCACTTCGACCCCGTATTCAAGGAAACGCCCTTCAAGCCAACCGAGATGACGAGTTTCCTCCCCGCGGCGACGAAGCGCGCACAGACGCAGACACACACGACCCGCCCGCGCGACAGACCACTCGTCCAGATCGCCATCCTGCCCTCGCTCACCGCGTTCCGCCGCGGCGGCTGGTCGTACGCGCCTCCCACCCTGCCCGCGAAACACACCCTCCCAGACCCCGAGGGCGTCCGTGCCCGCCTCCTCACGCCCGCGTGGGTGCTCACGCGCCACGGCGTGCCGCGGGCCTGGGACAACGGGAAGCCCGCTGACGTGCCCGCGGCGCACGGCGACGCGTGGCGCGGCGGGTTCGTCGAGTTTTATCCGGGCGTGCGGGGGGTGCGGGATCCAAGGGGGGATGGGCGGGTGAAGGAGAGTAGCGGTGCGCATGACGATGTGGTTGAGTCTTCCAGCGAGTACGACTCTGAGGCGGAGATGGAGGTTGTCAGGAAGGGGATGGTGCGAGAATGATAGGTCTAGTTGTTTAGCAGGGTGGTGTGAATCGCGGCGCATGTCGAACAGAATCGAGAGCTGTGAGAGATGGTGGTGTCGGTCAGTTAGCTAGTGTCCGTTCAATCTAGTCATTTTGTCAGTGCAGTGTAGTCCCGTCCTCGGTCTTGTCTGCTGCTCTTACTCAATCTATCTTTACTTCCGCACAGTCTAAGCTACACGCTAAACACCTCTGAAGCTTTAGCCAACACACGGAGAGCATGCGTAGAGGTAGCAGTGTAGAACCCAAGCCCAACTATAGCGAGCAGGTTCGAAGTGGTCTCGCTGTTGTTGAAGAAGAAGAGGAGGAAGACGACTCAGATCCTAACAACGAAACAAACCCCCCCCCCCCCCCCCTTTCCCCCAACCATCTCCAAACATCACTTCCACAGTGCCACTTCCACAGTGCCACTAGTGGTATCAAGAGACCAGACCGCGGCGAGATGTACATTGGGCCCGGATACCTGTATCGTGTTGTAGCCAGCTGCTGTGCGCTGCTGGGTAGCCGTGGCGCGAAGAAGACGCAGAGAGGGGTGTCGAGAAGGCGTCTAACGTGCCGGAGCCGAGACGGGCTAAGAACGCATCAACACGGGGTTGGAGACAGAGCGGCAGGCGGAGGACAGGACGAAGAGGGGGGGATGGGTGGTGAGGTGTGGAGAGTAGATGGGAGGGGCATGGGTTGGTGGACTGCGTGGGCTGGATGGGCTGCACGGAGGTTGATCCTGCACAAGGGTTCATAAACGACTCGGAGGTTCACCTTAAAGGTTCATGCACTGCGGAGGTTCACCAGAGATTCGTGAACCACACAGCGCTACCAGTCCATGAACCTCCATCCCAGACAGGAAGTGCACGTCACCGCACAGCCCAGCCCAGACAGCAAGTGCACGCGCACACAGTCCATGGCGAAGAACCACAGATCCACCAAGAAGCGCAGAAAGAAGCGCAGGGATATGCATAGACATGGACATAGATAGGCATAGATGCAGGCATACATGTAGACGTAGATGTAGGCAAAGCTGTAAGCATGCATCTAGACATAAGGGTAGACACAGACATAGATAGGCGTAGATATACGCATAGACATGGACATAAATAGGCATAGCCACAGACATAGATGTACGCATAGACGTAGGCATGGACATAGACACAGACATAAACATATGGTATAAGCAAGCCCCCCCATCTCGCGCCACACTCCCGCACTCCCGCACTGCACTGTACTGCACTGTACTGCACTGTACTGTACTGTACTCCAACACTGCACTGTACTCCAGCACTGCTCCAGGACCGCTGTACTGTGCAGCATAGCACCGCACTGTGCGCAACGTACAGCAGTGTACTAGACGTACTGCACAGCACAGCACCGCGCCGCACGCCATCGCCCCGCAAAACCTAGCGAGAGTAGATACGATACGAAAGAGAGAAAGATTCGGGCGATGAGTACAAGGCCTGTGGCGCCGACGCAGTGCGACGTAGTGGAGTGCATCCAACAGCCAACAACCAACAGTCATGGCCAACAGCTCGAACACCGTCCGACAGCCAATAACCAAACCAATAAGTAGCATCCAACAATAGCATCCAACAACAACAACATCCAACAACGAAAGCAACAACAACCCTCCAATCCAAGGCCGAGAAAACGCCAGCCCCGCGACGCCGCGCGAGGCCTACAAACAAGCAAAGCAAACTACAGACAAGCAAGCGGTCAAGCACGACAGAAAGCACGGACAGCGCAGTATGATGCGGTGCGGTGCAGTGCGGTGCGAGGAGAGCGGGCGGGCAGCGGAGCGGAGAGGCCGTGAGATGCGGGACAGCGACAGCGCCCGGGGGCCGGGAAAGAGAGATGGGTATGGGTATATAGAAGATTTTGTTTGGGGCGGGACAAGTCCTCCGACTCGCGGACCAGACGGGCTCGATGCGGCGCGACGCAGGCTCAACACCAGCAACGCCAGCAACGCCAGCAACGCCTACGACGCAACGACGCTACGACGGCTATATGCCGTCACCCGCCTCAACGCCATTCGTAAAGTCGTCAAAGCCGACAAGACTGCCAAACCCGCTCGAGTCCTCGCCCGTGTGCAGAAACGAGTCAAAGTCAAAGTTCTCGAGGGCCGTGTCGCCGTCGCCAAAGTTGAGCCCAATGTCGAAGCTGTTCTCGGTGAGGTCGCCAAAGGGCGCGTCGTTGGCCATGGGCGCGGCGGGCGGCGGCTGCGGCGGCTGCGGCTGGGGCTGGCCGTTGGGGTTGAACGACTTGGCGTGCATGGGCGTGATCGGGGTGTTGGGGGTCGGGGTCGGGGCCTCTTCGCCGGCCGAGGCGGCGGGCGTGGTTCCTGCGTTTGGGCCCTTTTTGGGGGCGGGCTTCTGAATCAATATCAATGCTGGCCGGGGCGAGGGAGCGCTCAACGTTACCTTGTTGTCCTTGGCGCCCTTCTTCTTGGGGGCGGCCTTGTTGCCCTGGTTGGGGGTGGGCGGGGCCTGGTTGGACATGGCGGGCGAGGCCTCGGGGCGCTGCTCGTTGGCGGGGGCGGGCGGCGGCGGCATCTGGCCGCGCTGCTGCGGCCCGCCCTGCATGGGCCCGCCCATCATCTGCGGCTGCTGGGGCATGCCGGGCCCGGGCTGGCCGCGCCACTGGCCGTTCATCTGGCCGTTCATCTGGCCGGCGCGCATGGCCTCCATCTGCTGGGGCGTCATCTGCTGGCCGTTGAAGTTGGCGGCCGGGTGCGAGCTCGGCGGGCGCATCATGGGGTTGTTGGGCATCTGCGGGTAGAACTGCGGCGGCATGCCCGGCGGGGCCAGGTTGGGGTCCGGGAAGTTCATGTTGGGGGCGGGCGAGGCGCGCTGCTGCATGGCGCCCTCGGGCATGGGCGAGCCGGGCAGCCCCTGCTGGCCCAGCTTGGGGGTGCGGCCCTTCATGTCGGCGGGGTTCGGCGACGGGCCCTGGCGCGAGCCCGACGGCGACATGACGGGCGGGAAGCCGCCGGGCTGGGGGTGGGGCTGGGAGATGTTGTCCTGCTCCTGGCGGGCCATCAGCAGGCGCTTCTTGTTCTGCTGCTCGAGCAGCATCAGCTGCATCTGGTAGTCCTGCAGGGCGTGGCTGCCCTGCTGCGGCTGGCCGGGCTGCTGCGGCGGCATGCCGGGGCGCGGCTGGTTGGCAAACATCATGTCGGCGCCGTCCATGCCCTGGTTCATGGGCGAGCCCTGGGTCATAGCCTGGGGGGAGGCAGTGTTATTCAGTGCTACTCTGTGTACTTGGGCCAGGCCTTGGGAGTATACCTCCATGTTCTTCTGCTGCGCGTTGTTGGCGGGCTGGCCAAAGTCGTTGAAGGGCGCGCCGGGCATGTTGAGGCCGCCTGGGGGGTCAGCATAGATCACGACACATATAACTCAGACGTACCGTCGACGCGCGGGCGCTTGTTGGGCGACGGGGCGCTGTCGTTGGCGGGCGACGGGGCGCGCTGGCCGTTCATGTCCATCTGCGAGCCGTCGCGCTGCATCTGGGCGGCCATCTGGGGCTTGCCCATCTGGCCCATGGCCATGGGGTTGCCGTTGCTGCAGGGTGTCAGGGCGCGTCACGTGTCAGGTCAGCACAGGCACGTACGGGCGGTTGTTCTGCAGGGCGGCGCGCTTGAGGTCGTTGGGGGCGACGCCGTTGGGCATGTTGGCGCGCATCATGGAGCCGACGGCCTGGTACTGGGCGTTCATGGGGTTGCTCATCATCATGCGCTGGTTGCGCTGCTCGTTCTGCATCTGGGTGATGTGCTGGGGGCATTAGCAGGGAGGCGTGGGGGGAGTGTGGGTGAAGTAGGTAGCAGGGAGGGTGAGGGTGCAAGCAGGACATACTCTGGTGTGCTGGATGTACTGGGCGCCCTTGGTCGGCTGCCCCGAGCGGATCTTGCTCGCCTGGAAAATGTCCCAGAACTGCACCCACCAGTCCAGCAGGAACGAGTTGTCGGCCATCTGGTTCTTGGGCAGCAGCGGGTTGGGCAGGCCGTGGGTGTCGTCGTCCGGGTCGAGCCCGTTGGGCTTGCTGCCCGGGCTGGTCTTCTGGGCGGGGGTGGTGCTCATCTTCATGTCGCACTCGACCATGGCGCGGGCCAGGCGGTTGTGGTTGTTGCGCAGGAAGTAGTCGTAGATGTACGTGTTGAGCTGCTCGCGCGGGTCCATGGCCTGGTGCTGCGGCGGGCCCGGCATGCTCAGGTGCGCCATGACGGGCGTGCCGTTGACGGGGCCGCCGTTGTTCATGGCCATCTGCATCTGCTGGTTCTGCATCGCGGCGGTCAGCGGTCAGCGCCGGCTGCGCGCGGCGGCCGGGGCGGGGGGCGCGTCCGTGGGGGCGGTCGCGGGTCGTGTCGCGGTGGTGCAGCGGTGCTGCGAGCGCATGGGCGGCGCGGGCGCCTGCAAGTGGTCGACCGTGGACGGGCGGCGCGGGCGATAACGGACGGGCGCGGCGACGGGGGCGACGGGGCCGGCGGGTGGGCGACGGGGACGGGGGCGATGCGCGGCGATGGGCGCGGCGGGCGATGCGTGGAGTTGGGGCTGGCAGGCTTCTAGCGCAGAGGAGGCGCGGTGGAGGCGGAGACAAGGCGAGCGGGAGGCCGGCAGGCAGGCCAGGTCACGACCACGGGGCAGGGCGGCGGGCGCGGGTGAGGGCGGCGCAACACGGTCTGCGTCTGCGTCTGCGTCTACGTCTGTGTCTGCGGCGGCGGATGCAGTCGAGGGCTGCGTCTGCGAATTGCCCTCGTCGCGAAAGGAGACTTCGGCGGACGTCACGTGACCCAATCATTGGCTGGTCCTATTTTTACCAGCCCCTCGCACCCCCCGAGCTGCAGCATCGAGCTATCATCGCCAGTGCTGAGCAGGACCATCGCCAGCGGCGACAGCCAGTCACGTCAGAACAGCACGCACCAGACATCACTGCAATTCACGTGAGTGGTTCGCTTGCATCGCAGCCGGTGATTTCTTTTGCTACGGTTCTGCGATCGATGCCGAACGCCAATGGTTCGCACGCATTGCTTCTGCCACACACACTCCGCCTAGCGGACGCCTGCTGCCTCTGCCCGCTGCCCCTGCCGCGTCCATTGGCTGTGTGGGGCGGCGGCTGTCTAGATTGATCCATCATTGAGTGAGGACTCGCACTGCGGCTGTCGAGCCTCGAATCCCGTTACCTTGTTGTAGTCCTGCTTTAGTCTAGGCCCCGCACCCGGCGGGTGTATCCCTAACACTCGTCGTCGGGCAGATTATATCACTCGTCGTCGGGCGGCATCTCGTCGTCAATGTAGCGCACCAGCGACACGCGCATCTCCGTCGTGTCGTTGCCGCGCAGCACGTCGCTCACAAAGTGTGCCTCGACCTGCATGTGCACCTGTACCTGCGTTAGCGCACGACACTTATTACTACACCAACACGCACCATCTCCAGCGCGCCTCGCAGCACGCCCACGAGCATGTTGGAGAACCACAGCTCGTCCTGGGCGCGGCCGTCGTCGGGCAGCTCGACAAAGTCGGCCAGCGGGTTCTCGTCGAAGATGAGCGAGAACTGCTTGTTGTCGCTGGACCAGCTCGTGATGGTGGGCGTGATGTTCAGGAACATCTTGAAGCCAACCTGCGCCCGTCAGCCCTCGTCGCAGCGCCGGGCGGCCGCGCTACCTTGGAGATCATCTCGGCCACCTCGCGGAAGTTGGTGCAGGTCGGCGCGCTCGTCTTGGCGAGGAAGTCCTCGATCAGGCGCACGCCGATGTTGTAGCCCATCTTCTCGAGCTGCTTGTTGACCTCGGCGTAGTTGTACTCGTAGTCTTTGCACAGCTGCGCGACGATGGTGCCGTACGTGAGCGTGACGAGCTCGGCGCTGACCTTGTCGACGCGGGTCCTGCGACGTCAGCACCGCGGGAGCACGGCGGCGCGACAGGCGACACTTACTTCCACACTCTGGCAGGCATTAGCACGCATCACAGCCGAGGCTCGCGGGGCTCACTCCTCGCCCAGACGGGCTGCCTTGGTCGATGACGCCATTCTGCGCCGCGGGTCTGTCTGCGCTCGAGGGACGCTGGCGGAGGTGTAAAGGGGAAACGTGGGGTAGGCGAGCAAGGGCGTCGCGGTGCGGGACGGTGGAGCGCGTCCACGAGCTAAAGTCCGTCCTTGGCGGCGCGCGAACTTGACGAATTCACATCACCGCTTTGGCTGCCCGCACCACAGTCGCAGCGCGACACCGCCCCGTGATGTCTCTGTCCAAACGCCCGGCGCACGATGCCTTCGGCTCGAACCAGCTGGTCAAGCGCGCAAAGTCCGACGCCAACCTCGACAGCTCCGCCGTGGCCATCTCCAGCGGGACCGGGCAGAATGGCGCGCTCATACAAGCAGTACGTCGCGCGACTGCGCAGATAGCGCTGGCTGACGAGCCATAGGGACAGCGAGGGCCGCTGCAGTCGCCCGTCATGGAGCTGACCGGCCACTCTGGGGAGGTCTTTGCGGCGCGCTTCGACCCGACCGGCCGCTACATTGCCTCTGGGTCCATGGACCGCTCCATCTGTCAGTACGCCTGAGGCCGCGCAGAACGTCGCTAACGCAGCCAGTGCTTTGGCGCAGCTCGGGCGCCTGCGAGAACTACGGCATCCTCACCGGACACAAGCAGGCCGTGCTGGACCTGCACTGGTCGCGCGACTCCAAGGTGCTGTTCTCGGCCTCGGCAGACATGCACCTCGCCAGCTGGGACGTCGAGACGGGCGAGCGGATACGGCGCCACCCGGGGCACGAGGAGGTCATCAATTGCATGGACGTGAGCAAGCGCGGCGAGGAGATGCTGGTCAGCGGCGCCGACGACGGCTACATTGGCGTAAGCGACCTTTGCCGCACGGGAGTCAAGGCTAACGCGCGCAGATCTGGGACTCGCGCACCAAGGACGCCGTGACCTTCATCCCCACAGACTTCCCCATCACAGCCATCTGTCTCGCCGAGGCCGGCAACGAGCTGTTCACCGGCGGCATCGACAACGACATCAAGGTCTGGGACCTCCGGAAGCAGGCCGTCACGTACACCCTCATTGGCCACGCCGACACCGTGACGTCGCTCCAGCTCTCCCCCGACAACCAGACACTGTTGTCAAACGCCCACGACTCCACTGTCAGGACATGGGATGTGAGGCCCTTTGCCCCCGCGGACCGCCGCATAGGAACCTTCGACGGCGCACCGACCGGCCACGAGCGCAACCTGCTCAAGGCTAGCTGGGATTCCAAGGGCGAGAAGATCGCTGCCGGGAGTGGAGACCAGAGCGTAGCCATCTGGGAGGCACGGACGGGGAAACTCCTAAACAAACTGCCCGGCCACCGAGGCGCAGTGAACGACGTGCGCTTCCACCCGCTCGGGGAACCACTTTGTAAGTATCAGAACTCTCCTTGCCACGCCTTGTCCCGTCCCGCGGTCGCTATGCGTCGCTTCTCGCCGCGTCTCGCGACATGCAGGCCGAACGCTTCAAGACGCCGTTTGCGTGACAAGCCTGCGGCTCTCAGCAAGCTTTCGCCCAAGGTTTGCTCTCAAGGCGCAATCGCCCATGGAGCCCGCTCCGCTGGGCGCACTCCTGCCTGCATCCGCGTTTCAACGCCCACGCCACGACTCACGCTGACTTGGCAACACAGTGGTCTCCGCCTCGTCCGACCGCACACTCATGGTCGGAGAGCTAGCAAGGTGAGATTGTGGAGTCTGAAGCACTTGGCTGCCGACTTTAGATTTAGAAGCACCGCGAGCGCGGGGGAAGGCCTCAGTCGAGCGGAGAACCAGCCGCCCCGCGGGCACGCCAGGGCGTTGTTTACAGCGACATTGGACACGCCGGTGCGACGCTGGGCGGACGGGAGGCTGCCGTCGGCCTGGGCGAGAGCGAGCATGATGACGCGCTTGACCGCGCCAGTAAACCTGCAGTGCAACAAAAACAATGCACAAGGCACGACATCACTACGATGCCGATCGTTTATGTATGCAGTTCTATGGTTCATGTTGCACGACTGCGTTGTCGACTACAGTCGGAAAGAGTGTCAGGGGCGCGAGATTGATTGGCTGTGGTATTTCGCTACTTTACCGTGTCTTTTCACCGCTAGCCAACCACCGGCGGCCCCACATGCAAATCGCGACTTCACGCCCATCCACTGGCAACGACAGGCCTAGAATCGCTATTCTGAGGCTGCATGGTGCGCGAACTGCCCTGTGACATGGCGTAGATCTGCTGTCGTGGGGACGCGTTTCAGCCGTGATCCTGATACGCCCCCAGTCGCAGAATCGCCTGGCGTTCAATGCTCCTCGACCGCAAGCGTCCTTGCTGCAGGGTGCCGTGCTCGGTGTGACTTGCACGCTGCCCTTCCAGCGATATACCTCCCTCCCCTTAACTCCTCGTCATTGGCAGCTGTGCTGTTGTTTCGCTTCTCTCCCTCGCACGTCTTCGTTTGGTCCACGGGCTCTGGTCAGCTTCACCTCGTTCTTGTCCAGTGTGCGACCCTCGGACTCAGTCTTGGTTTCGTTTTTTGAAAGACTTGTTAAGGTACTCCAGCAGCGACATGCAAGGCTTCCTATGACCACGGGCCGGCTCCAGTCATATTACTTTCTCTACTTTCATCCCTGTTACCGTTCCCTTGGAGTCCTGCACGGCCAGTGACACCACCCATTCATTACTATTCGCAAATTAGACAACGACGCGTCTCCGATATAGAAAACTACCAAACAAACAACCTCCGATATAAGGGACCACAAACAACAACGACTCGGTTCTCTCGAGCCCACAATCCCCCAACATGTTCCGCTCTTCAATATCCATCTTCGGCATCCGCACCCCCCGCCCCGACCACGATGCCGAGAACCCCCCCGTCCCCAGTCTCAGTCTCCCCGTGCAGCCCTCGCCCGCGCCCCCCTCGCGCTTCGCCCGCTTCTCGACCAACGCGCGCACCATGGTCGGCTCGTCCGTGTACTCGCAGTCCCCCGGGCCGCCCAAATGGCGCACTCCCAAGATGCCCTCCATGGGCTTCAGCCGGCGCCCTGTATCCGCCGACCTCGAGACCGTAATCAACCCCGCCTTCGCCTCGCACTCGGCCGCCTCGTACGTCGGCACCATCTCGCAGGACAGCGTTGCGCCGGCCGCCGAGACACGGGAGCGCGTGATGCAAGCCCACGAGCAGAGCCGCGTTCAGCACGCGCCCTCGTCCATCATCTCCGACCACGTCCAGCCCCCGCCGCTGTCCTACCGCCACCCCGCAGACGTCCAGCTCCCCGCCGACGACCCCTTCGTCGACCCCGAGGCCGCGCCAGGCGCAGAGGAGAACCCCGGACCCCGCCGCCATCGCCGCCGCAGGCGCAGGCGGCAGCACCGCGCGGACCACTGGAAGCGCAAGCGGTCGGACCGCGGCAAGCTGATGCCGTTTGTGCGCGGGGCGGCGGCGCGCGGGAAGCTGATTGCGTGTATTATCTCTGGTAGTTTTTTGGTTGTTGTGTTGAGTACTTGTAAGTGGTTACATCTCTCCCTTATTTTTTCCCCACGCCGTGGATGGTAGATGTCGAGATTTCTAGATGTCCACGTCTTCGAGTTTCCAGACCCCAGGCTAACAATGTCCAACAGACCTCGCAATCGCCCTCACCAACAAAGACATTGGCCAGGAAATCCACATCCTTTTCATCCTCCTCCTGCTCAGCATCACAATCTTCTTCTGCCACTCCCTAATCCGGCTGTGCATGCTGCTCCTCAACCCCCCACCACCCTCCTCCTCCTCCTCCACCTCCGCCCCCGCCTTCCAGCTCAACCCCGCCGGCTTCAGCCCCGAAATCCCTATCCCAGTGCGCCTCGCGCGCGACGACGACCTCGTCTCGGACTCGGAGGACGAGTGGGACGAGAAGCACGAGAAAGAGGCGTTGCCGCCGCCGCCGCCCGCGTATGGGCTGTGGCGCAGTAGTGTGCGCGCGGATCCGAATCTGCTGCACTGGGCGCGTGTCGAGGGTGCGCGCGCCGAGAGCGCTGTTTCTATGCCGCGGAGTCGGAACGGGAGCGTGGTTGCGAGTTCCGTGGGCGCGCCCAACGCCCCCGGCGCTACTGGTGCTGCTGGTGCTCAGAGTGTTGTAGCAGAGCCGGTCGTCGGGCCCCGGCCGCCGAGCTACGTGCTCGACGACGCGCACGCGGCGGGCGGTTTCGCGGCGCCGGCGCCCAGCGCGGGGAGTCCCGGGGTTGCAGGGCAGCCGGTGCATCCGGCGTGGCGCGCGAGTTATGTTATGAGTGAGATAAGGCCGGGGGAGGTGCCTGCGGGGGTTGGGCGGCGGTTGACGTAGGTCTGCCATTGGCGGAGGTTGGCTGTTGACGGAGGTTGGTTGTTGGCGTAATTCGTCGTCGACGACCGTGTATCGACGCCAACAACGATATCACACACAGAAGTGACGGAAAAGCAGCACCGGGCAGTGTGTACCCATCCATTCATTCATCCAGCTATTCAGCGCGGCGTTTTGAGCGAGCCGGTTTTGTCTCAAGCATTGCATTGTGCCTACTGTAGCTACCTAGTTGCCCATCTACTCATCCTCTGCTGTCGAGCGAGGCGTTCCGATACTTGATTCCCGAACTGCGTACCGTGCCGTGCCGTGCTGCGTGTGCTGAACCCGTCGTCCAGATGCGGAGCTCTCTCCCGCGTTGACATGAGAACCGTTCACTCTCGAAACCCAAAGTCACGATTTAACATGTTAAACCAGGACTCAAAACCCAAAACTTACAACCTAAAACTCAATTCTATTCCAGAACCCACCCGCACTGCCGACAGTATTATACTACCTAGCCCCCCGAAAACCCAAAATCTTCGCTCCAGCACCGATCCCGGTGCCGACATAACAACAGACATAAATCGACATGAACCGACAGCACACCCGAACAGCACAACGGCCCGCGAACCCGTGCCCAGTCCGACATGCCTCCATCGCCGTTGTCATGACATCACCAACAACCGCACTCGCATCCGCGTTCGCACCCGCACATGCTGTTTCAGACCCTGGTACGCACCCCTGGGGCGCACGAATGTGGAGCCGGGACGACATGAATGCTGATGCTTTGGGGGTAAGGTTCGGATGCTTTGGGGTTAAAGTTTGAGGCTTTGGGGGCGCGGACGGGGGGCGGACTGACTGCGGACTGCGAACCATGGAGTGTGGAGTGTGGATTGTGGACTGTGGAGGGTGCGGGACAGTGGACAGCGGACAGTGGACAGCGGACAGTGGACAGTGGAGAGGCATCAGTAAAAAACGGTTATGTGCGGTTGTGTGCTGGGCTGAGCGAGTGGGTTCTGCACGGTATAGACGTGTGTACATGTGTGTGGGATAGGGTGCGCAGTGGTAAGTGCTACAGTGTGCAGTGCGAGAGGAGAGGAGTGGTGGGTGTCATTATCTATTATGCGTGTCGTTACGGGAAATGCAATGCAATGCAGCGCGGAAAAAGCAGGAATGGTATCGTGCTGTCCTGTCCGTGGACCGTGTGTGTGCGTGTCTCTGTCGTTATCCGTCTTGTCGTGCCGTGAGTCGTCGGTGGTCGTTGGCGAGGGTTGGCCGTGGTGTGTTGGCCGTGACTCCTGTGAGTCGTCGGGTGTGGTCCATCCATCAACAGTGGTCTATCATCAACCGTGATCTACCATCAACCATAACCTATCATCATCCTTCCATCATCTCACCTCAAACATCACCCCCTAAACCCGCTCCATCCCGTTCCCCTCCAGCCCAATCTTCTCCTTGACCTGCTCGTCCTTGTCATCGTCGTCCTGCCCCGGGTTCGCAACCTCGTACTCGAGCATCTTGATGAACTTGTAGAACACCACCGCGATGATGGCGCCCAGCCCCGGCCCCACCCAGTAGATCCAGTGCTCGACATCGAACACGCCCGTGATCACACACGGCCCGAAGCTGCGCGCCGGGTTCAGCGAGCCGCCCGTGTAGTACACGCCGACCAGCTCGGCGACGAAGAGCGCGAGGCCGATGCCGACGGGGGCGATGAAAGTCGCTGGTAAGCGTTAGCTTGGGCTGATATGTTTACATTTATGGACGAGGGAAGACGTACCCTTGTGCTTCTCCTTGGCCAGCATGAAGATGGTGAACACCAGCTCGGCAGTGAGAATGGCCTCGATGAACACGCCCCTCACCAGACTCGTGCCAGAACTCAGTGTGGTGCGCACATTGAACGTCGTCGGGAACATGACGCTGACGACGAAGCTCGCGAAGATGCTGCCTGCGACCTGCGCCACCAGCAGCAGCGACGCGCGGATCGGCGAGATGGCACGGCACAACAGCATCGCAAACGTGACCGCGGGATTGAACAAACCGCCGCTGATGCGGAAGAAAATCCACACGTTGACCATTAGACTGAACCCGAACACGACGGCAATATACAGCAGCACCATGGGCGAGAAGCCCGTGGCCTCACCCGTAGTGGTGTTGGACTCGTCCGACGCGGCGGACCCGATGTTGGCGACTTGCGTGCCGGCGAAGGCGAAGAAGAGGAACATGGTGGTGCCGACGAACTCGCCGACGAAGGCCACGAAGTGGTTCTTCGCATTCGAGTTCATCCACATGGTCCACGGAAGGCGCATAACTTCGGTAGTACTGGGGGGCTTGCGGCCACCGGCGCCACCGGTGGCAGCAGCGTAGAGCCGCTTACGCGGCGTGTCACGGTCGGAGTCGTAGTACATAGTATAGCCCTTACCGGTAGGGGGGCTCTCATCTTCGGAGAAGCGAGAGGAGGGGTAGGCACCAGGACCCGGACCGTAACGGCCAGAAGCGGCAGGTGGACGGCGGTGTTGGCGGTTTGGACGGCGGCGGTATGCGCGCGGGTCGTCTTCATCATCGGAGTCATCCTCTACGTACGGATGCCTGTGCATGGGGCCACCGGGACGGCTTTCCTGGCGCGTGCTGCGCTTCTGGTATGTGCGGCGGTAGTAGTCAGCTTCATCCGCGGCACGTTCGTCGTACGCTTGGCCGGGAGGGCCGTACGCGTGTGGGTCTGAGTAGCCGCGGATTCTCTTCAGGGCAGTGCTCTGGTGTGGCGGCGAGGCTACTGTGGACAGCCCAAATGGCTCAGTAGTCTCCAGGGGCGACATTGGTGAGGGTTCAATATGAGCCTGGTGTGGTTGCATTGGTAGTTGGAGAAGCTGCTTCCGAGACTCGCGGGAACTGACGTGACGGGGTGCAGTAGGAGACTCCAGTATGGTTCCATCTTGGAGTTGCTGGCCATAGTAGTGTGGAAGAGGACTGGATGTCGCCATGTTGGACTGGATGACTTGCTAAGAGCGAACTGCAAAAGGAAGAACTGGGCAGCGAGATGGAGACGGGTCGTCTCAGTGGCTGATTAGTCCACGGTAGTTGGAGAGGGCCACTGGTACCCGGGTTTCAGGTGAGGAGCCTTGAGATATCTGTGAGCGTGGGCATGAGGAATATGCTAGGTGATATAGCTCACTGGAGCAGCGACTCGGACCCTGAACGAGCTCACAATGCACCTCGTCATTCCTATTTCGGCCCATTTCGTGTCCACAAGGTTTGCTCGCGCACTTCTTGTCGGCGATTCGTCGATCAAAGCAGCCGAGGGGATTGCTTTCCAGGAACCTGCGCATCGAGTCCGGACGAAGATGATAATGACGTATTCCAGGGTCGCGGACTGACTCGGCTCCAAGAAAAGCACCAGAGATGGGGTATCTTGCATGGTACATGCAGCCACAGAAGCAAGCAAAGCCTGGGCGTTGGAGATGTGATTATGAAGCTCGCCAGGGTCAAGATTGTGGAAACCCGAAATCAAACACTGCCGAATCAACAGCAATGCGTCCTTGGAAGTTGAGCGTGAGGTTGCAAGGTTCTCGCTGGTTCATGAAGTGATGTTCGGATCGCCAGGGTCTAAGCAGCGGTACGTTTTGGTGTTCAACGTGCCACGAATGGGGAACATCCTTGCAGTGGTGTCGCAAATAACCCTAGCGCCTGTCATCAAGCAAAAGCAAAACGGGTACCTAAGCGATTCAAAAGAAAACTCCGTTCAATGGGACGATAATGACGGCAGTGGGGTGGTGGTTCCAACCGCATCCACATGTCAGGTCTATTAGTTTGCAGCTGTCAGTCCGCAGCACGATCAGCGAAACTGTGCAAGGCTGACGACGATCCGCGACTTTCGCGTATGTAGTCTGTAAAATAGTCTTTAAACGTCCCGACTGGAGCGCGCCGCTAGGAAAACTGTTCGATGCCATTTCACGAAATTGCGAACGGGCGTGAAAGAAAAGCTCGACGACCAAAGTATGGGGCATGTTTCAATTGCCACCGCGATCAGAACAGACCGCGAGATCATCTCAAAACCTTCAGTGGAATGTAAGATTTCAAGGCTGGATGAGTGATACCGGTGCGCGGGAGTGCATCGACGCGCGTTGTTCTTGTCAAGACTACAAAACACCTGCTGAACTGTAAAGCGTTCCCCGCTGTTCCGAGGATGCGTGCGGCTGCATTTCGTCATAGCTGTCCCGAACACGAGATGGTCACAGGGATGGTGGTTTGCGAGTTGGACCGAGCCCGTTGCATGAAACTCATTTCTTGATGAGGTTGGTAGTCTCTTGACGAGGTTGGTAAACTCTAGACTTTCTCGACGGTATGGTCGAGGTGATGACCTTGGTCTAGATCATGCTCCTTGGCTGCAACATTCGTTGAAATTGTCTCCCGTTCTCTCCTTTTCTCGGTGCGAACCTGCTGCCAAACGAGCAACGCTGTCCATATAGCCACTGACAGGCATTAGCTTGAATAACGGATTTCCAGGCATTCGACGCAGACTTACTTGCTATCGATACCGCAATCATTGCCCACATTCCCCGCGTGAAATAAGGTGCGAAGCTCGCGCCATAGAAGACAATGGACCACCACGCGTTGATGGCATTGCTGCCCATGTTCATAGATGCAATAACAACGGCCCGCAAGCTGTCTTCCTCGTAGCGGAGTACATCATTCGCCCAAGCGAAGAAGGTCGCCTGACATGCATAGACACTACCCGCCCAGTAATACATAGCAAAGTGTATGGCCGTGTGGTCAGGATATGCTAGGATGAGCGCGCTTGTGATGACGCCTGTAAGCCCGATCCAGTATCCAACTACGATGCGATTAGCAAGGGCTGGAATCTACGACATGAACTTACCAAGATAGCGCTTGCCGCCCATGAAATCTGTAAGTGTCGCCCAGAACAGGGTTGATACAATACCGACTGCCGGCACGCCCGTAGGGTAGTTGTTCAGCTGCGTGACAGTGTACTTGTTGGTTGGATGCGACTTCATGTACAAAGCCAACAGCGCGTTTGTGCTGAAGGATTCGGTCTCTCCAGCAAGGATCCAGAGAATAACGAAGAAGTACCAATACCAGGTCGAGAAGCAGTGCTTCAAAAAGCTCCAAGAGATGGGTGTGCGCTCTGAAACCTCTGGAACTCGAGAGATTGCGAGAGCCTTTTCTTCTGCGCTGAGATACGGGGCCTTCGTGTTCCTTGGCGTGTCTGGGAAGAGCATGAAGCCGTAGAGTGCGACGGGCAGCGTGATGATTCCATCGATGATGAAAAGCCAACGCCAGCCAGACAAACCGTTTAGTCCGTCCATACTAGAGTGTATGCCAGTCTGAATGAAGCCACCAATCATGGTACCGGCAAGACCAGAGGCGGTGAAGATGCCTGAGCGCTTGCCGAGTTCCTTCTCGGTGTACCACGAGCCAAGGATGTAGTGAGTTCCGACGAAAGTCGATGCCTCGAACATGGCCTGGAAGAAGCGAATCGCCATGATGTCTTGGGGCTTTTGAGCCGCAGCTGTCACCATTGTCAAAGCAGCCCATGCGACCTGCGCGATGTCAGTGCAGGTTTTTTATAGTAGAAAGTGCACTCACCATGCATGCAGGGAAGAAGTATCTCGGCTTGACGTAGTACAGCGCTATGTTGCAGGGGACTTGAGCGACTGTGTAGCCAACAGTGAATACGGTGTTGATCTGGTTAAGCTGATTTCCTTTGAAGTTCAACTCTTCTCTCATACCAGAGACGTATGCATTGTTGAGGTTTGTTCGATCAAGATAATTCAGGAAGTACATAAGGCAGCAGAAAGTAAGGATGAAGAAGTCGAGCTTCCGAACCAGCTTGCGCTCGCCAGGCGCATTGTGGTCGCCCTGCAGGTACTGCCTGAACTTGTTCGCCATTGCGGCTAGTGTTTCCTGGCACTCGAAGACCTGAGAGTCGATCGTGTAGTCTGTGTGGCTGCGATCGTGTCTTTGCCGCTGTCAGTACTGTCGCGGATTGATCTTCCTTATATGGGCTGGCACAGTCTAGCGCCAAGGTCAAGTCAAGGTCCGGTAACGGTTATCCGTCTGTGATCGACTGATAGACGCCAGGTCGAGATATGGCGAAGAAGATAATGCGTGGGCCAGTTTCGAGATAGGAACTCCAGCATGTTATCTCGTATCGCGATACTGGCAACAGGGTTCGTTTTCGGGTTCCTTCATTTGGTCAGCGGCCGCTGTCACACAGTCGTGAACGTTGCAACGGCGTCGCAACAGACATCAGCATCCGAGAGGTTTAAGGATCGCCTCCGTATCGGGAATAACCACGCTCGAGCTGGTCAATCACAGCGCGCGGGGTTCGGATAGGCGATCTGCGTAGACCAGCAAGAGTGGCGTCTCCGTCACCGACCGCGGCGAACATGTACCGAAAGGTGGGGAGCTTCTGCCGGATCAGATAATGTAGTCCAGTAGCTTACCTCCGAGGTTCAAGCTGCTTTAAAAGCTTCAGTCGACATCGCAACGCTGCTGCTATCAATCATCGGCGTTCTCAGAATCGTGAATAGACCATGTCGGCGCAAAACTGGGAGAAGATCGCCGAAGCGAAACAAGCGGCCCTGACGGCATCAATCCCGTCCGAGTATCGCGTGCCGAAGGACCTCCTGCCACCAGACTCGCAACTCGACGTTACACCATGGCCCCAGCAATCAGGCTGGTTTACAGCAGAAGAGTTACAGATCACTGGCAGCACCGCATCAGACATCCTGCAGAAACTTGCGTCGAAAACATGGACGTCTGCAAATGTAACCAAGGCTTTCTGCAAACGAGCAGCTGCAGCACACCAGCTTACCAATTGCTTAAGCGATGCATTCTTTGAAGAAGCTATTAGAAGCGCTACAGCTCTCGACGACCATCTTCAGCGAACTGGACAGCTGGTAGGGCCGCTGCACGGTCTGCCGATCTCGCTCAAGGACAACTTCAACATCAAAGGCAAAGACAGCACCGTCGGCTTCACGTCTTTGGTAGACAAACCAGCCGAGTATAATGCTACTTTGGTTGATATACTGGAAGGACTCGGTGCGGTACGGTACTGCAAGACCAACGTACCCACAGCCATGATGATCGCTGAATCCGTTAACAACACATTCGGCCGCACCGTCAACCCGTTAAATCGTGCCCTCACTTCTGGTGGTTCATCAGGCGGGGAATCAGCACTCATCGCCTTTGGAGGCAGTCCACTTGGAGTCGGAACAGACATCGGCGGCAGTTTGAGAATTCCCGCCGCGTGTACGGGTATTTTTACACTTCGACCCAGCCATGGTCGGTTCACGACGCAAAGATGTCGATCGGGGCTTGCGGGCCAGGAGGCTGTTAAAAGCGTCAACGGACCTATGGCAAGAACGCTAGAAGACATCACGATGTATTCAAAGGCTGTTATTGATGCAAAGCCATGGCTACTTGATCCTACGATGCTACCTATTCCTTGGCAGCCTGTAGAGCAAAAGCAAAAGCTCAAAATAGCCGTCATGTGGAACGATGGGATATGTACGCCTACTCCACCTGTCACGCGGGCGTTGAAGGAGACAGTACAGAAGCTGAAGGATGCCGGGCATGAACTGATTGAATGGGACCCGAAGGAGCTCCACCCCAAGGCACTGCAGATCCTGGTGAGGTCATCTAAGTAAATCTTGACATTACTCTGCTGACTTCAAACCTAGGGGCGCATGTTTGTAGCAGATGGCGGCAAGAGTGTCGAAGCCCTCCTGAACCCCACCGGTGAGCCATGGCGACCAGAAATGAAGATGTATGAGGATGCTACGGAGCTGGGCACGCACGGCATGTGGGGACTTCATCTTGAACGTACTGAATTACAGCGTCAATACCTCGAGAAGTGGAAGTCTGTCGATAGTCTTGATGCCATTTTGTGTAAGGAATAGCCAGTCTTCTCGGACGCTCACTGACAATACCACACAGGCCCAACAACACCGTACGCGAGCGTCAAACATGGCGACTTCAAGTACGTCGGTTACACTGGTGTGTATAACGTCGTTGACTACTCGGCCGTGTCTTTCCCCTGTGGCATATCCGCAGATAAGGCTGTAGATGCAGCTATCACAGACTACAAACCACTCAGCGAATATTGCCAGGCTGCTTACGACAGCTATGATGCTGAGGCTGTGCATGGGATGCCGGTCAGCCTTCAGCTTGTTGCGCAGAGGCTGGAAGAGGAGAAGGTTCTTGCTATGACAGCGACTGTGCTACAAGCACTTTAAATCTCTTGCAGTACGACTAGACGAGGATGAAATACAATGTTGATAGCGTGGTGTTCGCTGTCGCAGCTACCCTGTCCGCGTGGCGAGATGAATTGTGGTGAGGCAAGTACGTCCAATCTCAGTAAACAATACAACCAGTCAAGCTGAACTTCATTCCCTCGCACTCATGAGACCACATCCATACCTTCACCATTGCCTATTCTTTTCGCCCCACCCTGCTTGACAACCAGCCTACCCCAACCTCTTGCACGCCCGAGGCTGGTTGCTCATGTTCTCTCATATGATTCCATCTCAGTCTTACCTTGTCGAGCGTTGCTCGGAGCTGTCGTCCATAGTCTGAGTCAACTCTTCGCAACCACAGGACAAACGCTTTGCGATCATCTCAGTCATTACACCCGCGCGATAGCCCGCGTCAGACTTACCATGACTGTATCCCAGGAACCGCGAGCGGAAGCGTCTCGACCAACGAAACTTACCTCTGGAGCAACAATAAAGCGGCTGCCCTGGCTTGATGGCAGGAATTCGCGAGCGCTCAACCATCCTTCGGGCAACCATTCAAGCAGTAACTCCTCGGCCCTGGCAATTCCTAAACGTACTGCAACAGCACATGCGACAGCCACTTCATCCGCACCCGTCGCCCAGAAGAAGCTCGTGTCATCCAAGAACGAGCAACGAATACTTGAGATGGATTCGCCACTCGAGAGTAGCCTCTCACCAGTCTCAAGGCACCAAATGGCCCATGATCGACGAGTGTCTAGGGACGCGGCCCAATGTGCAGCGTCAACGCCCGTAGTAGTCTCCCGAGTCCAAACGTCCCCTTCTCGTCCCCGGCCTCTACAAGTGGGAGAAAGGAGGATTGGCAAAGCAGTTGAGGACCTCGAAGACATGGTACAAGAAGCTGTGGAGATTGCAGACGATGCAGCAGATTATGGTCTGGTTGAGGAGATATACGATATTATCAAAGACGCACGGCAAGCAACACAAGAGGCTTCGGGGCACCCTGCCAGGCACCTGATGATAACAAGCTCCCCGCTTCCGGCATCGGACTCCTCTCTTCAAGGGCAAGAGAATCGTGGTAATTGGACAGAACTATCGCCTCCTCCACCCCTTATCGTCCAGAGGAACATTTTTCCGGATTCGGTGGACATTCTGCCTCCGCAAGTGCAGGTGAACCTGCAGCGAGGGCCATTGTCCGTAGACTGGGCTTACCAACCTCACAGAGGTCCTACCAGTATCACTTCGTCCTCTTCTCGCTCGAGTAGTGATGGCAGGGGTCGCTCTCGGCTCGGCACCCTTAGCGACCTACTGCTTCCACCAGATCCTTCCCAACCTGCACCAAGAGAACATGTGGACCATGTGCTCCGTCATCTGCGGGACCATTCTCGCGGTCGATCACATCACCGTATCGTCCGAGACAGAGCAGTGCGAAGTCGTAAACCCCACCGACATCGCCGTCTTCGAAGTGTGAGCAGTCCCGATCGAGGAGCCAGGACAACTTCTCGGCCGCACTGCACAGGACAAAGCTGCTCAGAGTCGAGTTTTTCCGGACAGTCCTGCGACGAGGAGCACCTTCCATCTCGACCATATGGCGGTACGCTCCACCTTTGGGACCAGGCGCAGCGACATACAGTCAACCGCCGGCAACAACATCGCAGGCAGCCCATTGCAAGGAATTGGGGCACTGGCAAGAAACGCTTGGCTGCGGTCATTGCCTGCATTAACACCGCTCTTCTCGGCATCGTCATTGGAGTTTACGTGAGTGGTTCGGAAACTCGTAGTGTGTTCGATCTGACGTATTCAAGGCAGGTGAGGTACCACGCATTCAGTACTATCTCGCAGACGAAGGCCACATTGCCATCCTCGGTAATGTTCTGTAAGTTGTCCGACTCTGTTCGTGAGCATCGCTAAGACGTACAGATTGTACATTGGTCTTGCCGTCTCCACCTGTGTAGTCTGGCCACTACCGCTGCTCCACGGGCGAAAGCCATACATATTAGCCGCGTTGACCCTTGCAATGCCGCTGCAATTTCCACAGGCGATGATCCTCAGCGCCAAGCGGTCTCCGACCAATGAAAAATTTCGAGCAGGTCTGCTTATTGCTCGTGTAGCAACTGGACTCGTCCTTGGGTTCGCCAACGTAAACTACATCACCGTTCTGCTTGATCTATTCGGCGCATCATTGCAAAGCAAGAACCCACACCAAGAGTATGTTGTCCCGAATGACGTGAGACGACATGGGGGAGGCATGGGCTTGTGGCTCGGCATATGGTCATGGTGCTGGATCGCATCGCTCGCTGTCGGCTTCATGGTTGGTGCGGTGATCATTGAGCATCTGAGTCCAGACTGGGGCTTCTACGTTGTGATCATCATCTTGTCTGCTGCACTGGTACTGAACATCATTGCGCCCGAAACCCGGCGCGCAGCTTGCCGCAAATCGGTGATGGAGGTGTACGACCGCGATGAGAATTACCTTATGCGCCGAGTGTCCCGTGGCGAGTGCAAGCTTCACATCTCAGCCGAGGGCCCGAAGTACTGGTTCGAAGAGGTTTGGGCTGGTCTGAAACTGATGGTCATGATGATGTGCCAGCCAGGCTTCTTTGTGCTGGCCCTGTATCTGGCCTGGATCTATACACAGGTGGTGCTTGTCATTGTGCTTCTTACTTCGTTGTTATCGAGGAATTACAAGTGGCAGCCGCGGTTCGTGGGAGCTGGCGTCACGTCGATTGCCATTGGAGCCTTCCTGGCGCTTCCTTTAACCAAGGCTAGGATCTTCTCTCGCGAACGGAAGAACTCCTTTCGAACGGACAGCATGACGTTTCAGAAGCAGGTAACGTGGTCATCGCATCTAGTTCGACGTACGCTCTTCACTGTCGTACTTCCCCTGATGGGCCTGGCCTACACAATCTCCTCAGCAGGACGTCCGCGGCCGTATATGGTACCAATCGTGTTCGCAGGGGCCCTGGGGTTCTTCAGCATCCTTGCCATTGCGGAATGTCACGGGCTCATGATGGAGACATTTGACACGTGCGATCTGCAGCCTGGTGTCAACACAAAACATCGGCTGCAGTCGATGGCTGTGCAGGATCGGCGGCGTCGAACAAACTTCTCGTCCTTTCCTCGCGTAACAGCTGGCATCTTTGCATCTCAGACACTGGCGTTCATCGGCGGCGCAGTGGCGACAGAAGTAGGTGGTATTATGACGCGGCGTCTTGGTGCTCAGCTGTCAACTGGCGTGACGGCTGCCATTCTGATGTTCTTAACGGTCGCGCTTACACTCGTTCTTGCGCGCTTCAAGTCAGTCCAAGTGATTCCCAACCACACGTTCGGCACTCGGCGAGACACAGCAGCATGGGAAGAGTTTGGACAGCTCGAGAAGATGGGCCGGGGCAGTGACTGGAAAGCTGTGGTGATTGGGAATCCGAGTGGGAAAATGCGCAGGATGAGCGTGTTGGAGCTGGGCGCCTTGAGTCGCTGGACAGAGATCCGAAAGCTTAACTTCCTACTGAAAGGGCCTCGATTAGGCGAGGCGAAGTCTGGGAGGAGACCTAGGACTTGGAGAGACGGCTGACGGTTTGCTATGAGGAGACGTGTGGAAGCTCAGACTGCTAGGAGGAGAAGTGCGAAAGTTCAGACTGCTGGTCGGAGCTGGGCAGAAGAGTATTGCAATTCAAGACCTGCCGCGTTCTCACATTACTCTCGCGTGGGTGATCTACAGGGCTGGTGTTGGTGTTGAGACATGGTGTGCTCCTAATACATCCGCGTGCCAAGTCTCGAAAAAAGCTCGAGCTCTCGAACCGCCAACATCAGTGTAGCCGGCGACACACCACCTCCATCGCCCACCTACGCCGACGCACCATCACAATGTCTTTCGCTGCATCTCGCGCGCTCGTCCGCCAGTCGCGGTTCGCCATCCGCCGCGCCGGCATGCGCAATGCCTCGACCACGTCCGAGGCCGCCGGCGCCGCAAAGGAGAAGGCCGGCGACGCGGCCTCCAAGGTGCAGTCCAAGGCGTCCGAGGGCCTGACCAAGGTCAAGAGCTCGGCCGAGTCTGCGGCCAGCTCCGTCAGCACCGCCGCGAGCAACGCTGCGGGCACAGTCAACAGCGCGGCGGGCAAGGCCCAGGGCAGGGTTGGCAGGCTGGTTGGCGCCGTTCAGGGTAAGTCACGTTTTATTTGGGTGCAATTGGCGGCACGCGGTGTGGCAGGTGGTTGATACAGCTCAATGGCGCAGTTCAGAGGCTCTGCAGCTTGCCGGGCGTGCTGGGCTGTGCTTCGACTGATATCAATACCGCGACACTGCACGCGACCGGGGACCGCAACACTGCAGCAGCGGCTAACAAGCACCAGGACTGATCCCCCAGGCTACATACTACGGCCGCGTCGGCCTCGAGCTCGGCAAGCTCATCGTCAAGCAGCGCAGCATGGCACCTCCGTAAGCCTCCTCTGCAGCCCGAGTGCGGCCACCACTAACACCTCGCACAGCTCCGTCCAGACGATCCAGGGCTACCTCCAGCCCGCGCTGAACGCTCTCCGCCACCCCGCCTCGATCGCCAGCTCGCTGAACCCCAACACGATCCTCAGCCAGGTCCGCGGCGCGTCGAGCGCACAGTACTGGAGCGCCGGCGTCGTCGCCGCCGAGGTGCTTGGATTCTTCTCCATTGGCGAGGTCATTGGCCGTTTCAAGCTTGTCGGCTACAGGGAGAAGGGGCACGGCGGTGACGGCGAGGCTCACTAGGGCAGCGAGGTGTAATCAGTAATCGCGTCTACAGCGAGGCCGAGGAGGTCGGCGCACATGGCGGGACCACAGCACGGGTGTACGATGCTGAGATGATCTGGACGGTGCGAGCACGACATTGGGACTGATGACCCAAAAACACTGTACTACCGCACATAGCTCTGATTCTAGATTCCCTTTTCCTGACAACGGCTCTGTGCAATGACTCGCAATACATTTCTTTCGTCACAACTCGATTCGTCTCAAGTGCCTCCAGACTGCATCCAACGCATGTGTTTACCACCGACCAGTGCTGACTAATCAGCGCACCGCGCTAGTGGGCGCTCAAGAAGGTGACCAACTGACACCGTGTTCGACACTTTCCGCAACCTGCCTGATTAGGAAGGTTGGCTGAGGCCCCACTTTATTTCATCTGAGTGGAGCTCGAACTTTTGCCAGCTGCAGCACTTTTTCCAGCACGCCCAACGTTTCTCACACACAAGCTGCCCCGCCGAGGCTCGACCGCCGGACATGGACGTCTTCAAGCTGCTCTCGCGCTCCGCGAAACCCAGCGCAAAAGCAAGCGCGACCCAAAACCTGCCCTCTAGCGGCGCCGCAGCGAACCCGCAGCTGTTTGGGCACGACGGGCCGGCGTTCCAGGGCGCGAAGAACAAGAAGAGGAAGAGGGGGCAGGATAAAGCGGGTGACGCCGAGGAGGACACCAGTATTTATGCTGCGTTGGACTTTTTCGGTGCGCCCAAGAGCACTGACGGCGAGGGCAAGAAGCGCAAGAAGCGAGCCGAGGCGGAGAAGGATGATGTAGAAGTCGTGGATGGGGCTGGTGACTTCGCAACTGAGGTTCCCCCGGCAGGCGAGGCGTATGATGCGGCAGAGAGCAAGCACCTCCTGCGCTCGCACAAGCTCAAGATCGCCGTCCTCGAGGACTTCGCCGCGCAGGACGCTCTGCAGGCGAAGGAACAGAAGAAGAAGGCCAAGAAGGATAAAAAGGGCAGCAAGAAGCACAAGGAGGAAGAGCCGGCGGGCAAGAAGAAGGACAGCAAGAAGCCGCTCTACCCCCAGCCGCTCACCGACTTCGCCCAGCTGCGCACGCGCTACGCCATCTCGCGACGACTTGCGGAGAACATACAGGAGCAGGGCTACAAGCTGCCGACAGAGGTCCAGCTCGGTGCGCTGCCGCTGTTACTCGGCGGCAAGACGCAAGCTTCCTCTGACAGCGCGGCTGCGGAGAGCTCGGGCGCAGAGTACGGCGGCGACATCGATCTCCTGACCATTGCGCCGACAGGGAGCGGCAAGACGATTGCTTTTCTGATACCCGTCATCAACGCTCTGCTCAGGGAGGGGACGACGGACGGCGTAGAAGGCCCGCGGGCGATTGTCGTCGCACCTACACGAGAGCTGGCCGCGCAGATTGTCAACGAGGCGAGGAAGCTGGCCAAGGGCACGGGGATCAAGGCCACGCTGATGAGGAAGGGCATGGAGGTTGTGGAGCGCGGCAGCCAGCCGTCGGCAGAAGCTGAGGCAGATGCATCTGGCGACGACGACAGCGCTTCTGACTCTGATGCAGCAGGAGAAGCTCAGCAGAAGACGCCCGACCGCAGACGCGCTGAACGCGTCAAGGCCGCCATCATCGTCGCAACTCCTCTGGCGCTCCTCAACGCATTGAAGCGGAGAGACGGCTCAGTGGCTGACCTCCCCAGCGTCCGCCACGTCGTTCTCGACGAGGCAGACGTGCTCCTGGACCCGCTCTTCCGCGAGCAGACTCTCGCTGTCTGGAACGCCTGCACAAACCCGCTTCTCCGCGTCGGCCTCTGGTCCGCCACCATGGGCGCCTCCGTCGAGTCCCTCGCAACCTCCACGCTCAACACACGCTGGGAGACCCTCAAGTCCAGCTCCACCGACCTGCCCCCGCGCCCCCCTCTCATCCGTCTTGTGGTCGGCCTCAAAGATACCGCCATCCCCAACATCCACCACCAACTCACCTACGCCGCAACCGAGCAAGGCAAGCTCCTCGGCCTGCGCCAACTCCTCCACCCCACCGCCACAACCACCACCCCGACCCTCCGCCCCCCCTTCCTCGTCTTCACCCAAACCATCCCCCGCGCCATCGCCCTCCACTCAGAACTCCTCTACGACATCCCCCCCGAAGCCGGCGGCTCCTCGCGCCTCGCCGTCCTGCACGCCGACCTGTCCCCCGCCGCCCGCGACGCCATCATGACGCGCTTCCGCCGCGGCGACCTGTGGGTGCTGATCACCACGGACCTACTCGCGCGGGGGATCGACTTCCGCGGCCTCAACGGCGTCGTCAACTTCGACGCGCCCTCGTCCGCAGCCGCATACGTCCACCGCGTGGGCCGCACGGGGCGCGCGGGCCGTGCCGGCGGCGTCGCCGTCACGTTCTACACGCAAGACGACATCCCGCACGTGCGGCTTATTGCGAACGTGATCCGCGCCAGCGAGGCGCTGCGCGGCGTCCCCGAGGGCGAAGGGAGTGTTAAGAAGTGGCTCCTGGATGCGCTGCCGGTGCCGAGTAAGCGCGATAAGGCGGCGTTGAAGAAGAGGGGTGTTGAGGGCAGGAGGAGTGGGTTGGGCGGGAAGGAGGGCAGGAAGGCGAGGATTAGTACGAAGAGTGGGTTTGAGCGGCGGGTGGAGAATAGGCGGAGGGGCGCAGTCGAGGGGAGTCGGCGGAGGACGAGGGCGGAGGCGGAGGCGGATGCGGAAGCGCAGGAGGGGGGTGCGTCGGAGGGTGGTGAGGCGTAAGGCGACATAGATGTCCACGTGCTAGAATCCCGATCGTGGACGGTGGGATTGTTAATCATGTCCTCCTGTTTCTTCCCTCCTCGTTTGCCCGTGCCTCGTGGCCGTGGGTGAGCTACAGGCCAATTTAGAATCAACTTCATCTCCAACTCCAACTCTGACTCTGACTCCAACCCCAATCCCAACCCCACTTCCACCAACTACCCCCAGTGACCAAGAACCAGCGAACCCTCCACACAAGAAAACGGGACCAGCGCCCTCAACGACGTTCAGCAACATCGACGGCAAGGCATCCGTCTATCCTGCTACTCCAACACAGCATAAGTGTTGCTGATTAAGGGGGTTGGCGGGCGGAGGTGGGGAGGTGGACTACGTGTTGGCTTGCGGGGTGGGTTGGCTAGGGGGTTCGGTGGATGGCTCAGATGAGTGATGGGTAGTGTGGATGAGGTGCTTAGACGAGATGCTTGGATGAGGTGCTTGGATGAGGGGCTTGGATGAGGGGCTTGGACGAGATACTTCAACAATATACCCCAATAAGCTGCTCACTCAAGTCCTCTCCCTCCATCCACTATCCCAACCGAGCATGCCGACTTCACCAAGCAGCTGCACCAAGTAGCTTCACCAAGTACCTCCAGCAAGCAGCCCCAGCAAGCCACTTCAGTACCTACCTACCCGCACCGGTATCGGTATTATAACTTCAGCAGTGTCTCCACCACCCAGTACCAACACGCCGGATCACGGGGGAGAAATGAAGGGATGTGGATAGTATTTATCGTGCCGTGAGTCAACAGTCAAGGTCTAGGGATCTAGGGGTTTAGGTTTCTGGGGTAGGAGATTGTGTCTGGGGCTGGGGTGTGGTGGTTGGAGGGTTTGTGTACGTGGGTTGGTGGGTTGGGGTTGGGGTGTTGTTGGGTTTTTTGTTGTTGGGTTTTTTGTTGTTGGGTTTGTGTGGTGTTTTTGTAGTCTTGTTTCTTCTTGTAGGCTTCTTGTGATCTTCTTGCAGTCTTCTTGTAGTCTTCTTGTAGTCTTCTTGTAGTCTTCTTGTAGTCTTCTTGTAGTCTTCTTGTAGTCTTCTTGTAGTCTTCTTGTAGTCTTCTCATACACTTCCATCCCCTCCCAGTCCATCTCCCTCCACCCCACCGTCTCCCTCACAAACCATCTCAGCGACAGCACAAGTCACCACACCACCCCTTGCACCCCCTCCCATCCGCAAGACTTTCCAAAACCTTCGCAAGACCTCCACGCATATGTCCCCGCCCTACTGTCACGTCCCCGTCTCCACTCCACCCCCAACACCCCAAATCCAGACACAGACCTCAAAGATCCAACTACCCAGCAAAACGACTCGTGAACTACTGCCTCCAACACAACACATTCCATCTCACCCACGCAATCTCTCCACGCTGTATATCCACGCGATCCCTCCACGCAGTAAAACCCCCCTCGCCCTATTCCACGCCGCGAGGCTGTTTCCTGATCTCAGCATCGCCGCGCATAGCACCACCACTACCGCCGTTGATGCATAGACGCTTTCGCGGCCGCTACTTACACCGCTTTGACGCTGCTGTCAAGACAGCTGTCAACATGAAACATGAAACACGAAACACGGCACCTGGACCGGCGCTGCGCTGCGCAAAAGTCCGGCCGGCGCGGATGGCGGTGTGCAGTGTTTCGGCGTGAGTGTGCGGGGATGCAGACACGTACTGTAGTGAGAACGCGCGGGTCTGGTGTGATTGCCTGGGATAGCGAGGGGGATGCGTGCAAGCGTGCAAGCGAACGTACACGGCAAGCAGAGGTGCGCGAAGCAGCGGCGTGGTGGGAGCAGACTCGCAGACTCTCTGAGCCGCGGAGTGGGTGGACGCAGTCTCACTTCATCACACAGCACACAGCACACAGCACACAGTCCGCAGTCCGCAGTCCACCGTCTCGACACCAACACTGGGGTCATCCACGCGACTGGCGCAGCGCAGCAGAAGAACAAGTAGCTTGACGCACATCGACGCAACGAAAGACACCGGTAGCAGCAGGGCGCGACACAGCGGGGAGTGCGACGCGAGTATGGGCATGTCAGATGGGGGGAGGGAGGGTAGCATTGCGCAGTGCACGTAGGACGGGGGAGTGCAGATGTCTTGATTTCTGAGCTGTGCGACTACTTCGCGGCTGGGGTGCTGCGACGAGGCAGTGCTGCGTCCGCGCCCGCGCGCTGACGGTGTGTGTATGTGTATTCTGTTCTCCGTGCACAACCTCCGTGACGCCAGATACGCACAAGGCCCGGCCCGCCAGTGCCCAGCCGGATCCACGGCCGCTGCTCAGCCACCCTGTGGCAGCTTGTGGCGCGCAGTGTGCCAGGAGCGCAGTGTGTGGCGCGCGAGACGTGTGAGGTGCGGCGTCTATTGGCGACGTGCCACGGTTACAGGAATGCAGGAGGGGGCTTGGCGACACCTCGGGCCCTTGTTTGGTGCTGCGATACAACCGTATTCGGAACGGGTGCGCGAATCGCGGTGCTTGGGGTGCGCAGAGGGGAGGCCGGGGCTCAGGCGTATTTGTCGTGCGACGACTTGGAGCGCATGTCCATGGCGACTTCGTGGAAGTCGTTTTCGCGGCGCGCCTTGCGCAGTTTCTTGACTTCGTCGTCGCTGAGCTTGCGGCCGATGAGGTCTTCGAGCTCTTTCTTGCTGATCTTCTGGAACGCTTTCTCTTCCTTCGAGGCCTTGTTGCGCGGCTTGAAGCGCGCTTGCATGCGCAGGCGGAACGTGGTGTTGAAGGTGATGTCCTCGGCGTCGCCGCGTACTGCAGGGCTGTCGGAGGACTCGTCGATGCTCAGGTACTTCTCGCGCTGCGTCTGCAGGGCAAAGGCGCCGGGGTTGTCGGGGATGGCGATGATGAGGAAGCGCTCTTCGGGGGAGATGGCGGTCGCGTTGGCGCTGAGGATGCCGAACTTGTCGCAGCTGAGATATCTGCAGAAGTTAGCAGAGATATAGAACGAGTTCGACTACACTTGCCTCCCGTGATGTCCCTTCAGATTGAAGTCGTCTGTGCCGGCAACCCTGTTGGCTACAAAGACCTGCCGTACGTCGTGCGGCTCAGCCGTGCTCGCGTCGCCGTCGACAATGTTCTCCAATTCACTCGCAAAGACCTTCCCGACCGCGTCGCATGCCAGCGCTGTTGCCTTTTCTGTCGGCAAGACAACGACAATGGGTCCGGTGACGTCGCTGGGCGCTTCTGCGCTCACCCAGGAATCATCGCTCTCGGGCTCTGCAGGCGCCGAGGTCGTGAGCGCTTTCGAGGACGGCTCAGCATCGTCGGCGTCGACGACTCTCTTGCGCTTCTTCACCTTCTTGTCGCCCTTGAACGAGAGTGCTTTCACCATGTTGGCGCGTTCTGGTGGTGAGGTCGGCGTCGGAATCGGACGAGCTCTAGTCGGAATCGGCCGGGCGGTGGCAGAATTAGGAAGGTGAGAGTGGACGAACATCAGCCGAGCGGTAGAATCTTGCGCTAGATCGGAGGTAGTCACGGTACTAAAGTCGACATAGAGACCGACTGTGTGGCCTGTGGTCATTCGTCGTCTAAACCAAAGCCTGCTCAATATCAAAATGGCCAGTGCCAACGCTGCTGTCAGTCAGAACGCTATTGCGGTGGGTCTGGAAGATCTCAAGAATGGTAAGGCATTGGCTGGGAATGGCAGAATCAGACTGATTCCTGCTAGACAACGTCGACTTTGGGTTACTCGAGCAGGCGTTCGGCCCTGAGAGTCTGGGCATCATCGTCGTGAAAGACTTGCCGGAGAAGTTCCACGCGCTGAGATCTAAGCTGCTGTCGTACTCCTCAGCTCTCGCCAGTCTGTCGCCGGAGCAACTTGGTACGTGCAGGTATATATATTGCTCCGCACTATCTGACTGTACCCCGCAGAGAAGCTCGAGTCACCTGCCTCCAAGTGGCTGGTTGGATGGTCCTGTGGAAAGGAGACACTCAAGGACGGCCAGTATGACACCCTCAAGGGCTCTTACTATGTCAACTGCGCCTCTGGGTTTGAGGAGTCGCAGAAGTCGGTCGCAGAGAAGTACCCGTCGTTCCCAGAGTACACAGCACCCAACGTCTGGCCGACCGAGGAGCTTCTGCCCGGCTTCGAGCAGACGTTCCGTGAACTCACCACACTGATCATCGACGTTGCCGTGCTTGTCGCGCGTGCTTGTGACAAGTACGCCGAGGCAAACATTGAGGGGTACCAGAAGGGATTCCTCGAGCATGTCGTCAAGACTAGTGTGTCGACAAAGGCCCGGCTCTTGCACTACTTCCCTTCCCCAGAGTCGAGCAGTGGAGCGTCAGACTCGTCCAGCGGTGACGAGGACGACTGGTGCGCTACCCACCTCGACCACGGCTGCTTGACCGGCCTTACCTCTGCTATGTTCGTTGACGAGGCTGCTCATGTCCCGCAGACGGGCACGTCATTTGCACCGCTGAAGGAGCTCGAGCGCTCGCCCGACCCAAAGGCCGGACTCTACATCCACTCGAGGACTGGAGCGACGGTCAAGGTCGGGATACCGCGGGACTGTCTCGGCTTCCAGACTGGAGAGGCTCTTGAAATCATCACCAAAGGCAAGTTCAGGGCAGTCCCCCACTTTGTCAGAGGCGCTGGCGCCGGAACTGGTGGAAAGGTGGCTAGGAATACGCTGGCCGTGTTCACGCAGCCTAACCTGTGGGAGAAGGTGGACGAGAGAAGAGACTTTGCCGCGTTTGCGAAGGAGATTGTGGAGAAGAATCATTGAGCGGCTGGGGAATGACATCATCTGCTATCTATCTTGACCGCAACTGCATGACACCTCACGCGACAACAAAAAGTGATGGCATTTGATGAATTTGATGAGGCCTGGACTGCAGCGACCCACACCGCTAGAACGGTAGTGATGGCGCTTGGAAGTCTGGGAATTGCTGAAGTGGGAAGCTTGGAAGCAGGAAGCCACGGCGGACGCAGCCGAGTCCAAGCCTGCACGCTGCACAACAGGGCTTGCAGAGCCGCACACGGCGCCGCGCCGCAGCTGGGCGTCAGCACAACAACAGCGCGTCGCTCCACGGCGATCAAACACAGCGCATCGCGGGGAATGAGATGGACGACGACTTTGCGCGTCCTCCGACACGCGATATTGCCATCTGCAGCGGCTCATCTATCTTGGGGGATCTGACGCGGCTGGTGCAAGTGGCGCGACGTCGGAAGCGACGTCGCTTCACAATTTTCTTCCGGGCCAATGCACTCCCATCATGCATGCCAACCACCCTGCAGCACCGAATCACAGACACGCGCCCTTGCCTTTGTCTTGACCTTTGCGCCACACCTTGCCGGTTTCCCTGGATGTGGCAGCACAGCGCCCCTTGGAGCTGTACGGCGACGCGGTGCAACCTGACGTTAGCAGCCGTCCGGCGTCCAGCAAGCTGCGCCCGCTGCATCCGGTCAGTGGCCGTGGCTCACGCTCGTCATTCCTGGCCGTGCCGATTGCCGCGAGGTTGCCCGTCATTCGCACGGAGGCAGGCCAGTTCCATTACAGGCACACCGCCAAGCCCAGGTCGTCGTGAAACGGGTGGGGAGCTCATGGACATGAGTCTCCAACGCCCAGTTTATTACGCGGCCACCCATGTTTCCCCCGGCAAGTCTTACCCGTTGCAGCCTGATGGCTAATTAGACAGGTAAGACCATCGTCAATCGCTGCTACTCCTGACAGCCTTTATCATGCCAAGCCTCAGATCCGACTACCCGTCTTCGCATGGGGGAACTTGCTTGCACCCTAGCCACTGACACTTAAACTCCTGCTTGGTTCGATCAGCCTTAGAATAGCGCTATAGCTGCCACAGTCGCTCTTTATTCCACTTTGTTCTTTGTATTTGCCGTGCCTATATCTTCCTGGCTTTCCATTCCTTGCTTCACTCTTCACTCGGACCTCGTACTCGCTTGCATGACGTTGCTAACAAAGGTCCCGTTATCGCTCGTTCGCGCCACAGTATCAGGACTAAAGTCGGCTGATTCTGGAGCTCCCGCTGCCAGCATGGCGTCCAACACCCGTCAGAACGTGACGTGGGTTGAGGTATGTGTCTGAATGGAGATGCTGCATTCCTCGCCTAACACGACCAGGGCGTTCGAGGAGTCGCTTCCTTCTGGGTCGTTGTAACACATCTGTGCAGAGCATGGGACTACAGCCTCTGGTCGCCACGCGATAGCGAGAATGCTACGCCACAACTGCTCCAACTGCCTTTTCTACGCCTACCATGGCAAGGCCGAATCGGCGTCACCATGTTCGCTTTCCTCACAGGCTACGTGTGCGCAATCAAACCACTCCGACAGGCAAAGTCGGGCAACATTCCCGCCGCGTTGACGACTCTGGGAAAATCCGCTTTCCGCCGACCACCGCGACTGATCATGCCCGCCACCATCGCCTTGGTGGTTGCGTGGTTCTTTGCCCAAATCGGAGCATTCGAGGTCGCCCACTACAGCGACTCCCACTGGCTGAGGCGCGCTGTCCCAACCAACATCGGCAGCCTCGACACCGAAATCCCCCGTCTGCTGAGGAACTTCCAAGGTGCTTGGTCCGGATCCAACAACGAATACGACGACCACCAGTGGGCGCTGCTCCCGCTGCTCCAGGGCGCCTTCCTGATCTACGTGCTTCTTTTCGCGACCGTCTTCATGAAGTTCCGCATGCGCCTGTTCACCTGCGCCGTGCTGTTCTGGTGGTACTGGATGCGAACAAGCCCCGAGAAGGGTATGTCTGACTTATCCCTTGCAATCAATCACGCTGACTGGTTTTAGAAACTTTTGAATGCCAGTTCCTCTACGGCGTCATGCTCTGCGATATTGGCTCCGAGAAGGGCTTCCGCGACTTCGTCAACAGCTACCCCAGGGTTCGACGTGTAGTTCTGACCACGCTCATCGTTGTTGGCTGGTACTTTGCTTGCTTCCCCGGCGAGAACTGGGAGTGGGCCGCCTGGTCTGTCCAGCTCAAGAACTTCGGCGACTGGATCATCCCCGAGGGCGCCGCGAGCTACCCCAAGCGCTTCACCGCCATCGGCTGGGACCTCATGGTGACCGGAATCTGGCTCTCGCCCAGCCTGCAGAGCATGTTCTCGAACAAGATCTTCATGTGGGTCGGCCGCAACAGCTTCGCCGTCTACCTCACGCACGGCACGGTCCTCAAGGTCGGCCTCGCGCGCCTCATCTACGGCTGGTCCACGGCCCCCTACCACGTCGAGCAGCCCGCCAACGGCGAGGGCAACGCCATCGAGCACTACATCCCCCGCTCGCAGAACTGGCTCGTCTGGGCCCTCGCCATCCCCACCTTCTTCGCCGTCGAGTACACCATCGCCCACCTCTGGACCACGTACGTCGACTCGCAGTGCGCGCGCGCCACCAAGTGGCTCGAGGACACCATGTTCGAGAAGGACGAGGACGAGAAGCACGGCGCCGCCAACATGGCATAGCGGCCCTGCCGGACTCGGCCCGCTGCGCGTTTTTTGACGACTGTTTCCTTTGTCATGTGCGCAGATACCAACAGCGCGTTTCTCTAAAGTCGCATTTCCGGTTGCGTTTTGCTGGTTGCATTTTCTGGCGTTTGTGAAGGTGCGAAGCCCGGGGTTACCGGGCTGGGGATCGGAGAGGTAGAACTAGGTACGGCCCGCGAGGCCAGAGATACAAAAGCGCTGGGCATAAGCGCGTTACGATCAGGGTTCTGTGGACGCGTGCATATACATAATCAACGTCTACCCTTAAAAAATGAACATCTACATCTACAACTTCCACTTCCACTTCATCTGCATTGAAACGTGCATGTAGACGTACATGCAAACGTACATGCAAACGTGCATGCAGACGTACATGTAGACGTACACGTAAACGTACACCTACACACACACACCAGGCCCCCCGTCCCGCCTCCCTCGTCCTCACTCAGCCCCCCACCCCGTCTCACCCGCCACCACAAGCCACATCCCGCACTCCCGCCAAGCAGCCCAACCAATCCGCCGACGCCACGCCAAGCGCCGCCACACTGCTGCTGCATCATCAGGCAGGGGTAAGGGGGCCTGCTGCGGGAGGTGGACCGGGGGGATATGTATGTGATATGTATGTGGTATGTATGTGATAGTGGATGGGGTGCCGGGTTCCCGGCGTCGGGATGCGGGCGTTGGGTTTCGAGGGTCTGTGTATCTGTTCGTGTTTTCGGCGCTGGATTGCTGGATTGTTGGGGGAAAGGTGGGTGAAGTGGAGTGGAGTGGAGTGGTGCTGGAGTGGTGCTGGAGTCACGGTGTTCGCGTGGAGGGGTTGTGGGGGTGCGGTGCTGGGCAGGAAGGGATAGACATAGGTATGTTTTGGGTGCTGGGATGGGTAGACGGGTGGTCACGAATCTGAATGCATCGATGGAGTGCGTAGTGGCTGGTTGAGCGGATGTATGTAATATTCGGACGAATGTGTTGGCCGTGTCTGACTTCTGTTAGCGTGGCATGCCATGGAAGTATAATACTGCTTAGTCCAGCGCATCAATTGTTGCTGAAGGTTGCCGCCTGCTGTCTGTCTCCCAGAAAGTAGCTGCTGCCTCTTTCTATTATTTAACTCTATCCTAGTAAACTGGAGGGACTTTGTAGATCTGCCGCTTGTGCTTTCACGGTAAGGGAAGATCTGGTAGAACGCGGCAAAGCGAATTGGTACAGGTAGAGGCCTCAATGTCTGAGTTGCGTTTGGGAGTAGCGAGTCTGATATGGTTTGTTAGCTGCTGCGTTCCAGGCACAAGCGTGGATGTGTTCAATGAGGACTGCGATGCAGGATTGTTGCGTACCCAATTACCCAGCTCAGTCTCGTATAACGTTCAGGTCGCGTACTTGTTCCTCTAGGCATCAAGAACCCGTTTTGTTATCGCACGCAGTCGCATCGAACTCGGTCCACTTAGTCACGACAGTGAGTTTTGTCTGTGTATTATCCAACTGTGATTTGGGAGACTTCATTCTCTCACGGCAAGCATCGCAGCCATATTTGAACCCTAGGTCGATGTTACATCTGCACGCGCCGCAAACTCGCTCCTTCCCCACGTAGTTACCAAAGAAACTCTGGACCTCAACATCCGTGCCGAGTATTTTCTGGGTCACAAGTTGGTCCTCAGTCATCGCCTTGACTTCGACCACCGTTCTGAAAGCCTCGAGGTAGCGTTTCTCCCTGATCCAGTCGCGGAGCTCGTGGAGAAGGAAGTAATCTGCTTCAGCTTCGAGTTTGTTGTAGAGCGCATAGTCAAACCCTGTCTCTTTCGTCCAGAACAGCGGAAACTTGGACGGTCGCCGCATGAAATTGAGTACGTGCTGGAATGTATGTGGATCAGCATCGACGAAAAATGAACCGTCATCTTGTCGATCGCTGCAGTCGTCCCACCTGGTCATGAGGTTTTCGAAGTACGGGGAGGCTTGCAGTGTGGCTTTGTTTGTCCTGTACACGCGGCCAGAGACGTCGAGAACGATGAGCTGGGGAGGCATTGCGGAGTTGGCTATTGGCAAGGGCAGACGCTGTAAAACTCGTCTTCGCTGAGGTGGTGTTGATAAAGGTGGGCTCGCTTGTCACATTCATAGTGAAAGCCAAGGTTACGCAGAACGATGGAGATACTGGTGGTTACACAGAGCAAAGACGACGTGATTGGATGATCGATACTTAGGTAGCAACGCTTTCTGTGTTTGACAATCACAACCAGCAAACCATAAACAGGTACTCACAAGACTTACTGAGCTTCATATACTCAACAGGAGCTGCGATGAGACAGCGGCAAAGCAGGCCGCTTCCTCAGCGCGAACACTACGCACAACATACTCCCTAACCCGAAACCTCGAATCCGCCGTCACCAGCAGCCAGCACCCAAAGGTACAAAGACGTCAAAATACACGCGCCGATCTATGCTTTCTTTGCGACGCTTACACCACGCCGGCGCGACCTCGTGTCGGTCTGCTGGGATAGTCCGCCCCGCTCGTATTTACATTGCGCGGCGCGGACACGAGGTCGGTACGAGCCGGAGTGGAGACTGGGTGGTTTACGTTAAAATCGAATGTGGCGGTGCTTCGTGGCAAGGAGTCGATACTTGTCGAGCACATGGGAGCTGGCTTAGCGAAGAAAAGGGGGAGGGTCGGAGTCGGGGCGTGGTGCTAGTGGTTGGTAAGCTTTTCACGCATACACAAAGAGGCGACGATGGGAATTGTAAAATAAGGTATTAACAAAATTCATTAGAGTATCATTAGGTATCAAGTTATCGTGTTGTCAAGCGTGTACTAAAGCGTGCCCTCTAGTACCTGGTGAGAGGAGGCGACTTCTCCGACGCAGGGAAGGACCACTTTGTCTCCACGAACACCTTCTGCATACCATCGGCCTTCTCCTCGAACTTGTAATATACCTTATCAAGGTCATCGAGGCTGACACGGTGCGTTACCATCTTCGAAGGGTGGATCTGCTTCTCTTGGATCATTTTGAGGAGCGACTCCCAGTACTTGTGAACAGGCGCTTGACCGTTACCGATCAGACGGATGCCGCGCTCCATGAGCGAACCGATGTTGAAGTGGTTTGTCTAAGCAACGTTAGTGAATGTTTTGTATTATGTATAGGAGGTCAGGACTTACGAAACCGACGTAAACACCAGTGATACCACAGCTACCGAAGTTTCTTGTGCTGGTGATCATTTCGTTGACGAGCTCGGATGTATCGGTCTCAAGACCGAGCATCATCTCAAAGTAGTGGGCCCAGCCCTTCGCGTATTCACCCGCGGCGCACTCGATGGAGACGTCGGGACCGCGGTTATCGACCATCTCCCTAAGCTTGCTTGTGACCGACTCGCCTTTGCCGAGCTTGGAGAAATCGATGGTTTCGATGTGAGGGTAGCTCTTCTTAATGAAGTCCAGACGCCAGTTTGAGTCGATCATGATGACCCTCTTTGCACCGTTCAACAAGGAGAATTCCGCACACATTTGTCCGATTGGGCCAGCGCCCCAGATAGCGACGACATCGTCCTTCTTCACACCTGTATCGACAACCGCGTGCCATGATGTGCAAAGGACGTCGGAGAGGAAGAGACCCTCCTCGTCGGGGACATCATCGGGGAGAGGGAGGAGGTTGACGTCGCCGTAAGGAACGCGTGTGTACTCGGCCTGCCCGCCAGCAAACCCACCAGTGAAGTGGGAGTAGCCAAACATGCCTGCCGTGCGACCGCCGTACATGGCGTTCTCGATAGTGTTGTCGTTGGTCTTCTCGCACTGCGAAGACAGCTTCTGCTTGCAGTAAAAGCAGTCTCCGCAAGCGATCTGGAAGGACGCTACTACGCGCTGGCTGTGTGATGTGTCAGTGCATGTTTGACTGCTTTGATGTTTGAACGTACCCCTTCTCGAACTTTGTTACTCCACTGCCAACCTCGTCTACGACACCGCAAAACTCGTGTCCGAGGATGTCGCCCTTCTGGAGCTCAACCACTGTGCCGTGGAGCAGATGCAGATCAGAGCCGCAGACTGTGGATCCTGTAACCTTGACAATCACATCGCGCGGCTCCATGACCCTCGGCTTCGGGCATTCGGTCATCTCGACCTTGTTCTTGCCCATCCATACCAGAGCCTTCATCTTCTCTCCTGAAGGGTCGGCGTACTCTGCGGAGTTGCCAGGATTTGTGACATTCTGCGCCGTGGTAGCCTCACCGCCATGGCCGATAATCTTCTCGGCCTGCATAGCAGCCTGGGACATCATCTTGGGCGGATTTCGTGCTGCTTGTACTGTGTGGAATGTAGTAGTGGTATCAAAGTGGTAAAAAGACGATAGCAAGGACGAGTGTGTGGATTGTGTTTGACAAGTAAATCGAGCAGAGGATTGCACCTACTTTTCTATGGCGCTCTGACGCACGAATCGATGACATAGGTCTAACATCGTTAATACGCACGCATCAATGCCGCAGCTCTACACAACTACCGACGAGCCGGTGGCTGTTCATTCGCCCTGTAGATACGCCCAGACAGACTAGCTGAACGTCATGACCTGATCAAGTAGGTTACAGATCCGTTGTATGGAGCATGGGGGCCATATCGAGCTTTGACACCCGTGATGGGATTTTCCCACAATGTCATGTCGATGTCATGGTGGGGCAGGTGACCGTTGAATGTGGATGTGGGGCGGGGTTAAGCATGAAGCTCCAGCTTGGTCAGCGACAGGCTCGAGTGAGCCTCAGCGGCAGTTGAGAGGGCATACAGGTCTTTTATGTTGCTAGCTGAGGACCATGATGGCGCAGTCTAGCTCACCGCGATGTTGATGTAGCGGGCAGACGCCGGCGCGACGTTAAGGTTGTGTGAAAACGGTAGCACTCGATCGCACACAAGCTCATCCAGAGACTGAAGGGCATTCTGGACTCACCTACAAGCCGTTGGAGCTCGTAGCATGCTAGGAATCTGGTCAGTGAGCGAAGGTGGCTAGATCTTCCGTTGACGACTGGGTTGCGCGCGCGTTCAGTGTCGCCAATATTGTCGCGTCCGCTTCGCGTCCTTCCGCAAGCTGAACGCGTCTACTGTGTCTACAACTTTGATAACCGCGGCCAGCTCCCATTGCATGATGAAGCTTCCGGTAGCGACGTGGGAACGCGGACGTCCTTGATGAGAGGGTCAGGTCCCTCTAGACTCGCCCAAATTCAACACAACACAACACCCTGCGCATCTCGGGCTCTCTGAACAAGCCCTAGCCGTAGGCTCTCAACGCGTAAGCCTATGGCGCTGAGCCTTTGAACATGATGTGAGCTGGCTGCATCAAGGGCAGCGCTCAAATCAACCTTCTTCTTCAATACCGTGCACGAGGCACAGTAGTCGACGAAAAAGCACACACGAGTGCAGGCAAGCAAAAATTGCGCCGGCGGCGTCCCCGAAGGAAAGCCGTACCCCAACCAGTCCGCGCTGTGCAATGCAGCTGATCAAGGTAGAGGAAGCAGAAACTTGAGCCTGCCCCTCCCAACAAGGTAAGTATGAGGAAAAGGAAGGGAGGGCGAGGCGGGCGCAGCTTTTATGCCAGAGGAGCTATGACCATGCCAAGAACCCGCGGTTTAGCCGGCTCCACCTCGAGCTTGCGCCGGCCGTGCTTCGCTTGAATTTGCAGCTTCACACTGAGTTGTTCAGGTGAGAGATGTGACGACAGCACCGGTAAGTTTGCACATATTTCTTTGAGAACCTGAGGTGTAATTGGGAAGCCCGATACTTGCTTGAAGCTGCATGAATGTGTCGCGCAATTGAGGAGTGCTTCGATGCCTTTCCCAACTACACCTCCTGCCTCTTTTCACATGATGAATAACTATAGAACCGTTGCGAATGACGTCTTCGGGCGGTTGATTTCAAAAACTCTTTGCACATATCTGATATTCAATTGTCTCTCTCCATATCGCAGTAGATCGCCATAGTAGGAAGCTGACTGACAAAGACACCATGCGTAGATCTTCGATCCAACTCCTCCGCCCCTACCACTATCGAGGTACGCAATCCCTGAGGCCGCAGCACGTTCAGAAACATCTGTCCGCGCAACGTCGGTTCCAGCAGACCTCCGCCGATGCGTTCACCGGCCCACACGATGTCGAGAAGCAGAGGCGGCTTGAACAGCTGAAGAACATAAAACCGCTGGGCGACTATCACCCGCAACTTGTGTATCCTACAGGTGCTGAGGCCCTGTCACTTCGAGAGTTCAATGCCCGGTTTGCAGACGTCAAAGAGACGAAGACTGAAAATGTCTCCGTATTCGGTAAGGTTTCGACTGGATCGTGGAAGAACTCTGGTACTGACGATCTCAGGAAGGGTCCGCTCTGTACGCCTAGCTGGCTCCAAATTGATGTTCCTCGACATTGAACGCGACACTCAGCGCCTCCAGATCATGGTGGAGCGCAAGAAGCTTAGCGAAGACGACTCTGAAGAGAAGTTCAAGAGCCTTCGGATGGTAGCGAGGCTGGGCGATTGGGTTTGTAAGTCATAAAGTCTTCCCCCAATTTGACGTACACTGACTCTCAAAGCCGTGGAAGGAAACCCTACCAGGACATCCTCTGGGCAGCTGACCATCCTGGCTCGGAAAGTCCCTCAGATCCTTGCGCCCTGCCTTCATCACATTCCTGACAAAGTCGACAACGCTGAAACGCTTGCTCGACGGCCTCACATCCACTCGCTTACGAGCGATAAGCCTGCGGACACCCTAAGACTTCGCGCGCTGATCTACGACTACATCCGGACGTCGTTCATACAAAGCGGTTTCTTGGAAGTAGAGACCCCAATGTTCGATGTCAACGCTGGTGGAGCGATAGCACGGCCTTTCGAGACCGTTGCGAACGAGATGTCCAACACACAGATCAGACTCCGGATAGCGCCCGAGCTGAACCTGAAGCGCCTGATCGTCGGCGGGCAAGACAAGATCTTCGAGATTGGCCGTGCTTTCAGAAACGAAGGCGTGGACAATACTCACAACCCCGAATTCTCAACCTGCGAATTCTATGAAGTTGGCGCAACCCTCCCCCAACTCATCGAACGCACGGAGAGCCTCGTCTTCGGCCTCCACAGCGCAATCGAGTCCCTCAGATCAACCTACTTCCCTACCCTAACAGCCCCAGAGGGCATCAACTTCACCGCCCCCTTCAGACAACTTCCTTTCATCCCCACCATCGAGCGCGCCAGCGGTCACACACTCCCCGACCTAACATCCCCGACCGCAACCGCAGACGTCCTCACCTTCTTCGAGTCCCTCTCCCTCACCGCCCCCCCAAACCCCACACTCCCCCGCCTCCTCGACACGCTCGCAGAAACCTACATCGAGCCGCTCTGCCAAGACCCCACCTTCATAACACACCACCCCGAAGCGCTCTCCCCGCTCAGCAAATCCTTCGTGTGCCCCACGACCTCGCAGCGCGTCGCCGCGCGCGTCGAGCTCTTCATTGCCGGCCGCGAGTACGTCAACGCGTACGAAGAGGAGAACTCGCCGTTCGAGCAGCGCCGCAAGTTCATGCAGCAGCAGACGTATCATGCCGAGGGCCAGGGCGCCATCGATGAGAGCTATCTCGAGGCGCTGGAGTGGGGGATGCCGCCGACGGGCGGCTGGGGGTGTGGGTTAGATAGGCTGGTGATGCTGTTTGCGAACAAGAAGAGGATTGCTGATGTGTTGCCGTTTGGAACGCTGAGGAATGTGGTGAGCATTGCGAGGACGAAGTAAGGTAGAGTGTTGGACGTGTACGATACTTGTCGACGGAGTAGTTTGGGTAATTGATGGAGTGCAGATTTAGAAGGAGGTTTTCGATATCGATATGCACAAGCTTTGTATAGATAAGAAATATGTACAAGATTACACCACCCTTACCAGTACTCGCATAGCAGCCTGGCGTTGGCTTAGACCCCAAACTAGGTTGTACGAACAGCTCCGATGCCAAAGGCCTGTCATGTTGCTTAATGACGTGCCAGCTTACGGTCGTTGCTGCACTCATGTTGCATTGCTTCACATTCAAGCCAAAGGGTTCATATTTGTATTAGACGATCCATTGATAACCTCCGTGGAGGCATATAAGCTACCAGAGAGCTTTGTGTGAACTCGGACCTATCGACAGATAGAGTCACGCACGAGATAAAACGCCTCCAATATGCAACCCGACCACCCATGCATCATCAGTATTACTCCCAAGTTGTACGCCATATGATGCAATACCAAGGAAACGGAAAAGAAACAGACGCAAGGGAATTGCAAGAAAATCAACCGCGACAGGACAGCGCCATCATATGGCCTTCAGTGCCTGCGCAACCAGAATCGGAACCAGGATTGCCGCGACCAGTCCAATGTTGACGACAATTCCAGCGATGAGTGCAGCCCGCTTCGACTTCGCTGTACAATGGCCAAGTTCGCCTTCGGTAACTGACACGATGATAGAATCTCCCCACATCCTAAAAAGGAACATGCAAGGTGGCAGTATGCAGAAGCAAGCGAAGATTAGCCATGAAAGCTTACGGCGTCGTGCTTCGTCCTCGAGGGTGGTTTTGCGTTCCGGACAGAGCAGATGCGGTGAATGCTGATGCGCAATGACGGTGTTGCCACTGCGGATAGTAGGAAATGTGTCGAGACTGGGATGAGTGGGGTGCAAAGGAGTGGAGGTGTCGCTCGTTGACGGACGTCCACTATCTGCTACACTCATAAAACGAGAGAAATGGGTGTCTTTGCTTGAGACGGTTGAGCGCGCATCAGGAGCGAGGACCATCTGTCTTAACTTAGTCTGGCCCGGCACAGCCGCGCGACTCGACCTCCGAGAAGGCTTGAATGTAGTTGAAGATCTGAGACTTCGTCGGCCGTCTGGTCCAGCAAGTGGAGAAGAACCCTGCGTAGGCTCCATATTGTATGCACTGGGAAATAGCGTTATCTGAGACGGCGATCGCTCGTGGTCAGATTCAATGTCAGCAGTGCGCGATTGTTGGATTCGGGTCACACTACCACTGGCAGGGTATGGAGAGGCGTAGAACCCGTCATAGTCAGAGCACGGGCTACGAGGACCGACACTTGAGCTCAACTTCGCACCCGGGCTGCTAGTGTCTGCTACACTACTGCCCGCATCATGCATCCCGGTGCCTTGAGGAGTGCCTGTCAGATTGCCTCTTGGACCGACGACGGTGAACTTGTCAAATGTGTTCTCACGCTCCAGGCCAGGCTCGCTGACGATACTAAGCGGTGAACTACTTTCAGGGACCCTTGCGTGATTCTTGAACCTGTAGCTCAGACGTCTTGTTTGGTCGTCGGTTCCATTGTCGAAAAGAATATCGTCGTTGGGCCCAGAGGCTAACAGCTCTTGTGTCTCCTTATCACTCAAAGCGTAAGGATCAGCCCATGGAGCGAAAGCATGAGGCTCGTCGACCGCACGCCTAGGTTGACTCGAGAACCGGAACACAGGCATAGTTGCCGATACCGGGGGACTTGATGGTACGCCTGATGTAGACATATCTGGGGCAGTTTGGAAACCAGCGCGACCCTTCAGATGAGGTGGTGACGAGCTGAAAGGATGAGCGTGCGATCGTATGGGACTAGGGTGACTGTAAATCGATTGACCCTTTGCACGGTCTTGTTCCACCCAGGAAGGAAGTGATGCTGCCGCAGTCAATCCCAAGCTGTTACGGCTACCATCACTACTACTGTAGTCGGCGATGCTGTCCAAAGATGCCCGGCCCCGCTGGCTGTCACCAGCAACAGTCTCCCAGTCCGCCTTCTCATTGTCTGCAGTTCCCGCAGATTCACCTGTGAGCCGCTTATTGCGGAGCAAGTTCACAGGGCTCCGCCTTCCCCACATAGCTGGTATATCCTCATAGCTTGGTTCCGGTTCGGCGGCCGCTTTGTCAAAGATGTGTTCGGCATGATCGAGCGCTTCCTGTGGAGTGTGTGGACTTACACTATCTTCAGGCTGTGAATACGAGGATGATACTTCGAGTGCTTTTGCCTCAGGCTGCGAATACGAAGATGAAGACTGAATTCTTTGCGCAGGGAATTTGGATTCGCCTGCCTCAGACCGAGGAAGCTGCAAGAGATTGCGCGTGTCTCCATAAGAGTTGTACGATCTGTTCGAGAACATATCGGATAATTCGCGCCGGGTGGCCGGTTTCGGGGCTTGATCGTACTGGAAAGCTGGAGCAAGCGGGGGAGGTGCCGATGGAGGTGCTCCAGGCTGGCGTTTCAACGCGCGTTTTGTGGCAATCGTCGACTGTGTACGCGTATACATACCAGCAGCATCTTCGGATTGATTCGTGAGTCCTAGATCGAACTGGAACTGACTGAAACGGGAAAGCGATATGTCGACTTGCGGAGCAGCTGTCGATGCTCGCTTATCATGGTCCATCGTGTAGGGCGCGATCAAACTGGTGGTACTAGTGCTTTCCAGGTCTTGTCGGGCTGAGGCTGTCTTTCCTGCATGTTCAGGGTCGTACTGGTCGATGAATTTACTGATGGTGTCTGTCTTCCTGTCGCCTCGTGCTGCAGAACGATGATATATCTCTTGTGTAAGCGGTCTCGAGGCTGGTCGATTGACTCTATCCAGATCATTGTAGCTGTACTCATTCGCCATACCCGCCGCATCCATGCCGCTGTAGCGCAGGAATGCACTACTTTGGCGATTTCCAGCAAGACTCTGCTGATAGGCCGACTTCCGATGGTCGTCTCCGGTGTAAACAGATGAGCTGGCATATATGGATGCCAGGTCGTCGTAGTAAGGTCGTATTCCTGATTCCGTCGCAAACACGGAAGCACGCGGATCGTTTGCACGCCCGACCTGGGTGGATGGATCATCTGGTACCATTGAACTTAGGCTTTTCGGGTTGTAGTTATGGCCAGAATCCCTTCGCGCATACTCGATTCTATCTTCCTCCGCATCTGAGACCGACCCGAAGTCGTGCAAAGATGCAGGACTGACTGGGGAAGTGGGCGAGACGGGACTTAATGGGAAATAAGACGATCTTTCTGATGGTATGTACGTTTGCTCGAGAGGACGCAGAGGCTCTGCATCTGCGCTGATAGACAGTTCGCTCGCGTTACTTTCTCGCAATTGCTGCAGCTCTTCTTCTTCTTCATCATGCTCGACAGGCTTTGTGAGCCTCTTTGTGAGTGTGCGCGCGAGCTGCTTGATCGAGAAACGTGACTCATCTTGGGGTCTCCTGACAGCCAACGGAGACGGAGCAAACTGAGATTCGGGGCTGTAGCCGGGAGAGGTGTATGCCGAGGAGCCTGGACTGAATGCTACTGGTGTCGGCGGTAGGGGAAGATCAAGCATGGACTCGGTGTACATGTCATCGGCACGTCGCACGATGCCTGCATGTGCAGCGTTGAGATCGCCATACAGAGGGCGCTTCGGCGCCATCTGTAGATTGGTTAGCACCTCATGTTCGATTGCCCGAGGGCAGTCACCGACATCTGAGAAACTTGACTGAGACTCTTGCGATGACCGAAACGGCAAAAGTTCACTCGAATCGAAATCTCTTGAAGGTGTGACGATATCGTGGTACGGCAACGATTCGTGCGGATTGACGAGATCGAAAGAAGCACCGCGATAGTGAATGGTCGCAGGCGTGGCAGGTGGAGTTGCAGGTGCAGTAGTTGCGAAGCTGATTGCTTTTTCCCGTTCTATCTCTCGAAGTGTTTCAAAGTGTGGTGGCTTTGGGAAACGCGAAAGTGAAGGTGTTGGCGTGCTTCGTGCGTCGCTCAGATTAGACTCTTCGGTTAGGAAACTCAAAGGTGCGGGCAGTGTCGCGCGAATCTGCCTTGTCGGCCTCACAGGTGCTTGAGGTGCAGGCTGCAACCCGGAGCGTGTTGGCGCAAGCGGACGAGGGAGCCTTTTCCTAGTATTAAAGTGATGCAACTTTCCTTGCGAGTCCACAGTCGCGACACTCGATATACTGCCACCATGTACGCCTGGTCCAGCCGACTGAGACCGAGATATCTGATCAGACACCAATTCGATACCAAAGGGAGTGCTATTAGTCAGTTGGTGCGCCGAGTAAGACGCGTGTAAAGGCCGGGCAGATGAGTGCGAGTCGCGGCGCAACGCAGACTTGGTCGATGGGACGCGCTCAAGCTCGTTCAGAGCGAACGCGGAGGCCTTCCTCCGAAGGGTCTTCCCCGATGGTGTAGCAATGCGTGACAACGGCGTACTTTGCTGCTTGCGGTACTCGTGAATCGACAGTGTATGGAGTGGGGTCCTCAGTGAGGTTGACGAGTGTACAGAGTGGTGCGGGGAGTGTATCGGTGTGATCGGGCCTAGCTCTCGAAGTTGAGGTGAAGCCGTATCAGACACCGGAGGTGAATGCGAGTAGAGATCGTAGGCCGCCATTTTGCCGTCTCGCTTGGATATTCTATGCTAGCTAGCTTGGGAGTGTTTCGATGGGCTCGTCTTTATGCCCTTTTATCTGCCCAGTTGGCCTTTGCGACCGTTGTCTACCTCTTCACTTGGATTTTCGACGTGGGACGCTGACGGTGGGTACTAATTCGTACATTGCGCCATATGCCTGGGCTCGCAAGACACAGCTTGGTGGCCAGCAATTTTGCTGCAGTTGGACTGGATTTGACAGCCGCCCGGAGTGAGGTGCATGCGACTGAAAAGAGTGTTGTCGTGCAGTGACTACGACGCGGCAAAGAGCGGACAGGGTTTGAAAGTTGCCTGGAAGAACGAAGATCGTACAAACCCAGTGGATTGGTCAAGGGAAGCACGTAAAGCGAGAGAATTGGAAGGCACGATGCCCTCAGAGCTATCAGCAAGGAGAAGTGACGCAGAGCGCCAAAAGAACATTTCTAAGCTTCGACGTCGCCTCGGAACCACCGACCGGGCCTCGTTGAACAGACCACACATTTCTACCAAGCCATTTCCTCGCCATGGCTCATTACAGCTACCGGGTCACGGTGTCTGCGGGAAGAGTGATGCAGCGTTGTGGGTGGACGTCAGGAAAGAGCGGCGATTTTAGCGCGTTCGTGGCGGAGCCAATCACACTCCAAACCTCCATTTTGCTGCGCAACACCGCGCTGGGGCGAGAAACAGCTGAAAGCAATCGCTGCCACTCATGATCTTCTCAGCTACCCCTCATCTCGTTTCAAAGCCTGTCAATTGTGTCAGCGGTGAAAGGGGCGATTCCAATCAGCCGCCTTCGCGTCGTCGCCTCCTGCGTCCACGACCAGCATCGCCCGACGCGAGCGATGGTGGCTGAGCTCATCTGCAGGTGCAAGGCATCAGGCGCCATCAGTATGAGGCTCTGCGGAGTCGCCCCCGCCAGAAGCGAATCACGAGCCCAGCGTTTGCGTTCGGCTGGTCGTTCTGCAGAGACTCTTGCCGGGTCCAACAACCAGCACCGCCAAGGCCAAGGTCTTAAGTAGTCTGCACAACATAGGTATACCAAATCCCTCCTTACGTCGGCCGGTACCCTGGATTGACAGCTGCAAACTGGGATGCGATCGAAAGCTATCAGCGTCATTGCCGTGCGTGCAATCTTATGAGGTTGTGTTGCGGAGCGTCAAAAAGTACAGTTGCCACCTCGCTGCAGCCAGCAAAATCGCACAGTGAGATGATCACAAACCTTGATGACCTAGAGTGCGTACTGTTCATGCGTGATGTTGTTCTCGAACGCAGAATGGCGCATTGTGCGCTGCATTGTTCAACGGTGACGTTGTTGACTCGACCATGAACTCCATAAAAGCCTCCACGCTTCGAAGATTATTTTCGGTATCCAGCACTTCCAGCAATCAACCAGCTAGATCAGTACAGTATACCAAAACTCGACACGATCTGCAGGCCGATTGTAGAGAACGCCGGTATCACAAGTAACGTCAAACTGCTAACGGTTACCAAAACAGCTGTAGTACCCATCACCAAAAGCAAACGTCTATCAAACGCAAAGATGCAGGACATCTATACGGCATTCGAGATGGACCAGGACTTGCAGGAATTGCGGGACGCCACAGCGGCCTTCCTGGCCGATCAATATGATGATGGTGCTTACGTAGCCACTGCAGACGACATTGCTGATCTAGAGAGGGCCACTGCGGCTTTCTTGGCCGATCGTGCTGACGGTGAGTGCTTCTGCTTCGACCGTGCTGGACACGGTTTGATTCTCCCAGGGGAGCAGTTTCTTCTTCCAGCCTCTGTAGCAGTGGATCTTGTTCGGGCTGAGCCTAACAGATCCGAGAGCATCATCGATCTGATCGATGAGCATCTATATGCGCAGATGGCTTTCGAAGATACACCCTATGATTCTCTCGTAGCCGCTGCTCTCATGACTATTGAGGTCCCACAAGTTGTGTTCACATCGTTCGACGATATTCTAGGCCCGAACTCCTTGCCAGAGACACCCCAGCTTCCGGATGGGTTGGATCGGCTGCTTGACTTGTGCGATGACACTGACAGCGACAACGACGACGACGACGAGTCGGATGCAGGAACAGAAGTATATGACATGGTCTTCGATGCACCCGACGCGCTGTGCCCCTCCCAAGCATCGTATGCGGCTTCATTCTTTGATACTATCACGGAAGGACTCGTGCCTTATGCCTCGCTCGACAGTCTTTTGCAGATGAAGGATCGAGATGAGCAGCCATTATGGCTGTATCGAGAAGAAGAGGATATCGTGGATTTCGACGAGGGCGGTGCATGGATGCACAACGACGGCGATGAGCTGCTGGATCGGCCTACCACTCGAACCGTTAGGCAGAGCGCGTTGCACATCATCACGCACCTCCCAGTGATTCTGGAGGAAGAAGAGCTATACTCGGCTGTCTCAGACTTGTCGATGGATTTCGCAGACTATCAAGGGGTCGTGGCGCCGCTGGCATCTCGACGGGAAGATTCCCTAGACGACAGCTTTGAGCAACTGACTTACCTAGCTATGCCTGCAGCAGCGATAGAAACAGTGAACGTTATGCTGGTCATGACCGACGACTCCTCCGTCAGCGACCTGACAGCTGGATCACATGGGATGACGGCCTTTGAAGCTTTCGACAACATGTTCGCTGACGCCATCTGGGACAATGAACCGGATCTCGAGCTGAAGTTTAGTGGCGAGATTCTGAATGACGCTGAGCCGTGGCTTTGCATATACTAGCTGATTACCACGTTGGAAGTCATTCGATCGCACATCTGAGCCGACTTCTCAACATTCGGTGTTGACGACCAGCACTAATTGAGCCGAATGGTGAAAAGCCTCCAGGCTATCGTGTTTGCGGGGCGTCTAAGGGGGATCGGCGGTCCTTGTAGTGGAGCGTACGGAGGTCAGTTACTGAGGATGATTTGACCGTGCTCGAAGGCTGGACCCTAGACACAATGTTCAAATCACCGATGCTATCTGTCGCTGAGCTAGATGTTCAGATAAATAGTGACAGTAGTTTCAATGCAGTCAGAATATAGTTATGAATTGAGGATGGAGTACAATTGCGTAATGTGCCGAACTAGCAAGCCGTGGATAGCACTAATGCTGGTGACAACATCTATGATGTACTTTGAAGCTGCTTGATTGCGACAGGAAGCGTGCAACCTTGTCGACAGCGTGATCGTTTGGGCTTGATGTCGATACGGTCTTGTGTACGACAGTGTCTCGACCACAAAGCAGAGAAACGACTTCAGGCCAAGCTGATATGTCGTGGAATGTAAGAGGATAGAAAATAAAGGATATCGGCTACCACTGCCGGTGGCACTCGCAGAAAGTGATCAACATCGGTGTGTGTTAACAAAGGTATGGTGACAATACTGGGCCGAAATGTTACGCTAGATCTGGAATGGTTAGTGATAAGAGTGATTCTATTTTGGGTCTGGAAAGGAGGCCAGGTCTAGGTTGAAGCTGGGGAGAGCATGGCAACCGAACGCCACGTTGACTGCACCGAGGAGGTACGTGATGTTGCATGGCTCTTCGACCGCCGTCTCCTGCCAATGCCGTGCGTATTTCGTATACGGCCCCGTCTGATGCGTGGGTACACCAAGTGGACCATTACATCAACGGAGCCTTAGGCATGCTCTGTGGCAGTTCGTATCTTCCGCACACAACACTACCAGAAATGCTGGTGATACCTATTACTTGCGATGGCGGCCTTCTCCGGTAAGAGTAATGTCTGGACCGAAAACTTGGAAGTTGTTCCAGCGTCGAAGAAGGGGGAGAGGCTTGTTGCGAATAAGCATCGCCGCTTTCGGCCGGAATTGAGACCGAGTGGACATACAGAATCCAAAAAACACGAACGGTCTATGAGCACAGTTGTGGTGGGGTTGATGTGGCCCAACCACTGCACTGCTGTGTGGGGCGCAGATAGGAGAGCCATCAGTGGCCAACGAACACGACGGAGAAGCCACAAAGTGCGCTGTTTTCTGCTTTACGAGCAGGAGTGGATAGGGGCACGATTAGCAGCAAGCACCCATCGCCGCATATGCTCATGGCCATCTGAAGTGTGCAGGACAACCAAATGGTAAGGCTGTAGGGCTGCGCCTGCAAGGGTGTGGCTGCTCAGCTCAGTATTGATGCTGAGACGGACAAATCGGATCTTGGTGGCAGTGGTAGTGTAACGTTCATGTCAACCATGGGTCGCATCCATAACGGCGATGGCGCATTGCTTGTTTCCCGCGTAGATTTCCCGAAGGAGTCATAGCGCGATCTCGTAACCTGCAGGTCAGCATCGGTGGCGTTGACACGGGGAGGAGCCAATATTTGGAAACGAGAAGGTTGGCGACTTTGGCCTACAGCGCATCGCAGCTCCGCAATTATCATCGGCCGGATCAAGCGTAAGTAGATGGGGCGCAGAGCGAACATGCGAGAAGCGGAGGATTCGGAGGGCCGGCCAAAATTAGAGCTTCGGAGGTAGATCGGCAGGAACGTCCCTTTGACGCCGAGGGCCACAGCCGCGAATTAGAGGCTGCGCGGAAGAGAAGGCCAGCGGCCATGGCTCCGAGATGATGAGCTGTCGGACACTCGAGAGTGGAGAGCCTTCATGAGCTGTGACGTTCGGCACAGAGCGTGACGGTGGTTGCTCAGCAATGATGAGTGGATCATCATCGTCCGCTAGGTCCGCATTTGGAAAGGTTCGTACAAAAATAGACACCTCGCAAAGCACGGTAGGGCTGCGTGCTCCTGACTACCGTACTGCTAACAGTGACTAACTTTGAGCACCGACACCATCGACGTACCGTGCCATCGTGTTCCTAGAATGGGACCTCGTGTTCTGCTCGTGGCGAGATGTTACTTCGTAACCGACGAAGCGTTGGCCATTTCGACGTCAGCCGTGCGAGAAGCGCGTGGACGCTCAGGAGTGACCCAGTATATAACTTTCCTTCCATCTCGCCCAAGAATATCTCATCACAACAACAAAAACAGTTTCTTAACTACCACATTCGCTTTTCTGAGCCTTCTTCAGACAGACACTCGCTACAGTCTATCTCCAGATCCCACCTAATACCTTAATCACCACATCCACCGACAAAGTTCAACAAATCAACCAGGATGCGTTACTCTTTCGTTGCCGCGGCCATTATTGGTGCCGTTGCTGCTTCTCCCGTAGCTGAGTATGGTTACGGAGCAAACACGCCCTCCAACAGCGCGCCCGCCTACCCAGTCTACCCCGATACTCCTTCATCGAAGCCTGTTGTTCCCGCAAGCAGCGCGCCCGCCTACCCCGAGACTCCTTCTTCCGCGCCAGTCGTCCCGGCTAGCTCGGCTCCCGGATACCCAACATACCCCCAGGAGACTCCCTCTTCTTCCGCACCAGCTGTTCCAGCCAGCTCTGCGCCTGGCTACCCAACATACCCCCAGGAGTCTTCATCGGTCCCTGTTGCTTCTTCCATCCCTGGAGGCTGCAACCCCGCTCACCCCGGCTCCTGCCCTACCCCCTCCAGCTCTGCCCCGGGTTACCCAACCTACCCTGCTGAGACGCCTTCATCGACGCCTGTAGCTTCTTCCATCCCCGGTGGCTGCAACCCTGCCCACCCCGGCTCTTGCCCTACCCCGTCCAGCTCTGCTCCGGGTTACCCTACATACCCCCTGGAGTCGTCATCGACACCCGTTGCTTCTTCGATCCCTGGAGGTTGCAACCCGGCCCACCCCGGCTCTTGCCCTACCCCCTCCAGCTCTGCCCCGGGTTACCCTACCTACCCCCTGGAGTCTTCATCGACACCCGTTGCTTCTTCCATCCCCGGTGGCTGCAACCCGGCTCACCCCGGCTCTTGCCCTACCCCCTCCAGCTCTGTCCCGGGTTACCCTACATACCCCCAGGAGTCTTCATCGGTTCCTGTCGCTTCTTCCATCCCTGGAGGCTGCAACCCTGCTCACCCAGGCTCTTGCCCTACTCCCTCCTCCTCCATCCCCGGAGGTTGCAACCCAGCCCACCCCGGCTCGTGCCCTACCCCCTCTACGTCTGAGGGCTACCCTGTCCCCACGACCACCAAGGAGCTGACCACCTACGTCACTACCACCGTCTGCCCCATCACTCAGACTCACGGCACCCAGGTCATCACTACCTTGACCACCAGCACCGTCACCTTCACCTCCTGCAAGGGCGGCTGCGGCTACGAGACCACTGCGGTTCCCCCCAAGCCCACTGGCGAGGGACCTAAGCCCACTGGCGACAAGCCCACTGGCGACAAGCCCACTGGCGATAAGCCCACTGGCGACAAGCCCACTGGCGGATACCCCGTTGGACCCAAGCCTACCCCCGAGGCGCCCAAGCCTTCTGGTGACAAGCCCACTGGCGAGTACCCCGTTGGACCTAAGCCCACTCCCGAGACCCCCAAGCCCACTGGCGAGTCCCCCAAGCCTTCCGCCCCCGCTCCTCAGCCCGAGTACCCTGTTGCGTCCAAGGACAACACCCCCCCGCCCGCTGGCCCTAAGACAACTGTGCTCGTCGACGTTCCCCAGTACACTCCCGTTCCCGGTCAGGAGAACTGCCCCGCCCCTGTAACTGTCACCAAGACCGTCTATGCTGGCATTCCCCAGTACACACCTGAGGCTCCTCACAGCGAGATCCCCGGCGGCTGCAACCCCGCTCACCCCGGCTCTTGCCCTACCCCCTCTGCTCCCGCTGGCCCCAAGACCACCGAGATCCCCGGTGGCTGCAACCCCGCCCACCCCGGCTCGTGCCCTACTCCCTCCACTCCCGCTGGTCCCAAGACCACTGAGATCCCCGGTGGCTGCAACCCCGCCCACCCCGGCTCGTGCCCTACCCCTTCTGCGTCTAAGGGCTACCCTACCGGACCTAAGCCCAGCTCTGGATCTTCCATCATCTACAGCTCTGCCTCTGCTCCCTACCCATCCGTCAAGCCTTCCACCAGCGCTGGATACCCCGTTGCTAGCTCATCTGCTAAGCCTTCCTCGAGCTCCGCTGAGTACCCCGTTGCCAGCTCCTCGGCCAAGCCTTCCTCGAGCTCTGCTGAGTACCCCGTTGCCAGCTCATCTGTCCCTTACCCCGTTGAGTCCTCCACCCAGGCCACACCTGTGCCCACTGGCGGATACGGCGGCTACGGCTACTAAGCGGATCAATTCATGAGTGACTGATCTTCACTTTCTTTGAAACACGGTATTTGGGTTGGACGGGGCAGTAAAATGTTTCCTCATACATAGGCTGGCATTGTGTCTATCGCCTTTGCATAGCCGCGGCGCATTTCAGGACTTAATCTTTTCTCTTTCTTACTTTCCTTCGTAAATACGCTTTTTTAGAACGATCACGCTTGGTGCGCGCATGGTAGTTATCACAACTAGCAATGAAGATTTTACATCTGCAACTACTTCCTCCTGCCTCATGTGACTCCCAGATTCCAAACTCATCTACATATCAGCGTGACAAGTCCTACGTCGGGTCTTGGTTCTAAACACAGTCCTCAAAAAGACTTGGCGACCATAACAAACAGAGTCAGGAGAGACTAGTCCTGCTGACGACGCCCCTACGATCATAATTACCTCTCCTTCGCGTTGGTCCCGAGCGTTACGTCAAAGGCCTCGTATCCGTCAGCGGCCAGCAGGCGTCCGTGACCCACCTCGTATCAGCACAAAATATTGGCTGTGATGCAATCCCCAAGCCTGCGATATTTTTACACGAAGTCTAAGACATGCTAAGCTTTACTAGCGGGCTGACAGCGCGTGAGTGGGCGATCAGGTTAGCTGTGGTCGGCTCGGAGACGGTGGGAGGCGATGATGCGGGCTTTGGGTAGTGGCGGGCTTGCGGAAGTGGGAAGACGCCGCTAGAGACCTAGTATCTGGGGCTTGCATTGGAAGTGGGCACGGGTTGAGACCGGCGAGCGGAACTGCGGGTGTTGGGCTGGACGGAGAAGGGTGTTGGCATCAGGTACCGTTGGATTGAGATCGTCAAGGTACCGCAGTGGCAGATGCTGATCGTCATCGAGGCTAGACTTCGACACAAACAGGTTTGGATGAAATTCTGGTCCCGAATTGAATCCGAGATGTTTTTCTTGGAACATTCAGTCACTCCATTTTTTCACTCTCACGACTCGCTGCAGTCTTCCTTCAGTCCTGCCCGTGTCACTGACAACGAACAGAATCTCACCGACTTCGTGTGCTGTCTTTCGGACTTCGATCCGATTCAAGACTTCACTGAAATTGTGAACAGCAGCCGTCCTTCGTACCCAGCCAGCGTTTTTTGAAACCGTACTCGTATCCCAGTCAATTAGTGGCATGCAGACTGGGCGCCCCATCTGCTGAAAGGTATGAGGCATTTTCTATGATACGAATTCGGCTGATGTCAGACCACTGCAATATTGTGGGTTCAACGAGGAACAAGTACTTAGTAGATGTGGTGGAATGACTAGATTGACTGCGACGCGTAACACCAGAAGCATCTAGCTCTCGTCTGAGGCTACATACCCAAGTTGAATGCCGCAATTGATTTTGATCCCAATGTTAGCTGGCTCTTCTTCTCTTATCTGAGTGAGATCGTAGTTGTTGTTGAAGCCACTTTCGATCATTTGTCCAAGGATTCTGCCCCTAAGTACCGACCTCAGTCTTCTCTGCGATCTTCGAAGACGACGTCTCTTCCAATAGATCCTGCTTCAGGCTGAACATATAGTCTTGGATCACCTACACTGAAGGTGACAAGATTGAATCAAGAGAAGTTAAGAAAGTACTCAGAGTGAAAGCAGGCGATACAAAGTTGTCGTAGTTGAGAAGAGGCATGTACGAAGAATCAAATCAGGGGCACTCGTCCACGTGTAAGTTGCCTCTCTTTTGGCTGCCACGAGAGCCAATCATACTCAATGCTGCAGAAAAAGGTGAGACTAATGTGGGAGACGCATGACAACACCCAGGCTGGTGAATAGGGCCTTGAATATTTGCAGTAAAGTCAACGTTCCCGGTTTTCAAAGCTGGATGTTCTTCCCAACGACTACCATCTACAACAAAGCGACTACCTGCCGGGAATTTCACCGTGAATCTCATTGAGATATGCTGGAGATCGAGAGTGATGACAATGTTCTGTATATGGTCATGAAGACGCAAACTGCGGACGGAGTCGACCAGTCCATTGTTTAGCCAGGTTTGCGAAAGGAGTGAACTGGGCCAACTCGACGTCATCACCTTTGTGGTGCCTAGATATCTTTCATCAATCAGTAACTTTACAGGATAAAGGGGTATACGATCCTTTTGTCCTTCCATCGAGGCTCAATTACTGCGCAGCAGTACATGCTTTCTTTGCACTGAACCATAACGTACCGAGCCTGCTGAGAGCATAGAAGCGACACTTGGCTTAAACTTCGATGGAACAAGTTAAATACACGGATATATTAGAGGATTGAGAAAAATAAAAGATCCCCACGTTGATCGCGAGCTGTACCACACGAGCTTCAGTACCCAGCGTGCCAGAGTCCACACTACGAAAAACTACGAAAAGCAAAGACCCCAAACCAATAGAAAATATGAGCACCAGTATGCCGTCAAATAAAAGAGCAACGAGTTCAAAGATCTAGTACTAAAACCAGAGTACGCAAGACACAAGTGAGTAACAAGTCCAGAGAGCAGCGAAAGAGACGTCTCACCGTGAAAGAACGAGGACTCACGACATTCCTGCGGCATACGGCCCATACGGTCAGATCTGAATCCTCGCCAGTGTTTTACTTTCACGTCAACAAATGGAACGCTGCCCACCAACAAAGATGTCGATGAAGCCTTGTATGTGCGTGTACATACACGGTGCCAGCAAACCAAACACAGGTATTTTGTCTGGCAGAAAATATCACTACTACCTCTTCACTACGACCTCTTCAATACCTGATACAACCGCCATCCGCAAACCTTTGCTCCGCCTTCGACTGGGTCGTCACAACTTGTGATGTGGTCAAAGACCAGGACTCCTGATCGAGCCCAGCACACCACGAAGTATCCACCTCGCACCCATCCCATAACCCAGACTACCGTCAACCAGCCCACTCCGTTTGAATCTCCACGTATCACGGGAGCCAGGTAGCTTGGACTACCTAACTACTCGCGTCGGACGTCCAGTGCGGTGAGCTCTGGGTCCCGACATACGTGGTACCGCAGGCAATACCTATGAATGTGAATATGCATATGCCCCATCTTGCAGTGCTGACAGCTAAGCTGCAGCATCTTCATGTCTATGGCGGTGTTGCAGTGGGTCCGAGTTTCTCACCACCCGGTGAAGTAATTATAACGGGTTGATCGCACCAAATAGCGCGGGATGTGCGGGTGTTACATGGCTATTAGCTACTCGGTATTCGCTATTAGCTACTCGCTATTCGCTGTGCACAGTTATGATCGATGAGTGTGCAATCCTGGAAGACTGCGAGGTCGACACGGACAGGCGCGGGGAGGTGCGAGTGAATATTCATACCGAATGGAGACACTACATTGACACCAAGCACTAGCAAGGGAGACAGTTGGCGATGTCGTTGATCCCTGCCTGACGACGTGAGTGTCCAGTAACTGGTCAGGCACGGCTGCGAGCATTATCTCCCGATGGTGAGTACGCCGTATTTTGTGCTTGAAAGTGCATCAATCACAAACTCGAAATACAGCGCGCATGAACAATAATTCAATGGTATATTACGCTATGCCTGAGCTCACTGTAAGCGCGAGCAGTCTATCACACCATCTTCGGGCAACCAAAGAACCTGTCGAGGTAGGCGCCGTCCTCCTCGCACGCCGTGTCGTCAGAGGCCCATCCGTCCTCTTCGTCGCTGTCGAGATAAGTATCCATAATGCTGTCAAGATCGAGCCCAAAGTCCTCCTCTGGATACCGTGCCTGCGCATGTTCGAGACCCAATCTTCTTGTCAAGTGATTTGTCTCGATCTGCCGATCGATGTCCTCCGTCTGTCTGTAGAACGCGTCTCTCTCAGTGTGTGGGTTTTGCGGTTGCAGCTCGTGCTCTGGCGTCGTTGACTGGGGCGGCTGCGGCTCGAACTGCTCTCGTTGAACGCGCATCCGATCCAGCACGGGGCCAATCTACGATCCACCGTTAAGTAGATATTCGATAGCACCCTGCACGTTGCCTCCGCTCCGGCGCAGCGCCGAGACGTTGCGGTCGAATTCGTAGAAACCCATCTCGTTGAGCTGTCTCAGCTGCGACTCGTACACCTCCTCCGGGGGCCGGTTGTCTGCAGGTGGAGGTGGTCCGCCGAAGCCGCCACCAAATCCGCCACCGTTCCCAAAGAGAGCTGCGAAGGGGTTGGCCTGCTGAGAACCAGCATCTCCACCCGCGGCGCCCGCTGGCGGGTTCTGACCGAAAGCACCGAATGGATTGGCGCCTGCTCCAGCTCCACCACCTGCTGCGCCGCCACCCATCATCTGCATCATCTGCTGCATTGCCTGCGGGTTTTGCATGATGTTGCGCGCGGCGTCTGCGATTGGGTTGGGCTGCCCACCCTCAGCTCCACCAAATAGGTTACCAAAGGGGTTGGGGTTCGCGGGAGTATTCTGGCTGTTCTGGGTCGCGTCGGTGCCAGGGGTGGGGTTACCCTGACCTTGTGTCTGTGGAGCGAACGGGTTTGCGCCTCCAGCAAACAGGCTCGCAAACGGGTTCGCATTAGTGCCAGCACCGGCGCCACCGAATGCTGCGAAAGGATTCGCCGCACCTGCAGCGTTTTGTGGAGCTGGGGTGGCAGTTGCGCCGTCGCGTGCTGTGGTGGAGCCTGGCTGTGGTGTGTTGTCTGTGGCGCCTGGAGCTGCCATGGCGCCGCCGTTCCCGTCTCCGTTCATGCTGCGCTGCATCTGGAGCTGCATGCGCATCATGTCAGGGCTGAACATCATCCGACGCATGTCGGGATTGCGGAGCATCTGTTGGAGCATGGGGTTATCACGAATCTGTCACATGTTAGACGCGGAGAGAAGGGATCGCGCCGGAACCTACCATGGGGCTTTGCAGCATCATGTCGACAACGGCAGGGTTGTTCATGGCTTCGTTCATCTGTGACAAGAACATGGGGTTGTCCATCATCTCAAGCATGGCGTCGGGGTTGGGCGGCGGACCCATCTGCAACATGTTAGCATGCCCCGCCATCCAGGTGTTGATCACGTACCCCTCCGTCAGCGCCGAACATGTCCATTGAGGGCAGGCCGTGGAAACCCGCATAGCGCGCACCCGTCAGCCCGGCGAGAGGATTGTTCCCTGTGCCTGCAGCGATGTTTGTTGGGACCTGCGGTGTCGGTGTGCCGGCGCCGCCGGCTGTGCTTGCTGTGCCTTGATTTGCGGGGTTTTGTCGCGCGTTGCTGGCAGCGCCCTTGACCAGGTGGATTGTGTGGCCGTCCTTGACCTCCACGCCACCCAGTGTATCCGGGTCTTTAAGGACGCGGCCCGAGTATATCAGACGTTGGCGCTCGGCGGGAATGTCTGCATACTCGGGCGTCGACAGCTTGGTCTTCAGATCGGCGACTGTAGTAGTGGCGGGCAGCGTCAGGACGTGCTTCTGGTCGTTTGCGGCCTTGACGTTGAAGGTGACCTGCCCTTCCTCAGTGGAGGTAGTGGCGTCGTCGGCCATGTTTGGGGCAGCGATTTGGTGGCGTGAACGATCGAGTAGCCTGCGGGATGAGTCCGGTGGCAAGTTTGGGTGAGCAGGTCTGACTGCGTAGTAATATATGTGTGTAGAGGGGTGGAACGAGAAGGACAAGCTGTCCGTAGGCTGCGGTGAGCTCAACGGCAACTATGGAAGGCCGCAGAAGTGGGCAGACCACAGGCGTCACTACCTGCATGAGCCACCGCTAACCGGCTAGCGTGGCCTGTGGGGCAGGCGCCCAAAGGTTGGGGTACGAGTAAGATCAACCGAGGCAACTTGCGGAGTGCATCTCTCCTCCGGCGCGCGGTACAATGGCCATCTGCTACTTCTCCCCTTCCGTACTTTTCTATCGTCTGCGACCAGATCGATTACTACGTTCCCATCCATTTTCGCCAACTTAGATAGATCCATTGACCAAGATGAAGGGCATTCAGATTAAGGAGTACGTCAAGGTACGACGCCCACACCTACTGCATCTGTCTTCTGTTGTTGACAACTCCAGGGACCGGAGGATTTGAAAGTCCAGACCTTCCCAGATCCTTCGCCAAAAGAGGACGAATACCTGATCGCCATCCATGCCTCCGCCACCAACTTCTTCGACCTGTTGCAGATCCGCGGCAAATACCAGCACCAGCCACCTTTTCCTTGGATCGCTGGCTCTGAATTCTCGGGCGTAGTCCTGAAAGCACCCTCTTCGCTGCCGGGCGGCCGGAAGCCTCTCTACAAAGTTGGCGACAAGGTGTTTGGTGCAAGCCAAGGCGGATATGCGACGCACGTTGCATGCTTGGAGAAGGCGTTGAAGCCTGTCCCGGAAGGTTGGAGCTTCGACGAGGCTGCGGGCATGTTTGTGACTGCACCCACCAGTTACGCAGGTCTAGTCACAAGGGCAAACATCAAGAAGGGTAAATAATCCCTTCCAATTGGAAAGAAGCATGCTAAGCTTCGCAGGCGACTGGGTACTTGTCCACGCAGCAGCCGGTGGTGTCGGACTTGCTGCTGTCCAAATTGCCAAGGCCTTCGGCGCAACCGTCATCGCGACTGCCGGCACTCAGCACAAGCAAGACATTGCCTGCAAATTTGGAGCCGACTACGCCATCGATTACCGAAAGCCAGACTGGCCGGAGCAGGTCAAGAAGCTGACACCCAAAGGCCGTGGTGTCGATATTGTGTATGATCCTGTGGGCCTCATCGCGCAGTCGATGAAGTGCACAGCATGGAACGGCAGGCTGTTAGTTGTTGGATTCGCCGCTGGCGATATTGAGAAGATGGCGACAAATCGCATCCTGCTGAAGAACGTCAGTGTCGTCGGGCTGCATTGGGGCATGTACGCCGTCAATGAGCCCGAGATGGTCGACAAGGTGTGGGAGGGTATCTTTGATCTGGTTCGGCAAGGCAAGTACAGGGGCACGTGCTACACTGATACCGAGTACGTTGGTCTCGAGAGCGTGCCGGCTGCATTGAAGGCATTGGGCGGTCGTGATAGCTGGGGTAAAGTTGTCATCAAGGTGCCGCAGGAGGGACAGAGCAAGATCTAGGCTGTGGTAGCTATTGATCGAGCTTCCATATCGCCGGTACCGAATTGGGCTTTCGAGGCATGCTCCCCTTGCGTAGTGTGAATGTGCTATGAGCGATACGTGGACGTTCGCCAATCCGATGTCTCTAACATTGGCACACCTTATTAGCAACCGACCGCATGAAGCCAGACTTAAAAAAAAATTGTTTCCAAATCTCGCCGTCCGAGTTGGAGGCCTGGGGTGATTAGAGGGCGCCTGCAGGTGCCAAGACTAAATCGCGCTAGTGCTCCATCGTTCTTTGAGGCAGTCGCCGCCCGTCGCGAACACGACAAGGAGCACCACACTCCCCGCCGCCTCCCCACACTCACCTCCTAACCTGCCCGGTCGACCGCGCGTCTTGCGTTGTAATATCCCTTGACGCCACCATGTCGGCTGAATACGAGGACGACATGGCGATGGAGTACGAAGAAGAGGACGGAGCCATCACCTCGGAGGACTGCTGGGCCGTCATCAGCTCTTTCTTCGACACCAAGGGTCTGGTGTCACAGCAGCTGGATTCATACGACGAGTTCACGCGCAACACAATACAGGACATTGTGAAGGAGAATGGCAGCGTCATCCTCGAGCAGAACACGCCCTACAACCCAGACGAGGACATCGACCCCATCATCAAGCGCCGCTATGAGATCAAATTCGGACGCGTCTATCTCGCGCGCCCGACGCACACCGAGGGCGACGGCACAACGGTGCAGCTCTACCCGCACGAGGCTCGTTTGCGCAACCTGACCTACTCCGGTGCCATGCTGGCAGACATCGAGAACCGTATCATGATTGCCCGTGAGACCACAGCACCGGCCGAGGACGACGATGACGAGGTGGAGGGGCAAACAGGCGTCACACAAATCCGCTGGGATCGCGAGGATATCCCCGGGCACAGCGACGAGGTAGCTCGTGTATTCATAGGAAAGCTGCCTGTCATGCTGAGGTCAGAGCTTTGCCATCTGCGAGGGCAGAACGACGAAGCGCTTTTCGGGCTAAATGAGTGTCCTTACGATCAGGGCGGTTACTTCGTCATCAACGGCAGTGAGAAGGTCTTGATTGCGCAGGAGCGCAGCGCGGCGAACATTGTCCAGGTCTTCCGGAAGAAGCAGGGTCCCATTCCCTGGATCGCTGAGATTCGAAGTGCTGTCGAGAAGGGCACGCGCCTCATCTCCTCTTTCAACATCAAGTGGGCTGAGAACTCGCTTGCTAGTGGAAAGCGTATGCCTGGACCCTTCGCCTACGCCACACTCCCCTACATCAAGGCCGATGTGCCCATGGCCATCGTCTTCCGCGCGCTCGGCATTGTTTCGGACGAGGAGATTCTCGGTCACATCGTCTACGACCGCACAGATACACAGATGCTGGAGCTGCTCAAGCCTAGTATCGAGGAGGGTTCTGTGGTCCAGGAACGCGAATCCGCGCTCGACTTCATTGCCAGACGTGGAGCCACACAGGGCACAAAGGATAGGCGTCTCAAGTTTGCGCGTGACATCATGCAGCGCGAGTTCCTTCCTCACATCTCGCAACGGGAAGGCCAAGATACCCGTAAGGCCTACTTTTTTGGTTACATGATCCACCGCATGTTGCAGTGTGTGCTGGGCCGACGAGATGAAGACGATCGTGATCACTTCGGTAAGAAGCGTCTCGATCTTGCAGGACCACTGATCGCGAACCTGTTCCGCATCCTCTTCTTGAAATTGACAAAGGATGTCTACAAGTACCTTCAGAGGTGTGTTGAGAACAACTCGGACTTCAACGTGCAGATGGCCGTCAAGGCCAGCATCATCACCAACGGTCTCAAGTACTCGCTAGCCACGGGAAACTGGGGTGATCAGAAGAAGGCCGCCTCTGCGAAGGCCGGTGTCTCACAGGTGTTGAACCGATACACATACGCTTCGACCTTGTCCCATTTACGACGAACGAACACACCCGTGGGTCGTGACGGCAAACTCGCGAAGCCCCGACAACTGCACAACAGTCATTGGGGCCTTGTCTGCCCTGCCGAGACCCCTGAAGGACAAGCCTGTGGTCTGGTCAAGAATCTATCGCTCATGTGCTACGTCAGTGTTGGTAGCGACGCTACACCTATCTCTGAATACATGAGCAAGAGGAACATGCAACTGCTTGAGGAGTACGATCAAAACCAGAATCCCGATGCCACCAAGGTCTTCGTTAACGGTGTCTGGGTGGGTGTGCACTCCAACGCGCAGCAGCTCGTCTCCACTGTGCAGCAGTTGCGTCGTGACGGTACCTTGTCGTACGAGATGAGTTTGATTCGAGATATTCGCGACCGAGAGTTCAAGATCTTTACTGATGCTGGACGTGTCATGAGGCCTCTTTTCGTTGTGGACAACGATGTTACCAGTAAGACTCGTAATCATCTCGTCTTCAACCAGGGGCACTACAATAAGCTGGTCGAAGAGCAACAGGCATCGGCCACAGCAGGCATTGGCGAAGAGGAGAAGGAAGAGCTTGCCTATGGCTGGAAGGGTCTCATTCAAGATGGTGTTATTGAATACCTTGACGCTGAAGAAGAGGAGACTGCCATGATCGTCTTTTCACCCGAGGATCTCGGTGAGTGGCGCGACATGAAGATGGGCATTCCACAAGATGCCAGCGACCCAGAGGGTAAAGACCGTCTGGCACGTATCAAACCCAAGCCGGACCCCCGCATTCACGCGTACACGCATTGCGAGATTCATCCTGCTATGATCCTGGGTATCTGTGCCAGTATCATTCCTTTCCCTGATCACAACCAGTCTCCTCGTAACACATATCAGTCTGCCATGGGTAAGCAAGCCATGGGTGTCGCTCTGACGAACTACGCTCTGCGCATGGAGACGATGATGAACGTCCTCTACTACCCTCAGAAGCCGCTGGCCACAACTCGATCCATGGAATACCTTAAGTTCCGTGAACTGCCTGCTGGACAGAACGCCATTGTCGCCATCGCCTGTTACTCCGGTTACAACCAGGAAGATTCCGTCATTATGAACCAGAGTAGTATCGATCGTGGTCTCTTCAGATCGCTGTTCTACCGAGCGTACACTGAGCAGGAGAAGCGAATCGGTGTCAATGTTCTAGAACAGTTCGAGAAGCCAACCCGTGCCGATACGTTGAGGCTGAAGGGTGGAACATACGACAAGCTCGACGATGATGGTGTTGTTGCACCGGGTGTACGTGTCTCTGGTGACGACATCATCATTGGAAAGACCGCACCCATTGCAGCTGACGCTCAAGAGATGGGCCAAAAGACATCATTGCACACCAAGCGTGATGTGTCGACTCCCCTGCGTAGCACGGAGAACGGTATCGTCGATCAAGTTCTCTTCACCACGAATACCGAGGGTCTGCGCTTCGTCAAGGTCCGCACGCGAACGACCAAGGTACCCCAGATTGGTGACAAGTTCGCGTCTCGTCACGGACAGAAGGGAACCATTGGTCTCACGTACAGGCACGAGGATATGCCCTTCACAAGAGATGGTGTCACTCCCGATATTGTTATCAACCCCCACGCCATTCCATCTCGTATGACAATTGCCCATTTGGTCGAGTGCTTGCTTTCCAAGGTGGGTGCCATCACGGGACAGGAAGGTGATGCCACGCCCTTCACCGACGTCACTGTCGATCAGATCTCCGGACTACTCGAGGACGCCGGCTACCAGAAGCGTGGCTTCGAGATCATGTACAATGGACACACTGGCAAGAAGATGCGAACACAGATCTTCTTGGGTCCTACCTACTACCAGCGTCTGAGGCATATGGTCGACGACAAGATCCACGCCCGTGCCCGTGGTCCTCTCCAGATTCTCACTCGACAGCCTGTCGAAGGTCGTGCCAGAGACGGTGGTCTGCGTTTCGGAGAAATGGAACGTGATTGCATGATTGCTCACGGTGCCGCTGCCTTCCTCAAGGAGCGTCTCTTCACGGTCTCGGATGCCTACACGGTGCACGTTTGCGACATGTGTGGTCTGATGAGTCCTATTGCGTAAGTCCACACCACCCCTGTCTACACACCCATCAAGCTAACACCACCACAGCCAACTCAAGCAAGGCAAATACGAGTGTCGCCCTTGCAGCAACAAGACCAATATTTCCCAGATCCACATCCCGTACGCCGCCAAACTGCTCTTCCAGGAACTCCTCGCCATGAACATCGCCACGCGCATGTTCACCACCCGCTCCGGCCTCAGCGTCCGCGACTAGGCGCGCGACGACTCAGACCTCTGCCCCCCGTAGAGATCTACGGAAAGAATGAGATCAAGAGATCTACGGAAAGAACGAGATCGTGATCGCAGGGCGGGCGTATCGCATTGGCAGCTCCGGTCGGCACACGACGGAGACATTTCACAGTCAGAAAAACAAAAATCTGCATGATTTGCATGGCACGGAGTTTGGGAGTCCAACGGGGGGTGTTCAAGCAGCGCCTAGGGAAGGAACGGGTTTTGTATTTGCTCGAGCACGCAGACTGCGCTTGGGGCGCTTGTATACCTAGTCCAAAACACAGACCACGCAGTCTACATACCACATTGCACAACCGTTCTGCGAGCATCGTGTGAAGCCTGCTGGGGCGCTGGCACATAGTGACGTACAAGGGGGTGCCTGTGCGGGCGAGAATACGAGGTGCCCCACAGGGGTTTCTCGGAGTTTCTGAATGGTTAACACCTACATTTGAAAGACCCTATTGGTTGATCTATGATCAAGATCCGAGTTCGTATTCTCGCCCGCACCGGCACCCCCCTTGTACATGACTTGCGCCCCCCGCCCCTCTCGTGCCCTCGCGCTCGTGTGTCCTGCGTCTCGCTACCGTGCAAAGGACCGACTATACCTTGTACATGTGCAGCAGCAGCGCCCGGGCCCTGCGCCTCGGGTCCCCAGGGGCGAAAAGCGAGCTGGGACTCTGTCGCGGCGTTGAAATAAGCGCACGCTAAGGTAGGCGGGCCCGCAGCAGCGGGGAGGGCGTGGTGTTTGCACGAGGTAGCGGGCGCGGGCGCAGGGGTTGCGGGTTTTGTGTCACGGTCGGGCAGGGTTGTGCGCCTGGTGGCGGCGGAAGGGGGATTGTAGACGATGTCTTTCTTTGGGCCCACGCGGGGCAGTATGGTACAGTGCTAGTTGGTACAGTGCTGGCTTAGACAAGGAAATGGGAGGGGCTAACGCCGTCGGTCTCTGTCGTCCCGCCGGTAGCGGTCGCGGCTGCGCGGGCGTGGATCGTCGCGGCGGCGCGGGCTGCGCGTGCGGGAGCGCTGCGAGGGTTCGTAGCGGCCGTCGCTGCGGTCGCGGTGGGAGCGCTGGGGGCTGCGGCTGCGGCTGCGACTGCGGTTGCGCTTGTGGCGGTCGTCGTGGTATTCGTCTCTGCGCTCGCGGCGTTGTGCGCCGTCGCGTCGGCGGTCTCTGTCATCGCGGGGCTTGGGGTCTGGGGCAGGGTCGCGGTCGACTACGAGGTTGTTGACGACCGAGTCTGAGACGAGTTCGCGTCCACCTCGCTGGCGGTATTGTGTCTTCTTTTCGAGGTTGTCGATACCGCCGAAGCCGCCTGCTGCGCGTCTTCGCTTTTGGTTGGTCACGTCGCGCCAGTCATCGGCGATCTTGGAGACACTCTGAGAGAAGTCGACGTGAATGCGGTGGTCGTCTATCAATACGCCGTCCATCTTGAAGTAGGCTTGTTCGCACTCCTTTTGGTTCGAGTACTCGATGAAGGCGTACTGCAGGCTGTCGCCGGTGCGCTTATCGCGGATGACTTCGCAGCTTACGATCTTGCCGAATCGTGAGAAGATGAGCTCAAGGTCTTCGTCTTGTGTAACAGGATTGAGTTTGCACACGAATAGCACATTCTCGGGCGGTGCAACTTCGGCAAACGGCAGGTCGCCAACCATCTCAAGCGTCAGGGCTTGGGCACGCGCTTCTCGTTCCCTTCGGACCTTTTCCAGCGCTTCTGGGTCCATCTCCTCCTCAAGGTTCTCATCGTAGGCTACACGGACTGTCGCGAGTTGCGCGGCGGACGGGACTGGGCTCTCTGGTGGTTCTACAAGGCCAGCAGGGTCGTCGTAGGGGTCGTCCAACACAACCGTGTGCAGTATGCGAATATCTTTGAGAGGCTGGCCCTTGTCGTCAACATATGCCGTGTTGATCTTCTCAAGAGCATCGAAGCCCTCGACAACTGTGCCAAATATGGCGGCCTTGCCGTCGAGGAAATCGATGTTTGGGCCGAGTGTGATAATGAACTGGCTGCCGGCGAATCGTTCGTCTGGGTTGTCTGGGTTTGGTGCTGTGGCCATGCTGACCGTGCCCATCTCAGCATGCCTCAGCTTGTGCTTGAACTCTGGCGCAAAGTTTTTGTTGCCTGAGCTTGAGGGATCAAGCAAGCCCCAAACTGAGCTGCCGCCATCGCTGTCCCTCGACCCCGGGCCAATGGGGTCACCGGTCTGGAATGAGAAGTTGGGCTGGACGCTATGCACAGGCGAGAAGTTGTAGTACTTCAATTTGCATAGCTTCAGAAAGCTGGAGGCGACGCGATGTCAGTGGCTGTCGTGTGCTCAGCGTGCGTCAAAGGACGGCGGGAGAAGGTGTGCAAATGCAGTGACAGCGGGAAGCATAACATGAGACATGTCTGGTGTGCGCAGGGATTGGATGGACTTACTTCTCACAGCATTTCGGCGCGTCGTCCACCAGAAGATCAATAGTAATGTCACCAAGCGACGTTTCGAGAAGCACAGACATGGTTTACGCGCGCAGTCGTTGTCGCAAAAGTCAAGTCGCGAAGCTGCGGTCGCTGTATGCGCTAATGCTGTTAGTCAGCAGTGACGCAACAGTCGTAGTTTCCTCAACGGCCCTTCCACAGCGCGACACCGTGTTGCACCATCGTTGTTCTCAACGTCTTGCAAGCTGCTGTCAATATTGGCTGAGCAACGTTCTGCAATACTGCTCATGCGATCACCCCCGAAAGGGCAGATGGAGCGTCCATTACTGACATCAAACAACGCGGCTGTATACTGCGTGTCGCTGGCACGATCATCACATCTCATTCCAGGCCCTTAAATCATCGACAGGTCGTGGTTACAGAACAAGTGGGTCAACTGCTTGTTGCAAGAACCCCCGTACTATGTAAGAAGAGCACGGAATACACCGTGAGCGGGCCGAAGTATGTAGAGAGCGCTCGCCATCTGGTCGATTGTCTGTAGGACCCGGCCCTTGCATAGCCCGGCAATCCTGCATCTACCACAATTCCGACCCGGAACCTATGCAAGCTCATCTAGCCGAATCCGGGTACCGGTGCTCCGAGGGTAGCCTGCCGATCTTGACCTCACCGATCGCGATGTCTGCAAGCTCAACGCCGCGCTACCTTGCTTTGTTTGCCTTATTGCCTTATTCTTATCCGAGACACACACACACCTGTCACTTTGGCTTGTATCCCGCTGCGCAGCCTTGTCGTCTCGACGTGCTCATCTGGGATGCGCTTCCAGGTTCCGTTCCCTCTTTTGGTATGATCAACACGCACGGCACGAGAAACTGCACCACATGCGTGATAACCCGGCTCAGGGACCCAGGGACCAAGAGCCTTGACGCGCCATTATTTCATCGGGTGATGTATACTACGGTGGCACGAAGCACTTTTAAGGCCCGGTCCGCCAAAGCCATCGCTCAGCGCGGGCAGCTACCAACGTCGTGCAACTCAAGGCGCAGACCTCGCTCAACGAACAGCGTGGGACATGGCTGTCCTAGACCGAGTGCAGCCGCGGTGATTGGCTGGTAGAAGGTGCAGTTTGCTACAGTACATCTTCTCGGCGACATCGAATAACTGCAAAGTGCAGTAAAAGTGTCGAATGTACGCAAGACATCACAACGAAACAGCCCGCGGAGTAGAACTTCCATCTGACTTGCCGTAACTTGCTTTGTTCATTCGGCTATGGGAGTGTGGCGGTCCCGATCAGGGCGATCTCACCTTCGAAGTAGCACTTGAAATAGCACATCTCTTAATGCTGTGCCAGGTCGCTCCCCCAGCAGCAGCCAGAGACTTCGCCAGAAGGCGCTTCGCGAAACCTCCCCGCATACGTCATGGTCAAACCGCTACGCGATAGCCTCTTGGTTTCAGTGGATGCTCCAGCGGCAACTGGACGGTAACCCAGACCTGCACCAAGCTTCCGCCTAGAAGTCGTGCTGATATCCGTCAGCCTATTCCTTTCAACTGGGACATCCCTGCAAGGCCTACAGACCTGATTGACCTTATGGCTCAGTTGTGTAATGCACACTTAGCGACACCTCATCCAGCGCTATACATTCTGGTAGGTACATGCAGCAGCTTCGTCCGAAGATGTGTCTCGGTTGGACCCTACAACATTTAAGTTCTCACTATTTGGACACTCCACAAATCGCGTTGTTTCGGAGTCTTATCATTGCTTTTGGGTCTTGCTCACCGAGAGACGAAGGTATCGCAGCAACGATCCTGCTCCGTCCACGCCTAAAGCTGTCATCGCTTCCAAAATCGATCGGACACAACCCTTGCCTGAAGGACGTACTTGATGTCAAGATGCGAGATGGCGCGCTGTGACTGACAGGTGGACACGCCTTCCGCTTCCCCGGCGGAGCCTTGCAGATCGAGAGCAAACGTGCGAGCGTGTACGCTCTGTCTGAAATATGGACTTCGCAATTGAGCAGTGGGCTGTAAATGTAAAGCCCCAACGTGTGTTCGCCTTTCGTTTCTCCAGTCAGAACCCATCGATCAATACTCTGCGCATACGAGTACCTTGTCTGGCTTTGAGGCTCATAAGACAGCTGGCATCGATTTGTTACAGTGACATGAGTACTTGTTGTGTCCCACGCAGCCGTTGAACAGTCCAGTCGAAAGTCTTGGTGTGTGCGTTCACACCCTTGCCTACAGGGGCAAACGCATGCACGTAACCATACTTTGATTAGCATTGTAACCTCCACCAGTATGGTGTGCATGCAAACGCTCTCGGTTCGTCGACTTTGTGGTTCAAGTGGTACCATTTCTACGACTTCTTTACTTTGCCTCCTTCGGTCACTCTAATAGCAAACAATCATTGTTGATGACTTAGCCCCAGAATCAACGGATTTCATATCTCTCACAATCGTTGCTTCCGACCCCTCTCCGTCCGACGGCAGCTTCACAGGGCCTTTGTTAGCCAGCGATACTTCGCCAGCTCAGAGGCCTATTTCTTTCCTAAGCTTGCTTGTCTATTCAACGCACCGCATTTGAATATACTGAATTGAATTACAACGCCGTACAATCAATAACCTGTCATTTGTACCGAACGCTCCGTGAGTACACGACCAGTACGCACTTCGGCGATATACCCCACAACGGAAAAAGCTGAGGTCAAGAGCAGGTCATAACAATGTCCATGCTGAATTACAACGGTCCCCGCCGTTTCCCTCGGCCTAACTCTGCTCGTACATTTCCGGAGACATACTACAATGAACGTCATCCGTATTCTTATCCCATGGGAGGTCCCGTCAGCGGACTACGTGCACGAGCTTCCCTCGATGAAGATGAGTTCCAGTCAGAGCAGGGAGGTACGAGGCGTCGTATTGCAGTAGCCGTAAGTCACTTCCTTCAGAGGCCGTTGTGAAGGATCTTCAACTGTGATGAGTCCGGAGCTACACCAAATCATGTATCGGAGCTCGCAAATTACTTACTCGTTCTTCAGTGTGCACGCTGTCGAAAGAGAAAGATCCGCTGCAGTGGAGACAGTCAAGACGGTGGGGGCTGCGCCAATTGCAAGGCAGCAGGCGTGGACGCAAGTCACTGTCAATTCCATCGAGTAAGTGCTGTACCATTCACACTCGGAGACACTTTGTTAATAGTCACAGGTTGGATCCGATCACGTCCAGAAAGTAATGGATAATTATACCATTGTGCAGAGCCTCGCCAACATGGCTACAGCCCACACCATGGTGCCCCAGTATGCTAATATTAGCAACGGACCATACAATCGCAACTTGCAAAGTCATGAATATCCACAGCCAGAGACAAAGTTTTCATATCCTCAAATGATTACGAAATCTGTATACAACTCTGACTGGCCAAACCCATACGAAGACAACACGCCGCCCATCGACAACTATTCTTACGACCAGTCTCAGACGTATGTGCCATCGACGCCAGTACAGACAGCTTCGAGCTTATGCGGACTCTCTTATCGCTGGGCGTCTCAAAACTCCCGTACCAATCAGCCAGCAACAAGTTACTACTCCGACTACGGTCACTCATACGTCTCGAACGACGTACCTTATCTGCAGACCGACATGGCATCAGTTGGTCCAGTCGAGCCTGTTTCACCCCTCAACATGTCCTCCCTGCAGCTGACGCTGCCGGAGAGACCTCGGCAACGACAGATGCAGCCCGTAGAGGTTCCTCTTACGCCGCGTAGACGACTTCCAGCACCTCAACCAAAACCCGGCCATGGATTGCACCATGCTCTCGATCACCAGCAAGACCAACGTCTGCGCTCGTCTCAAACCATTGGCACCCCATTGTTCAGAAGTGTATCTTCTTCTTATGCCTCTACCGGATCATTCGCCAAACCACTACTCCCGTGGGAAACCGCCAACGAAAACTTGATGAACGCCGTCAACGAAGTGTCGTCGGTAGTCAAGTCATCGCCAACAACGCCTCAGGTATCAGTCGCTGGTGCCAACAACTCAGTGGCATTTCCTACAGGCACATCGACCAATGCTATCTCTGGCACAAGCACCCCATCGTCGAATGAACTCAACTTCGCCACATTGCCACTTCTGGATCCATCGATGATGATGGAGCCGAGCGTTCCGTACTCCAATTTCAGGGAGTCTCAAGAATCGGGCGCAAAGGACACTCAGCTTCCACGCAACAACTCTACACCGAGCCTTTATGTCTTCGATGACCCCTCCAGACGGCCCTCCTTTGTCGGCAGTGGCTCCTTGGGCACCCTCGTTAGTGGCCACCGGTACACACCATTAAAGCAGTCAGATGGTAATTCAAGCATGGACGCATACAAGAAGGCGTTTGAAGCGCGAAACCCTCCACTGCATCGCGCATCGACGTCCGATCTCGCCAGCGGCTATTGAAGACGCCTGAATCCCAGCTTGTCATCACAAGGCCACTCTTGTTCTCTCCTTCCGAAAAGGTGACAGTGCGCTAACACCCATATAATTCCTTACTACAAGCAAGATGATCGGCGTTACGCTCACGGCGCCGGGCAATCTTTTTAACTCACGGTCTCGACGGTAAGATTCGTGCGCATGGCATTGTCGGCGTTACCATCACCAGGGCATACACTCCTCGGCGGCCTCTCAGACGAAACCCTCACTATAGCATCTGGCGCGACTTCTGGCATTATATCCATTTCTTTTATTACTGTCACGATTGCGCATTTCCCGGTTGGTGGCGCAAGGGCTTTGTTCATCATGCATTACGGCTTATTGTTATCATCATCGCTCCCCTTCGCGGGTTGTCGATATACGTCAGGGCCACTCATTTGTGTCAATATCTCATCGCATCGTCTGAGAAATAAAATCTCATTTTAATGGTCAGGATTGTGGCGTACGGCGGGAGCGGGCATGTCTACCCGGAAGCCGAAAGTACCGGCATCGTGTACCATGACTGCATCAGCGTAGCTCGCAGATAGCACAAGAATTCTCCGTTTCGTCTCTGCAACATAACACGTACATGTCACTTCTGCATGGGTCCTTACCGCTGTTTGCGACGGCTGGCTGCGGCGGCTGCAAGCGCACACCACAGGTGCACATCATCTCCTTCACCGCCAACACGATCGCAGCGTCTCGTCTTGGCTGCCGTAGAGCCCTAGACCACGCACGCACACTGCTCCCAATGCAGGTGAATTGTTTCACGTCCTGCACGCCCTGAAGCACTCCCTATTTCGGCTCTCAGCTGAAGGACCCGAGCATCCCCTTCCCCGTCCAGACCGGGCCGCAGGATCCTGGCAGCGCCTCCGCAGCAGGGGCAGGGATCTGCAAGGCGCATCCAGGGATGACAGCGGCTCATTCCTCAGTCCGGACTAGCCGGGGGTTACACAGGCACGGTGCGATCACTGTCCCGCTGGATGACAGCTGCTAAGCCTCCAGATCACAATGGCACAGCATTGGACACTGCCTGGAGCAAACTTGCTCACGGTCACAGCCACGACAGGCATCATCCCTCCCCGCTTCCATACCGCTGTATCCCATATCTCCGTTCAGCCTTCCTGCACGTACGGTGCAACGAAATGTCGTGTGCGCCGCAATGGCGCTACGGTATCGTAGATACTAGGTAGGTACCGTTGAGGGAAACGCTGCGAGAGAATGCTGTGCGCCATGAAGCCTCGCTGCATCATAGCACGGTCACTGTTCAACCTGACTATTTCGTGACGAGGAAGTTAGTATTACGGCACAGGAGCTCAAGACAAATTCGAAGCTTTTATGATTCTTTATTCATGTGTGGTTCACATCCGAGTACGCGAGGTTACACGAGGAACATCGTGCTTGACATAGACCTCCACGTCGCTCTCAAACCAGATGCCTTCCTTCATCTTACACCCATAAACCCCATCAAGGTATCAGTCTAGGGCTCCAATCATATTCGGAGTCATGAGAAGTCAGTGAGTTGTGACGCCCATGTTGAAGCAGCTTTGACGCCTCTAGATACCATCCTCGAACAGTTGACGGACCCACTCATCGGATCCAGGTTGATTTGACTGGTGGTCAAGTTCTCCAGCAATGCAGTCGATGTAGGCGACATCGCTGTCATCAAGAACAACATCCTTTCTTCCATAGATTGCCACCAGCAAGACTTCGTTCATGTCACGCCAAGCCCTTTCAAAGCTGGTCAATTCCTCCCAGCCAATGATTTGCAGTCGCTCGCCTCGGGATCGAGTGCGTTGGAGTACAGCAATCATATTCACCCTTGTGATAGCACGGTACGTGTCATCGAGTGACGACGTGCCCATAGCGTTCCGCGATGCTGTCTGGTGAGAAGTTGGAAGCGGCAAGTTTGCGCGAGAGACTAGCATAGGTAGTTCACCCACAGGGTTGCTCATCGGAGGAATCGGGAATGCTGCGAGTGTAGTTGCATTCGACGAACGCTGCGAGACTGATGCCATGTTTTGCTCCACTTGCTCGGAGATCTTTGTATGGGAGGTATCCCGTTTGTACTCAGTCTTGGCAGTGGTGTGATTCTGATCAATGGCTGGAACTGGTGCGTGCATGATCTCAGTCGTATTGCGCGTGCTGTTGATAACACTAGTCACGGACCGAGCTCGATCGCGGCTGAAGTGAGCCTGAGCGCCAGCGTTAGGAAACAAGGTTGCTTCACTCTCGTAGCTCCTCAAGGGTAAGGGTCGATGAAAGGTGGTCGCTTGCATGTTGTTGTTGTTGTAGCTTGGAGACTTGCGACGAGATTCGGCAGCAGCGCGGCGACGTGAAGGTGTAGGCACCGGTCCTGCAATAATGCACTCCTGGGCGGTCATCTGCGCGGCGAACTGATACTGGGTTCCATCGTCCTGACCACTGTTGGTGGACACCGACTCAAGAACGGAGCGCTCCTCTTCGTCATCCGTGCCTGTGTACGACTCCAGTCCGTCAAAAGTCTCATCGCCTATGATATTACCGTCAAAGGATGTGTTTGTAGTAACGTGATCCTTCCTCATACGAACAGGGCTGCTGAGAGCATCGTAGCTCGATTCTGATGCAGCGTCAGAGGCATCAAGCTGATACGTACCCATGGGAGTATGATTACCAGAATCGTTCTGCATGTATCTTCCCGGACGTCCATGGCGTATGTCACCACTGCTGTTCAATTTGCTGGTGAAGAGGTTAACGTAGCCTGGTCGCTTACTCTGAACTTCACGGAAGACGTCTCCGGTAGGGCTGTGTAGTGTCTCGGTATCATACGGCGAGAGGAAAGCAGTATTGCCGACATCACCAAATGCAGCACGGGGTGAACTTAGAGGAAGCGGTGGCATGTCGCCCCTAAGTTGGGTTCGAACAGGCGAAGAGACGGAGCGTGAGACGGTGTTTGGCATTGGTGTTGTGTCGGTCATTGGTGTTGAGCTGCTGACTAGAGAGCTGCGTGACTTCACACTAAGCGGCGCAGGGCGATCGGGAGCTGTAAGTCTTAGTGATAGCTTGCGGGTTATTTTGTCAAGAGAACTCACTGTTTGGTGGGTAGTCATATCGTTTGCTCGAAGCCATTGGTCGGGCGGACTTTTGCACAGCAAGCTCTCGCTTGCGCCGCAGGGCTGGAGGAAGAGTGTCCATACGAGCTGTTACTGGTGAAGTAGATACCTCGATCCCGATGATTGTTTTCGTCTCTGAAGGCTGTGTCTGGCTCTGGAATGAGGTTTTTCGAGAATACCTAAGACGTGATTTGTTAGACCTCATTTCCTTGTTCTTGCCAGTCGTCGCAAGCCAGTCCTTCCGGCGTGTCGAGGACACCGTCAGAGCTCTGAACAGGCTGGCCGGACGGCCTTGCCACGAATCATCTGACGCTGCTGACGACGTTGACTCAGGATCTCCTTCGGGAACGGACCTTGGACGGATGTCGTAAATTTCTTGAAGCAGCCTGCGCACGCAGCGATTCTTTATCTTATCGACATTGTATTCCTTCGATGGTCAGCTATGAAGTCAATGTCAGGAAAAGCAAGCTGGGTTACCTGGTCAAGTGCCAGCTCACGAATCAGCGTCTTAGCCATCGTGTAGTTGTTTGATCTGGCCTTGATCCAGAATGCAAACAGAGCAAGATCAAGATCTGAAATGTCTTCATTCTTGACCTGCTTTGCAGCGCGCTCGAAGTCGAAGTCCACAACAAGAGACGAGTCTCGGTGACGCTGTGCTGCATCGACTGAGTTGTTGACTGAGTGCTCGTCGCCACTGTTCATCAGCGTGCCCTCTGTGTCGATCGTGGAGGGGCGCTTCATGGTAGCGAGCTCGTGGCTTCCTGTGTCAGTATCGTGCTTGCTACCGCACTCTCCTACCTTCTTGGAATAACGCTCGAGGTCTTTTGCTCCTGGAACGAATGGCATCATAGGGCCGATTCCAAGCATGACGCGGCAGTGGCTTGGTGACGATCGGAGTGTGCCTGCAGAAAGCGTGCAAGCTTGGTCGTTTGGCAGGTATAAGCAGCGCAGGAAGGGGCGGGGATTCGCGCCGCGCGTTGCAAACGGATCGCGACACGATGTAAACAAACATTTGACGCGCGGTGAAGTGAAGGTGAAAATAGCTTGGGCACTCGATATAACGCAACAGAACTCAGATTGGCTGTCTATGGAACCGCACTCATATTCAATTTGACCTAAAATACAACTTGGAAAACATGAAGGATCTGTAGGGGGCAATTACGGAGGGAAGGTAAGAAAGTAAACTACAAGCATGAGACTCCTTGAACAATGCTGCTTGACCGCGGGTAGTGATACGTGCTGCAAAGCGTTCGTTAGCCCTCCTAGTATGGCTGAGGGTAGTAGGCGGGGCTGGAATCCTGCTTCCAAGGGTTGGCGTTGACTGCGGCAAGGTTGCGAGCGGCGCATTTGTAGGTGTCCTTCGTGATACCTGCGGGCTAGAGGTACAACGTGGTTAGCGTCGTCTAAGTTTGCGTCCGATGAAATACTTACACCGCCCATGCCGAAGTTCTCGCCGTTGATGAATACCTGGTACTGCTTGGTACTGCCGAGAGGGCAGAGAGTCCAAGGGTAACCGAAGAAGCTGGCGCCCACAGTGCTGGGCCAGCTGAGCTGGGAGGGGCTGGGTCCGACAATGCCAAGAGGGTTGTTACCAGTGTGGTAGAAGCTGATGGCAATGGCGTTAGGTGGGAGCCAGCCAATCTTGGTGTACTTGAGAGCACCTGTGATGCCATCAATGTAGACCTGCAGAGGGTCCTTGCTGACCTGTATCATGAGTTAGTCTCAGAGCACGGTGGTTTGGAGTCAGTCACCTACAGTGTACAGCTGTGTGTCATCATCAACAAAGAAGGTGGGGAGCTTGGGGTCCCACCACTTGTTGTAAGGAGTAGCAATGAAGATACCGCCCTCAAGTCGGATGGCGTAGCCGTTGAAGGGGCAGGCGCTGGGAAGCTGGCCTACGTCGCACTTCTCATCGATGCGGAGGTTGAAAAACTCGGGGCTCTTCGACTTTGGCTTCCAGGTGCTCTCGTAGCCCTTCTGGTTCTTGTAGTCGTACCCATCCTCATAGTCGTGCTCGTCCGCGTACTCGTCGTTTACGGGGTAGTCATCCTTGTACGACCCGTACTTCTTTGGCTTCTTCTCGGGATACTCCTTGTACTCCTTCTTAGGGTACTCCTCGTACTTCTTCTCGGGCTCGTACGACTTGTACTTTTTCTCCTCGTATTTCTTCTCGGGCTCATAGGACTCATACTTCTTCTCAGGCTCGTAGGAGTCATACTTCTCAGGCTCGTAGGAGTCATACTTCTTCTCGGGTTGATAGCTCTTGTCCTCACGAGGAAGGACGGCCGAGGCGCCAGCCAGGCCAAAGAGACCGAGTGCCAGAAAGTTGGCCTTCATCTTGGAATGAGCGAATGGGAAGGAGTGGCAGGAATGAGCGTGATGGATGAAGCTGGATGTCGTTGTGAGACTCGTCTTACCCGGCTACGCCCCATTTATGGTGAGCGCAACAGAGATTGATCTTGTTTACCAGCGGCGGTGGTGATGAAGCGGAGGAATGTACTGTACCACATGATAGCTGTAGCAAAACTTGGCGAATTGAGCCGTGATGCGCCGACAGCAGTGGAGATCGCCGGAATGTGTTTATGTCTCAACATCCATGGGGGAGATACGATGAAGCCCCAGGATGGCACCTTGCTCTTTCTACCCGTATGTGCTTCTGCTTCGTGCACTGGACTGCACGTTTCGTTACTCTCAATTCACCTCCCACGACGACGTTCTCACGAAGTCTTCCTGACCATGGCAGAGCTATCGCAGCGATCATACAAACACAGTAAGGGATGTTAGGCGGATACACCAACGGAATGTTGACATTGACAGTAAACATCGAGTATTCGGCGCCATTCCGACGCCCGGACTTCAAGGCAGTCTTAGAGTCATGATTTGGAGATATACGCATTAAAGGCGCCTTGTCTCCCTGACGACAATGCCTTGATGTTCGCCGGGGAGGATCGCGGTCGCAGAGACAGGACCATTGAGGTGGATAATGTCCACCTCGCCCGAAGGAGGTCGTGCCCGATTCGGAAGTAGCCTGCCGGGCTGTCAGCCGAGGTGCAGCCTAGAGCTCGTCTTCCTCGTCCTCCATCTGCAAGAAACAGACCCTTCCTGCAGAGCTGTGCATTGATGCAAGCCACTGCATTATCGAACATGGCAATTGGTCGGGACCTTCCGGGACTTCCTCCTTCCGCAAGCTCTTGGGCACGCATGATCTCTAGACGCGTTGAGTTGATTTACGCAACGAGAGGGTCACGATTATGGCCAGCTTCTGAACGTACTCGACGTAGGAGCTGCCTCGGACCGAATCAATTTACCCGTCTCCACCTGTGCAGAGCGTGCAACGCATGTCGCACGACATTGCTCGACAAAGCCTTAACCGAAATCAGGTGTGCGCTCGTATGAGCTGGAGCATGACCGACAACCTAATTCGTGCAACTCCTTACTAACACTTCCAATTGGTTTACCACTCGTCGTTCGCGAACTCATGACCCAAGCTCGAAGTTTGTCGATGGACGCCAGCCGTTCAGTGTCACCGAACCACATGCCATAAATCGTTCGCCTCCCGATTTGTGATCTAAACTAAACGCCTTGATTATCTTCACCATCAGGCCCTTTTCAGAAGAGCGTGAACGATTACCCTGCGTAAAAAGGTATGCCAGTAAGTCTATTGGCTACAGCCGACAGCCAATTAGGTCGTTGTAGTACCAACCTCCAACATTGGAAGGATGCGGCTGGGCCCGCCAGTCAGGGCAAAACAGACTCTGGTCGAGCGCTCAACTGCCAAACCCGTTGGCGTATGCATTTCCCAGCCGCTACCGTTAATGGCTTGCGGCGTAGTCGCCAGACACGTTACTGATCCACACCAATGAGCGCACGACGTTAGCGCCGCTTGTGTTGGAGGCGCCAATCATCTCCCCACACGGTTCACAACGTCCTTCAGACGCCTGTTCTACGACAGAAGATGGGGCCAATGGAGCCTACAAGCATTACTTGAAGCTGCTGGACCGTACGATGCGGTGCTGACTCTAGTATGCTAACTCCACGTCGCCACCACACTGCTAACTCCGCTGAAGGTGGAATAGCACCCCTGTAGGATTTGCGCATGTTTACGGCGTGGAGAACGCGCGTGTCTGCATTCATATAATGAACATCGAGCCTGCAGGCCTCAGGTGGCACTGCACCCTGTCTTTCTGTTGCCGGTCCTCTTCTTTGCGGCGCAGTTACAATCTTCCCCTCTTCTAATGAGACCCCGCTTATCGAAGTCGCTGCCTGCGCACTGTTGAAGCCGTCACCACCCTGTATCTCATAGTTGATACTCACCTGTCTTTCTCTTGACCTGGCTTCGAGTGCACGTTCACCCACACAGTCGCAGTCTACATTATTTTGATTTGGAACAACACAAGTTACAGGAGGCGCTTACTGTACATTGAGTTACGCAGTCTCTACCATGGCGTCTCTTCGTGTCCCTGCACCAACGCCGGTCTCTACATCTGCACTCGCCAAAAGGCGCAGTATCCACATCCCACTTTCTAGTCACGGCATGCCCAAGGCTCCCCGCGCTCTATCTCCAGAGCGACCTCACAGATTCTCGGCCATCATACTACCGAACTCTCCCGCGAAATCATCACCAATGTCTCCTCTGTCTTCGGGACCAATGTCACCGCCCATGTCAGCCAAGTCTTTTGGCACGTTCATCGACTCGGCACCGTCCACACCGGCGTATTCACCAAGGCAGGAGGGCGGGGAATGGAGTGATTCCCAAATCACAATACTGCGGCCCATGTCCTCTGCTTCACTACCGTCCAGCCCCACGGAGCCCGCCTGGGACATGATGGCCCCGTTAGAGCAGTCAATCCAAGCTAGCCCAACATCAGAGGATCACAGCCTCGCAAGACCGAAACTCTCAACCGCTGCCTCAACACCACTCACACTCTCCAAGCCCGTAAAGAGGATTAAGCTAGCCACCCCACCCCAAGCAGCCGCCATAGATCTGCCTGATATGACCACACCTATCGACAGGGAGACTGCGCTCCGGAAAGAAGCAGAGGCCCAAGCACGCAAGCTCGTCGAGGAAGAAGAAGAAGCTACCGCCGCCGCAGCAGCAAAGAAGCCGCAAGAAGCACCCGAGAAGTCACAGCCCCTGTCTCCGAAAAGCGACACCGCGCCGCTCGGCAAGCTCGCAACGAGGATGAAGTCGCTGCTGAAGCGCAAGCCGGGCGAGAAGAAAAAGGAGAAGAAGAGCCGATCGCACCAGGAATTCGATCGCTTGGAGGACGCGCACTGGTCGGAGATGTAGACGCTATTTGCACTCTCGTCTCGACGTCGCCGCACCACCTTAGTCTCGCTTTCTGCGTACCCATTTCCCGAGTTTCATTCCATTGCTCAGCGGGTCAGAGATACCGCTCCGCACACAGTTCACCTGGGTGGTCACTTGTTCTGACAGAATTGATACCCTCGAGACGCCTCTGTCTCTTTTTGTTCTGCGCTACGCTCATTATACCTGTCTTGTTTACTTAGATTCGGAGTTGGCGTGATTTCTCGGTGCTGTGTTGTATTTCTGGGTTTGTAAATGGAGGACTGGGTGGGAAGTGCGTTGCTAGTGATTGTCTTTACGCGAATCCACGGGGTCGGGGGTGGCAATCGAGAAAGAACTCTAGACTGAAATCCAAATATGAAACTCTGAGATGTACCGTGCTCGTGATATGCTGCTGCAATAAAGGTGTTGGTCCTTGCTCGATTACGCTTCGCCCAGAAAGCTTATATCAGGGACCCAGTCTTCGCCTACATCATGCACAAGCAGTCTTCCCAATCGAAAGCCGTGCATACACAGCGATCTACATATCGTTCCACCGTCGGACCGCGGAGAGAGCAGTTCCCACGTCTCAACCGACACCGACGACCGAACCAAAGCCTCCGTTGCTCTCAGTATCGGACTGACTGAGACAGCAGAAGTAGTATAGCAGAAGAAGTATAGCAGATAGTAGAACACCAGCTCCGCGGAGCCCTCCAACAAAACAAAAGCATCCGCACCCCCACCCCAGCGCCGCACCCAGCCGCCCCTTTCTCCGCGTCCACTACGACGATGCTAATCCACAGCACCTGATCCAAGCAAAACGCACTCAATCCCCACTGCTACTCAAAGCACGAGTTCTGAGTCCCGGACACCCGCAACGGCGGCAGGTCAAGCATCCCTGAGCACGATATGATACAAACCTCGACAGCGAAACAGCCTTCAACGGCTCACAACACTCTACCCACTAACTCGCAAACGCAGCACAGCGCTCGCACCTCGCGTATCCCCACAGCACTGGTTGAGACGCTGGGATGCGTGGACTCGGGTACTGTACGCGCGACCCGGGAACGGCCGTGTTCCTACGTAGCCGCTGGAGCCGTCGATCGTCCCTCCTTTCCTCTCTTTTTCTCCTCCCTCCTCTCCGCTCTTTCCTCTCCTCTCCTCTCCTCTCCTCTCCTCTCCTCTCCTCTCCTCTCCTCTCCTCTCCTCTCTTTTCTTCTTCTCTCTCCTCTCCTCTCTTTTCCTCTTTTTCCCTCCTCTCTTCTCCAAGAGAAAGGGCGAGACCGAGGACATCGAACGAAAACGCTGCGGTGAGTCGTATACGCTATTCGCACTCCCCGAAGCGCGAGTCGTGAGCACTCCTCGGCGCGGGTTTTACTACTACCGGGGGCTGGGGTGGGTTCGGATGTTGACACCGTGCTAAGTGCTGAGCCGCGGTTGAAGTTCACTCCTTCCGCTTCTGAGATGCGTACGAGTTTTTGTGCAGTGTGAGACAGCTGAGATATATCTCACCAGGGTGATTTCGATATAGCCAAGGCACCCACGGAGCCGAGGTCGTGTGTCAGAATCTCGTAACTCTCTTATTATAATAGAGGGACAACTGGGTTCAAAATGCGGTCGGAGGCGGTGTTTGGTGGATTGGCTGCTATGTGGCATAATGGTGGCGACAGGGAGATACCCTTCGAGCCTAAGAATCTTGCGGTTATGGTTGGGAGTGTTTTCTCGTGTTCTAGACACTTTTCTTCTTCTACCTTGATTATCTTGGTATCTCGGCGTCCACGTTCTTGCTATTGGAGAAGATTGTGTCATGCTCGGTAAGCCGTAGTAGTAGACTACATTAGAGAGCTAGATCTCTCGACGCACAAGACAGGATTGCATGGTCGCTGTGCGATACAACACGTTGTGCTGCGGCCATTGTTTTCTCGATGGCTGTGGTGCCCCTGTCTTTTAACAGCGCGGCGACACCGCGTATCCGTTTCGCGATGCTGGTCTCGGGTGATGTCTCGAGTGCTGCTTGGAAAGCACCTCCCGGACTGACGACGACCTATCGGTAAGTGTAAGGAGCATGTGTAGGGCATGAAGGTACTCCACATGAACACAAAAGCCGTATCCATCAAGAGCCACGTTTCATACACATTCAGCACATCAGAATTCACAGCGCATCAACTCCAGGCAGAAGCAACATATATCATTACCGATAAAGACGACCGTAACATTCGTAGTTGAGTATAACGCTATAACTAAGACACCTACGCGCGAACCCAAGCCGCTTGGCCCAGGACGCGCTATCCAAAGACTCCCGCGCAATGCGTTGTGAAAGGAGATGTGAGATCCGAAGCCCCGTCCGGGGCGGAGAAAGCACCAAGCGCCGCGCCGAAATGCAGTTCATTATCAAATTTGCCGTGCGCCTCGCGTGCCATGCCCGCGGCACGTTGAGCTCGCGAGCCCGCTAGTTGACGTCCATGCCGTCGTCCTCGGCGTCGTCGTCGCCCTCTTCTTCGCCGGCGGTCAGCACGCCGGCACTGCCGAGGCTGCGCTTGCGGTTGCTTGTGAGGCCGATGCGGCCTTGGCCGAGCATCTCGAGCTCCTCGGCGCCAACGACGCGCGCCTCGGGCGTGGCCTCGTTGCAGAGCTCGATCAAGCTCCCTGCGGACAAGTTTTTGAAGCCGGCTGTGCGGACGATGCGACCAAAGTTCTGCATGCAGAACAACGCTGCTCGCTGCTTGAGCCAGTCTTCGCCTGCGGTGGCAGCGCGCTCCCAAATCGTCGCGGCGTGTTCGACGTCGAGTTCGCGTGCGAGTCGGTTGACGCAAAGGAGGCGGAGACGCGGCATGTCGTAAATGTTGGCCATTACAAGCATGCCGGCTACGTCGGGGAGAGTGGGGCCGTTTGTCGGGTTCGGTGCAATGCTGTCGGTGTAGAGGTAGAACAGAAAGGCGCGGACTGCAGAGAATGGCTCTGGAATGTGCATCTTTTTGGAGTGGAACTCGGACATCTGAGCCGCCCACAGCCTAGCGAAGTGCGGCCACCGTGCGTGAAGTATGAACTTGTGAACATGGATCGGCCGCGAAACAGGGGATCCGTCATTGGATGGCTCTGTGCCGACGTTGTCGTCGTAGTCAGCGTCGGCAGTGATGATGAAGTCGGCGCCGCTGCCGGTCTCTGGTGCCTGGTCGAAGGTCATGGACAAATCCGCACCGATGCCGGAGAGATGAGAGGAAACATTGGCATCTGATGATGGCATCACTTTGGATCTCGCGTCGGAGGCGAGTTCGTTGCCCAGGATACCAAACTTGCGTAGATCGATCGCGAGAACATCGCTAAGATATTCACTGTTTTGCGTGCCATCAGCTGTCGTCTCAACAGGACTGCCCAGCAGCCATGCGTGCGTCCCCTCGGGGTTGGTTGTGCAGTAGTGCCAGCGATAGCTTGGATTGTAGAGGTCCTTGCCGTCTGCAATCTTCTGCCAGCGAAGTGTATCCAACTCCAAGCTCGACAAACTTGTTTCGCAGTTGAGTTCTGCTGGTGTGACAAAATCGAGGAGGCAGCCAGATGAAAAGACGTGGAAATGCGTGCCAGACGCTTGTGATGGAAGGTTTGGACTCGAATGGAACTTGAGTGACGAAATGGACCCGGGCGCAACGTATGGCGACCTGTTTGAGCTCATGCCGTGATAGGACTGCACGCTCGAGTTTGCGGTGTAGCCGGTACTACCGGTCGCGGTGAGGTGTCCGGAGGCAGGTGCCTGGAATCGTTGCCGTGAAGATGTCTGCTGACGATCGCCACTCCCATACTTCATGGCATTGTCGAACTCCGGGCTGCCCCGCAGATCCAGCCACCAGATCTCATTGCTTTTCTCCAAATCCTCGTTAATTCCGCCGAAAATCCATATGCGGCCGTTGGAGATCCAGCTGGCGTGGTCGTAGCGTGGAACAAAGCGCCATGAACGTGACCAGGTCCATGTCTTGAGGTCGAGATAGCAGATGTCGTCCAGAACGCTGTCGTGCCCCGTCTGACCGCCGCTGATGTACAGCTTGTCGTCGTTGATGACTGCAGAGTGTCGGGCGCGGCCGCGCGGTATTACGCCATGCAGCTCGGGCTGCGTCCAATGCGCCGTCTTGAGGTCGAAGACGATTACGTCAGCGAGGTGCTGGCGATGCTCGTTCTCCCCCCCGAAGACGAGCAGCTTACTCCCCTGCCAGAGACACGCGGTGTGGCCTGCAGGCTGTTAGTTGGACTCGGGACTCGACACGGCCGACTTACCCATGCGCACCCCGGGGATATCGCCATAGTTGTCCACGAGGTTCCACTGGCGCGTAACCAGGTTCAGACGCAGAACGTGGTTGTAGACCTCGTCGGTAAACTGGTCGAAGCCTCCGAAGGCGTAGATCTGGTCGTCGCCGACATATGTGACGGAGGCATTCACAAGACAGGCCGGCTTGGCGCCTATGGTGGAGATCATCTTCGGTTTGTAGCCATCTCCCAGCGATTTGCGACTGCGCACGGGGCTGGCAGACATGAGGAAAGTGTTGTTCGAGGGGGCACCGCTGCCGGGCGGGGCGGTGAGGGCTGTCGAATGTGACGGGGTGGAGACAACGGCGGGGTTGAGGGTGTTCGAGAGAAGGGCAGGATTCGGAGCGATGGTGTGTGCCATAGATTGGGTAGTAGCGTAGGAGACGGCAAGTGGGTACGCATATGGGCCCTGCGGCGCAAGACGGCCTCTGTCCAGGCGAAATGTTCGATGGCTGAGGCTGGCTCGTAGCGCAGCGGCAGAACCTCACCGCCTCGGGCTGCAGCCGGAAGCGCCGAGTTTGGTTAGCCAGTCAGCGGCAACAGCGACTCTGGATGCTCGGCAGCACCGCAGCGCAGCACAGTGGGCTGTCCTTCGCAGCCGCACTGCCCGTCGGCGTTGCCAGAGGAGCCAGTCGCACCATGCGCAGCCAGACTCAAGCGCAGCTCGGGCTAGGGGTGCACGGGTGCGGTGAGGTCATCGCCTGGCCAGCGCGGCCCCAGGGTCTGTCGCCCCGTCAACGCCGGCCGTAAACAAACCCTTTTTAAGGAAGCAGCTACCTGCTCGACAGCCAACTCCAATATACCGCAATATCTCTGCTGCTTGTTCTCCACGAGCAACGCACACCACCTTGAACTTCAATCCATACTTCAGAGCATCGATTACAAAGCATCTAATACTAATCTTACCAACCTACAGCAGAACCACCAAAACTACACTGTACGAGCAGGCCCCACTTTTCACGTGCACTTTCGTCTGACCCTGCTCCAGTCTTCGCAGTCATGGCCAGCCCAGCTGTTCTGACTCCGGTCAAGAACCGCAACTCGGCCTTCTCCACCCGTGCCGCTGGCGGACGGATGCTCATGACGCCTTCTCCCCGCACGCCCAAGACACAGACTCCCGATGCGCAGGCGCAAGAGTCGATCCATGGCGGCAACCTCATGGCCCGCTTTCAGCGCTCCATCTCTAAGAGCCAGAAGCCCTCTCCTAAGTCAAACATCGCCCGCGTCAACTCGCCACGCAGACTGGACCTCGGAGTATCAGAATGGTCACTCACAGGAACCGCAATCGTAACGACAAAGACCAAGGCCAAGGCCCCGGTAGTCGCTAAGGCGAAGAAGGAGCCTGCTGTCCGCGCGCGCCCTACCAAGACTCGCATCACATACAACTCCGCCGACCGGTTCATCCCCAACCGGACAGCTAGCGAGGCCATCACCACAGCCGGCTCCGGCAAGACTGACCGCGAGTCGCGGCCCAAGTCCAACTCGAACTCAAAGACTGAGGGCTCCACTGTCCTGGCTACCGCAGCAAGCGCATTCGATCTCGGTGGACGTGGTTCGGAGGAGGATGTCGCTCTTGCGCTCGAGGGCCTGAACCTTGACGATGAGGATGAGGAGGGCCAGGCCAAGGCGAAGCCGGCGCCAGAGACAGTTGCATACCAGTCAACACTCGCTTCAGCATGTGGCATCAACCAGAACCAGCGCATCCTTGCGTTCAAGCCTGCGCCGCCAGAGTCATCGAAGCCCATCGATCTGCGGTCACAGTACAATCGTCCTCTCAAGCCCGCCAGCGCCAACGCACAGAGCCGCCGTCGCATTCCATCAGCGCCCGAACGCGTTCTCGATGCGCCCGGACTCGTTGACGATTACTACCTCAACCTGCTCGACTGGTCGTCCGGCAACCAGGTCGCGATCGGTCTCGAGCGCAACGTCTATGTCTGGTCCGCCGACTCTGGTTCCGTGTCTTCATTGTTTGAGTGCGCTGCCGACACGTACATCTCGTCTGTGAAGTGGTCTGGCGACGGCGCCTATGTCGGTGTCGGACTCGGCACAGGCGAGGTTCAGATCTGGGATGTCGAGGAGCAGACGAAGCTCCGCAGCATGTTCGGCCACGAGACCCGCGTTGGTGTCATGGGCTGGAACAAGCACCTCCTTTCCACTGGCGCCCGCTCTGGTCTCGTCTACAATCACGACGTCCGCATCGCGCAGCACAAGGTCGCCGAGCTCGTCTCCCACACGGGCGAGGTTTGCGGTCTTGAGTGGCGTGCGGACGGTGCCCAGCTCGCCACTGGCGCCAACGACAACCTGCTCTCCATCTGGGACGCTCGCTCGCTCGCAGCACCCAAGTTCACCAAGACCAACCACCGTGCTGCCGTCAAGGCTGTATCCTGGTGCCCGTGGCAGTCCAATCTCCTCGCCAGTGGTGGTGGCTCCAACGACCGTCAGATCTACTTCTGGAACACGACCACCGGCGCCCGCGTCAACCACATTGCCACGGACTCGCAGGTTACCAGCTTGCGATGGAGCACCCACTACAAGGAGATTGTCAGCAGCGGCGGTTTCCCCGACAACAGCCTCAGCATCTGGAGCTACCCTACTGGTGTCAAGAACATGGAGATCCCTGCACACGAGTCTCGTGTCCTCCACAGCTCTCTCAGCCCTGATGGCCAGATGCTGGCGACTGCTGCCGCTGATGAGTCGCTCAAGTTCTGGAAGGTCTTTGAGAAGAAGCCCGGCCAGCCCTCCATCGCTGCCGCCGGCTCCGTCTCGACCAAGCCCAGCGCCACCAAGCAGATGACGATCCGCTAGGTTTCGATCACAAGGAGCGTGAGGAAGTCCACCATCAATCCAGCTCGTCATTGTCTGCGGACACGGCGGCCACACCGGCTTGCGCAATGGAGCCATCAACCCGACTCTACGCGCAACGGTAAGTTGGTAAGTACACAATTCGTTTGGGTATGTGACGCGCTCTCGGAGCTCCGCATCCACCCTCGGATCAGTCAACGGGTCAGTGACTCGGTGAGGCGTTCGAAGCATTGCATGGCGTCAATTGAGCATTTCGAGCGTTCTTACTGCAAGTACATGAGTTACGAATGATACCCAGCCATCGAGGATACAATTTTGGAGTCAAGGATTAGTCATAGCATTATCAATGAAACATCAAACATTAATTGTCAGATTTGAGAGTGTGATGCTATATTTGTAGAAGGTCGGCGTCGGCGTCACATGCGCACGCGAATACGCGGCGCGACACGTCCAACGTCAAGCGACGTCAACTTCCAGGTCAACTCCACCCCCACCACTATGCCCCGCTCGATGACGCCGGAGGAGTACCAGGAGCTCGGCCGGCGCTACTACAAGCTCAAGCAGTTCGACAAGGCGCTGCAAACATTCAACGAGGCCATCGACGCGTCGCCCACGCTCAGCCTGTACGACCACCGCGCGGCATGCCACGACAAGCTTGGAGAGCACAAGGCGGCCGTGGAGGATGGGCGTACAATGATCAAGCTGGACAAGCAGAACGTCAGGGGGTATTTGCGCACGGCCAGCATATTGGAGAAGATGGAGCTGCCGGAGCGGGCACTGGGCATCTACAAGTACGGCATGAAGCATGTGCCGGTTGAGGACGAGAACTTCAAGGTAGGACGTTTGATGCATTGACGAGTCGGGCTGACAGCCCAGCTCCTCCAGCAGCTCCACGACAGGCTCACCCGCACGCTCTCGCCGGCCAAAGCGGTCGACCCCTTCACCGTGCTGCCCGTCGAGGTGGCCGAGATGGTGCTCGAATACCTCGCCTTCCACCAGATGGTCGGCTGCATGCGCGTCAGCAGGGGATGGCGCGACTACCTGCAGAAGCTGCCGCGTCAATGGCGCCATCTCGACCTGTCGGCCGCCCGCCGCCCTGTCTCGCGCAGATTCGTCGACAGCGCCGTGCGCCGCTCGCAGTACCGCCTCGAGCGCCTCACGCTGCACCGCTTCCGGCACATGGACGTCGTGCAGAACGTGGCGCGAGCCTGCAAGAACCTGACGGAGCTGACCATCTGGACCCTGCCCCCGCACACCGCGCAGTCGCTGGTCGCCATCGTCCAGGCGTGCCCGAGCCTGCAGAAGCTCGTGGTCCACGCCGATACCACCGCCGACACGGCCTCGCAGATCTTCGACCACGGCAAACACCTCTCCCACATCGAGCTCCACGCGTTCCAGCAGTTCCAGCGCGCGCCCCACTGGGCCGGCCCGTTCCCGCGCCTCACGCACCTCCGCCTCGTCTCGTCGCAGCCGCACACCAACCTCAACGCCCTCGTCGCCCAGACCCCCGCCCTGCACTCCCTCGTGCTCAGCAACCCCTACGATGCGCGTCTCGACCTCGCCCACCTCCCGCTGACAACCCTCGTCCTGCACAGCACCCAGTTCCTCGCCCGCCCCTCCTTCCCCCCGACACTGACCCGCCTCACCCTCGACCTCCCGCCGCCCTCGGGCCTGACGACGTGGGACCTCGGCGCCCCCGCGCTGCCGCACCTCACGCACCTCACGCTTACCAACGCGGCCGCGCTCGACGCGACCTTCTTCCCCGCGCTGCTCGACGCACACGTCCCGCCTGGCTCCACGGTCCCTGTCCCCGTGCACGGCGCCCCGCTAACACACCTCTCCCTCTCCGGTACCCTGGCCCCGGGCACCCCGCTCCTCGGCCCCAGAGGCCTGCTGAGTTCTTCCCCGCGCCTGCTCACACCGCACCTCACCTCGCTGACCCTCCTCGACCTACCCGCCACCGACGACGACGTAGACGCGCTGCTCACACATCCGCTGTCTGCGCTCCAAGAAATCAATGTCTCGGGCTCCCGCGTGTCGGGCGCAGGGGTCAAGGCGCTGGTTGAGGGACTCAAGGGGCTAAATAGGGTGTGTGTTGGGAGTGCGGTGCGGGGGAGGGAGGTTGTGGAGTGGGCTAGGGGAAGGGGGGTGGGTGTTGTGCTTGGGGGGGAGGGGGAGGGGAGGGGTGGGCGGAGGGTTAGGGGGTGAGACGTAGACTGGTGCAGGGTGAGGCGTAGACTGGTGCAGGATGAGGCGTAGACTGGTGCAGGGTCAGGCGTAGACTGGTGCAGGGTCAGGCGTAGACTGGTAGATGCATACACTGCCCGGGGTTACACTATCAGAAGTGGTTCCAGGTGGTTGGTGAAGATACAAGGACCGAGATTCCAGCAAGTGTACAGATGCAATGCAACGTCATGTCATAAAGGTATCGATGTTTCTTCTACGTCTGGTCTACGCCTGGTCTCTGTCGCTTCTACGGCTCTTCTTCGTCAACATCCCCTTACCACTGTTGTTGTGCGTTGTGCGTTCTGCGCTCTGCGTCTACGCCCGTCGATGCTATGATCCTTTGATCCAAATATCCAATATCCTATATCCAAATAGTCCAATGCCATGCCACGGGGATCAGTACATCTGCCGTCCCTTCTCGTGTCAATGGATATATCCCCTCCCTCCCGCGCCTGACATGGAGCGTGTGTTGGTGTGCTGCGCGGGGGTGTGCAAGATAGCTGTGTTCGACTTGCGGGTTTCGTAAGGCACGGCTTGCACGCGCTGCTCAACAGGCGCTGCTCAACGCGCTGCTTCGGCGTCCTCTACCTCTGCATCCTCTACTTCAGCAGCAGCGCCCGCCACCGCGCCCCCCGGCCCCTGCGCGTCGACGAGGCAGCGCGAGACTAGCTGCTCCCCGTGCTCTGGTGCATGGGCAGGCCGGGCGTGGAGGACGAGTGGTGGCCCGGGGTGTTTGGGTTTGCTTTTTTCTTTTCTTTCTTGGCCCAGCGCACTGTTTGCTCGTTAGCACGCAACTTCACCACAGCGAATATGAAAAGAGACAGAGAGAAGACTCACATCCACACGCATTACACAGCGTCTTCGGCCCGCCGGGCCCCTTGCGCCACTCAGGCGAATCCAGCGTCCCGCAGTCCGTGCACACGTACTCATCCGCAAGCTTAATCTTCTTCTTCTTATCCCCGCCCCTCTCCCTATCAACGCTAATCGCTATCCCCGCATCCCCGCGTATCAGCAGCGGCGATGCGTCCCCCGTGCTGATGCCCTGCGAGCGCTCGCCGTCCCGGTACCGCAGGCCCGTCAGCATCTCGATCGTCTCGAGGTGCGTGGCGCCCTCGTAGCGGGCCATTTTGTCGCTGATGTTCTCGGTGCGCGAGGATGCGGCGGCTTCGGAGAGGTTCTGGGCGGTCAGGGCGGCGTTGGCGGGGGTCGGTTTTGCGGGGGGCGGCATGGCGAGCTGGGCGAAGGCGGCGGCGGCGGCGGGGGTGGACGCGGGCGGGGCGGGGGGCGCGGTCGAGGGCGGCGCCGAGTCGGCGGTGGCCGTGTCTGCGCGCGTCCAGTCGTCGTGCTCGTCGGCTTCTTCGCGCTTGAGCTCCGCGATGCGCTTGGTCAGGCGCTCGTTTTCGATCTTGTGCTCTAGGAACGAGTCGAGCAGGGCGGCGTTCTTGGTCGGGTACGGGCGCGCCATGATGAAGAAGCCGCGGCAGTTGAGCGAGTTGGGTGGCGCAAAGGCGCTGGGGTCCGTCGACAGGTGCGGGTGGCCGTGGCTCTCGAAGATGCCCCACGAGTCGTCGGCCTTGCGGAAGCGGTAGAAGAAGCGCAGCGGGTTGCCGGACGCGATGCTCTCGTTGAACTCCTTGACGAAGATGCCGATGTCGTCCGGGTGGATGAACTCGTTGATGAAGCGGCCGAGCAGCTGCGCGGGGTCCCAGCCGGTCAGCGCCTTGCTGCTGGGCGACACGTACAGGATGCGGCCATTGGGGGTCAGGATGTGCAGCAGGTCGCGCAGCTCCTCGAGCACGCGCTGCGACCAGTTGCGGCGCTTGGTGAACTCGGTCAGCGTGCTGCCGCTGGGGTTGGTGCTGGGCGCGCCGAAGCCCGTGGGCAGCGGGCCCGCGCCGGCGGCCGTCCGCTCGTCGGGGAGGTGCTGCAGGAACGGCGCGTAGCCGGCGCTGAGGCTGGCGTCGTCGAGCGCGAGATCCAGGTCGATGCCCATGGCCATGCCCGGCGCGTCGAGCAGCCCGCTGAAGTCGGTGCTGGAGGGCGGGAGGAGCGCGGCCTGGGCGTGCGCGGGCGACCGAGGGGGTGGTGCAAAGTGCCCCATCTGCCAGCGTCAGCCATAGTCATTGCTCCGCGGAGCTGCCGCACCTCAGCGCCGCCGTTCGGGTACATGGTCGCGGAGCCCGGCGCACCAGAGATAGTTTGGGGAGTTGGAATGTTCTGCACGGGTCACATTGGAGTTCACTGCCGGCGGCTCACGCGCCGCTCTGCGCAGCCTTGCCTGTGGCGAGCGCTAGATCTGAATGACGCCGCAGCCCGAACCGCCGTGGGCGTCACGTGCGCGCGTGGAGGAACCGTGTCCAGACAACGCGTCCAGACAAGCGTCGACAACGCGTCTACCTACACATCCACTGCTAGCAACGACGCCAGGCTAGCATCGCCGCCTCCACATCACCAAAACACTACTCCAACCACAACTCACTCCAACCACAACTCACTCCAACCACAACTCATTTCAGGGCACACAACGCCCAGCGACTGCACGGCGAGTGCACCGCCATCTCACATCACCCACGTGACGCAGCACACCAACCGCCGCCATGTCCAAAATCGACCGCATGATGATCCAGGGCATCCGCTCCTTCGGCCCCGAGAAGGGCGAGACCATCGTCTTCACCTCGCCGCTCACCCTCATCGTCGGCTGGAACGGATCCGGCAAGACAGTGTGTATGCCGCATCCATCACCGCCTCACTAACCCGCACAGACCATCATCGAGTCGCTGCGATACGCCACAACCGGCGACATGCCGCCCAACAGCAAGACAAATGCCGCCTTCCTGCACGACCCCAAGCTGCGCAACGAGAAGGAGCTGCTGGCGCAGGTCAAGCTGTCCTTCCGCTCCACCTCGGGCGTGCGCATGGTGGCCACGCGCAACATGCAGGTCATTGTCAAGAAGAACGCGCGCAGCCAGAAGACGCTGGAAGGCTCGCTGCTGATGCTGAAAGACGGTGAGAAGCACTCCATCTCGACGCGCATGGCCGAGCTCGACACCATGATCCCCCAGTACCTCGGCGTGTCCAAGGCCATCCTCGACAGCGTCATCTTCTGCCACCAAGAAGACAGCCTGTGGCCGCTGGGCGATGCCAAGACCCTCAAGACCAAGTTCGATGAGATCTTCGACGCCTTGCGATACACAAAGGCCATTGAGAACATCAAGATGATCCGCAAACAGCGGAACGTCGAGCTGGGCCAGCTGACCATTATCGAGGCAAATGCACGCGAGGACAAGGACCGTGCGGGGAAGAGCGAGAAGCGCCAGGCGGCGCTCTTCGACGAGATCGAGGAGCTCCGTGCAGAATACGAAAAAGTAGACGCAGAGTGCACAGAGGCGCAGCAGAAAGCCGGCGAGGCGTACAAGCACGCCTCAAGGTTTGAGCAGATCGTGGCCCAGCTCAACGGCAAGCGCATCACGTTCAATGCCAACAAAGAGAGCGTAGACACGCTGCAAGACAGTCTGAAGCAGATGGCCGAATCCGACGACGAGCTGCAGGAAATGCTAGACCAGTACGAGGAGCGGATCGCGACGTACGCCACCCAGCAAGACGACTCGCGACAGCAGTACGGCGCGCTGAAGGACGAGATGCAGCAGAGCCGCAACGCCCTCGGCGCGAAGCAGGGCGAGATTGGCAAGTACGAAGCGCAGAAGGAGCAGCACGATCGGCAGCTCCACCAGCGCGAGAACCTGATCAAAGAGACGGCCAAGCGACACAGCATCCGCGGGTATGACTACGACATTACTGACAAGCATGTCTCCGACTTCCAGCAGGTGCTTGGCAAGATGTCTCGGGACCAGAACAGGACGCTCGACCGCGTGCGCGAAGAGACGCAGCAGGAGCTGCAGGAGGCGCAGGCTAGTCTTAATACACTGAACACACGCAAGTCGAACCTCAGTCAGAGCAAGGAGGCTGCTCGGACGGCGACGGCAGCCAACGACAGGCGCATTTCTGACCTGCAACGGTCGATGAACCAGATCGAGGCCGACGAGGGTAGCGAGGCCGTCCTGCAGGACAAAAAGCGTGAGACTGATGAGAAGCTGAACAAGGCCAACGCGGAGGCAGCGTCTAGCGGCTTCGATGACCGGATACAAGAAGCGTCACAGGCTGTGCGGAGCATGGAGGACAAGAAAGAGCGGCTGACTGCTGAATTGGGGGACGCCACCAAGCTGGCGCGGGAGTCGGCGTCTATCGACTACACACGGAATGAGTTACAGGCCCAGCAGCACAGCCTGGAGAAGCTGAAGAAGGTCCATCACAAGCGCATCTCGCAGCTTGTGGACTCGGACTGGGATCCGTCGACGCTGGACGGCACGTTCCAGAGCGTGCTTTCAGAGAAGACGGGCAAAGTCAAGGAGGCGACATCACGGCGCGATATTGCGCAGACGAAGCTGGACAACGTGAATTTTCAAATGTCAAGCCTGGAGTCGCAGCTGAAGAAGAAGCGGTCGGAGCTGCAGCAGTACGAGCAGACGGTCAAGGAAGCCATTCAAAAGGACGACATCCGCGACTTCGACGAGATGCTGCAGCAGCTTGAGGACGACTACGACTCGACGTCCACAGACAAAGCCAAGTTTGAGGCGCAGATCGAGTACATGCGGCAGTGTCTGATGACTGCCGAGCGGGATAATGCATGTCGGCTCTGTCAGAGGGCGCTTCACGACGACAGATCGCAGTCGTTCACCGCCGCCGGCTTCATCGACAAACTGAATAGGATCATTGAGAAAGCCGAGATCAACATGCAGGGTGATAATGTCGAAGAACTGCTGGCTGAGCTAGAAGCTGCCCGCAGCGCCAAACCGAGCTACGACCTGGCACTTCGTCTCCGCGATAGCGATCTCCCGGCGTTGCAGAAGGAGATTGCCAAGTTGTCGACCGAGCGCGACAGCGCCAACAAGCAGCTGGAAGAGCAGGACGCCGTCATCCACGACCTGGAGGCAGAGAAGCAGGACGTCGAGTCGCTCTCGCGAGAGGTCCAGAACATTGTGCACAACTACAACGAGGTCATCAAGCTCGAAGCGCAGGTCAAAGACTTGTCCCAGAAGCAGAAGACCGCCGGACTGTCGAGGGGTATTGACGCGGTGCAGGCAGATCTGAAGAAGGTGACCGACGAGAGCAGGAATGCCAGGAACGCCCTGGACCAGCTCACATCCGAGCGCGACAAGTTACGGAATCTCATCACGACGTTAGAGCTCAGAAGCCGTGATATTACTGCCGACCTGAACAGCGCGCAGTCGAAGCTGAAGGAGAAGCGTGCGCTGTCCGACCGAATCGACGAGCTGAAGAGCGAGAACACAACACAGCGGGAGACTATGCGCGGGTTCGACAACGACATCCACAACCTCGTTCCTGAGATCGAGCAGGCGCAGTATAACTACGATGACGTCAACCGCCGAGCCAACGAGAAGGTCCAGCGCGCACACGACGAAGCTTCTAAGCTGTCTGACAGCGTCCGCCAACTCACCCAGGCGGCGCAGGACATCAACACGTACATCGACCGTGGCGGCCCGCAACAGCTGGCACGCACACACCGCGAGATTGAGAACCTGCAGGGCGAGCTGGCTCGTATCGAGTCAGAAATGATGGACGTCACGCGCCGGGTGAAGAAGATTGAGGATACAATGCGCGATACAGAAATGACGAAGCAGTCCATCAAAGACAACCTGCGCTACCGCAAAGCCAAACGTGCCCTGGAGACTCTCCAAATAGAGATCGGACAGCTCGAAGAGCACGGCGCCGAGCGCGACAAAGACCACTACGAGCGCGAAGCCCAGCACTGGGACACGCGGTTCCACCAGCTCAACACGACCAAGACCTCTGTCGAGCGGGACATGAAGAACAAAGACGACCAGCTCACCGAGCTGATGGAAGAATACAAGTCACTCTACGAACACGCCGCGCTCAACCACCGCGAAGCGCACATCAAAGTCGAAACCAACCGCGCCGCCATTGTCGACCTGGGCCGCTACGCCACGGCGCTCGACAAAGCCATCATCCAGTACCACGCCATCAAAATGGAGGAAATCAACCGCATCATCGCCGAGCTCTGGCGCAACGCCTACCAGGGCACCGACGTCGACACGATCCGCATCGCCGGCGACACCGAGGCCAAGGGGAACCGCTCCTACAACTACCGCGTCGTCATGTCCAAGCAAGACACCGAGATGGACATGCGCGGCCGCTGCTCCGCGGGGCAGAAAGTGCTCGCCTGCATCGTCATCCGGCTCGCGCTCGCCGAGTGCTTCGGCACCAACTGCGGCCTCATCGCGCTCGACGAGCCCACGACCAATCTCGACGCGCAGAATATCCAGGGCCTGGCGCAGAGTCTCGCGCAGATTATCAAGCAGCGCCGGAGTCAGAGCAATTTCCAGCTCCTCGTGATTACCCACGACGAGCAGTTTCTCAGGGAGATGGGGTGTGCGGATTATACGGATGTGTATTGGAGGGTCGGCAGGGATGCAGGGCAGGAGAGCTTTATTGAGAGGCAGAATATCTCGGAGGTTTCGTAGGGTGTGGTGTTCATGCAAGATGTTGTCTGACATCGGGAGTTGGGGGGTTAGTCCAGGAGACTTGATACAGCGGGTTCACTATTGGGGAAGGTGCGTCCTGACACCATTCGGCAGACAGCAGTTGCGTAGGTACTAGTGTGTTTACCACCCGGGTATAGGATCCCTTGTGCATTGTAATTCAACCAGCCTGTACTACAACATCATGGGCGGGACTCAATGTTCGCTCTGGACGCAACGCGGTGAGGTTGAGAAACCAGCGCCGCCATGACGTCTGGGCCCGCTATCTCGACCCGCAGTAGCTCCCACTGATCGCCAGGGCACACTGCACAGACAAGCCTTTGCGGCTTTGCGCTCGCCGGCAGGTCGTTCCGTCGCACACCAACTGGTGTCGGAGCACCGAGCCAAGGACTCCATGATGCAGTGGCGCGCCCCCAACCTCCCAATCTTCGCAGAAAAAAACTTTCAGGCCCAGCCCGGCACCGCTATCCGAACCTCGTGTCGTCTCGGCAGCGCGCCAGACTAGCTCCTCACCGCCACAGCACCCATGGCCCGAGCGCTGAGCCGCCAGAGGCTGAACCGAAGAGGCTGAACCGAAGAGGCTGGAGACGAGCCGCACCATAGTGCCGCACCGCCACATATCAGACCCGCGAGCACGCTGCTGCTGCCAAACACCGCGCTCTCTGACTCCCGCGCGGCCGTCTGCGCCGGTGCTACCGTAAAACGGCGCAGGACGCACACGCCGCGGTAGGCGCTCACCAGCACCGCGACCAGAATCTTTCTCCCCTCAACCATCCCTCAGGCCTCGTAAGCGGGCCAAAGCAGCGCAGAAAGTGTTGCGCGCCGCGCGCCGTGTGGTGCAAAGACGGATCGCAAGGCCCGCGCGATGCGAGCGGCCCGCGCTGGGTTGCCGTGTTAGCCGGGCGCTGTTATACATGCGGCGGCGGGCCCGGTGTGGCGGCGGCTCTGGACTCGCTGCGTCCACTTCCACTTCTCTCGCCGCGCTCTGCTCGTCGTGCTTTCGGTCGATCGCTCTCTCTCCGCGCGTCCTAGACTTCGTGCTCGCCTTGTCTCGTCTCCCCGCTTGACGTCGAGCGCTCCTTTGTGCCCGCCAGCCTGCGCCCCGCCATGAACGCCGACCCCGCAGATAAAGAGATGCTGGGTCGCCGCTCAACAGAACAGTCCGCAGACGTGGAGCTCGTGGGGCAGCAGAGCGTCGTAGCGCGGCGGCGCGTGTACGGCAAGGTGCTTATCGGCGGACTGGTAGTAACGGTGGTGCTTGGAATAGGGCTGGGGGTTGGACTTGGGCTCACGGTGGGGCGGTACGGGCGCGGGTGAAGAGCCGAACTACGTCAAGCCTGGCCAGGGGATGGTGCTCTCGATGCTGGGCTGGGGCAGGACTGCGATGGGGTCAGGCTGAAGAATGGCGAAGGGACGGTGCTGGGTGGTTGTATTCTGCGGCGAACAGTCACGCAGCGCGTTCATCTCCACGATAGCGGAGTGTGACCGTATCCCTGGCGTCTCGAGAAACACCTGGTTCCGGCCTGGCCTACACCCGTCAACGACTACACCCGTCGACGCGCCAGCCAGATGTCTTACATCTCCACCGCTCTCCACGCTGGCTCGACACGACGATGATCCCTCTATCCCTCTCACGAGCTGCGAAGCAAGGGACACCTCTCCTCGGTCGACAGCAGCAAGCCACGCCTCCACCAGCCGACAGGCCGACCAACTACCATAGCAACACCGTCGACGCCTCTACCAGGCTCACCAGATCCGGTCAACTTTGAGATGCCACAGGAACAGGCAGCCAGCGAGGCAACAGCCGGCTTTTACGAGAAACGTGCGTCGATGAGGAGGGTTTGGCGTTCTGGAGTACGCTGCTGGGAGTCACGGATGTTGGATATACCCTTTATGAAGATAGACGTAGCGACCCCCATATGGGGTGGGAATTGAATTCTGTGCATGCTCGAACTCGTTCTTTACGTGGAAGTGTCAGGGGAGGAAGTGTCTTGCACGAACGACCTGGCGGACATGCGTGACGGGGCAGGATATACACGCACTGTGACCACGTCCAGACTCCCTACACATCCTGAAGTTCTCACCCCCGAAGTTCTCCCTTACCACTACCCCCCCTCCCCTCCCTCCCCTGAATCAAATGCCCAAAGTAGTCCCTCAAGAACCACGCACTCCGCTTTGCAAACCGCGTCTTCTCCGCACTCTCAAGATCCACCCACACGCACCCAAACCGATCCCCGTAGCCCGCCGCCCACTCCCAGTTATCCGTAAACGTCCAGGCGAAATAGCTCCTTATGTCCACGCCATCCCTGACAGCCGCTGCTAGCTCGCCCACATAGCCCCTGAAGAAGTCCACGCGAAATGTGTCGTCCAGGACGTCTTGGGAGGGGGGGGAGGATACGTGCTCGCCCTGCGCGGTGGTGCCGTTCTCGGTCATGTAGATCGGGACGTGATACCGATCCCAGACCCAGCGCAGCAGTGCGCCGAAGCCCGTGGGTGCTGCGCGGAGCCACGCGGTATCGCTCTCCGCGCCGCGCGACACCCCGGCGGCGTCCGTGTCGAGCTTGTCGATGTTGCCCAGGTGGTCTGTCAGCTCTGGGGGTGTGTCGCGGTGCCGGGTGAAGAACGTGGTGTACGTGTTCATGCCGTAGAAATCCGAGGAGCCCTGGACCAAGGCTTTTTCTTCGGGCGTGAAGGAGGGCAGGCGGGACCCGAGTTGCGCGCGCATGGAGGCGGGATAGTCGCCCGGGCCGTAGATCGGGTCTGCGAACCAGGCGATTTCGAATTCGAGGGCGCGCTGGGCTGCGGCGACGTCGGCCGGGTCCGAGGCGTCCCATGGCAAAGAGTAGTTGCCGTGCAGGGTGATGCCGATCACGCCTTGCTGCTGGGGTTTGAACTCCGCGCGGTAGAGTTTGACGGCGTGCGCGTGGCTGACGAGCTGCGTGTGCGCGACGGTGAAGGGCTCGGTGCTGCTGTCCCCCTCTGCATTTAGCTCGCGGAACGAGCTGCGCGCGGGCGCGTGGACGCCCGCGGCGTACCCGGCGAGCGTGTACACGCCGGGCTCGTTGTAGGTGATCCAGTGCTTGACGCGGTCGCCGAAGCGGGCGAAGCAGAGGCGGGCGTAGCGGACGAAGTCGGGGGTGTATTTGTCCTGGTTCAGCATGCCGCCGTAGCGGTCCTCGAGGGCCTGCGGGGTGTCCCAGTGGAAGAGGGTGACGAAGGGGGTGATGCCGTTTGCGAGCAGCTCGTCGATGAGGTTGTTGTAGAAGGCGATTCCGGTCTCGTTGACGGGGTCGTCGGCGCCGCCGAGCGGGATGATGCGCGACCAGGACAGCGAGAAGCGGTATGCGGTCACGCCGAAGCTCTTCATGAGCGCGACGTCTTCCTTGTAGAGGTCGTATGCGCGCGTGGCGTCTTCGTTGGTGCTGCCGTCTTTCACCTTGCCCGGCGTGTGGCAGAACTTGTCCCATATCGACTCGCCTTTGCCGTCTTTGTTCCAGGCGCCTTCGACCTGGGCGGCGGCGGTTGCAAAGCCCCAGTGGAAGTCCGGCCGTAGAACGTCCTTGAGCTCGGCCTCGGGCGAGGAATCGAAGGTGTGTGTCCACGTCATGGTGTGTACGGTTGTCTTTTCTCACGGCCGACGTTTTGACAGCTTACCTTTCTATTCAATCGCTGAAGGAGCTGGGGATACTTGAACACCGTCGACACTCTGGCCGGCACTACTCTTTCCGGGCATCCCGGCAGCAGCCCGTCAGGTACATATCGTTGCATCTGATCGGCATTGGAGATACACGTGAAGCGGACTGGGCCCGTGAAGAAGATTTCACGGCGCGGCCATGCGGGTGCATGTCGTCTCATTGGCGGAACTGGAACTCGCGTCCAGGGCAGAACCGACCAGCAGCGTGCATGGTATACGAAGATCAACGTCGCTGCAGCGTGAGCTTTTAGCCTACCCGGTTCAACAAGTACCCCGCGGGCACGCGGTGCTACAGCCTCGCATTCATTAGGCTGCGACTGTCATCCTCCAGGAGGAAGAGAGCTCAGGCCAGGCTTCGACGATGCTCTTTTGATCTCGGTATGAAAGAGCATGTTGCCCTCCTCGCTATCCTGTGAGTCTAGGCATTGAGAAACTAGCGCTCTGTCGAGGTCGTGTGTTTGCGCGTGCCACCAGGATTTTTGATTCTTCGAAGGCGTTATACACAGGCAAGTCGACCCCGCGTCTGGCAGCATGCAGCCCCACCACGGCAGCATGCAAGCGCCCACGTCTCCACTACCGCGTGCTCTTCTCTTGTAACGCCTTTTGCTCATCGGCGGATTACGCTGCTCGCACGGCTGATCGAGCCGACGTTCCAGCTCGTCCCAATGGCCACAATCCCATTCGTCGAGGATGTGTAAGAAGTGGTATGCGCATTAGACGCCGGACATTCTCCTTGGACGTGGGTAGTGGTTTGGGTCGACTTGTTGTAGTGAGGTTGTTGGGTCTGAAGAAGAGGCGGTACAATCGTGGAGCAAAGTTCTCCTAGGCGTGAAGAGTGCTTTGGGGGTAAGGCACATGCAATTCTGCTCGGGGTTGCTTGAGTCGTGGTTGATAAAGCCACGCTTCGCTACATCAATGCACCAGGAACGTAATGCCCAAAGCCTTTCTGTACCATAAGGAAGAGCTTGATAGCATCAAAGCCAGGTGTACGACCCTTTGAGTAATCAGACCGCGAGAGAGAAGGAATTGCTCATGAAAGAGGGGGTAGGTCTAAGGGAAGTTCCTTTCTCCGAAGTCAGGTCCTTATACCAAAGATCTCAAGATTGTGGGCTGACATATCGACTCCCGGTACAACACGCTCTCGGCCGCAATCTACATTCTTGCGCAGACATGTCCATATGCTCCAACAGACATGACATCAGAGACCTACCCCGGCCGAGACAGCGCAGTCAACAAGATGAACACCTTGGACCGCAGGAATGTTAACCTCAACACCCTCATCCGAGGCACCAGATCCCGCGTGATGAACAACAAGCACCGCGCCGCGTCCAAACAACGAGTCTATCCGGACCGGACTCTGCACGCGCCCGTCTTCCCACTCAAACGCGACCTCGAACCCCCCTTGACACCGCACACCGCGGACACTGCCCTTCTTCCACCCCACAGGACACGCCGGAAGCAGTCGCAGCAGCCTGACACCGCCTTCCTGGCCGCTGGTCTGCACTTCCTCATGCGACTGCACCAGGCACTCGACGATGCCCGCCGCGCCGCCGAAGTTCGCGTCGATCTGGAACGGCGGGTGCGAGGCGAGCAGGTTAGGTAAGGTGCTGTCACGCAGGAGTGCTTCGATGTTCGGCCGGCACTCTGCGGGCTGCCGCAAGCGAGCCCAGAGGTTGACCAGCCAGGAGCGCGACCACCCGGTGTGGCCGCCTCCGTGGGCGAGGCGGCGGCGCAGAGTCTTCGTGGCGGCTTGCGCGAGCGCCGGCGTGGTCGAGGGCGTGATGGAGCTGCCGGGGTGCAGGGCGTAGAGGTGCGAGATGTGGCGGTGGCCGGGCTCGGTTTCGGCGAAGTCGTGGACGCCCCATTCTTGGATGGTGCCTGTGTTGGGACTGATTGTTATCGGCGACAGTTTGCTGAGCGCAGCCTCGACCGCGGGCGCGCGCTCTTGTAGTTCGTGTCGCCCCTTTAAGACGGTTGATATGAGGAGGAACTGTGAGAAAACCTGCCGGACGATCTCCGTGTCCATCGTGGAGCCTTCGCAGAACACGCCCTTCTCCTGACTCTCCTCATGCAGAAACGTATTCTCGGGCGACAGAGAGGGATTAGTGACGAGGAACTTACCAGTAGAGTCTTCAACCAGGAAGTCGAGTAGAAAGTCAACACAGCCCTCGAGCACAGGCGCCATCCGGACAAGCAAAGTCTCATCTCCATTGAACGCATAGTGCTCCCAGACAAGAGTACACACCCACGCCCCGCCCAACGGCCACAGACTCGCCGGCATCCAGCGATCCTGCGTCTCGGTATCGCCAAAGATATCAGTGCAGTGATGTGCACACCACCCGCGACACCCCCAGACCTCAGAAGCAGTGTGCCGGCCGTTGATGGCCATGCGTTCCAGCAAGTCGAACACGGGGAGCTCGCACTCCGACAGATTGGACACGTGGACAGCCCAGTAGTTCATCTGCAGGTTGATGTTGAGGACGAACTTGGAGCCCCATGGAGGTTGGAATGACGGGTTCCATATACCTTGGAGGTTGGCGGGGAGAGCTTTTGGAGACGCTCGGCTGCTGGACAAGAGGAGGTAGCGTGCGTAGGCGTGGAACAGAGCGGCGAGTCCAGGGTTTTGTACGTCCGCCAGGCGCTCGGGGGTTAGAAGCTGGGAGTTATCTGGGAAGAGGTGGATGGCCATGCGGTCATACAGAGGGTGCCAGTCATCGAGATGTCGTCGCCAGATCAGTTCAGGCCCGAGCTGCAAAGCGCTCTCCAAGTCGGACAGAGCCGCCTGCTGGGTGTTGCTATGGCGGTACTGAGTCTGCGCGGCAAGAACGACCAGAGCATCACTCGCTGTCACTTCCAGCTCGCGACCAACGTCTCGGACACTCCCTACACCATATATCTGCACCCCTGCTACGAGACACAGGCTATTACCCCCCCCTACCACCAGGCGTTGCGTGCAGCACGATCCGCCCGTCGACGAGTTCAATCGAATCCAAGAACTCGTTCACTTCCCACTCAACCTCGCTCGTGCGTGTCAAGCTGACTCTGAAAGTGATTGGGCTATCAGCCACCACGCGCAGTGCAATGACATTGTCTGCATGCGTAGCAACAGCCTCGCGACGCACCCGCGTCCCATTAACAACGTACTGCACCACAGCCTCCGCCCGCGCAAAATCAAGACTCCGCTCATAGCCCTCCACTTCACCATCGCCAGCCATAAACTCCAGCACGCACGTGCCCAGCGGCTCGTAATGCCTCATGCTCTTCGGCGTCGCCAGGAAGCGTTTCCCAACCAGGGCTTCAGCATCGGCATGCCTCCCCGCGCGGATGAGTTGCCGCAAGGCATCTAGGTGCGCCCTTGCGCCCGCAGGCGTGCGGTCCATCGGGCCTCCATACCAGACGCTTTCTTCATTCAGACGCAGCGTTTCCCTGGCCACGCCGCCGTACAGCATGGCTCCCAGGCGGCCGTTACCAAGGGGCAGCGCGCCTTGCCAGGCCGATGCGGGGGAGGGGTAGCGCAGCATGGGGTGCAGCGGGATTGGACCGGGGTGCTGTAGCCACCGGGTAATGTCGCGGTGTCACGGTGTGCGGTGGGCGAGACGTGCTCGTCGGCGGACCTGGAGTGTCAGCATTTATGCACGCGGCTGGTCGCCCGCGAGCGGGAAAGAGTGGTTGGACGGATTAATCACGGCGGCGGGCGAGCCCCAGATGCAAGGCGCAGACGTGTGACCGCGGTGTTGGAGTTGCGATCCTGGGCTAACCCGAAACTGGAGCCCGCCCTGCTGGAGGCAGGCTCGTTAGGCGTGCAGGCCCATGGGATCAGAGGTCCAGCGCGTGGAGATGGAGTGACAAGCTTTAGCGCTGTTGATCTAGACGGAGCCATGCTCTCCGTACCTTGGTGCTGCAGGCGCTGTGGTTCGAGGCGCGTTGGAGAAAGGTTCATATCCGGCTGCTGTCTCGCCGCGTCGAGAATTATAGCAGTCCCCTTGCACCTAAAGCTTTGCTTCCGAGTGCTCTGCTGCTAAGATGGCTCAACAGGACAATGTCAGGTCGTTCCACCACGATGTGACGAATGAGAAGGCCGCCGCTCTCGAAGTGGAAGAGATAGTCGTCCAGCGCATCACAGACGATGATCTGATTCGCATTTCGAAAGAGGCGATGCCGAGGTTCTGGACGGCTACTGGGCTCAGGATCTGTCTGATTCTCTTCGTTCAGGGCTGCAATCAGGCTGGTTATGGTGTTGACTGGGCAGTGATTAGTGAGTACACAGCACGATATTGGAGGGCAATGCTTACATGGCGAAAGGTGGTATCAACGCGTATCCTGCATGGCACAAGTACTTTGACATTGCGATCGATGGCGGTAGGTTTCTTCACTGTGTGCAAGTTCAGATACTGACATCTTCAAGTCGAGTTTGCGCACATCACAGCATTGATGCGTATTGGCACTGTAGTCGGCGCCCCCTTCCTCGCACTCAACGACAAGATCGGCCGTCGCGGCGTCAACTTCCTGGGCAACTTCCTTGTCATCTGCGCCGCGCTCATGCAAGCCCTGGCCCCCAACCTATCCTGTTTCATGGCCGGCCGATTCTTCCTCGGCTTCGGCAGCGCACTGATGTCCTCGCCGCAATACATCGCGGAAGTCGCTCCTGCGCATCTGCGCGGTCGCATTGTAGGTCTCTTCGGCGCGTGCTTCCAGATCGGCAGCGTGGCCATGACAGCGGGCATGATCGGGACCGCGAACATGGCGAAGAGCGAGTCGAACAACTGGTCCTGGCGGCTTCCGCTGCTCTTGCAGACGTTCTTCCCCGCGGTGGTGTGCACGCTCATCTACTTGATTACGCCTGAGTCGCCTCGCTACTTGGTGATCAGCGGCCAGCGCGAGAAGGCGCGCCAGGTTATTGCTAAATACCAGACGACCTCGGGCTCATTGGATGAGCCGCTGGTTGATATCGTTGTCGCGCAGATTGAAGAGTCTCTGGAAACGTCTCGTACGCGCTTCAGGCAGTCCTGGAATTTCGCGGCTTTCCTCACCAAGACCGTTCGTTACCGCCTGTTCGTGCTCATTCTGTACTCGATGTTTCAGTCCTGGAACGGCGGAGGGTAAGTCGGAAGCGTTGGATTGTCGAGCTTTATCTGACGAGATTTACAGAATCGTATCTTACTACCTGACACCCGCGCTCAAGACCGTCGGAGTAAGTAGCAGATCCTCGATCTGGACACCTCGCTAACCTCCCCAGGTCACCGCGACGATAACGCAACTCGGCGTAGGACTTGGCCTAACATCCGTCTACTTCGTCTTCACCGCCATCGGCGGCTGGTTCGTCGACTACTTCCGGCGCCGCACGCTGATCTTCGCCGGCCTAATCGGCGTCATCTGCATGCAAGTCGCCGCGACCATCACCTCCTGGCAGTACAACCTCTCGCCGTCGAGCACCACCTCGGCGCTCACCATCATGTGGATGTTCATGTTCCAGGTCATCAGCGCAACCTTCATCGCGACCATGTCAGTTACACGCCAGATAGCTAAGTCGCGCGCTAAATATATCACAGGCACAACTTGTACCCCGTCGAGATCCTGTCTCTGCCGCTCCGCGCGAAAGGTATGGGTCTCTACGGCGTGATCCAGGGCGCGTGCGGCGCCATCGAGGCCTACGGCATCTCCATCGGCATCTCCAAGGTCGGGTACAAGATCTGGTGTGTGTACATCATCTACAACGCGCTGCAGCTCGTCGGTGAGTCCCCTTGCATATTGCCCTCGCGATTCCCATACCCCACCCCCCGCGCTTCCCAAGCTCATGCGTGGCAGCCTCGTACTTTGTGTTTCCGGAGACGAGCAAGCTCAGTCTTGAGGAGATCGATGCCGTGTTCGAGACGCCGGGTGTCGCGCCGGTTAAGATGTCGCTGGATATTCAGAGGGCGAAGAGGGAGAAGGCGAGGTTGGATCGGGAGGCGGGTATTACCGGCTAGGCAGGATGGGCGTGAGAATAGAGTCGGTGCATCTTGGGTGTGGATGATAAGGGAGGGGATGCGGCGCGCAGAATGCGTCAGTGTGGAGTGTAGCCGTGTTCCATAGCAAACCCGACAAATCGACGGTCGTGAGAGAATCGCATCCGATGCCGAGCTTTTGTTCTCAGAAAGTATGTGATGTCCTGCGGCTGGCAAGATCCATCGTAGTATGCAACCCATCTATCACTCTATCAGCACTTGCACAAATCTATCCGACCACCCCATCTATCTATTCCCAAAGTCTAGTATCCCGCGCAATGCAGCCAAACCCCCCATAAAAACGCAACGCCACCCATGCTCTCCTGTCCCTCTACGCCCACCCAATCCTATACACCGTATACCCCACCTCATCCCCCCTCCCAACCCCCCTCCGCTTCTCCACCCCCCAGCGCTCTAGAATCCCAAACGACCGCCCCGCCCCATCCCTTGGACACACCGGCCCCGCAAACGCATCCTCCACCGTCTCCGGAATGCCCTCGAACTTGCCGTTGTGCCGGATCGTCACAATGAGCCAGAACACGCCGTCGGGCGTGGCGAGGTGCGCGGCGCAGTCGCGCAGCCACGCGGCGTGCTGCGGCGCGTAGACGACGTCGGCGGCGATTAGGAGGTGCGCGGACGCTGCGAGGTCGGGGGGCGGGAGAGACCAGTCGAGGGCGGTGGCGCTGAGGGGCGTGGTGACGCTGGCGCCAGGGGGGAAGTTGGTGGAGATGTTGTGCTGCAGGTTGGCGAGGACGGTGGGGTGGTAGTCGGTTGCGGAGATGCTGGCGGGGTGGATATCAAGTGTGGGCAGCAGCTTGGCGAGGGTTAGGCTGACGAGGCCTGTGCCGGCGCCGAGTTCGATGATGGTTGGGCGGGGGGCGAGGGCGGTTGGGGTCAGGTTGAAGCGCGCGGGCGAGGCGCAGAGCATGCTGCTGAGCACGATGCTGGCGCCCCAGGACTGCAGGCCGACGTCGGTGTGGTCGGCGCCGGTCAGGGGCGCGTCGTTGAGGGTGACCTCGACGGGGGCGCCGTGGGCGGTGGGGAAGGAGAAGGCGCGGGTGAGGGCTTCTTCAGCTTCGTCGTTGGTGGAGTCGGAGAAGGAAGACAGGATGAATGCGGCGTCGTCGACTATTTGGTTTCGGGCGTCTTCACTGAAGTCCATCTCTTCTACTCGCGAAATCAAAGATGTGAGCCATCTCGTAGCAAAAGTGCGCTCGAAGGGATCGGCGCGGATTGATGCTGTCACCTCCTCGGCAGCTGCTTCATCATCCTCGTCTTCGTCCTGCGACACGTATCCGGAATCTACTGGTACGGGTGTGGAAACGCCAGACGCTACGGAAAGGTCCTTGCGCCGGGCACTAGGCTTCGGCAGGACCGGTAAACGGAGCGGGCAGTACAGGGTCTGGAGGCCGCGGAGGGACGACTTGATACTCTGTTCGCTTGCGTTGATCAGAGAGCGGACAGGGGGCAGGCTACTTGAGGGCGGCAGGCAAGGGCCTGTATGGCAGGTGGCCATTTGCTCGCTGCTACGGAATGCACTGTTACAAGTGAAGGAGTGAATCTGGGGTAAGTGACAAGAAGGAACGGCGTGGGGAAGTGGAAACAGTGATAAGAGATAAGAAATAGATACGGCAAGGAGGGACATTTTTCACGATAGTCAGTCTAGCCTCACGCTCGGGCATTGTCGCAGAGCGGAAATTTTTCACCGCTTGTCATTTGGCATCGTGGGCGATATTGTGGGTCCGAGTGGCTATGCCTGAATCGCGGCCAGTATCCAGGCCACATTGCCATTCAGGAGCGGCCCATGAGCGCGAATTGTACCGCGTATCGTTGTAGGTGCCGCGGCTCGTGATGGTTGTGAGGTTGTCCAGCAAAATTGCGTTCATTCGTCCCTGTCGCCACGTGCCGGCACTAACTACAATCAGTAAGCGCGGTCCCGAAATATCTGACCGTCATCCATCCGTGCGACTCTTGGTATACTCAATGAGGTATTTACATACGAGGCATCGATCGCAGCACTAAAGGCTTGGACGGAGATCCTCGGCGGCGCATTCTTACAACGAAGTCTCGTGTGATTGCGGCGGCGTGCTTCTACATTCACTGGATAGTGTTGGTAGACGTATTCGAAGGTATCGTAATGATTATTGACCGATTTTGGACTGTTCGCAAAGGTTTATATCTCCTTACATTGCTGCGACAGAAGAGCAGACTTCAACTCCTGGTCAAGGATGTAGGAGATCAACACCTCCAGCAACCATTGGCCTGCCTTGACCCCCCAGCAGTTGATCGTTTCCTCACAGAGCCTTCATGGTCTCCTCGACCTTGCTAAACACCTCTTCATATCTCTTCTCCCACCTCTCCGTCTCCCAGGCCTGCCTCGTGAGCAGATGCTTCGGCACACTCCAGAACATCCACGCAAGCACCCATCCATACCCAACCATCCGCTCCAGCCTCCCCAACACCTCCCCACCAAGCCGATCCCGCACCCTCGCCCTAGCCCTCGACTGCCCCCAAACACTCCCCACCACGCCCTCCACCACAATCGGCCCAATCTGCGCCGCAAACCACACCGCCACCGTCCACACCTCCCCCTGCCCACCCGTCTGCACCCAGCGCACTGCCGCATGCGCGCCCCCACTCGCCGCAAACACCAATCCATTCTCCACCACCCTCCTCACCGCCCCGCGCCTCAGCCCCAGAACCCCCCGCGTGAGCAGCTGCACATGCGCCGCGAAGCTCTCGCGGATGAAGTCGTGCCAGTACACGCCCCAGTAGCGCCGCACGCTCCAGCAGTCCGCCAGCGAGCCGAACAGTGCGAGCGACCACTCGTGCGGCGCGTCGAGGCGCAGGACGCAGACCCACAGCACAGCGAAGAGGGAGTAGATGGATGAGAAGTACAGCATGTCGCCCACGCAGGTGTCCCATACCATTGCGGTGCGGTGGGCGAGGGCGCCGGGCGGGGAGTGTGTGCGCAGCGCGGGGTCGATGTAGGTGTCCCAGGCGTGGTTTGTGGCTGTGAAGAGGAGGGCGCGCGAGGCGTGGTGGGCGAGGAACTGGGTGCGTGTGAGGTTGTGGGGGGTGTCGCGGGTGCTGCGGTTCTGTTCGCGGGTAGCTTCTTGACGCTCTTTTCTCGTTGTGTCAATCATCTCTTTTCCATCAATCCTCTCCTTTCCATGAGCCCTCTCCTTCCCACCTCCGCCAGACACGGGATACCACCGCCTCAATCTCCTCGCATACAGCACCTTCCCCGCAAACCCCCACCGCTCGCGCCACCCGCTCGCCTCCCTCCACTCCCCCTCCCCCTCCCCCTTCCCCTTTCCACCCTCCCGCTCGACAGCCTGCACGCGTACCACAGGTTTGACTCGCACAGTCAGGAACACATACCCCCCATAACTCCCCCAAATATACATCATCCTCGCCAACGTATCATTAACCGCATGCCACGGCGTAATAGCCATGTGGTGTTTGAACGCGTAGAGCAGGAGGAGCAGCGGCGCGGTGAGGGCGAGGGCGCGGTGGCGCGGGGGGGAGGCGAGGAGGGCGAGGAAGGTGAGGATTGAGAGGGCGAGGGCGAGAGCGGAGGGGAGGGCGGTGGTGGGTGTCCAGGGCATGTTGGGTGGAGCGGGGATGTGGGTGCTGGTCGTTGTGGTGATTGTAGTGGTATACGCGGCGGGGCGCGTTGCTGCTTGTCGCTGTTGTTGAGCTCGAGGCGCGGCAGTGCGGCTTTGGCGTGGTTCGTTGTGGATATTGTGGTAGTGGAAGACGGTTGCGATTGTGGTCGTTGGAGTGAGAGTGGAGCTTGCAGTCTGCCACGCGTTGTGTTGTGGGGCCGCCAGCCGAAGGTGAGAGTGAGAGTGAAGTGGACTCGGAACTGGCGGACTGAAATGATTTAACTCGACATTGCAATATCTGTTCCGGGTTCGTATCGTCGACCCTTGTCCAACGTATATCACCCGCTGTACCAGACTTCAGTAGTGCAGAAATGCCCAGGGTCCTGTCCCTTAGACACTGCGTACCTAACAATACCCAAATACCCAACGCGGGCTACCACGACCACTATCAAAAATCCACAGCATCCTCGTAAATATCGATCTCATCACCGCTCTCCCGCGCCTCACCCACCCCAAGCCCCTTGCCCCCCGCCACCGCCCCAGCATCCCCCGCAAACCCCTTTATCAACTTCGCAGCAATCTGCTCCCGCCCCCTCTTCACCTCCCCGAGATGCATCAGCACCAGCCGCGCACACTCCTCCTTCGCGCGCTTCTTGCCAAACACATTGCGCACCTCGCCAATCGGGCCCTCGTGCGCCCCGCCGTCCCTGAAGTAACACGCCACGGTGTGCAGATCCGGCACCGCGGTGGTCCCCATCTCGAAGCGGTACTCCGGGGGGCCGAGGCTGAGCAGGTTCGCCAGCGCGGTGACCTGGGACGTTGCTGACGCGCCGGACGGGGACGCCGGCGACGCCGACGCAGACGCGGATGCGGGACTCGGGTTGCGGGCGGGCGTGCTGGCAACCTGCTTGCGCTTCTTGATGCCGCCGACGTCCGAGAACTCGTCGGGCCACAGGCCGCGGGCCTTGAAGTGGGCGACGGCGCAGCCGGCGGCGTGCTGGCGCGCGGCTTTCTTGGAGCCGAAGAGCGTGGTGGCGGAGCTGAAGGGCTCGTCGTGGTCGTCGAGGGTGAGGGTGCAGGACCAGCGCTCGCCGGACTTGTAGTCGGTGTAGGTTGGCTGGGGGCGGGAGGTTGCGCGTTGGAACTCTGGGTGGGGTTAGGGTGTGTGTGAGAGAGAGCGAGAGCGAGAGAGACAGAGAGAGAGAGTACGCAGAAACCAACGCAAGAGCGAAGCAACGCAAGCCACAACGCACGCCAAACAAGAAAACACCACCTACCAAGCAACTGCCCCACAAAGTTCTCCCCCGGCCCCTGCCCCTCCCCCCCCAACCCCTGCACCCCCTCAGCCCCCCGTTTCTTCCCCTTCCCCGCCCTCCCAACCCTCCCCTCCCCCACCAACCTCTCCAAAACCGCCAACGCGCTCTTACTCACCGCCTCCTTCGCCTCCTGCTTACTCGCATACCCCCCCTCGGCCTTCAGCCCCTGCAGTTCCCCCGCGTCCTGCAGGCCCGGGAAACTCACCTCGACGCTCCACCCCGAGGCGCCGTTGCCGTGGAACGTGAATGCGGGCTGCGGGAGCGCGAGCGCTTGGGCTTGCTCATGCAGTTGGATGGTGTGGGTTGAGGAGCGGGCGCCGACGGGGACGGGCTGCGGGGCGCGCGCGGGCTTGGTGGCGGCCATGTGCGCGTCGTGGGAGGCTTGGTGGGTTGCGAGGAAGTCGTCGAGGCTCATGACGCCGTCCATGGGTATGGCGACGGGGGCCGTGGGCGGCCGCGTGGGGTGGTCGAGCCCCATGGTGGTGCGCAGCCTTGTGGTTCACAGAAGGGGATGCGGGGTTGGGGATTGGAATTGAGTGTGGAGGTGATGTTGCGGTTGCAGAGTGAACTAGGAAAAGGCGGTGGGGGAGTGGGAGACACAGGCAAGCACTCTCACGTCTGCTGCTGCATGCATCGCAGTCAAGCGGAGCGACCGTTTGCTGGATAGTGGGGATGACGGGTAGTGGGGTTGGCCTGCATGTGATGGCGCGACAGCGTGTTTCCTGGTAACGGCTGCGGGCCGAGGCGGCGGCGCCGAAGTCAATGCCTACCACACGCTATAGCGTTTCTTCACAGCTATATGCAAGATACCACAACGAAGGATAACAGCCTCGACATCCAGACCACCGACACAGAGACAGCGTTAACTTGTGCAATTTCACTGACTACCCGTAGCAAGTATATACAGAGAGCAGGAACAACAACGCAGCGCCGAACGTAGAGTCAACCCAATGCGTTGTTCGCCAGAGAAGAATCAAAAAGTTGTCGATACCCGACTGGGAGGCTGCAGACCCATGCGGCAGCTGCGTCTATGCTCCTTCAACGCCCGGCCCTGTAAAATTCTTCGCTTGACCTCCGAATTCTTGAGAGCTCTGTACATGCGGTTGGAGAAGCAAGGAACGTAGATGAACATCATCCCCCCTACAGCAGGCTGTCAACACACGGTGCGCTGTAGAAAGAGAAGGGAAAGAGTCTGGAGCACGCAATGCTTAGGCGGCGGCCTCGACCTTGCGCTTGCCCGCACGCTTCTTCTTCTCCTTCTCGGGCGCAGCGGCGTTCTCCTTGTCCTGGCCAGCAGCCTCGGGCTCATTGTTCCTTGTGGTGCGGCCGCCCTTGGCCTTCTTCTTGGGGGCCTCCTCGGGGCTGGCCTCCTTGGCGGCAGCTGCTGGAGCGGGCGCAATGGCCTGCGGGGCAGCCTTCTCCTTCTTCTTCCTCTCCTTCTTGGCGGGAGTCTCAGCGACAGGAGCAGCCTTGGGTAGAGGGATGGGCGAGGCAGCGGCAAGAACGGGAGCGGCAGCGCCGTTGACAGCGGGGTTCTGCGCAAGCTTCTGGCGCTTGTTGGCGCGAGGAGTCTTGATGGGTGGGGAGGGAGCCTTGGCGGGCGCAGCCTCCTCATCCTCGGAGGAGTCCTCAGACTCGACAGGAATCTCGGCTTCGGCCTCGATCTCAACCTCGGAAGCCTCGTCATCCTCGTGGAGGTCGACGATAGGAGTGCCCTTGCTGGCCTGGTACGCGGCCATCTCTTCCTTCCACTGCTCCATAGAGTCGCGGTAGGACTGCCTCCAAGTCTGTGCGGATTAGCATATGCTCTGCAAAATATAGCACGCAGATGCTTACCTCCTTCTCCTCCTCGCGCATCTCGTTCCAGCGCTTGTTCACCTCGAGGTTGACAGCGTTGGGCTCGAGCTTCTGGTCAGGGCCAACAGCGGCCTCGAGGTCTCCCCTGACGATTGGGCGCGCAGTCTGCGCATACAGGAACGCAGCAGTCAGTGGCTTCTTCGGAGCGTTGGGGTCCTTCTCCTTCTTCTCGCGCTTGCGCTTGACGCCCTTGACAGGCTTGCCAGTCTCGACAATGTCCATCTTGTCGCCGGCAATGATGGCCTGCGCGATGCCATTGGCGGTCGACGAGGCAGCCTCAATGGCAGTGTTGGCAGTGGCGGCGATCTCCTTGCCCAGCGACAGCTTGTCGAGAACGCCATCCTCGCCAGCGATGACCGAGTTGGTGTGCTCCAAGTAAGCGCGCAGAAGCTCGTTCAGTCCGCTCTGGACGTGGGCGAGACCAGCCTGGAGGTTGCTGAGCGAGACAATGACCTGTTGGTGGGAGTATGTGTTAGCAGTGTCCTCAGAGGAGCTGGCAGACGGTGTCGAGCCGCGGCGCGTAGTGGCCGGGTGCACCGCGCGCGAGACCTGCAATTCTGGCTGCAGCAACACAAAACGTGTTTGCGCATTCATTGCGCTGGGGTCGCGTAGAGCAGGCGACCGAATCGACACGCGATGAGGGCAAAGAAACGTGATGGCGGTGCGGGCGGCGCGTCGCAGGCTCTATCAAGGCCATGGCGAGAGCCATGCACGCACGCGCAAAGCAAAGGCACGCGGTGGAACAAAACAAAAGACTTACGGAATCTCTGGTGCGCGTGTAGGACTCAACCGAGACCATCAGCTCGCCTGCATCTTCGACTGGAGTTTTCTTTGGTCGAGCCATGGCGTGTTAGGGCGGCTGGTACGCAAGGCGCTGAGGCGGTGGTGGTGAGGAATCGGCGGGCGGGCGAGGTGGGCGATGAGCGGCAGGCGGTGGGGGCAGCGACCGCTTATGTGACAGCACTCGCGCTATCGTTTGGGGGCTTGCTTGCCCTTGACGCGCCGGCCACGCCCTTTGCCAGCCGCGACGAGCAGCAGTCAGGCTCCAAAGACAGAGCCAAAGACGCAGTCTGCGCGTACCCATATAGCGGCCTGCACGCCGGCTACACGTCTGCTTTCTGATTTTGCGTCCAGCGCAAACATACTATGGTACTCGCAGTCGGCTGCCCGCGCGGTTTCGCCTGCAGACACGTTGCATAAGTGCTTGACCTGTGAACTCAATGCACTGGGGCCGCCGCTGAGCCCGCAGAGCAGGCCCGCAGTAGCAGCGAGCGTCAAAGCCAGGAAAAGCGGAGGTCACGAGCACCCAGCGCTGCTGTCGACGCCCCGATTTGGCTGCCAGGTGCTCGCTCCTTCGCAGCACCGTGCTGCTGTTGCTGCGAGTCTGTCTGTTGCTGGCGCGCTGCCGCGAGTCTTCTGCTGAGTCCTCCAGGCACCGCCCTGCAGCGCCTGGCCGTGGCTGGCTCGTCTTTCGCACAGCTCGTCGCCCTGTTGCTGTTCTCGTGTAGCTCTCTGCCACGCCGCACCGCGCCGCGTCGCGAGTTTGGTGTTCTTGATGGCCGCACACCACGCTGCGTCTGATGTCTTTGGCGATCCTTCCGCGCCCAGCGCTGCACCACGCCGCGCTCCTTCTCTGCTCGTCGGGGAAACATGCAGGTGCAGGTGCGGGCATGTCAACAACGTCACGTGCGAAGCACCGATGCATGCAGAAATACAATCGATCCACCACCGCGACATCCACGGTCATCACCGTCACCATAGCCACCACGGCCACCACGAACACCTCGCAATAGTAGTAAACTCGCACGGCGCTGTGCTGCAATCCGTGCACGTGTCGTGTTCGTGGTCCTGCATCAACACAGCTTACGTAATACAGGTTTGCTCAACATCACAGATGCTCGACTATGTTTGCTATGTCAATTGTCTACAACAAATACAAGGTGTTGCTCAAACGTTTCCCGTCACCACAAACTAGGGTTTGGCTGAGGACTAGGCTGCCCTAATAGACTCGTGTCCCCTCTCCTTACCCTGTCCTTCCTGTTGCCTCCCACTGTGAACAAATCTCGCACACTGGTAGCCTGTCCGGAGTATATATCTTCTTTTCTCTGCCTAAAACTATAGCGCGCTACGCCTGGTTTTCTATAGACAGTCATGGTCATCTCTTGTTAGCCGTGCTTGGTTGTCCAAAGTGCTATCCTTTTGTCTTTTTGTATAGCCAAACCGTTGCATGCACCTATCCTTCGCTGCCACTTTGTCAAAACGGCTGGAAGTGCTCTGCAAGACCTCGCCTTTGTCCTCACAGCCATTCTATCAATCATGTACAGCAGCGAACTGGCTCTGCAGCTCAGTGCCTCGCACTGTCGCATACTGCCGCAGTGCCTTTCCAGCGCTGGCCACAACTATACGCCGCAAAGCCATCAACCATCCCATCTTCACCTCTCCGCCTCATCTTCACCTCACCGCCGCCGGCGCCTCGGAGGCCGACGCGCCTTGGCACGCGCCGCACACAGTACAAAAACCTCCTCCGTCCCCCGACCTTTCTCGTCATCTTCCACCCTCTGTTCGCACTTGCTTGCAAGTGCACACCGCCAGAACAAAGCTCGTGCGAGATTCCGCTAGGTCCCTGGCCGATTCCAGGCTGCGCTCGGTTGCCCTACCTACAAAGGGACGCTTTTTTACCCTTTCAAAGGGGGCGTGAGAGCGGATCTCACGCTGACTCTTAGGAGTCTCGCTTCCTCTACGATCCCTCTCCGGCCCTCCGGGTGGTATTGTAGGCGAACATCAAGGCGCTTCGAGAGATCATTGCTTCGGCGTGGTCTTTTGTGGTTTCCGAGTCGTGTGGTTCCCCCCGCGACTCTTTTTCTTACACAATATCATTCCTGCAACGAGTCACACTTCCTCTACGGTTTCCCTCTGGGAAGTACTGTAGTCGGTCATCAAAGGCTCTACAAAAACTTCTTGCTTCGGCTTGGTCTTTTTGTAGTGGTCTAGTCGTTTTGGTCTCCCCGAACGGCTCTTTTCTTATACAACGTCTTCCTCACAAGACAACATCAAAGGCGCTTCAAGAAATCATTGCTTCGGCGTGGTGTTTTGTAGTGACCAAGCCGTGTGGTCTTACCCGCGACTTCTTTTCTTACACAATATCTTCCTTACAATATAGCATAAAGGCTCTGTAAGAGATCATCGCTTCGGCGTGGTTTTTTGTAGTGATCAGGTCGTGGTAACCCCAAGACCTCCTTCCTTACACACAATGTCTTTCACACAAGACAAGATGGACGTCTCCGACTCCAATCCTCTTGAGGGCACCCTCTCCGCTAGTGTTGAGATGCCGTCTTCTGCTTCAGGAGGGAGGGCACCTGTGCCAAGGGTTGGCCTTCCTAACTTTGACGACGACAATGTTGGCATGGGTGAAGATGATGGCGTTGCGACTGCCTCTGGCAACGACAATGCTAACATGGGTACGACCACTGTCGAGCTTGCAGACCTGACTCCAGGCCAGCAAAATCTGATCATGGCAAACAAGCCTGAGCTCTACAAAGTAGACGAGATCACTGATTTGAGTGATGTTTGCGCGCTTCGAGGCTGTGACGTACCTTCTGGGTGGAGTACTACTTCTAACAGACGAGCATGTGTCATAACCACGCGCAAGAACATGGATGGCAACGCCAATGGCAAGGGTACATTTTTGGGATCTAGCATCGACTTCTTCAAGACCGATACTCAGGGCCAGAAGACGAAACCTTCTCTTGATCGCGTATTTGTTTTCTTCCATACCGACACACAGACGCCCAGCATCGAAATCACCACTCGCTGCAACGGTCTTGATGCTGACCAGCAGGATGGAATGATTTCCACACACATTTGTGCGCAAGATCTGCGAATCGATAACAAGACAAACGAGGTGATGTTTTGTGTTCGCGATCCATCAGACGCAGTAACGGCGCCAGCCAGGTTCGTGACAAACGGTGAGAATCCTGGCAATGCCGATGTAGAAGAGTTGGAGTCCCTTCACAAGCGGAAAGAACTCTTCGAGATCACCGTTGTTCTCAGGACAGACAGGTCAGCCACGACGTGGGCAGGCCTCGACCGCGACACTGCGAACAAGGCTTCCGACGGTACCGCAACCACGCATGCGGGTGGAGCCAGCACCGCCACACGAGATCTTTTAATCGGACAGATGGGGCGGCAAGATACCAACGTGATCTCATTCTTTATGCATACCACGCCTGGCATGATCGACAAAGTGATCCAACAGGCGACGTACATGAGGAAACTCTTCTCTGTCGCAGCTCAGCACGGTAACTTCTGGTTTTATCGCAATCAACTGAAATTGAACAAAGTTAGGCCAGATGCGTTAGATGAGCTTGAGCTTCCCAAGTTCAATTTCGAGGTCCCACGCTGGCTCGTCACTGAGTTCCGGTTCGACACCACCGTGAATGCATCGGGCGAGACGGTGTACTCGAACCCTCAGCCTTGTCGGTGGGATCACTTCAACCTCTCATTGGCATGGCGAAATCCCGACGAAGCTGCTTTCCTCTTGAAGATGGGTATCGAAAGCGAGCGCAGGCGGCAGACCCGCGAACTGAAGGAGCTTGCCCAAAGCGATAAGCCCTGGTTCAGAGGCATCTTTACAGAGATCGAGGATTCTTCCGGCCGCTATATCTGTGAAGTTTTCTTAAACGACGAGAGTGTGGCCGAAAACCTCAATGTCAAAATGCCGGCTGCGGGTACCCGCATCAGGATCCGAGTTGTCCCCAAATCCCTGAAGCGGCCTAACAATGCTTCAGCCTTGTCGTATTTTGGAAGCGTCACAACCGATCCATTCCATTCGGGTGCGGCGTTCTTGTGCGTTCTTCACGGGCCAAAGGGGATTGCCAATGCCCCACTACCAGTCTACATTAGCTATACAGTGGATGACGTGCCTTACGAGCGCCAGATGGAGGCAGTCAAGCAGATCCAGGAGATCAAATCCGGGTTTAAACTGGATGGCATTGATCTCAAGAACCTCTTCTTGAACGATTCAAACGTCGCTGACAAGACAAATTATCTGATGGGGAAAATTGACCTTGCTGCTTTCAAAGACATGGTTGCGAAGAGACCCAAGCAAAAGCTGCCAAACAAGTCACAGAGCGCAGCCATCATCAGCACCGCCACCTCCAAGACCGGCCTGACGGTTGTCCAAGGTCCTCCTGGTACAGGTAAGACAGAGACAATGAAGACCATCGGTATGGCTATGCTGCTCTGTGGCATCATGGTGATGTATGCAGCATCGACAAACGCTGCTGTTGCGCATCTCGCAGAGTCGTTTGACAAGTCTTGTCGTGAAGAGGGCTGGCTCTTACCACATGAGTATGTTTTGTTCACTGGAGCATACGTGAAGATTGAAGCAGCGGAGAGGCACGCGCTTCATAAGAGCATGGCAGAGTCTGAGGAAGCGAACGTCACTTCAGCGATTGAAGACGAGAACACCATGCAGCAATTTGCCAGAACTGCACTGCTGTCGACGTCAACCATAGATCCGGCATTGACATTTGGAACCAAATTGAGGCAAAGGATCCAGGTCTGGGCGGAGACGTCCGAGACCGACGGCCATCCAATGCGAGGAAAAGCTAATGCATACCTCCGCGATTTGAAGCAGCTTCCGTTCGAACCAAAAGAATCGAAGACGGCGCTGGTTGAGCAGTTGGACAACTACGAATACAATTTCGGCCTCTGGTACCTGGAACACGAAGTCAAGGCTGTTTTCTGCACCCTGTCATCGTCAGCGCACGAGCTCCTCACTCGAGCCTTCCGACCCCAAGAGCTCATCATCGATGAGGCTGCGCAAGCGTCTTTTGCTGGACTCGCAACGGCTGCTGGTGCGTATAAAGACTGCATCAAGCACATCACGCTTGCGGGCGATCACCACCAGGGTAAACCCAGCTTCGCAGCAGGTGATTCGAACGTGGGACACGGTATGCTGTCGCGCAACCTCTTCCAAGAGATTGCCGAAGACAGAAACAAACAGCACCAGTTCATCGCACTTGAGACTTCTTATCGGTGCGTGCCCGAGCTTCTTGGTTTCACCAAGGGTCTTTATAAAAACCTGAAGGCTGATCCCAGCTGTGGTCGCCTGGAGCCACAGTTGCAGCAGACACTGCGAGCCTTCTGGAAAACGCATGTTCGAGACAGCTTCAAGGGTTCTGCGCTGCAAGTCGCTATTGACATTAAGGGCTCACACACACGGCATCGCGGTACCACCACACTGGAGAACATCTCCGAAGCGAAGGCTATCGCTCATACTGTGAAGGCCATGCTTGCCTTCAAGCCCCCAGAGGGCGGCCGCCAGATCGTCCCTGCAGACATCGCCCTCCTCGCTGCATACACAGGGCAAGTCCTCGCCATCCGGCACGAGCTGCGTCGTGTACTCGACAGCGCCACCGCCGCGCAGATCAAGGCCACCACGACGACCCACGCGCAGGGCAGCGAGTGGAACATTGTGCTAATCTCGTGCGTCATAAATCTAGGTCTCGATCGCGTGCCGCTCGACACCAAGTTCCCCATCGGCTTCGTCGCGAACCGGACGAGCATCAACGTCGCGTTGTCCCGCGCACGAGTGGGCCGATATATCTTCGGCGGACTGCAGGTCATGGTGCAGATGCTGCTGGACAAGCATCCGGCCGCCCACCACAAGTACAGGGCTTTCTTTGAGCACCTCAAGGCGCTTAGTGAGGCGGACAATGTTGTCACAGATAAGGAGTGGCAGCATGCCATGATGACTGGCACACGACCTCCCCAAGACGCTGGTTTTGCTCGACCGAAAGAGTTTAGTTTGGGTCTCGTGCGGCCATCTAAGAGCAAGGTCAACAAGTACCGTCGCGGCGGTTGTGGTGGTAGTGGCAGTCGCGGCGTTCGTGGCGGTCGCGGTGGACGTGGTGGTCGTGGTAGTTAATGGCCGCACTCTCAAGTTTCAGGAGAAACGGTGGATAAGCGACCTTGTAACTTTAATACAGAACTTGTAGCTATCATAATAATCAAAGCTGAAGTCAAGTTAAGCATTACCTAGATTGTAGTTAAGAAAGTGGTCTGTAGAGGTTTTCAGTGTCTTCCCTAATTTACTGTCGTGTGGTGTACCTGCCTCACATCCTTAGTCCACCGTTCATCCTGCAACGTGAGAGCCAGCGCTGCACCACGACCAGCTCCTGCTCTTCCTGCCGGGGGAAAATGCAGATCTCATGTGGGCATGTCAACCAGCGTCACGTGCGAAGCACCGATGCATGCAGAAATACAATCGATTCTTGTTACTTGGTGTTTCCACGCGCAATACGCAACAGAACAGCAGCGCTCTCGTCTCTCTTTGATTTTGGTGTTCCTCGCTTAGTAGCCGTACAAGTTAATGTGCTCGTCCGTAGACTCGCGCAGTTTCTTGTTCTCCTTGATGAGCAACATCCGGATGGCCCATGCACACCCGATACTCAACAACGCAAATCCGGCAGACGCACCAAAACCGATGCCAAACCGAGGAGAATCGGTGTCAGGCCACAGATAAGCACCATAGATGTAGCCTATTTGCCCACCGACGTTGGTCATTGCCAAGACCACGGCCTTCTTCTCCTTGGTCTGGCTCAGTGTTGAAGAAGCCCAGCCGATGATGACCGAGTTGACTGAGTAGGCGCCGACGGGAAAGATGAAACAGGCCACATAACGCCCGGCCGTGTTTAGCGTGCTGGCTGCAATGACGAATCCAACAACCGCAACAGCTAATCCACCTGTGATGTGCCAGGTGCGCTCGTGCATGCGTCCGGAGCTCCATCCGGTCATGATTCCTGCGACGCCGGCGAGGAGGAAGGGCGGGCAGGTAAGTACCAGAGTGATGGTCCTGTTGAATCCGAGAGTCTTCACGACACTACTTGTAGTCAGCCTCCAGTCTTCGAACCGGGTCGAGCCTTGATCACTTACGTAGGGAAGAACGAGTTGAAGGAGCAGGCGCTCAAGTGGAAGTTCTGCATCAGGCAGAACAGCCACGTTCGCTTGTCCTTGCAAGCTTGCCTCAGACCCTCCATCATGCTGACCTTCTCGCCAGCGTCGCCAACGCGGTCGCGCTCCATGCGGTCGTGCGCCAACTGGCGCTCCTCAGGGGTCAACCAGGAGGTAGTCAGGGGAGTGTTGGGGAGCAGGAAGAAGCCAAAGATGGCAACGAATGCTGTGACAGCGCCCTCGCTGAATCATGTTAGCAACGAGCCCCCACTTCACAGGGACCGTCTTACATTATGAAAAGCCAGCGCCACCCTGCGATATTTTTCACGCCGTCCATGCCAGCAAACACACCAGCAGCGATAAGCCCAGAGAATCCAGTGGCCAGGATCTGGGCACAATATAGTAGCGCAATGCGTGTAGCAACCTCTGTCGTCTCGTCAGCACCCACTAAGCTCACAGCGTCTCACACTACGTACCCTTCCGCGTGTAGAAGATACTCAGCATATACGTCGCGCCTGGATAGAACGGCGCCTCAGTGATGCCCAGGAAGAAACGACACGCAACCAGCCCGCCGAAGTTCTGGACCAGCGCCGTGCACCCGCTCACCACCGCCCACACGAGCATCCATGAGCTCATGTACATGCCAGGCTTGATCCGCGTGATCAGCATGTTGGATGGCACCTGCATCAGCACGTAGCCGACAAATAGAATCGAGACTGTGGTATTGAATTGGACACCTGTCATGCCAAGGTCGCGTTCAAGGTTGTTCAGCCTGGCCTGGGCAATCGCATTGCGGTCGACATAATTCTGGCATCCGTTAGTATACGCATACAAATCTGCGAGGCTGCGCGGCGTCGACGAAGCCTTCTTGGCGAAGCTTCGCCGCGCTTGTCACCGCGTCGGAACGGGAGACTTACGAGGAAGTACATTGTGCACAGCGTGGGCTGCACTGCGTTAGCGACTACCACACCATGTGATCGCCGTTGGACAGCGGGCTGGGCCGTACCATCAGCCGCCAGTCGATCTTGCGCACCAGCGCGATCTCGGCGGGATCCGTCTTCGCCACGCTGCCCGTGTAGTCGACATTGCCGCCGGCGACGGGCTTGACGCTCTCAAGCTCCGTCTTCTCGTCGAAGTGGCGGGCGCCCTTCTCGCTCTCGATAACAGCCTGGGGAGCCGCAGCCATGACGTGCTAAGTGGGTACGAAAACGAAATGTAGGTCGAAGTGAAGTAAGGAAGAGGAAAATCGAGTGCAGACCAAGTGAAGTAGCAGCCTTTATCAGCAGAGTGGCCCCGAGACAAATCACCCTGGGAATGCAATGCAACCACAACCCGCGCCCACGGTGCAGTTATGTAGTACACAACTCTCCACCCGCGCGCAGATCGCGCCTCTTGGCGTCGCACCCCAGCCCGACCCCGCACGGTGCAACGGTGAAGGACCCCTGCCTCGCTCGCTTTCCCCAGACTCCCACAGGAGCGGACGTGGGGCGTGAACGAGCGCGGTGTGCATCGGGGGCAGAAATGGGGCCGTGCCAAGGCGCGGCTGGGGATCGAATGCTCGAGGGCTGGGCGGCGGGAAAGCATATCCTCGTGGGCGATGATGCCGCGGTGCAAGGGTGGCGGGGCTTTCGATTGGTGGACTGGGGTGTCGCAACAGTAAACATCTACGGAGCTATATTTGCGTGCGTAACAATGCCTCGCACAGCGTGACCGGAAGCCAAGGCCGACCGCAGCGTCATGTCCAGATCTTGTCGAACCATGTCTTCCACGCCTAATAGAAGTTTGTACAGACCTTGGGGAATTTGTACTCGACGAGGCCGCCGCGGATGGCGGGGAACACGCCCGCGTCGACGAGCGCCAGCGCATCCCACTCGAACGCATTCTCTGTTTTGAAGTTCCAGAAGAACCAGCCCTGTGTCTTTGCCTCGAAGGCCGAGATCTGCGTCTCGATGTACTTGCGCGTGTCGTCCTTGCGCGCCTGGTCCCACTTGCTCCAGTCGTTGGCGAAACTGCAGTCGCCCTGGTACGGGGCGCCCAGATGGGTGCCGTTGTATCGGGCGCCGCGCCCCAGGCCATTGAGGTACTGTGCGCAGTCGGTCATTGCGCCTGACCACTCGCCGACGAATGTCCACTTGTCGGCGCCGCCGTACGCGTCGGCCAGGTCGCATACTTTGTGGTTGTGTTGGGAGGGTTTGAGCTGGATGAGGTCGTTGTTGAAGACCTGATACTCGTGATGGTCGACAGCGACGTTTTGCGCATTGTTATCGGAGGGTGTGAGGAAGCCGTTCCACTGATTTGGGCGGATAAACCCGTCGTGCAGAATGACAGTCGTGTCGGAGGTTTCGCGGACCTGTTGGAATCCGTCTCGGTAGAACTGGCGTGTCACGTCCTCGCTGACGCTGTCGAAATACATGGCGGGCTCATTCAGCAGCTGGATGCCCACGATGACATCTTGATACTGTGGCTGTGCATACTGGGCAGAAACAGTCTTCAAGACTTGCAATGTCTGTTTGACAGTGTCCCCAGATTGCCATTTGGGGACATCAAGACGCTGACCAGAGTTGTCATAGCCGTTCTGGGAGCCGGGTGCGCCATGAAGGTCAATGACGATCTTGAGCCCCAGGCTGCGCGACCAGTCAATGGCAGCGTCTATGTACACGTTTGCACCTTCCACATAAGGCGAGCCAAATGTGTCATACGCCCAGTAGCCGATTGGGATTCGTACAATGTTGAAGCCGGCATCTCTGATTCTTCTGAAGTCTTCCCATGTTGTGAATGTATTCCAGTGAGTACGAAGCACTGCGAGAGCGGCATCATGGCCAAGCTTTTCGCCCAACTAGGTCGGTGTTAGTGATGGAAACCTCTGAGAAGCTTGTAACCTCACTGTGTACTCGTCGACGATGTCTCTCTGAGGACGGTCTTTATTGACTTTGTCGAACAAGGAAGGCGTGATCCACCTATGCAGTCTTCAGTATTGCGTACTTCAGCCGGCGATATTACGTACGGTTCAAGAACCAGCCAACCTCCAATGTTGACACCGCGGATTGTCTCGCTGCCCCAATTGAAAGCGACCTGACGTTTCTCGCTGCTTTTTGTCAATATCGTGAAGTAGAATATCAACAACCGTTGTTGTTGAGAGAATGCCGTGTGTATATAAGAAGTCCATTGTGAACGACGGCAGGCATAACCCTTCAGAGCACATGACTTACGTAGGAGCTGTGAGTGCCGCAGCGCATAGCGATAGCGCGATAGTAGCGTATCGAATGAACATGATACAAGAAGAACTGTGGCTGGTGCTATGCAAAATATCCAAAAGGTAGAGGTATTGGGCAAAGAATTGGGGCGTCGCTCCGAATAAAAGGTTGGGAATGCTCAGAGCGAAAGTAAACAATCCGAAAGTTTGCCAATGGCAGTGACAGCGATCCCTTGCAGTTGCCTTTTCTGGGGAACCCACGTGGATCCAGAGTGCCGTCCAAGCCCGCCAATGCCGAAATCAAGTGCACCGGTTGGCTGCATGCTGTATGAAGCAAGGAGTAGCACGGGAAACTTTGATTGCCCACGGAGATGGCTGGTCGCTCGGAGACACCGCTGGCACCGCATCAGTGAGTCGGCCTGCAGCATGCAAATACATGTCGTGCGTCTGCTAATACTGCCTTGTTCATATGTCCTGTAGTGACATTCTACAGTGTGTAGATCGTTGCTGTAACAAGTGCGCTGATTGATCCAGACCTCATGTTGCGACCACCATTGATTGCCCGTTGGAAGAATGTGCGCCACCATTCCTCGCTTGCCGGACAAGAATAGCCACAAAGCTTGTTCGTCGCTGCAAGCACGGCGAGAGGGACATGGTTAGTCTCCAGGGCTGACGTGAGCTTTGCAAACTGAGGGGTTGGTCAACAGGCCGGAGAGTACCGATATCACCATTTTCGCCATCCGAGTTGAGTTGTGGTGCAGACAGGAAAAGTCGTCGTACAGGAGTCCGTTTACGCGTGTTGACCCGACCAAAGGCAATGCGGCTCATAGTATTGCGTTTACCGTAACACACACACGTGAGGGCGCTACACGTTACGAACCCATGTGCTCCAATGCTTCCGTTCGCTCTGATGACGTAGCATTCGGTGATTATGACCGCTTAGGCGGTTTGTGTCCATCTCAGGAGACTGCGCAAGATTTCTGGGCCGATATGAAAGATGAAGATAGGTATCGAGGCTTGCTACCGGGAGGAATGGTAAAGTATTGACTTTAAGGTACGAGATTCAGCGACCTCGGAGTTTCGTACAACAGCACACGTGACATTACTATTGCTCAATGTGGCTAGTGTGACGGCGCTCAGAGCTGGTGAGATTGACTGAGACACGTCCATCTACTATCATCGACTTGCGCAATCTATACATCAGTTGCCAATTGCAGCTTTGCACTGCCTATGCGGTCCAGGGGCGTTTCCAAAAGATCGCCCAACACATGCGCAGAATGTCGAGCCCGCAAAGTTAAGTGCGATGACAATCGCAATGGCGATCGTGGTCGCTGTGGCGGCTGCGAGCGCCTCAAGCTTGACTGCTCTTTTGGACGAGTTGATCCTGAGGTCGATGGAGTTGCGCAGCCAGACAGACGTCTCGAAAGTCGGAAGAAGAAGACCGCGTGCATGAGTTGCCGATCACTGAAAGCGAAGTGTGACGGCGAGGTTCCCAGTTGCATGCGTTGCTTGCGCAAGCGTAGGACTTGCCAGTATCCCTCCACAGGGAGCAACGAGAATGAAGTCGACGTCCGGGTCACAAACTCGCAGATGCAAGAAGCTCAAATCACAACCACTGTGCCGGCAAGTCTAGAACCGGTGCTGCCTTCGCTCGAAAACAGCTTTGTCCTTCGCATGATCGAAGCCTTTTTCCAGCACATACACCCCATACCAGTCTACTCGTATCTACACAAAGCGTCTCTCGTCCAGCGCTTTGAACGGGGTCTGCTTGATCAAGCCCTCTTACTAGCATTGGCTGGTACAACGTGCGAACTGTTGGACATGGGCGCAGATCTCAAAGCGCAGAGTTCTGAGTGGATGACTTATGTCGAGCGGAGTGTGATGAAGGAGTTTTGCAGACCTTCGGTTATCAGAATCCAAGTCCTGGTCATGCTGATCAAGCATTGTATGCGGCAAGGTCGGCTCAGCAATGCTTTCATGCTACATGCTGTAGCCGCCAGAGGAGCCTTTGCTTTAGGACTGAACTACGAAGCGCCGAAGTTGGGATTCCTTGCTCGCGAGTCGAGACGTCGTCTGATGTGGTCGCTGTACATCATCGATACAAGGTTAGCTGGCGGAATGTCTGACTTCACGCTTTATTCTGCGTCCTCGATGCGGATTCAATTGCCCTGCCACGAGCGTAATTTCGAGTTTGATCTGCAGCAGGACGTCGAAGGCCTTGAACCAGTACCAGGAGTTGCGCTCTCTGACTCTGTAGGCTCTCTCGCCATCTACATACGACTCATGTGGTTTCGTCATCGTATTCTACAGACCACGAAAGAAGCGGTGCTCAACAGCAGGGTCAGCATCGATCATCTGACGGCTTCGATTGAGCAGCTTGGGAATGAAATGAGAAGGTTCGAAACGAGTTTGCCCCAATCGCTACAATATTCCAGGAAATCTTTGCAGCTCCGTGCCTACTCCACACGGTTGGGGCCATATCTCTTGATACACGTCTGGTTACGTCAATGCCACTGCGACTTGTATCGAATAGCCCTTACTGGTCTCAAGGAAGCACTGCCCGCTGTTCGAGTTCAACAAGTTGACCCTGTTATCGTCGAAAGCTGGCGCCGCAGATGTTTTGACAATGCTATGGCCCTTGCTAGTGTGTTCAGTCACTTTGCGACTCTCAAGAACGGATGTCCTGTTGTAGAACATGACATCATTGCATGCGCCTATCAATGTGCCCGGCTGTTACTGCACAGCACCAGTCGATACGGAGAAGCGCTCCAGATTGATCACTTTGCAGTGCAAAAAAGTGCGACACAATGCTTGGAAGCTGTGAAGACTATGCAATCTCGATCCCCAATGGGTGACATGATAGTATGTACAACCATTGAACCCGCGTACAGCACTGACTTCTTTGCAGACACGAGACCTAGCAAGACTGCTCCAGAGAGGATCATCACCAAGCCCACAATTTGCTTCTACGATAACAGACTCCCGCACCACTAGTACAACTTCGCAACTGGAAGATAGTACAGGCTCACATCATCTATTCTCACGGCACAGTGCTATTGGACAAATGCGCATCACCGATGAAGAGGCCGACCTACATCCCAGCTCAGCTCAGGTCCCTGCAGATGCTCATGAATCTGATTTAACCCAGACTACTGAGACGATACCACACGTTCCGCCTGTACAAGATACGTCCGACTTCGACTTCAGCAACGCATTTGAAGGCGCATTTGACGACCTGGACCTCAGCCTGCACAATGTGTACTGGAATCCAAGTATTTGGCTGGTCGATTCCGCAGACAACAACCATAATTTCGAAATGCCGACCTGGAACGGGTAAATTCACGCACGTTTCACAGTTTCTCAAAGAAGGAACTGTAATCGTGCTACTATCGTTTGTTGTGATATTACAGAGATGGTGAGACATAGACATCATTCGTTTGTTAAATACATGATATTGGCTAACCATTCCGTATAGTTCTAGAGACCAGCTTGATCTTCTGCATATCTATCAGTGTGTGATTCTTGTTCGAGCTTGCTACGAAGGTTATCGCTGGAGCCTGGTTCCAAGGCCTTGTACTCTACAACATCAGGAAAGTGAGAGCGTCACCTCCCAGCCCTCGACAGGCGTTCCTCCAGCTGCTCTCTTGGCGACTTCAAGTTGACTTTTGGAAAGCGATCATCCTTGGTCCAGGGAAGGAAATCCGATCCCGCCATCAACCACCTAAACATCTCACTTTGCAACATATTTGCGACTGGTGTGTACTCAGGATCTGCGGCCAGATTGTGCAGCTCGTTCGGATCGCTTTGCCGATTGTAGAGCTCGGCCGACTCATAGAGCCGGTATACGTATGTCCACTCGTTGTTGCGAATACTGATCGCCTTGCCGACCAAAGAAGTGTCTTCGTGCTGTAAGCTGGCCTTGATATCGTACGGGAATGGCGCTTGTTCTAATAGAGGCTCCTCACTGGTCAGGAAACCGCCTTCAGTATAGGCATACATCTTGTGGAAAGACTTGTGGTCGGAGATGACAGGTACTAGACTTGCACCGTTGTGTGAGAAGTGCTCCTTGACTCCAGCCAGCTCGAAGACTGTAGGCACCAGATCCACCATTTCACACATGACATTCGATACATGACCCTTAGGAAGACCACCTCCGGCAATGATCAATGGCTCATGCGTCAGACAATCTGATAGCGCTGATGGCCACTTCTCTATCAGTCCATGGTCGCCCAAATATTCACCGTGGTCTGTAAAGAACATAGTGACAGTCTCGTCCCAGAGGCTCAAATCGTCCAGCTTTTTCACAACCCGTCCAAATTGATCGTCCAATCTCGTAATCATACCATAGTAGGTTGCTTTGACCTCAGCCCACACATCTGGAGTCGCCCGAGCCGTCCCGTATCGATCCCGGATAGTCTTCATGTAGCGTGGCTCATACCCGGTCTTCATGCTGGAATCAAAGACAGGATGCTCCAACTCGGATCTGTCGTACATTGAAAAGTACGGTTCTTCGACCTGGAACGGACAATGCGGGAAGATGAGCGGCATAAACAGAACCCAGGGTTTGTCGTCTGGTGGACAGTCAAGCCACTTTAGTGCTGAGCGCACAACTGCGTCGTCGTAATCCAGCGCCTCCTTTGCGTTCCGGAGGCCTTTGTAGAACAAGCGACCCCAGATACTCTCATCGACCTCTCGACCTCCGCCGGCGAATTTAGGGACGAACTCCGGGGTTTCAAGAAATCCGTACTCGGTCACACTGAGCTCAGTCACGGTCGGCGCAAACGTGTCTCCCCTCGGTGCCAGACATGCAACGTGGTAGCCGTCTTCTTTCAGACTTCTAAACATATTCGGCTCCCATGGCTTGATCAGGTTTTCCAGGCTCCGGTGCCCGCTGACATGAGGATATGTTCCCGTGAACATGCTGCATCGGGACTGCGAGCATACTGAGGCCTGGACAAAGCAATTTGTGAACCGGGTCCCCCGTTTGGCGAAAGCATCAATGTTTGGTGTTTTGATGAAATTGTTTGAACCGGTGCATCCCAGTGAATCGTACCGTAACTGGTCTGGCATGAAGATCACGAAGTTTGGGCGCTTCTTGCCATTGTTTTTCCCGGAGTCGGTCGCCATCTTGGTATGTGTTCTCAGCGCAAGTTTGGCTGGGTTACAGTCTGGAGACGCTGCACACTATGTGTATCGATGGAAGAGTCAAGAGTCAAGGCCACACATGATGCAATTGCGTGCTACAAGGCTGTTATAACGTTTTATAGAGATTCTCGACATCTCCGAGCTGCCGTCAGTTCTTTACATCGCGGCAGTGATATGATTGGTGGTGCACCACCGAGCGCCGTCCCGAGCGCCGCCCTTGGCACGGTCCTCGGTGGTGCAGCGGAGCTCGGTGACGGGCAACCAATGACGCCTGTGCAGAAGCGAGGATAGAGTCGAATTGGCTTGTTAAGTGTCGATGTCGCAAGACGTCGACCATGTGTGCCGCTGGTTCGAGCTGATTGGGATCACTATGTATGTTATATTAAAGCCTCACAGTATGCCTCCTGTGTTCAGCACTCACACAAGGCAAATATGGTCTTTTCTCAGCTTCGTTGCTTTAACCTCAGACTCGGCCTCGGCTGCCTTCTGATTGCCGTCTCATCTTTTAACTATGGGTTCGACAACCAGGCATTTGCTACGACTCAGGCAATGGATGCCTTTGACAAGCAGTTCGGCGTGTACAATGCCAGACGCAGGACATGGGAACTCGAGCCGTACTGGTTGTCCTTGTTCAATTCTCTGAACTACATCGGATTTGCAGCCGGTATGTTATGGACTCTTGGACTACACACAAGTGATTGACAGAAGTAGGCGTTCTTATTGGTAGTCATGTCTCAAGCCGTTACGGACGAAGAGTGTGCATGTTCTCCATGAGTTGCTATGCACTGATCACGGCTACGATCTCAGTCACATCCCACAGCCGCGATCAAATCATGGCTGCACGAATTCTTAACTGTATTATCCCTTGTATCAATTCTCTAGAGTTCCGCTAACACGGTCTAGACGTTTACGTCGGCATGGAACTCGCTGTAGTACCTGCCTTCCAGTCCGAGATCGTTCCTGCATCAGCCCGCGGTTTCATCGTTGGCACCTACCAGCTATCTTTGGTCTTTGGCGGTCTCGTCATCAATGCTGTGTGCAGAGGCACCAGCGGTATCCAAGACAACCGTGCGTGGCGCATACCTCTCGGGCTCTTCTACATCGTACCAACCATCGTACTGTCGCTCATCTTCTTTACACCTGAGTCGCCGAGATGGCTGCTCAAACAAGGCCGCACCGAAGAAGCTCACGAGAACCTCAGGAAGCTCAGAGTGGGTAAATTCACAGAGGAGCAGATCGAACTGGAGTTCCGTGAGCTGCAGGCTGCGTTACAGAACGAGGTCGCTTTCGAGAAAGGCAAATTCAGCGAGGTCTTCAAGGGCGTGAATCTCAAGCGAACAACACTGGTCATTCTCGTCAACTTTTTCCAGCAAGCAACTGGGCAAGCATTCGCAAGCCAATATGGTACCATCTAGTAGGTCCCCCAAGCCGATACTGTGCGAACGAATACTAACCTACCAAAGCATCAAATCCCTCCAGACGATCAACCCGTTCAACATGAGCATGATCACGTCAGCAATCAACATCGTCTCTGTCATCGTATGCCTCCTGATCGTCGACACAGTCGGCCGACGACCCCTCCTGCTCATCGGCTCCGCAGTCCAAATGTGCGGCCTGCTCACCATGGGCGCCCTCGGAACCCCAAACACCATCACCTACTCGCTCAAGATCGGCATCGTATCCATGCTCGCCGTGATGATAGTTGGTTTCGGCCTGGGCTGGGCGCCGCTGACCTACGTCGTGACCTCCGAGCTGCCCGCGATCAAGCTGCGCGACCACACACTGCGGCTCGGCTTCTTCACCAACGTCGCAACAAAGTGAGTCGAACCCCTTCCTGCATTATGCATGGCTAACAGCACTCCCCAGCTTCGTCGTCAATTTCTCGATCCCGTACCTGCTCAACGCGCGGTACGCGAACCTGCAGTCGAAAGTCGGGTTCATCTTCGGCAGCTTCGCGTTTCTGTGCTTCGTGTTCACGTATTTCTGCATCCCGGAGTGTACGGGCAAGACGCTGGAGCAGGTCGACTATCTGTTCCACAACAACGTGCCGCTGAGGAAGTTTGGGACGGCGGATGTGCCGACGTTTGCGCAGAGGGAGAGGGGAAAGGAGGATTTTGTCGAGACCGAAAAGGTTGTTCCTGAGAAGACGGTTGTATGAGGAAGTCATATCATGTATTGGATGTGCTGCTCAGTTTCATCGCCGAGAGCTTGTGCATTATGTAGGACCTTAATCCAAGCCACCGCATCACTACATAACACACTCCTAGGCTTGTTGTACTACTCGGTTCTTCTGACTGTAGCCTCGTTGGAGATCGAAACCGGATTCATGTGTTGATCAAGTCTTGTTACTAAAATCCAGCTTTCCGTATCACACATCCAAGAGTTCATTCTCCACGATGAGAGAAGTGAGGCTATTCCTATGAAAAGGATCGCGTGAGTTCTTTAGTTTTAAGCTTCGTTGCGTCGCCATCGTGAATGCCGTCTCAGCCAGTGACACAAACATGAAGATGTTCACGAATGTTGGTGCAAGATCAGGTCTGATAGAGTAAACGAGACGAGTCAAACTCCTTGAAATGAATGAGATTAATTGAAGCTTCTCCTCATAAGGACAGCGTTATGGGTTAGATGCCAGCTAATAAACATAGAGACAAGTTCGGATTTCGAACAACAGCGGCAACACAAACGAAAGTGCTCGCTCGCTAAGTATAGTATGTACAAATAATCAACGACGACAATCACCCGATCGTCGTGTCTTCAACACATCGACCACAAAAATTCGAGACTCAACGCGACGACGATCGCTCGCCCAGGAACAGCTTCCTAAGTCCTGAGCTCCATCTGCGCTTCGGCTTCCTGTCCTGGTCCTTTGCCGCGCTCTTCATGGATCTAAAGCTGCGACTCGCCATGCGCCTTCTCGACGGTCTCAGTCTTGAATTGTCTTCGTTCTCGCTTTCCTCTGTAATGCCGAGCGCATCGGTGTTCGGTGAAGGATGGTTCTGGTAGAAGCTTGCCCAGCGCCTTGGTTCCTTCCTCGGCGAGCCGGTGCTGGTGTTTGGACGGTCTGAGAAAGGCGTGGGTGGTGAGTATGTGTAGCTGCTGTGTCTGCTGCGTGCGGATCCATAGGAGAATGGGCTTGGCCGGCCAGGTGTGCCAGCGGATGTGGATGGACGAGTACGCGTAGGTGTCTTTGGTGGTTGCAGGAAGTCATCTGCGCCCCACTGATTTGGTGAAGGGCGCCCAGATCGCTTCCTAAGAACCTGTCGCGGACGTTGTCTAAGCCATGACGTTAGCACTTGATAGCAGATGGAATACACGCGATGACATACGATCTGCCGCGCTTCTCCAGCTCGTGAAGCTGGTGCTCACTCTCCTTGAGAGTCTTCTTCAGGTCGTCGCGCTCCTTGCGCATGCCCTTTAGCTTGATCGCTTGTTCATCTCGCTGCATACGGATGCGCTCTACCTCTTTTGCCCACTCATCAAGATCCTCGGGCGATGAGCCTATACTAGCGCGGGTAGATGCTCTGCTTGGCTGGCTACGGAGGCTGTGACCAGTAGAACTTGGTATCGGACTCAAGTTGCGGTTTTTCGATGGGGTTACTGGAGCCTGATCCTTCCACTCGATGTGATCCCTGGTTCGAGAAGGTGTAGCAGGTGCACTGGGCACTGGAGAATGTTGCCACTCGTCCAATACTTCAAGATGACGGATCTGCTCTTGCAAAGTTGCCACGAGTTCCTCAAATGCTTTTTTATCCTCCCGGAGCTCACGCACTTCCTGCTCTAGTGACGCGAATGACGCTGTGAAGTCATCCTTGCTTTGTTGAAGCTCTGCAATCGTGGCGTCTTTGGCGTGCATCTCGTTGCGCAGATGACTGTTGCTACGCTTGTGCGAGTCGTCACTGGCTCGTCGCTCCATCTGCAATTGGGCATCATGACCTTTCCGGAGTTTGTTGTATGCCACGTGAAGCTCTTTGAGTCGCTTGTCATTCGATGTACTGAGCTCGTCAATGTACCTGTCCTTTTCTTGAAGTCCTTCGACCATCTTTTCTTTGCCTTTCTGGAGGGTGCTCAGTTGCTCGTCCTGCTCGTCGATTCGATGATGCAGCTCAGAATTCCGCTTGGCAAGGTCCTCGATTTCATGTTCTCTTTCGGAGAGCCTGCGCTGGTACTTCGTGTTCGAGCTTCGAGACTCCTCTAGCTTGGTCTTTGACTCTTGGACAGCATCGTCTAGTCGTTTTGCGCTCTCCTCGAGTGCGGCTTCTGTAGTAGCCATGTCCGATTCGACCTTGTGTAAAAACTCTTCTAGCCTTGCGTTTGTATCCCTGACACTGCTGAGATCATCCTCTGCTGAAGCAAGTCGTTGAAGAAGATCACTCTCGTTCGCTTCCAGCCTGGCGTTTGTCTCGCGCAGAATGTCCAGCTGCTCGTCGGCTTCAAGCCCTCGAGTGTTTTGTACGAGTCCCTCTGATACGGCAATATCGAGTCGCATCTGAGTTGCATGTAGATCGCGCTCGAGATCGTTGTTGCGTTGTGCCACGCTCGACGACTGCTCTTTGAGCTCGGCATTCGCGGTTTGTTGCTGGCTCAGCTCATTTCGAACGGTCGTGAGTTGCTGAGTTGATTTCTCTGTTTCAGACTCGAGTCCAGCAATATATGACCGTTGACGTTCAAGCTCCTCCCGGACGTCGGAAAGCTGGGTCGCAAAATCCTCATTCTGAGATTCGAGTGCCTCTAAGCTTGACTGCAAAGATGACGACTCGTTCCTCAGGCTTTCGCTCTGCGCCAAGGTCTCCGTGTGTTGCTTTTCGATCTTGAGTCGCTCTTGTCGTAGGGTTGACAACTCGTCTTCTGAGTCTGCAAGCTTTGCTCTCAGACCAGCCTTTTCGGATTCAGCTGCCTCAAAACGCGAGCGCACAGAGGTCAAGTCGTTTTCAAGATCTTGCATACGGACCGAAGCGTCTTTGAGCTGTTCACTTACACTTGAACGCTCTTGTCGCACACATTCAAGTTCCTTGACACTCTGTGCCAACTCGGCATCAATGCTTGCCTTGTCCGCTTCCAGGGTACCTAGTCGGAGAGCCAGAGTCTGATGGTCCTTCTCGAATGTGCCGCTTTCGTGCATAACACTCTGGAGCTTACCTTCCAGCTCTTTCTTATCGTGGCTCATGTCGGCTATGGCTTCGTCGGTCGTCATCAGCTTGTCGTTCAGGACCTGGCACTGTGTTTCCAGGCTAGCCAGTTGAGATTGTGTCGATGTAAGCTGCACTTCGAGGTCTTCGCGAGACGTGTTCATGTCTGCGAAGCGCCGCTCCACGTCCCGCTTATTTTCCTGCAGTTCTGAAAGCTCGGTTGTCTTTTCAGAAAGATTTGACATAAGCTCAGCGTTGCGGGACTCTACATCGCTTACAGCTGTCCGTGCTGACGACAGGTCCTTCTCCACAGCTGCACTCTGCGCCAAAGCTGCGCTAAGCTTCCCTTCAGTCTCAGTTTGCGCTTGCCGTGCCCTCATCAAATCTTGGCTGGCGACGTCGAGCTTGCTCTGTGTATCATCCTGGTGTTGCTGGAGAGCGACCAGTTCTTTCTTAGCGGTACTGAGTTGCGCTTCGGCAACGTCCTTGGCTTCTCGTAGGTTGCCCAATTCTGACTCTGCTGCGTGAAGCTTCTCTTCGGCATCGTTTTTGGCTTTGTGCAGACCACTGAGCTCTGTACGCGCCTCTTTGAGCTGTTCATCAACATCATTCTTGCTTTTCTGCAGCACTTCTAATGTCTCTTGCGCGTTGGCGAGTTTCGACGTCAGCTCTGAATTGCCTGACTTGCTCTCATTCAGGCGAGACTGGGTAACTTCGAGATCTTGCTCGAGCTTGACTATGAGATTGTCAGCCGCGGTGAGTTTTTCTTCGCTGTCACTCTTGGCCTGTCGAAGTTTCTCGATCTCGTCCTCTGAAGCGGACAGCCGGGCTGTGAGACGCTGTTCCATCTCATCCTTCTCTCGCTGCAGGACTACCAGTTGTTCGTCTACTCCAGCCAACTTCGATGTCAAGGTTGAGTTCTCTGACGAGCTCTTCGCCAGTTCTGACCGTATGCTTTCCAGTTCTTGCTCCAGTTTATCTTTGAAAGTTAAAGCCGTAGCAAGTTCTTTATCGGTGTTGAGTCTGACTTTGCGGAGTTGTTGGGCCTCGCCATCTGCGTTGGCCAGCTTGGAAATCAGTCCAGATCGTTCTGTTCCAAGCTCTTCTGTGCGCGATCGAGCTGTCAAGAGTTCCTGTTCAAGCTGCTCCTTCGAGTTCAGTGCAGCTGTGAGCTTCTCTTCGACATCAACACTGGCTTGTTGAAGAGAAGCAACGTCTTCCTCTGTGCCTGCCAGTTTGGACGCAAGTTTAGCTTTTTCTGTCTCGAGATCCTCCACACGCGATCGGGATTTTGCGAGATTGTTCTCGAGCTTAACATTGGAGTCTGCGAAGCTGCGGAGCTGCTTTTCGACGTCGGCCTTGTGTGTTCGGGTGTCATTCAGTTGCTTCTCCAAGTCGTCATTAGATTTCAGCGATTTCTCCAACTCGTTTGCGACTGCAGCCTTGCTGCGGTGAACAGCTACAAGCTCTTCTTCGGTCGTCGACAGCCTGCGATTGAGTGCGACCACTTCAGCTTCAACTGCTGTCAAACGCGACTTGGTCGCCTGCAGCTCGTTGGCAAGCTCAGTATGAGAAGTTTGTAGGGTAGATAATTCCTGCTCAGCTTCATGCTTAGCCTGCTGCATGAGATTCATGTTTTTAGAAAGCGCAGCAATCTCTGATTGACGCTCAGTTGCAGCCTTTTCAGCCTCGCTGATTTTGGTCCGTGCCGAGTCTAATTCATGGTCCAGGTGGGTGATCTGGATGTTGAGATCTCGAAGCTCAGCTTCAAGCTCTTCTTTGACGCTCGAACTCTCGGTCAGCTGCTTGTGTAAGTCTGTAATCGTAGCCTCGGACGCTTCGCCGTCTAGTTGAACGGCGTGTAGGCGTTCATCGACCTTTGCCTTTGCATTGCGGCTGTCCTTGAGCGAAAGCTCCAGCTCCGAGACGAGGGCTCTCAAAGATCTGCTCTCATCTAGCGCTGTATCAAGACCGCTTTGAAGCTCGACCTCTGACGCCTGACTCGAGCTCAAGTCCTCGTCGAGGTGGTGAAGCTTCGCCTTTAGACTTTGACTCTCGCGCTCTGCAACTTCCATTTGAGCACAAGTTTTCTCATACCGACTCTGCAGATCCGATTTCGACTGTTCGACTTCTTTCAGCAGCTGCTGAGTGTCGTCTTTAGACAACTGGGCTTGTTGCAATTCTTTCTGTAATGATGTCGTTAGACGCTCAGACGCCTGCAATAACTCCTTGAGAGCCACCACCGAGGCTTCCAGTTCACGAAGCTGCTCGTTGCTCGTTTGTAAATCAGCAGCCAGTCGAGCCTCAGCCTCAGCTTTCGCGCTGTGAGTCTCACGCAGTTCGTCTGTGAGGTCGTGCACTCGCTTTTCAGAGTTAGAAAGTTTCTCTTGAAGTTGGGTCTTGTCTGCTTCGATTGCAGTAAGCGCAGCTTGACTCTCCTCCAACTGCTTGGAAAGTTGCGCAGACGAATCTTGTGTGGACTTCAACTTGAGTTCGAGGTCCGTCCTGGATTCGATAAGCGCCTTCAGCTTGGTCTGGTGCTCGGCCTCGGTGTGCTCCAATGAACGGTTCTTGTCTTTGAAGAGCTCCAAGCTTGATTCCAGAGTGCTATGCTTCTTCCGCAGCTGCTGCAGCTCTGCAAGAAGCTGCGATTTGGCGGTCGTTTCGTGGTGCAGACTTTGTCCCAGCGCTTGGAGCTTCGCTTGGGTTTCAGTATCAGCTTGCTCTAGTTGTTCGATACGTTCCCGAGCACTTTCAAGGTCTGTCTCCAGGTTATCGTAAGATGCGTACAGCGAGTCCAGTTCAGATTGAAGCGCGTCTTTTGCGCTATTCTGGGTTTCACACTCTGCTGTCAATGCAAGGAAGTCATCGTTAAGTTTGCTCTTTGTCTCTCGGACCTCATCGAGCTCTTTCACAAGGACGCTCCGTTCCTGGGCTTCCCCATCAAGATGAGACCGCAACGTTGTGATCTCATTTTGCAAACCGACCATGGCTTCCTCTGAGATTTTCCTGTTGCTAGTGGCCTCATTGACTTGATCGCGCAGAGCAGAAATGACGTCGTCGCCTACATTGATCTTCTTTTCGTTCTCCGCAAGAGTCGATTTGTACTCCGTGATCCGTCTCTCAAGAAGCTGCACGTACTGTGAGCCTTTGGCGAGCCGTTTCTGAGTTTCCCTATGCGCCGCATCTTTCTCTGCAAGCAAACGCTGGAGGTCCTTCTCCTGCTGCTCAACCCTCTGAAGTCCTTGTTGCAGATCGCGTAGATTTGCTTCCAAGGAAGCAGTGCGGGTTTCGCGCTCATGCAAGCGAGCTTCGTTATCGTCAAGACGCTGTTCCAGGGCGGCTTTCTCCTTCTCCAGCACTTCGATGATGCCTAGCTTTTGCGTGTTGTGGTTTTCAATCTCTGCGATCTCGTTGTTTTTGGTTTGCAGCTCCCGTTCTAAGATCTTTTGAGACGCTTCCAGACTAGCCAGCTGCGCCTGTGTAGACTTTAATGTTTCTTTGACGCCTGCTCTTGATGTTTCTAGCTCAGTGATTTGGGCCTTGTGTCTACGTACTTCCTCCACCAGCTCGTCCTTTGCTGATTCCAGCAGTCGGCCATCGTCCCTGCTCTTTTTGCACTCTGCCTGTAGCGCCGCAATACGGTTGCGACAGGCTGTAAGAGCCTGGTCGGAGTCGCGCTTTGCTTTGATCAAACGGCTGTCGGACGTTCGAATCTCGGCGACAGGATTATTGCTGGGGACGAGTTCCCAGTCTGTGTCATGCCAATCGGAAGATGTTGGGCGCGTCGGGGTTCTAGGTGATTGGAGCGGGGTCTCGGAAAGGTTGGCGAGTCGAGTTGGCGGCGAAGGGGGAGGCGAAAGTGGACTTGGTTGACGTCGATGCTGTGATGACTTTGGATTCGCATCTGAAAAAACTATTAGTACGGCTTACTTCGCAAAGAGGTGTTACATACACTGCAGCGTCAGCATGGAAGCCCTTTCTAGAGCCTCTAATATTTCCTTGTTCCTGCCTTCTTCGATGCGTAACGACCTCTTCAACTCTTCGATCCTCTTTTCCGCATCTCTCCCATCAAGGTAGTGACTCTTTCTGCTCCTGACCAGGTTGCGGGCGCTTGTTGCGATCTGCTTCTCCTTCACGGATATGTTAACAGCCATGCGAAATGCCATGCGTCGTAAAGATGCCACCGACTGCTTCGCCTCGGCGCCAGCAATCTGGTGGGCCTTGAGCTCCGCACGCAGATTGTTGCGCTGATTCTTGATGTAGGATAAGTGGGCCCAATTGGTGATTGGGGTAAGCTTGTCTCCATCTTTCGAGCTTGAAGCATGATCACTTGGAGTGGAGGAGCCCTCGAGTGTGTGTGACTGCGAGCCCCAGTGGTCCAGCATGAAGCTGCTCTCCATGGAAGGCGTGGATCGCTCCATGTGTGTTGCCGCGGACGGCCGCGACCGTGACTTGGATCTATCTTGTCTATACATACTGACTGGCAATACGTTTTCCAAACCCAGGCCGACAAGTATGGTGGCAGGGCGATCCTCCTCCGGGGCATTGGAGTCGGGCGCCATGACGAGCAACACTTAGCCGCGCATGCAATAATACCTGATTTCTGTTTCGTCCAGTAGATCCGAGAATGGGGCGTGTTTGCCAATCAGGGCTGCCACGCGACAGGATCAACGGGTGGTTGGTGATGTGGATCCAGGGCCAGCCGGTGCTTGTAGGGCTGAGTGTTGACGTGTGGTGTGATGTGTGGTGAGATTACCGAAGACTCGAAAAACATTCCAGGATCGCGACGAGGTAAGAATAGCACTCAAACACAAAGGAAACGTTGGACGTTGACTAGCAATAGGACAGAACAGGACTGAAGTAACAACCGGTTACGATAAGGAAAACAGCAAAAGAGGGGTCGTAAACACGCCTGGGCACACGATCAGGGTTCTGTGTTGCTTGACGGCCGTCGTGCGGGAGGCGTGGCTGCCGTCATCGAAGGGAACTTCAACGCTCCTGTCGAACGATCAGGAGAACGACTCCGCATTCAAGACCAACATGGTCCCGGCTGTGCGCAAGCGATAGGGCCATTTCCGGGGCAAGGATGGGTCCTGTTGCTGACCCGCACTGATGCAAAAGTTCTCTCGTGATGTGGATCGAGGGTGGAGTGGTGCCCATCCGTCGGCGCTACCGCCGCCACACTGACCCGTATTGTTTTCGAGAAGGAGCTGCTGCATGCCATATTTCGCGAAGCTGCATGAGCCTGGGCCGCGTTCGAGTCTTGCGGCACATCTTCGCCTGTCAGACCTGCTGTCAGCGAGTATGCACAGTGTTGCGAAAGCTGAGCATGTCGCAGCTCTGAATCTCGGCATTGTTTACCACTGTTGCGCTAGCCGAAATCCAGATCAATGCTACGATCGTGAGATCTCCGGATACGAGGATCTAAACTTGAGATCTTGAAGCCGAAGTTTGCTTTTTGCTCGTAACAGAACAGCATCGAGGACGAGAGACGCCGTCTTTAGCCTTCTGGTTGATGGGTCGTCTACGTTCTCACTGAACTTTATTGGTCCTGTCAGCAATTCTGCTTCGGCACTCACATAAACACTGCTGTCAGGGAGACTGTCGCAATCAACGACCACACTAGGAGTCGTATCGAAAAAGAAAGAGGACCACAGAGAGACCTGGAGACACCGTGGGGTGAGAACGTCGCACGACTGTCCAGGGTGTATATGCTCACAGGGGAGGATCGTAGCTGACGACACAGCTGACGAAGTAGCACCAGTAGCGCTCAAAGCTCCCTTTCTGCTCATCAACATCACTCTTCCATAATATGCGTATTGCAACTTCGTTGTTATGTGTACCTCCCACGGACCGTTGCACCTTGTGACTGCAACAATGACGAGTGTAAACCACGACCCTTCGTAGCACAAGCCCTCACACAACCAGTTCAATTTCCAGAACATAACAAGAGAACGAGCAACACTTTACATTCTGAGGCACCGGATCCAGGAATGCCGCAAGCGCGTGCCTCTTCCATCATCATGTCTCTAGCACGGTGCAAGGATGCCGCCACGCGACTGCAAGGGCTGCGAAGATGTGGTCGCACAAGAAAAAGACACCTGAGCGAACCTGAACTGGGAATCGTGGCAGCATGGCAAGCTGGCTTCGTGGCATAATCGTGTCGTCTCCCACTTGCTGTTCCAGTCTGGAAGTGTACCGATACCGTTGTTGAACCATGGAACCAACACCGCACAAGCGACAACAGTTCCAAACCTTCACCATACTTGTCGAACATGTCGTCCTTCGCCTGCGACGGGATACAGTCCACTCACACCAGTCGACAACTGCCTCGTTACGGCGAACACTGTCGAGGCCCTTCAAAGGACAGCGACAGTCGTCTCAGCATGCGGTGAATAAAGATCAAGCAGTTGAGAAGAACCCGACAGCGAAAGCCGAGGAACCTCAAATAATCCCGACGCGGGGCAAGTCCCTTAGGAGCGCGCCCAAGTTGTCGCGCGAGGTTATGCAGAACAACCTGCATCAAGTCGAAGACTACGTGCGCCGGACGAGTGGGCGTGTGCAGTACCTGGAGGCACTCATCGAACAAGAACACTCAACTATCGGCCAAGTCACAGAGATCAAGAGGCAGCTAAAGACAGCACATAGAAATCTAGAAAAGCTGCACTTCGAGAAGTGTCCATCGTTGGGCTTTGAGGTCAACCACTGGGTCCAAGGTGCAATGCGGCTTGCGTGGCAGGCATACCGGCGAATGGTCAAACTGGAGGAGAAACTAAGAACCCTTCCAGTGAGCCTGTCAGACAGTGAAGACTGGGTTGGAGACTACGAGAAGGAGTCGCCAGCCATGATCGGAATCGAGATGGAGCCGGAGAAAAAGCCAGTCGAGGCTGATACAACAGCAGGAGCGGCAGAACCACCAGAAGTACGGCGCGTGCAGCCAGTCACATATGTTCCGACCGGTGCCCAAGGCGCTAGGTTGAGCGCACACATACCCAAGGGAATTACGATTCCTACGCAGGAGAAGCATACGGAAACATACCGAATGTCAGGCGTTGGGTCGTCAACGCAAAGACTGTCTGTGGAACCTTCGTCAATAGTGAGGCCGGCCGATGATGTGCCCATAACTAGGCCTCATCGATTGATAACTTACAACCAACCATTCGGGGACGACGGCCCATACAACGGCAACAATGACAGCGATGACTCTCTGTATGAGACTCGTCTTCGACGACAGAGAGCTGAACAACGGAAAGAATGGTCCGTCGTCGAAGAGCTCGATCCGGTTGAGGCGATCATACCAAGAGCACTAGTTGAAGCCCGGCTGCGAGAAGAAGAGGCTGAAACCGCACCTGTTCTTATCGAGCCGGACAGACAGCGACAGGGCAGCTGCGACGGATCAGTCGTGACTGACATGGTCATGAACAATGTCCTCAACGAAGACTACGTTCTACCGTATCTCCACTTCATCAAGCACCACGAACTGCGTGCGCTGAAGCAGTGGCTCGTGGAGAATCATTACGTGAAGAGGTCGGCTGTCATCAGCCGTACGGAAAAAGTGCTGCACTGTCTCGAGCTTCTGCAGACAGGATGCCGCTATGAGACGATAGCTACCATGTTTTCCAGAACACCAAGACAAGTCGAGAGCTCCTGTCACGAAGTCAAGGAAGGCCTGCTAGAGCTGCACGGCTTTACTATGATCAAAGCCCGTGATCAAGAGATGTATACGACGCTGTGGGGTCTCTGGAGGAAGTTTGGCAACCCGCAAGACCAACACCTTGCTACCTACTACTACGGCTTCGATTGGCTTGACGTCGGCAAGATTATGGTGACGCTCAACCTCTACATTGGCAGATGGCGCGAGCAGGGAAAGTTCTCGCTCGAGGGGCCCTCGCTCAACTGGGGCAAGTTCTTTGACGCAGAAGGAACAGGGAGGTTCCCAAGAATGGATCAGCCCTTGCGACTCCAGTACAGTGCCATCAGTTCCTTCGGCAACAACACCAGCGACGAGAGTGAAGAAGACGAAGATGAGGACGAGGACAAGGATAGCGACGACGACAGCTCGCTGTACGACGATGGCTCGATGAAAACAGTCTGAGAGCAAACTTTCGACAGACGACAAAACGAGCTTGCCAACATCCTCAAAACAGCAGCAACCCTTTTCTGGTGTCTTCAAACAGCCGCACGGCAGGTCACAATGCGCCAAGTCCAGCCTTGACAACAAGGATGCACATGACTCTTGCAGGCATCTCCACGTTGATGCGATCGGAAGCGCTCGTTGCTGCGATCTCAGACGAACGGTTTGCCACAGCAAGGGCATCGGTGTCGCAGCACGGCGCCTCTGTGATTGCAACACAAGGGAGTGTGGCGCACGAATTGGCTGTCGCGGGAATACGGCCGAGAATGGGTGTTTCAGGATGCTTGGCCCACCCGCACGCCCGTTCCGCGCCCTGCATACGAGCAACGCTTGGTCGCGCAGGCGCATGTGAGCGTCACCGCGGCTTGATCGAGGGCGATTGCTATCCACTCAGGCCTAATCAGGACTGAGACAGGCGCAGCAATCGCGCTTTGATTGTGGTAGTTGTGCGGTAACAAGGTACCGCAATGTTTATGCTCAAGATTGCAGGTGATCGACATTGGCCTACCGCTGTCATTGGCCTGCATTGAGCGCGGCATTCTTGCACCCTGCGCTAACCTCCCCTGAGATGCTGGTAATCTTGCACTCAATCTGCGCCTCTCCTTCACCACTGAACTTCAAAACACTCCCTTGCCGCTCCCTTGGGCACATCTTCCCCTCCTTCCTTTCTCCTTACGAGAGTCCACTCATTCACCAAAACGTCATTCATTTTTGCTGCAACTGCGCGTCTGGTCTACGTGCACCACGCTCCCTCTCTCTTTGACACTTGATACAGCTATCACCACACCCACCATGAAGTCCTATACACTTTCTTCGATCGCGCTCCTTGCGAGCGTGATCCCAACGTCATGGGCGCAAACGCACACCGCTTGCAACCCGCTCAACACGACTGGATGTCCCAACATGCAAGCTCTTGGCAGCAATGCGACCTTCTACTGGAACAAGACGGGCATTCCCACCGGCAGCAAGGTCTGGGAGAAGCAGAACCAGGGCGTGATTGACTGGTCCCAGGATGCCGGTGGAGAGGGCGCTGCGACCTTTACCATTGAGCGCTCCGGCGACTCGCCCATGGTGCAGTCCAAGTTCTACATGCTCTTCGGTCGCTTTGAGGTTATCATGAAGGCCGCCAAGGGCCAGGGCATTGTCTCGTCGGCCATCTTGCAGTCTGAGGCTCTCGACGAGATTGACTGGGAGTTCCTCGGCACCAACACCACCCACGTATTGACCAACTACTTCGGCAAGGGCAATACCACGTCGTTCGACCGCGGTCTGGAATTCAAGATGGACCCGCCCCAGGATGATTACCACAACTATACTATCGACTGGACCAAGGACCGCATTGAGTGGTGGCTCGACGACAAGCTGCTCCGCACCCTTGTGCCTGCCGACGCCCTTGACGGCAAGAACTACCCCCAGACGCCGATGAACGTGCGCATGGGTGTCTGGGCTGGCGGTGATGTCGCTAACAACGACCCTGGTGTCGTGGAGTGGGCCGGTGGTAAGACCGATTTCAAGGAGGGCCCCTTCACCATGAGGGTGAAGACCATCTATGCCCAGGACTACACCAAGGGCGCCGAGTACAGCTGGGAGGACATGGACGCCAGCGGTTCGTGGGAGAAGGTCAAGGTTATCAAGTGAGTCGAATATCTCGTCTACATGAGCATTCACTAACATCACACAGCCCCGAAGAGAAGTCCACTGTTCTCAAGGAAATCGAAGACCCCTCCGGCGTGCGCAACAACTGGAAGGCTCTGTCTCCTGGCGCCAAGAGCGGTATCATCATCGGCTCCCTCGTCGTGTTTGGTCTCCTCTGCTGCCTCATGGCCTTCTGCTGCGTCAAGCAGCGCCGCGCAGGCAGGCGGGAACACGCGGCGTTGCTGGCGGGCGAGCAGAAGGAGGCGGCCGAGCTGGAGGAGTACAAGCGACAGATGCAGAACGGCAAGTTTGGGTTCGGCAGCCACACCAACCGCGTCTAGGCCACACCTCTGGTGCATGTACCGTGCAGGCGGCGCCTGCGCCGTGTCAACGGCAGTGCTCTTCCCTCGGATCTTTGTTTCAGTAACCGGCCAACGCACTGGCGGGCTCGTTGGCGCAGGTGTGCGTAGATGTTCATGTCACTGTCACGACCGATCGTTTCCTTTCTCGTTTCCTATTGCAGCTCCGAATATACCCTTGCTTTCTTGTAGCAGACCAAGGCTATAGCTGATTATCTAGTTGGACAATACACGGCTTGATGCCCTTACACATTGCTTGAGTGTGGTTGTGGTGATGTTTGATCGACAGGGGGTGCATGCACTGCATGGTGAGACGCTGCAGGCCAGGCCTTCTTAGCTGGTACCTGGAGATCGTGCCTGAGGCATGTTCCACGGCCTTGAGCTTCATGACAGCGTTTCGTAATGCGCAGACTCGTATCTTGCTGCATCAACAAAGCTTGGCTGGACCACTTGCGTGCACACGTTATCAACAAAACTAATGCCCCAGACTCAAAGAAGCAGTCACCGTAAGTGGCCGAGCTGCCAATTCTTGAACTTGTCGACATCATCATCGGCGGAAGTTGCCGCATGCACTGCGGTTTCGTTCCGTCCTGAAAACCACCAGCTGCTGGCGATACAACTATCAAACGGTCATTCGGAGAAGATTCGGCCATGTTGTCCTTCAAGCATGTCATCTAGTTTAGGCTCTCTGGTGTTGCAGCTCTCATTGGCGCCCATGTTCGTTTTCAGCTGTCATCACATGCCAATTGGCCGAGCGGGTGATCCCCACAACCCCAGACTGCGACCGGCTCCAATCGGCAGAGCTGAGCTGCCTCGGTTCAAGCGTCGACGTCGTCGCCTTCGATTTTCGTCTACACTGGACCCTTGCAGTGCTTGGAGCAATATTCGCTACGCCAGCTCGTTGATTTCTACGTCCAGTCCACTGACATCTGCTGTACCGCTGCGCTCGCGTCCACACACCATGTCCTCAATCGCAAGATCACTCAGGCCGCTGGCCCGTGTAGCCACTGCACCTGCCCGCCGCTCCCTCCGCCCTGCTGTCACACGCGCCACTCCACAGTATGGCAGTCGTATCGCATCGTAAGAGACCAGGTCAACTAACATCCGCAGAATACGGTGCCTCTCGTCCACCGCCCCCCGCCGCGATGCCGCCGTTGACATTGCCGATATCCCACCCACTCCCATCACACATCTGTCCGAGACTGAAGCCATGATGGGCGAGGCGGTCGCCAAGTTCGCGTCCGAGGTCATCCTGCCCAAGGCACGCGAGATGGACGAGGCAGAGGCCATGGACCCCGCCGTGGTCGAGCAGCTCTTCGAGCAAGGGCTGATGGGCATTGAGATCCCCGAGGAGTACGGCGGCTCGGGCATGAACTTCACCAGCGCCATCATCGCCATTGAGGAGCTCGCACGCGTCGACCCCAGTGTGAGCGTCATGTGCGACGTGCACAACACGCTGGTCAACACCGCGGTCCTGAAATGGGGCAGCGAGGCCCTCAAGAAGAAGTACCTGCCCATGCTCGCCACCGACACCGTCGGCTCCTTCTGCCTCTCCGAGCCCGTCTCCGGCTCCGACGCCTTCGCGCTGGCCACCAAGGCCACCCGCACAGACTCCGGCTACAAGATCAGTGGCAGCAAGATGTGGATCACCAACTCCATGGAAGCCGGCTTCTTCATCGTCTTCGCCAACCTCGCCCCCGAGAAGAAGTACAAGGGCATCACCGCCTTCATCGTCGAGAAGGGCACCAAGGGCTTCAGCATCGCCAAGAAGGAGAAGAAGCTCGGCATCAAGGCGAGCAGCACCTGCGTCGTCAACTTCGACGACGTCGAGATCCCCAAGGAGAACCTGCTCGGCGAAGAGGGCCAGGGCTACAAGTACGCCATCGGCCTGCTGAACGAGGGCCGCATCGGCATCGCCGCACAGATGACCGGACTCGCACTCGGCGCCTTCGAGAACGCCGCCGGGTACTTCCCCCCCCCCCCCCTATCCCCCCCTAAACAGCTCGCTAACAGCCCCCCAGCTACGCCTGGAACGACCGCAAGCAGTTCGGCCAGCTCATCGGCGAGTTCCAGGGCATGCAGCACCAGTTCGCGCAAGCGTGGGTCGAGATCTGCGCCGCGCGCGCGCTCGTCTACAACGCGGCGCGCAAAAAGGAAGCCGGCGAGGACTTTGTCATGGACGCCGCCATGGCCAAGCTGTACGCGTCGCAGGTCGCGGGCAGGGTGTCGGGCCAGGCGGTCGAGTGGATGGGCGGCATGGGGTTTGTGCGCGAGGGGCTGGCCGAGAAGTATTTTAGGGACAGCAAGATTGGCGCGATTTACGAGGGTACGAGTAATATCCAGTTGACGACTATTGCGAAGCATTTGCAGAAGGTGTATACGAAGTAGAGGGGGGGGAAATGTAGTAGATATACTGTATACTCTGGAAATGCAGCGTCTCATCGTCAACCAGCCTTGCTCTCCGTCTTGCACTCGACACCCCCTTCACCTACTCATCTTTGACATCACTCCATGCAATAGAACCCAGAGTCACAAGCAGAACCAGCGTTCACACCATCCACCATTGCCACTCAGACCCACCAACACCCCGCGCACACCACCGTCCTCACCCAGCCCCAGCACTCCCAACTTCCGACAAACCCAACACCGCAGCCACAAATAACGCGATGTCACGACAGTGCTGTGCTTCACTCGCCCGCACTGGGTCGGCTACGTCATACCCACCCCTCCTCCAGTACCTAGTGCAGGTGAGATCTTAGGCTTACTCTGTTGTAGACGCGGATGGGGATGTGGATGTGGATGTGGGGCGCTTAGACGCGTCTACACCCCGCATGCACTACGAACTACGAACTACATACGCAACCGCTATCACGATCGGCCGCGCCGGCGAATCAGATACAGAGGTGGTGAGTGAGCAGCGTGCTGGTGTGCTGGGGGTGCGATTGTGGTCGTCAGCGCGCGGTATGGGTGTATATAGAAAGGGCGCGTGCTGCTGTGATCTGGCTGTGGACTGGCACTGCATTGCATTGCACTGCACTGACGCTGATATATCTTGACCGACCGCCTCTTTGGACAAGACGTTTTGTACTCGACTCTTACACAACCCTCCTCCCACCCCAAAACCCAGATACCACGCCCTCCACTGCTCTCATCTCCACCGCACAGCGCTTTTCTGCGCCTCCTACCCGCCCCTTGCACCTCGCACCTCTACCCGCTTCTCCACCCCCGAAGACGCAGAAGACGCAGAACATGCAGAACCCCTCCATAGTCCTCTACGCGCCCCGCACCGCGTCCCTCGAAGACCGGCCGCTGCCTGCGGCTCCAGGTCCGCACGATGTGGTTGTTCGGATAGCGTTTGTTGGGGTGTGTGGGAGTGATGTGAGACGCCCTCTCCCTCGCTGTTTGCTTTGTCTTCTCCTTCCTCTTTTTCTCACAATTCATACAATACCTCACAAGCTATGTCTTATGCAAGACCTCCCGATCCATCCCTTAATCTGATTCCTCACATCCATCCCTTATCCACCACCCTAACAACCCAAAGGTCCACTTCTGGCGCCACGGCGGCATCTCGCACCCGCTCCCCCCCAGCGGCCTGGTAATGGGCCACGAAGCGTCGGGCACGGTGTCCAGCGTCGGTGCCGCAGTGACGCGCGTCAGCGTTGGTGACGCGGTGGCGGTCGAGCCCGGGGTGCCGTGTCGCCGCTGCAAGATGTGTGTACGGGGGGAGTATCAGTTGTGTGGGGGGATGCGGTTTGCTGCTGCGCCTGGGGCGCCGGGGAAGACGAGGAAGGTGGGGGAGGCTGGCCAGACGAGTAAAGAGGGCGGGGGGGAGAAGGGCAACGAGGGCAAGGAAGAGATAGAAGGGCGGACGCCGGATACGCACGGCGCGCTGGCGAAGTACTTCGTCGTGCCCGAGGAATTGGTGTACCGGCTGGACGGCGTGGGGCTGCAGGAGGGTGTGCTCGTCGAGCCGGCGGCGGTCGCGGTGCATGCTGTGCGGCTGGGGCGCGTGGAGGCCGGGGAGACGGTTGTTATGTGAGTCCTCGCATTTCTTTACGCTGTTTGAGATGCGCTCTTTGAGATGCGTCTTATTTGAGCAGCACTGTTTAAGCTCCGCTGTTGAGCACTGCTGACGCACACAGCATGGGCTCCGGCACCGTGGGCCTGCTCTGCGCCGCCGTGGCGCGGCAGTTCGGCGCGCACCGCGTGCTGCTCGTGGATATCCTGGAGCGGAAACTAGAATTCGCGCGGGGCTGGCTGGGAGTCGAGACGTTCTGCGCCGACACCACCACGGCGCCCGAAGAAGACGCGGAGCGGATGCTGGCGCAGTTCGGGCTGAGCGAGGGCGACATCGACACGGTGATCGAGGCATCGGGGGCGGCGTCGAGTGTGAACATGGGCGTGCGCTTGGTCCGGCCGGGGGGCAAGTATGTGCAGGTCGGGGTTGGGCAGGCGAAGATCGAGTTCCCGATTGTGGCGGTCAGCAACAAGGAGTTGTTGTTCCGCGGGTGTTTTCGCTACGGGCCGGGCGATTTCGAGTTGGCGCTGAAGTTCATCGCGAAGGGGCTGATTCAGGTCAAGCCGTTGATTAGCTCGGTGACGCCGTTTGAGGATGCGACGGAGGCGTGGGAGAAGACGGCGAGAGGGGAGGGGATCAAGAACTTGATTGAGGGCGTCAAGGACTGAGTGGAGGTCTGTCGCCGTAATGAATCGTCTTCCTGGTATAACATCCCTTCACCCATTTCTTGTAGCCATCTCACGTCCCTGTGCGCCGATGGTCTTCAGTCTATGCACCCTCATCCGCCTCCTCCCTGTCGCTCTCCTCTTCACTCTCCTCCCCCTCCTCTTCGTCATCCTCAACAGCCCACGTCCCCGGCCGATACGCCCCCGACCCGCGATCATATGCGCTCTGGTCACGTGCGAACTCCGCGCTCGTGTACCATCGGTGAGCGCGCTTGTAGGAGGGGTAGGCGGGCGGGGAGTCGGAGGGATCGGCGAGGGAGGAGGCAGTGTTGATGAAGGTGACGCGCTCGTCATGGCGAGCGGTCTTGGAGGGAGGCGGTGGGGAGGGAGAGGTTCGTCGGCGCTTGAGGGAGGATGGTGGGGGCGGGCGCTGGAGGGCGGGTGGTGGTGGTGGTGGTGGTGGTGGTGTTGAGGGCGCAGGCTGGGTGGCTCCAGGTGGCGAGGGAGGAGGGGATGGAGGAGGGTTGAGGGTGTTGGAGGATCCATCTGTGTCGGCTCGGCGGGGCAGGTCGTCTCGAGTCGTCGTGTCCCAGCGCGAGCGAGGTGGTGTTGAATGTGGACGGTCTGTCGGCCTCGGAGTGATTCCTGGGCCTTGAGCTTTCGAGTTAGATCCACGTTGCGTCTTGTCATCCGTTGTGCTGGTGTCTCCAACTCTTCACTGCTGTCTGCTACACCGTCCACCTCGAGTTGAGGTGACGTGCCATCGTTGGTGTAGCTGCATACCTTCGTTCACCCCCTCGACGCCCGACCTGACTGCCTCCACGGGCTGCTCGTCGTCCCCGAGGTACTTGTACCCCGGGATCCGACTGCACTCACCCTCCACCTCCCGCCACAGCGCAAAAGCCAGACCCAGCTGGAGTCCCCAGCGCCTCTCGTCATCGCCCTCACCGCGGAGCCTTCTCAGCAGCTCCAAGTCGCGGTGCAAGTCAATCTTTGCAAGCCGCCACCGGCGCGTGAGCGACCGGTGGACGGCTCGCTCCTGCCTCCCACTCAGGTCATCCCCAGCCATTGCCTTGGCCCTGGACGCGAAGATGCCGCCGCGACGCTCCAGCGCGGCTTGGATCTCGACGATGCCCGCGACGTGCTGGCGGACCACGCACTTTGGACAGTCGAGCATCCGAGCCGCGGTCAGCTTCTGGCGCAGGCTGGGGAATACTGGGTGGTTGCAGGTCTTCTGCATGGTGAGATCTTAGACGGTTGGGCTGTTTGGGAGGAAGTCGGGAATAGTGACAATTGTAAAGAGGGTATAGAAGACGACTTGAAGAGTTTGTACTTGTAACGAAAGAATTTTGACGAGAAGCAAACGGTTTTGTGGGTTCTGAAGTGAAGGTGAAAGTGAAAGCTTTCCATCGGCATGTTGCATTCACCGTCGAATTCGTTTGCTGTCAGACACGGGCGTGATCTAAAGCAAAATCGTAGCATGTGATCGATTCCGAAGAGATAGCTTCATCATCATGGCGGCTGAAGAGAATATACCTACCTTACATGTCACTGTGTGGTGTTGAGGCTTGGCAGTGTGGTCTGGCATCCGGAATTCGTTCTGATACACAAACTCACATTCGGAGTGAATGGTTTCCAGAGTATATATCAGGAGAAATTAATGACTTCCAGCCTACATGTGGTGATCTGGGTGCCTGAACCAGTCATGATGAAGTAAATTCCGCATGGCATCGAGTTGCTTGTTTGTCGCCTCCAACTGTCTTTAGGGTCTGCTCGGATGACCTTGAAGGAAACCATCCTAAACATAGTTACTACCCTAGGCACGTCCGACCAGCCGTCTGGTGAAACGTAGCATGGGCTCTTCCTCGTTAAGTATACGCTTAAACGGAGGTCCTTATGTGTGGTTCTGCGCTGATTGGCTGAGATCAAGATAGTTTGGATCATACAAAGTGCGGGCCGAATGAGTCTGGGTAGAGAATAACGAGGGAAACATCCCAAAGTTAGTATGTCATACATCGCGTTATCACGACGCTCGTTGTGGAGTGCAGATCGGAGTTTGGGCAGAGACCGATGACGTTTTCCTTAGCGCAATCGTGAGCTTCGAGCTTGCCGGCGCAACCTCTCGCTCTCTGCTGACGCCTCCAATTGCACCCCACTCACCCATCCATCTGGTCAATTCGTCTCGAGATGTTCGCCAGACAGTTTTTCCGCCCGGCTAAGCAGCTGCAGCAGGTGCGCGCGTCTCCCGACATACACCATACCCATCGGCTGACAAACCACAGCAAGTCCGCCGTTATGCGTCTGAGGCGCCCAAGTCCGGCAACAAGAGCGTCCTCTACACTGGTCTCGGCGCGGCCGGCCTGGCCGGTGCCTACCTCTACATGAGGGGCGGCGAGGTGCCCTCGGCTGCCGATGTGAAGAAGATCCCCGCGCTGAAGGGCGAGGCCAAGAAGGCCTTCACTGGCGGCGACCAGGGCTTCCTGTCGCTGGTGCTCGAGAAGTCGGAGATCATCAACCACAACACCAAGAAGCTCACCTTCAAGCTGCCCGAGGAGGACCAGGAGAGCGGCCTGCCCGTGGCCTGTACGTCGAGCGCGCATCCCCATCGACCCTGCTGACAGAACTAGCTGCCGTCATCACCAAGTACAAGGGCCCGGAGATGCAGAAGCCCGTCATCCGCCCATACACGCCCATCAGCGACGTGGACCAGCAGGGCACCGTCGACTTCATCATCAAGAAGTACAACGGCGGCCCCATGTCCGAGCACATGCACAACCTCGAGCCCGGGCAGCGACTTGATATCAAGGGCCCTATCCCAAAATATCAGTGGAGCGAAAATAAACAGTCGGTACCCTTTTCTCTTAGTCCCCACTTGCTGACAAGTTTAGTGAACACATTGCCCTGATCGCCGGCGGCACTGGCATCACGCCCATGTGGCAGACCGCACGCGCCATCTTCAAGAACCCCAACGATAAGACCAAGGTCACCCTGATCTTCGGCAACCTGACCGAGGAGGACATCCTGATGAAGCGCGAGTGGGAGGAGCTCGAGAACACGTACCCGCAGCGCTTCCGCGCCTTCTACGTGCTCGACAACCCGCCCGAGTCGTGGCAGGGCGGCAAGGGCCACATCACCAAGGAGCTGCTGAAGACGGTGCTGCCGGAGCCCAAGCAGGGCGACAAGGTCAAGATCTTCGTCTGCGGGCCTCCGGGCCTGTACAAGGCCATCAGCGGCGGCAAGAAGAGCCCCCAGGACCAGGGCGAGCTGGACGGCTACCTGAAGGAGCTCGGCTACAGCAAGGACCAGGTGTACAAGTTCTAGATGGGCGTGTTGTAGGATATGTCGGTAGATATAGATTCCCCGTCAGCAAGCGACCGGTTCTCGATATACATCGAGGGTGTAAAACGTGACCACGTGTGTTGAGCTCACTGTACTGGGTTACAACATGAAGCACCGTCAACCGTATCACAGCACGCTGCAATCACTTGTAGCCGCCCATAAACGTCCCACAGCGATCCATCCAGCGCCGATAGACTCTCTGACACGCACTCTGCACACGCCCTCGCAAACCACGCCGCGAACCTCAACCCGCGAAAATATCTCGCATTACCGCAGTCATTAAATATAGAAAGAGAACCCCGTGGTATCAGCCCGCCCAAACGCCCAACGAACCCATCTCGCCCCGACTCAAACACCGCACAGTCTGCGTCTGCGCTCACCCTCGCCCTCAAACACAGCCCCCGCTTCTCCCACCTACTACCCTCTTGCCGTGCTCACTTATACTGCGGGACCCCACTCGGCGGCTGCCCTCCCTGTCCCTGTCCCTGTCCGCCTCCATTACCGCCATGCATCATCACCGCCGGCCCCTGAGCGTGCCCAGAGCCACCGCTGCTCATCTGCTGCTGCACGTCCGGGCGGTACTTGACGTCCTGCCAGAAATTGCACACGTGGCAGCCGACTTCGTGGTAGGGTTTTAGCGAGAAGGGGATTAGGGGGACGAAGCAGAATGTGAACCATTGCCTGTGTGGCGTTAGTGTTGCGGTTACATAGGCTGTATATAGCGTGGGGAGGGGGGAAGGCGGAGGACTAGGGGGGAGGCGAGAGTTAAGGGGGGAAGGTGGAGGTGCAAGTGTAGGTGTAGGTGTAGGTGTAGGGAGTGTACACGCACCACCGCTTCATCACCCGTCCAGAGAAGTTGCCGCAGTTCTGGCATTGCACGGTGATGTGCTCGGCGCCTGCGAGCTGCGACTGGAACGCTGCGGCGTGTTAGCATGCGTGTTTGTGGTTTGTGTCTTGTCGCTTGCGCGCGAGCGAGTCGCTTGCGAGCGGCGCAAAGAAGGGGGGCGTACTGTGCGTGCCGCACGTGAAGAAGAAGAACATGTTGTGCGGTTTCTAGCTTGAGCTGGAGCTTGAGCTGGAGCTGGAGCTGGCGTCGCGGGAGGCTAGTGGTGTAGCGCGGGTGCGGGTTTGTGGCGGTCGATCGCGGAGGCTGCGGAGGTGGAGCGGTGGAGCGATGCGACGCAAGGGAACGCGAGGCCGGGAGAGCTGGGGGTGGGCGTCGCACGGAGCGCGTTTGATTGTAGAGTAGTATTCAGGGCGCAAAAGCTGGGATACGAGGGATTCGGGGGGAGCAAGGCCAGGCTACTGCTGGGTTTAATGAGGGAGCTCGTGGGTGTTGGCGCCGAGCTGGGCGCGTCATCGCCGCGGGCTCAGCCACACTCGCGGCGGGTGCTGGGTGGCGCGCAATGTGCCTGTACTTCGTACGTACGTGGAATGCATCACGCGTTGGGTTGAAGATTGTGGGGTGGGCATGGTGGGTGATTGATGAATGTTTGTATTTGCGCCCTTTCTGGCTGGCTATGGGCTTCCAATGCCTCAAAGAAACTCGCGATCGTCGTGTCCAGACAAGAAGCACTGCTTTCGGGCTCCGTGACCTCCCCGCATTAGATGCCGCTGAATAACCGGGTACCGTAGCGTACACTCAACCGCTGATCATCAACAAAAGTTACAATCCCGATCACGTGCCGGCTTGTGACAATGATCAGGACGTCTCTAAACATAGGTCTGGGTAGGAAGTCCCAGAGTTCCAGCAGTGCAGCACGTGAAATTCAATGCTAACTCCAGACGGCCAACGGTACTCAAATCCAGACGGTGCTTACTGGGTCTTGAACAGGAGGATGGCGCAGTGTCCGAGGTAGAAGTAGATGAAGTGCTTGGTTTCTGTAACATATCAGCCTGGACGCGTCGTGGACGGCGTTGAGCCTACCATGAGTGACGAAACTGCCAAAGTTCCTGCCCACGATGCAATGCCATGTTGCGCCCTTGCGGTTGTCGAACTGTCCATAAGTTAGTTGGTACTTACAGCAGCACTCGGCTACTCACCTCCTTCTTGATGTACTGCGCAATGTCCTTTCACAGTCAGTACACTCAAGCTATACAGCATCAGATAGGCCGGAGCTACCTTCTCGATGGTGAACTGCTCCATTGCTTGCTGTGCTACCCTGCTGTCAGCGTTTCAATCAGCCGCACTGGAGTGGAGCTCACTCACCAACTTCGATCGCCTCATTCTGCATCTCCTCACTCTACGTTCTGTCAGCAGCGCCACATGCTGGTAACACAGCGTTCCTACCATGTCCGCAGACTTGATCTGCGCTGTTCAATATCAGCTCGTGCTCAAGTGGCAGCGGAGTGCATATAGGGGGCCTTACCCTCTTGCTTCTGAACATCCGACTTCTCGCTGGCCATGTTGACGGGTGGAGAGTAGTACGTGTGTCGGCTTAGCTATGTTGACGGAAAATGGTGGCGGTAAGCAAGCGCTAAGGTAAAGCGTTGTGTTTGTTGTAGTGCTCGGTGTTGGTGTTGTAGGCCAAACAGCAGGAGCCACCAGCCGATCGGTTCGGCCTATCGCAGCGCTAGCGCGCAATGACGCTGAAATTTCTCGAAATGTTCTGCAGGCGCTTTCCTGCTACACTCACTCGCTTCTGTGCTTCGCTTGAGCAGGCCACAGCTCTTTTTGCACTGCAGCATGGAGTCGTCGCGTATCTTTGTGCGCGGGCTGCCGCCCAAGTTCTCCGAGGACGACGTGCGCAAGCACTTTGCCAAATTCCCCGTCACAGACGTCAAGTTCTTCCCGCACCGCCGCATCGGCTATGTTGGCTACAAGACGCCCGAGGACGCCGCAAAGGCCGTCAAGTACTTCAACAAGACCTTCATCAGGATGACCAAGATCTTCGTCGAGATTGCGCGTCCAGTATGCTTGCCACTGCCATGCCATTGAGATTAAGCTAATATAACTACAGATTGCAGATGAGCTGTTGCCAAAGTCACGGAGACAGATCAGGGACGAGCAGGCGGCACCCAAGACCGACGACTACTTCCCGCCGCCAAAAGAGGACAATGCTCTGAAGCGCAAGCGAGAGGCGGCCGAGCAGGACCCTAAGCTGAAGGAATTCCTCGAGGTCTACCAGCCGCCTTCGAAAACGAACATCTGGACCGAGGGCGATGCGCAGGTTGCTGCAGGCAATGCGACGGCGGTCGCGGAGCCGGTACAAGATGTTGTCGTGCCCGCTGACGAGAGTGACGACGAGTATCAAGTCATATCAAAGAAGCCAAAGGTCGTCGAGGCGCCGCAGGAAGTCACCGAAGAGGCATCACCCGTCGTCGCGGCGGCGCCTGTAAATCATGTCGAGGCTGCTACGTCCGAGATTGCAGACGTCGCCATGCCGGACGTGCCAGACTCTGCTCCGGCTGATCAACCACCAACGACTGACGATGACTGGCTTCGATCACGAACAAATCGACTGCTGGATCTTGTTGAAGACGATGACGTTCCTGTCGCCCCGGCATCAGCACCGACCAAGCCTGCTGCCGAGAAGCGCGATTCACCAGTAGCTCCCACTCATCAACCTGACGTGCCAACACAACCCGTTGTCGAGCCTGCTACTGACTCGGCGCCGTCCGAAGAGGACAAAATCCGAGAGACTGGCCGTCTTTACCTTCGCAACCTCCACTTCGATGTTACTGAAGAAGACATCAGGAACCAGTTCTCACAATTCGGCTCGCTTGATGAAGTAAGTCTTACCCATCTTTTATTCCCCACTCGCTTTAGGATGAATGTCAAGATAGGGACAACTGATGCTACGGCATTTGAAGTGACCTTGTGAGAGTATTTTAGTAGATGTCTCTCTGATCTGATACTGGCGAATTCTGTCTTGCTACACGACACAACGTCTGCGCGAACAATCACTGACGAATTCAGATACATGTACCGCTGAAGAAGATCGACGGTAAAGGCAAGGGCTTCGCCTTTGTGCAGTTCAAAGACCCAGAGGATGCTGTCAAGGCTTTTGACGAGAGCGATGGCACCATCTTCCAGGGAAGGCTGCTGCATATCATCTCAGCGAAGGCGAAGAAAGACACCAAACTTGACGAGTTTGAGATTTCCAAGTTGCCACTGAAGAAGCAGAAGGAGATCCGCCGAAAGCAAGATGTTGTCAAGGCTACGTTCAACTGGAACTCCCTCTATCTCAATGCCGATGCCGTCATGTCTACTCTGGCAAGCCGCATGGGCATCAGCAAAGCAGAGCTGCTGGATCCCACATCTTCGGACGCCGCTGTCAAACAGGCCCACGCCGAAACCCACATCATCCAAGAGACCAAGAACTATTTCGCTCAACACGGTGTCGATCTTGAAGCCTTCAAGACCAGTGCCAAGGGTGACACCGCAGTCTTGGTGAAGAACATCCCACACTCTGTGACGCCCGACGAACTGCGCAAGACATTCGAAGAGCATGGCAAGGTCACCAAGTTCCTTATGCCTCCGACAGGCATGACCGCTATTGCTGAGTTCTCGAATGCCGCCGAGGCGAAGACTGCATTCATGGCCCTGTCTTATCGTAAGATGAAGGACTCCATCCTGTACCTTGAGAAGGCGCCTAAAGACCTGTTCAAGGAGGGCTTCGTGGCGCCTTCGGTTCAAGCCGTAACTGGCGACAAGACAGATGCCAAGCTCAGCGCAACAGATCTGCTTGAAGAGGCGCCTGAACCCGATGCGTCAAACACCGCCACCCTCTACGTCCGCAACCTCAACTTCTCCACGACAACCGACCGTCTCACTGAGACTTTCAAGCCTTTGTCTGGCTTCCGTAGCGCCAGGGTGAAGACGAAGATTGACCCGAAGCGAGGCGTGTTGTCGATGGGTTTTGGGTTTGTTGAATTCGACACCCCTGAAGCGGCGGCCGCAGCGCAGCAAACTTTGGACGGCCGCGATCTGGAAGGCCACAAGCTGCAGATCAAGGCATCCCACAAGGGCGCAGACGCCGCCGAGGAGCGTCGCAAAGATGACGCTTCGAAGAAGGCGGCGAGCACCAAGATTCTTATTAAGAATTTGCCCTTTGAAGCTAGCAAGAAGGAGGTCCGCGCCTTGTTCACCCCTTACGGCCAGCTTCGGTCCGTTAGGGTGCCCAAGAAGTTCGATTCGTCTTCACGTGGTTTCGGTTTCGCTGAATTCACAACCAAACGCGATGCTGTCAATGCTATGAACGCCTTGAAGAACACCCATCTACTCGGTCGACGACTGGTTCTTGCATTTGCTGAGACCGAGTCGGACGATCCTGAGAAGGAACTGGAGAAGATGCAGCAGAAGATGGGGGCACAAGCCAACAAGGTCGCCCTGCAGAAGCTCACCGCAGGCGGCCGGCAGAAGTTTAACGTTGCAGGCAACGACGAGCTAGATGAATGAGCGTAGAGCGCGTGCGTATTTGGACTGGTAAATTGCAAACTCTGCGCGTCACTGCCAGGCAGTGCCGTCCCTAACGGCATCCCTTACCTCATCGGCCTAAAAGACGTGGCCCGCCCTTCGCAAATGACCCCGCGGTGCACTAGAAGCGGGCCAGGTCACACCTTGCACACAGCTTCTACATGTAAGTCACCGCAACGTTAGCCGCGACCGGATTCACTCACAGAGACCTGGATCAATGGGCATGGCCACCACACTGGGTCTCAGTCACTGAGACACAACGAGCAAGGCAGCCACAGACGAGATGCTTGTCGATCATACGAACTCGACTCACAAATCTGTTGTTGACCACTGACATTCATTCTTGCTCAAAGCATTCCAAGCCGAGTTCTCCCTCGCACACATCCAATCAGATGACGGTTGATCAGTCGGCAATTACCCGATGCCCTTGCTCCCACTGCTAACCAGGCAATATTTACCATTCCAACAGACTAAGGAATCGCGAAGAGTGTAATTACTTAGGCAACAAGCGAAATGGCGATAGGTGGGCGAGAATGGTGTCCGTAGGTAGCGTGTTAGCCTAATCTTATGCTCGTCGGGATGCTACCTTGGTGACCGATCTTGCATCCACTTCAAGTATAGCCGAGTCCTATCGTACCTGTCAGACGCCTCCCCTTGGGTGCACCGCAAGTCCAGTTCCTTCTGCCAAGCGGCCCTCTCCTCTGAGGGTTGGTCGTTGGGGCACCCTCTTATATCATCGATCAGTGTCTGCATACCTTTGCCACATACTCGAACCGCATTCTCTTATTTCTCTTTTACAATCCAGTCACTCATTGCTCCAACTGCCTAACGTTCCTTCCGTTTCTGCCTGAAGTTGCAAAAATTATCATTCTTACCCTTAATTCACTCCATTCTTTAGACTCTTCACATACCAAACATCACTATGGAACTGCAACACCACCAATCTGGTGTACTACCTGTTAACGGCTCAGCACTGAACACACCAGTGATTGGAACACCACTAGACGGCTCATCATCACAGCATCGCGGCGTCCTTCAGGAACGATCCGCCAACTGGCCACTCGAGAACACAGCCTCACCACTCTCAGGAGCACAACACCCACCGCTCAAACTGTCTCGAAGTCAAAGCCCTATCGAAAATGCTTACCCGCAGCAGGCCACCGCCGCGGGGAACTACTACACCGGCAGCTTACATGCTCAGCACATGGGCTTGGCAGGATGTGGAGTAGAGAGGTCTGAGAAGCAAATCGCCCGAGAGATCAAGCGGCTGTATGCACTACTAGACCGATCAGACAAATACCAAAAATACAGAGAAAAACAGCCCGTTTTAACGATACGAGAATTCATTGAGAGGGAGGAAAGAGAAGCAAAGATGAAGATCGACAAGGACAACAAAAGCCCGGAAAAGAGCGTTTGGCCCGAGTTTTTGGAACTCGCATTCTGGAGAGGTGAGTGCATGGCCTAGACTCGTCTGGAGTTTTTGAATGCTTGGGGCTGACGAGAAACGACAGCCCTGATCAGATGGCCACCCATGGGTCGCAAGAAGTTTATGCTTGATGGTGCCCTCCGCGGCCGCAATGAACTCATTCAGGATTCGATATGCAAGGATACGGGAATCAGGCGAGACCGCAAACAAGTATCGAGCCATCTCCAAGTGCTCAAGCAGCATCTTAAAGATCAACCTGGTGGTAAGTACCCCGGCCGTCGTTTTGTTCGAGCATGTCAGTCCCCAGAAATATGTGGAGCTTTGTCGTTGCTAGGGATTGCCTGACTCGCGGAAGAGGCTGACACACCACGCGACAGTGCTTGTATATATGGCAACAAAAGACGAAGACAAGAAACGCCACCGGGGGAGGGATGCTGCGAACTCGTATCACCTGTCCCACTTGGGCGGACGCCACCATCCGCAGCAGCGCGTGGGCAGCGGCTCCAAATACGACTACAACGCTTCTGCACCCTTCTGGAGCAGCATTGGCTCGATGCACTCGTCCCTGGGTCTGGGCTTGAACGGTGTATCTGGCATCGCGCCTTACACAGTGACCGACTTCACAATGCTGGTCGAGGATTCCGATCAACCCGTGCACGACTTCACGCAGCTTTCGGGAGACGGAAGACAACAAGACCTGCATGTTACCGATACTTCGATGTGGAACCGGCAGTACCCTGAATTCGCATTTCTCCAGAAGCAGGCTGATGAGTGGACTAAGAAGCACCAAAAGGTCCTGGTGTGCGACGCGTCTATAAAAGTCATGACTGAAACACGGCCGAATGCGCACCTCTCTATCGCTTTTGATCTGCACTCTCAGCGGGATCTTCGACCTTTTGAGTCCTTGGTCTGCACCACTCGGTTTTACGATGATGGGAAGATGGATACCGATCCACAATTCGATGGGCCGCACCATCACGATCTCAAAGAACACCGCACGTCGTGCGAATACACTGCTGACCCACACAGTAGCAGCGGCCGTTTACGCCTGGCATTCGGCTCGAGATTCTGGGTCAACAGGATGTCAAAGTATCAGAGCCTGCGGCACAAAGACGAAAATCTTGTCAGTCGCTCCTTGATGAGACTCACGGCAACACAAGACGTGTACGGCGTCAACCCTAGCGGCGCCGCAGAATGCGTCCTCACAATCCTCTGGCGATTCCGCCAAACCCGCGACTCCGCCGAAGTAGGCGTAATGAAATGGCGCGCCGTATCCTTCGGCAACCCCCAAACCAGTCTGAAGCAGGAGTGGGCCAAGCAAGAAAGCATCGACGACATCAGCGACGAGCTCCTCGAAATCGCAACCACCCAGCCCACACACTCCAACCCGCTCTACCACCCCCTCGCCTACGCAGTCCAACCCTACCAAACCCAGCCCCCGCAACTCCACATCGACACCCTCACAGCCTGGCCCTGCACCGCGCCCGACCTCGCCACCCCGTCGGCCTCCGCCGCCCCCAGCACCGCAACCGACCACTCCTTCGCCTCGCTCCCCAACCTCTCCCACTCCCAGGACACCGCCTCGGGCTTCGACGCAAACGACTTCGACTTCACCGGCGGCCGCATCGACATCAGCGGCGCCTTCTCGCCCGCCATCATGGCGCAGTACGAAACCTACTCGCAGCCCAGCGACCTCGGCGGCCTGAACGCCCTCGCGGGGATGGACCACCAGTCGCTGCTCGACATGGGGCTCAGCGCACACGACATCGCGAGTATCGGCGTCACGCCTGTACTCGACCCCTCGCTGTCTGCGCTGGGTGTCGCGGACCCCGCCCCCGGCCAGCCCTGCTACAGCACCAAGCCGCTGCCCGCGTGGGCCCACAGCAACGCCGCCCTGATCAGCTCGCTGGAGTCCCAGGCCGAGAGCGCCGCGTACGTGTCGCCGTGGTCCGGGCGGCACGCGCAGCACCAGCAGCAGCATTCGCACCAGCACAACCAGCACTCGCACAACCAGCACTCGCATACCCAACACCAGCACCAGCATCACAATCAACACCAGCACCACAGCCAACAAAACCACCACACCACGCACCTCTCCCACCTCCCCACCTACCCCGACGACCTCCTCCCCAACCCCCCCTCACTACCCCCCAACCTCTGGAACCTCGCGAGCCCGTTCCACGAGGACACGAGCTCGGGCGCCGCGCACCTGGGCAGCCTGCTGTCTTTGTCGGGCCACGGGACCGGGCTGGGCGTGAACGGGATGGAGCGCAAGGATAGCATGCAGGCGGGGTTGGGCGTGGGGGTGAGCAGTGTGGGGTTGGGAGTGTTGGATTTGATTGAGCGGGATCAGAGGGCGAGGGGGGTACTAGGGTGAGATGGGGTGTGTGTGCTACGCCGGCTACGTGGGCTATGCGGGCTGTGGTGTCTGGGTTTGGGTGGGGAGCGAGACGACGGATATGACTACGATGTTATGACATAAGACTTACGGTCGATACTACTACCATTCTAATGTAATGCTTATAATCCACCACTTCTCGATTCACGCATGGATATTCACTTGAAAGCCGGGACGAGCTACAGACGTACGATGGTGTATTCATTGGCGTCTCTAGCTGCGATTGATACCGCGGCATCGCCAAGACAAATTTTAAACAGCAAAGGTATCTAAGCGTGCAGTCTGACACCGAGCACATCATGCGTTCAGTTTCCATGCCCGAGTAAGCAGTCGTAAGCGAATCCTCCTCATGATCACGCTGTGCCAGCTTAGTCTAAACACAGGAACCGCAAGCTCGGCAAAAGTGGCCTTGATTATCGCCGTGGCCAAGAAGAGGTGCAACTCTCCTCCGGTGAAGGCGATGTCACCAAGGCATGCTCGGTCCGAAAGATGAGGCATTTTTCTGATCGTCAGATGCCCACTCATGACGATGTTGGGCGTAGTACAGATGGGGGCGTGGTGGTCGAGTCGCGGGGTAGGTGTGTCCGTGATGTAGGTCTCGAGCGATCTCCACGTCATGGCGTACCGTTGGATAGAAGAAGACTTTGGTGTTGTACAATCGCCGTCGCGGCAGCTGAACTCGGTCCGTCAGCGTGTGGACCTGTGTATCGCGGGGTGGGCCGCTCAGAACTCGAGTTCAGCTGCACACGATAAGCGTTATTTCATTAAGCTGTTACCACTCAAATTCACCGTTGGCTTTGTGGAACAGATATCTGATTGGTCAGCGGATATTCTTCACAAAGGGCGTTGTGTGACTTACTCCTTCTTGTTCGTGGTCAAGATACCGTCCTTCAAAGTGCACTTCCACTTGTTCTTGACGCGCTGCACCTTATCATAGGTACACAGCATATAATCTACCATGTCATCATCGCTGTTATCCCCGTCGTTCAGATCATCTTCAGGGTCATCAAGATCAGAGTTGATAGCATCGTCCGGGTCTTCTTCGCCAGGTTTAATATCATCATCGGGACCATCAAACATCCCGGGCACTGACGCACTCGGCGCCGTTGACGACGATGCTTCAGCCTGCTTAGCCTGGAGTACCTTGACCGCCGCTCTCCGCTTCTTGCCCTTTGGCAGCGAGTCGAGTGGTACCATGAGTCCACTGTCCTGTTGCATTGCCATGGCATCGACACGAGCGCGCATAAACTCGTCAGCGGCGGTACGACCCTCTTCCGTCTCTGCGGCCCTCCGTGCGGCGAGGAACGCCTTCCAGTCTTCCAGGCCTTCTCCGGCACCATCTGTTTGTGAGTTGTAGAGGTTGCCGTTATTCTGCTGTTGTTGCTGCTGCTGCTGCTGCTGTTGTGGTGGGCGCTGCTGGGGTAGCTGCTGCTGGGGTGGACGCTGCATCTGCTGCTGCTGTGGAGCCATCATCCGCTGCTGTTGGGACATGTGCTGACCCTGCGGTGGAAGGTGAAGGTTCTGCTGAGGAAGATTCGGGAAGTTTGACTGTTGTGGCATCATGTTGTTCTGCTGCTGACGCTGCATGACCAGGTTGTGTGCTCGCTGTTGAGCAAGACCATGGTTCTGATCGTATCCACCACCCGGATAGGCTTGGGCCTGAGGGTAGTTGGAAGGAGGATGTGGCTGATAGGGAGTCTCTGTTTTGATCTGAGCATTAGGGAAGTTCACGTGTTCCGGCGCCGCGGATACCTGAGGCAAGTCATGGTCGACCTTGACATTCGACGGCACAGTGGGCGGTTGGCGCACTGGCTCCGGCTGAGGATCCCAGGGAAATTGGGCGACCTTGAGCGCAGACAACTTCTCTTGCCAACCCTATCATAATCAGCATAAACTCAGTGGGGAATGTCGCAATCAAAAAGAAACACGATGCGAGCAGGCTGTCACATGATGAAGCTATGCCGTGTTTGGCACGGGTGGGCTTGGCTTGGCGGGGCTGTGAGCTGCGCAGGGGGTATAAGAGTGATCCAAATACTGAGGGCGCCCCGAACCTGCGAGACTGACCGGCAATCCGCGCCCCGCTTTCGGCCGCCCACCCACCCCAAGCCAGGCGGCAACATCGCAGCGATCGAAACGCACAGAAAACGATAGAAGATGCAGCGGATTATGCGATGGGCAAAAAGTACAGCGTCGATGTGAAGAGAACAGAGGCGCGTGTCGCAGTGATGAAATGACATGGCAACGAAAGGTGCACCGCCAGGTGGCCAGAACATACCTGCTTCATCTCGTCGAGCGTCGACTGGTCCACGCCGAACTCCTCGAAATCATTCTGCGAAGCCTGGATGACCTTTTCGATGATCTGCTGGTAGACATTGCCCTGATGTTGCTGTCAGCGCTCCGTCTCCACCCACGTGCATGTGCTCGCATGCGCAGCTGCTGAGGGGAACTGACCACCACCTGGTTCGACATGGCGTCCGGCTGCCACTGGCGCTGACTATCAAGGAGGACGACGTGGGCGATTGCGCAAAGCGTGCGACAGTTGCTTGCGTGGTGCTGGTGGTCGGCGGTGCTGGCAGGCCAGGCAACGTCACAGCTGAGGCTGCAGGTACGGCAGAGTGCGCGCGCTTCGTGGAGCTTCTGCGCTTGTGTATATTGACTACGGATATGGGATATGCAGACGGCGGGTCTTGTGTGACGGGTGCAAGCGCTTTCACGATGGTGGTCGTGAGGTCTGGGGTGGTGTACTGGTGTTCGGCCGCACAACTGCTAGAAGATCACTCCCTCCCCTACAGCTAGCGCCTTGGCGACCCTGCAACAAAGCCACGCGAGGTTGCGAGTGTCTGGATGAAAGCATCCAACGACCTTGTTGTCGTCAATCATTAAGTTTACCTATGTCCTTTCGTATGTATATCGTGATGAGTGACTCATGTCCGCTCTGCCCTTTCTATGAACGCCGAACTCCAAGTCTTCTTGTTGAACATGTGCTCATACTTTCTCCCACCTCACAGCAGCTCTTTTGCCCTTCGAGAACATTGCATGCAAAGCCTCAGCATGCGGGTATGAGAGCTTCTCTAAATGCTGTGTCGACGTCCTTGCGCCTGTACCCCGGCGCGCGGCCTAGACAGACAGCACGTTTGGTCATTTCTGGGTCCCAGTTAGCAGTTGCTCGAATTTACTTGAGCTGTGCAACGTTGAACTTACTGTCAATGAGCTTTTGCACATCCACCCATGCGACTTTCTTCGGCCTCTGCTTCACTACTGGGAGCTGTTCAGCCTCACCCATCATGTCTAGACCAAACGTGCTGTATCCACTGCTCCCCACGAAACCCAGGTCGAAGGCAGGCGCCAGATCCAGACCTAGAGTCTGATCAAAGGACAGGTCTTGTAGGCTGTTTTTGGGGGTTGCTGAGAGCAAGTCCGGCGTCGGAGCTCGGTTGAAGAACATATCAAGACCATATGGAGGCTCGAAGAACGAAGCCGGCAGCGGCGGCGGCGTGGGATTATCCGAATTACTAGCTGTCGACCCGCGACTCAGGCTGGGGCTTCCTGTCTCATTTTCCGAAGGCGAGGTACTGTCGCTGTCGATCAAACACTCTGCGAAGGAACTTCTGGGGTCGATCCTACAGTGCCACTGCTCCTCGATGTAGCCTTGCACATCGTACGAATCGAACCACTCTCCTTCAAAGCCGTGAAGATCAATGCCTTCAAGATCTTGTGTTCGGCCATCAGCCACACTTTCTACTCTGATCATGCGTCGGTCTACTGGGCCCATCTGTCGTATTGTCCAAGTATTCTTCATTGGTATGGGCATGCCCTCAGCATCACGCCGTTGATAGTGCGTTCCGGCACCGCCTAGATGAAGAAAAGGCGTCGCATACCAGTCCAAGTCCTCATCCACTCCACGAGCCAAGATTGTCTTGAAGCGGTTACGCGTTTCTTCCAGAGACAGATAGGGCAGAGATAGCTTGAAAATGTAATTTAGGAGTGCCGGATGGATATCTGGAGTGCTGAGCAAGAGGAAGCCAGATTCCAATGTGGCTCTCGTTAGCCTTCGTGCGAAGGTAACCTCTTCATACGAGTACGTGTAACTTGGTGATAGTGTTTTTGTTATCGAAGTCGCTGAAGGAAACAAGGGTTTCTGGCGTGGTGGCGGGGGAAGCTCTGCACCGATCGCAGGAACGTTGACGGGAAAGATATACGGTGGTAAGAATGGCGATTGCTCACGGCTGGGAATATCAACAAGACCGAACGGAAGTGGCTGTTTCGGTAGTAGTTCTTGCTGCTGTTGCTGTGTCCGGGGTGGATCCCTAGCTGCCTGAAACTGGTGGAGTGCACTTAGGGGCCTTGACTGTTCTAAAGCCTCGTCCAAGGGGTCTCGGTATCGACGGACAAGACCAGATCGATTGTTCGGCTCCGGTAGACTGTACGACGAGCTTGAGATATGTGCGAGATAGCTTCCAGGCTGTGTCGCAGCCACTTTTGGTTGTGCTTGCTCCGTAATTTCGGATGCTGCTGAATGGCTCCAAGACTGCTCTTCCTCGGTAGGTGTGGTCAATGGCTGAGCTCGTGTGGTTGGATTCGATGCGGGATCGACTTGTGCTTGTTGTGCCGATGCGTCTTCCCCGGCAAATTCTTCTTCGTCGCTGTCTAGTGTTCGTTCGTTGGAGGATTTAACTAAACTAGCAAATGTTTCAGTCATCTCCTTAGCATCTTTGGCAAGTCCAGGGTTGAGTTGCAATAGTCCAGATTGCACGATGGAGTCATTGTAGCGTAAAAAAGTCTTGTTCATTTCCTCGATGATGACGCGCAGTTGAGTGCTCTGCCGCTGAAGAGCAGATATGGTCGTTTCTTTACGCTGTCGGTATGCCCGTTGTGCAAGACGAATCTGTGTCCTTCGACGCTGTTCGTGACGTTAGCCTTGACGACACGGCAAGTTGGGTGTATTGAACGGTCAAGTGCTGTCACATGGGTAGTACTAAAGGTAGGGTCACTCACATCTGCAGCTGTAGCATCTTGCGTGTCGACTCGCGGTCTTCCTCGAGTCTTCTTGCCGCCTGAGGTGACAGCTGCATCGTCCGCATCTTCGCTTGTACGAGAACGTTTGCGTGGTCGCTCTGTGCTTTCCGTGCCCTTCATACTGAACCCTCTTCCTGACACTCCGCGAGGTCTCTAATAGATGGTAACAAGTGTATGTGTCGTGAACGGATGGTTCGAACGGTCTGGCCAGAGTAGCGCTTCGGCAAGCTGGGTACTGACGTCCTCTAGTGGTGCGTCCAGATACCAGTCGTCTGCCACAGGAGATATGTGCGCCGTTTGCAAACTACAGGCAAAGTCCAGGAAGGTCGTTGGGTACAAGGAACGCTGAAGGGGAACTGATGTGACGTGAAGCTTAGGGAAAAGCAATTACCCTCCAAGGGCAGCGGAACCCGATCGGCACGCTTGCTATGTACACCCAAAGCACAGGCCTGGTAGATCAAGGGTCAAGGTTAAGTCAGCGACTTCTTACAGACAGTTGGTAGGAAGGTGGACGAGAGCTGATGATGAGGATGTCGTTAACAAGGTTGGCGCGAGACCGGACGCTTTCAGGTCAAGTCACGCAACTAAAACAGCAGAACCTGACGACATAATACTGATTCACTTTGCAAAGACGGGCTCGCAGGGAAGTTAGATTCGGGGAGCGGTCAAAACAATGCCGCCGAAGTTACGAAAAGTGTCTGGTCCCAACGGCGGACGATTTTGGGAGGTTGATGGTGACATGATTACTATTCATTAGAGCGGGCCACGGCTGTCGCGACCGACCAACAGCGCCACCTCGGCTAGTGCCAAGATCACGTGGGCTTAGCATCCCGCTTACGAAGCATCGCAACCCCTTCTCAATGCGGCATTGTTTCGAATCAGATACAACGTGTCTCAATGATATGTTCAAAACGATTGGAACTCAATGAAGCGCATTCGCATTGATAAATTGCCTCCTACACTCTTCCTCCCCATCATCATTGCGAGTGCTGCTCTTTCCGCTTGATTCCAAGTACAACGCTATGCATGCACACTCTTGTTGCTGTTCCTGGTATTATCGTGTGCTGTACAATCAGATGTGCCGAGCGGGTCCCCAGCCGCATCGCTTTCCAAGCCATTGGCATGCAATTCATGGCCTGCAGGACAGTCTGTCCTTGGACCCGACTTGGCAGCATGCTTATTGTCAATTCGCTCTTCTCCTCGACCCTCCGCCTTGATCCAATCCTCGAGCTCTTGTGCTGTAGACTTGAAATGCATCCACACTTCGTCACCTGTGCTATAGACGGGTTGGCCTTTATCGTTCTTCTTGAATCGCCGTTGCACCCCTGCAGTGAGCCGCGTGCGGAACTCATGGGGCACCTTCAGTCTAGCGGCGATCCACTGATCGGTCGGTCGGTTCTCGCTGGGCACTTCCTCGATCAGTTCGGTTTCTAAGAGCCCTTCGTCGGTCATCGAACGGTTGATTAAGGACTTTCCAGCGCCAGCATCCGGCGCGATAAGGCGAAGGAATTCGAGTGAGGCGCTGACGTTCAAGTCGATTGCTCTCTGAGGATGCACCGTTGCCTTCATCAAGAGGTTGGTAATGCGTTTATACAGGAGCGAGAAGTCAGACTGGCTGATGTGTACAGATCCTCGGACTGTAAGAAGGTATGCAGGTGCACCATTCTCCTTGGCCTCTTTCATTAAAGACATAACGGAGTCAAAATTTTGCTGCCAGTACATAAAGGCCTCGCTGTTGATTCCAAGCAGTGGTACATGTATACGATGTTCCGGAGCTTCTGCAGGGGGCTTGATAGGAGCACTGTTGTGTCAGCAATGATGCTAGTCGAATACAAGGCGATGTACTTACCCCCAGATGTCGTAGATGATCCCTGCCTGTACATTCTTGAAGCGATCATTGTGTCGCAGGACTTCTACTACGGTAGCAGCACCGAAACTGTGCCCTGCCATAGTGATCTTGTCAATGTGGAACCTATTCTTCCATTGCTGCCAGTTGACACCCTCTAGGCCTCTCGAAGAACCACCAACAAAGCCTTCGCTCCGTAGGTTGCTGCGAGCAACCTCCTCACCGTCTCCAGCACATATCTTTTTGAGCACGCAGAGGGCTTCCTCCAGCTCACATAGTCGTAACTCAATTTGTGCGTTTCGTAAATCTTGATCAACACCCTGCTCGTTGTTTGGTGCTGTATCCCTTGGATTGTTTTTAGGAAAGATGTAGTCCTATCACACGTTAGTACTCTGTCTGATGAATACTTTGATTCGTTACTTACAATATTGTGGTGGCCTTTGCGCAACTCTTCTGCTGTATGATCCACATGCTTCCACCTCTCCCACTCTTGTTCGCATTCTTCATCGCCTCCGCAATCTCCACTGTTCGGTTTTGCACCTCCTTTGTGATCTTTGCTTCTGGTATGCTGCTTTTTGTGATTTACAAACGTCCTAGGACCTGAGCCATCACGGTGTTCGACAGCGCAGACAACAAAGCCATAGCTTGCAAATTCAGAGCATAGATTTGAATATGCAGTTCTGGTACCTCCAAGGCCGTGGCTGAACATTAGCAGGGGAAAGACCGGCTCCGCGTCATGACCCTCCGGCGGAGATCCCTCTTGATTCTTGATTTTGTAACCGTTCTGCTTCGAATTCCCTCCTGGTGGCCAATGTGTAGCCGGTGGGCTGTTACGGAAGCCTCGCAGCTTGGTCAGCATGGAGGTCGCACCCAAGAACGTAATAAGAGTCCAATCGGGAACACCAGCGAAGTGCGCATATCCCCGCGCTGTTTGTATGCGCGGTCGCGGCAGCCACGTCTCGCGGCTCCAATGCTTATGCCCCGCTGGGTCTTGCCCTTCACCGGACCCGAACGCTGCTGGGTAGTACAGCGTAAAGAGTACCGTCTCAAGTTGTAACAGATGTCGTCCGTCTCGCTTTATGTCTGATATGGGCCGGGGGTTCTCAACAGGAACTTCAATTTCCATATTTGCGATCGAATACGGCCCGGAGGAAGGAGGCAGCGTGCCCTGGGGGAACGGCAGACGGTCGCGCAATGACCTCGCAGGTCGTGATCGAGGTTTCTTCGCATTTGGGACTTGACCTGAGGCCTCTCCGCCAAAGGTGCTGTTGCGGCGGTCATTATGCGGCTTGTTGCCTGTGACCCGCGTCGTTTTGCGCTCAATGAAAGACATGACAGGCTTCGCAGGCTAAGTGAATGAGTAGTATAACAGTCGCAGTCGAGCAAGACAAGCAGCCCCGTGCCTGTTGAATATGAGGGAAGCCCCGAGCATGCTGACTTACGATAGTGTCTGTTGCGGAGGCTCCGGACACTTAGTGTTTAGGCGCGTCGTCGGAAACTGACATTTGATCGAATATGATGTCATGGTGTCGCGCTACGCGATCCTCTACTGCACCCAGGCACGCCTGAGTAGCCGCTTTAGATATTTGTAAGACTTGAGCCATGTTTGTGACTGCCCAAAGTTCGCAGACTTATTACCGGACAAGTCTGCTCAAACGCTTGTGGCGGCTTGAACGTGCCTGAGTGTAATACAGGGGCTATTTGTTTGTAGCCTCAAACAGATACCTGGATTCTAAGGACGAAATCTGGGGTATTGCGTTCGCAGTAACTCTGAAACTGGTGGAAAAACTCATTTGATCTACTTATTTGATTCGAGTATAGTGTCACATAGACACAGAGATCCTCGGAAAACTTTGGGTTACTCAATGCATTCCTACACAGGCCAGTAAAGATACCGTGTTGGTTCCATAACTCTGATGCTGGCCGTAGCATGGAAAGTCTATGCAGGCATGACGTGTGTCAATTGTATAGTACATGCCGACCTAGCTCGGTGTCGGTACGCTTTTCGGTGCAACATGCGCTGTCCACCCAAGATCTGTTTGGATGGTCTCGCGGTATACAGGCTCAGTAGCAAATGTTTGGCCCCTCGAGCAGCACGTGGCATTGCCAATAGCATATGGGTATCGTTGTGCGCGCATCATTCAAGCCGTTGTCCTCACTTCTGTTGAGCGAACTCAGGCTTGACTTCCATAGTATTTTGCACATGGCTCTTCAGGGCCGCCCACCTGTCTTGCACTCCAGCCGATGCATTGCTTCCTGACAGCTGCGCAAGGTTCTTGTTGAAACGCTCCATCTCTGTCTTGACCAGTTTCTCCTTTCGTTTTGTTGCCCCTGGTCTTGACTTCAGACTTTTACGCTGAATCTTTGCCTGCCCAACCTCTATTTCGCCATCTGCTCCTTCCTCCCCAAGCCCTGGCAACGCATCGGCGAGTGATTCGAGGTTTGCTACGAGCTTCTTGTTTGGTCGCCGCCGCTTCTGTGTTTTGGCTGCCGATTTCTCGATCTTGCTGACGAACGAAGAGTGTTTGACCTTTTGCTTGTCCCTCTTTGAAGAAGCGAACTCGCTTTCAAGATCGTCCGGCTTGGGGAGTGCAGCTGGCACTGGACGAGCCGCGCGCGCCGACTTTGCTCGCGCTGTTGTACGCTTCTTTATTGGCGCCTTCCTTTCGTTAATCAAAGCGATTTAAGGACGTTGAGGCGCGACTTACCATTTTAATTGGACGGATGTCAAAAGCGACCCTTATGCACAGTGAAGGCCTCGAGCTGGAGAAATAAGTTACTTATCGCGCTTATCTTAGCGTCCCGCTCCACTGCCCCGTCATTGAATCTGACATCGAACAACACCTTACTCCTCACGCCTGACCAGCATTGTGCCGCATACGAAGTGACACCTATTTAAACTTCACATGGATTAGGATTGTTCTTTTCACGCATCATCGTAATGGCTTTCAAATGGACAAGACAATTAGCAGGATGATGGCAACATCCCAGAATAGTATCTGGCAAAACTCCTCGTCGGCTTACCCAGGAATCATGATCGCATTGTTGTCATCAGTGGATGTAAAAGTACGCACCAGAGAACCGTGGATCTATGGCTGTCCTGCGTACGACCTGGCCGCAATCGATAGCTTGGCATCTAATACTCGGTTTCTGAAACGTAGATTATCTTGGGGCCGTCAAGTCAAATGCTATTGATTGCGAGCTCCGTGTGCTGGCCCTGTATTCGTGGAACTGTGGCACCCGAAAGCTTCCCAATAACTCGGGTCGAACTTTCAGCTCCACACCCGGTGCTGCATGCTGCCTCCTCCCAACACGGATCGTCGCCCTATAAGGTCTCTGATATATCGTTCAGCTGTTGCTTTGTCCCTGTGCTGCGCTATTTGCGGCCGCGAGTCGATTTCGTCAGCTACGCATATCATCCACTAGAACGTGATTATTCTCCGACTGCAATACTTTCATGCAGCGGTCAACTCTCCATCGTGCCGAAGCCGCGGAGTTTGATCTACGGCATGGTCAGTTATAGCCTGACTTATCTGCCAGTTGATCTTCTACGGTATGCACTTAATATCGCTACGAACACGCCGCATGTCGACCACTTTTCACAAACGCCACAATGCATATTGAGTATATTAGAAGAGTAGAAGTACGAGGGGAATTGCGGCGGCTGGACTCTTCCCTAGTGATGGCAGTCTGGCTACTCTCGCTTTCACTGGTAAGCTGATGTTGTGCTGATAAGCGAAGTCTCTGTACTCACAGCTTGTCTAGATCTTGTGTATCTCAATGCGACTTCTGTACAGCTTCAAACAGCGGAAATCTCGTCTGTCGCCAGCAAAGGATGATGTTCTGATCGTAGCTGTGGGTCTCCTTGGTCTTGCCAGCATGTTAGCCTTGTCGACCACTGTTACACGCATTGGAACACCAGATGGCACGCCATATGCAGTCGAAACAAGCCAACTACAAGTCATATCATACGCTTCCACGATATCTTTCGTCTTCGCCCTGAGTCTCTCGAAGATGCCATTGGTTCTATGGCTCAAGCGACTCGAGCTCCCTAGAGCGTACAGGATGTTTACCGTCGTAACAGGCTGCATGATACTTGCGCACATGCTTTCCGCGGCAACTATGATCATCTTACAATGCCAGCTACCCACACCTTGGAATATCCGAATGGGTCGATGTACATCATCGGTAGATTCACTTGAAGATACTCACGGAATCATCCACTGACAATCCCAGCACCAAATCTGGACAACCGTCATCGCCATCGACATCGTATTCGATATGAGTTTAACCGTTATGCCTGTCTTTGCTGTTATGAGAAAAGGCAGTCAGCATCCCAGAGAAGGTTGGGTCGCGATTATCCTCTCCCTTCGGACCTTGTAAGTGCCTCCACCACTGCTGCTTCTCGCTCACTGACTGTCCATCAGCTTGATTGTTCCGTCACTCGTACGACTAGTCTACCTTCAACAGCCCACACCCAACAACTACATATTCCTGTTAGAAAGTCTACCATACGCCCTTGCGACTCAATGCCAAATCACCATAGCCGCAATACTATCCTGCACTCCCGCACTACCATGCTTAGCAAACCTCACCAAACACCCTTCTCCAGATAAAGCAACGATTCTCAGGAAGCACTGGTCCAACTCAAGCTCCTGTAGCGACATAGCCAATGCCTATTTTGCGTCCGCGCCGGCACCAGTCACCAAGCAGTCTCTGCCGACCATACAAGCTTCCATGGCCGCTCCTCCGAGCCCTCCCTGCCCAGCACACGCGGTCTTTCTGCCCAGTCCCATGGTCGGCAGCGTTGCGAAGGCCCAGGCGCCTCTCCGACCACCGCCGCCGTGCGAACATCAGCGTCCTGATATGAGTTTGTTCATCCACAACCCGACAGTCACGAGGCCACCTCCTGTGGCTTTGCTGAATGGTGGTTCGGCAGAACGTTTAAGTGCTAGGGTATTGGGGAGGAAACGTAGTAAAGAGGAAAATGTCAGAACGTCTAAGCATGTCACGTTCGATGTGTGAGATTACGATGCTGATCAAAACGATGGTTGTTGGATTACACACTATACTACCGAAGCTATAAGTTTAATATAATCTCTCGTGTATTCATATGAATGGCCCTGCACAATCTTCAGCATCGCTGCGTAGCCCAGGGTTCGGTGCCTTTAATGCACCTGGACACGTCCAACGCTCGATCTCCAGTTCAAGCCTTCTCGTTCAGTACCTTCTGCTCGGCCCTCCCACCGCTACCACCCTCTTCACGCGCCCCACTTCCGCGCCTCTCCCTCTTCCACTCCCTCCTTGCCTCGACCCTCTCCCTCTTCAACGCCCTCCGCTTTGCCTTGTACTCCCGCTTAATCTCCTTCCACTCCTTCCCCCTCTTCGCCTTCCCCTTGCCCTTCCCCTGCGCCTCCCTCAACTCCCTCTTCTTCTGGCGATACTCGCGCGTCAACTCGCGCCTCCTGTTGCGCAAATACTTTAGCTGCAAGCGGCGGGACTGCTTTCGGGCGGTGTTTAGGTCGTGGGTTTCTTTGTCGTGCGTAGCGCGAGCAATGGCGAGGTCGCGCTCGGCGGCGATTTCTGAGCGCGGCTTTTTGCCTTTGGAGAAGGCGGTTTCGGCGGCGAGGTTGATGGCGGCGATGCGGGCGAGAAAAGCGTCGTCGTAGTCGTCGTCCTCACTGTCGGAGTCGGAGGAGTCGGAGGAGTCGGATGAGCTTGATGAGGAGTCGTCGTCGTAATCGGGGACTTCGTTTTTGCCGAGTGTTTTCTCTGATGGAAACTCCTGAGGCGCTTTCTCTGGTGGGTAGGTGTTGCGGTCGCTGTGTAGCACACCTGTTTCCTGACTTGCGACTCCCACTGGACCTTGATACAGAGGAGGCTCGTCGTACTGGGGTAGTTTGCTGGTTCCGGCCTTACTCGACCCAGCGGCGGTTGTGTGAGTAGTCGTGGCCCTCTCACTGGACGCCGCAGGCCACGCTCCAGCATCTCTAGCGATTTGCTGTCCCATCGCACCTGCCTGTCTACCGATCTGCTCTCCCATCGCACCTGCCTGGCGCCCGAACTGCTCACCCCAATTGCCCATGCGTCGTCCAAAATCTTCTCCCCATTTCCCCATGTTCTGACCAAAGGCTGCCCAGTCTTGTGGTGGGCCAGATCTGGCACCGCGCCCGGAGCGACCACGACCTGATCTCCCTCTTGGACCGAAGCCACCACCACGGCCAAATGGACCAATACCTGGGGGTCCGAAAGGCCCATGACCAGGTGCGCCAAACGGGCCATGATCCTGTGCACCGAACGGGCCAAAACCTGAGGCGCCAAATGGAGTCCAGGGCTGGCTATGCTGGCCTCCTCTACCGCCGGGACCTTGGGAGAACGACTGCGGCCCAGCATCAGGGATAGAATGCGGCGGATCCTGAGCGCTTGAAACGTTCCTACTACCAACGGATGAAGCAGGCTGAAGGTTCCCTACTCGTCCGACAGGAATACTCTCACTACTTGGAACATGCTGCACAGGAACATGACCCTCATAAGCCGGCGCGTCCTCCTGTTCGTGCAGCTCCTCGTCTTCAGCTCCTCCTCTCATGCGGTACTCCCACACCTCAGGCTCGTCAGGCCCCTCGTTTGCGCTGACGCGGTGAGCTTCAATCTGGGCCGCGTCTAGAGACGCAACGCCGTTGCGCGCATCGCTCAGAGCGAAGTCATATGAGGGGGGGAGATCCTCATACTGCGGTCCGCCTGGGCTGTGAAGAGGGGTGGGTTCGAATTCCGTCTCCGAGTCGTCGGGTATGGAGGTTGAGCGCGGTGTGTATGGAGGGATGGGTGGCGAGGTTGTCGACTGCGGGGCAGCCGTAGGCTCAGATTTGGATTTGTCTGCCATGATTTACAAAACAATGAACAACGAGATATCAATGTCGGACCTTCAATGGTGTGGGACTAGAATATATGCCGTGAGTTCAGAAGCTTATGTGGAGCTTAGCAGACCCACATCTCGATGATGCTGAGGCGCAGCTCCAGGGCTGAGGCCCTTCGCTGCTGCCTGCCGAGCACTATCCAATCGCATTTTTGCGCCACGCGTCGGGACCGCAACACGCTCCACATTAGGTAGGTTGTGAATATCAGCCCTGCGGTCTGAAAACGACATGTGCGTTGTATGCAATCGTTCCAACACGCGACGAATAAGGGCAAGTAGTTCGTAAAGGCTGCGGGAGCTCCACTGATCCCGTTGCGATATCGCACCAGCACACAGAGAGATAGACTAATGAATACACATAGTAACGTGCGGTGGTCTGACATGCAGACGTCTCCTTTTGTACCTAGCCGTGTCTACCCTTGACCGTGTCTTACCCCGACCGTGTCTCCAGAATATCCCGTCCACACGGTTTCTACCGACGACTTCGGCGTCAAGTCGGACGCCGTGTTCGTAAACTTTAACAACAGACTGATCTTCGATGCCTTCAAATGAGCGAGTTTGCAACAACGAATTAATTTGTGCGCTGTCTTCATTACCCCGACACACCCTATAGACTGCAGAAGCCCGCTTTTCCACGAAAACATGGCCGCGCAACAGCCCACAGCGGCGGTCATCGGCGCTGGCCCAGCCGGTCTCGTAGCTCTCAAGAACCTGCTCGAAGAAGGCTTCAACGCCACGGGATTCGATAGAAATCCGTACGTGGGGGGTTTGTGGCAGTACACCGAGGACGATAGGACCTCTGTATTGCAGAGTACCGTGGTGAACATTTCGAAAGAAAGGGTATGTGGTGATGGCACGAGAATCTGGTGTAATGTTGACTTTATGTTAGGGTTGTTTTACGGACTTCCCGTATCCAGAAGGTTTGAGTTGAAGCTAAAAGAAGAGCATGGAGTGATGGCTGATCGTTGGCAGATGTCGACTCATATCCTACGGCGGCAGAAGTCCAGGAATACTTGGTCCATTACGCAGAGCACTTCAAGCTAGTGCCGCATTTGTGTCTTAACGCAACCGTCCGGGGAATCATACACGATGACGAACGCCAGCAATGGGCTGTCGAAATTGAAGGTAAAGACACACAGTACTTTGACAAGTTAGTGTTGGCGATCGGAGGTCTGACCAGTCTGCCTAATCTTCCAAATGTGGAAGGACTCGAGCTGTTCAAAGGCGTGAGCGTGCACTCGCGTGCATTCAAGAAGCCTAAACAGTTCGAAGGGAAACGGGTCATGGTGGTCGGTTTTGGCAATACAGCTGCCGATACAGCAACAGCACTTGCAAGTGTAGCACAAAAGGTCTATATCGCGCATAGAAACGGAGCACGCGTTGTAAGTAAAACCGCGAAGATGCAGTGGAGCTCTATTTGACTCTAGACACATTTAGCTGCCTCGTCACATCAGTGGGAGACCTGTTGACCACGCCCTGAGTTTACGCCTATTCACCATACAACAATGGATCATAAGTAGCTTTCCGGTTTTTGGCACCAAGATGTTCGATAAGTTTGTCAAAAAGTTGCAGGATAAGAGCTTCAAGCTGCGTCCTGAGTGGGGCTTTGAGCCTCCTCAAGTGACACCAATAGTCTCAGACTACCTGGTAGATTATCTTGAACGTGGACTCATCGAGTCCGTCAAAGGCGTGAAGCGTATCCTCGGCGCTTCCCAAGTTGAGCTCGACGACGGCAAGACACTCGACGTCGACGTAATCATCTGGTGCACTGGCTACAAAACCGACTTCAGTATGCTCGAACCGCGCTTCGACCCTACCAGCCACTCTTCATCCGAGTGGAAAGCTGCTAGCGGATCGAACGGCAAACAGCTTCTGAATCTGTACCACAACGTCTTCTCAGTTGAAAAACCGCAGAGTCTGGCGTTCCTGGGCAATGTGCATACGACACTCGCTGGCTTCCAGCTCTTCGATATGGCAAGTATGGCCATCGCGCAGGTCTTCAAGGGGGCATCCACGCTTCCGCCAAGACCTGTACTGAAAAGCGCGGTGGAGTCACATCATACGTGGCTGGCTGAGCAAGCAAGCCGGCGCTCCAATGTTTCCCCTGGCATGGTCGACGGCGGAGTCTGGATGCAGGCATTTGACGACCTGGCCGGCGGTAGAGTCAACGAGTACTTGGGTTATGGGTGGAAGGGATGGTGGTTCTGGCTTTGGAATATGAAGCTGTGTAATATGCTCATGGGTGGAGTGTGGAGTCCACATGTTCATCGGTTCTTTGACGGAAAGAGAAGGAGGTGGGCAGGTGCTGGGGCGGCGATCGAAGACATGAATAGGAGAAGGGGTGCAGGTACGAAGAAATGCGTCTAAGAGCTGTGGCAAGTCGGACAGATTCGCGCTGGAGAGTCCTTTGCGTGCATGTCGCCATGAGAACTGCACCAAGATGTCACATCACGAGAGCGAGAACTGTGGGGCATGTACACGATGACGTCGTTGTCAGGCTATCTCACTTCTTCAGAAGCCGTATCTGGCAGCTGCGACGTTGAACCTTCTCAAAACTTAACGTGGCTCTACGTACTGAAGCAATATATCATAGGCTACTGATATTGACAACACACTGCGCAGTGTCGAGTGAGGAAAGGGAGCAACGTTAACGGTGAACGGTGATCTTCATTTCTCGGGCCAATCGGGTGGGAGCCGCGGCAGCACAGAAAGTCGCGAAGCTGCGAGATTGAGCTCGAACTTTCTTCCACATAAGCACATAACGTCGACGCATTCAAATATATCAGTTCGCTAGCTACTTAGGAGTAGCAGCTCTCTCTTTGCAAACACGCATACCACCAATTGACCTCCGTCACTGGCCCACTCGAGAATGGCAGCTCAGAGGCTGCACGGTTCTTGCAGCTGTGGGCGATTTCGCCATGTAGTCGACCTGCCCTCGCAGCACGCTGGCCAGGCTGAATTGCGGTACGACAACTCTTCTGCATCGCGTACGTTGTGCTGTAAATGGGTGTGAGCTCTTTGGCGCAACGTCATAGCTCCACTCTTCCACGACTCAAAGCTAACAGTTCCTGCAGGCCAACACTCTGCCAGCCCACTTACTCTCTGGCTGCGCGTGCCACTACCATGGTACACCTCAGCGACATTCGCGCAATTTCCTGATGAGTCGCACTCGAGCATCCAGCGTACTTTCACATCGCCATATACACCAAGCACATCCAACAAGTTCTGTGGGTATTGCGGCACGCAGCTGTCGTCATGGAACGAGCGGACTCGCGACGAAGCTGAGCATATCTGCCTTCCGGTAGGCAGTCTGCTAGAGGAGGACCAAGAGTTGCTGAGCACGTTGGGTTTCTTCGGCGACAGCAGCGACGAGGAAGCAAGCGCTATCGGATCCCCGCGTGCAAATCCTTTGCGAACGGTGGCACGGTCTGGGCCACAGGCACGCGGCGCCCCGTGGTTTGAAGAGATTGTGCGTAATACCAGTCTAGGTCGCTTCAAGCAACAACGCGGTGGACACTCAGACAGTGGCGTGCAGGTGGAGTGGGAGGTCACGGAATGGACAGAGGGCGACGTTGACGGCGAGAGTGGCAGCGCCACGCCAAGCAAGAGGAAGATTGGGGATCTTGAGGCTGAAGATGCTGAGATGCGCTCCGCCTGACTTATGTCTCGACTGGCTTCAGGTGTCAACACGACAGTGTAACGGGCAACTCACTCATTTTCGCAGAAATTACTTGAAAGCAATCGCGTATTGGGCATTGTACAATAAGAACAAAGTCACGCCATGGCTCGGAGCGACGGCGGTGCAATCTAGGATGAAAGACTCAAGGTAGACAGCATGGCATGTCACTACGCTTTATCCACCCTCTTCTCCGACCGACAAATGATTGATGCATACGCGCACACGGTTGTCTTGGTATCCTTTGCAGAGCAGCATCGCCCAATTGATCGAGACACTCCGGCGCTCCTGCAGCCTTTATGCCTACCATTCCCCATCGATATGAGTCCGATCCAAATGGTAACAAACATAGCCAATCATAAAGTGCGGAGGTATTATATCGATCAAGACAGTCAGCGTGGGGGGGCCTGACGAGCCGCTTCTAACTTGCCCGCGCCCGCGTTCCGACGCTTGTGAGCGGACCCTGGCTTGCGGGAGACGGGAGCAGGTCCACCCCTCCACGTTGAAACCGATAACAGCACTGCCCGGTCCACAGATCTCGAACTCCACAGCAACTGTAGAAATGCTGAGCTCTACTGAAATATTAATGAAACTCTAAGGTCCCCGGGTGTAAGTAGACCGCTGCATGTAAGATACCTGCCGCGACTGCGGCGTCGCAGCCGAGCTCACAGCATGCGTGATTGGACGAGCTGCCTGCACCTGCACTGTTCAGGCACAGGGGTGATATCGCGCACCCTTGGCATAGATGATAAGCACAGATGACAATTTGTGTCTCGATGTCTCACCCGTTGCAACGGTGCCTCTCGCAGATACGGTAGGGCGGCAGGCGTGGACAGCCCTGTACATTTGTCGCAAAGAGCGTACTGGCAAGGCTTCCGTACGTTATCTATGGCACCGCTTAAGTGGCTTGCGATGCCGCTATGCGCATTGGAGAAGGCGTCCAAGCAGGCGGTACTCCGCAGAGGTGTTCAATAAGGAGCCTATATGCAGGGCGACGAGGATGCCGTCTTGTGCAATTCCACCCACGGTTCCATATCTGCTCGTCCAGATCCTGACTCCTGCGTGAGAAGTTCCTTCGTCTTCGGTCGTTCTGCAGCCTTTTCTATATGATCTGCGATTGAACTTGCTTCTTCAACCCCAGCAGACCTGCGGCCCCGCGATTCTGTTGCTCGCAATTAATCTCTGACACGAACCTAGCAAACTCTACGAGCAGTGGCGTAATTGAGAATGGATGCTCACGATAAGGATGAGAAGCCTCGCCTTGAACCCCAGGACGACAGTGTCGAAGTGGGCGAGGTGATCAACGCCTCTGGACATAAGCAGGAGCTGAACCGCCAGTTCGGGCTCCTGTCTATCTGCTCTATTGGCATTACGACAGGTAATGTCTGGGCTGCGCTTGGAGGCTCTATCGTGAGTTCTGCCCTTCTGTTGTCTTGTGCAAGTCTACTGTCCACATATTGACGGCACAGGTCATTGCCCTCTACAATGGCGGTCCACCAGGTGTCATCTATGCCTTCATCGCTATATCATGCTTCTACTTCATGATTGCTGCGTGTATCGCTGAGATGGCCTCGGCTATTCCTTCGTCGGCCGGCGTGTACCACTGGGCAAGTATCACTGGAGGCAAAACCTATGGTCGCATTCTTGGTTACTTTGCTGGATGGTAGGTGTCGTCGACCTGAAATATACTGTCCTTAGCCTTTGTGCTTACACCTATGCAGGTGGAACTTCTTTGGCTGGCTCTTCGGCACTGCCTCTATGACCTCGATCTTGGCGAACCAAGTCATCAGTATGTACGGCCTGTTTCACCCGGATTACGCCTACGAGCGCTGGCACGTCTTCATCGTGTATCTTCTGTACACATGGATCTCTGCCTTCATCGTTATGTACGCCAACCGTGCGTTGCCGACGTTGACCAATGTCGGCCTCGTCCTGATCCTCGCCGGCTGCTTCATCACTATCATGGTCTGCGCCATCATGCCTTCAAAGACTGGAAAAGGCTATGCTACTCACTCCTTCGTGTGGAAGGAGTGGCAAAACCAAACTGGTTGGACAAGTGATGGCTTCGTCTTCTGCGCTGGCATGCTCAACGGCGCATATGCCGTCGGTACACCGTAAGCATCACTTCATCTCCAGGCAACACCGGTGCTAATTCTTTCAGTGACTGCGTCTCACATCTTGCAGAAGAAGTCCCCAAGCCGCGCGTCAACATTCCCAAAGCCATCCTCGCGCAATACATCGTTGGCTTCCTTACCGCCTTCTTCTACGTAATCACCATCTTCTACAGTGTCAACGACCTCGACACCCTCTTTTCCAACCCCTGGCCCTTCCCCCTCGCTGAACTCTACCGCCAATCCACAAACTCCTTCGCCGGCTCCCTCGGCCTCCTCATCGTCATCCATCTGCCCACATTCTGCACCAACGTCGGCACCTACATCACCTCCGGCCGCATGCTCTGGACGCTCGGCCGCGACTCCGCAACACCCTTCAGCGGCTGGCTGGGCAGCGTGCACAGCACCCAGCAAAACCCGTTCAACGCAACCCTCGCCTGCGCGCTGATGAACTCGGTGCTCGGCGCCATCTACGTCGGCAACAGCACCGCGTTCGCCGCGTTCGTCGGCTCCTTCATCGTCATGAGCTCCTGCTCGTACCTGGCCTTCATCCTGCCCAATATCCTGTCGCGCCGCGCGCACGTCATCCGCGGCCCGTTCACGATGCCCGCATATGTGTTCTACCCGATCGCGAGTGTCGCGTGTGCGTACATGAGCGTGTGGATCGTCATCTACTGTTTCCCGTACGCGGTGCCGTTCGATGCGACGACGATGAACTACTCGTGTGTAATTGTGGGCGGCCTGACGATCTTCCAGGGCGTGTGGTATGTGATTATTCGTAAGAGGGGGTATCAAGGGCCGAGAGTGATGGTGGAGGAGGTGGAGAAGCGGTTGGCGGGGGGCGAGACGGTTGTTGCTGGGAACGGAAGCATTGTCACGGTGGAGGGGAGGGCGTTGAAGGATGTCCTGTAGCTAGAGAGGAGGTGGAGAGGTGGGGTTGAGTATGTTGCGTTGAAAAATATGGAGAGTGGTGGGTAAGAGATGTGACCAGACTGAATACGAAGTATGTCAATGGTTTTTTTACATCCTGCGCATTGACGCCTTTGATATAAACAAGGATCTCTACATGAATGTCCTCGTAAAGTGTCGCAATGGCTGATTTGCACTTGTCTTTACTGTGTCTCATTTTGTGAGCATATCTATTCGGCGATGCCGCTTATCATTGAAAGCAAACAGGGCTCCAAGCGAAGAAGTATAGGAGTAATTAAAAGCTTCCTCATCATGTTTCAACACTTCGAAATACGACATCACCATCTCTCTCTCCACCATGCTTCCCATCCCCACACCCACCACAATTCTCGTATGCCTTCATTGTCCACCACAACTACGTCCACGTCCACCGCCACTCTTGCCCTTATGCCTGTTCAGCTGCCCGAAAAACTCTTTGAAGCCACCAACAGCAGCAAAAGACGCAGAGTCCTTGTCTCTCTTCCGCATACAAAGGCTTTCAGCACCTCTCAACCTCAATCAACCGCAGAGTCAGTGGTTCCCCCAAGATCCTTATAGAACCCTCTGAGGGCAGCAACAAGTCTTCACGTACTTCTCTAGCTGCCCGTCATGGCATCGCCGCCATCCACTGCGCTCTTAGACTCAGGCCAGGTCGATGCTCAGATCCGCCTCGGGTGCGGCGATGTCAATTCCTCGTTGTCATGGCCGCCGGACGAGAGAGACAGACTGCCGACACAGCCGCAGTGTCTTCAGAGTAAGTATTTCCGTCGCCACACCGGGCGAAAATACTTTGAAACTTGGAGAATTCCACGTGTGAGAAAAGAGTTATCTTGGGTTCTCCAGACGACAGATCACAAACAGAAGACCAGGCCGAAGCGAGGAGCCCCGAGAGCGTCTTCAACATTCCACCACAACACCGTCCGAGGCGGTGCCGTAGCAGAATAGTGACTCGCAAGAGCGAGTGTGAGGTAACGCCCTCACGTAGCGACCCCTTCTAGGTCGGGCAACTATACCGCCCGGAGCCGTCTAGGCACCGAGTGGGATCTCGCACGCTGGGCTGTGGTGTGCAGAACAGTGTGCGAGATGGGGAGGAAGGGCTGGCGACACGCGGGGCTTTGTCCGTGCGGCCGGCGCTAAAAACGCCGGGCTCCGGGTGCCGGTGGCGGTGAGGTGAAGGGGAGTGTGGTGGCGCAGCACGTGAGTGGTACATTTTGGGAAGGCACTGCAGCGGTGCGTCCACTGCTTCGTGCGGCTGTTTTTCTCAGTGTAGGCTGGATCTGACAAATGGAAAGACAAACACACTGGGCTATCACGGAGGCCCTTAAAGGTCGGCTTCGTTACTGATAAAGTCTGCTTCGATGCGACAGCCGATATAGTGAGGCATGTGCTGGAACGAAGTACTTCATAGGCAGGCATGGAACGGAAAGATACCTCCGCTACCACACCACTGCACGAAGTGACACGTCATGGATGTGACCAGGGGCAGTAAATTCCTTACAGCCTGTGCTGGTCGAAGATTATAAACGCACCTCGCTCCTCTACAATATCTCCGGCGAAAACAAATCCAAACTTAGGACGTACCTGCCAGATCAAAGCAACTCACATACTCAGACTTTAGGCCAGCATCCTCCAGGACTTGAATAAGATGGACATACAACGCGGCGTGCCTCTAGTTTTCTGCAGCAAAGGAATGTGATAAAAGGCAATATGAAGTAGCCATAATGAGGATTCCATAGCACTGCCACTTTCGAAGGATCTTCTGCACTTCAAGACTTCTACGGGCAAAGTAACAGACGCGTCCATAATTTATAGACTGGTACGCTATCAGTGTCGACACCCTTGTACCAGTCTTTAGTTGACCCACACATGTCAACAAGCACCAATAATTAAGGACGCTGGAGCATCAATGAAGAGTATCTTTGGCGCATCTCGGCTAATGAAGCAAAGTGACTGATTCTCCTATGAAACGCGAATTCTGTGTACTTACCTCTGTGACTCACGCCGCCTTTCGTCACTCCACGACATTCAGTATCTCTTGCTTCCGACACGAAGAACGTGTATAGAATGTAAGTCTTGCCGTGGAAGTCCAATAAATCGTTAGCGTCTGTCATGAAGAAAAGGCGCCCTCAATCCACACTAACATTCCCTCGAGATCGCAGGTATACACGTATGCACCCTGAAGTAACACTTCTACAGCCACCATGCCACCCCCATCCAGCCCCACACCTCCACCGCACCCCCATTCACCCGGCAAACTCCTCATACTCAACGGCTTCCCTGGCACCGGCAAGCTCACCATCCTCACTAAACTCAAAGATCACCTGCCCGTAGCGACAACCTGCCTCCTGGACAACCACCTCCTGATCGATCCCGTGGAAGCCGTGCTCCCCGGCCGCAGCCCCGCACACCACGCGCTGCGCCGGCAGGTGCGAGACCCGATATTCGCACACCTGGCGCGGCGCGTGCGCGAGGGGCATACCGTGCTCATGACCGCGTGTCTCGTTGAGGATAACGATACAGATCGCGGCGTGCTGCAGGAGTATCTTGATATCGTGCGTGGCGGTGGGACGTTGTTCTGGGTCTCGGCGCGCTGCGATGCGGAGACGCTGGAGCGGCGCGTAGGGAGCGTTGAGAGGGTTCAGGGGGGCAGGGCGAAGTTGACGGATTGGAGGGTTCTGAGGGAGTTGGTGCGGGTGCATCGGCTTATCGAGCCTGGGGGGAGTGCTGGGGAAGGGGTGAGAGTGGTGGAGGAGGAGCTTGATGCGAGTAGGTCGGTGGATTGCTCTGTTGGCTTTCTTTTGGGAGTTCTGGGTCTCCTGGGAAGTGGAGGGTAGCTGGCTGCAGTGCGATCGACTTATTGATGGTGGATATCATAGCTCAAGCTTGTGGTTTGATGTCAGTCAATCGATCTTCAGATATTTAACACAAGAAGCACTGGAATTTCTAGGCATAGAACAGAGCATCTTTTATATACCTAGCTCAATAAAGTTAATAGTTACTAGAATAACAAAATACACACGTAGTACCCTAGTCCCTTACTGGTCTCTTACATAGATGCCTGAATTCTGGCTCTGCTAAAGAAAACAGGCAGGAATTGTTCCACGACCTAGGACTTTGTGGGCGGAATTATAGGCTATATTTTACTTGCTTTCCGGAACATGAGCACACTCGGTAAATTTATTGTCTGCTGGTTGGAACGCACCAACCAACTCAGTTTTGCTTTTCTCGACATTGCCGTCATCTGGGGTAACACAAGAAGGAATCCGGATCTGAGTATAGCCGTATGCATGGTCAGCACACACCTGCATAGTGACGTGGCTCTTACCCCAAGCCTCGGCGGAAATTACAAATGAACAGTCTGTCTTTTGAAATTCGCATCCTCATCTGTAATATTACCCATGTTACCATTTGTAGCTATCAGTCAACATTTGCGCGATCTCCGACTTTCTCCTCATGAACCGCTCTCCCGCGCCCCGTGATGGTTTGTTATCCCGGCTAGCCTCCCGTTTGAAGAAGGGAGGCAGAAGGCGGCAAAAGACTTCCACGATACCTGTACCTGCAACTGCCTCGGGACCTTCCGCAAGCAAAGATACCACACCTCTGTCTACTGACGCAGAGCCAACTTCATCGGCGCATAATACAGGACTGTTGGATTTGGCCCCAATTGCATTGTCAGCCCTACCATCAACCAAAGATGGAATTGGAACGGCTGCCATTCCTCCTCCCTCCGACAAAGTAGCTTCTACGGCGGTCTGCTCTGCAACACCACTCAGTCTATGGGAAGAAGCGTACAATCAAGCGTACGACCAAGCGGGAGATGAGCTTAAGGCATGGCTGGAGAAAAATGCTTCTGAGCCCAAGACCGATGACCATATCGCTGAGCTTGTCGAGTTGGTTCGCTGTAGTGAAGAGAAACATCAGAAAGAAGCGGCAAGGTTGACAATTGGCAACCGTGAGATCCTATGGAGGGATTACGCGGAACGGGTTGTCTCTTCGGTGACAGCGATCGGAGACATTGCCATCAACTTCGCTCCTGCACCTTCTTCAGCCGCCTGGTCTGCAGTCAAGGTGCTTTTGAATGTGAGTAACGCAAGTTGAATAAATCTGAGAAAGAAAGAAGAGGCTGACAACGATCTAGACCAACGTTTCAGAACGCAAGGATCTTGTAGTCATCATGGGATGTTCAGAAGTCGTCCTGCGCCTTTATAGGCGTGGCAAAGTGTACGAGAAGGTGTACATCGCCAACTCCCCAGGGTCTGACATCTTCGAGGAGCTGGAGCGAAAAATGATTGAAGTATATAAGTCCTGCTTTGAGTTCCTCGCTTTTGTGGCCACCGAAATACAGAAAGGAAATGGGTCACGATTTCTGGATGCCCTCTTGGACCCGGGTCGCGGCGAGGAAAGAGTGTCGGAGATGAAAGACTTTGAGCAACAGCTGGATTCTACGGCTCATGCTTGCGAGATAGAGATGAACGACGAGAACCGGAAATTGCTGCAGAGCCTGGAGAGTCCACTTAAACGAGTCGACAAAAATGTGGTAGATGTACTACAGAAGCTGGAGAAGAGTGAAAGAGAGGAGGCCATGAACTACATCAGCACAATTCCAGTTGGCGTACATCATCAAGAAAAGCTTGAGAAGAGGACAAAAGACACATGCGAATGGTTGACAAGCCATTCTGAGTTTCACAAATGGGAAGACTCCGCATGCTCGTCAATACTGTGGTTACGAGGAGACAGTAGGTTTTATTACACTACATCCTTTTTCTTGTGACTAATCAATGTTACTTTCGCAGTGGGAACAGGGAAGTCATTCCTCTCCTCCAAAGTCATTGATCGTTATCGATATCTTGGCGACGATTAGTCTACCAAAGGAGACGATGAAGGGTTTGCCTACTTCTACTGCGATAACTCCGACCAGACAAGGAACACAATTGACAACATCCTCCGTAGCTATGTTCGACAGCTTAGCGAGTTGCCTGGTCGTTGTGAGAGCGTTCACAAAGCCGCATTGAATCTGTACAACATCAAGACTCAAATCCAAAAAGCTATCAGCATCGAGGCAAGCAAAGCGACACTGAAAGATATCTTAGACAGCTATCCTCGAAGCACCTTGGTTCTTGACGGCTTGGACGAGTGTGACGAAGATACAAGAAGGCGTTTTTTTCGCATTCATCAAATTTCTCATTCTGGAAAGCAACCGTCCACTGAAAGTCTTTATTGCTAGTCGTCCGGAATATGATATTCAGGGCCATCTGAAATCTTTTCAAAATTCACGGACACTCATCAACATCAGCACGTCTGATAACAAGGGTGACATTGAGAAATTTGTTGTTGATGAGATGAACAAACACTCTGTCAACTGGGAAGAGGTCGGAACTGAAACGCAAATGCATGTAAAACGAACTCTTGTTGACAAGAGTGACGGGATGTCAGTACTACCACTACTATCATGCGCAATCTAGGCTAATCAGCAGCTCATAGGTTCAGGTGGACATATCTGCAATGGGAACAGCTCAAAATCATCAAGAGCGAGAAATACATCAAAGCAAGACTTGACAAACTCCCGAAAACTCTTTCAGAAGCGTATCAGGAGATTCTAGATGGTTGCGATCCAGATTCTCCCAATCTGAGGATGCTTCAACGGGCCGTCAGATGGGTCATGTGTGCCCGCGAGCCGTTGAACAGTCGCGTACTACTTTCAGCCCTCAAAGCAGAAAGTGAGAGTCGTGATGGTGCAGACTGTTTTGAGCAGTCGGATCTCACCGAGCGAAAGCTGGAAGATGCCTGTCGGCATTTGGTTGTAAAGGATCCGGAGCTTGGTGTCTGGAAATTTCCACATGCATCAGTCCTTGACTATTTCAAAGGCGAGAAGTTTGAGTGGATCAGCAACGCCCCAGCGCAACTGACAGTATTCATGATAAACTGTTTGAAGAGTTGCTGCTCGAATTATCCCTCGAAGTGGCCGCCACAACATATCGAAGACGACGTGATGGCAATATACAAGTGGTATCATTACGATCGTTTGCATATGGAAGATCCTCTGGATCCTCCACACCCGCTTCAAAAATATATTCTGTTGAACTGGGTAGAGCACACTCGCGGGTTTTCCAGCCATGACGCCAAGACCACAGGCGTGGATCAAGCTTTGCAGCAATTCTTCGGCGAGCCAGGACCTCAGCGATCCTCCAAAGAATATCGAGTATTCGTTCAGATGGTCACTTCGCACTGGCGCTTCTATGACTTATTGTGGTCCGAAATTGGACCAGTAGACAACAATGTCTTTGGAACCATAGCGCTCGGGCTACACAAAGCCCTGGCTGGGTGGTGGGACAAAAACCTTGACATTCCTTCGCTAGTGAACGACGATAACTCGGATCTGCTATCTATTGCTGCTACTTACGGCCAGTCTGAGACCTGTCAACACCTACTAAACGCAGGGTGCGACATACAGAGCGCTGTGTGTGCGTCCATTCGTGGACACAAAATCGACACCTTGAGGTTACTCCTACGGAGAGTTGCAAACCTGAATATTGCCATCGATGGGCACAGCTACCTTTGTTGCGCCTCAAGTTATCGCTCTCTGAAATGTCTCCAATTGCTGTTGCAATACGAGGCAGATCCTGACTTGAGTTGCAACAATGACTCCCAAGGAAAGGGTCGCTGTCAATATGGCAATGCGCTAGTCAACGCTGCGTATAGTGGGTACCTTGACGGGATTCAAGCACTCGTCAAACAAAAAGCAGCAGTCAATCCAATAAACATTGGAGGAGACTTCGGAAGTCCTCTTGCCGCTGCAGTCTATGAAGGACATCTGGAGTGTGCCCGCTTCCTCGTCGAGCATGGAGCAGACATTCACGCCAATCTGGAATCTGGAAAGTATGGGAGCCCTTTGGTTGCTGCTCTCTGGGGCGAACAGCTGGATTGTGCTCGTTTCCTGATTCAACAAGGCGCTGATGTTAATGCCGCGATACCATGCAGAGGCTTTGGCAGTCCCTTAGCTGCTGCAATCCACGCGGATAAACACGAGTCCGCTGCCTTCGTCATCGAATATGGCGCTGATGTCAACGCGGACCTACGGTTTGGGGACTTCGGTAGTCCCCTAGGCGTTGCAGCAAGTACCGCGAACGAGAGGCTCAGTCGTCTCCTCCTGAACCACGGTGCAGAGCCTAACGCAAGCTTAAACTTCGGCAAGTTTGGCAGCCCATTGGCAGCCGCTGTGGCAGAAGGGGATCTGGGATACGTTCGCTTTCTTGTCGATTCTGGCGCTGATGTTCATGCAACTTTGAAAGTTGGAGAGTATGGCAGTGCTTTAGCCGCTGCTGTTCTTGGCGAACACGATGGGTCCCTTCACATGATCAAATTCTTGGTCGAAGAAAACGAGGTGGATCTCGCCCAGCTTGTCAAAGTACCACCTAGAAAACGGTATAGGGGCACGTGTGATTGTTATCGTTGGATAAGGTTAGGAGAGCGCTGTGCGGTAGCTGTGTATCTTCTTCGAGAGCGCGGTCTCAACTTTGAGATATTAGCTTCTCTAGGGTTTATTCGAGAAAGGTTAGGTTTATCTAGGAGTAGTAGTAGTGGGAGTAGTACTTAGTAATGGGCATGTAAAACTAGCCAACCAACTAAACAATCTCCTACACCACAAGAGTATCCCTCGTCTTCCCCAGCCGACGAGAAACTCAAGACTCTCTCGGCAGGGCCAAACGCAGATACACACAGAGAACAGGGTTGTAAGTCATCATTTTCTCACTTAGAAGAGATGTGCATATGCGTATTCAGAAAGCGCGGGACCCACGCCGATCATCAACGTACTCTGCTCAGAGAAACGCCCTTACCCACACACCGCCAGCAGAGCCTCCCGCACAACCCGTGTACACAGTTACCACACTACGCAGTATCGGCGTCCCAGGCATGCGCGCCCACGATCCCAGTCTGTGCATTGCTCAGTCCCTTCACCGCGAACAGTGCCCGCGTATCGCCATCGTGCAGCAGACAAGACATCCACCATTGGCTTTATTCCTCGACCCACCGACTGTTCAACAATTCCCAGACAGCCTCCACGATCCAGAGCGAGACAGCGCCAAATCCACCCGTCGCGGTCACAAGCACAGCGGACAGTAAAACATTTACCATTGTCTAAGTCTGCGACCTTGGGCGAGCGTGTCTGGCGAACGGCGCTGGCGCAGTGCACAAAGCAATGGTGTTTGTGAGGAAGCGCGCATTTGAGTCTTTGGGGTCTCGCGTCGAGTGTCTGAGACATGGGTGTTGGTGCAGTGACAGTGCGCGGTGAAAGGGTGGTTTGTCGCAGCCTTAGACAAAGGTTGAGATTGATTGTATAAGAGAAGCTTCGTGGTGTTGTAGATCGATATCACACCATCAAACCATCAGAGTATTCACTGGCTTGGATATCTCTGTCGTCCCATCATGTACAACAACTTCGGCTATGGTTCTCAGCATGCGAACAACGCCCACGGCTTTGGAGGGGCGCCAGAATCGATCGAGGACTTCGAGAGTCGTGTAAGGAGCAACGGCCCCCGGGGACGTGCAAGCCAACCCAGGATGCTCCTGCTCACGTGAGATCAAGACGGAATGGGTCACGATCCAGAAAGGCCTCCGCCTCCGGACACCAGTCCTGGAACCCAACGGCCATCATGGGTCCGAGCTGAGCGACGAGACAGTCGAGCATCTTAAACTGCACGTCAAGTACAGCACGCAGATTGTCAACTCTGCAACAGACGCATTTCACCGGCTTCTACACGACCGCTCCCCGAATAGTCTGATGCGTAGACTCGGATGCGACGACGCTACTGCCGTGAGCAAGAAAGAATACGAGACCTTGCTCTGGCTGCTGGCGCAGATGTTCTTCCCTGCCACCATCAACTTCAGCTTCGATTTCCTGCCCTTGACGAAGAAGTATAAGCACACGTACGGCAATTGCGCGTATCACGGCGGGTTGCTAGCTGAAGTGAAACTGCACCGTACAAAGGTCAAGACGCTCACAGGCCAGGTCCCTCAGGAGTATGAGGGGGTGTTGAATGCAGCGTCGATGTCGCGGCTAGGCACCCTTTTGCACGAGGTCTGCCATGCGTTCTTGCAGTGCTACACGTGCAAAAACTGCCGCCAGCGCGACCACAATCAACTCGGAGGCCATGGGTTTGCATGGCAGCGCATCGCGTGCTGGGCTATGTACGCCGCGTCGCACAGCCTTAGGCTGAAGCTTGAGTTGTCGCGCTTCCTCGCAATCCAAGTCAACTAGGACGACTTGAAGTCTTTGCCAGATATTAAGGAGCTCGAATCGTGGGAGTTGCATGGTTTAGAAGGAACGTAGACAGTAGCCAAGGATTCGAGTGGCCATCGCTTACTAGGCCAAGTACGCCGCAGAGCACAGTCTAGACTTGCAACTGGACCTAGGACGCTTCAACGCCATCCAACTTCACTAGAGAGATATGCAGGTTCTGCCAGATATTAAGGAGGTCAACTCATAGGAGTTAGATGATTACAGTAGACAATAGATGTTATAGCGTAGGCGGTCAGGCCGATTTGTTGTGAGGTGTTTCAGCGTTTGTATCGTGCAGGCTGCGTGTCTTTTACATCAAAAAATGTCCAGAGAAAAAAAAAGAGGAAGGGTCCAGGTACTTGCATCTCATACTTAGAAATCGCGATAGACATACTTAAATTTTCACAACTTAACTGTAATATAAGCGACTGTCATCGTGATGCCTAGGTCCGCCGTTCACTAATCTCACCAACTTACTAGATATTTCCTATGTGCAATGTGACCCTTACGACAAAGGAATGCGATAGACCATAGAGGTCTGACGTTTCAGTATCACGCAGCTATCTTGCTCTTCTTCCGAGGCAAGTGCAGTCTGGCAGCGACATGTCCATTCAGGACTTCTCTCTGGCTTACCGTGTAATTAGTAGAAAAGTCCAGATGAAAAGAGTGCTCGTGATAGGCACTCGGTGACTCCGGCACAGATGAGGCAGTCGGTCGCTCACCACGCTAGCAGCAACCGCCAGGAAGTGCTAGAATCCAGCTGCCCGGACAAAGCGATAACACGTGGACTGCAATAGTCGAGACACGAGGCCGGCTGATTCGTTCAGCTGAACGCCATGATCGCCAGGCACAGCGCTCGCGAACTGCGACGTTCGAGTCTTCCAGAACATAGCGTGCAGGATCGTGATTGGCGGGCGAAAGACTGCTCCTCGCTAGCGGATGGTTGGTTCCGGTGGGGTGCGCTTGGAATCGAACGCGATGCATCACGTGACATGACGAGGTGGGTGTCGTTACCAAAGTTTGTGTGCCTGCTTTCAGGCACGTCGACCACGATTCGACACTCTTAGAAGATCGGACTTACTCTTAGTGCAGCCAATCAGCTGGGGACGTATGGGTGGATGGATCCTTCCGTACAGGCGTAAACATGTCATCACCACGGACTCCTGATGAGGTTATTGATCCTTCGTGCCTGACGCTGCTTTTGCCCAAATGACAACACGCTGACAACAAGCTGACATACTACTGAGGCTCAAGCCGGCGTCCCACAAACCCGGTTCTCCATACTTTGGGACGGTGGAGAAGACGCCTTCTGAGCAACGGCAGCCGCAGAGAATCTCGACTGCAGGCTGGAGTGGAGGCCTCGCACATGACAGCCAATGACGACGGCCCAACCAGCTGCAGCGAGGGAAACGTCGTCCACTCGCAGCACTGTGGCGCTCGTGCAGATCAGCCACGCGTCGAAACAGCACGTCTGGGCTTTGGGGGGGAACAGAGTGGATCGCAATATCGGAAGGCCGGTTACAGATAGGAGTGCGGGAAGCGAGATGAGGATTCGGGGTGAATGCAGACTGGGTGAAAAAGCAATGCCGCGCAACCCTGGGAGTGCCGGCAGGAAAGGGGATGCGGTTCTTAACAGAGCCCTGCTATGCCCATGCAAGCGGATATAAGGCTGGAAGGATTGTGAGTCGCCAGAAGGTCGGGCCCGCGGTTTCAAAGGGCAAGGGCGTTCGCACTGTTCAGCGGCCGGGTCAGCGGGCGCTGTGTCAGGCGCCACGGAAGCGAAGCGGCGTCTGAGTCGTGCGCTGGCACTGCAGTGGTCGCGGTGGTGGCGATGGTGCTACGATCGCGCAACAGCGGCGTGGAGGGGCGACGGCCGTGAGAGGTGGGAATGCGGGCAGGAACGCAGTTTGGTTGCGTGGTGGGGCAGGCGCAGCTGGCATGGCCGCGAGCAGCAGGAGCGATCCAGTGCTGGGGAGGCGAGCGGGGCACGAGCAATCGAGTTCCTTCCTCAGCCGGCAGCACACCAATCAAATACGGGCCGCCACCAAGCCGTCAGGACCGTTGAACGACCAGACGTATGGGAGCAGGGCCCGTTCCCTTGGCTGCAGCAGCTCGCCTTATTACTGCGGCCGCCTGCTCTCTGCAGGGCAACGGCTGGCGATCTGAGGACTCTGATCTCACTGCGCTTCGACACTCCAGCATCCACAACAGCCCTATCCACCATGGCGACTCTCTTTCGCGACTTCTCGTTTGCAGCGCCGTCGCCGTCGCTAGCAGCCCACGAGGCCGAGCGGGCCCTCATGAACTGCTCGCCCACGTCCCAGCCCACCCATCACCCGGTCCGCAGCCCGCCGACGCCGCCCTGCACCATGGGCAATCTTGCGCAACTGATGGACGGCCAAAACCTTCTTGTTACCACCTCGCCGGCGCGGTCACGGTCGCTGCACCTGCCGCCTGGCCCGACGGATGCCAGCGACAACGGCAACTCTCCCTCGGACTCGCTGGACCGGCCCACCTACTGCCGCGCCTCTGCCTCCATCATGCGCATGCAGCGCCAGGTCGATGTCGGATCGCAGGCCAAGGACATCGCCCGCCTTCTCCGGATGATCGAGGACGAGGAGCAGTGCTCCGTCAGTGAATCAGCGCGCCCGGCCTTTGGTGCATCGTCTGACGACGAGGGCATCGACATGGACTACGACTGCCCGCTCCGCGTCGTGGAGCCTCTGTTCTCGCGCCCGCTGTATCGCGCCGGCGACCGCCACAACGACAGCGCGCGCGTAACCAAGACGGTCCGTATGCGCAAGCGCTCGGGACCAGCCAAGGAGCCGAAGCAGAGGAGGAAGACGGCGTAAAACACGCCGGAGTAATGGGGCAGTCCTGGCTGCGACTTTGTGATTTCAAACATTGCGACGGCGTTTTTCGAGTGGGGTTACTGGCTCCCTACGGGTTGAGCACGGCGTTACATATCGCATATTTTTCTGAATTAAGCATTCCAACCGTTTCCACAGCCCCTTCATGCATGGCCCCATTGAGATTGCCACCCAGCACTGGGGTTGCCACGGGGCGACCCAGCGCAGCGGTTTTCACGTGACATCTCCAGCATGACGATCCTCTCCCGCGGCAAGACCCGCTTTGTCGCGTCGCCGCGTCGCACCCCAATCGCCGAAATCTACATGGCCCCTCCACATTGACGCCTTCACACCCACCTCGAGTGCGCCATGTCGATCCGCAGAGCGGCAACCGGCCTCCACGGGGCCACCCTGCCTGCGCGCTCCGTCCATCTGCGCATCATGCCTCGCCCAGCCAATCTGTCCGAGAGCCGTGAGATTTTCCGCGTGCTGCAGCGCTTCGGTGAAATGGACACCTACAAGTACCTACGCGTGCGTCTCACCGCCGCCACCACCACCCCGCGCTGACTCCCCTAGTACGAGTACCACAACCCCGCCGACAACGTCGCGCTGGCCATCTTCCGCACCCCCGACGCCGCGCAGAAAGCCCTCGACGCCTCGCCGCTCCGCTTCTCCCTCGAGCGCGCAACCTCCACCCCGCCCCCCTCCTCCGCCGACCCCGAAGACGACCCCTCCACGCTCCCCGCCGCTTCCCCCTCCTCCGACCTCTCCGCCATGACCACCCCCAGCCCGCTCCTCGTCCACACCCCGCCCGCCCCCGCGCCCTCCCCCACCCCACCCTCCACCCCCTTCCCCTTCGCGGCCCCGCCCCCGAAACCCACAGCCCTGAAGTGGTTCCAAGTCACCGTCGACAGCTCGCACGCCGTGCACCAGGACTTCGTCGAGCGGCAGCCGCTGTGGAAGCAGTTCACGCCGATGAAGACGATGGCGCAGCAGGACCTGGTGCGGATTGTGCCGCGCGAGGGGCTGAGCGATCTGGGCAAGCGGCCGCCCAATGCGCATCGCACGCCGATCAAGATTCTGAAGAGCATGAGCAAGTATGTTGAGTACGGGATGCCGAGTCTGAGGAAGATGTGGGAGGAGAGGAAAGAGTGGGAGGAGAGGGGGGAGGAGCGGGGGGCGGGGGACGCGGATAAGGGCACGCAGGAGCGCGTGTGAGCTTTTCCAACGGCGTGGGGGGCCGTGAAGGCGCCTGGGCGCCGGCACCGGAGAGTGCGCTCAGGGACGCTGGATCGGACGGGCCTCATACAAGCACACTGCGAGGCGCCAACGGCAAAGCCTCGCCGCCAGACGAGATAGGGTCGCAACGGTCCCAGCGTCACGCGTACACCGTCCTCGCCGTCCGCGAGCGCACCGCGTCGCCCCGTCCCTGTCGACACCGCCCCGTACCTCCCCTTTCCTCGAGACTCGGCGAGGACGACACCGCGGCGCCATCGCCCTGCGTTTTACGCAGCCAATGACGCACGACACAGCTCCGCGCCCTCGCAGCAGTACGCTGCGTTTGGTCAGAAACCGATGTGTCAACTGGCTACCCCGAGCGCCTCGTCGCCGGCACGGCGATCGTCGATGCCTCTTAGCGACGCGTGATGGTCGACTGGGATCCGCCGATTCGACGAGGACGGTCGGAGGACAGTGGTGTGCGAGACCGCAGGGGAGTGATCGGAGGGTGAAGATGAGTGGGTTGGAGGGCAGTGGTGCGCTTAGTGGATGGAGATGCCCAGGGAGGAAGGTCGGTTACATGTGGAGAATGAGGTACGCCTGGCAGTGGAGGTAGTGCTTGGGGTGTGGTGGTGGAGCTGTGGGTTTCGACATGTCGTGATTCAGAAGTCAAAAGTGATGGATTCCGATCTGGACAAGATAGTCACTGCATCTTACGTTGCAGGGTGAATGGCGGACTATGGATGTGAGCCAGGTAGTTTACTACGCGACAGTGACGTAGAGAGAATAAACAAAACTGCACAGGATACTTTTTGCCTACAATATGAATACTACTCAGCTAAATTTTAGCTTTGAGTATTATGAAAGCTACAACATATGTGTTGAAGTTAGTCAGCTTGGAGGTTGCTTAGATGCCATTATCCCTGCAACGTGAGAGGCAGCCTCGATGAACGTCCAGCATATGAGTGTTGGCTCCAAACACATCAAGCGTCGCGGTTTCAACAGTCGCCGATCAAAGAATTCCAGTATTCATGCGCATGACAATTCAAAAGGTGTGGAAAAGTCTATTGGGTATCTTGCACACTAAACAACACAACTACACATCCAAAACACTCAAGCACCTCCAGCCAGCTTATTGTTCACCTCCTCCTCCGTAACGACCGTCTCATGACTGCCCTCCAACTCCGACAGCACAATCCACGTCGGCACCACACACAGCACCATGAACCCAAAGTTGATCCCAATCGACACGAAATGGTTCGCGTTGCCCTCGCTCTGCATCGCCCACGCCACCGTCTGCCCCAGCGCCTCCACGCCCCTCAGAATCCCCGTGTGGTGCGACAAATTCGACAGGTCGGTCGCGTACTGGCCAACCAGCCAGTACAAGAACTGCTGGAACGCCTGGCCGCCGAACTGCCAGAAGAACACGAGCGCATACGCGCTCCCGAAGCCGCCGGTGAACCAGTCGAACACGGGCGGCGTGTCGGCGCTGTAGAACCGGTGCTGCAGCACCGTCGCCCAGATCCAGGTACCAATCAAGATCGTCACTATGCAGATGAAGGCAATCTTGGCGCGCAGCTTGATGTGCAGCTTCTGGCTGTCCAGCAGCGCGGCGATGATGAAGGAGCTGAAGATGCCCGCGAAGTTGGTGAAGAAGGAGCTGAACGCGCGCGCGCGCACCGTGAAGTACGTCGTCAGCCACGTGCTGACGAAGCCGTTGTAGAAGTAGCTGATGAAGAAGGCCGGCAGCAGCAGCAGGATGCGGCGGCTGACGAACAGGCGGCCCACGGCGCGGAACTCCTGCGCCCACGACGCCGCACGCGATGTTACGATCAGCGTGCCGTCTTTGCGCCACACCTTGTGCGCGGGCGACAGGCACAGCGCGATCGGCAGCCCCAGGCACATGATCACGATGAAGACGATGTACGTCGACGACGACACGGAGCCGCTGGTGCTGCGGCCCGCGTTGAGCCCGAGGTTGATGGCGCCGCCGACGATGGGCCCCGCGGCCTTTGCGGACTGCCAGATGGCGAGGTAGAAGGCGCGGTCGCCGGGCGACGGGTACCCGATGATGATGGCGGCCTCGGCGGCCCAGAAGAAGCCCGCACTGATGCCGCACAGCGCGCTGCCGAACAGCATGAACCACGTGTTGGCGCTGATGTTGTTGGTGTACAGGCCCGCGCCGTACAGCGGGTACCCGATCGCGCCCAGCGCGAGCCCGTAGTTGAGCCCGATGCGGTTGTTGATTGCGCCCGCCAGCACGCATACCACGGCGAAGAGCCCGTACACGAGCGCGTTGGCGGCGGACACGGCGTAGGGCTCAGCTGCACCGCCGGCGCCCAGGCCACCGAGGGCGTCCCACATGCCCGGCGCGGTGAAGGAGACGCCGCATGCCACCGCGATCTGGAAGGGGACGGAGCGGAAGAACGACTTGGTGTTGCGGACGGACGCCGCATCTGACGTAGCGGAGGCCATGATAAGTGGTCGTTGGAAGGTTCCCGGACAGCGAAGAAAGGCGATGAGACACTGCGTCTCGCAGCACGCAGGAATCACATTTCATTTAAGCCCTTGTCGGCCGGCCAGCTCTTGAAAATCTTTTCGTTCGACAATGGTTGAGGCAAACGAGCATCTCGAATACCAGTGGGGCGAGCACGACATCAGAGCTAATGACTCGCGTGCAGCGAGCCCTGCGAGCCGCGCTGCTGGAGCGCGAGATTTGCCTCAACTCTGCCATGCTACGCTCCGTGGGGATGGACCGGTAGCATGCTGAGGCTCAAGCCGGGCTGGGCCGAAAGTAAGCGCGCGGGTGTGCGAGCGGGTGTTCGAGACGGCTGCTAGACGGTGCTGGGCGCAGGCGGGCAGCGGGCAGCGTGGAGCAACGCGACTCCAGCAGAGGTATCCACCGTCTGTCAGGTACGGCCAGGTCCGGATCCGTGGCCGCGCTCTGGGGTTTCTATGTGTCGTCTGAAGGCCTCCGTGGACGTGGATCCTGGGTATTCGTGGGTCCCAGATATGCATGCGGTGAGTGCTGAAATGGCGTGCGACTGGCGATAAGTGGGTGCTGGACACGTGAGCCTGTGATTCTGTAGAGCGAATCCACTACTCGAGAGCGATTCCACGATTCGAGAGAGAGCAGCCTCACATGCGGGACGGCTGGTTTTATACTCGGTCCAGATGAGGATGTGGTTTCTTATCGCCGGCACTTCTTATCAGCGGCAACTCCACGAAGCCGCGGAACAATTGCCTTTTGTTACTGTACCATGTCCTCTGATTGTTGCACGGAATCAACATGCTGCACACTACTTCGTACCACCATCTTGCCAAGAAGCCTAGCAACAAGTTGACGGGTACAGAAGAAGCCAAACAACCACTGGCGGCAAGCTGTTTAGTATATACTTTTGCTGTTCATATAGGCCGGCTCTGAATCTTGGTGTAACTGATGCTGTAGCTTCTTACGGCTGTGTCCCACTCTCGTATCGAAATTGCGACGAAATCCTTTCATAAGCGCTCTCTCTTTAGCTGTTGCGCAGTCCACATCTCTTTCGTACCTATCAACTCGTGCGCCAAATGTGCCCATCTTGTGCAATGGGTGCATGTGCCTGCCATCTAGACTTTGTGTTGATATGCATTAGGTAGATGTAACGCTCGCAGAATAGGCAGATGTTGTGCTTACTCCACCTTTTACATCGAGGTATGTAAAGAATGCAAGTACAAGACAAGATAGATCGAGTATAACCAAGTGTCAAAAGCGTAGACCAACACTTGGCACTACACGATTGTTACCTCTCGGACAGGTAGACTCTCAACGTAAGCCCTTACTTCGAGCTTCTCCTCTTTGTACATAGAACGATATTTCTCGTCAGGTATTTCGTGAATGCAGCTGCAAAGTCCCACACGTTCGAACGCACCATCGACCAGCCGCCGTAGAACAAGACCCGAATAAATTCCCCGTTCGTCCACGCCGATGAAGATGAATGAAAATTCTTCCTCAGGTGCCATTGCATTCTCTCCGTCTAGAAAGTCAAAATCCACAGAGCTACAGCTAGCTTCAATACCCGGGGGTAGAGTGTCTGTCGAGTATGGAGACTGGCCAGGGACCATGCTGTATATTGACGGCACTGGTTGGAGGATCGTAGCTCGAAATGTGGCGTTTGTGTAAGGGCCTCTTAAAGTAATACTGGCTTCTTTGTAGCCTCCCATCTGTGGCGGGCCACTATGCGTGAAGGAGAAGTTGACGACCTGTACGCTTGCCAAAGGGACTTCATGATTGAACCAAACCGGTCCTCTGATTGAAGCCCAAGACCAAGACGGGGCGAGTTGCTTTGGTCGCGATCCTGCGTCTGAGATAATACCACGCGTGTCTGAAAAGCGACGCCACAAGATATCGTCTAGAAGAGATCCTATCCACATCCCAGCAATGTATGTGTCTGCACGACGCCTTTTGCCTTCCTCTACAACAACAGCTGCAATAGCAGGGAGTCTATCTTGTTCCAGTGTCAGCCTCATGCACGTATACTCGTACAACGTTTCGTGCCAGGCACGTATATGTGATGTAGGCTCATCAGCGTTGAGAACTTGAGAGCAACCCTGATCTGACTGTTTTCTGATGATGGCACCATCTTCACCCTTGACGTATCTGCCACACTCCCACACAAGCTGTGTGTTTGTAAAATGTACCATGCGGGGCGACATTCGTCTCTCTTGGAAGACCCAAGCACGCCGAAGTAGAGGATGGTCCGTAGTCAAGAAAATCTCATCCCTCAAGGGATTATCAGGCCATCTCATCTCGCGGACCGCCAGGCCTGGCGTATTTCGTAGATTTTGCCCAATAGCACCAGGAGGGGCAGATCGGAAACATCCTTCACTGCTATTTTGGGACGCAGTTGCAGCGATAGTAATGTATGCTTGGCGGTAAATATCCGCCATGGCTGCCGCAGTCTGATTCCAGTCGTTGATGTCGTCTTGCACAATACCTAGTAGAGATAAGCAAGGTCATCATTCTTTCAGCACCCTGACCTACATAGTGCATCGATCCACAGGAACCGTATACTAAGCCGCAAGCAAATCTGCACTGCGTCTCGAAACGTGTTTGGCAAACTCTCTATCCCAAATCCCTGGCAGAGGTTGATCTTATTCCCTTTCACCAATTTGCACTTGAGGCCTGTAGCACCCCAGCAGTGACTTAAGCAGGCGTATCTAAAGTTGCCAGCTAGACCTTCTCTGAGAAAGAGACGACTGCACGTGATTTCAATAACTCTCTCAGGCATGTAGTGTGCCTTGGCTTGGAGACAGCTATGATCATGGTCGCAAGTACTGAGCCAAGACTCGAGCGTCCGGAGCGAATCGATAGATGAGGTATCGCCATGCAACGTTCGCAGGCTCCTCAATCCTTCTGTCCACTTCGGTAAGCTACCAGCGATCTCAGGATCCGATTTATCAGCAGGTGTGAGTGAGTCTTGACTTCGGAAAAGCAGTAAACTAGTGTACGTATCCCGCTCGTTGAGATAGATGCCAAACGTTCCATCAAACATGAGAACACACACCCTAATATCCATACTAGTCATGCTTGGTCGGGTGGTTCCATACCAGGTCTTGATCGCATCTAGGAACACACCGCAGCAACTGCGTTGAGAGTTGGCTCCGTCGCGGATTGCGTCCAGATGGACACCGTTGGAGAAAGGCTCGTGCCATTGACAAAAGTGACACTCGGGTAGGTCTTCATTACCGTGTTTAGATGCTTCTGAGAGTTCCGAATCTAAATCCCCGTACCACGAAGACATGCTGAGGGTTATGATAGGGCCCGGCTAACCACCGTGGGCCTAGTTGGCTTGTGTTGAGTGATCCAAAGAGCGGGCTGTAGGAACGCTGGAGACCGGCACGCTGGTCTATTCTATTAGGATTGACAAGGCTGGAAGCTGAGAATCACACCTACAGGAGCCCGCCGAGGAATGAGGCGAATACGTCGGACGTCCACCTCTGTGCGTCCCCAGGTGAAGACAGTAGCGACGAGAAGAGGCCAATACGAGAGGTGTATGGAAGCTTCAGAACAGGGTTCGTTGGAGAATGGGTATATATTTGCTAGCAGGACTAATGTTGAAGAAGGCAAAGACAAGGATCGCTAGAGGCAGTCAGCGTCACGCGAGGCTGGACTTGGCAAGTGCAGTCCGGTCAAGGAAACCTTGGAAGCGGAGGCTGTGTAGTGCACGTGCCACTTCAATCAACCTACGAAGTACACTGCAGACTATGAGCGTGATCCACACGAGTGCTGGAAGAAAAACAATCCTGCCACCCTGCCCTGCCAGCGCCTGTGGTAATTTACCTTCTCCACTGTACACAGCTTTAGTGTCGCACATGATCTCAAACACATCCTCCACGCGGCACCTTGTGAGATATCGTCATTGGAACCCCCAAGTCCGAAGACCAGAAGGGCGTCTTCGTGCAGGAGTTAACAGACCGCATTCGCTGGTCCATCATCGATCCACCGACCACATCCGAGAATCTCGAGCCAGACGGCACCGGCATGCCTCAATGACAACGGTTGCTCGACAGTACGCCCGCGTTTGCTGAGAACCCTGTCATGCAGCCGCCGCGCGCCCGCATGCTCGTCGTCCTCAGTGACGTGGGGTACCACGACTTGCCGGACGAATGCCCCGCGCCCCTGGTGATTGAGAACCCCGACGATCAGCCAATCACGATTAATTCACTTGAAAAGCAAGAAAAACCTCGTGTATTACAGCGGGATGGTGCAGCTAGCTATAAGGCTTCAGTTTCGCAATATCTACTTACTGTTGAGAGCATAGATATCTTGTGGTGGCCAGGTCTCTCTCCTAAAGTCAATACCTCCGAGCACACTTGGCCATGATTACGGCGCCACATAACGAAGAAATTTACACCAAGATCAACAATAAAAGAGTGCATCGCTACACCCACCTAACTACTAATCCGCCGGTATGTCGCTTACGTTGGGACTGAGCGAATGGGAAGCTTTGTTTCCAACGTCCTATGTTGTATGTGGAAGAATTAGATGTCAAAATTAGTATATAACTAAAGTGATGGACACGTCTATGGGTGTTCAACTCTAAGTTCTTTTCATATAGCAACATTGATCGATGCTTTATAGTGTTAGTCCTTCCGCCCGAAGCCCCCTGCAAATCTCTGCATCCTCCTACATAGGTTGAGACGCAGCCAATGGGGAAAGGCGGCTCGATATTGCCTGAGTACAGCACTTCCAGTCGTCCGAGTATTCCCAGAGTTCGTTCTGATTGTGCAAGATCGCGTTCGTTCGAACGAAAAGACTTTGCGGATCAAAATGTGAAGAGTGGAAGTTTCTCCACGAGCCAGAAGCTGTAATATAAGGCGGTGACCTGCTTTGAGGGCGTTCCAATCGTGTTCTTGCTCACCGTCGCAATGCCGAAATCGCCAAACCAAAACAGCGCGCAGCTAAAGAGTATTGCCGGAACAGCAAAAATTATCGAATTTTTGAACAAAGACACTGCAGTCCAGATGAAATTGAAGGCTGTCACCAGCCCCGTAAGCCCGAGCCACGCAAGCAAGACGAGGAACGCGATTGATTTCAAGACGTTGCCGATATTCCCACTTTCTTCTGTGTCTAGAATCACCAAGTCAAATTCTGAGCAGGGGCAGGAAGTGGCGTAATACTTACGAGGAAACTGATAGAACGCCCAGATAGAGAACACACCGGTAAGTACCATCGGCACACCCCATAGACCCAGACTATTGCTCCATTCATCGGTATCGATGATCAGCCGGTGCACATGCACAGCGTCCACCAAAACCCCCAGAACGATCTGCATCCCCGCAAGGATCATCAGTGGCTGCGAGCCCCTGCTTCTTGCCATCGTCACGGCTGATAGGATGACAGAGACAAGGGAAGAAAGCGAGACTATGCAAATGTTCCAAGTCGTCTTCTTGAGGGGCTGCCATGGAAGAAGAGGACAGCGGCCGAGCATATGGCAGAAGATAACGTAGAAAGTCAAAGCGTGCGAGACGACTCCCAGGACGCCGTATGGGATGGCATAGACCTGAATATGCGACTGAAGGTTTGAGGAGTTTGTCGGTGGAAGAAATCGAGGGACTAAGGTAGGCAAGTTGTCGTTGAGCAGTACGAAGGGATTTGCATGATGAGGAGCCATCTGGAAGAGTAATCAGCCAAGGGCTAGATGTTGAAAGTGCTACGGAACAAGAGAAATAGCGGCAGTGTAGCCTCCTTTAAATTAAATTGGGAGAGACGATAGAGGTGAGGCAGCGTTCCTCATGGAGAGCTTACTGGGGTTGTCCAAATGCGTACTTTCCAGCCCCAGACGCTAAAGACGCCGGCAAACATGTGCGACATGCTATTCCTAGTACCGGGCATGCCTCAACTATTCGCTCTGCTTCGTATCTCTTCATGGTATGATGCAAGGCCTCGCTTGACCCTGTGTGTACCTGAGCGAGAGCGCTACAGTGATTGATTACAGCGAATGAAAAGCGCCACAAGACTTGGCTATACAATTCGCCGAAGTTGCAATTTTGGCACGCAGCCGCTGTCCAAGACGATCATTACCTTGTCTCATTGAGAGCGTGTGGAAAGTCTTTGAACCTTTGCTGATCTCAAAGTCAACGCAACGAAGTTTTAATCGGACCTATTCTAATGCTGGTCACAAGCTGTGAAGCTTAGCAGAACAGGCAACGTCTGCGAGCAAGACTCTGCGTAGCCACACAAAATGATCTCCTGAACGTGAATTGTGTTGACTGCAGACCACGGTGAGATCGTAGTCAGCACCAGGAAGTGTTGAAGTGGGTTTTGTGCAGAAGCGCGTCAGCGCGAAGCCAGCGTTGTGTGCCCCTTCAAGGAATTCAGTGCCTGCGACTGTAACGGAGATCGCAAGTACCGTGATTCTTGGAGAGCGGGATTTCCACAGGTTTTAAGAGATTGGGGTAAGATGAAACAGTTTCACAGGGGCTAGGGCTGCGACCGAGGCTGAAGTCACATGAGGGTGGTTTGGACAAGATGCTGTTGTTGGGGCTATCCATGCAAGTGTATAAGAACAGCGGGAGTAGAGATGTCATCAAACATGAGTTTGGTACGTTCCATACACCGTTGAGATTTTGGAAGGCGTAAAGCTCTTGCGGGCAGTACTTCGCGCCTCCAGGGCTCCTTCATTGACGAGCGCGCAGTTGCTTCTGCAGCAAACGCGGCTTCCATTTGTTTTGATTGTGCCCATATGTACCAATGCTGAAGTTGGATTCAGTCTATGTGCAGCCGCGACTCTCCTTCTCTTCCCACACGCCAAAACGTCCCTAGGCCTGCGTTAGTAGTGACGATTGAGGGAGCACGTCGAACGCGATCAAAAATGTCATTGGAACTTGGCTCAAGTGCTGTCGCTATTCTACAGCCATTGGTAAGGCGATTAGCTAGCATCCAGCCGTATAAGCTCACACTGCGGTCAACATGCCACGCGAAGCTCGGCATTCGGCCACACTAAGTCATTGGCCACGGATCACCAAAAGCAACTGGGCATTAATTTTGCAAGTGGGATGCAGTCCCAAGGATTACGGCCCCAAGATGGTTGGTCGGTTGTTTTCTACACGGTTTCAGCCGCGAATATGCAGCTACATATGCCCGGATGCCAGGCGTGCCAAACAGCCGACGCGGTGCGGACGTGGATCTGCACCACCCCAACTTCACTCTCGAAAGAGTCATCTGTCCCTAGAGGCCTGCCGAAAATAACACCACACACAGCGAGAGCTCGATTCTTGAAATTATCATAGGAGCGTACAAACACATTTGCTAGAGGCTGCAACAGTCTCCGCAGGCTGTTTATTACGTGTCCCTCCGCGTAGGTCTAGTACCTATAGAGCTGCTGTTGCAGCCCTAGCAGGGACAAATTAGTAAACTATACGAATAAGCTACTCAGAACAACACGTCTACTAACCGCTGCAGTAGCTATCTAGCTGCAATACATCAACACAAGACGCAATTACAGAGCCTGGACAACCCTAAGCATTACAGTTGTAACACATACGCAACAGTTACTGATAGTCTTCCCAGCCAGCCTGTTTTTAACTACACTGCCTGCAACGTCCTGTATCAACAAGCCCTTAGGTTGGAAAGCATTATCTCTCGTGCTAACATCTTTGTAGACATACTGACACGCTACCATCAGTGCCATGACATACTTTCTGATCACTAGAGCAGATGACCAGGATACTCCTCTTATAGTCAACGACATGACCATATTTTCCTGGGCAATACTAACAACCCCTTACTACCCAGTTGCAGGATGGACCCAACACTTGGTATACCCTCGAAGACTGCAGCCAAAGCCTTTCAGGCATGGCGGGCCTGACTCCCACCGTCAGACGTCTTGATCTTCTCAAATGGCTCTGAATAGTAGATAAAGAATAGTGTGAAGCGAGTTAGATTCATTGATCCGTGATTTTCTGAGCGTCAACCTGCAGCATGGTAACCGTAAAGCTGCGTAATTGATCACCTAACGATGACTCTGTCGCACAGCCGATGCCGTTCAGCTCGGCGCGTCGGAGTAAGATCGTCAAGACTTCGAGTCATGCACCAATCAAACGCGAAACGAAGACACACGACTCAGCACGTAGTTACGTCGAGAGATCCTATGCAGCGAGACGGGTCCCCATCCTGCGCACCCAATGCTTTCCTACGACGAACTGATCTACAACAGTAGACTCGAGTTTGCATAGATTGCGACTTCAGCAGATGAGTCTAGGCAGATAGAACATCGGAAATGATCTGGGTTGCCATAAGAACCTCCTCATCCTGAAATCGCCAGCCCACAACTTGCACGTGTGCGGGTACACCCTTGACGTCATCAATGTTAACTGTATCGAGTCAGCACGTGAAAACCATTGGCGTAAAGATAGACTTGCACCCAGGGACTTTCTCTGTATCTACCTCCGGGTCAACTTTCAAGAAGGGTATAACGCTTGCAGGAAACTACAAGGCAAAGTTAGCCCTTCAGTACATAGGTATTCATGGTGCATACTCCTGAGCTGAGTATCTTGGAGTAACTTACATCAAGCAAGTTCCAGATTACGGTGTAATGAGGCATCTTCACTTGGTCGTGAAGTGCCCCCACTCCCTTGTATGCTGGGCAAAGCACAACATCGAGAGAGTTCTCGCGCCAAATCTTACCCCACTCCTCAGTGTAATCTTCCCGTTCACGGTTGAATCTCCATACATCGCTTAGATCAAATCCGTCTCGCTTTTCCAGGACAGAGTTTTGCGCGTGTTCGATCAACGGCCAAATGGGTTCCTCTCCAGCAGCTGCGAGAAACTCCATTGCTGCATGATTTGTGTCTAGTTCAAAGCCTCTTGAGACAGCTTTGATTCCATTGAGCATGTCTGGAATCGTTTGGAGCATTGTGATCTCGTGTCCTGCAGCCTTTAGCTTCTCAGATGCGATTTTCAGCGCACGCTTGACCGGTGGATGGACGGGGACGAGGGGATCCTCGAAAAAGACTCCAATTCGTAAGCACGATTTCTTTGGAACATCTCTCCATGCAATGGCATGGGCCGTGGAGTCGATAGTCCATGGCTTTGCGGTGAGTAAAGCCTTCATGAACAGTGTCAGATCCTCCGCAGACACTGCTAGAGGTCCTAGAGTAGGAAGCGTGCCTGGCCAACCTTGCGGAATGAGCTCTTGCTGTCCGCCCCATGGGAGTCGATTCGAACTTGGCTTGAAGCCGTACGCGCCATTGACTAAGGCTGGCACGCGAATAGAGCCTCCAATGTCGCTACCAACCCCAAGAAGAGCAGCTCGAAATCCAACAATCGCACCCTCTCCAGAACTGCTTCCACCAGCTGTAAGTGAAAGATTGTATGGGTTCATCGTATGGCCAAAAACATTGTTGTACGACTCGCAGACCTACAGTGTGTCATCGTATTAGCGGAGGGAGATCTTCGAGGTGACAAGTGAGAGCACGAAGGAAGGCACGTACAAACAGCGTTTGTGGAACGTTGGTCTTGACGTACAGAACCGCTCCAGCATCGAGAAGCATATCGACAATGAAAGAGTTCTTGGCGGCAGCTGGTTTCTTGAGGAATGAAACGAAACCCAGGCAGGCAAACTCTCCTTCGTACATCAGCATATCCTACGCGGACTTTGTTAGATACGGGCCCAGTAGTTTCTAGAATACGTTTTACCTTCAGACTGATAGGGAGACCGTGGAAGGGCCCAATTGGTCTTCCTTCTTTAGCTAGATACTCGTCACATTGCTTCGCGCGTGCCAACGCCTTTTCGAAGAAAATTTCCGTCAAGCAATTTGTCTGACGCTACCTGTCAATTTGACTTTTATTTCCCAAAAGTGTTAATTGAGGGGACCCACCAGTTGTTGAGCAATCGCAGCCCGCTTGCAAAACGCCGTTGTGACTTCTAAAGATGTTATTGCGCCACAAGACATTTGATGGATGAGTGCGGCTGCTGTATGATTCTCAGTGATGTCTTTCTCCCGATCACTAAGAATGTTGCTCTCGCGGAGCAGATCAAAGGCACTAATTCTGGCAGTGTGGCTGACCTGGTCAGTAATGTCCTTTGGAAGCGTCCATTCTTGTGGAATCTTGGCTTTGAGATCTGCTCGTTTCTTGTCCACCAATGGCTGCCATGCAGGATCAAAAGGCATTGTAGGGTTTTTGGGAGCAAGGTTAAAAAGTAGAGAGAGTATAAACAAGTGTTGAGCGTTGGAGCGTTTGAGGTTGCCCAAACAGTTCACTTATAAGTACAATCCTGAAGTGAACGTTTAAACTATGTCTTATCTTTCAAGTCATGGGTGATTGACCCCGCGTTCTTAGCTATTTAGGCAACAGATGTGAGAACATGCTTAGGTACCTCGGCAACCTTTATAGATTATTTAATCGAGAGTTTACAAAAATACAAAGTAACTAACTAGAGCTGTAGAGGAGGTCTTTTAGTATGCGGGGCTAGGCGCTAAACACTTATCGTGTAAGAGTGTACTAGCACGCTGTTATCTTTTTCTCCTTATAACTACCGGATTTGGAAAACATAGTAATTAGCGTGACCACGACTATAATCCAGTCGCGTTGAGCTGACCGTTTCTCCAAGAATGGTTGGACGCTAAGGCCACTTGAAACTCTATGACCGGGCATTAGTAATCAAGTATAATCAAAGTCAACGGTCCTGTTGCTCCTAGTGCCTCCTTCTGATTGCTGACCTTGGTCGCTTTTCCATGCTGAAGAAGGGACAAGTATGCGCATTCGAGAACAACGGCTTTTTCTTTCGTTTCATGTCATATCCCATCATCTAGCTGCTGAGACCTAGCTAGAATGATATCCAAGGATGATTACCAACGGACAGACATGACTGGCCTTACGACTGGAGTTCCAAGTATTGGAGTCGTTCCGCCGCCTTCAAATTTGAAATTTCGAGAAGATGATTTTGACGTTATCGTCGTCGGAGCTGGTTACTGTGGGCTCACAGCTGCTCGCGACGCGACGATGGATGGTGCGTGTCTCCAAGCATGACAACATAAGCTGACTGAATGTTTACGAGAAAGGACTAAAAGTACTTCTGCTGGAAGCTCGAGACCGCATCGGCGGGCGATTGTGGTCGTCCAAAATTAGTGGATATCCGTTTGAGATGGGTGGCACATAAATCCACTGGGGACAGCCGCATGTCTGGCGGGAGATCGATACGAACCGAGATGACCTTGTTTGGTAGAGTCGGCGCTGCACTCGATGGTGCAATTGAACTTCTCATGTCACAAGACACCTCTGACGTCGTTCCGGAGGATGTTTGGAATAATTCCAAGGAGTCACACGCATCTACGGCGTTCTATTGCCGCTTTCCGAATTGCCAGCTTTCGCCAGTTGGATATGCATCCGACCAACTCAAAACCCAGCATGAAGGAAACCATTTTCGCCGATTGTATTGCAAAATTTTGTCTTGTTTATGGAATCGAATGGGCTTTGATAAGAAAGCTGCGCTCGACAAGCACACTAAGAAGTACCATAGCAATACCTTTTCGCTGCCAGTGCCGCCTCGGATTCAGCGCTCTTCGAACAACGATACAGTTGATCAGGTTCTTTTCGTTTCTCCTGAATGATCAGAGGCTTTTGTGCGGCAGCAACAATCGCAGCAAACGCAGGCTCAACAGCAAGGCGAGATGAGCATGGGTTTCCCAAACGCAATAAGCTGCATGAGCCCAATGTTTGAAAACACCTCAATAGTTCCGCTTGCCGTACTAGACGACTCAGATTGATTTCTTCGGCTGTCCTTGTATCTCCTGTCGCATCTGGCCAAGGTTGAACGACAGTTATCCGTTAGATTATCCTTAGAACTATGCATAATTAGCGCCTCAGATCCACATCTCTTACCGATAACGACTTACCAAGAGTATGACGCGATGCTAGCGACGTACCCCGCATCTCACCACGCTGCATCGCTGCTCGGTCAAGCTCGAAGCCGGTTGCCAACGTTTGCCTGCAGATCATAGACTGATACGAATGTACTTTAGGCTAATCAAGTCTAAATAAGCCGCACTGCAAACTGTACTAAAGTCAAGGTAAATCAACAAGATCACCTTCTTTGCTGCAACAGCACACAACAGCAACGCTCCAAGAAATCCTACAAAAACACTCAGTCATGGAGAATAAACAGCTCTATAGCGCTGTTTGTTTAGAATCATAATCTTGTCTGTTGGTAATTGTTGGTATCGATACTGCTGGGCAACATAGGAAAAATTAGAGTGCAGAATGGGGGTGGATGCTGCATCGGACTAGGTATCCGGCCAAGAACCTCGTATTCCTGGTACGCGGACCCGGCTGTCAAGTATACCTAGCGAGTCGACAAGTAATGCGGAGGTCTTGATCAGATTGCAACATAAGAGACGGCTTCGCATGTCCTCTACCGCTGGGTAACTGTAGAGTCAACACAGCACGAACGAACATGCATGTGTGTTGGATCCTTCTACATCTGTTGCTGAGCGTAACCCACGCTCAGCACTCAACCATTAACAATCCTATCCTACCGGGCTTCCATCCTGATCCCAGCTGCATACATGTGCCAGAATGGGACAACACATTCTTTTGTACGGCATCCACATTCAATTGGTTTCCTGGACTTCCTGTTTATGCAAGTAGAGATCTACAGCATTGGAAGCTCGTATCGAACGCTCTCAGTCGGCCGGAGCAGCTACCATATATGGCCTATAACAATCGCGGACAAAGCGGAATCTACGCACCCACGTTGAGATACCAAAATGGCACCTTCACTATCATAACGACTCTGGCCAATCAGGCATTGCCAAGAGAGAACCTCACGCGATGGGATAACATCATATTCAACACCCAAGATCCCTACGGCGAATGGAATGATCCTATTCATGTAGGTACAAAGCTGACTTATTGGCTATACTGACAGAGGGTCAGTATTACGGCCCTGGTATTGATCCTTCGCCATTCTGGGACGAGAACGGCATAGCCTGGGTGTCAAGCACATTCAACTCATCCGGTGTAGTACATGCACCCGTCAATCTCACGACCGGTGAAGTCACGCTACCTTTCAACTGGCTCTGGAAAGGCACAGGCGGCGCCGCACCAGAAGCAGCCCATGTCTACAAGAAAGATGGGTGGTACTATGTCCTGCTCGCTGAAGGGGGTACGCGTGAGAAGCATATGGTTACCATGGCTCGTTCGCGAAGCTTGCACGGTCCTTACGAAGGCTCACGTAACAATCCGCTACTGACGGCTTTCAGAAACACTGAGTCGTACTTTCAGGCCGTAGGACACGTTGACCTTTTCCAAGACAAAACTGGGCAGTGGTGGGCTACAGGTCTCGCAGTCAGAGCAGGCGGCAACTACGCAGACGATCCTTACCATGCCAATTTTCCAATGGGTCGCGAAACGTTTCTCACGCCTGTCACTTGGTCTGAAGGCGAGTTCCCAGTCTTTGAAAATGTCTCAGGCACGATCGCTGCGAATGTGACGCTTCCCCAGCTACTAGATCCGGACAGTGTCCCGTCCGCAGGTATCGGTCAACTCGTAGACGCCGATGATCACATAGAGTTCCCACCTGATGCCTTGCTTCCACCGCATCTTCTACATTGGCGCCTCCCACATGAGAAGAATTATGTCGTCTCACCACCAGGCCACCCTCAGTCCCTGGCCCTCTACGCTTCAATGTTGAACCTCACTGGCTATGACGGTGACTCCTCTCTTGGACGAGACCAAACCTACATTTCCCGCCGTCAAGCACATTCCCGCTTCCGATTCAGCGTCGAGATCGACTGGTCAAGACTTTCGCGCGACTCTGAAGAGACCGGTATATCAATCTTCCAAGATCAGAGCCAGCACTTTGAAATCAGCGTCATCATGAAAAGCAGCTTGGAACCAAGAAATCTGACAAGTGGGACACTGTACCCAGTACCAGCGAACGAGTATGGGTTGATCGACGATAATGCGCGATTTGTACCTGAGGGACCGGCACGAGCGTACATCAGGTTTGGAGGACTCAGTACGACAGCGTGGCGACGACCGGAGACCATGCGTTGGGTCGAAGAATTGACCGAGTTGCCCACAGAGTGGCAAGATGGGAAGTTGATGTTTGAGATTGAGGCGGTAAATACTACGCATTACAGTTTCTCAGCTGGGCTGGCAGAAAGTGATGAGGATTTGAAGCTGTTCGGCTGGGCTAGGGGTGATGAGCTGGTTCCTGTATACTCTGGTGCGTATTGTTGTTATCTTTCAGGGTGAATTTTGCTGACAATGACGATTAGGAGCAACTGTTGGCGCTTACGCTACAAGCAACGGTCGCTATGGTGAACGTGCCTTTGCAGCATACGTCTCGGACTGGCGATACGAAGGTCTTGAACAGGTGAGATCTGAGTGATACGGATGTCTGCAGAGCGCACGGGCGTTTGAAAGCACTCAAGATTCTTCTCGCCTTCGCTTTCGCCTTCTAGCTATGGCTCTGTCTTCGGTCAAGTCCACGATAAGGCTCGGTTTGAAGACGTATCGAGACCGTGCAAGGCTCTTGAGCAGATCGATGCAATGCGACATGGTATGGATCTTCGGTGGTTGAGAGTGTCTCCCTTCCCCATACGTAGGTATAGAACGGACGGTGGTGGCGCATTAGGGTTAGGGGTCCCCGTACGTCGCCCAGCATCTCAGCGGCGACTTCAAACCCACCATGTCCGTAGATACCAAAGACGAGCCCTTGTCATCTTCTTGTCGATTCTGTACATTAAAGTTGCAATGCAAGACTCACCTAGAGTATTTGGTCACTATCTACTCATACCATCTTTCTCTGCCTTCAAAAGCTTCTAAGTGTATTTTCATATACCATCATGATCAATCCCCTGTGTTTTCTAATCTTACGTCTTAATTGACTGTACATAGTTATACAAAATACTTACACAATCATTTGGTGGATGGTGATGATGTTGCTCAAGCAGCCGAAGATTGCTTTTGACTCGCACGCGCACACTGTTCTAGTGTCAGCCACAAGTAGTATACTCGTGGGTCCCGTATAGGTAGGCCCAGTACAACAGAGGTGCCGATTAGACAACACAGTCCAAGTCAAGGTAATGAAATGGAGCTTCGCGCTTGGCCGCTTTCTAAGCTCTTAACGTTAAAGTGTTTGCAAAGCTAATAAATCAGTTGCAAAAATTGTGCACACAGTCTGTTAATTCTGGCAGTAGTCTGCTGCACAGTTATAGGTGGTGTTAAAGGGAGGTATATGCCTTATGTACTCGGCCAATATGAGGTTGCAGCGGTGTCTTATCGCCGACGCTTCTTATCAGCGGCGCTTCTTATCAGCTCCCCCGAGGGCTGAGGAACGCTGGCTGGCTTTGGCATGGTGTGGCCGTGGACCTGCGGTACGCTTTGAGGCCCCGCGTAAGTCGTCTGAACGTCACTGCAAGCACACTCAAGCCATACAGACACGATGCAGCTGTGCCCCAAGGAGGTGTGCTGCTCGATCATGTGACATTGCAGGGTGCCCCTCGCTGACCCCGCGACAGCTCGACAAGCTCGTTATTTCCCAATTGGGACTGCTCGCGCAGCGCCGCCTGGCGAGAGGTGTTAAGCTCAACCGCACCGAAGCAACCGTATGTGTGCGGTCGTCGCTATGCCTGCCCACCGCTGATTCAGCCAGGCCCTTATCGCCAACAACCTCCAAGAAGTACCCCTCCCGCCTCACGCCTCCGTGACAGTCGCTGAAGCGCACAGCTCATCCGCGATGGCAACCACTCCGTCGCCGACCTCATGGCCATCGGCAAGACCATGCTCGGTCGCCGCCACGTGCAGCCCACCGTCGTGGCAGGCCTGCACGAGCTGATGGTCGAGGGCACGTTTCCCACGGGCACCTACCTCGTCACCGTCCACCACCCCATTTCGACCGACGACGGCGATCTAGCGAAGGCCCTCTATGGCTCTTTCCTACCCATTCCCTCCAACGACATGTTCCCTCTGCCCGAGTCGAGCGTATACGAATACGAGAAGCAGCCGGGTGCCATTGTGGCCGTAAAAGGCGAGGCCGGCGTCATCAAGCTGAATGAAGGGCGCAAGAGGATCAAGCTCAGGGTCAAGAGCATGGGAGACAGGCCTATACAGGTTGGATCGCACTACCACTTTATCGAGACCAATCCCCAGCTGTCGTTTGACCGCGTCCGAAGCCACGGCTATCGCCTGGACATCCCTGCGGGCACGTCCGTTCGATTTGAGCCGGGCGACACCAAGACGGTCACTCTGGTGCAGATTGCCGGTAATCAGGTCATCAAGGGCGGCAATAAGATTGCACCAGGTCACATCCACGACTTGAGCGTTGCAGAGAGTATCGTGGAGCGACTGACGGCCGGTGGTTTCCTCCACGTGCCAGAGCCTGCGGGTGATTCTGCACACATCGACGTCTGTACCATGGAACGCCAAGCTTATATCAGCATGTTCGGCCCCACAACAGGAGATTTGATCAAACTAGGTGCGACAGACCTATGGGTCAAGGTCGAGAAGGATCTCACACGATACGGCGATGAGTGCGCGTTCGGCGGAGGCAAATCACTCAGAGAAGGCATGGGCCAGGCTGGTGGACGCTCTGATACCGAGACCCTGGACACAGTCGTGACGAACGCCCTGATCATTGATTGGTCCGGCATTTACAAGGCTGATATTGGTATCAAGGACGGCATCATTGTCGGTATCGGCAAGGCGGGTAATCCAGATGTCATGGACGGTGTCGATCCGAACATGGTTGTAGGGTCTTGCACTGATGTCATTGCTGGCGAGCATAAAATAATCACAGCAGGAGGCTTCGACACGCACATCCACTTCATCTGTCCTCAGCAAGCTCACGAGTCAATCGCATCGGGCATCACGACTTTGCTCGGTGGTGGTACCGGACCAAGCACGGGCACAAACGCAACAACTTGCACACCAGGAAAGACCCATATTAGGCAGATGCTGCAAGCTATCGACACGCTCCCGCTCAACTACGGCATCACGGGCAAGGGCAACGACGCCGAGCTCGGGCCTCTACGGGAGCAGGCCGAGGCCGGCGTCTGTGGTCTAAAGCTGCATGAGGACTGGGGGACCACGCCCGCGGTCATCGATGCGTGCCTGACTGTGTGTGATGAGTACGACATCCAGACCCTGATTCATACCGACACTCTGAACGAGTCCGGCTTCGTCGAGCAGACCGTCGCTGCGTTCAAGAACAGGGTAATTCATACTTACCACACCGAAGGTGCAGGCGGAGGCCACGCACCCGACATTATCAGTGTCGTTGAGCACGACAACGTTCTGCCGTCATCTACAAACCCTACCCGACCATACACCCGCAACACTCTGGATGAACATTTGGACATGCTCATGGTGTGTCATCACCTGTCGAAGAATATTCCTGAAGACGTTGCCTTTGCCGAATCACGCATCCGTGCCGAGACCATTGCTGCAGAAGACGTCCTCCACGATCTCGGCGCCATATCTATGATGTCGTCCGATTCACAAGCCATGGGTCGCTGCGGTGAGGTCATCCTCCGCACCTGGAACACAGCGCACAAGAACAAAGTCCAGCGCGGCTACCTAAAGGAAGATCAAGACACCGGCGCCGACAACTTCAGAGTGAAGCGGTATATCAGCAAGTACACTGTCAACCCCGCCATCGCCCAGGGCATGGGTCATGTCATCGGCAGCATCGAAGTCGGCAAAGTAGCCGACCTCGTCCTCTGGAACCCCGATACCTTTGGCGTCAAGCCTGCGCTCGTCGTCAAGAGCGGCTTCTGCTCCTACGCCCAAATGGTAAGCCCAGCACCAACTTCGACTTCTCACACATAATACTAATCTCCACAGGGTGACCCCAACGGATCCATCCCCAAGGTCGAGCCCGTCATCATGCGCCCCATGTTCGCCCCCATGGTGCCCGCGTCCAGCATCACCTTTGTATCCCAAGCCTCCATCGACTCCGGCGCCATCGCGTCCTACGGGCTGCGCAAGCGCGTGGAGGCCGTGAAACACTGCAGAGACATTGGCAAGCGCGATATGAAGTTCAACGACGTGAGACCGAAGATGACGGTTGATCCTGAGACGTACCGCGTCGAGGCGGATGGGGTGCTGTGCACGGCGGAGCCGAGCGAGGCGCTGCCGTTGACGCAGGCGTTTTTCGTGTATTGAGCCGCGTAATCTGTATCGAGAAGCCGACTCGGCGTGTTCAATCCAAAATATTGTGTCGCTTGCATTGGGAATTTGGGTTCGTGCTGGATGGAGTGCCTGGTCGTGCTCTGGATTTACGACTCAGCGCGATTTGAGGATCTATCTGTTGAGCGTGGTTTGAGGCTGTGAGTACTGCGACTGTTTCCAACGAGATCTTGATCGTCGCGTAGTCAGTCGTGGTGTTGAGCGCGCTGTACGTCAAGAATGAAATATTGCCCATTCGTTGTGTGCATGTACGGCTACGGGTTGGCGTTTTGGAGAGCGGTGTCAAGATTCCTGAACATGTCCCCTAGAGTGTGGTCTGAGACTTTGACCGTCACGTTTGTTTCGACTGAGAAACAGCCACCAGATCTACTGTAAGTAGTCGGTATGCTGGACGGCATGGCCACTTTTCGTTGTCAGAGTCGCTCCTAGAGAGGTCTATTCCGGCGGCTAATCTAATGGTATAAGCCGTCACTGCATCCTACTAGGGCCGACAAGCTTTTTCGAAGACTTGGAAAATCGTGCACGATGGAGAGGAATATCTGCGGATTGCATGTTCTACCCGTTTTCAGAGGAGGGGATATTCAGTTGCTGTTGGACTACTTTTTGTGTCTTGCCCGGCGGCTCTTGGGGTTGCTAGGATTGTTTTCTACCGAGGTAACGAGTGTATAAGAAGCTTGTCATGTTGCTGGTCAATTGCGGATATTTCCGAGCGAGATGCTTTCCTCATTTGATCAGCGCCCTTTGATCGGAGTCGAGTGGGAATCAGAGGTCACGAACAGCTCATGTCAACTGACTGGTGGCTTGTTCATGTTCGTCAGTAGGCCAGAAATCCTGCGCTTATACGGGACGCGTAAGTATGAGCTTATTGCATCGTTCAACAAGTATTGCGGTCCGACCACCCAGGGAAGGACTGTTACTCTCGTCGTGAGTCTTTCCTACCTATCTGCGTCTAAATGGAGTCATTAAGTTATTCTTTTGCAGCTTATTGGCTGTGATAAGAATGAATTGCTCCCTACGAAGGTGTCAATTGGTCGGTTAGACGTGCCTGCCTGCCTGGAGTGAGTGGACCGAAGTCGGCGCGGGCCTTCCCGCATGGACCCTCGAACATTCATGGTTCATTCACTGCAGCTCGACCTTCGTGCAACCGCTCTTACCGAACCCCATGCATGTCACGCTCGCAACAAGAGGTTCATGCATGATGTGCCATACCAGAGTGGCTTATTCCTCGAAGCTTGGCCAGACTGCTCGAAGGAAGGAACGTGCCACCCTGACGTGTACCGCATCCACGGATTCTCACATGCACGCGAACGCTCGACACCCCCTCCATCGACCAGGTATGGAATATTGTGCGCACATCATCCATGTGTCCTCGTCTGTTTACTCGTCTCCGCGAACCAGAGCCCACACACAAGCCGTGGCCGATCCGAAGACCTTGCGTCGGTCCACAAGTGCCCTGCAGAAGTGCAGACGATCTCCTGGAAAACCCGATTTCCGCCCATCACGGACCTGAGACATTATGAGGCCAAGAAATGACCGACCAAATTTTCACTGTCTACAACTTGGCCAAGGCTCTTTCGAGCTCTCGCCGCTCCGAGCCAAGCCTTGGGGCAGCCTGCCGCTACTTGGCACGCCTAGCACGGAGGACTGTCCGTTACTATGGCGTTTTGCCCCACACATGTTCGTAGCATGATTGGAGACTCGACCGGAGAGTGATCGAATGAAGGATCTAATATCTAATCTAATCACTAACTTCCTGGGCGCTCCATCTTATCAGATCATGGAGCAATGAGAGGTAGCTGGGCCGCCCTATCGTTGAGCAATCCAGAAGCCTCGTGGTGGGGAGAATGAACAATTTTTACCTTCCCTGTCCGGTAGTCGGCGCGTTGGCAGGGGCAAATATCCCATCGCATGGCGAATCCACTGCGTGGGTACCGGGTATATAATCCTAGCTAAAGCAGCCCGTCCTTCCGCTCGCTGTCCTCAAGATCCATCGCTCTGCACAAGGCACACGACTGGGTTCCACCACAACTCTTCCATCATGAGTTTCCCCGCCAGTGGTCCGCAGCCCACGGCTGGCATCAACCAAGCATCTTCCAGCTTTGATGCAGAGAAGAATGGCCCCATTGTTGGCCAGTCCGGCAGCCAGGATGCCATCAGCAACACGGATTCAGACACCAACGAGTACGACATCGATGGCGAGAAAGTCCAGGAATTCCAGAAAGGTGTTGAGCGCGTGCGAATTATCACCTCCATCTGGAGTAAACCCACGCTCATCAGCATGCTTTGTCTGTGAGTTTAGCGTGCATGTTAATTGCTTACGACTCCTGCTAATCCCGGCAGATTGTATCTGATCCATTTCGTCGACATGCTCCAGAATTACATCGACAGTGGTTTGAACGCGTACATCACTTCTGAGTTCGGGGCCCACGGCTTGCTCACCGTCGGATCCGTCGTTTCTACATCTCTCGGTGGTTGTACACCACTCACCCTGGCGAAAATCATCGATATTTGGGGTCGTGTCGAGGGCTTCGTATTTATGCTTGTGGTCTGTGTCGCTGGCATGATTGTTAAGGCTCTTTGCAAGAATGTCCAGTCCTACATTGGTGGCCACATCCTTTACTGGGTTGGTCATATCGGTCTCTTATACGTTATCGACGTCATGTGCGCCGATATGACAACTCTCAAGAACCGCATGATCATCTTCGGTCTCAATACGACCCCCAGGATTGCTGCAACCTTTGCTGGACCGAAGCTTGTCGAACTCTTCTACTATGGCTCCGCTGGGTGGCGATGGGCATTCGGAGCTTTCATCATCATCCTCGTCGCCTGCAGTATTCCTGCCATGGGTGTCATGCTATACATGTACAGCAAAGCCCGCAAGCAAGGTTATGCCAAGAAAGAAAGATCTGGGCGCAGTCTCATCGCATCATTGAAGCACTACTTCATTGAGCTTGACAGTAAGTTTGCGTTGAAAACACCTGTATGCTAGTACTAACGAATGCTAGTCTTCGGCATCATTCTGATCATGGCCGCCTTCAACCTTTTCATGCTGCCCTTCACTCTCCAGGCATACGCCCCCAACGGCTGGAAGACCCCGTACATCATTGCCATGATCGTCCTCGGCTTTCTTCTGTTCCCTGTGTTTGGTCTGTATGAGAAATACGTCGCCCCGGTGCCATTCCTTCCCTGGAAGTACCTCAAGGAGCCAACCATCTTTGGTTCCTGTCTCCTTTACGGTGTCATGTTCCTTTCGGTCATGTGCTGGAACGGAATGTACTACTCGTACCTGCAGGTTGTTCACAGGGTTAACATCGTAGACGCTGGTTACATTGTCAACGCCTTCGGTCTCACTTCTGCTATTTTTGCAACCCCTATCGGAATCATCATCAGCCTCACGGGTAACTTCAAATGGGTCGCGATGGCTGGAGTTCCTATCACCCTTCTTGGAACAGCTTTGTTGATCCCATTCCGTCAGCCTGACGCCCCTGTTGGTGTTCTAGCTTTCACCCAAGTCCTTGTTGGTCTCGGCACTGGCATCTTCGCTACATGTGGTCAGCTTGCGGTCATGGCCCCTGTCACTCATCAGCAGATTGCGTCGGTGAACGCTCTTTGGGGTCTTTTCGGTGGTTTCGGCTCTTCCATTGGCTTCTCCATTGCAGGCGCCATGTGGAACGGTATCACTCCCGGCAAGCTTTACGAGCTTTTGCCCGAAGAATCCAAAGACCAGTCTCGCCTTATCTTCGGAAACCTGACCATGCAGATGGAGTTCCTCGATGGCACACCTGAGCGTGCCGCCGTTGTTGGCGCGTACGCTCACTCCCAGCGCTTGATGGTTATTGCAGGTTCCGTCACCGTTCCTCTTTGCATTGCCTCCATTTTCATCTGGAAGAACATCAATGTCAAGAAGCTGGAGGCCGAGCATGGTAAGCAGACCAAGGGAACGGTCTTCTAGATGCTTTCACGGCCCTGTTACCACATAGACTGGGGATTGAGTCGCTGGGCGCTCGTGGCGATGAGACGTGCTTATGTTTAATGATGCACGCCTATATGATAGGAAAAGCATAATGGTTAATACTCCGCAATAACAATGAGATATTGCTCTTTTGAAACTTGATTGATCATACTTATCCTTCTTACCTCGTGATGAGAGAAAGGCCCTACAAGGATCTGCAATGCTAACTTCCGGGTACCAAATGGTAGGTATGCCTCCAAGAACACGTGTCTTATTTCAGTTCATGCAATTCGAATTTCTCTTCAACAGCTTCTTCGTGGGGTCTGCCTTTTGGCTCAAGTGAGATCGTCTCCGTAACTCCAGTTCTCCCATGCTTGGATTTGCGTTGTTTCAGTTCTTCCGCAATTGATGATAAGTATTACGTACATACGCAATCTCAATGTTGTTGTGGCGCGCTGAAAGACAGCTGAGGTATGTCCAAGCTGTATTCAATTCCCCTTTTGGATAAAGAGTACCATCTCATGTTATATGCTAGAGATGTGTTCCATAAAAGTCTTTCTCCACGAGGACTTAGTCGACGGATTCGTGTATCATGTCCACTAAGGTGCGATGACGTCATCTGACATGTATACTATGCGACATAATTTCCCTTACATGTAGGTCTGCCGACACTCGCGTGTTGACTTTTGGATATTTGAACGACGACAAGATCCTCAAAATCGCAAAAGATGCCATCTTTGCTGTCAATAGCGTCAGTGGCGTCAGACGCGTCAAGGGCGTGCCAAACTCCCGAGGTCGGCTTCTTATCGATAGCTAGAAGAATATCTACGTGAACTCACCCTTCTAATGTCCTAACATCACTGGGCATTGTTAATATCCTTCGTTCAAATCACGTCGTTGCAATTGCCTCTACCAAACCGACCGTCATCATGATGCGCAGGAACTCCGCCGTTCTGCGTGCCGTCGCGCCTGCCGTCTCCCGCTCTACCACCACTCAGACCCCCTCGCGACCCTTCTCTTCGACACCGCCCGCATCTTCCGAGCTCGACTCCGCAGCATTCGGCGAACGGCACATCGCCAAAGGAATTGGCCGTCTTACAAAGCATGTCTTCGAGGAGGGCCAGGGCACATTCATCACGACCGACAAGGGCGTCAAGCTTCTTGACTTGACATCTGGAATCGGTGTCGTGAACCTCGGCCATTGCCACCCCAAAGTCAGCGCTGCTGCCGCAGCTCAGTGCAGCAAGATCACACATGCTCAAGTCAACATTGGTTTCAGCTCCGCGCAAATCGCCCTGCTCAAGGAGCTGATCCCCATCCTCCCACACAAGTCTCTGGACACCGTCTTTCTTTGGAACTCGGGCGCCGAAGCAGTCGAGGCAGCTATAAAGCTCGCACGTGGCGCAACAAAGAAGCCCAACGTCATTGTTATGCAAGGTTCTTACCATGGTCGTACCAACGCAACAGCATCGATGACCCGGTCAAAGACCATCTACGGCGAAGGACATGGGCCGTTGATGGGTGGTGTTTTCGCAACAGCATTCCCGTACTACAGCCAACTCGGTGGTGCCACTCCCGACACACCCACCGAAGTGCTTGTCAACTACGCTCTTGAACAGGTCAAGCTCACATTACAACAACAGACCTCGCCCGCAGACACATGCGCCATCATCTTGGAGCCAGTCCTTGGTGAGGGAGGCTACGTCCCTGCCCCTCCAGCATTCTTGCACGGCTTGAGGAAGATCTGTGACGAGAACAACATTCTCCTCATCGCTGACGAGGTTCAATCTGGCATGGGTCGTACCGGTCACATGTTCTTTGTCGAAGAGTCTGGTGTCCGACCCGATATCCTGATCTTCGCCAAGGGCATTGCAAATGGCTTCCCGCTCTCCGGTATTGCCAGCTCAAAGGAGCTTATGGACTTGCAAAAGCCCGGATCCATGGGTGGCACATATGCGGGAAACGCTGTTGCCTGCGCCGCCGCCAAGGCTGTCATCGAGGTATTCCGCGAAGAGCACATTCTCGACAACGTCGCCGCGCGGTCCGAGCAGCTATTCACCTTCCTCAAAGACCTCAAGAACTCTGGCACCAAGGCCGGTAACTTGATCGAAGACATCCGCGGCAAAGGCCTGATGGTCGGCGTGCAATTCGCAAACCGCGCACTCCAGTCCGACTCGTCAAACGTCGCTGCGTGGGACGCAAAGTCGCAGCCCCAGATTGCGCCTAAGGTTGTCCAGGAGAGCATCAAGCGTAACATGCTGTTGCTGAGCACATCGGTGTTCGATGTTCTAAGGTTCATCCCCCCGCTTACTATTAGCGAGGAGGAGATGACACAGGCTTGCGGCATCTTCAAGGAGTCGTTGGAGGCTGTGGCGAAGGAATTGTAAAGTATCTTGACTGGGATTAGTTATTTGAAGCGTTATGTATGCCATTATGAAATTTAGATCACACTATACCGCACTAGTAATCCTTTGATGGCGATGTTGCTGTATTCATGTTTGACGTAAATTGAATGGCGTGGAATTGAAGCAACGTAGAGAGAACTAAAAATGACAGTGTATCACAGGACAGCAGCCTCGAGATCAAGGAGCTGTCTTGTACTGGTGGACGCCTTGAGCATGATCAGAGAAATGAAGTCTGGCTGGAAGGGTTAGGGTTGACAAGCCTATGACTTTAATGCGCCTTGAGACGGGACGTTGTTTTGGTTGAAACGCAGGACGTGATCATGCTAAGTTCGAGAACGATGAGAGCCCTAAACTCTAGACTGGAACCATTTTGCAACACAGCGGTAAACTCGATATGTTGGTAGGCGATCTGGTGTGATTGCGTGACAGTCTATCAGAGGCACAAAAGATTGATAATTATTTTAGTATCATAGCGGGATGCGAAGGCGCAAAAAATTGTTGCTCATCCAATAAGGTATTTTTCGAAACAGACTCTCGTCTCTCGGCTAGCTCGCTGCACTCTTTGCGCTTTTTGAGTCCCCGTCAATTTCGACCAATTGCACAAAACTTCTCTCGTCTTCGGCAGTGGTATGCGGTTTCTTTGTATGGCTGACTCGGAATGTAGTCTGAACATTGATCTCGTTTCCGGTGAAAGTGTTGAGTCCATGGCTGCGTCCAGATGGACCTGCCGTGTCCTTCGCTGTCGATTGGTTTGTGCTGCCCATGATCTTGGGGAACAGTCGAGTGAGACCCAGGCGGATTGCGGGCATGCAGGTGCAGATGATGCCGACTTGGCATTCGATGACGGACCAGAGACTGGCTTCGAGGTAGTCCCATGTCATGTCGGTTGTGTTGGCGAAGTGTACGAGCGACCGGAGGCGGAGCATTGAAACAATCGTGACGCTATAACGGCCAAAGTTAGATTTCGCCACTTGATGGTACCGATGGGGGAGGAGCTTACAATGCACCAACGCTGAACATGAGTAGCACCCCGATCTTCTTTTTCAAGCCCAGATGCAGTTTCCATATCTGAGTTATCGGGAGCGACAACGTGATAAAGTCCACGAAAATGCTGTGGGCAGCGTGCGTGAAGGCCAGTCCATTGTTGTTGATGCATGTTCCGGTATGTTCGCCATCCCATTGTTTCCATGCAAAGCTGATGGGTGTGCAGACAAACGTAGCTGCAAAGCCAAACGCTATCATCGACGCGATCTGGACGTAGATGACAATCCACACGATTCGTCGAAATCGCTTTTCTGGGAAGATCTGGAGGAAGAAGAGCAAGAACGAGATCTTGATGAACCCGAGAGTCAGGAAGTAAGCGATCTCACTGATCCAGAAAAACTGTACATGCAGGTCAGAAAAGAGAGGCGAGTCGGAGAAGGGAAGCCATACCAGAAGTGTTGACGTGATGTCTGCGAAAGGGACGTTCCACATGTCGAGTCCCAATCCAGTGAATGACATCTTGTAACACACGGCAAACAGAACTGTGTTGGAGACCAAAACCATGACCATGTTGCCGTCATCCACCAACTGCAAACGTCCGACCGTAAATCGTACGACCCATTGAGCCATCATGGCAGAGATGGCCAAGCAGTAGAAGGCCAGGTTGATCCTTCTATAGCTTATCGACTTGTTGCGAATAGGTTTGTCGGCACATGCTGTCAACGTGATGTTGAGTCCGCTCAGACCGTCCTTGCGACCGCATGATGCCGAAATGCAGTCCCTGGCCAGGTCCAACGTTGTAGTATCGAGACACGCACAAGATGCTCCAGACGACGCGAGCGGTTGGCAGGATGTACTTGCGAAGGTGCTGTTGACGCAGTCTTGCTACACCAACAGTCAGATCGGATGATGACGATGCCGCGAGGTTAGGGAAGTAGTGCTTACTGCGCAGGCTGGCAGAGAACTGAAATCATGCGACTGAGCGCCACAAAAGGCGATCAAGAAGCACGATGCTACAAGAAGCCACACATGCAAATTTGAGCGCATGTTAACGTATGTAGCAATAGGCCTCTGTGATGAAGGAATACACTTCGAATGTAATAGAGTTTCAAGGCGCCTGCGGTGCCAAACGGGTCATTATAGGTGTTCCTGTCAACGTGCGTGCAGAGGTGCCAGACCCCTTTGCAGGGCGCCTGGGTTCGATTCATGCCCGCACGGTGATGCTCCCATGCCGCTGTGGGGCGGGCAACAGATCCCCCATACAATCATCCTTGATGTGGGTCTCGAGGCCCTGGTCTGAGTCGCAAGGGATACTATTAGAACGAGTGCACGATCTCGTCGAACTATCGCCTGGAAGACGTGCAATCTCAGTTGCGCGGAGCGCGACCCGGCAAAGTGATTTGGCTCGAGTATTGGCTTTACGAAGTACAGAGGTATAACCCAGAGGCATAGGATGATTCCAGAACCACTAAAATAAAGTTTACCTCTCGGGAGGAGGCTCAAAGAGCCGTGTGGAGTCACAGGTAACTTCTTCAGCCATCATCCTTGGGGCGTGCGCGCACGCGCCCGCTGCTCGATTGATCCATGGAAGTAACGAAGCTGGAAGCCTTGATTCCCGAGGTGAGGCGCCCACCAGAGCCTGCGCGCACGACCAAATTTTGCTTCTGGAACAATCGCGACACCTGCTTAAGGTTGCGGTTGCGATCAGCCACGCGCTGGGGTTGAGGCGAGGACGAGTCACGGCGGCTGAGTTGCGGATCCACCCGACCACGGGAGAAGGCGTCTACGCGCCACACGCTAGACGCGCCTCGAGGAAAGCAGGTGTGCCGAGACTCGTGTCGCACCTGACAGGTAAGTGCCGCATGCTGCACAGGCACCCTCATTGGGGTTGACCAGTGAGCGTGCGTGCTTCTATGGTCTGTGCCCCCCCCCCCCCCCCCAGCCGATAATGCACAATTGATAAGGACGCCGCAAACATCGCCCAGCACAAAACAGCTTCGGTTGCTACTTGGTGTGTTGTGCCTCCGTCAGTGCAATGGGCAGCTTGACTTACGACATAAACTTTCTTTTTTCGAGAGAACCCTACAATTGTTGTCCACTGTGGGAGGTCCTCGAAGACCACATCAATCGGCCCTGAAGTACCCAGCTTCTCAGTGACTCCACAAAACCTGGTTCAATGCAGCAATGGCCGTCGCCCCGCAAGTTTCGCGGCTGCTTTGTTCCGTCTGCAGGGCCTTCCCTTCCTGCCATTACAATGTAACCAACCACTTTGGGATCTTGATCACCAGCAGACGTCAAGGGGCGCTACTTAGCGTAGACGGAACATCTGCTCCCAGACAGTCCCCTTCCAACTCAGGCGACTGTATCTGACCATTCAGACGTCATCGCTTATAACTATCCATTTGGTATGTAAGGCTCGGGTAGCCGTCCACAACTTTTCCTAACCTCCCACTTTGCAGAATATACAGCAGACTAACGGTGCGAGCTAAATATTCTACCACGCGACAGCAGAGCAGAGAGAATACACAAAGACTCTAGAGAACACTGTTATGCCTATGATATAGGTAAAGCTTAGCTGGTTTCACATGCAGACTATGTGGTTATTGAACGTATCAATGCCCACACCGGAGACAAAAGAGTGTCAGATAATTGGGTAGCATGGGTCCCGGAAGCTAAGTGTATGTACTTGTATAGACGAGCTTGTGTATGACGGAATCCAGTCTTCTCAATACCAGTGTGATAGTCTATGCAATCTGTACCAATGTCCGATCGGCAATGATGATGTGTAGCAGATATCAAGAGCGACCGATCATATTACCGCATGTTACGTTTGAGCGCGAGTAATTTTACACATCAATGAGTTTTTGGTCCACAGCGCAAAAGACAGTTGATCGATCCAATCTTGACTTTTGTCGCATAATTGTAGATCGAAGCGTAGCACGATTGAGGCAAGGATGAGCCTCATCTCATGCATAGCCATATTCTGACCAAGACAGTTTCTGTGTCCGAAGCCAAAGGGCTGATGGGCTTCTTGTATGTCATTAGCGTAGAGTGGTTCCCCAAGCCATCGCTCGGGTGCGAATGCATCGGGATCTCGGAAGTTGCTCTCAGAATGGTAAGTTGAATAGTGGTGTACAGATACTCGCGTATCCTGTGGAATCCATCTCCCAAGAATCTCCTGTCCATTCTCAGGAATTACACGTGGACTTCCGATTGGCACGGGAGGATATATGCGAAGAGCTTCTTTCAAGCAAGCGTTCATATACTTGCATTCAGCAAGACTCTCAAAGGACATGTCTTCTGTTGTCTGAAACGCGGTACGGATCTCTCGAGTTAGACGTGCCCACTTCTCTGGTTGAGACAGTAGATAGAAAGTCAGACCGCTAAGAAGAGTCGCTAAATGGAAGATGAGCAAAGGCATGCATTTTGTGTGACGCAGAACTCGCCTGTTGTTTCTGATCCTGCCAGCATAAAAAGTTCGGCGTTTGAGTGCATCTCTTCTAATGAAAGTGCCTTTTCAGTCGATTGCGCCGAAACTACCAGATTCCAGATATCGGGCTGATCAGAGCCTTGTTCCAATCGCTGGTCTACGCGATCGGCAGAGTGCTGGCAATGTTCTTTTCGTTGTGCAGTCACCCACTTCGGTTCAAAACGCGTGAAAAGAGCATCGAGCAGCGGGTAATAAGCTATTATGGATGCAAATGGCAACATCTTCAGTGACTCGAAGACAGAGCGGACCCATGGGCTGAGTTCGTTCTTTTCCAATAAACCAAGCGGATGACCGAAACATAATTGAGCCATGATATCGAAAGTGGCGAAGTTGTATAGTTGAGTCAGCTCAGCAGGTTCTCCAGTCTCTGCTCTCTCGTTCAATTTCGACAACAGAACGTCAACACTGTCGGCGAAGAATTAGGTAACGGTCTCAAGCGTCAAGGATGATCTTGTATAAGATCGACGTACTATCTCTTGAACAGCGGCTCTTGCTTCTTCAGTGCGCGGTCGGAAAATGCGGGCGAAAACAGGCGGCGGACTCGCGCATGATCGTCGAAAGTGGCATTCAGCATGCTGGGAACACCTTAAATACAATGATCAGTCCAATAAACAGACAGCCCATAAGTGAGAGTCACCATTGACGGGTTGCACTGAGAATTCTGGTGCTTTCGCGTTCTCCACCCTTCCCTTGCCATATCCATGGATATCTTTCCAGGCTGAGGCAGTGGCGTAGCTCAGATCTGTTGGGCCAAAGCGTACTATAGGGCCGTATTTGATGTGCAGCTCATGTAGCCAGCGAACGTCTTTTCCTCGGACGCATGAAAGCCAGTATGGGATCCGGCTAATGCCACACAGCTTTGGACCAGGAACATCAGCAAGTGGATGTAGCGTTAAGGAGTAGATTGAACCAGCGATGGCATATGCGCAGAACAAAGATGTTCCAAGCACAAGGGCCTTCCAAGACAGAACGAAAGTGGTTTCAAAAGACGGTAGACCGCCGATAGCTTTCTCGATTGCGAGAGTCATACCTATCGTAAGTAGGGAACCAGTGAAGTCGGAATCTCTCCAAATGATATGGTAGTTGAATAGCCACGGTGTTCTTAGCCGAACGGCTGTTCTACGGTCGTTCTGCGGACAGGCTGTACAAATGAAACTGGCTATTGACAAAAAAGCGAATGAGGATGCAGATCTTGCTTGGGAGTCGTATCTATGATCGTCACTGCACTCTTGCGGACACCGGAGTAATGCCTCGAAGGCTGTACCGGTGTGCCTGACACATGCATGATACATACTAAGGAATGGAATCCTTGTCTGTATTGGGGTCGTAGCAATCAGTAGCCAACGACTAGTACATGGATTCAGCATGTGCCCCACGCTCTATGGCAGTGCGTTGTCCCTACGAATGCCCACATCTCAGAAAAGACTAGTCCGTCCTTCATCGTTAGCCAGTCCGCCACGCTAGTAAATTTATGTGTGACCTTCATGTTCACAATTTCGGCTGTGCTAACCATTCGAACTCGCGCATCATAACCACTTCCTCCATGCTATGAACCGCTACCCTGTCAATTTGGATTGGATTTTTGAAGAACCCCGACCCCAAGCGCTTACTGCAACCGATCATAACCCACCCCATCAACAGAAGGCAGGAGAAAGGTCTGGCAAAACTTTGATGTTTTCAAACCAAGACGCCGTTTTCCCGGCGCGCGGGCACCCCCAGGGGTACCTGTGAGGGTCTTCCGGGGCCGTGCCCCACGGCTGTATCCATGCGTGTGACCGAGAGCGGGCTTCACAGCATCGGAAAATAAACAAGAATGTCATACTTAGTGTCTCTCACGATCTGGTATCATACTGAATTTTCAATTTGATCATGGCTACCACTGCTGCAGGCTCGCCCTCAGGTGAGCAAATAGCTGCTAGCGCTTATGCTCTGGAGCCACTCACACCGCAGGGGGTTTCGCGTGCCATCGTCGTACTTTCTATCTTTCTTGCTGTCATCTCTACAACCGTTGTCGGTCTCCGCGTTTGGGTTCGAACTGGTATGTCAGGAGCTTTAAGCAAGGTGTGGTATATTGAGGACTATCTTCTCGGACTGGGCTACGTGAGTACGGCTATGATCCTACACTATTGATTTACTTCTGCCAACAATTCGTTCTCTAAACTAGGTACACACACTCGCTAATATCGAGTAGATTCTCTCTATACCCTCCACAGTCTTCGGTATTCTTGCAGCTTACCATGGCGTTGGCATGCGTGATATTCAATTGCCTTCTCCGCTCTATGCGGTCCGCGCAAGTGAATACATCATATACTGGGAGGTTTTCTACTTCATCGCCTCAACGATGGTCAAATGCGCTATTGGCTTCACTTGCACCCGAATAGATCGACGGAGACGAGTTACCCATCCGATCTTCCTCAACCTCTTCGTTATGGTAGTTATTGCAATACTGGCCTTAATATTCGTATTCTTCAATTGCAGGCCCCTCGCAGCTACGTGGAATCCCGGGTTGTAAGTTTCATTTCTGGCTACATTGTCATTCTCATTACACATTGTTGACCAATTGGCAGAGGATCGTGCCAAAAGACTATCAGCTTGGAATTAGTAAGCTACGTAGTTTCCGCAGTGCAGGCTGTGACCGATTGGGTTTGCGCCCTAATCCCGTGCTACGTCGTCTCGAAGCTACAAATGCCCCGTGCAAGGAAGATATCCGTCATCTGCATCCTTGCACTTGGTATCCTTGCTAGTATTACTACTATTGTCCGGCTACCCTATCTGAAGTATTACAATACAGCTAAATATCCGAATGATCTTGTGTGTAAGTTTTCGTTGATTTCCACGTTGTATGATAAGGAGCTGACTTCATCCATCGATCAGTCAACATCGGTGTGATAATGATATGCTCTAACCTAGAGTGCAGCCTTGGCATCGTCGCATGCTCGCTGCCTCCGCTACGTAAGCTGTTCAGTATCTACTACAAAGGTTGGAGCAGTTATAGGAAGGACGCTTATAAGGTAGGTTTTGATACTCACAAGTTTAACGAGACTTGGCGACTGAACCTGGATCACTATGTGCATTAAGCTGACTCGAGCGAATAGGGCGGCAATATCCATAGTTCAAGCACAAAGCCAACTCCACTGACCCCGCTGAGTCCACGTACGAAGTATATATCTCAAGACCACATGCAGTCTGGGAGCGGCAGATGGAACCGATTGACGGATGAAGACTCGAGCCAGAGAGGCATCATGCGTCACAACGATATTTCTATAACTGTCAAAGGCGACGAGCTCGTCTCACCGATCCAGTGATCTTGACTTAAAAGCTGCCTCGTCAAGAATGGAATGATGGCAAGTCTCGATAACTTTTCATAAGAGACCGTATGTAACTGGGTCGTCAGCGGTTTCCTGGACTGAGGCTACGAGCTTCTCACGAAGATCAGACGACAACAACACATGTCTGGAACTTCTCTTCGATTGCTTCACGATGAGCCATTTGGACCCTACAACGACGGTCTCGTTAAATCAGGGCACGCTTACAACCAAGCTCTGCTCGACGCTTCCCGTTCAATGTAACGGTAAAGAGACTCCATCATGGTCAGTTTGCAAGTTTGCAAAATGTAACTTTAATCAGCCGAATTGGAATGCACTAGCTAACTAGACATCACAGGGCTCATACCACGACCGAATTGTTGATTCGATAGGATTTCAAACTTGATGGGACTACGTGGAGACTCTATGGTCACGGCTAGATCCTACGCCTGCGCTTATGCTACGCAGTCATTTTACTAATCGGCTCACCTTCCAGTGGGTATTTCCGCACTTCAATGCCCAATCTACGTCAAAATCTACATCTTCCACTCGTCTGAAACCCTCTTTACATCTTGGGTACGTGCATGGAAGCAATCGTCCACACTTTAGCATTCCTCGTGTGTGATGACAGTGTTGGTATACGTTTGTGCCGCAATTATCCCAGTGCAACCACCATTACACTCTGTGCCAGTACCATAGCCCCTCTGACATTATTATCAGTTGGTGTGGCAAGAAAGCCTTTGCTTGAGCGGAGAACATGCCATGTTAGGCCCTGATTTGTGCGAGAACATAGACGGTGCTTTTTCGTTTCCAGATCTGTCGCGGTCTGCTTCCACGTCTCATCATCCGATTGCAACTCATATAGGATCTCGACCTTCAAGAAAGTCAATTCATGCATATGGGATGTACCAGATGTTAATAATGGCAGTCAGGCGCATGTCACGCCAGCCGCTCGAAGCTGGAGTTGTCGAGCAGCTGAAGACACGAAAAGTTGTTTCACGCACGCCACATAAGGGAGGTAATACAGGATAGATCGGTGAGATATTTCGGACACCTCTGATGTTTTAGCGCATTCTATTGAATCTGTAGATACGAGCGGTTTCGTGGTGCCCTTGGATCACATCTTGAAGGACTATTGTATTAGATCTCAAGTGTATGTACAAGATCCTGGAAACTATGGTATAAAACATCATACATTTCTTTCTGTGTTAGCTATCTTGGAATTCGTGAAACACGTGATATCTGGGCAGAGCTGGAATAGCTTCTTCTGAATTGTTACTAATCTTCCTCGAGTAGACAGTTAGACTTCCAGGTTGGAAACTGTACTTTAGTCAGTCACGGTTTCTACTTAGTCATCTACGTCATCGTCTTAGTCACACAGAGTACCGCTTTCTTGTCGTTTTGTCACTAGGTGTAGCAGCTTGAGCTAGCATGCTTTGGGCAACTCGTAGAGGTCGATTTAGCGCTCCGATACCGGCAGCATCTGTATACTTATTTCCGGTAAGGATGCTCCCCAATAGAACATCGTCAATTCTATTCTGTTCATTTCAACGCACACTATGGCTTTCACTGTGCTATCCGATCATGATATCAAGCAGTTATTGAGCAATCTTACTTCAGATGATACCCACAAACTCATCACGGCCCTGCAAGAAATCCTTGTGGCCTACTCGTGCCAAGATGAGCAGCAATTCCAGCCTGAACGCAGTGTTATTTCTCGTCCGAATGGGCAAAAGAGCTTGTTCATGCCCGCCACAACACCACAGTCAATTGGTGTCAAGATTGTAGGCATTGCTCCTTCCGGGCCCAGTACCTCCTCGCAGGAGGCATCGCCACCACCGCCAGGTTTACGCAGCGTCCTCACCCTGTGTGACGCTGCGGGAGAAGCAATCGGCGTATTGAATGCTGCTGAGCTGACGGGTTTCCGCACCGCCCTGGGCTCTATGCTCCTCTACAGGTCTCGTAAAGAGACAGCGAATATTGTAGTCTTCGGCTCAGGAAAGCAGGCACAGTGGCACATACGCTTGGCGGTGATGCTGCGTGCGCAAGACATTCGTAAAATTACCATTGTCAATCGAAACCGTGTGCGGACACGAGGGCTCATTTCCAGCCTAGTCGAGGACTCCCACTCGCCCTGGCCGTCACACATCGAATTGCACCAATACGATGAACGCAACCAAAATCTCGAAGACGTGGTCGTAGATGCAGACGTCATGTTCTGTACCACTCCAGCCACTGAACCCCTTTTCCCTGCGAGGTTTCTTACTTCAGAAAGATCTCGAACAAAATCTCGATATATCGCTGCTATCGGCTCTTACCGGCTGGACATGGCAGAGATTGACCCGGAGCTCCTGAAACATATCGTGAATCCTTCCGGAATATTTTCGAAGCAAGTGTGGGAAGGCCGTATTACGGTTGACACCCGCGATGGCTGTCTACAGGAGGCTGGCGAGCTGGTCAGTGCCGGTATAGATCCAGACAAGATGCTCGAGGTTGGACAAATCGCTGGATCTAAAGATAACTCCCCGGCACGTACTAATTGGCTAGAGAACGGATTTGTTATATATAAAAGCGTTGGAGTAGGTGTCATGGATGTAGCGGTGGGGCGTCAGCTTCTGCAGCTTGCGAAAGACAAGGGTATTGGGGTAACATTGTCAGCTTTCTAGGATATCAGAACTAAGTACTTATAGAAGACATGAGTGTCTTTGTTTTGATTTGCATCAGCTATCAATTTCAAGCTGACTCCGCTCTTGATTATGTAGCTCTTGGAGGCAAGTTTTTGAATGATTCCTATCCTCTCCTTATGGCAGAGTTGACGCATCGCTTGAGCTCAGGTCATTTGTCTATCACCATCTTGAATTACAAGCCTCGACTCCAAGACAAGCAGAAACTAGGCTTGAGTATACGATCTATCGTTAAACAATCATAGCACGGAGAAGTAACCCATTGCTAAGGGAAGGCTGTACCGTAGACTTAGGCTTGTGGGTCGAGTCAAAGGAACTAGGAGTATTCGGATCGATGCTGGATCAGAGGCTGACGAAGATCGATGAAATATTCTATCATTTACGAATAAGCTCTAACTACTCGTCTGACTGTCTAACGGAGAAGATCGGCCCCATGCTCTTGGCAAAGACCAAGTATTGTGGTAGGATCCTGGCTACGGTAACACAATAGCATCATGACCATCAAGATGACCTGTGGTTGTTGAGGCTCATCAGGCATAACTGTGCGTAGGATAATGCTTGTGATCAAGGCCCAAGTATTTGGAATCTAATATGAACGTAGCACGTCAGTACTTTGTTGTGCCAAAGAACTGGGAATTACAGAACTCACCTCATTTTGTAGGATACGTGTGATCTGAAACACCTGATCAACTTGGGGTTTTTTTTGTGTCAGGCCTACAATGCCTTGATCCCGCAGATGCATCCTCGCTAGTCTACATTCCTCGACATATATGTCTTCCGCGCTCCTTAGCGTTTCTCTCACGTAGTTAGTCCGCTCCCAAGTTGGCCAGTGCTTCGAATGCTCTCTAATGTCGGATAGGAAGCTGGGGAGTTGTCTAACTCGATCAAGTGACTGCTCATGTGCCAGTATCGCTGATTTGCTCAGGTCTGAAGTGTAGTAGACTGACAACGCTTCATTCAGATCGCTGAAGCCGAGACGTCTGCTGCATTTTACTAGGAGACTGAGTCGCTCCAGTTTTGTGACATCAGATTTCAGCACGCGTTGGCTTTCAGTACTTTGTGATGTTGGCGCTGTTGTTATCCTGTGAGCTGACTGACCGCCATTGCCACTGGCTCTAACGTGATCTGAGTGACTGAGATGATTTCGGTTCTGATGTTGATTTTGGTCTGGACTTTTGTGTCCTCTTTCCATTGACGAGGGATCGAATTGTCTGCGTTCTAGCACGACTCCCGATGTGGCCGGATCTGCTAGGAGCCATTCGAGATCTACGGGTTGCATCTGCACTGGATTCCGGGATAGTGAATCTAGCTGAGATACAATGCTACTTTGTGGGTTCGCATTGAACCCCATCTCGACTGTGGTGTCGAACCCCAAGAGTGAATGTGGAGCATGATTGCCAGTGAATGTAATGTCACTGGAATTTGCACACAATCTGTCTGATCTAGGCTCGAAATTTGTTGTTGATAAACTGCCTGCTATTGCAAACGCAGATGTTGGATCATCATATGAGGACAATGGCTTTGGGATGTCGTTTTGTGCCGAAACGCCAGCGACGCTTTCAAGCTGCTCCTCTAGCTGGCGGATGCGTGACTTCAGCTTCTCCCCTATCTTGCGTAGTAAGAGATCGTCTATTACACGCCACAGCCTCATAGTACGACTTACGGTGTGCACGTTGAGCTATGCGGTTCTGAATCCGTTTCTTCTCTTTCGGATCGGTCATACTGGCCCAGTCTTCTTCCATCGCGAATATCTCGCGTAGCGCAAGTGGCTGGTGACAGCACAGAGATGTAGGTAAAGACCGCGGTCTAGTTTCTAGCACATTAGAGATAGACAATTGAATTACTCCGAGAGGAACGAGAATAATGTGTATTGTAGCTTATAGAATCAGGCGTGCTGTTGGGTACCTTGGCCCGGTCAGTAACGTATATTCCTGGCGTACCGTTGTTCCAGACTCCAATCCATGTTGATTCTAGGTACGGTAGTGCTGTTTACAGCTCTACGCCGCCTTGCATATGTATGTGTACTGTAGCAAAGTAGTATCGCGGCATTGCATCATTCAAGATCGTAGTGTAACAGGTGGCTCATCTCAAAACTTCTCCCATTCGTGTGTACATATGGTCTTTGCTCCGGCAGCTAGTTCCGTTCTGGTCCTAGACCTGCGGCTCGTCTTCGAGAGCGGTTAGCTTATCCGGAAGCGCACCATCGCTGATCCTTGGTGCGCGGCAAGGGCCCCCGTTCCCATTGGCAGCACTGCTCGATGAGGATCTGTCTAGCGATGATCTTCGGAAGCTGACGTTGTTAATAAGAGATCACCTGGCCAACTATTCAGAAAACGATGCAAGTGCGATGCAAGCTGACTGTGTAACACAAGGACGAGTAAGCGGACACAGACTGCTTCCGCTTATCATTGGTACCTGCCCAGTCGAGGGCCGGGCCGCGGCTGTACCAGCGGTAGCTCCCTTCACAACTTGGCAATCTCTCAACTCTTGCATAGCTCCCGATGGCGGCTGAACGATATTTCCGCTTCATGGTCATCACAACCAAGTGTCACATTATTTGCCACCGGATATCATTAGTTTGATCGTGAGCAGCAGCGTCAGAAGATTTTTTGAATCGTGGAAAAGAGTACCTAGGAAGCAGGTTGCATGTAGATTTCAGGCAGACGGACTGGACCACCACGGGACACATGAGTTCTAGGGTACAAGTGCTGGGGCCGCAGGACGTACAAGTCCCTCTGGAATTGCGTTTAAGGCGCCCTATCTAGCTACGACAGCCTACAGAAGTACGTAAGAGTGTACCCATATTTGTCGCCGACACACCAATGTCTGATTCTAGACTTCAGTATCAACGGACTTGGATTCGCCGTACAAGAAGAATTGGGCGAAGATTGCCGTATCAAGGAGCAATGTCCCCAGACCATCCACCAGCCACGGAAGATTCACCAGTATATGTCGTCCATAAATTTTCCGCGCGTCACAGGATCTACAGCGGTTTGAAACAGCGCTCGCCGGGTTGAATGCGATGATAGAAAGGACATATGTGAAATTACCCAAGCAGGCGAAGAGAAAAAACAGTATGGAAAGGCCATCTACAGACTTGCGACGCCAGTTCAATATCAATTGAGGGAAGCGCGAGCCAAAGTAGAACACGGCGCAGAGCCAGCCAAATATTTGACCCCACGTGTTGAATTGAGGTATATCTCGAGCAGGGGCCGGGCGGTCACTGCTCGCAAAGCGGCGAAGGAGGTACCAGCTACAGATGCCTGTAGTGCAAACCAAGAGAACGGCGACCGTGTTGCTCAGATGAGGCTGCAAGCGAATAGATGTAAGGCGGGTTGCAGACTCTTTAGCCGCGTAGGTCTTGTTGTTCTTGTTTCGGCGTTGCCTCTCGTCACCGTCTAGTAATGTTGTTCTCTCATCCGGTTCCACAGCCTCTGTCGGCTGCGGGGTGGGAGGCTGGATATTATCCTTCCACGTGAAGCCCGTGTAGAAGAAATATTGAGCCAGCAACACTATGTCGGCCACTGTGAAGTATATGGCAAGAGTGATCATGGTTGGGAGGGTGCCCTGGAGTATTGCCCCCACAACGTTGAAAACATCGCCCAATAGCCACACTACGAGAAAATGTAGTGACAAGCCATCAGACGAGCCCCGACGAAAGTTCTTGAGGATCTGTGGGCTGAATACTACAACCCATGCTACGATAGAAGTTGTGCTGCACAGAAACGACGATCAGCTCTGCTGAAGATTTGTAATGCATTGTGCGACGCCTCTTTGGTGCATAGGTGTCTTGCAACGCTGGTGAATCCACTTACCCGCATATTTCTGACAGGGCTTCAACATCTAGATCTGGTAGCGGTAGAAGCACTACCATCTTGATAGCAGCGAGACAAGACTCCAATGTCGTGATTTCGTGAGATTGAGATTTTTGAGTTGGTTCCAGCCAGGAACAAGTCTTGCAGAAAAAATTGTACAACGTAAGATCACGAACCTAACGAAAACGCTCGATGCAAACGAGAATGCAGCATTTCTCTCTTTTTATTGAAGACACATAGAATACTACAGTCTGTTTTGCAGCACGAATCGTTTACACTGCAGTTGACATTATTTTATTGAGAGGTGGTTAATTAGTCAGAGCTATGTCACATAGGATCGAGTACCTAGTGCAGTGATGACGTACTGTCACGACAGGAAGACACGATAGGGTTCAAGGGGACTGGATTGTAAGCAGTTTCGGTGACAACGGCTATATCTAGTCATCCCCGCTGGTTTACGTGGGGACCTGACTACATGCGGATCAAATCTTACTAATTAATTGTGGGGCGAGGCTTGCATCCGGCTACGATCTGTCCCTTGGCCCGTGCTGCTGATTGGTTTCGTCAGAGTCAAGGGCATGATCCAAGGAATCTCTTGATCGTCGACAACATACAGAGATGACGATCGAAGACCCACCTTGAACTGTCAGGAGCGTTTAAAGATTAATCGCGCAGTCATTCCATGCATTATCGTTCACGGAACAGTCTCATGCCCTTCTGGAACACCTACGACTGTGGTTTCCCACACACACCTCGTCTTTATTCCCTTCTGGTCTTGCTGAAAAGACCACCACCATGCCCTTCAGAATGTTCCAGGCAGTTCACGGAGAGCCCGGTCCCCCTCCTGATGGAGGCGTTCAGGCATGGCTCCAGATCCTCGCCGGGCACCTTGTCAATGCACTGACATGGGGATATTCTGCTTCATTTGGAATATACCAACTCCATTATACGACCACGTTGTCGTTACCGGAGTCGCAAATAGCCTGGATTGGTTCCTTACAAGTCTTTCTCACGTTCTTCATAGGCGCATTTTCTGGCCGCTCCACCGATGCGGGCTACGCTCAGCACACAGCTCTTTTAGGCACGGTGCTAATCGTACTTGGGACATTCATGACTAGCCTAGCGACTGAATACTGGCAAATAATACTTGCGCAAGGCCTTTGCACCGGCCTCGGTATGGGCGCCTTGTACATGCCGGCCGTCGCCGTAATCGGCTCGTATTGGAAAGAAAGGAAAGCGATGGCGTTAGGTTTGGCTGCTTCTGGGAGCGGGACCGGCAGCATCTTGTTTCCTTTGATTGTACAGCATCTCCAGCCAGTTACCGGGTTTCCTCGTGCAGTCCAGGTGCAAGGGTACATTGCTCTAGCGTTCGCGATTGTCATCAACCTTCTGCTTCGACCACGCCTTCCTCCACGCAGGGCGGGTCCACTCGTGGAATGGGAGGCATTTCTAGAGCCTACATACACTCTGTTCACAATTGGTGTGTTCCTGATATTCTGGGCGTTGTACTTTGCCTTTTTCTTTATAAACACATATGCGACCTCGATGGTTGGTCTGTCCCCGGGAGAGGCTGTGAATCTACTTGTGGTCATCAACGCGGTTGGTATACCAGTACGACCACTCCTCGGATTAGTTGCCGACAGGTACTTTGGATCACTCCCTACTCTGATTGCTTCAACAACGTTCCTCGCTATCATGTTATTCGTCTGGATATCCATTCGAAGCGTAAGCAGCCTGTATGCATTCGCTGTCTTCTATGGAATTGCTACTGGCGCAACTCAAGGAAGTAAGTATATGACCTACCCATTCGATCTTCTCTCTGGAACATCCGAGAAAGAAGTTTATCCAATCGCTTTTCGAGCATCGGCTAATGACACATACCTTGAACAGTGTTCGTTAGTGGCCTCGCATCATTAACAACGGACTCGAGCAAGCTTGGTGTTCGTTTTGGAATGGTATGCTCTATACTAGCATTTGCATCCCTGGCAGGTCCACCAACGGCAGGTGCTTTGATTGAAAGTGACAATGGAGGCTTTCTCAAGGCACAAGTGTGGGCTGGTTCGGTGACAATTTGCGCTGCTCTCTGCGTATGCGTGGCAAATTGGACTCAAGTCAGGTTCAAACGTCCAGCCCAAGAGCTAAGTAGTGGTGAGCTGGAGGGACAGAGACAGGATCCCAGCAGCATGGAAGCTGTTCAAGTAGGTGGGGATAGGCGTGTGAAGATGTGAACGCTCCTTGTATGTAGAAGAAGTATCAAGGGATTCGATACATCCAACTTCTAATGAAATGGATGACGCGTATCGTAAACGATAGCTAAAGTCAGTCAGACCTGTTATCCTTACTAGCAGTACCTGTATTCTGAGGCCAGAAGATCGATTAATAGTTTGGTCTGCTAGGATCAAATTCTAGCCTTAGAGTAGTCCGGACCCACGTGATTTAGTATTAATAGATGAACCTGTTTAGTAACGGGCATACTGCCCTTCCACTAGAGATTCCCAGTGAGAGCGCAGCTACTACTGACTATTTTATGAAAAGGTGCCTGTCCGAATATAACATGAACTGAGGCGAGTTCCTTACCATGGTCGTGTAAATCCTTCCCAGTCCCTTTGCCTGTTTGTCGGTTTCGGATGAACCTTCGTTCAGGTTGGGTCACTGCGAGTCTAGGAGATACGGTCAACCGATAAGGATTAGAGCAAAGTGAATGATCTCATGAACCCCTGGAAATCCTGACGGCCATCCACCCATCTATGTAGTCCGTCTTCGACGCCTACTATGTGATACCTGTGAAGGTCTTATCATCTCATATACGCTTCTCGATCATCTAAATCTCTGATTACGCACATGTGATAGCCGAGAAATAACCCTCGATCTTTTTCTCATCCAACAACACACTTCATGACTGGAGCCGATCGGTGAGCATGTGGAGCTCCATGGGCACCAGTCTCAATGAGAATGCTTGGGAGTATGGATTGCAACACTCCCAGTTTAGGTCGATGAATTTCAGATCGTGCACTCTCCGACACTTATGATCAAGCCAACAGTAAATTGACTAGCAGAGTAGCTATCAATATCTGCAGCCAGTAATTAATGAGCAAACAACACGTGCATGTACTACGGCGCATAGACATTCGCTACTAGAGATACTCCCAACGATTGGAAAAGTCACTGTCCACCTCGTCAATGATCCCCGCTTGGGGCTTGCCGTATTTCCCCTTACTTTCAGGGTCTAGACGGCTGATTTTGAACTCGTCCAACGCGAACTCGGAGTGTCCATTTAACACCATATCCTTCAGGGCTCGACCAATCAGAGGCACGAACTTCATGGCCCAGCCAGCAGTAAACACTGCTACGCTATTTCTCGCACCGCCCTGGAGATATTGCTCTGGGATATAATCTAGAACGAACATATTATCTAAGTCATGTCGTTAGCTTCAGGGTGTACTTGAGAAGAAGGGCACTCACCGAACGTGTTTGTCTGCAAGCATGACAGGGTGTACGCAGGCGTCGTATAATCTACCCCGACGAGATGCTTCTTGATAAACTCTTGTGTGTCGTGAATATCTTCGGGGTTCACGACGCTACCGCACCGTTGATCAGGGTCTGTGATCTGTCTCGTCGCCGCATCTACCGCGATTCGGCAGACGTTTGGGGGACCCCACTCAACTGTTGGAAACCCGTAGAATAGCCGCGATCTGCCACGCTTGTCGTTTGCGAATTGAAACCACATGCCTTGGAATAGTTAGTAGCATAAATGATGGGGCTTGTTATGACGTACTTGGGAAATGGGTTCCATTTGGACCAGAATTGACCGTAAAGTACGATGCCACCATCTCCCAGATATTAAGCTTCAGCTTGAAACCAAAGCTAGGTTGCACAACGTGGTTTGTGTATGCACCCGCCGCTATGATGATCTTTCGGGCTTTGAAGGAAACAGCTTCATCGCCGTTGACACGAGTGTCGACCCTCCATATGTCTTCGTTGTCTTCCTCCATAGGGACGAGCTTTCGGACTTCAGTGTATTGCTGAGTTTGAGCACCGTAGTCTTTAGCCAGGCGGGCCAGAGTCCGAAGAAGAAGTGGGACATTGATTATGCCGTTATCAGGGGCGAAGATGCCCTCCCACGCTTCTGGTAGGTTTTTAAACGGATACTCGCTCTCCATCTCTTGTTTAGTCACTGATGCCAGTAAGCCCAGAAATCTTAACTACCAGGCTGTACACATACTCTTGCGGAATGGCATATCCAGGGTCTCTAGATTAGCTATAGGACCCATAAGCGTCCCTAAAGCATATTTAGTCTCTTGCACAATCTATGCGGAATATGTTTGGTTGTGGACCTTCTGGGGTGTCTGCTCCCATTTTAGTGTCTCCAAAGTTTAGAAGACCTGACATTGTGCGCAAAGATGTTCCAGAGTCCATTTCCAGTTCTTTCCAAATGCGCATGGATTTATAAGCAAGCTCTGCCATGAACGGCTCAGTATACCTATATTTCTAGTTTGAGAAGAAGTTCGACGTGCATTTAGTGCGGTGCCAACATCTTACATTGTGCGATACATTCTAGCCAGATCATTGGAGCTCCCCGCCGCATTGAAAAGACAGCTCTGCTCGAGTACCAGGGTAGATTTGCCTGCTTTGGCTACCTCGTATGCAGCACCAAGCCCGATCGCGCCACCTCCTACCACGATGACGTCATATATGTGAGATGACATTGTTCCGCAAAGTTAATGAATAGCTTGGAAAATCACAGAAGGATGTACATAGAATATATTGTAAGTACATAAGTGGTGGATTGATCCTTAACTCGAGCCTCAAGACGCGTACTTCTATCACAGCACGTCTGACACAAGCTTACTACAAATATGACTAAGGCACCCCAAACTTGTAAGATGTGAGACCTAGCAATCCTATAGTAATATAAAATTCGACTAGTTCCTAGACTAAGTCACAACGCTATTACAGGATTTGTAGCTTAGTAAAATCCCTGGTAAACAATCGTGGAGAGATTGTCCCAATCTTTAGATGTAGAGCATTCGCACTACAGGATCATGTCATGTCTCACATGGTGATATCCACAAGCTGGATCGTGAGCTTCCCGATTCATTTAGTGAACGTTGGCGTCGGTACCCTTGTCACAGTCTGTCAACTCAGCATCTGATGCCGAGTTGTGCTGTGTCAAATGAAAGGCTAGCTTACTCAGAGAAGGTTACACGATATCTCTTTGTAATCCTCCGAAAGATTCTTATTTTTCTCGTGCACTGCAGCTCATGGAGATCTTGAGACCGCGCGAATTTCGCTAGAAACATTAATACGGAGGGGTTCAGTCAAAGCCGGACTCCGACAAACATGGCTTCGCAAGATACGAGCGCGAGGACCTCCGACTTCCGCTCAAGATGGGCATCGAGGCTCATCAGGGAGAACATATTTCATGAACTGACCAATCTCACGAAGGAGGTTGAACATGGCCAGCAGAGGCAGAATTGCTCGTCAGCGACATCGCAAGCGAATCGCCTCCCCTCATCAGCTCCTCATTTGAGCGACATTCTCGACACAATCCCCACAGGCCCATTCGACCTCCCGAAAGATGTTATACAAGAATATGACAGAGTCTCTTCTACCAAAACCGATGACCTGAGCGCTAAGCACAGAATCTGCATCGTCGGTGCTGGCATTACCGGGCTATTCATTGCGATGATTCTGGACAGCTTGAAGATTCCCGGTCTGGAATACGATATCCTGGAAGCATCGGATAGAACTGGGGGACGAATCTACTCCCATTACTTCTCTGATATCCCTCACGATTATTACGACATCGGCGCAATGCGATTTCCAGATATTGACATCATGAAATCGACGTTCAAGCTTTTCAAGCAATTAAATCTTCCACTGATTCCGTATTTTCTCGATCGGAATAGCGGAGCTGTCAGATGCCCAACCATGTACAATGACATCACAGTCATTGACGGCGAGCCGCGCGGCTCTGATCCGTTTCGCGTGGGCGAATCGAATGGTGGCTCGGTCCCTGACACAAATGTCGATGACGTGAACAGGCTACTGGATGGAGTCTATGAGCCTTTCAAAAAGGCCATTGCTGAAGATTTCGAGGAAGGATTCAAGCTGTTGATGAGATACGATTGCTACACTACACGGGAGATTCTGAACGCCCCGCCTCCAGCTAAACGTGGACTGATATCTCTGAAGGCCTTGGATTTCTTCAGTGTTCAGTGGTTGGAGACCAATAACACAGCAAGCGGACTATTTGATAAGGCGTTCTCCGAGTCGGTAATGGACTCTTTCGACTTTGCTGGACCTAAAGAAGAGGCCATCAGGTGGTACTGCATCGATGGCGGATCCTCACTTCTGATTCAGGCCATGGAAAAAACTGTGGATCGACCTGTACAACATGGGAAGCGCGTGCGGAAATACACACAGAATACAAAGACCAAAGAAATTACTGTTTCTGTCGCCGGGGAGTCCGAAGGAAGCCGTCTCCCTTATACTACAATCTTCAACACAACTAGCCTGCCGTGTCTACAACGAATGGATCTGACCAGCCTCGACCTACATCCTAGTCAGAAGGATGCGATCAGAAGTTTGCACTACGACGACAGTGCAAAGGTAGCCATGAAGTTCTCTTATCCATGGTGGAGAACGAGATGCGGTATCGCGAGCGGTGGTGAGGCCTCCACCGACATTCCACTTCGCACATGCGTGTATCCGTCTTATAATATCCATGACCCAGATGATCAGCCAGCCACTCTTATCTGTAGCTACACGTGGGCTCAGGATGCGACCCGCATTGGTAGCCTGATCGCGCCCCATAACGACGAGCTCCGTGATTTAATGCTTGATAATCTGGCACGGGTGCATTTGAAAAACTTCCAACAAATGGTTCCTACTTCATATCATGGCCTGACTACTCTTGACGAGGTTCGCCAAATCATCGGCGATGCCTACATATCACATCACGCTTGGAGCTGGTCGCACGACCCATTCACCTCGGGCGCCTTTGCGCTTTTCGGACCTGGCAAATTCTCTAACCTGTACCCTTATCTTACACGGCCCGCGGCCGATAGCCGTTTCCACATCTGTGGAGAGGCGAGCAGTGGACACCATGGATGGGTTGGTGGGAGCCTGGACAGTGCTCTCGCTAGCGTGCACAAGTTCTTGAGAAGATTCGATATGTGGGAAAAGCAACGAGAGTTGAAGAGTCTGTGGGACATGCCTCCGGAAGTAGAAGACGCTGTCGATGGCACACTGCATCTGCAAGTCGCATTGGGCATGATACCAACGAGTGATTTGGCGCAGCGGAACACCGTCCAACCTAAACATGAAGACGGGGCCGGGCAGGGTTGCATCGTCTCATAGCTGCCTTATGTATTATAATACTATCTAGGTAATATACTGATAAATTCCGTAGAGTACCCTAATAAGTAGGGCTTTTAGAAATATACAAAGCTTAGAATATAAGCTGACACACGGGGGTACAAAATTGTGTAAATAACACCGCCTCCTAGGTAGTGTTAAAACACTGCATTTCGCACCTAAAAAACACCGCAACTAGGGGGTATTTTGCACAGGTTAGGTAGAGTTTTTTACACGTATATAATATAGTATATATAGAGGTCTATTAATCTATCTATTCTATCTATTCTATCTAGAGTAAAAAGAAGAAAGAGGAGAAAGAAGAGAAGAAAAGAGTAAAGAGAAAAGAAGAAGGCAAAAGGGGTAAATAAAGGGGGGGGGGGGGGCATAAGAAGAGGGCGTAAGAAGAGAGCATAAGAAGAGAGCGTAAGAAGAGAGCGTAAGAGAGAGAGCATAGAAGAGAGCGTAAGAAGAGAGCGTAAGAAGAGAGCATAAGAAGAGAGCATAAGAAGAGAGCATAAGAAGAGAGCATAAGAAGAGAGCGTAAGAAGAGAGCAAGAGAAAAAGAGAGAGAGAAAAAAGAGAGAGAGAAAAAAGAGAGAGAGAAAAAAAGAGAGAGAGAAAAAGAGAGGAGAGAAGAAGTATATATAAGAGAGTAGGGGGGGGGGAGAGGGTAGAGGGAGATAGTAGAGAGAGTAGAGAGAGTAGAGAGGGAGAGCAGAAAGAGAGAAGAGAAAGAAGAAAGTACGAGAGAGGGGGGTAGAAGAGAGAGAAGAGAGAGGAGAGAGAGGAGGGGGGGGGGGCAAAGGAGAGAGAGGGGAGAGAGAGAGAGGAGAGAGAGAGGAGAAAGAAGATAGATATTATAACAAAAGAGAAGAGGGGTAGATTACTAATCCCTATTGCTAATTAGCTATAGAGGTCTACTGTGTAAAAAACACTGCTCTTCTATATTTACTATATAAAAAATACTACCTCTTCTATATAAAAAGACATAGGAAGGGCCCTATATACCCTATTTACCTAGGAGTGCAGTGTAAAAAGACACAGGGCGGTGTTATTTACCCTGCATCGGTACCCTAGTGACAATGCGTGATTTATTGTCCTTCATTCCTACACATGCCTACGCGAGACTATTGGGTACCTATTCACAAACGAAATACGCTGGAGATGGTCTAGTTAGGCTACAGCAAAGGGAAGGCGAAGAGAGTTGTCGCCCATGACGATCAGTAATCAAGGCAGGTTTATAAGCGAATGGATCAACATCAGCACCAACACGGGAAAGAGATCGGACGAAAGATGAAGAGAAGCGTAGAGTATATACATGCTTCTTTCCAAGAATGTTCAGACACATAGGTCTCAGTCTTCATCGCACTCCTTTCACCATTGCATAACATAGCCTCTTTCATTACCGAGATGTCTTCCATCGTTGCAATCGCCGGTGGTTCTCGCGGCCTAGGTCGGGCTATTGTGGAGGCTTTGAAGAAGGACAGCCATTATGTGCCGCTTATCCTGTGTCGAAAGGTACACTAGTTCGTTTTCTTTGTTTACCTGAGCGTGCTAACAGTGGTTCAGAGTGATCCAAAGCTCGAGAAAGAGATCGGGGTGCGCATTCTTAAAGTGGATTACTCCGATATAGATTCACTTGTCAATGGCTTGGAAGAGAAATAGGGTCGATACGGTTATTTCAACCATCCTTGAGTTGATCGCAGAGTCGCCGGAGTTCAATCTTATGGAAGCCGCTGATCGTTGAAAGACGACGCATCGTTTTGTTCCCTCTGTCTGGAGTGCCGCGGATTACAAGGACCAGTAAGCAGCCCTCTACTTTGCGTTGATTGTTGCGTAACGACTCCAAATAGTAATAATAGTAATAACAACAGAGAGTCGGAGCAAAGCCCTGTAGCACGACAGAAACTCAGGTTGAAGAACGGATTGTCGAAGACTGCCTTAGAGTGGACCGCTATTCACCCAGGTATCTTTCTAGAGTACTACTGTACTGATCTACCAACAAACATCAACCCAATACCTATGTATGCCGACGTTCAGGGAAATTCGGCAGCCATCCCGGGCTCGGGAGACTACCCGGTGCCTTTCACGTACTCGGAGGATATCGCCAAGTACACAGTTGCTCTTCTAAGCCTCGACCGTTGGGATAAAAAGTATTTTATTGTTGGTGACACCAAGTCTTGGAAAGAATTGATAGTAGCTCTTGCAGCGAGGATCAAAGGAGTTAAGTTCGACGTAGCTTACGAGTCGTTCGAGAAGCTGAAACAGGGCAAGGTCACAGAGTTGAAGGGTTACAAGAAGATCTACGGTCTGTTTAGTAGTGAACCAGGGAGGCAAGCTGCGATTGCGGTACTGGCGCACGGCGGACTATGGCTTGAGGAAGGACTCCTGAATTACAGTATCACCGTCGAGAGTCTGAGCATTTTCGTGTACGTGCCGTTCAGCTGAATAATTTCTTCCTGTGTACTGGCTTCGACAATCCGACCGCCGAAGAATACAAAGATACGGTCGGCCTGGCGTACAGTAGACAGACGGTGCGCAACCGCGAAAGTGATACATTTGCCGCTGGCTGCTTCCATCAATGTTGCTTGCACTATGCGCTCGGACTCAGTATCCAACGCACTGGTAGCCTCATCCAGCTGTATGTACAGTAGAACCACATATGGCTGGCGGATAAGAGCCTTGGCGATCGCAATACGTGACCGCTGACCACCCGAAAACTGACTACCGCCAGCACCACAATGCGTATTCAATCCTTCGGGTAGCGAGGAGTTGAGATCCCAAGCATTTGCCGCTCGACAGGTCTGTTCAATCTCCGAATCCGATACTTCGAGATCGTCAGTGCCTTGCATAATGTTGTCGCGCACTGATCCGGAGAACAAGGATGGCTCCTGCTGAACGAGCGAAACCTTTGTGCGGTATCCTAATGGATTCATCATCTGTAGAGGTTGTGAATCGATGACGATATTACCGCTTGTTGGGTCGTGGAAACGTTCCAGCAAAGCAATCATGCACCCTGGCGCGCCTACAAAAGCTACAAACTCCCCTCACCGGATCTAAAAAGAGATCAGTCAACGATTTTTGGTGCAAATAGTCCGTTTAGAGAGCTATGAACGGGAGTTACTGTCCTGGAGAAACCTTTCAAAGCTCGACTTTTTGGAGCCAGTGGGTAAGCAAACTGTAAGTCGTTTGAGTCGAGGGTCTGGCAGCCCTCCCTTAGCTCGAAATCTTTGTTATCAACGCCGTATGCTTACCACACTTGAAGGAAGACATCTACAAAGCACCCGAGACTGCTTCTTGGACCTTAGCACTAACATAGGACGCGTTAGGCGTCTTGCGCATGTATCGAGTAACACCGTTGCGAGTTAGTGCCTATACAAGTCACGAGCGGTTAAAGGCGCTAGGAAACAAGGACTATTAAGGCGGAGTGTAAAGAGTGTAGTAAGGTGAGTGTGCATTTAGGGTGGGAAGAGTCTTGTTTATCGAGTTGTCCTCCTCCTATCGCTCGGCCAATCGGCTTCTGCACAAAGTACGGGTGACTGTTACGGTCAGGGGGCCAAAACCAAAATCCGGAAACCAAAACACCCTAGCATGAAAACTAAAACACAAAAGCGCAACAAAATCATTATAAACTACTAGGCTAAACTGTAAATAGAATATAGATAGGTGCTTTATATTAAAAAATAAATATTAGAGCTTTTTAAAATATTTAGTTATATTATTAACCTATAATCTTACTTTAGAACAAAGTTCTAGAAATCTAGCGCATATACTAAGACTATTATAATAACTATTATAATAACTATTATAATAACTATTACACTATCTATGATACCTTCCTATAGAGCTAGAGGTTAAAAGAGTATTAACTTAGCAAGCTACTAGGATAAGATTATTAGTTTAATAGAAGGCAGTATAACTAATATTAATATCTATTAGTAGCTTCTTAAAGAGCATAAAATAAAGTATAGTGTTTAGATGCTAAAGAGGAAGTATGCAGTATAGGGAGTGCAAAGACTTTATATTAATACTATAACTAAGACAGTTAAGTATAAGATCTTTTAGTTATTCTTTAAAGAAGGAGTAGAAGATAAAGAGATTTTATGCTATCTTTAATATAATAGTATATTAATAAGTATAAAGATGCTTGCTTAAGTACGCTAGTTAATAGGAATAAAGAGGAGGATAAGAGATATATTAGAATATTAAGAGGCTTTAGAAGTAGCTTATATAGCAGTTTAGGAATAGCTGCTTAAGGGTGTTATTAATAGGTATAGCAAGTAGTTACTTTATTAATACTTTAAACAGTATAGGATATTCTTTAGTAGAGATTTACTATATAATAAATATAGCAAACTTAACCCTAAAGCTATAGCCTAAAGGCGCAATAATTATTAATGCTGCTAAGGAGAATATATTATGCTAGGGCTAAACTAGTGCTAGTTTATTAATAGATATAATAAGCTAAAGGAGATAGGTATTAAGATATATGCCTGTGTAGATGCCTATTTATGCTATCTTATCTAGGTATATATAGAAATCTTATCTAGTACTGCCCTAAGTATTCTTTATTAATACCTATATACTATAGGAGAGTAAGGGTATAGTCTATGCTTTATTTAATTAGACTATAGAGTTAAGACTAGTTAGATATTATATGCTTATCTAATACTCTTAAAAGCTAACTAACTAGAGACTATATAGGTTAATTATTATATATATAGTATAAGTATATTAAATTAAAGGATTAAAGGTTAGTAGTTATAGCTAGAGAAGAGTTTAATATTTATATAGCAGGTAAGTAAGAAAGATAATATATAGGACTATTATACTAACTATTATAGATATACTTCTATTAACTCTAGACTCTAGATCTATACTCTAAGAATAAGCTTATAGATATAGTTGCAGCTAGGGCTCTATATATCCCTATCTTATACTATAAGATATACTTATATACTAAGACATATAATATATATAGGATCTAGAAGTAAAATAATTAGCTAAATATAGTAGTTAGGAAACTAAGTATACTATATAAGTGCCTACTTAATAGCACTAAGGACTATATATAGCTACTAAACTCTATAGAGTTTAATAGACTTTGCATAGAGACTCTAGCATAGAATATGCATATAATACTTCCTATACCTATATAGTAGTAGTATAACTAGTAGTTTTAAAGTATAGGCTTTAATCCCTATATAAGCATTATAAGAAGCATAGAAGAATATATATTACCCTATATAGATATATATCTAGAGCTCTATTCTCGCGCTATATATTATATTAACTATAGTGCGCAGCCTTTACTTATACTACTAGCGCACCTAACTAGTAGTTAGATATTTAAGGCACTACTATAAGAGGAGTGTTTTAACTTAGTAGATAACTAAGATAGTAAAGGTAATATTAGGGATTATAAGGGTAGAATATAGCAAGTAAATTATCTAGTAGCACGCAGAGTAGCTAGTAGTAGTATGTAATAGTTAGCCTAGTATATATAATAGTTAGTAATAGTTCTTAAAGAAGTATAGTTTAGTATTAAGAATATATAACTTTAAAAAAGCTTACACCTACTAGTAGTTAATTATAACATACTTTCTAGCAATTTAGTTATTATATCTTCTACTATTTCTTAGCCTATACTATAGGGTCTATTTTATTCCTATAAGGGGTTACTCTACTTAGACCTTAACGTTCTAGTTAGGTAGTTTTGCCTATTCTGCAGCGCCTAAAACCTAGAAGCTAAACTAGGCATTATACTACCTATAATTGCTATTAATAATAACCTAGCTCTATTCTATATACTATTAAAACAAGCTATAATATTAGCTATATCTTAGATAATGCTAGGTTAGAGTATAGACAAACTACTACCTCTTATAGATGCTGCTACTTAGGTATATTATAAAAATTAGGCTGTCTTAGAGAGAACCTATTCTATTAATAGTTAGCCTTTAGGCTAGATTAGAGCTATACTAAAAGTAGAAGCAAAGGCTAAAAGCTATATTATAAAAGTTACCTTTAATATAAGCTTTTACTACCTTATATAGTATAGTAATTAGCTAGAGCACGCTGCAAACATTAGAGGTATATACTATAGCCTAAGGTCTATATATAATAGTTAATATAATAGTTAGATATTAATAATATAGGTAGCAATGTTAGAATCTCTATCCTAAGCTTAGCTAGCTTCTTAAGTATTAAGAATTTTATAAACAAATTTATTATTAATAAAGCTAAACTAATTTAACTATAGAAGGTGTTATACCTAAAACAAACCTATATAATAAAGATAACTATACTACCTTAACTCCTCCCTTAGAGCGCACTTGCTCTAACTATACTCTATAATCTTCTTAACTAAGTTCTATAGAAGGAAGTTAGAGTATCCTAGAAGTTTATTATATATTTTAATAAGTATAAAGAGGAGAAGAAAGAGAAGGAGACAACCCTAACACCTATACTCTTAATAATACCTTAAAAGGCTAGGCTATAACATCCTATAGCTAGTTTATATTAATAGAGCCCTAAAAAGACTATACTAACTATTAAGACTAAGCTACTTAAAATTATAGTTAAGAAAGAGTATAGTTACTCTTATGCATAGAAGAGTATAGTACTACCTAAAGAAGTAAACCTTACTCTAGAGAACCTACTTAGCATACCTTAGTATTAGGCTTATAAGCAGAGTCTCTTATATATTAATAAGCCTTAGTTAATATATATAACACTAATATAGAGCTTAGAGAAAGGCACTAAAGATCTAGAGAATAGTATAGCTTAGTTTATAAATAAACGTTTTACTAATTTAATACCTATTAAGGAAGTATTGCCTTAGTATCTATAGAGGAGTAATTATTATGCTATAAAGTAATATAGTAGAGGTATATAATAGTTAGTAATAGTGCTTAATTTAGATTATTTTAATTTAAAACCTTTTTTTATATGCTATATATTAGCATTTTAAACTTTAATATATTAATATCCTATTCTTATAAACCTCTAAGACATATATCTAGGTTAAAGGTATTATATTAGGTACTTATTATCTGCTCTTTGCGCAGTATATCCTTATCTAATAGCTAGAGGTTATATAGAGTAATTTACTATACCTTCTATACCTAGTAGATATTTAAATATAGCCTATCTATATTAGTTATAGCTTACCTATTATATAGACTATTATATATAGTAAATACTACTATATATTGCAAGAACTAAATACTATTAGCTGCACTACCTAACTTTAATATATATAAGTTCTTAACCTCTCTTATAGAGAGTTTATATATCCTTCTCCTTTTTATATATAAAGGTAGCCTATACCCTACTTATATAGGTGTTATTTGCTAACTACGCCTTTATAACTGCTAGCTTATATCTCTCTACTACTTATAGTCTATCTTAGTATTTATTATTTTTCTAGGTATGCTTATTAGTAGACGTATGCTTGCAGAATAGAGGTAGTATAGGCTATAGTAATAAAGATAAAGATAATAATATATTTAAATATAGATATATATAGTATATATTAGGTATTATAGGATAGTAGAGAGGATAGTAGTTATAAAAATTACATGCTATAGCAAAAGGAGATAGTAAAAGGATTTAGCTAAGCAGACTAGTTATATAATTAGATATTATATAGTATATTATCTATAGATAAACATATTATATAAGTAGTGCTTCTTTATACCTAAGGACTATACTAGGCTTAGCTAGTTTATTTAGTATCTAGGCAAGCTAACGTTGTCTATAATATAGTGTATAATAGTCTTATAATAGCTACTCTCTATAGCTATATATATAATATAACTAACTCTCCCTTACTCTAATAAGTATATACTATGCATATCTAAGAATAGATCTATATCTATAGGTAAAGTACTTAATCTCTTTATAACTACCTTAAGTATATACTTACTAGCCTTAAAGTCCTACTTATTAATTAGAAACCTCTATAGTAGCCTAGAATTATATTAGAACTAGACTATTACTATAACTATTATATACTTACTCTAAACTTAGAATAGTTAGGTCCTTATATAGGCTAGGCAAGGGCATCTTAAGAAAGTACTTAGCAAGCTATATTTCTAAATATTTAAACTTATTATAGTACTAATAATAGTAGACTATAGCTATAATATTATGCTTCTCTATTAAGAAGAGCTAATAGAATAGTAGAACTAGCAGCCCTAAATCTAGGTTAATAATAATCTTAGCTATAGGCTTAATACTAAGATAGTAATAGCAAGCTTTATAAAGCTAGGCACACTATATACTAGATTAGTAACTATAATCTGCTATATAGACTATTACTAGACTCTTATATAAGTATTAGGACTAACTATACCTTAGGTTTAGTTAAGATAGTATCTAGATCCTAGCAGTATATACTTAAAAAGCTCCTAGCAGATAGTTTAGTATTATAATAGTACTATAATAGTACTAAGGTATACTTACCTTAAGCATATATAGGTTTATATACTAAATAAAAGATTTATACTTATAGTGCTATAGAAGAAGGAATTTCTTACTAATAATAGCAATAGTATTATTCTAGGAGTCCTGCATATACTTCTATATCTTTATAGTATAATATATTACTAGTGCTTCTCTATTATACTTAAAGATGTTAAAGTTAATATCTTCTATATTAAGGTTAACCTTGCATAGGTTACTAGTACCTGCCTCTAGAACTTTAAAAGCAGGAGTATAATAAATAATTTGCGCTAGCTTTACTATAGTTGTAGTTATAATAGTTAATATAATAGTTATAAGACTAGTAGGTAGTATAAGGGCATTAGGGAGGCTAAAGATAGTTAGCTGCGCCTTATAGAATAAATTCTAATATAGGATATTAGTTATAGATAGATTCTACTTAAGTACTAATTATATCTAATATATACTCTTACTAAGCCTAGAATATAGATTAGTACTATTATAGGACTATTATAAAGAGGGGAGTACTAGTCTTAAATAGTAGTATTTCTTGCCTAGATTAAGAGCTCCTCTCTTAGAGCTATACGCTTATTATAATTACTAGCAGCCTAGAGAAGCCTTATTACTATAGGGTCTTTTAGGAACTTAGAGTTTTAGAAGCGTAAATATATAGTATTATTATTATACTTATCCTTAGTATAAATACTAGCCTTACTACCTGCCTCTTTCTTATAGGTAACCTAATTCTTAACTATATACTTGTTATTTAAGTACTTATTATCTTATTTATACTTCTTATAGGTAGAACTATTATAATAATCTATAGTATTATAGGTAATAGTTAGTAATAGTCTAGGTGCTAGAAAAAGTAATACTTTATAGTATATTATATAGGTAGTATAGTATAGGTTTATAAGTTTAAATATTTGCTAAAAAGTTTTATATATTACTACCTAGCTATAGTAATATAATTATAAGGCTTAGAATAATAGTATCTCTATTTACTATTAATATTAGTTAGAAGAGAGGTAGATTAAGTATAACTTAACCTGCTAGTTAAGAAATAGCTAATAGACTATTACCCTAACTATTACTTCTTATAATATAGGCACATATTTAATAGATTTCTATTTACTCTTTCTCTTACCTTATAAAAATTTTAACTTACTCTTACCTTTACTTATAGATAGATAATATAGAAATTTTGCGCTAATACCTAACCTGCACTAGAATAATAAACTATATAACTACTTATACTGCAGATAACTAACTATAACTATTATAATAGCTAGTAATACTATAAGGAAGGCACCTTATAAGAGTAAGTAATAGTCTATAATAGTTTATTATACCTGCTAACTACTATAGCTACCTTAGCATTAAATAAGAAGAAAGGTAAGCGTAAAAATGCTAGAGGCGTGCTAGCTCTAAAGCGTAAGGCTATATTATACTAATATAATACTAAGCGCGCTCCTATCTTTAAGGGTACTACACGTATAATTCTAGGCTAGGTTTAATATAGTTATATGCGTTATAAGGTTAGCGCTAGTAGTATATAATTCTATAACTAGTAGAGACTATTACTAAACTATTATAGCTAAGGCTCTCTAAGAGATTAAGCATTACTAGATAGTTACTAGTACTCTCCTTCTGCCTAGCCTGTTCTATTAACTTATCTATAAGGTTGTTTAAGATGTCTTAGGCTCCTCTAGCTTTATTAATAAGTCCCTCTACTAATTAGCCTCTTCTCTTAGTATAATATAAGAAGCTACAAAGGACTTCCTTATCTTAGTCTTCTAAGGTATATTAGGTGCTCTATAATAGTTTATAATAGTCTAATAGAATATAGCTACTAACCTCTATATAATTTATAGGAAGCGCGTTACTATTATCTCTAAGAATATTAAACTTTTGTTTAGAATTGTTAACATCCTTAGCACGTACTACCTAATTATAACTACCTATATAGATAAGAGGGGATTCTCTGTTTGCACTTCTATTAACTCTAATTAATTCTTAGCTGCTTATAGAAAGGCTGCTGCTAAGAAGATAGCTAAGGATTAGAAGAAGCAGGCTGCTGCTAAGGCTGCTCTTAATAGGGCTGCAGCTGTAGCAGCTTCTGCTAGAGAGTCTGCTATAGGTAATAATTCTTAGAGCAAGGGAGAAACGTCTAAGAGCAATAAAGAGACGTCTAATAAGGAGAGTAATAAGGATGCTAAGCATAATATTAAGTAGGGCCTCTAGAGACATAGTAATAGTCTTATAATAGTTAATCTTAGTAGTAAGGAGGATAGTATATTTATAGAAGGCTTAGCTATAATTGCCTACCTAAATTTAGGTATAATTAATAGAATATAAGGTTTTGCTAAACATCTATTGCATATATACTATTTGTGTTATTTAGAGTTATGTGCAACATTGCTGTGTTTTAGTTTTCATGCTAGGGTGTTTTAGTTTCCGGATTTTGGTTTTGGCCCCCTGACCGTAACAGTCACCCGTAACAAAGGCCCGACATCTGACCGCTCTTAACAGACCTGTTTGCGCACACACCGTTTTGGCATCATTAGAGCCTGACAAAGGGTTGTAAGAAACGAAGATCGAAAGGTAGGTAGTTTAATGTCACATCAAGTATTCGCACTTCAGCTATTCAACAAATGTTCGGTGAACTTAGACTGCCTGTACAGAAATCAGACTTCCTAGAGTCTCTATCGTAGGCATAAGAGTACATGCAGCTGCACAATTCAAACATATGTCTAATTAGTGCGGCTCATGGAACTCTCGGGCACCGGCGAAGGCGGAATCGAAGCTCGCATGGCACCCACTTTGAACGGCGAGTTAGCATCCATACAGCAAACATAATACCAAGGCTACTACCGCATATTCCCGTGTGGTGTCGGCATCTCGATGGGGACTTATAAATTAATTAGACAGCCTCTGACCAGTACAGCGCTTGTCGAAATGTGCAGACCCCCTTATATCTGGGACGCTACTGCATCCTGTTCCTGGAATGCCTGCATATGTGCCTGTGATTGGCTTTCTAATACTGTTCTAACAGGACGCAGGGTCAGACCAAAGACAGGAGCCACTTACAACACAAACTAATATATATAAAATGGTACACTACTAGTGTATATACCCATGTGCCAGCCAGAGAGGGGCCCGCACATTCTGGCAAGCACCGATAGTGATAAAGTACGTCCAAGCTGCACATACAACGGGCTCTGATCTATAAAGCCCAACATGGCAGCGGGACAACTAGGCAGTGAACATCCCTCAAACTACCTTTCCTGATATTCGGATTCCTGAAATTCATCGCATAAAGCCGAAGCAACCATGTCGCTCAGCCAGTCAATCAGAGTCAACAAGCCTCCAACGCTTATCTCAAGAACACTCTCTGGACTGTCTCACGTTGCCAGTGAGCCCATTGTTACTGGCGGGCTGTTGTACTTGTTAACGCAGGGCCCTGCAAAGCTTCGCGGACAAATCCTCGCGCCTTTCCAAACCAGTCTGCCCATCTTTACGAATGATCCAAAGGGTGTTGCAAAGCTTGCGGCTCTGGTCACCGCACTGAAGGTGCTCACCACAGCGGGCGTTCTGCGTCGCCTCCACGAGGCCATAAACCGTCTGGCGTGGAACAATTGGACGTTCGGCAGAGCAGGGACCGAGTGGCAATTCGGGCCCGACAAGAAAGAAACCATACTTATCACAGGCGCAAGCAGCGGGTTTGGATACTTGATGGCCAAGGAACTGTCTAAGCACGCACGCATCATCGCGTTGAACAGATCGCCACTGCCCGCGGATCTTGCGGCGCTTAAGGATGTGCACTACTACAAATGCGATGTCGGCGATATATCAGCACTGGAGGCTGTGTGCGATCAAGTTAAGCAAGATTTCGGGACGATCAGCGTACTGATTAATAACGCTGGCTATGGAATTGGCAAGACGATACTCGAGGTAAGGCCGAAGATTGTACGAGGAGATATCGATTGTACAATGCTGACGGGGAGCAGACAACCAATGCTGAGGATGAGATGTTGCTTCGAGTGAATCTCCTATCGAACATGGTCTTAATCCGCGCTTTCGTTCCGGGTATGCTCGCGCAGAGAAAGGGTCACGTGGTTTCTGTAGCCTCCATGGGATCTTTTGTTGTACCTCCCCTTATGGTAAACTACTGCATAACCAAGATTGGCCAGCTGTACCTCACCGAGGGTCTTCGGGCGGAGTGCCTCACGCGCTATCCTGGTGGTTCGTCTATCTGCACGACCTCGATCCACCCGGGCTGGCACGAGACAGGGATTGACAAGGACGGCATCCTCGAAGAGTTTGGCATTGTGAATGATCCGCCGCAACCAGTCATCGATGCTGTATTAGACCAGGTCCTGAAGGGCAAGAGTGGCATGATATGCATACCCAAGCATCATACTTCCGACTCCCTGTTAAGGTTCTTGCCAAGGTGGGTGCAGGATCTAAAGTTCGGGCTTGTTAGTACAAAACTATAGAGACATTTACAAAATTATAGAGAAACTATCCTTCCAGATACTCTTGAGTAGGCCAATCTGCTTCACTTCTTGGAAAGTTTCTCTCTCGCCGGGTACATATACTGGGGTTGAGCGACTTTTGCGTATCGAGCCTTTCAAGCGCGACAGTGGCTATTTAAACAGTGCTTCCGCCACCGTCGCGCCACCGACACGGTTCCTCGGTCGAGATCGGAAGCTGGGTACATGGACGATGAGGAAACCTTCCCAGGCGACGAATCTTACGTGAAGAGGATGGTACTACAATATTGAGGGTTCCTCGATGTGAAACTTGCTGCGTGTGGGACATTCAGGGCTGTGTTAGCGCAACGGTGATGGGCTAACGAGATACCAATAGGTAGTGCCAAAGTGCGATCGATGACGTATGCATAAAGTGGGTCGAAATGCGCTTGTCAAAATCCGCAAAACATATAGTACTGCCGTCTTTCCTTTCAGACCAAATGCAACCGCCATCACCCGTATGAGCAATGCTTTCGAGTATCGGCGAAGTGCTCGTTTCCGGAGCCACGAAAGCCAGCGAGACGACAACGAATCTTATATCAAGAGTGTAGTACGTTGGAGCCGAGTTTTGTTCTAGGCTGAGTCACACACGATATTTGACTCCGTCAGTGAAAACGAAGTTAAGCACAAAACGTAGAAGCTTGACCACCTGGTTGATCTTTTGCAGCGGCTTGATGTCGCATCCGTTCGAGGACAGTTGCCTCGAAGTGGAGAGGAAACTAACTTACATGAGCCCACAACGCCATTGTGTCCCATTCAGTTTCCTACTTCTGATCAAGGAGGTATGCATACATCAATGCTTGTAAATGCTGTTTATGTGGCTAGCTGTTCAAGAGTTCTCTAAGCCAGCATACTAACCCAAAAGCCTCAATCACAGCAACCACCCATACGCCCAGGGGAACAGGTAGATCAATAGGCCCCTCCCTAATACGACCGGCGCCCACCACTCAGGGTTTGCTTTCCTCCCCCCCTTCAAAACCACACTTATATGCTTCCCCTCCCATCTGCTATCAGCATCAGCAACCTCAATCATCCCCGCCGCCAAATCCAAGAAACTTATGAACGTCTGCTGCTTCTCCTCACTCAATTCATGCCCCTTCTGCACATCATGCGATAGCCCGCCAGGCATCACGAATGTCATATCCAGCCAGTCCTCGTACTGACGGAGGTAGGCTTCGGCGCGCTTGAGGTCGTCATAGATGAAGGCGTTGGCGGAGTACATTATCTTATGCACGAATTCGGGTGCGCCGTCCCAAAACTTGTCGTCCAGGCTTGCGGAGCTGAGAACGACGAGTCGAGGTGGTTTGACATAAGGGTGTGTCTCTTTGAGGGCTTGCAGGGCCGAGATTACGGCTTTGGCGGTGTCGAGAGAAATGCTAGTGTTCGGTGCATTTACATTGACAGCAACAGTAAGGAATACGGCTTTCGTGCCCTCGAGGCACTCTGCTAATGTGAAGGCATCGGAAATGCTGCCTTCAAAGACCCGAATGTTATTGTTCGCAGAAAGAGGTGGGTATGATTTCTCTAGCTTGGATCGCGAGCGTACAAGTACGTTGATCTTATCCTTTGGATTCTCGCCGAGTAATTTGAGGATGCTGCCGCCAGTCTGGCCTGTTGCTCCTAGAATGGCGTATCCTGACATGCTAGAACTGTGGTGCGATGTGATGACCACCAGTATTGTATGCGGCTTTGCACCTCGTAGCAGGGTAGCTAAGTCAAGTACCGACAAGCGCTACTTTGCCGTGGAATTTTGAAAAAGATAAGATGTAGGCTACTTTGCCGTAGAACCTGGAAAAAGATAAGAAGATGTAGGCCAGGCTGGACGAGGGAAAAGCTGTTGTTTCTCTCCCCTATATGGGGTCTCGCTGCGAGTTGGTACTTGATACCTTGACTCAATCTGTCCTAGGCTATTTGTTGCCTGACTGAGTTTTTGCGGGACGGACGCCGTGGATTGCGAAGGGCAATAATCTCGTGTCCTGATAACGGCATCGGGAGGCGAGGCCCTTAGCTCATACAGTGACCCGCAAGCGGCGTTGAGCACTTTGTGCGATCATGCATCCAATCAAGTCCCAGGAGCCTCTTGCACGCTTATCAACTCTTCTCCCGCCTCAGCAACATTTGCCGCTTCATGTGGTAGCACACAACAAGCGACTTCCGCTGGCTCCATGAGCGCTTTGTACCGCTCCTTATGCATGTAGGCTACCGCTGTAGCTGTTACGCATGTTGGGAGCAGCGCTGCCCATGGCTCAAAACACGTATGCAGCTGCCTGTGAAGAGAATGATTGAGTTCTGGCGAATGGTACCCGAAGAGTATAAGCGAGGAGGTACTGGGTAGCGGAGGGAGGAGTTGTGACTTTGGGCTTCGTACTACAGTATGTTTCGCAGAAATCATCCTGCAAGGTTTGCAACTCAGAGATCGAGCGACATGCAGGTCAAGCCTCGGAGGCTGGGGAAACCCTGTCTACGAGTCGACTGTACATCTATCAAGCATTCGCGCAGTGCTGTTGGAGGACGCTTTAGTCTCGGGTTGCATGATGCTAAGCGCGTCGCACACCGTGTTGAGGTTAGGCGTGTGTTGCACTTCCAGCATAAAGGTCAGCGTGCCGTGGACTATGACCTTGACGAGGTCTGCCGGCACGGGCTGGATTTGCGTGCGGTCGACACAGGCCAGCGCGTTCTGAAGGTAGGTGCCGAGGCGCGTAGCGTGCTCGCGGAACGGGGTCGGCTATGCGAGGTGCTGAGGCAACGGTGTCGACATGGCACGTCAGACGCGCTGCTGGCTAGTCAATTGGCGTCAAGAGCGACCGTTTGAGCACAAAAATACTACTGGATTTCAAAAGTTCTCGCTGTGTGTGATGTTTCGTTGCTCTTCATACTGGATGGCTTTGGTGTTCCAGCAACAGTTAGTGTTGATGCCGGGTGTCGAACGAGCACAGGCGTTCCGCGCACAGACTCGGTGCTGAATTAGTCAGCCGGCCAAATTGGCCGTCGCTTCGCTCAATTTGGCGCAGTGTCCGTACGAAACTTGCGCGCTCCTTGTAACTAACGTCTTAGTTCTACTTCCACCGACAACAATCTTTTGCGAATCTCCAACAATTTATTAACGGAGGATGTCTGAACGTATGCCCACGAATACTGTGTCGTTCTGCCCTACCTGTAATAAGCCTTTCACAGCAGGTATGGCAAGTCGAACGTCTAATCATGCATGCCTGTGGTAATGTTCAGGAAACAGCGCCTTCTTTTAATCGTCATGTATCGTACTGTCGCCGTGCGCAAGTTCGTCCCAAAGTCAGACGCAGATCGTGTCGAGCCTGCAAGAATGCCAAGGTGAAGTGTAGTTTCCAACCTTGCTGTGCGCGGTGCACTTCAAAAGGGCTGGATTGTATCTATGAGCGCACATCAAGTATGGAAGAAGTGGCCACAAGTGGCCAACAGAGGTCTTCAAGTCCATCAATTGTGCCTGTCGAATCTCGAACTTCAGAAGCTCAGGAAATACAACTTCCGGGCATTGACCCCATGCAAGAGCTTTCCTTTCTCGGTTATAACGACACTATGGCGGTCGCAAGCTTCAGCCCCACCATTGGTCCAATTGCTCAGCTTGGCGATATTGATGTGCTTCCTTCATCATGGGGCGTTGCACTGGATTTTCCAATGTCTACCTGGTCCATGAGCACCCGCGATGATACTGGAGAACCAGGCTTTCTGACAAGGATCGGTCGCTCCGACAAGTACGCACAACACAGCGCGGATACTATCATCGAAGCTCTGTACGCGATACCCGACCGGATGCTTCGTCGAGAAACATTTCCACCCTTCATCCATCCCCATTGGCACCTCCCAGCTCTGCCCGAACCTCTTGCTGTATGTATGCAGCTTGCAGACATGTATTCGAGAGCACCGGAGGTTCGCCACTTTGTTTGGCGGTGCATACTCGCAGAGCAACGACGCGCAATAGAACGCCTCGAAACACTGAGCGACCAGGAGATCTTTACCCACGTCCAAGCCGGTATTGTATATCTGGCGATGCGGCTTGTAGACGGGGTAAAGCATGGTCTAGATTGGATACGTGATATGGTAGCGATACAGGACGTTCTTTGCACCCGCTTCCTGCAGAATAATGACTTCTGCTTCTGCCATTCCGAGCAAACACACCCCACCCTGACATGGGAAGACTGGATCTATGCGGAGTCGAGACGAAGGAGTTCTATCGTCTGGTTCCTCATCACTCGTACTGTTGTCGTTGCGCTAAAGGAAAACTGCTATTTTACGAATGCTCCTGACGCTTTGCCGCTCCCTGCACCGCAGACGCAATGGGAAGCACGCAATAGTGAGACCTGGATGAAGGAAGTCTGGTCTGGAAATCCGGCGATCACGACATTTGGCAATTTGATCACGGCGAAGCGACGAATTGATGAGCCTGAAAGTAAACAAAGGCTGGCGGCATGGAACGCAAGAACGGACCGTCTGGGACCATTGCTTAATGCTGCAGTTGCTCTAGTCTAATGGATCGTTACAGGCTGAACAAATACCATTCCAAGGCATCATCCTCACGGTAAAGTCGGCCTTCGTCGGCTATCCTGCTATCTACCAAGCGATCTCTCCATCGCGATCACTAAACGTCGCAGTAACCTTATCCCCCTTCTGCAGTGTCGCCAACTCCACAATTCTCTCCGCCCCCTGCTCAGGCGTGATTCCATAATCCGTCCAGCCTGTCAAATTCGTCTTCACAAGCTGCGGACACGCAACGTTGACCTTGGCATCCACATCCTCCAAAATTCGCACATAATTCAAGGCCAACATATTCAGCGCCGCTTTGCTGGCATCATAAGCTTTATAGTCAATCGCGTAGAATGGTGTGTCCTTCACGGTGGCTTGTTGCAGAGAGCCCATGCGGGATGACACGAAGACGATCCTCGGGTTCGCTGACTTGCGGATTAAAGGGATGAAAGCCTCAGTAAGGACTGCGGTGCCGATAACGTTGGTGTTGAATGTCTCGGTGAACAGGTCGCGGGTCGCTTGCTCGGGGTTCTTTCCGTCAATCAGAATTCCGGCGTTGTTCACCAGAACATCGATGTGACCGTGTGCTGTTTCGATCGTTTTCACAGCCGCTGCGATGGAGGCATCGGATCCAAGATCGAGTTGGACGCTGGAGGCAGAGCCTCCTTCTGCGGCTACTTGAGCGGCGGCTTTGGCGCCCGCTTCAGCGTTGCGAGAGCCGATGATTACATGGTGATTGTGGGTTTTGGCGAGCTTTAATGCAGTGGCGAGGCCGACACCTTGGTTTGCACCGGTAATGAGGGTTATGGTGGACATCTCGTTTAGTCGAGAAGCAAGTGTTTGTAATGCGTGTGGGACAATGAGCTAGAAAGATGCGAGTCAAGTATGATTTGCGAGTGTACATGACGAAAGCCGCTGAGTCCAATATATATACCATGTTTTTCCAAGAGATCTAAGACTACGCTCTCGCTGTTAAGCTAAGCTGTCGGCGAAAGTTGTCTTGCGGCCAAATTGGCCGGCTCCAAGTTTGTGAGCTGTCGAAAAGTTGACCCAACAATCTCCTACTTCCACGCAACTCTCGCGACCAGCGCTCCGTTTGACCCTCTTCTAGAATAGATGGCAACTTGTGAAGGGGATAAAGGGAGATGAATTGTTCCTTAAGTCGCGCAAGCCACGAAATACTCCCTTTCATATAGCCTAATTTGGTTTAGCCCCGCCGTGTGTAGCCTAATGCATACTCTAAACGAGACGGAAATAGCAGCTACACTCGTTTCTGTCATGACTTCTATCTGTGCATGATAGCCTTTACAGAAGACAGCTCCAAGCTGGGCTTAAGCTGGCCCTACCTACGTGCGACCCTCATAACTAGGGTCCGACTCGATCGTCTAACCGCTACTTCGCCTCTGATTCGTTTCTTTCAGGCTTAGCGACAAAACGAGCAGCTCTCTACATACAATGCTACTGCCTTCACACCCTGTCTAACCTGTCCCATATTGCTAGCGCGTTGTACGCCTCACACTCTACCTTCAGGACGCGGTGGCCAGTGTTGAGCGCTCGAAGCCCACCGTACAAAGAAAGTGTCGTCGCCATCATCGCCATGGTATGCTGATGCTTACATGATAAGCACATTACGATATTGACCTCTCTTTCCGCAGAGTTAGTCTTCTGTTGTAGGTGCGCGATTATCGCGCGGACGGTCTCTATGGCATTCTAAAACCGCGTTTCTCGGGTGTATCGTAAGTTACGCAGTGTTATGTTCGTCCTGCGTTCGTCTTGCACTAACTCGAGTGAATCGCAGATTTTGTCAAGATCGGCAGGGCTACATAGTGCGTGCAAACGACCTTCACGAGGTCTGCTAGCACGGAATAGCTTTGGGTGCTATTGAGGCACATAGCATGCTTGCAGAACAGAGTTGGCCATGCGGGCGGCCGACGCCAGAGTGTCGCTATGATAAACTACTCGCAGTGGGCGTTGCCGCTACATACATAGAAGCCAACCATTGGATAAGCGCCAGGAGCAGCTGTTTGTGCACAGCGAACACTGTTGAAGTTCAATCTGACAAGTTCGTACTGTTGGTGGCAACCTTACATAGTCGCAAGAGCGATCAGAATTCTGGGCTTTGGCCCCGGGAAAGGTAAGTAACTCCGCATCCCGGCTTGGCGCGCGGGGCGAAAGATCTTACTACGTTTGGAGAGCGCAGCGAAAGATCCTACTACGTTTGGCGAGATCTTTCAGCCACCGCCAATATCAGGCGTGCTGTCCAGGAATGCAGTACCTACTGTTGCCCAAAAAGATTAGTGCATCCGCGCTGCGATCCTTTTTGATTACTTCAGCTTACATCCGTTCATCTGGACAATGTTCTCTCTCCAAAACATCGCGCATGTTTAAAGGCATCGCAGCCACCCTAGAGGGCGTCATCTGACTCGCTCCCAGTCAGTACTTCGTCAACCCTATCCTTTTCTCCATTCTTTACAATGAGCGAGACCCAACCTATAATCCACCTCGTCTTCTTCAAATACCGTCCGGACATATCATGGACAGATTTTGAACGGCACTTCGAGTCGTTCATGGCGCTCAAAGAAAGCTCCTTGAATCCCCACACTGGCAAGCCGCTCATTCGGTCTCTCAAGGCTGGCAAAAACCGTTCATGGGAGCCATACTCGAAGGGCATGACGCATGGATTTGTGCTCGAGTTTGCTGATCAGGACGATCTGGATTACTACTTGACAACTGAACCTGTGCATCTGGCGTTCGCAAGAGACAGTAAAGCCTTGATTGAGGATAGCATGGTAGTCGATATACAAGATGGTGTGCTTTTTGGTCCTGCAGCCGAACATCCGTCTGCAAAAGAAGACGGTGCAAGGAGTGGTGCGTGCAAATTGTGAAGGTGTATGATGGACAGTCAAATTAGATGATGGACAGCACGTCCTCAGTCATACTTCACCTATAGCTAATAACCTAATAGGGTCTAACTACTTTAAATTATACTTAAACTCCCCTATGATCCTAGCACACAAACTCTAACGCATACTATATACTACTAAATGTGTTATTCATCTTACTAGACTCCTAGATCCAGTAACCCTAGCTCTGTACCAAGTGGGTCAAGATCTATTCCGTCAAAGTTAAGCCATGACTGTGTTTCCAGCATGGGCGGCACAGGCGGGAGGTCTAAGTCTTCACTAAATCCTCCCCCGTGTTCGTTCTGCAGCTACGATCTACCTGGCGGCGCCAGCGACCCGTGTAGCGTCTCATCAGACACAGTGGTGGACGGAAGATCTAGCCCCCCTCGCACCTTGTGCACTACAGCCACCTTGTACAGCGCGCGGAAGATCTGTAATTGCTTTGCCCCCGCCGCGTACCCGGATCTGTGGGACACAGACTTTAGCGCATCCACTAATGCCCTCAAACTCTGCAGATCATTCACGTGTCCCATCTCAACAACACTGCAGAACACAACATCAAAAGGCAGGAATGAGGCGAACAAGAGGCCTTCGTTCACCCATGTCTCGAAGAGCGCGGGATCGGCATCGTGACTGACAAGGAGCGCAACACATGTAGTGTGCTCTCGTAAGCTGTCTCTGGCGGCAGCTGTACGGGCTGTGGAGAAGGAGGTCAGTGATGGGCTGGGTGTGCTGCGTTGGATGACCATCAGGACCAGGTAGTCGATCGCGCGGGTTACGTGCTTTGCAAAGTCGATGAGTACAATTTCGGCCATCGTGCCGCTTGGATTTTCGTCCCATCGTGTCAGGGCTGCAGAGTTAGGGCATGGCGGTGGATAGAGTGGAGGTTCAAGTACCATGTGCAGTTGCTTTGAGGTAGTCAGAGCGCGCCACTCTGGTGCGATGTCTTGCCCACGAATAATTCGGTATGCTGATGGTACCATAGCGCGCCCCGGGGTGTTTTCAAAAGCGTGACATCAAGACGCTAGCTTCCATTCTATCTCTGACTGCTGTTAAAAAGTTTTACTGCTCTTAAAGTAATCCTAAAATAGAGACAATAAGGGCAGGGATTCAAATGGGACAACGACGTGAGCCTTTTCCTGCGCCGCTGCCACTTCAGGCCGGTGCTAGTAACATGCACGGCTAGCGGGATAGTTTTCTCCAAGGACAATGCTGAACGCAGAGAATGCGCTGTTGTACAGTGTAAAAGCCTCTCTGAATTGATTATGTCTTGCAAGAAGGTAAGCAAGACAGTACATGCTCATCAGCGTGTAGGGATGCTCACGCAGTGTATGCATCCGCCTCGTACCACAGAACATCCGGGGCTACAGAACCCCAGATCTGCATTGCATCCGGAGCAGATTTTATTTGCGGCTAGTTGAGTACAAGATAGATGATCATTGCGGGGAGAACGAGTGCGGCCTTGAATCCGAATTCCATGTGTGTAGCAAGGGTTGCATCTCGTGAAAATTGACCATATCATCGTTCGTTCAGGATGGATTCGGCTTTGACCAGCCATGTTCACGGCTACTCGTTTTCCGAACAAAATAACGCGGTATAGCAGATACAGGTGGTATGTGTAAGCCGCATGGTCAAGCGGCCTAGCGAGATCGGAAGTCGGTCTGACAGCAGTACGATCTGACTTTTGAACAGTCTGTACACTCGAGTTTGGGGTATAGTAGACGAGCATCACTTATTCATATTGAAATCAGATGGTTTATTACCGCAAACAGAACCACGCGATCTCAAACCGGTACCAGACAGGAGCGAAGATATGCTTCCACCTCGTCCGTGCCAGATAATGACGCTAGCGTTCCCACATACCCGTCAGGCCTCACCACAGCAACCAGGCCCTCGTCTTTGGACACGACGTATAATTCATAGGCATCTTCCCTCTGTGACAGTCCATATGTGCGCATCTCAGCAAGCTGCTTGACGCCTGCGGGAATATCGGTCCACTCAAATCGCGTTTTCAAGGGGTGAAGCACTGCAAGGTCTATGGCACCACCAGGGAAGTGCTGCATGGTTTTAATGCATGACCGCAATGAAGACTGCGAGCGGCCGGACGCATCAAGAAGATCGTTGCTTGCGAGTACGATGATGCGGTACCGACCTATCGAAGGCAATTCTGTAATTCTTATCAGCGTACGTAGACAACAAGTCGAGCGACACATACCGTCTTGCAACTGCCGGGTAGTTGCATCTGCATACCTTTTCACCTCAACGTTAAGGAGTCTTCTACCCGGAACCAGTGCACCGCAAAGCATATCATCGTTGGTAAGGAGTCTGGTCAGACTTCCAGCTGGAATCCTGATCAACCTGCTCGGTTTATAATGCAAACCACATCCACTTGTGAATCCGCTGCCTTCTTTAAAGACGCGGAGGAACTCTTTGTGTGTGAGTCCTGACATTGCACTATCTCTTGAGCCGAACTTGCCAGAGAAGATGTGAGAAAATGTCGAGTCGAAATCGATGAGCTGGCGAGCCGTATCGGCACGCTCTGATTCGAAAGTTTCCAGTACTGGATCTGCTGCTCCAGATGGTGGAGGCGGAGTCAGTCCATTGATACCGTGTACAAGCTTCCATGCGAGGTTGTAGGAGTCCATCATAGACACGTTCATGCCTTGCCCAGCTTTTGGACTGTGTGTATGGCATGCTGCTCTCGGTAAGTATGTGCGCCTGTAGATAGCTTGCCATTGTACTGACCATCACCAACGATGAAGATCCTTTCGATGCCGTCGGGAGACCTTGCGGAAAATTTGGGCGCCATCCGTTGGCCTATCTGGTACGCAGCCCACCAGTCTGGTGTGGTGCCTTCCTTGATCGCTATCTCATACGGAGAGAAGACTGCACGTGCTTGCTGGAAGATGTAGTCTAGACTCACAGCCCCGCGCTTCTTTTTATCGGCTGATTTCTTATCCGTACCACAATCTTGGTCTGCATTGACTTCTCCGGGTACTTGTACATACAGGCGGGTAAGATACTCGCCTGTAGCAATTTGCTCTCTGGGAATGACCATCACCGAACCCGAATCTGAGTGCACCGCACATCGCTTGCGGATGTCCGGAAAGTCTGTGGTCGCAACAAAATCACAGACTCCCCATATGTGGTCCGTCGTCTCGCCCTGAAGGCTCAGTCCCATGCACGTTCGTACTCGTGAGCGTGCGCCATCTGCTCCCACAAGATACTTGGTTCGGACCAAGCTTTGCTTTGTAGTACCATCGATGTCATCGTATTCGTATCTAACGAGGATGGGGAACTCGGTTTGTGACTCGTCCACGAAGAATTCAAGGAAGCGATGCGATCTTCGGATTGTATCTTCTGGGGCGTATAGATGAAGGTTATCTTGAAGTATCCGCTCGATGCGACCTTGGTGGATTGTGACCTCGAAGGGAAATCGCGCAGAAACATTGACATCGGGCACGAATTCAGATCGTTCGATCCCTTTCTTGAAGCTATTGTGAGCCCCTTGAGGATTTGGAGACACTGCATTCCAGAACGCGACCTCCTCCATGTGGCAACCTTCAGCTATGATCTCGCCAGCGAGACCGAGGCTTTGTAAAACTTCCAGCGTTCGGGGCTGCACACCATCTGCCTGCCCAGCCTTCAAAGTCTCCGGTTTCGAGTCTAGACAAAGCAATGAAGAGCCAGTGATGCCATATCTAGCCAGCAGTAGGGTCAGAAACAGACCACTCGGTCCAGCCTTGAGAGATATCAGCGAGCTTCTCTGGTAGTTGCAACTTCACCACTGACGCCTATGACCACAACTTCTCGTCTCTCTTCTGGACCCGACGAGAGGTCTGGCTTCGGTGAAAGACGTGGCAAAGGAAGCGCACGAGATGGAAGGGTTCTGAGGTCTCTATCAGAATTGGATGTTTCTTGGAAAACCGGCATCCTGAGTATTCAACGAGTTGGGAACTATTTGCAGAGTGTAATGTCCCAGGAGATCGCAGGTAGGACACAAGGCGATGCATGATTTGATCTTTAAGATCTTGCGCTCCAGGACTCCGCTGCCAGACCGCGTGGGGAAAGCCAATGTAGCGTACGTTCAGCTCCGGATGAAATCTCGGCTTCCAGCTTCCGGATGGTTCTTGAGATTCCGATTGGGCAGCGCGAACATCGTAATTTGATGACCAACCTTTGCATGACGATTGCTTACAAGCCTGTGGAGAACCGAATTGCCTGTGCTTCTGAACTTAACATTCGCGAATACTTGTCGTGCCATTAGTGGTCGCCCTCTAAGGTTTGCTCGGAAAAACCCCGCTTTCGAGATGTCACGTGAATCGAAAAGCTTGGAGATCATCGTCACTGGCAATCACCTTCAGAACCCAACTCCAAGCGCTGGAGAAGACAAGCATGGCGCGACCACACCAAAGCTCCAGTGGGATCGAATCAGGGGGGCGTCGCAGTCTGCCCCGTGTGAGCCATGCGTGTCAACGATGTCGGGCCAAAAAGGCCAAATGCGATCAGAAACAGCCATGCCTGGCTTGCATCAAGCGTTCTGTCACATGCGAGTATGGCATCAGAAGGCGGGGCGGCAGGAGGAAACAGCAACCGTTAAGGGATACCGTAGAGGGACCAAGTCCTTGTCGACCTCCAGCATTCAATTCAAGGAGTCCGAGCGGACCGGAACAGAGACAACCCTCACAGCCACCCCAGGAAACAACACCATCTGGTACACATCGCCTTTGACTTTTTGTTTCTTACATAAAAGCGACTGACCACTGATACAAGACTTTCGCCCTCAGACTCTATCTGCAGATGGCTTAGACGTGGTAGGGGACATCAACCAGCGCACCCAGGGAACCGAGTTCTATGGAACGTCGTCTAACTTCGTGCTACTTAATCAGCTTTTTGCTTTCGCTCGGGAACACAATTCTTCCAGATATATGAGATCCAACGGCCATGAGAATACGCCACATCTCTTTCCTGTCAGCACCGCTGGCAATGACGACTTCGTTACCCCAAGAGGACTCGGACTTGCTCTTGGTGAGCAGGATACCCGTGCCGGCCTGAGAGCTCCACCTCAGGATCGGGTCTCGATTATCAATCTCCTGTCAAACGAAGAAGGGCTTTCACCGCCATCGAGACCCAAAACGCCTGCGTATGGGCAACAAAATGACTCAGATCGAACTCACCGTGCAACGAATGAGACAACGGCATCTGCACCGTGCGACAATTTAAGGGGTCACACGCAGAGCACTTCGGTTGACGGGATTTTTAACATGCTCAATGATTCAAGTCCTGCTACAAGGCGGAGTTATCAATCTTTTACAGGGTCATCGACCCAGAGTTCTAAGATACATCTGGAGCGAGTGTATGTCCACATATTCCTGGACAATCTACATCACCTCCATCCTATGCTTGATCCAGTCTCATTTGAAAAGAGATGCGAGAAAGACATTTGGTTCGCACACTCTGCTGGTGAGCGACAGAAAGGCTTTCGACATTTCTTTGCGTTGTACAACATTGTCGTGGCAGTCGGAGCACTTATTGCTGGAAGCCATGTCTTCAAAGAGCTGGAAAGAGACATACGTTCATGCATAACCCAATCGGCAGAATCTGAGAGCTCTGGACGAATCGACTCCTCCCAGGCAGTTTCGCGCCGATATTTTCGAAGGTCGAAGGATTTATTGGGCGATACGTCTGCAACATGCTCTTTAGAGAGTGCACAAACACTTCTTCTCATGGTAACAATTCATCAAGCTTTTCCCGGACACGCTCGCTGACTTTGACATGGTCACTCTACTGCCAAAACTCGCACATGCCGCACAGATGCTACATGTATTGTGGTCAAGCCGTGCGTACCGCTCTCGCCATCGGCCTCGCGAACGAATCCACATCGATGTCAACAGAAGATCAGAAAGCTGCAAGACGAACCTGGTGGTGCATCTACTCCCATGAGATCGACATGAGCTGCAGTTCAGGTCGAAGAGATAGTCTAAGGAAGCCCCACAATTACCAAACACCACTTCCGTTGATTAGAGATCAAGAAGATGTTTCTGACACACCCAAGAGCGAGGACAGGAAGGTTGCCATGATAAATGAGATGGTTCGCTTCGCCGCAATCCTTCGGCGCATATCTAAAGAGCTCTACCATGACGCTAAGGGACTGACCCTGCTACAAAAGTCCAGCATTGCGAAAGAGTTAGACGACCTTCTTAGCGATTGGAGATCGAAGCTGCCAGATTGGCTTGACTTCGGTAAACTATCGTTCCGAGAGGAAGAGTGGGCGGGAAAGCAGAAGCTTGTCCTGTACCTCCGGTACTTGAATGCGAGGATACTGGCGCATCGGTTATTCCTAGCACCCCGTGCAGACGGCAGCCAGGTGGACGTGTCAAGTCATGTCGGCCTCTGTCTTGAAGCCGCACGGGAGACGATCCAGGTCCTTTACGTCGCATATGCTCACCGTCACTACTTTCGGACCTGGTGGTACAACTCTACATATACATTATACGCTGGGATGATTGTTTTGTATGTTGTGATGCTGAAGGCGACTGTCCTATCCAGCGAAGATTTACTGAATGACGTTGTCAAAGCGCAAAGCATTCTGGAGTCGATGCAAGAAGCAACAGTAGCTCTTCGTAGTGCTGAGCTATTGCGAGAGGGCTTAGAGATCGCCCGTTCGAGTAGTCAACACGAAACAAATCTCAACCTTCCACTTACTGGGGGTCACACGAGCCAGGTCAATGGTATTCCTCACACTCGACTTGACATACACGACTCCATACCATATATCGATCAGCAGACGCTTCGTACAGCCTTTCCTACCTACGACACCGACCCAGGACCGCTCTTCGCATCGCTTATAGATCCTGGTCTTCTGCAGGACTTTACGACAGGATTGAACACTTTGGCAGATCTAGGCGACTCTTCTTTCCTGCTCGATAACTCCTACAGTAGTTGGCCAGGGGATTACCATACACCGACATTCTCGTAGAAGATTCGGGGAAGTCAGCTCGCCTACACAAGAACCTCTCCCCAGCCACATGTAATCCTAATCTCAGCCCACACCGGGAACAGCCAGATTGTCAGTAAACTTGGAAGTGCCACTTATGCCGGCCATCGCCTCCTCGGTCTTCTTCCTTCGCAATTGCGCTGCAGCTTCATCTGTGACCAATACGAAGTCATATGTGATGCGAGCAGATCCCAGGCTGACGCCGTATCTATTCGCTTGTCGCTCATCCTCAACCTTCTCGAGTGCAACGACAAGAGAGTCTTTGACACCGAAAACTGCGTCGGTCGATTCGTACGGGTCATCCTTCAGATACAGAGCACTGCAAAGGATGTCAGTTTTATTCGAGCTGTAAGCGTTCATCAGCTTACGTGACAAGAGGGTCAAATCCTGCCTTCTTGAACATGAAGTGCATATGACCCGGTCGGTACGGGTGGCGATTCAGAACTTTTAGCAGTTTCCCGACGGGCCCATCATGCGGGATAGGATAAGGAACCGGCACAATAGCTTTGAACCAGAAGTGACCGTTCTTATCGCTCGTCAAAATCGCCCTTCCATCTGGTCCTATCCTGTCTGCATGTTGTACATCATAGAAACCTTTTGAGTCTGTCTCCCAGACGTCGACCTCAGCACCTGCAACAGGATGTCCGTTTACATCGTTCACGGTACAGAGCACAAGGAGCGGCTCACCATCTGTATCCTGAGATATCAGACTGCCCTGTTCTCCATGCTGGGCTTCGTGCGTGTGAAAGGGTCCCAGAACGGTTCCTTCGGTGCTGCCTTTTGGTTTGGGGTGGTCAATTGAGTCAACTAGGAGCGAGAGACCGAGCACATCTGACAACAAGATGAACTCCTACATTGGGTCAGTTGTTGCTGTTCGTGTTCCTGGGGTACATCATACGTACCTGTCTTGTATCTGAGGATATCTGTCCGACTTTTGTCAAGAACGTTATAGCCGTCATCCATTCGTCTGTTGTGAGTCTGACTTCTTTCGCGAGTTCGTGGAGGTGTGTAACGGTCCGCTCGAGAACATATTTCAGGCGTGGACTGCTGCACTGGGAATTGATGGCATGGACATTATTGGTTATGTTCTCAATAGTGAGATCTTTTAAGCTGACTGGAATAGACATGACAAGATCTGTCTGGTTTTGTAGGGTACACTTGGACTGATGATTATGATGCAGCAGATAACCAGGAATGAAGGTTCGAGGAAAATTTTCCAAGTGTGTTAATGAAATAAAACATGGAACCGTCTCCCTCTCTTAATTGCTCCTTGCAGTGGTAACACGTGTTCGTACACGCTCCAAGCATGTGCCCATACTGAGCCGGTTGGATCAGAGCGGAAGGCCGGATGGCTGAGATCGCGGATCGCAACTAAAGATCCGAACTTGGTACCGGACCATTCGTACATCCGCCACATCAACAGATCCGCCGTAACGCTCGGGTGGCACGCTGGGCCCACTGTCCCTTTTGACATGCCTGTCTGAACGGATATCCATGACTGGGGATAATCTAGCCTACGAACGAACCATACGCTTATCATCAGACGACACCACATCACTGGATCGAACGTATGTAGAGCTACACTCGTACAATCAAAAATGGGATTCGTGCTTTTCAGAGAGATGTATCTAATAGGCCAGGGGCGACTACCGCCCCCAATCGGTATTATACTGTCTGCCCTGAGGTTCTCTGCAGCTTAGACAGCTTCTCCGGTTATATTTATCGGGGTGTGCATTGTTGCCTTTGAAAAGACTCCAATCGTGTTTGCGTCGGGGAACTGTGTAATCGCGGTTGCCATCTCAGCTCGTCCAGGTGCTGAGAGTATTGAAGCTGCGCAGAGCTTCCGTCGCGATAGTTCATCCAGCAATTGGGCAGAGGATCTGCCCACAGGGCCAAATATGGCGTGACTGGGGTTTAAGTGTAGATGAAAGTCTCCATCGCGGAAAGGAAAACGTGCAGAGGTCACGACAAGTAGGTTTATGGTCGTAGAGAGAAGGAGAGGCTTAACGAAGTGGTTTTGCAAGCACCCAATAATGGTCATACAATCCCCATCGCACTCTAGAGTCAGAGCATGCCTACTCGGAGTCTACCCCAGTGAATTGCATGTAGGCTACTGGAAAAAACGATAAATGACGGATTTTCGCGAATGAGTAGGTATGGTCGTTCGTGCAATTTGTGTAACGTGTCCGGGTGCGTCCGGATGTGTCCAATCCTGGTTAGCTCGAACCGGAAGTCGGTTTATGACGCTGTTGATTCCGATTGTTTTGTTGGACTGATAGCACTGGCGTCTTCGCTCAACAGACTAGCAAGTCGCCTCACTGCCCTCTACAAGTACCCCAGGGTTGCTCATACATGCTCGTTTTCGACGCTTCCTTGCAAGCCACGAAGCTTCCGGATCGTTCGTTCCATAGTGCTGATGGGATATTGTTTTGGCACTGGACCTGAGTTGTGAACACACCTGATTTAAATATGAAGTCGCCAGGCTGTTGGACGTGTCATGCATGCAAAGTATGGACGGTTCCCGGGCAAGATGGGTCTTTCGGTGGATATGCCTCAGTGCTATCATGCTTGTGTATCAAGTATTGCCGGTGATTGCTGGAGATAAATCAAGTCGCAATGAGGCATTGGAAAGGACCGATTTAGTATGTACACAAGTGATTGGTCACGGTCTGAGTGTAGAGTGTCCGGTCAGTCATGGTGTGACCAGTACACCGCGCTGAGGAAGACCATATGCGAAAAAGGCTAACGGAGAACGAGCGATGCCGATTAGATATGCCTGCTAAATCCACAGAGCATGGAAGTCCGATCTTTTTTCCGACAGAGACTGACTTAGAGTATCGGTCAAATCTCGAAACTTGGCCGAGCGCGAAATGAGCAACGCAAAATTCCTCAGCTTACAAGTTGCTTGATAACATAGGACGGCCCACTTCTGTTCCACTTGCAGAGCTGTTCACTTTGCAGTGACGTCAGTCCGCGACGAGGAATTTCGGACCGACGTTGTTGTTATATAGAAGCACATACGTGCCTCAACCATATCATTGTTATCCAGCTCATCAATTGCGTCCGATAACAGGTCTCGGTCTCCGCATAGTTCCCCTGCAGACATATCCAACATGCGCAGCATCATCTCCACGCTGCTGTTCACCCCAGCAGCATTGGCTGTTTCTGGAAATACAGAGACAGCTCGGCTACGAAGCTCACGATACGACTACATAGTGGTTGGAGGTGGCACATCCGGTCTTGTAGTTGCTAATCGTCTTTCTGAAGACTACAACGTGTCAGTCGCAGTCATCGAGGCTGGTGGCGTTGAGCTATACGACACCAACATAACTGATACGTCAAAGTACGGAAATGCTTTCGGTACCGCTGTGGACTGGCAGTATGAGAGCGTCCCACAAAGCTACGCTGGCAGAGCAGCTCAAGTTCTCCGAGCAGGCAAGGCTCTCGGAGGAACTAGCAACATCAATGGTTTGTTTCGACTAGCAGCCCATATGTCTGGCAGCGGCTAATATATGACATAGGTATGACATACTTGCGAGCAGAGGCTGTACAAATCGATGCTTGGGAAGAGATCGGAAACCCAGGCTGGAGCTGGGAGAAGTTACTGCCTTACTACAAGAAGAGCGAGTACATCCAGCAGCCTACCAAATCTCAGCTTGCCCGCGGTGCATCGCTTGATATCGAAGTCCATGGTTCGGCTGGTCCATTGGCTGTTGGCTGGACGGGAGACATGATGGGGGAGGAAGTCATATCGTCTATCAACGACACCTTTGCGGCGTTGAACCTTCCCTTCAACAAGGAACCAAACGCAGGTTCTATGCGCGGACTGACAGTGTTCCCAAAAACCATCGAGCAAGTGGATAACGTCAGAGAAGACGCCGGCCGCGCGTACTACTGGCCAGTTGCGAACCGTCCGAATCTTCACCTCTACCTCGAAGCCTTCGCGGAGAGAATAATCTGGCATCCCGAAATGGGGCTTCGCGACCGCAACCGAACAGCAAGTGGAGTTGTCTTTGTAGACCGCAATGGCTCACAGAGGACACTTCTTGCGAATCGTGAGGTCATACTTTCAGCCGGCAGTCTGAGATCGCCTCTTCTTCTTGAGCAGTCTGGAATCGGCAATCCATCGCAAGTAGACTCTGATATATGTATATCGCAGGACAACGTAGGCTAACCATACTCGTAGCATACTCCAAAAGCATGACATTGATGTCGTTGTCGACCTGCCTTTCGTTGGAGAAAACATGCAAGATCAGACCACGACGGACATGTTCTACACCAGCAACAACAGCACAAATTTCACAGGCCTCGCAGGCTACGCTGCCTACTTTAATGCAGACGACGTGTTCGGCAATGATACCTCCACTCTCAACACGACCATCTTGAACTCCATCAGCCACTACGCCGCCGTCACCGCCAACGCAAGCGGCACCCTCGACCGCTCCGTCACCGAACGACTCTTCCGCTTGCAGCACGACCTTATCTTCAAGCACAAGATTCCCATATCGGAGATCATCATCTCGCCCGCAGCGACAGGACCCATCACAATTGAGTACTGGGGCCTGCTCCCCTTCTCGCGCGGCAGTATCCATATCAATTCTTCCAATGCTTCAGCTCCTGCGACTATCGACCCTAGATACTTCATGCTGAACTATGACATACACCAGCAGATTGCGACTGCAAAGATGGCGCGCAGATTCGCCAACACTGTCCCCTTCTCTGCGGCACTGGAAAGCGAGACAACACCGGGGCTGAACGCCGTGCCCGCGGATGCGTCGGATGGCGAGTGGGAGGCCTGGTTGAAAGCGACGTGTAAGTTCTCCAATTAAAACGACCCCTTACACCACTTTGATAGTCATGCATGGAATCCGAAGCTGATCCTGGGCATCAACAGATCGATCCAACTTCCACTACATCGCCACGGCGGCCATGATGCCGCGCGAGCTGGGCGGCGTGGTCGACTCGAACCTCATAGTGTATGGCACCAGTAACATCCGCGTTGTTGATGCATCGGTAGTACCATTTCAGGTCTGTGGGCACTTAACGTCAACTCTGTATGCGATTGCGGAGAAGGCGGCGGATATGATCAAGGCGCGGTATACGTAGGTTCTTTTAATGCCTACCGGCGCACAACATCCCTCTGGGGTTCGAACGCGTTATAACTTAATAGCCATGCCAGGGATTAATGATGCGCTTGCTGAGATTCGCAAATTAAAGCCAGGCGATAGACTTGTTTTCCCAAATATTACAGAAGAACACTGTGTTAGGTGCTCAACTTTATCGCGCGCGCATCGCGATGTGCAGGTCGCTGACCTACACTAAACAAAGGTCACCTAACCCTAAACCTCGCTCGTTCTGGACGTCGTGCTCTTGAATGGAATCCACTGGGCTGAGTCCTCCAGGTAGCGCTAGTACACATTCATCCATTTCAGATGTCAATGAAGCAGTTTCTTCATGAATTCGTCCCCGCGAGTTCGTCGACGTTCGTGGCAAGTACAGTTTCGAGAGCGCTTTTGGCGTGATGATAGCAATCTTAATGCGAGCATGTAGAAACGAAATGTGCATGTCAGCCTCTACCTCGCATCTGCTCGTCGTGTCTGATGAGGATGTTTCCGAAAGCACGATACCGTGACTTCTCACGCTTGTTGGATTCCTCAGCTGGGGCGCAGCCGACCCACGAGGGCGCACAATTGGCTCTCAATAGATTGTAGGCCCCACCATGTTCGTACTAAGCTCTTTTTCGTGTCTCGCAAGGCAGAGGGGGCGTGGTTTCGAAGATGAAGGCCAACGGCAAGAGCGAACCGCAGAGATGTACCTATCATTATTTAGCGCTCAATTGATTGCTGCTGTGTAGTAATGGAGTAGACATTCATTGGTTGGTTGGATGGTATGCCTAACTCGTGTTTCAGCCTTGTTGGCTGTGTTACCACGTGGCGAAAGTGTATTAGTCGCTCATAACCTAGTGCAGCTTGGAGGGGGCGGAGGCTTACAAGTTAAAAGCAGACGCTGCAGTTCCCGCCCTGCAACCATTTCGGTTTTGAAGTGCGCCTCTCTGGCTATCCCACTGATTCTCTTGATAAGTTCCGTTGGCTTTGCCTTACAACTCTTTTGCATGCGTCACGCCACCTCGAGTGAGTTATTCAGGCTGTCACCAGTAAAGCTTCCTGCAGAACTGATAATCAGCAATCAAGCAGCCAAAGACCGCATATGTAGCAAAAACACCATGGATTTTGTTCCAGGTCCCCGTGCACCCAAGCTGCCACATGTCCAGATTCCATTCACATGTGCAATTGACGATCCTCTGGATTTTCCATACGAGCTTGCATGGAATGGGTGAGACTTTCTTTTTCCACTCTGGCAAATGTCAGGTACCCACACGGATGCAATGAGGTCCAACGTCATTCGGGATTCCGTAAAATCAATGCAAATCGACCCAGGCCATTATGCAAACGAAAACCCACCCATCGCTTTAGACCTTCGACATAGGGTCATTAGAGACCGCTCCGCGCCTGGATATTATGATATCAGAGATCAAACACAGGTTAAACTGAATTCCTTCCAACAGCGAGCCAATGGCGCCGGATGGTTCCGCGACTTCCCGTGCGAAGAATACGGGATGCCGAAAGAAATACTCAGAGCTGATTGGAATTCCCCGTCATATCTCGAGGCATGGCATCTCTTCTCCCCCCAAAAGACAGCCATTCTCATCCAAGACTGGCTATACTTCGCCCTTCTTGGCGAGGTGTTAGGAAGATTTGTGGAGTACAACGAGTTCATTGCTCGTGTGCGACCGCCGATTGAGATACAAGACCTTAAAGACACCAGCGCTAGATGCATCATAGGTCCCAGTGGGGAAGAACGGCACCAAATCTCCACCAACCGCTTCTTCAATGATGAGTGGAAAACGTGGCCGCGAATGCTGGTGGGTCTAGATGATGAAGATCGCAAGGCACGCGTCGAAGAGATCATGAACGCGCTTCACCAGGCTCGCAAGTTTTGCTTACTGGAAGACTCTGGCCAATTGTCCCACATCCCTTTCATCTCGGAGCTCGCTCTGTCTATCCGGACATTGGGACTACTTTTCGAAGACGTTTGCTGTGACCATCCATCATTGTTCCCTGTAATGAGGCGAGGTCTTGGTACGGAAATATGGGGGCAGGGCTCTCTATTGAGGCAGAGAATGTCGCTCACAACTCCTGGCTATCTCTCACATGAGCCTATTGTTCACAGTATAAAGCAATCATGGTGTCCGAATGACATCGCACGACAGAGCAGGGTACTTCCAGCGACAGCAATGTACTACATGTCCTCCATGTCGGTTCCTATGGATGCAAGCAAGGAAGCCGTAGTGGCAAGACCATTGACCGAGAAAAGCAAAGATCATACCTCCTGCACTGAACAGAGCTGTTTCATGGATAACATTGAGGTGGAAAAATACGATACAGAACACTTCTCGTGTTGTGATGGAACCTGTGGCCTGGTGGGTCCAGATATCGCCAAAGTAGAAGAAGTGCTACGTCGCGGGCACATTCCTCTTATTCGATTCTTGCCAGCGGGTCCGCGTCACGGTTTATTCACTAATATCGTGCGCGACATGCAACTCGTCGGGCAAAGCCGCATCTCGGCTTACGCTCAAGCGTTGGCTTTGTCTGAGAATATCAAGTATCACCAACCAGCAGTCGCCGCGTATGGACCAGAGTGGGCGCCAAAGTACACAGCTAAGTCTCTGGGATTGCTAGGTACCTATGAACAGCTAAGTCTCAATGAGTTGGAATGGGAGTTTGAGGTGCTCGAGTACAAGCCGGGAGACGACACTCCATCCCTGGCCCTGTCGCACGTTTGGTCAGATGGTTTGGGAGACACGAAAGGTAACAAATTACCTCGATGCCGCATGACATTTCTTCAGAGAGCAATCTGGCTAGGCAAAACACCTGTGAGTATACCGAATTCTATACCTGACAGTCACTTTGATGAGAATGGGCGAAGCGTCATGGAGTGCGAAGACACATGGGCTTGGGTCGAGCACAACGATTTCAAACGACTGATTAACGAGCCCGTCATGCCGTTCTGGTTGGACACATTCTGTGTCCCGAGAACCTCCGAGGCTGCACGCACCGAAGCACTTCGGCTCATGGGACGCACGTATGCTGCGGCTAGTAGTGTGCTTGTTTTGGACCAGGAATTCTGCGGCTCTTCCATTGGGGGTCACGGACTGATTCGTAAATCCAGAGCACTCACAAATGTTGAGGCGGTAGCGCGCATCTTGGCTTCGAGGTGGATGCGGCGTCTGTGGACGTTACAGGAGGGGCTCTTGGCGAAGAAACTCTTACTTCTCTTTTCTGAAGGTGCCGTTGATATTGACCATATCATTGCCGGCGTCAAGCAGTATGCCGACAACAACGAGCCAGGACACGTCGCTGCAGGCCAGCTTGCCCGTGGTCTTGAGTCTATGATAGATTTCAAGGAAGTCGACCTGTACGGGCGCCTGATTCGTGTTTGGAACGCGTCCATCGGACGAACGACAAGTCGACCAGGCGACGTGCCAATCTGCATGGCGAGTACTATTGGACTAGATGCAGGAGTGTTGCATACCATACCTGCGGAACATCGCGTGACCAGATTCTACACCCTGCTCGAAGAGATTCCACAATCCATCATATTCAGTGGCGCAGAGAAGTTAACAGAACCTGGCTTTCGTTGGGCAGACAGATACCTCGCGACAGAGTTCCTCGAGACACAATCCGCACAAGGGCGGATACGACATGACTCACCATGCCTTGAGGTCACGTATAACACTTACTTCCTGAATCTCAATCTCAGCGACCGAATCCATAGCCTGATCCTCGAGGCCGGCCAGAATGTGACACTGACCGTTGGAAACATCATGGACGCAACCAGAAAAGAAGGTGCACAAGCCTATCTCATACTGTTAGAACGACCTTGCATCTACAAAGCAGAAGAACACTGGAACCCTATTAAAATTATAATCTTTACACAGACTTCACAGAACCTCTTAAGAAACCAGGAGAAGCCTCTTAAAAACATTAGAGCCTACCTCCAAGCGACACTCACGTTTAGAGCCCCACTCGTCTTTTCCCCACGGTTCGGCCTGCTCTCGCTTCTACTTTAGGCCTTAGCCCGGTTCCTGCCCCTTTTGTTCCCCTTTTGGGCTTAGCTTAACCTCTTAGCAGAACTGCTAGATATGCTCAAGAACTCTGCATGTAGCAGCGATACTGCCTTCTGACTGTCTTCGCATGTATCCGTAAGTCTTTAAATGGGGGGTTAAAGTCTCCAGTCCGCCTGTCCTGCCATGCCTAGAAGATTTGTTCCTACCAGTTCCCAGTGGACCATCTACCGTAGGATGCGCGTGAGAGGGCCCTCTCACCGCCGCATCGGACCCAGCGAACACTCCCCAAACCACCAGATCGACCGTCGCGGTGGCTCGCCGCCGACGCAGCGGGAACTGCTAGAACACCAGGAACGTCGCTGCGACGACACCGACCCTGTAGAGCTGCTGCAGAGAGAAAGGGAGCCGTTGCTGCACGCAACCCCTAACACAGGCAGAGAGAGGATCCTGTGCGCCGAGCTCAGCCCAGCCAGCAGCTCATCCATCCCCGACCCATCGACGCAGCCAGCACCCACCACAACACTATGGCCGCACGCGAGTGACGCGTCGCCTCCGACGCCTGCTCTCATCCGAACCTCCCTCCTCGCTCCGTCTCGCTCACCCTTGTACCATCCGTCCTTTCTTTCTTACCTCTCAATTGCTCTACCGCAAATGTGAACAATCACCCACAACTCCCCCCCCCCCCCCCCCCCCCCCTCTCACGCGCCCACAGCAGCTGTAGTCCAGCCCACCGCCAGGATGCAGCTCACCCGGGACACAGACGCGCGGGCGGAGGCCACGTTCTCCACACCACCGCCATCATCCTCGCCTCCTGCGTCTCGGCTGGTGACGCTGATCGCTTCGACGAACCCAGCCAGGTTCGCAGAGGACTTCGTCTGCCTAGGCCAGCACGGGATACTGATCTGTCGCGCTCACCAGACCGCCATTAAGGACCTGGGCAGGCACCTCAGTGCTCACCACAACATCACACGAGACAAAGCGGGCAGAGAGCTTACAAAGGCCCTCGAACGACAGTGGCCCCATCCACCGCACCCGACTAGCCTGCTGCCGCTAGGCCCACCGATCGCAGCGCTCGAGCCCCCGATCGACGCGTTTCGCTGCTACGGCAGTCGTACGTGCAACACACATTGCGCCTGGGCCAAAGGTTGATGCGATAAGAAAGCACTTCAGCGAAAGCAAGGAGGATTCAACCCACAAGCTTCCATGGAGCCAACTCGACACGAGCCTCTACACTAAGGTCAAGACATCCAATGATGACTCAGATACGTTCCGTCAACGCTTTCCTGTAGCCTCTCGTATACCATTGCATAGAAGGGTCAGCAGCAGGCAAGGTCAGTTATCATCCCTCAAATGTTGTACTACATGACCGGTAGGGGAGCCACAGTTTGTTGTAGAGAGTAAAGGTCGAGTAAAGAGGCCAAGGCTGTCCATAACTGCGCGGACGGCTTCAAGGTCAAGATCACTGTCTTTTAACACCGCTCCAACAAGTGCCTCGACAGCTGTAGCCATCATTCGGTTCGAGATACGTGCAACGTGACCAGCGTCTCAATCATAAAAGCGTCGAGACTGTAGTTAAAACCACGGTTAGCAACTCCCTTTTCCAAGGCTAGGTCTCGTCAGAGGCTGGAAAAATTGCACTTAATAAGAAAGAGACCTAATATATGTTAAAGGTATTGTCAACGGATTAAGTAGCAACAGCGGTCAGGGTTTCACGAGTTCAGTTCTACATAAGGCTGAAAACCAGATCAATTACTTCGTCGCTAATGATGGCAAGATCGTCATCTCTACTCAGGTGATAATACTGCTAATTGTAATGAACTATCTAACAGTCAGAGATGATGGCCTCAACGCCAATGGATTCAGTCAACCAGACGCGACCCAATCTGTGCTCAACATAAGCAAGGGTCTCGGAAAAGTCCATAGTGGTATGAGTCACCACAAGCTAATTAACGAGTACCAATTCAAACTGGGTCAAAGGAGAAATACTAAAAGAATTATGTGTTGGTTATACTGATACTTGCGAGTACCAATTCAAACTGGGTCAAAGGAGAAATACTAAAAGAATTATGTGTTGGTTATACTGATACTTGCGAGTACCAATTCAAACTGGGTCAAAGGAGAAATACTAAAAGAATTATGTGTTGGTTATACTGATACTTGCCGTGCACTCAACATCTGTGTCTATTCAAGGTACAAAACTTCATAAAGAGCTAGCTGTAGAGCGGGGATGTTTAGTGTACGTAATAAATATGTAGAATCCTATAGTGATTCTGTTTACCAATTGCATGTAATACAACGAGCTTATGCGTAGGCGCGAGTGCATGCGCGTTGCACGAAGCAGCAGTGACGTTGAATTTTCAAGAGGATCGTGTTTCTTAGTCAGTCAACTCAATATCCGGGTGCGACGCGGTTCACGAATCATACCGTTCAGTTCCACTAACCTGCCCGTATTAAGTACGTGGGAAGAACAGTGTCGTGCACCATCAATCGCTTGTACTTTAGTAAACGTGCGTGTGAAGATCATACTTCAGTGAAAGCGCGTGAGTGTGGTTCATCAGTCCTCAGGTGTGGGCATTATTTTGGAATCGTGAGGTAAGTCATATGATGAAATATTGTAACGACTTGGATGGCGACCTAAGCCGTTATAACTGGCCAGTAGAAAATACACAATTTTCACCTACATGCTGATGTTACGACAATAGTAGCTACAGTGATCCAGGAAAAGCCACATAATTTTAAGGTGTGCAGGTGTGAAAACACCAGAAGATTTTCAACAGTGACGACGTCCTACGTGTATGATCGACAAGTAAGAATTCTCAAATCAATCTAAGATCAGACACAGTGATGCCATCAAACAACGATTCCTCCGTCCATCGAAATATTCCCACTCGCTGGAAGACATTGCTCATCTCACCAATTTTCTGCAAAGCAAGACCCATGACTGTTGCACCGCCTTGGCCTATGTCTCCGGTCGAACGTTTCTCAAGTGGGTTGATGACCACAGAATAAGCCGGATCACAGCACACTGGAAGGCACCATATCTGGTGACAACCAGCAGATTCGTCGCTGACGTCAAAGTGGATGACCCCTGCTATGGAGCCAGACGTCGTCTCTAGCTCGTGCCATGGGTCTGCGGAGGTACGATGATCCTCGCAATCTTTCGTGCATTGATGCTTGACCTCGAGTTGCATGATCCTTCCGCGTAGCAACAGCTCTGCTCCACTCATTGCGCCGTAGATATCTGTACTGGTGAAGTGGGTATCGCAGTCAAGGACACGTAGACCCGTCGGGCGATAGTCATCGAGAACTTGCTCCGGCCCTGATCCACCACAATTTGCGACCCTTTGGCTTTCATAACTCATGTTTCCATCCACTGACAGGAAGGACCAGCTTGGTGCGCGCCATGATGTCGGTCTGTGCGCATTGGGACCCGTCCTCCAGAGTAAGGCGCGCGGTAGGTGATCGAACCAAAGTCCTGCAAGATATCGATTTGAGGGTATCTTGCGCTGGAAGTCTTGAGCAAGTCCCGACAGTGCCGGTAACTTGTCGTGCTCATTGGTAAGGTTTCGCGACATATAGTCCTCCATAAGCTCATACCACCGGTCTCTGACCCACAGTGGCCCATCACACGACACACTCTCATCGATGGAGATCTTGACGGGCCATGGTTGGATGTCATCCATAGGCTTCAGATTGTCCCAGGGCATCTCGCTGGAGGCTTTCAGAGTTTTGCACTCCCAGAGCACAAGGTTTTCAGAGAAGTGGATGTTCCTTGTAGATAGTTCCCGTTCTTGTAACGTCCAGGCTCGTGTCCGCAGGGGATTGTTTCCATATTCACGATGTCGGTATGGGTTATCTCCATACTCTTCGTACCATTTCCTGATCCCTTGCTCGAAAATTCGGATGCGGTAAGGGCCTGCATCAAAATCAAAGAAACGATGATCCTGCGTTGTGGCCTGTCGGTTGGAGACGCGGCAGCCAGATTTGCTGTCGACAGAGCTCAAAGCGCAGAGCGTGACTAGTGCATTCCCGTAGACAGACGCCATTTTACTTACTTCCAAGGCCCATTCTTTGGCATCACCTTGGACGATGCAGAGTGAATCGATCCATAGATACCTCAGACCCAACCGGCGGGTCACCTCGACGGCATCTTTGAAAGTCAGCGGCAGGTCGAAGAAGTGTATGCGCTGCAAGTGTTGGGCGATGTTTCCAGTCGTAGTCGTTAGAGGGCGCTGGGAAGCTTGCCCCCAGCAATGGCTCAGAGCGACATACTTCGCAGTGACGTTCTTCGTATCAAATGTTACCAACTGAAGATCATTAGATTGCTCGAAAGCTTCCAAATCAAGAAGACGTGTGGGCGGGAGAGATTCCGCTGAGCCCCTCGCGCATTGCGGATGATATTGAACACAGTCTTTGACCCAGGAAGACATCAAGTCGACGTCACAACACGGTCCACCTAGCTTTGCCTTCGGCAGGGTCCCTGTCAAAAGTAGAATTAAGAACCAGCTCTGATAAGGCTCCAGGGTGAACTTACAAAGATGGGCAGGTATACGAGAGAAGTAAGTATGGGATACATCGTCCGAGCCAACTAACATTACGATGGCTTGATTCGGATCGATCATAGCTCGCTTCAGTTGTACCCGTGTACACTCAAGAACGTTTTCCGGTAAATGCGACGAATTAGCGCTTGCGATCAGACAGGTGCATAACGGACACCCTGCATGAGCACTTCTTTCGATCCACTTTAGGGGTAAATGCAACCACCCAGGGCGATCCAGGGACACTGGATCATCCAGAGCGGGTGAGAAGAGGTTTGCATCGATGCTGCGACAGGCTGCACAAAGAGAGGTGGGCATTCTGAGACGATGCCAGGACGTTCAGCATATATGATGTTAGAAGTATAGCTTGATTGTGAACTAAGCTAGAGGGCCGGAGGAGATGGCCTGAAATACCTTAAGGTCGGTGGGTAGGTACCACTAAATTTTGCTCACCGGTCTAGCTGCACTCTACCCTACAACTGATTCGCTATGCGCCTCACTAACTCCGCTCTGCTTTTCTCGATAGGGCGTCTCAGTAGGTGAGCAAATTTCCCTAGTTGGGACTGGCAGCCACCACAATGAGGGCTTTTTTCAATCACGATGACAGCGTGAACACCTATGCTTCTGGGTACATAGCATTATGCGTCTAGTAGAAGCACAATCACTATGTGACGCTCGTCTTTGTTCGAATCATCATGACTTCTTGTTGTGATTCCGGTGACTGAATGCTTGCGTTACCCCGCACCGGTCAGTCTGCAATCAGCCTAATCCAGCCTTCAAGCTATAGTAACGCGCCGCGTACTATCGGCGACCTCCCAAAACCAAATGTTTTCCATCTGTTGTCGACTCACAAGCTTCACGACCGGACTATGCCTGGCACGTACGTCTACTCTTCGCTGGCCAACAAGACGAGCTTTCAACTACTCTATCTCCACAGCGATAGCACCTCATCAGGATTACAATGCTCAATTTTTCACTTTCTACTTAATTAACACCCTCTATATAAAGCGCTTTCCTACAAGTAGAGGAAGTCTAAAGGAGTCACTATGATATCTTGCAGAACATTCACAATTAAAGTTACTCTTAATCTTGCATTAGCTCTAGAAGCCTTCTGTTAACCATCTAAGACGCAAGTGCTCTAGGTTAATGCTATCTACATTAATTAGGGGAACATCACTAAGAAAGCATCTTAGGTATTAAAGATGCGCAATATCTATACTAACGCAGAATTAACGCTTGTCTAGCTTAGAAATTTGTGTTCCTTTACCTTAGTTATATTCTAGGTGTTATATCTACTTGCATTTCTCTAGTGCAAACAACTATAACAAGGTATAAAAGAAGACAACCTAATTCTATATATACTCTTTAAGCGGCTAAAGAAGTCTATATTTCTATTAATAGCTAAGATAATCTAGGTTTCTCTTACAAGAGGCTATTAAGGAAAGATAATAACCTTATCTTAACTATTAGGACGTAATAATAACAACCTTCTATATCTTAACAATAGGAGACTCTAGGAAGTTATTAATAATCTTTTTAGAAGTATATATTTTAAAAGGATATAGATCTAGCAGAAAGTTACTATTACTAATATAGTATATATTATATTAGGACACTATTAAATGCTATTTAATATCTTTAGTGCTATATATAGAGGATATAACTTATTAGAATTTATCTAGTATAAGTGTTGTCTTAACAAGAATTAAATAGTACTCTTCTCTTATGTCTAGGATACCTGCAAGCAGTATTAAAATCCTAAGTTTAAATTAGACCTTATAGCTATATTAGCAATATTTAATTATTTAAAAGAGTTAATTATATATAACTATATCTTTGCACTACTAGCTCTAGTAAAACCTAACTAGGTATATAGGTATATAAAAGTAGATTATACTAAGGCTTTAAGTAGTGTTTTTATAGAGGCTATAACTTATATTATCTTAGACTAATAAGACCTCTATCTTTAAGGATTAAAATCCTTATACTCTAACTAAATAAGAACTAACCTACTATTCTAGGTACCTAAATAGACTAGTATTAATTATAAGGAAAGTATAGAGTACTTTTATTATAGATTAGAGTTTAAGAGTCTACTATATAGTAACTATAATATCTATAGGTAGTTATTATATATTAACTCTTATATTATAGATAAAATTAAATTCTATATACTAGTAGATATAGAAGAAAAAATTATTACTATTATACTTAAGCTATATTAGAGAGGGGTTCACTTCTTTAGGTAATATATAGGCAGTATAGTTAAAAGTAAGTCTTCTTCTAGGATAGCATACCTTAAACTAAATCTTAGGTAGAGTAATATAGTTAATACCTTTTAGATTATCTCTATATTCTACTAAGTCTTATATCTACTAATTAATATGCTTATAGGACTATTTAAAGCTAGAATCTATCTCTTTAACTAATTCTAGCTTAATATAGAAGCTCTATAGGCTATACTTATACTAATAATAAGCCTCTAACTATAGGTTAGATATAAGCCTCTATATAAGCAGCTCTTTCTAATAGCACTACTATTTTTAGTATCTAACCTTAAAAGGTAGAGAAGGTGCTTAATACCTAGTAGTTAGCTAAAGATATATAGCTAATAGGCTATTACTACTATTATTCTTATATATAGTTCTAGCTACTATCTTATAAAACTAATATTTAAGTATCTCTTAGAGTTAAATATAAAAGAGTAGAAGTAATCCTTTTTTACTAAGAAAAGTTACTTTAAATAAGTATACTTGCTAGATTCTTAGATAGACTATATTATTATAATTATTAGTAGAGTATAGATACTCTATATTCTTAAAAAGTATAATAAAAACTATATACTCTATAGTTATATATATATTAAGAGTATTATAAATTAGAAAAGGCTACCTAGGTATATATCTATATAGTAAATAAAGATTAGGTAAAAGTAGATACTTTAGTAATATTATATAAGTATCTATAAGTATTATAGTTAACTAAAGTTTTTTTATTATACTATTAGCTTTATTTAAAACTATTTATAAATATAGAATACTTTAGTTACTTACTTTAAATATACTTTTTAAATTAACTTCTATCTTAATCTACTTTATTTTCTTAAAGTTTATCTTATATAATTTTTTATTCTACTACTTCTTAGTAAGTTCTATATTATAATAGTTTATAAAGCCTCTTAGTAGTATATTTTTTTTCTTTAACTACTTTTTAAATAGCTAGAACTTATTTTATAAGTATTTAATACTATTAGCTAGCTATTTTATAGTTATTTATCTACTTTTCTACTAAATAAGCTATTAGCTATTAGTATATATATAGAAAGTATAAGTATTCTAGATAGTATTATTAAGGTTATACTTTAAGTAAAGCTTATAAGTACTATTTAATTAGTTCTTAAGGATAAATACTATTAGGGAACTAAAGGGGTTTTATACTAAGAAGTATAGATATAATCTATCTATTTTAAAGGTAAGAAGTAATAATAAGTAGTATAGAGTAGACTATCTATAATACCTATTATAATATTTATTATAGTATTAGTATTTTAGTACCTATTCTAACTAGAGTTAGTATTGTTAGTAAGTAACCTATATAAAACCTATACTAAATATAAGTATTAACTTATTAAGTATTATTCTTATTATATAATAGACCTACTTATCTCCTAACTATCTACTCTAGTATAAAGTAAGTACTATTACCTATAACTAGAACCTTATATAATAATACTTTAAAATTAATAGTTCTAGAGATAGGCCTATTAATAAGGTTAAATAGCTAGAGGTTACCCCCTAGAGCTCTCTAGTAACTCTTAGAGAACCTACTAACTAAAGGAGACTTATTAATAACCCTTATATAAGGTAAATTATTATTAACTTCTATAATATCTACTATTATAATACTAGAGAAGCATATCTAAGCTATAGAAGTATAATATAATAAGCTTAGAAAACTTTAATAACTTAAGGAACTAGAGGTAGAAATTATACTCCTAGAGGTAGGTAAAAAGACTATAACCCTTATAACCTCTACTAAGATAGAGGATAATACCTAGAAACACCTTAATAAGGTAGTATATAAGAGGGGCATATCTCTAATACTTATTACTCTAAAGGTAAAATATATACTTAAACTAAGAGACCTTATAGAATATAAAGGTAAAACTCTTAGAGAGTATAGAGAGTTCTTCTACTTCTATAAAATAGTATTCTACCTACTTTCCTAAGAGTTCTACTAAGATAGGGATAAAGTTATCTAGATAATATAGTATCTTACTAGTAACCTAAGAGAACTATAGTACATATACTATAAGTATATATTTAAAGTAAATAATATAGACCTTACCTAGAATTACTTTAAGTAATATTTACTAGACTTACTTTTAGATTCTATTAACTATACTTTAAAAGTAGCTATAGTATATATATAAGCTCTATAATAAAAAGATTAAATAGTTTATACCTTTACTATCTACCTAGATATTCTAAAGAAGTAACTTACTCCCTATACTAAATAATAATATATTTAGTACCTCTTCTCTAAGCTTAGGCTAGAAATTTAATAAGTAATTACTAACTACTACTAGGTACTAGCTACTAGAGAGAACCTTATAGTATTAGGCTCTATACTTAAGTATAACCTATACTAAGCATCCCCTCTATAGAAGCACTACCTATAAGGTAAGAAAGATAGAAAATATAAGAAATAAAGCCTTAAGAATAAAACTTTATCTTTCTCTAATAAACTAACTTATAATAAGACAATAGTTACCTATTTCAAGTATTAGAAAGTAAGGTACTATACTAATAAGTATAAAAGCACTTCTAACCTAAATTAGATTCTTATCTATATTAACTAAATAGGAAAAGATAAAGCCTTACTCTAAACCT